GTTCCGGCACCGGCACCTGCATCAACAGCTGCGCCTAAGAAAACCGATGCTCCTGCTGTTACACAGGCCAAGAAAGATAAGGGCAATGACAAACACTGCTGTGCAGGAAGCTGTAGTGGCTCTTTCAAGGCCGGTTCAACCCAAGACACTTGTTCATTGACGTGCAACGACAAAGGTAACTACTACTGCTTACCCGACTCAACATTCTGTGCCGATGGCTACTTCGAATGGGCTGGTCCATGTAACACATCCAACGGAGACAAAGCTTGTCCCGATGATTTCTGTTGTGTTCATGACAACTACTACTCTGACAAGCAGTTCGTGTGTCTGAAGTGCAAGAACAGCGGTAAGTGTTCGAGACACAAAACTGCGATTGTTATTTGTGGATACATGTTCTAGCTGCTCCTGCCTCGTGTCCTGCTCGATCATCGGTTCCGGCACCGGCACCTGCATCAACAGCTGCGCCTAAGAAAACCGATGCTCCTGCTGTTACACAGGCCAAGAAAGATAAGGGCAATGACAAACACTGCTGTGCAGGAAGCTGTAGTGGCTCTTTCAAGGCCGGTTCAACCCAAGACACTTGTTCATTGACGTGCAACGACAAAGGTAACTACTACTGCTTACCCGACTCAACATTCTGTGCCGACGGCTACTTCGAATGGGCTGGTCCATGTAACACATCCAACGGAGACAAAGCCTGTCCCGATGATTTCTGTTGTGTTCACGACAACTACTACTCTGACAAGCAGTTCGTGTGTCTTAAGTGCAAGAACAGCGGTAAGGAATTAGATTACTTTTTTTGTATGCTTCTGTGTGTATTGTGGGGGTTGTGCTAGTGGGAAGCACGTTGGTTGAATAGTCTTTTCTGGAACTTCTGTGGAGAATATGATGTTTTGAAGGCTAGGTGCTCCTGAGTGTGGACGATGAGCGTCGAAGGTTTTTTGCTTTCTGAGACAGTGGCTGAGGGTGTGAGGATTAAGTTGTTAAAGTTTTGGTTAGTGTCAGTGGGAGATGATTGCGCGGTATTTGGTTTAATCATTTGTCACCGCTCGGGGGTTATTATCGTGAAGAGCGTCGTTTGAGTGAGTTGGCGAATGCTTTATCTTGCTTAGAAAGGAATGAACGATGAGTTGGAGGAAAAATAAATCTGCAGTGGAATTCGAAGCCTGTAAATGAAACGATAGTGGATAAGATGTCTTTTCGTGTATGTGGTAAACGTTGTGAATTCAACGGCGTTTTCCTAGTACAGTTATGACCTGCATCTAGAAATGATATACGTTTGATAAGGAACGCGAGTTGTGTAAGCAATAAAAGCTTCCTGAGTTGGAGAAGTCATGGGTGTTTCCGGAAGGAGAAAGAATCTTCAGTATTTTTAATAAATTCGTCGCTGAAAGTCTTGGCGGATTCACAGAATGTGTGTAATTCGTACATGTGAATGAGGGGCTCTGGGGCCACCTAATATGCAAGTGAATCAGCGCCCAGTAATGTGTGCTGGGCGCTCATCGGAGCAAGGGACATTTCAGCGGTATATGACTGAGGAAATTTTATCGTTCCGAAACCTGCCAAACAGTAGAACGCTAGTAAGAAAGAAAACCATTTCATGTATCGCTTTTTCTCCCTACTACTTAGCATAAAACATAGCAGCCATTTGCACTGATACAACATGATTGCACCACGAAACGCTCATCAACTGTTTCCAAGACAGTTAGCGATTAAAAATCTCTTCAAACCGACTAGTTCGTTTTTCCCAACCATCCCAACTTGCATTTATTTTCTTGATGTTCATCGAGTTTTGGTTTGAATATATTATTAGGCAGCCGCGCAGCTTGCCCTTCCAAAAATTCCAACGCAACCGCTGAACCAGTTAAGGAACGATCAACTAAAGCACCAGCTAAGCCAGTTAAGGAGGCAACAACTGAAGCACCTGCCAAACCAGTCGAGGAGGCAACAACCGAAGCACCAGCTAAACCAGCTAAGGAGGCTACCACTGCCGAGCCAGCTGCAACAACCGAAGCGCCTGCTAAACCAGCTAAGGAGGCTACCACTGAAGCACCTGCTAAACCAGCTAAGGAGGCTACCACTGAAGCACCTGCTAAACCAGCTAAGGAGGCTACCACTGCCGAGCCCGCTGCAACAACTGAAGCACCTGCTAAACCAGTTAAGGAGGCAACAACTGAAGCGCCTGCTAAACCAGCTAAGGAGGCAACAACTGAAGCGCCTGCTAAACCAGCTAAGGAGGCTACCACTGCCGAGCCAGCTGCAACAACTGAAGCACCTGCTAAACCAGTTAAGGAGGCTACCACTGCCGAGCCAGCTGCACCAAGTGAAACACCTACTAAACCGGTTAAGGAGACATCCACCGCCAGACCATCTACGCCAAGTGAGTTGTCATTTGATGATGGTTGTGAATGTGGTCGCGGTTCTGTATGGATTAGATATTGAGGAAAGAGAGCAGAGAATTGGGTGATGTAGCATGAAAGACGAGCTTTTTTGAATGAGACTGTGAGTAATTGAGGTTGAAGATGATAAGGATGGCAGTTTTTTTGCATTGATTATGAAATGAGCGAAGTTTTGTAGATTAGTTATAGGTATGTTCTTCGGATTCTTCTAATTTGGATTTTCATTGCAGACTTTCAGCTGTCTTTGAGCAGTTGTGAAGGAATGTTTCTGTGGGAATGTTGGTGATGAATGTAGAAAAGAATGATATGCAATCTGTGATTGATATTGGGAGAAGAAATAATGAAAATGAATACCGTACTCCGAGTATATAATTCTTTTTGGTACATTCGATAGTAGAGATAGCTTGAATTTCTTATCTAAGTCGAGGGCTGTGGCTTAGGTTTAGTGTTGTTTGTTGATACAATTGTTTCTTTTAGGTGGATCAGAAGAAGACGGTAATGATGATTCAAGTGAGGATGATGACGGTAACAATGGAACACCGGAAACCCCTAGCACTGTCAGACGGGTATGTATTTTAAAGGCGATTAAACATGTAGGTAGTTAGTGTCTCTGCATATGACAGTTATCGTTAGTGTTTTTCTGTTGAAAAGTAAATCTATACGTTCAGACTAGCATCCTCATATATTAGTTTATTTTTACGTCTATCGTGAATGATGACAAAACGAAAATATTATTTTATTGATTTGAAAGAAGTTTCGTGAAACATTGCATGAATGAAGTAAAAGATTCTCGCAGTGTTCATTACGAATCTTTGTTAATGTCAGCAAAAAATAGTTGTTAAACTGTTCCGAGTGAAAGTTAGTACGTGAAGTTCAAAGATAAATGCGATGTGTAGTTTAAAACGTCAGATATTCATGTTATCATGTAGATTTTTACAAAACAGTCCGATAGAATAGATAAATATCACGAGCGTGCCGGAGTTCACAATCCTCTGCGTTTTAAAAATTTTTGTTTTGTGAATTGACGTAGGAAAAGTTCTTTTCTTAGAAAAATGCTTTGCTGAATTCCATAGAAAACATAGATGTTTTCATTTTGATAAGTAATTTTCATATTATTGTGTGACCTGGCACAATCGATAACTCTACAGGATCTCAATTCGAAGCACAACTTTTCTATCACTTCTTTTTTCGAATAGTATTTCTTTACATAAAATAACTAAGTAAGCCAGAAGATGGAGTTCGAAAATGAGTCGAATTTACCCCAATTTTTTGGTGCATCTTCTTTATAATACCATACAGCCATAGAACAACGAAGATTGTCATAAAACAGAGTTTTTTCGTAGTTAAAACGAAATTCCAATTATTATACACCATTCGACAGAGAATTCCTTAGGCAACGAGATGTATTGAATTTGAAATTTCCTCCATATCACACTTTTCAAATAGTGTGGAAGACGATCACATGTCGACAGAATATGCATGGTATGTGGTTACTTCGTATAAAATCTAGTGTTGCTGAAGTTATGAAAATGTATCAATAATAGGAAAATAAAGATAAATCATAGGGGCGAACATACAATCAATATGTCTATATATATTTATATACTGTCATTCATAAATTTAGGTTGTTACAAGCACATCTGGTGTTAGTCCTTTCAAGGATACAAATTATAAGAGCCCATGTGGTCGATGTGCTCGACGTTACATATTTGCATCATTTCTCATCGAAGGCGTTACGAGTGAACAATTACCCAAGGACGCTAGACAAAATTTTCCTCGAAATTTGAAAGCATATGTCCAGAAAGAAGTGGGAATATGCCAAGCAAGGCACTTGAGAAAAGTTAAAGTTACAAAATTAGATACGATCAGCGGTAAAAATGTAGCTGTCGAGTTTGTCGCTAATGTTAATCCACGATATCAGCAAGAATTAAACAATGCTATACGTCTCGTTCTTCTCAAACTGAATGTATGTTAAATTTTGGTATCTATTCTCGTTTATATTGTTTTCGTGTAGGCCAATAAAGCATTCAAAACTCCACAGAATTAATAACAACAGCAAGAACTTCATCACTCTTAACATTTCTCTATTCTGCATTTTATTGTTCAGAAGAGATGTGCTTCTAAAAAACTAATAAAGAATATCCACTGCAAATCGAGAAACGTTTTAATCGAACTTCATCCTCATGGTTGCACTTTCATCAGTTGTCATTACCCTCACCCACACCCTCTTATATTGTGCTATGCATCTTTCGACATTCCAATATCATATTTTCCTCATCTTTGTTTTCATCACGAATTAACAGAAAATGATGCGATCCAAAAAAGTATAGATCGGTCGGTGTGAAAGGTTCGCATGGTATTTCACGTAGACGTCTCTGTGGATCATTCTCTTGAGCATTGATAAGCAACATTCGTCGTTGAGATGATTCATCTTGTTCGTCGTTGACGAACAAAATCCATTGTTGGGTATCTTTACATTCAAAACAAGATTTCACACATAGGAATGAAGAAGTTTTATCGTCCTACCATAAACTGGTGATATCGAGAGAATTGCACAATGATGAGTATTAATTCGAAAAAGACATTTCATCGCATGAGAAACATCGCAAATGAGAATTTTGTCTGTAAATAAAGCGTCGATGGCCAATAGAGAACCACTCATTCGAATGCGGAAGATTTCCATAGTATCTTTCATGTTGATTTCATCGGAAAACAAATCTGGTTTCCAACAACGTTGAATCATCTGATTCGTTGAATAATGTTCAATAACATCACCTAACGATGTTCCAAGATTATGAACAACAGCGATAGATTCGCCATTCGCACAAATATCTTTGAAATAACCCAGGCCGATATCAACATATCGAACGATACGTTTGGTCGTGCAATTCAATTTCAATATCTGCTTTGACGTGGCAAGTAGAAATCCATTCACGTACGATGACCAGATCATTTGTTGAATATCTCCGTACGTTATCTGATCATAATTGATATCGCACAAATGTTCACCGCGATCATCGTACAATTCGAAGATGGATCGAGATGATTTATAGAAGAGTAAATACTTCGATGATACCGCAATGACAGACGAATTATAGTCAAGAGTAAAAGCAACCGTTGATGTGATTAAGAAGCGGTCTAGGTCAATATGAGATGCGCTTTGTGAATTGAGTGGAACTGAGGGATTTAAGTTTGGCTTCACTAAATGAATGATCGGGTTGATCTTGGAAATGATTAGTTCTAAGCGAGAAGATTCGAGTGTGCGCAACGATTGTTCTAATTTGATTGAGATCTATTTAGAAAATGTTCAGATGGATATCAATGGGAAGAAGATGCTATCCGAACCTCTTTTAAACTCATTTCGTTCTCATCACAAGCATTTAAAATCGTCTCTTTTCTTTTATTAAATTCTTCATCGTATTGTTCGTAAGCTGCGTGTACTTCATTTTTCATTCGGTTTATATTCTCAATCACAGTCGTTTGCCATTCATCTAATTGTTGACATAATTCGTAACGATTGTCGATCGATTGGATCGTTTTCAATCGTGCGCGAGAGTTTTCAATCGAGGAAATCAAATGCTTATGTTCCTTATCAATCGCTATTTGATGTTCGACAAGATGCCGTAAACAAAATATTAATGGACAGTGAGCACACGGCACAGTACTCGGTGCTTCGACACAATGTGCATAGGAACAAATCGATTCGACCGATGGACGAAAGCGTTTCAAAGTTGACATCTGAAAATAAAAAGCTCAAAATTTTTATCACGATGAACGATGTGCAACGCTCTTCGGATTATCACACATCTCGCCTATTTCAAGGAGGATGTCGCATCTGCGAAAAAAACTGAAATAAATCGAAAACAGAATTCTATATGACCAACGGATCAAGTTGTTCTTTATTCATCGTTCGTCAATATATTCTTATAATGATTTTTTTTCTTTTTTTCCATGTGCGCTTATTCCAAAATAAAAAAAGCGTACAACAGAAAAACAAGCACTTCGGCACGTTTAACGGTACGATTTTTGGTATTTGGAACGTGCACCTGGACCACCGAATTTCTTAGGTTCACATCGACGGGGATCAGCAACAAGTAATGTTCGATCGTATTGTACGAGAATGTCTCGAATCTGTTTCTTTGTTGCTTCATCGACGTATTTCTGGTTGTAAGAGACGATTGATTTAGCTAATGCTTGTCGAATAGCATAGATTTGTGCAATACGACCACCACCTTTGACTCGAATTCGAACATCAACATTAGCAAATTTGTCACGACCAAGAAGATAGATTGGTTCTTCGAGTTTGAAGCGAAGTGCCTGCGGCTCAACGAGGTGAAGTGGTCGACCGTTAACACGGATTGAGCCGTGACCTAGAGCGGTTCAGAAATAAGTTTTCCCGAAGAAGCATTTGAAGAAAATCGTTCACCTTGTTGACAGACAGCAACAGCTGTAGCTGTTTTCTTTCGACCAAATGTCTGCACACGTTGTTTTTGAACTTTCGACATGATTTTTCTGTTAACAGAAATCTAGAACAAGTCAAAATAGATCGAAAATCCGAAACGTCTTTCCTATGTTTATAAAATGTGAATGAAATAAACAAGATTTTTTCAATGATGACTCATTTAGTTCGAAAGATTGGCCATTTAGTTTGATATTCAACAAGATTTCGGTTTTCGAGAAAAAAGTGCAATCGAATCGATTAAAAATAAAATTTATCTTTATTTCTAATTGTATACTGTTTAATAGCTGAAAATCAACTAGCGACATCTTTTACGGAGAGATCGATTAGCCAATGTTCTTTCGAAAGTAATAAAACCCACCACATTTATCCATTGCAATTGATCTCAAAGACAAGAATAAAAGATCTATATTCGGTTCAAGCAATCATGCTCAATTTATCACCGAACAGTAGCTTTGTACGTGATACATCAGGTATAATCACAGATCGTTTGAAACTTTTACTTAATCAAACATCTCAACGGCAATTGATCAATCGTGATAAGCAAGTCACACAGAAAAGAATCTTATTCAGTGTGATTTTTTTATGTCTTGTTCAAATTATTGTGTATGTTGTTCATTGCAATGAAAGAAGTAACAAACTGTTTTTTCGTTTTGTTTAGTCCAGACAGTTTTTTGCATTTGCATGACAAAATTTGGAATGCTAGTGAGTATTGCTATATTGTTACACGATTTTCAAATGATTTCATCTAGAAAAATTCATTATTGTTGCTTGTATTGGTTACACAATTCGCGTCATTGCTCATTATATGAATATATCATTAGCTAAATACATCTTTTTGACTAAAAATGAATTGAAACAATTAGGATTACCGATGCCAGGTTAGTAAGGATATTTACTCAAGTTGCAAAGCTTAATTTTTCTTCTAGAGCCAGGCATGATCGTTTGTGATGATCCTCTAGTTGCCGAAGCTGCTTACAATCATAATAAATATCTCAATCGGCTCCTATGTTGGATTTCACCTCAATTATTGTACACATCAATTCTTGACAAACAAAAAGCAGTTGGTCCAACACTTCCTCTACGTGTCTTAACAGCCACGCTTGCAGATCGTGTTGCTTCCTTGGTATACACTCGCCCAGTAACATCACCGAATAAGATGGACCAAAAGGTTGGGCCCGATGAAAGATGTGAAATGAAAACTTCTATCAATATTTCTTCCAGAGAGATTTCTATGATCGAACAAGTTTGAACATGCCATCACCTGATCCATTGGCAACGTTGAGAAATAGTGTCTATTGGCAATCATCTCCAGGTATATGACTAATTCTTTTTTCATATTAAACATTTTCGTGATAATAGAATCGCCTTCCACGAATTTAAGTGATTGTTCGCGCTATTTAAATGAAATCGAACGTGAAGCGTTAGATCTGTCAACAGCGAGTCATAATCGAAGCTTAAACGATTGTAGGTTCTACATTTTGTAATCTATAATTCTTCTAAATTTTCATATTTCGCTAAGCATTCGGCCGCAGTCCTATTATGGCAACCAACGCGATGAACGATACAGTCGCCGAACTTCGTTCTCGTCCGTATCAAATGGCCCATGTTCGTTCGGCGACAAGTCAGAACGGATCGACAGTTGTTGACGACGACGCACGTAAATCCGATTACAAACGAATCATAAGTAATGGTGCAACACCTGGTAGCAGTGGACAAACAGGCACTACACAGAACGTTTTGGTAAGCACAAAGCGTTCACAAGAAAGTTCTCTTCGATTGACATTGATTTGTTTGATAGAAATGGCGTAAAGTACGCATGGACGGACCACAATTATATGTCCTACGTGAAAACATGCGCAAAGTAAGAGATATATTCAGTTTTAAATTATGAAATGTTCTGCTTTTATGGCTTAGTGGTTAACTAAAGCGATTCTCATTCCATTAACAAGCGAAATTGAGAACATCAATCGTTCATTAGTTGCTCTGGGTCATACAGATATAGTCATCGGCAGTAAGTGAAACAAATCTTCGCTTCAACTTTCTTGCATTTCGTTTATAGAAACTACCGTGAATGAAATGAAATCATTCATTCGTTCGTGTACAAATTCAACATTAGTTTCTCAATTGAATAAAATTTTACCAAATTTTGAAATTCATTCCAATCAAGAATACATTCTCTCACGTATACAAAGTAATATTGAGCTTTCGCGTTTGGAGAAAGCTGAAACACTCATTTTCTTTACTTGCAGTTCTTGCTCGAACATACATGGCGGATTATAATTGGAAATCGAATGTTGTGACTGACGCTGAACTTGTATTCAATTTATTTTGCATTCATTTCGATCAACGTCTCACGCCTGATCCACGATTTTTGGACGGAAGAGTTTTTCGCGGAAATTATGTCGTTCGACAAGCACAATTATCCAGTAAATAGATTTTCTTTACTTCATTAAAAATGTAACATATTCGCGCATGTTTAGACACAGCTCGATATCCGACAGCCATCTTTGTCTATCAAGAAAAACCACCGATCTATAAAGTTTTATCCAATGCAGAAATTCACGATGTACCAGCAGTAAGTCACTATTTGATCGTCGAAGAGAAGTAACGTTCTATGATCTTCTTTTTATTCAAAGGGTGATCATAATCTACTTGATTGTCTGCTTCTCTTTGTTGAATGCGCTAATTCCACTCGAAATGGACATCTCGGAGCATTGAATTTGGGTGCAAGTGGCGTGGATATTTTGTGGACAATAAGTTCACCAACATCAACATAAACATATTTGAATAGAAACCAATTAGATGAATTTTTCCTTGTGATATTTAAAAAAATAATTCAGATGTGCAGATATTTTTGTATTCATTTCTTTGCTTTTGTTATTTAATGGCTCTTCATTAGGTTCACATATAAAAAAAAGGTCTTAGTGACAAAGATTTGAACGTAAACATCATAAGAAATTCATGACTTGTCACCAATTATCACTGTTGTCTGGGATAATATTGATTCTATTTTCTGTCCGGATGTGCATTCGACTGAGAATGTCAATACAACGAGAGAATAAACTTTTAGACATTAACAACTGATCGAAATTAATAATGTGAAACACATTAAGAGCCTCACTGCTCACAGTATGCAGGAAGATTAACATCCGTTTTTGAGTGAATAACAAGGTCTGTAAAACTCATCATACACTAGCACATCATTGTGGAGACAGTTAAACATGGTAGGTGTCGAACGTTTCGACTCTATAACTCGTATTGTATTACTTGGTTTTTCTAATCTAGGATTTTGATAAATTTCGAAAACATTATGGCATAATCATTGTTCTTTGCGCATTCCTAAGTCGAATAATTTTCATTGGATTCTGTTGGAGTTATGGTTCAATCATAGCTCAATTTAAAAAGCAGCAATCATCCTTGTCGGATGGAGAATTAAGTAAAGGAATAAAAATTGTGTACGGATTGATTAAAGCGCTCGTTTTCTTCATACAGGTTGGATTGGTAGCATTGGACAGAGCTTTGGTGGTCTTCTGGCTCCACTGATTCTTTTTCTCGCTCGTCGATATGGTCATCAAATCGTGTTCATAGTTTCACTGCTCATCTGTGCTATGTCATTGTTTCTGTCTTCATGCGTTCAAAATCTTCATTGGCTATTGATAACTTATTCATTTCCATATGGTTTTGCTAACGCGGCGATTTTCATCCTCGGAACGTTAGTCTGCGGTGTTTATTATCCGGTTCGGCAACAGTCGAAACATATTTTCGTCATGTGTATCATTTCTACAGGATTTCCCCTGGGTTATCATATCATGAGTGCATTGATATTTTCATCTATTGAAAAACACGGATGGCAAACGATGAAACGACACATTGGTTTCATGGAAATCATGATCTCGTGTATTCTTGGTCCTCTGTTTACGATGAAGTATTTACCATATGCAGTTTCAGGATATCAACAACCATCGAGTTCAGTAGTACAAATGAACAGTCGACGAACTTATTTTTCTAAACCAATTGTTATTTGGATGATGGGAATATTTTCCACAATGTCAGCAATCAATAATTTTCTTCTTCATTTCGTAAGTTTGAACTTGCCAAGGATATGTTTGCAATCTATTCTTTTAGCATAGCTATTTGGAATCTCTTCATATCCCTGCAGCTCGTGTTGATCTTTGGTTTCGTCTACACGGCCTATTCGATGCACTATTTCGGATTCTAATTCCAGTTTTCGTTCGTCTCTATCCAATCGATATTATCTACTTATTTCCTACCTGTGTCGTTAGCGGCTTCATCTTTCTCTTATTAACATTCGGTTTGCTGTACACAACCATATACGCTCTAGCAATTTTACCGATTGTTTGTAAGTGCTTGTCAGACAACGACAATGATCGAATGTCAAAATCGTTTCTGTAGTGTTTAGTTTTACATCAGCGGTTACAACATCTCTTCAATATACAGTCTCCAATCAACTATTCGAAAACGATCAAACAGAACAAGGCTATGTTTATCATGTCATCATCACAAGTCTCGGATTGATCTTAGGTCCAGTAATTGGGGGTACAGATTCATTATTCGAAAGAAAGAAAACCAATGTACTTCTCTTTTAAGGTTTTTTTCTTGATGTGACAAACAGTTATAAATCAATTATGCTCACATCAATGCTATTTCTACTCATTAGTTTGATTTCATACGGCATAACCATCTTATCTTTGAATAAGAAGGAAGAAAACTCATCAACACAAAACGAAATGTCTAACTTTTAATTCAATTCCTTCCATCGAGCCTGTTTTTAAACATTAGACGATTGCTTTATGCCTGTATCAACACTAAAATTGACTTGAATCGGTGTTGCCATATTCGTATTCATTGTCGGACAAGAACATGAATCTTTAGAACTGATCGCTGACGATTTTTCACCACACAAACATTGGCAATCTAAGCCATAGCGCGGTTTAGAAATGTTTTTGATTATTTGTCGAAATTGTGATCGATCCATCTGACATTCGATCGGAGGTGTGTGCTGTTGACGAATGCCACAGCATGTGCAATCACAATCGAGAAAGCGTAATGTAAATTGTTCGTCTTTGTGTTCACATGACATTTTCTTAGCTTAGTTATTTGCAAATAGAAGAAAAATAGAAAAGTTTTATATATGTGTATTGAGCGCTTGAAAAATAAATTCACTCGTTTGAATATCAACAACAATTTATTACTCGAAACGCCATGTAAAAGAATTCGCTACAAAAAAAATACAACAAAGTCGTACATGCAAATGGATCATCTTGAATTTCGTCAATATTGTCTATTTACTAAAAAAAGATTTGTGGCTTTTACGCAGTATAGTAGATATTATCTTGAGACGCTTGGGCAGGCTGAGTTTGATAGGTATACTGTTGCTGTGGTTGTGCTTGATGAAATGGTTGTTGTTGTTGTTGATGGAAATGCTGTTGCTGATGGAAATGTTGTTGTTGCTGCTGTTGCTGCTGCTGTTGTTGTTGAATTTCGAGCACAATCTGTCGGATGTAGTCTTCAGTCATAATAAATCGTTGACCATTCATTGTAACTAAATAGAGGTTTTCTTGACCATCGAAACGCGCACTATTTGTTGAATTATCATTCGGATGCGAACTAACTCCGCTCGCAATCAGATTGTTTGCTTCGTCAGGATCAATCACTTCAACGATGATTCCTTGTGCAGCCATCATTTGATAGTACTGATTGAAGAACTGTACGTTAGGATGCGCTTGTTGTTGCGGTTGTTGTGGTTGCGCATGAGCTTGGTAGAATTGTTGCTGAGGCATTTGCGCTTGAAACTGATGCATCGGATGTTGAGGATACATGTAAGCGTTAGCATAAGGCTGCTGTTGGTAATAGGTCGCGGCAGGTGCAGTCGGCATTGCATAGACTGTTTGACGGATATGCGGGTTTGCATAAATGAACGAATGAGAATATCGTTGTTGAGGATAACTTTCATAATTTGTATCGGAGTCAGATGAGCGAAGTAACGGTGGGTCATCTGGTTCTTCAACAATAGGCTTCGTCGATGACGAATTACTTGCGACACTGTTATGCTCATCTGTATCAGAATCGAGCTCAATAATGCGTGGATTTTGACGAGTTGTCTTGCTTCTCATTAGACTATGACCAACACGAACCGAATTGAACTTGTTCGGATCTATACAAACGACGATGTAAAGAAAATCAGATGAAAACAAACCATCTACTTACTGATCAATCGTTGTAATGCATAATAAAGAATTTCGCCTCCATCAGGTGAACGACGTAGGAAATCGTGCTTAGTCAGCAATACTAGAGCTTGACCATTCATCTGAAATTTAGCGCTCGTTGCTTTCATTAATTCAAACTTTCGACATTGTTCTTCCACCCAACGTTGAACATCAGTCGATGACCACTTTGTTACATCTTTATTTGGAATATCTGGCAACGTTTGTGAAACGCGATCTGCAGACGAAGATTTCACAATCGAAGGTTTACTTCCATTTTCCATGATCGTCGTTTGTTTTAACGTCCCTTCACTGTCAGCTGCTTCATTTGGAGTGACATTTACTCGGTAACGAACTTGTGATAAATACTCATAATAACCATTTACAGGTAGTGATCTTAATCGGTGACTAATCATTATAGAGATGGACGAGAGAAGGAGAAAAGCCTAGTGTAAGAGAAAAGATATTGTATATGTTGTATATGCGAGAGAAAGTAAGAGAAAAAGAAATGTTATAGATGCAATAAAATATTGTACGAGTGAGCAAGCACGAACATATATTGAGTTTTTTTGCTCACTGTCTTCATTATACTTAGTTGAATGGTTGATCGAACGAACTAGAGAAAGAGAGAGAGACAGAGAGAAAAGGACAGGGTGAGAAATGAAAAATGGCTCGTCTCTCGATCAGTTGTTTTGTACTCGTAATTGCAATGATACGCAAATCTGTTCTAATAGAACAAAAATTTTAAATTATTTTACATTGAAATTTTTGATGAAGAAAATTGACCGTATATGAGATATATATATGTACGTATAACTGTAGTTCTCTTTTGACTTTTGTTTCGAATAAATCAAAAGAATCAGTCAAGCAGAACTGTGCGAAATGAGTGAACATATGCATCGTTTCGTTGTTGGACTCAATTGTGTGTCCTATCTCTTATGTATTAAAAGAAAATGTTCTTTTTTTTCACCTTCTCTCGATCAATCATCGATACTTGCTCTACAAAATTGATTTGAATTTTCTTTTTCAATTTTTTATCAATCACAAAAAAAAGAACGAACGAAGGAGAGACGATAGTATTAATCTAACGAGCAACAGTACAAACAGAAAGTAAAGGACATGTATGACTTTTCGAACAGTATGAAGGTAAGGCAAAGATGCTTGGATCAATCGCACCTTTCTTGAAACTAGTTACATCGAATACCATCAAATCATTCGGTTGTTGGTCGATGGCATATGGTACTTGAGTGGCATCGACTTGCCAATAGAAGTTATCTTGAAGACCTTTTTTATCCCAAACTTGATATTTCACTGATTCAGTTGTATTATATCCGATGAATTTCGAGTCGGATAACCAATCGGGTTTAACAATGCCACAGCCACTTTCTGCAGTGCAACACATGCAGCATGATTTCAAGGCAGGAAAGATAAGATAACGAAGACCTTCGACCACGAGATGAGTGCAAGGTGTGTCTTGGAAGTATTTGACAGAACTACAGTAACGATCGTATTTGCCTGTTGAACGGTCAATTCGACTAACGAGACAAATTCAAATGATGAAAACAACAATCGCGTAAAAACAAAGGCTTACACAGCTTTCTTGTCAAAGTCGTAATAATAAGTTCCTTGAATGTTTGTACCTGTTCCAACGACGGGAAGTGTACTCGTTTCGTTGAATGTTTCTTGAAAAGCAATTGGCCATACTGGTGGACTTGGATCAGCTGAAAATTTTCGGAACAACAAAGAGTGAATCAACGCATAGGATAAAATAAATTACCGTAAATGCTGAAAACCACTGCAACCAATGTGAGAAACAATTGATGATAGTGCATATTCTAATCTTAATCTAACAAACTAATAATTGACTGAGTAGATTTTATAGTAAAAATAGAAATGCTGATCAAAGCGTTGAGATAAAATGCACAGCTGCTAATCTCTTTAATTGAATACCACATGTTGTATCTCCCAAATGATCGAAATAAACTGTTTTCTATTCAAAAGATTCACGTCATGATGATTACAGATTGTTAAGAAAAAGAAAATGCAGGTCATTGTTGCATATCGCACTGATTTCGAAGATCATTATAGATGTCAGCCACGATCAGCTGTTCAAACGAAAGCATTCTGTTGTTAGCTGAAGACATAGCTACCGAGCGTTTAATGGCGATATGTTTATGTGCTTGAAGATTTTCACACCCTATGCTGAATTTACATACGTCAATTGAATCTTACATAACAAAACGATGACTGCAGTAATGAATCTATTCGGTTCGATTGTACCAAATCTAAATACAATCTTTCTAATTGATACAAGTGGCTCAATGTACTCATGTTTGAATACTGTTCGTGAGCACCTTTCTGCTTACCTTCGCGTGCATGCTGTTGACATACCGAATCCATATCAAACAATACTGTTTAATCTAATTGAATTTAATTCGAATGTACGTCGTTGGGCTGATCGATGCGTATTCTGGTCACACCCATCCGTTCTCGTTGCCGAGGACTGGCTACGTACCTTAGAACCGAAAACAGGTACTAACACATTGGGCGGTTTACTAACTGCTTTTGCTGATTCCTTATGTCAACAAGTCGTTCTGATTACTGATGGTATACCCGACCAAGAACCGCAAGTAATTATCAATTTTCTTCAGCATCAACAACAAGAAAAACGGCCATGTCATATATTCTATATCAATACACCGTCAAATACCGAACAAGAACAAGAAACAGTTGTCAAGTTTCTACAAGATTTAGCAGCATTAACGCGCGGTTCGTTGACTATCGGCTACTTTTCACGAACAGGTTCATTAGAAAATCTTGCACCGATGGTAAACTATCAAATTGAAGATGCAACAAATCCTCTATTAGTCTTGGATACATCGTTACCAGCACCCATCGGTGGTCCTCCTATGGATACGGCTGTTTCATCTGAAGTCGGTACACTTCTGGTTGGACAAGAGTGTTTAGCAAGAAAAGATTCCGATGGATACTACTATCGAGGAAAGATTCTGAATCAAGTAAGAATTCGAATGTGATTGTGGAATGGATTCTATTTTGTTCGTAGTTGAATATTAATCAGTTCATGGTGGAATTTGGACCACGATCAACTGGTGGATTTAATGAATCTGATTTTCAACCGACTTTCCTATTTGATATCATTCATTATACAGATGCTCTAATGCATAAAATTCAAACAGGAGATTTTGTTCTTGCTCCTGATGGACAACAAGGCCGATTCGTACCTGGCGAGGTGCTGGATGGTTTCGAAAGACGAGCATCATGTGAAAGTAAATATACCGATAGTAGAAGGCGATATAAATAACAATTTCGATATGAAATATGTATTTGTAGACGATGAAATTCGTCCGCTAGTCATTCATTTTGCCAATGGAAAAACTATCACATTGAAACGATTACAAGAAGCAATTTGGATACCACCCGCTATGTCAGTAGACTTGTCGGAGCCTGTTGTTTGAGTGCGTCATCATTTTTTTCTCTCTAGATATGAACGTATCAAGCTGGAGCTAACTATTCCTCCAACTGCCCGACAATTTCTTCAAACTCAATCTGTCGCCTATCCAACAAAAGTTCTACCCGGTTATCCAATGCCGGCACCATTTCCGATGACCTCAAACGAATGGCCGTTCTTTGTACCAAATCAGCCGTTTCATTCTATATCGCCATGTGTACTCGTCCCTCATCAAACCGTACCAGCAAGTGTTAAAAGTGATGAAGTCAACAATCTAGTTATGATTTCCCAACAAAGACCACAAAGTCTAATGACGAGTGATGAACTCAATCGAAAAGTGGATGATCAAATAAAGCAACATTGGCTTTTACTTGGTGAACGATCACCTCCTGTGACTTCAACACCACCATTGCCACCATCCCATGCTCACTCACATCCACATTACTCTCATCCTCCTCGTCACCAGCATCATTCACATTCAACAAATTCATCACCAGATCCATATTCAACGAGAAAGAAGAATGTTTGTTTCAATGAAGCATCTTCTATTCGACGATATTCGGTTGATGATCTAGATATGACTCGAGCACCGACTCCATTGAAATCATGTCTGAAATCATCAACAGGCAAAACAACACCCGATGTACAGCGACCCTGCGCAAGTGTCATTCATCATGCCCATACGCAAACGATACCAATATGTCACGGACCAAGATCAGACAGTGTTGCATCGTCACATAATGTTTACCGTTCACCATCAGTTCCTACTTCAATTGAACATTGGCATACGCGACAATTGAAATCCGCACCTCGTAAGACTTGCCACTCGATTTTACTATCAATAGGTACTACGATATCTTTCTAGCGCCTTCTGCTATACCCAATCCTCGAACACAAGAATGTCACCGACGACATTTAGGTCATCTGTACGAAAAAGTATGAGTTGAAAAATTCTCTGTTTTCTTACAATGAATGTTGCTCGATGACAGGCTCAACACGAAGTCAAAGAAGAACTTCAACAACAACAAGCTCAACGCGAACAATACAAACGACATCAAGCGAAAGAACAAATCCAATGTATTCAAAATCGTCAGCAACAAGAAACTGATAAATCGGATCGTATCATGGATGCCAAACGACAACATCGTAATCAGATTATGTATCAAAATCAACAAAGGTAAGCCATGATCAATAACATAGCAAAACAAAATCCATTCTTTCTCAGAACACAAGCAGCAGAAGAACGAGCCAATAATCAAACACATTTCAGACAAAGCCAATATGCACAGCGAGTTCTGGATCAAGCACAGACACGTCAAGTCGGTGAACAAAAGACCGCTGAGCAAGCAGTATGGATTTTAGAAAATCTCTTTTTAAGTTTCTTTTCTCACGTTTGATTTGTTCATTTTAGCAACGTCGACAGAAGGTCGAAGCTCAGCGAAATCGCACTCGCCATGAAATCACTCTTGCCGAAGAAGCCGATCATTTATACAAAGACGTTGTTGCGCGTAAATTTCGGGAAGATGCCGATTACAAAGCGCATGTTCGACGTGATCGAGAAGACAAACGAAACGATCTTATTCGTGATATCGAACAACGACGCATCGCTTGGTCAAATCCAACAATTTTCTCATAGAAACAAATGTCTATTGTCTTTCTGTACTGTATTTTATATATACATATATAGAGTGGGGATATAGTCTATGTATCGTCTTTACTATTGTTGTGAAATACGAAGTGTTTTACTATTTGATTAATACATAAAAAAAAACGAACACACACAAAATGAAGAGGAGAGAACATGGCAAAATATAAACAGTTACTATTTTTCATTGACCGTAAACAGGATATTGTGGATAAGACATAAATTGGGATTGAGAGAGTTGATTATTATCAGAGAGATTTGTACTATTAGAATATTGAGCGAGCGCAACGTAACATTTCATAAATAAAGCTTTGATTCGACAAGCAGATCGGTGATCCGTACCGGTTATACGTTGAATTTCTTGTTGAAGAATATTGACAAGTTTGTCGAATTTACTATTATTCATTGCTTTATCTTCATCGTTCTCAGTCATTGTTATAAATGTATGAAAAAGAAAGAGTAAGACAGGGAACGTATCAATTAATGCTGCATTCGCAACTGCTTGTGATGCGTGATTGTATTGATTTTTCCATATACGAACCGAATTCATGTAGATCGAATGATAATCAAAATTGAGTGGAACTATGAACGGCAGATCGATTAAACGAAGTAAACTCTCCAATGCTGATGATGTGGATAGTTGATCATAGCTAAGATCATGTCCTAGTTGCTCGAGAAGATCAGTGATTGGAATTGATGGCGCTTTACTCGATGTCTTTGTTGTTGCTCGCGGAGCACGATCTTTTGGCATGGCAGTCATTCCAACGCGAACGCATTTAGCTTTTCGACATGCTCGACAATCTTTTCGATTGGATTTTGTTATATTTGGTAGTGGAATTTCACACGAGTGCTTGATTTCGATACGTGGATCTAATAATTGAAAAAAAAACAGAAACGTTTGCTGAATGCTGATATCGATCAATCATGTGCAAAGTTCGATCGAGAGAGATAATATCAGCAGGTATGATATGCGTGACCTTACCTTTTGTAACTCGTCGATAGAATGCTTTGCACGATTCGCATGTATACGCACCAAAATGATAGCCGGACGATTCTTCGTGACATACGAGACACGGTTGTTTGCTAGCACTAGTACTACTATTGCTGGAGTTGGATACTGATGTGACTAGAAAACGGACATCGTCTTTCTCTTCTATTTTTTTCAATGTATAAGTGAAAGGAAAAAAAAGAAAAATACAGAGACAGGTTGGCATCCATTTCTGGATGATGTCGAATAGTACATACCATCGTGACTAGGTAGTTTGATCATAGCTGAATCCCATTGTGACATTGTTGATTGATAGTCAGGTTGAATATCAATGGATGATGATAACGAAGTCAATGAACGATATGATGGTGCGGATGGCACCGTCGTCGTTGTATTCGTGTACATGGAGTGAAGATTTGGATAGGAATCTGTTGTTGACATGTATGTTGACGACGGATAATCCATTGATGGTGCATTATATGATGACGTTTGAGATGTATATGGATTCATGGAATAATTATTTGTGAACATATTCGAATATGGATCGGTGAGATAAGATGACGAAGCGTCAGGTAATGGTTGATAATCATAATTATTCTCGATAGTTTGATATTGAACTGCATTAGGTGTATGGTTGAAGTCAAATGACGGTGAGAAATAAAAAGATTGATTGCTGGCATTGTTATTTACCATTGCTACTGAGGACGAGGAAGAAGTCGATTGCCACACATCACTGGTTGTTACAAGATTACTATTAGCTGTTGTAGATTTAAGGAAACTAAACAAGATCGATGAACTTTATCTTCGCACTCGAACTCTCTGTCTCTTCGTTACCTGTCTGGAAATTGATGAGTTGGATACAAATGCATATTGTCTTTCGTTTCCAAATCAACCATATTTTCAATATCTGCTGATCCGTCAACGAAATCGTATTGCATCATCCTTTCCAAGGCTTACTGATCTAGAAGGCAAGAAATTTTTCATTCTTCATTTTCGTTCTCAGTCATAACTTAATGATAACGATGATGAAGTGATCAACTCTTCGTTCGCTTCTTCTTCTTCTTCTTCTTTTCGAATTTTTAATTATATGAACTATGGTCAACATATCTCTCTGTATTCTCCACCCATTTGCAATGATGCACATGCTCTCATAAAGCGCATTTTATGTTGATCATGAGTGTCATGTGTTTTAGCGATGTGAGATATACACATCATGTATCTATATGCATCACACCCGTATGTTTTCAAGGATAGTAGGATAATGTGTACAAATAAACGATTGAGATCTTCCTTTCGTTTTCTTTTTCGCTAGTAATGGTTCACTTCAACTTTAGTTAATTATTCGTGTCGATAGACTCTGTCGCAACAGTCGAATAAACAAAACAAACTAAAGTTCAGCTCTTTTTTTGTCTAGATCGAAAGGAGTTCGAGGTCAATATGATTTTCGTCGTGCGCATATCCAGATTCTCATGAGGTTATCTCATACCTGTGTGGATGTCGGTCATCGAGGTTGCACTGATATTCTCTCTTTGGTTTGCTTTTTTCGAATACGACGAGATGAAGAATATTTTTTAGGATAATGCGATTCGTTCTCTCTGGCCAGCCAGCTCATTAACTTGAAACAAGATCAACACAGTCCACCAACGAATCACTCAAATCGAGACAGACACAGACTAGTTTCCTTTTCTCTCTCTCTCTCGAAGACTAAATCAGACATATGAGACATCGTATTCTTACCTTCGTTCTCCTTCTTCCTCTCTCTCGCTCTCTTCTGTTTGATGTTGGCCCAGTTTCCAACCCGCCACTGCCGAATGCAAGAGTGAGAGGGAGAGAGGGAAAAAGATTTTCGCGCACGCAGAAGAAAAACAAGATTGGTTGAGATGCCACACACAGAAGCCAATCAGTGAATTTTGCACATCACACACAAAGACGAAAAAAACTAAATGTTTCAGTTGCACAGTGAAGAAAAAGTGCAAATATTAACTTTCTTTTTTCGACTCGATATTTGTCTTCATTGCTATTAGCGTGTCAAACTAACTTCTCTTTCAATAGCTTTTTATTTGCACCGATTGTTTTCCTCATAAAAGGAAGTTGCCAACATTATCGAGTCAATTAAATTGTCACCTCAATTTTCGTAGACCAATCAAAGTTCTATGATCAATCCTTTCACTACTAGTTCAGTCTTTTTGTTTTCATGATCGCTCGCATCAATTGAAATGAAATGATACATGTGTACAGATTCGAATGTTGTGTTAAGTGACACCTTAGTGTCAGAACTGAAAGAGCAAACAGCAAAGATTATCATTTATGGTTAGGGAATAGACGCAATACCGGACACGAGTACATCAGACGATTGTCTCTTACTTTCACTCTCTTGAGTTCGATCAATAGATTTGATAAGCTTAACAGGCAACAACATTTTCGATGAAGTGATTTTGTTAAAAAACAAACCGACACTTTTTTCAAATGTCATTTAGATAAATATCATTCACTTGTGTTCTTGTCCCTTTTTTTATTGACTTATGACATCAGAAGCTCAGAAAAACTCGTCCATGAACTTACCGTACAGATCTGTGTATTCATCATTGATAACCTACATTTTCCATTTATCCCTAATGGATTCAAAATGATATCAGGGTAGATGGATTTATCAAAGGAAAAGAGAGAGAGCACATTCGTTGATTAATTATTGTCATGTTCATTCTCTTGTTTCTTTTTTCACAGATGAACAAAAAGAAAACCAGATATGATCATCAAGGAACACTCAATGCGATACTTAAATCATTTATAAACAATGCATCGATCATTTCTATGCGCCAAAGACATTCCGAATGTCAGTTTAATCTGAAGGAAATTCAAATAAAAAAGATCTATCGATTGAGTTCTATCGAAGAAGAAGAAATAGATATTGGACAATAATGAAAAGCATCTGAAATGGTTTTGGCGATAACCGTAGGATAGATTAGATCTTCTGTTGTTTTTTATTGACAAACTTGTTATCCGATCACCTTCATGGCATTGTTGTTTATCAATTCAATGAATAGAAGACAATTGCACAAACAATGCACCGGTACACACTGTTCACGGCCTTGTATACAATTTTTGTGCTTATTATTAACACAAGTCATCAATGGATGATGCGTAGGCAATGATGATTATCATTCATCATTAACTTTTATCCTAGTCATCAATTATCATATTAAGAAAAAACGACATAAAAGAAAAACACACTATTGATACACGCAAACCACAGACGGAAATATGTTGGAAAAAGTGCGATCTTAGACAGAACGAGTTTGAAATAGCTATCAACATCAATCGATGACTACCTAACGACAAAATCACTTTTTCAATCGAAGAGACGCTTTGCAATCGATAGAAAATTTATTAATCATACATATCATTTCCTTTTGATTCGTATCGTAAAAAAATCTGAATGTAATCCTCTTGCTGTGTTTAGCAAGGTTTTTCTGTGGCTATTGATTAAGATATAAAACACATGGTTTTGTGTTTTTTCGATTTGCATGATCGGCTTGTCATCTGTTTTGTCAGCGGTAACAAGCTTGGCCTATGTAAGCACAATCGATCGAATACTTTATTAGAATAAATAAAGAATGAGAAAACGAACGAAAATATACGTACAGTGGCTATTAACGTCGGTCGAAGTCCGATAAGAATCGACGCCTATCAATCATTTTCATACTAACATCTATCAATACATTTTAAGGACGAAAGAAATCTGGTTAGTTTCCCTCGATGGAATTACGTCGATGATAGAAGGTTATAGAATTGTTTAAAAATGATTTTTGACATATCATCTCGTGTAAATTGTAATTATACGCGACATTTGTATTATTCATTGAAGCGTAAATAAATGTAGAGAGAAAGAAGAAGAAGAAGAAGAAGAAATGTACAGTCCAGCCGCTTTGATTTCATTCAAAAATCTATGATTTCTCGTCAACATCACCAAGCTTAGTTGCAAAATGTTCATTCTCTGCTTGATTTAGATACTGTAATGAATCGATTACTTGAGGATCTGTGGTTCGGAAACCCAATGCGACGCTTTGTACCACCACCGCCACCACCAATCTTTTTTCACGGCCGTCACACACCTTTCCATCCATTTTTTGATTATATTCATCCAGTATTCGATCGATTAGTAAGAGGTGAAAGCACAAACTTTGAAACAATTGACATTTTTCTTTCAGTCACCGGCATTTTCCGATGATAATCCTCATGATTATTATAACTTACATGTTCGTCGACCACCGTCATGTATGCCGGATCCATTTCTGAGATCGGCGAAGACACTGAAACCATTCAATCGCGAATATGTTACCTCGACTTGTTTAGGTAAAGGTGGTTTCGGACAAGTCTATGATGGCCGACGACGACTAGACAATGTACCAGTTGTCATGAAATTTCTTCCCAAAGATCGTATACTCAATTGGGGAGTGTTCGAAGATGTAAATGATCACATAACTCACATAGAAATTCTTATGGAAAAACTTTTCTTTGCTCTGCTAGAAACGCGTCCCATATGAGATCGAACTTCTCTGGCGCCTTCGTGGTTTATCTGGTGTTATTCGCATCTTCGAACATTTCGAAGAACCCGAACGCTTTATATTCATCATGGAAAAGATTCCCAACTCATGCACACTGTTTCACTTTGTGATGGAGAGTACGCCCTTAGCTAATACAGAATTGTTACGACATATCTTTCGTGAAATGATTCGAATTAACATCGCACTACGTACCTATGGCATCTGGCATCGAGATTGTAAACTTGAAAATATTCTCTATTGTAAAAATGATCGTTCACTATGCTTTATCGACTTTGGTTCAGCAGCTCCAGCGCAAACAGAAGACTTCTATGAATTCCAGGTTCGTTCAAGCTTCTTTCCGAGTCTTTTCGAATGTTTCTTCTTCAGGGAACATTAGAAACGATGGTACCAGAATGGATTACGCAGAAACGATACGACGGTGAACGTTCGTGCGTGTGGGCATTGGGAATTTGTCTGTATTTCTTGTTATTTCAACAATATCCATTTCGGTCGAAAGTTGCAATTATCAATGGTCGATCTCAACTTCCATTTCTAAGTTCGAGTGATAAAGATGCATATCATACGATGAAACAATGTTTACATCCGAATGAACATCGCCGTCCGAAACTGGATACACTACAAAGTTTACCTTGGCTTGATTAAAACCAACCGAATCGATTTGAATGATAATGAAGGAGAGAAAGCAAAAATTCATTTGTAAGACGTAGTGAACTGTCAAATAAAATCATTTGTTCTCCATTTTACTTTGTTGTTGCTTCTATCTATTCATATATGACTATGTACAATCAAAGCAAAAAATCGTGTTCATTGTTTGAATACGCGAGTAGAGTTAACGAAGATGAGCATCGTTCATGCGAATAAAATAGAAAACCGACGAGTACATCAAATGTCCTTCACAGTTTGTTTAGCAGTGTTCGAGTATGTATCTTTATTCTTTAATTTCGTTTTCAATCAATGCAGAAAAAGAATGTTGGTGAACGAAACAAACTAAACAAGTGTGCCAGTACAACCAGCACCAGAACAGTCGCCTGTTGGATATGTATCGGGAATTATTTGTGTTTCCGTGGTTAATTCCAATGCAGTACCGTCTGGACCGGGGAAGTCGGCTTGAATAAAGAAAGCTTCCCAACCATTCATTGGGTTTGCGATTGTTAGAGAATAAACAACAGTTGTTGAAGTTTGGGTCTAGATTAGTTTAGCAAGAAATGAATATGCTTTATTCTTTTATCAAGATTGAAGGGCTTTTACTTCGATGACAACGTTGTTTTTGAGCCAAATAACTGGATTAGCCATGGCTTTGCCTGGATGGTTTGGATCGCCGATAACAAGACGAAAATCACGCCTGAAAAATATACGAGCTAATTTGATGGTTTTCCTTTTAGAAATGTGTACAAACCGTTTGTCATTGAGGGTTCGAGCATGATAACCGTACACGTTGATTGGTTTAGGACCAACACTGAAGTCAACTGTAGCACGAATGTAACCATGGGTATTGTTTGATGTCTTGATCCATTTGAATGATGGTAATGGTCGATTCTTTGATCGATAGAGAAATATTAATAAAATTTACCGGAATAAATCAAGTATATAAACTTACATCGTAGATACTTAGATAGAAACTTCGCATTGTGAAGAATAAGCTAATTTCATGACCAGCACATGAATGTTCAGCATTGGGTAGTCGTCTGCGAATTACAGAATAGATTTTTTTCACGAGTCAAGTCAAATCAATGATGAACACACACCTCAAATACGAGCCACCAGTAGCGACTTGTAAATCAGTCCAGAATGCATCCTAGATCGAATAAAATACTACGAAGATTACGTGAAGAATTCATTCTACTTCATTGTCAGGAAGGAAAAATTCATCGCCGCCTGTTTGGATCTGCAAGATTTTCATTCGTCTGTATCGTTCAAAATAACCTATAACAACAAAAACGATATGTAACTATCATATCCAGGAAGAATTGTACTCACTGTATGGATCGACAATTTGTCCCATTTTACCTAAATTTGGATGATCAACATATTGGGTGATATTTAGTTCGTAGTAATCATTGAATGCGAAAGTCCATCCAGCCAGAGACTATCAAACGATCCGTCGAATATATCAATGAAGACAAAATGACTTTACTCGAAAATGATGATGCATATTCTAAAACACAAACAATTGTACGGAAAATATCACGTTGGCGGGTAACGTACTCGTTGAAGGTTGAGAATATCCATAACAATGGGTACTGCGCCAATAACACGTTCGTTATCGACTGCAGCCGCTGTCCATGCTGAATGATTTTATGTAAGGAGAAATCGACATGATCAACCGGTACGACTTACTTGTCCATCCGCGCTAAAAGTGAAAATGATATTAAATATAATCAGTAAAACTGTTGACAAAAACATACTTTCGAAGCACCACCGATGACAAATGTTTTTGGTACAGTGATACCTAGTTGTTTTGCAAAGTCTTGTACCGCATCCATAGCTCGAACTGTAGCCTAAAAACAGGAAAAGAGAGAGATTTTTCCTCACGAGAAACACCATCTTTCATACTTTGGTCATTGGCATACGAAGAAGAATGTATGGATTGCTTGGATCTTCAATAAATGCTTTCCATGTCCAAGCAATTAGCGCATCTTCACTACGACTTCTATTCGATGGATCAGCCTAGAATAAACCATTCAATCATGTTCTGAAAACTTCAGAAGTCAAAATTCGATATTAACTTTGAATCGGAATGATTGATTAGGTATATCTTGTAAATGAACACCGAGACTGCCAGAACTAATTGCAAACATTGAAGTCAATGCAAGCATATTATCTTGAGGCTTTGGAATTCTAAAATTGCAGTAAGACAATCTTTGATTTCGACGAAAACAATCATTACCCATCCGTATTATGACCTCCATCGATGATCATAAATGCACTGTTGGGTCGTGTAAGTTTATTCGGAACTGTAATACATAGATAATGCCACCATATTGGATGATCAGTAAAACTTTCTATTGATGATATCCATGAGAAGAATGAAGCTAAAAATAAACAAGAACTTACCGTTTAACCATTTCTGTGATGTAAAATTCAGAATGTATAGCTTATAATCTGGTTCCTGGTACGTCCGGATAGTAAGCCATCCGTAATGCGGATCTGGTGCACGAACATAGTCATCCAATGGAGTAGATGAGCTTCTTTCGATACACAATAGACCAATGATAATCAAACTGAGAAAGCCAACAGTAGACTCCATATGCTGCGTCCTTGGCTAGAGACTTCTATACCTTTAATAGGAAAGGGCGTGCAAAGCTGCTTTCACATCATTCTTATAAACAACCACTTTTTCTCTATTGACTTTTCTCTGATAAGGTTTCGTTTTCCAACGGAAAAGATATGAAGCAACACATCAGTCTTTATCTATGTTCTTAAGTGTCAGGAAAAATTGCAAAACACAGTTTGGAGTGAGGCATCTATGTTTGAATAGTGATCTACATTTCGCAGTATGTAGTTCACAAAAATCTCAGCAAAGAATTTCTTTTTAGTAGAGTATTTCTATATTTATTATTCCCAGAATGAAAAAAGAAACGTTATTGATAAGTGTTTTTCTCGAAATTGAAATTATACAGGTGAAAAACGACGAATAAAACAGAAAAGTCTAACTCTTATAATAGATGTTGTGAATACTAAAAAAGCGGATGTACGAAACGAGAATACATTGTATTTAATTGAGTGATCACCGGTTCAGCAATGGAATTCCATTAGGATTTGTCAGATTTCTCTTTGGCAATCGCAGCTGTTGTAGTCTTCGATCCAACAGCGTTCTGTTCATTCTTGCTGTTCGGACTGTGCATTGTTGTTAAAGGATTCATCATTGCTTGCATAGCTTGTAGAACTTTCGCTGCTGCTTCTGGATCGGTTGGTAACGAGAATGGCGATTGTCCTTGCTGTTGCAGTAGAGGCGAAAGGCAAGCAGCTTGTGTTGCCAAATAATACGACCAGGCTAATAAAAATCGATAGTCTGGTGGCGGAAGTGGTTGAGATGTATTTGGTGTTGGCGTTGGTGATCGAGATTTGGATGGTGGGACAGAGATGAATGAAGTCGGTGAAGGTGAAGTGTCATGTTGAGCAGTATGCTCTGCTGACTGGTCGAATTTATTCTGTTGTCTATCACTTGTTTTGTTATTACGAGAGGAAACTTTCACACGACGAGTGTCCACAACTTTAAATTGATTTTTTTCTTCTTCTTTTTTCGCTCGATTCACATAAAATTGTGTTATATCCGCTTTATTTTGTATAAAATTACGTGGCATGCCAGGATGTTTGTATTTTATATGATAAGTAGCTGCATAGCGCGTATGAATCTCTTCGCCGCAATAACCACACCTAAAGTCAAATAAATTCCATCATCTCTATTCTACAAACATTCATATTTCTTCTCCAAGTATATAGCTCAACTGATATTCACATCAACCTGCTATTTCTATACTGTGGTCGAATGAGTTTAACTTCAAACATGTCTATCAGAGCAATCGATGGCACCGGATATTTGTGTTTATTTAAAGTATGGAATAAGACGAGAGTTAATCGACTGAAGAAAAGATCAAAGTCAATAAGACATACTTGTACGGTCTTTCATTTGTGTGTACGAAGACGTGATCTTCCATACTTGGCCGATGATTTGTCGTATAAGTACATAATTGACACGCATATCTGTATGAGAAGAAAAAAGTGATGATCAGGAGACTATGTTCATCTTACTGTTTATCTGGTTCGTAGAGTGATCCATAGAATTGTTTTGGACGATTATAAACAAGAAGATATTCACCATCATCTAGAAGAAACAAATCACGAATAGTCAAGAAATCTTTGCAGCTCAGAAAAGAAATCAACCTTCGGAATCAGATCCTTTAGTATCGACGAGTGAAGGTGAATCGATGAGAGGAGTTGATGGTGGTGTGCATTTAAATTTCAATGCTGGAGATATTTCATTTTCTTGTTTTTGTTCATTGTCATCATCTGTTCCATCTGTGACTGGTAATAGCATGGATTCCAGATTGTCAGTGTCGTACAGTTCATCACTTGCAATGGGTGACAGATCATTTCCGTAATTCATAATTGTATTCATTGGAATAGCAACACCATTGATCGGTTGAATTTCATTGTCAGGCTGAGTTGAATGACGTGCGCGTTTCATTTTTGGTTCTTGACTTGTTGTTGGTAAACTTGGTATTTCTGAACTGTTCAAATCTCGGTAGAAATCTTGTTCACGTACACGATTTTCGTGTATTTTCACTTCCATGTTCGGATGACAAAGTTCAATATGAACCATAATTGTCGATTTTGTCGTCGATTTATGGCCACAATAAGCACACGAATATGGAGTTAGATCAGTATGACGATAGATATGATTTTGCATTAATGATGTCGATGGTGCTTTATACTCACAATGTTTACATTGGAAACGTAACGGTCGTTTATTTGTCTGTTGAACTCTAGATGTTGGATTCGTCGCAGGTAGGTCTAAAGCTCGTTTCCCAATCGGCACTGTCAATTTCGGAGAAACCATCGAGGAAGACGAACAAGACGATGCTGTCGACGATGGTGGAGAAAGTAATACAGGTAATCTTTTTCTAACACTTAAATCAAGTACACCATTATTGATATTATCATCATCGGTCAGAACTTGAGTTATCATGATGATCTAGAGTACGTCTTATTTATGTTAGTAATGCCTATCAAATGTAAAATCGAAAAGTAAAACAAGTTCGTTCTATTACCTTAATCGTTTTCTCTCTACAAACGAAATTTACTACTTCTGCTATGATATACACGATCATATATTTTATTATGTTCGTACGTGTGTTTTGTTTACTTAGTTTAGCACGCACGAGCTATGCTGCTGTCGTCTTCGTCATCTCTCTCTCTCTCCCTCTCTCGTTTTCTTGTCAGTATGTCTAATTAAGAGACTCTGGCTAGTTTATATCAATATATCAATATGTACATGTTTACTTGTTTTATTTTCAAATTACAAATGCTTTTCAGCGATAAAGAAAAGAAAGAGAGAGAGAGAGAGAGTACGTTTTTTCTTTCGAATCGCTCATGCTAATAGACCAATCTGTCAATGTTTGTAGAAGTAAATATTGAACAATCGCTATTAAACATCATCTAACAAAATTCTTCCTTTGAATTAGATGACAAGAAACGCTCGGTAAACAAACTGTGGAATATGCTCAATTGTCAAGAAAATGAGACCGACGAAAGAAACGGTTTCGTTTCATTTTTTCCTCTCGCTTCAAATCATTTACCTTTATCAATTGTTTGCTGATCGAATATAACTATCGTCAAACGTTATTGTCGTTTTTCTTGCTCGGTATTATTGTCACTTCAATCGAATATACACAGAAACGAATGATATCTCCCTTTCTCTCTTTTAGTTTTTCTTCTTAACCAATTCAACGAGATTTTTTTCTTGATATATCCACTTTTTTTTTTCTCTTCCCTCTGTTTGATAAAGCTCTGTGTAAATTGTTCTCTTCCTCTCTATATGCTGCTCTGATGCTGTTTGAAAAAGGCAGATGGCGTCTCTCCTGTATATAATATGTGCGTGTGTTTACTCCTTCTTTCTCGTTCGTCATTTAAATATTTTGAGTTAAGAATGCGAATGATGAAGAGAAGTATAATCCGTTGATGACGACTATGATCAAATTTCGAATGTGTAAGAGCGCACGCGCATATGCCGTAAATCCTCGCTTTCTGTTTATTTTTATCAAAAGTTTGTTGCGCCAATAATTACTTTCTCTCGAAGAACGAAACTTAACGTGGCTGGGTTATTTGAGAACTTGTCATCCGTTGCTTGCGCGCACACAACGCATGATAAGCGAACTACGATTTAACAGACTTGATAAGACGCAGAGGAGAGCAAACGAGGTTTTTATGTGATCGTAAAATAAATAATTCTGAAAGACAACCGTAGGCTTACTTTTCATTCAACTCATTACAACATATCGATTTTAAAATGCAAGTAAATGAATGACGTGTGTATACATTGACATTATATTAAAGATTTGTGCTTGCTCTTTTCTTCTTCGTCCCCTTTTTTTGTAAAGATACAAAATCAAACAAATCATTCATTCTTTTCAACACAAAAAAAAACGAAGAAGAGGAAGATGAAATCGAATAACGATGTCATGGGCGGTTGACATAGTGAAATAGCCTCTCTGTTTTGCATATGATTACTGCTGATGAATAGTGCAATGTCGCGTCTTTTCGAATGAACAAAACAAGCTAATTGGCATAGAGCGCTAATTTCTATTTAATATTATTTGTATTCCGATGAATTCGCTAGTAAATTATATTCGATCAACATCGCTGCGAAATCGGATCTTTTTTGGCCTGTCGATTTGTTGTCCAATCGCATTTATTTTCAAATACTACTTTTCGGAGAATCCAACCTTGATATTTTGTACAGCGATTGTCGCCATTGTTCCATTGGCGGCGTTCGCCACTGAAGCAACGGAAAGTGTTGCACAATACTGTGGCAATTTTTTCGGAGGATTTTTAAACTCCGGCTTGGGAAATGTCGCTGAGTTGATATTTACGGTCGTTGCATTGAGAAAAGGCTTAATTAACGTTGTCAAAGCATCGATCCTAGGAGCGGTTACAAGCAATGTTTGCGTAGGAGTTGGACTGGGTATGTCAGAAAAGATTATTTCACAATTAGAACGATAATTATCGACGTTTAGCTTTATTCTTCGGCGGTTTACGCTATAAGGAGCAAACATTCGGTGAAAAATTAGCTGGCATCAATGCCGCATCATTAATCTGTCTAACCATTGTTATTCTGTGTAATGCAAACAAACGAGGAAGATGAATTTTGATGTTCACACTTTGTTCAATTAGGTCCGTCAGCATTGAAAATTTCCTTAGGATCGAATGTAATGACTTCGACTACAATGAGTCGATTCTCTTATGTCAGTGCGTTGATACTCTTTCTACTCGGCATCGTCAATATTGTCTTTGCTTGGAAAACGCACTCGTATTTGTACATTGCGGATATCAAACGGCAAAGTGACACAAAACGTCGCGTTCACACCGCTTTATCAATGATGGCTCTTGATCGTTCACCATCAATTTTAAATAGTCCAATCGATCATGAACCCATCATAGAAATCGATTCGAAAAAGCCTATCCAAATCTATCTACTCATCAAAGAGTAAATCCTATTCTATTGATTCCCTTCTCTCGTTGTATGAATATCTTTGTTTTGTAGCATCAGTTCATTGATTATTACTACAACTTTGATTGTCTGTTTATGTCAATTTATCGTCGATAGTCTGGAAGGAGCTATTGCACAGTTACATATTAGTTCGAGTTTCACAGCTGCAATTATTCTTCCATTAGTCAGTGCAATTATCGAGTTTGTTACTTGTATCTCTTGTGCGTTGAAAAATAAGATTGAACTTAGTATGTCACAGAACGTGAGATGTCAATTTCATGTTTTTCTCATTTTACTTTTGAAAAAAACTAAAGCTATAGCAGTGACACAAAATTCGACATCACAGATTCTATGCTTCATTGCTCCAATTACATTAGCGGCAAGTAATTTCATATTCTATGAAAAACCAAATGGTGAACCGAACGTTATTCTCGATTTTGATTTCAAACCTTATGATCTCATCAGCACGGTATTTTCCGTAGCCATTTGTAAGCCAAGGGCAGTATAGAATTACATTATTTATTGCGCATTTCGATGTTTTTCTTCGATTAGGTAACAGCGTGCTGAATGGTAATTCTAATTGGATGCAAGGAATTCAATTATTACTAGCTTATGGAACAATTGCAACTGGATTTTTCTATATGCCTTTTTGAGATTCAGCAAGACGAAGTAGCTTTTGTTGGAATTTAAACGAATAAACTAGTCGATCCCAAACACCTACTTTAGGTGGTAAAAGTTCAAGATGTGATAGGCGTCTTGGTGATGAATGTGGTACTACTGGTAATCTTTTGCCTTCGGGTCTGTCCCAAAAAGGTAAATCATCGTCGAAGAACTCTTTGGCTTCTTGATTGAGATCGACAAACGTCGTTGGATCGAAGCGTTTGTCGAGAAGTTGATCGCTTTCGTCTTTGATATTCTTGCTGGTTTCTTTTCGCAAACGATCAGGACAGTATGCTGGTCGGTGCGGGATGAATGGTGCAGAGATTAACTCACGCTTGGCATTTTTATCAATGTATTCCTAAAATAGTAACAAAAGTATTCTTTGACGTGAATCGATTCTTTATGATAACAAGTATTACGATCGGTCGTAGTTTTGTTCGATAATCATCAATTTGTGCTTTGACATCCGGATCGATTCGTTTCATTTTTGCAACAATTTGACTGATACTAGGTCGGTTATGATCGTTCGTAGAATGTATACGATCATATTCAGCGATTTGTTGGCGAACTTCATGTAAAGCTTGCTCTAAATGATTTCGATAATTCTGAACGAAGAGCGATGGTAACTCTTTATGTGATTTGAATGTTTCACTGCCATATAAATCACGTTTGAGCTTTTTTAAATCGTGTCGAATCCTTAGTAAACTACGTTGAGTTCGATAACGAAATTTCCTATGCTGAAATGGTTGATGTTGTATCAAAAGATTGTCGAATGGAAAGTTTTTCTTCAGACGAAGTAAAGCATTGTTATCTGGCACGATAATATCAGTGTACGCATAAGGCGATTCTCTTAATGCACAGGTTAAAAGATTGGGAGGTTGCAACATTTGTGCCATTCGTATCAACTGAAGTTTTCCACGTTGACGTTCAGCAAACGATAGATGAGGCTTACTCAAAATTTGTTCTGATGAACACGATGTTGGATTATTTGTAATATGTGTAGGAGCTTCATCCAAATCGGTGATGATGTCTTCCATATCACGGTGTATGGAGACTATTGTTTTAGCTAAAACTTCGTTCCAGTCATGGGTACTTGTATTGGTTGTGTCGCTGTGTACTCGGTGAAACTTTTTATGAAATGCTGCACGTATTTTATCACGTTTTCGCACAGATGGCTGCGGAAGTTCGTTGATGCAATCAGTTGACTCACTCGGGACGGCAACAGCGAAAAATTCTGCTTCGTCATTTTCGATACTGACCTGAATTTCAATCGACAGTGGAACGGACGAAGAAAAGTGGACATGTCTGGATGCTGGTGTTGAAGCACGATCTGTTGAATTCGAATTTTCGTCACTCTCGTAATCTGATGACACTGACGAAATGTTGGACGTCGTTGATTCCGATTCTGTTGACACTTGCCTATTGCGTACACGTAACTGAGGTGTAAAGTATTGTTCATCAGTTAAACTTCTCGGAGAATTTATTGGTGTTGGAAGTTTTCGAGAGATAACAGGAGTAATTGGCTCTAGAACTAAGTCCATGCTATTCGTTGCCAACAAATAGAAACAGGCAATTTTTTAGATGCGACAGATATGTCCGCGTGTATTTTATACTTCTACGCTTCAGTTGTTTCAGTTTTGTCTCTTTCTTTATTTTCACACATTGTATGAAGGCAAATATAAATAATACACGTGAAAAATGATATCTGATGATCTACTGTTTCATGCAGACGGGTGACGTCGTAATAATAAACCTACACTGTTTCTTTCGATAAATCGCCAGTAAATTACTGTATCCTTAATAAATTTTTTCTTTAGGGTTACAAAAACATTTTAATTCAGTAATCAAATTTCATTTGTCAAAGTTCCTTGTCCTTGATTTTATGCTTTGATTCATTGTGTAATATTTATACAGTTCTCAGTAATTACTAACAAACGTGTCATTTCCTTGACGTCATTAGTCCTATTGAATCATCTGTTCGACATAACATAGATTCTACTGCTGATTCATCTCGTTACACTTATTGATATTCACGTTTCTTATAACTACAAAAAAATCAAATGTGGAAGAAATATTCTACCGACGTAATACATTGTATAAATAAATAGTCCTCCAAGGGCAATTAGTTTTATCGATCAATCAAACATACCTTCTTCTTTCGATACGAAATATGAATCAGTGCTTAGATTTTAATTCCAATCATACATAGCGATTGAAGAGAAGAAATGCCTTCTGAGCACGAGACAATCTCCAAACTCTCTTAGAGCAATTCAGCATCATCGGTCTGACGGGTAGCGTCTTATAGAAATATTAGACACGAATCACAAACGGTTCAGTTGATGGCAGCAATTCGGTCAATTTCTGTAGCATTCTTTGAAGTTTATTTCAACAAAAAACAAAGTATGACCAGCTATTAAACATTCCGTTTCATGTCTCTTCACTTTATTGTTATTTAAAATCCGACACACATATGCAATCAAATAATAAATATATGTATACACATTTCTATCAATATATTCTTGTGTCTGTGACTTTCTTTCACTTGCTTCACACACACTTAACAACATTGAGAAGAACAGCAAAACAAAGAGGAAGAGAGAAAAACGAATATGGGAAAACAACGATAAAAATAAAATTGTTGCCGCAGTGACTGCGTGCATACGCACAAAACGAAATAAAAACAAAAACAAAGAGAAAAAAAACCGTTCATATGTATATATTTAGATTGTGCATGTAGTCAGCAATAATAATAAGAAGAAAAAACAAATATAAGTTATATAGTTACGTTTTTCTTTTGTTTTCTCATATCAGAATAATAACCAATAGCCAATGGCCAAACCAACAACATTTAACAGTGCGAAGAACAACAGATAAAACAGAAAAAGGTCAACCCGTACATAGGGAGAAAAACGACTATATATATGTATAGAGATATAGATATAGAAATGGCTTTCTTTTGGTTGAAAATGATCTCACTGTTATTGTTTTATTCCGGGAGACGAAGAAATTGTCTTATCAACTGATAGGATCGAATCATTATTATACTTCGAATAGATAACATTGGCAAAAATGGCGATGAAGATTGCTAAGAGTGCGAATCCAACAGAGATAACGAATGCCCATTGTTGATCAGTCAACTTTCGACTTTCGAATAATTTCATAGATTTCAATTTTCGATGAATATCACAACGAATACGATTCATCAATGATACACGTTGCTCATTGACATTCGCATTTACCGACCGATTCTCCAATGTCTTCGAGACTGTTAATGCCGCCGCTAAGTCTTCAGGTCGCGGTAAAACAAAATGTGTTGCTGGACTGAACGAACTATTCAATGCGATACCTTCGTTGGTCGTACGAATAGCACATATACGTGCGCGATAGTCAACACCGGATTCTAAATTAATGGCACGATGGGACGTTGATTCACCATGATAGATTTCTCTGTAATCAGCTTCTTTGCGATATATTTGCAGCTGTAATACATAACTGATTGTGTCTTTACCGAGTGGTTTATGGGCTTGCCAATTAAATACACATGAGGTAGATGTAATTTCGGTGATATTCGGTGCTGAAAGTAGGACGAAATGATTGCATTGGTGAGTTTCGCTAAGGATTGTAGTTACCTTTTAAAGCATTGGGTGGCGCTTTTGTTGTGGAGAATGTGTAGATCTCTGACCAGGGGCCAGCAGCTGTATCGTTTTTCGCACATATACGAAAATGATACGATGTATTCTCTTGCAATTTGCTGATTTTATGCGATGATGTATTTCCCGTATAGATTGAATAAAAACTAAATGAGACACACATCTATTTCGTGAAGATAAGAGCATTTTGTGTCACTCACGTTCCATCTTTAGCTTCCATCTCAATCGAATAACTTATGATACGTATCGATGGGACTTGTTCACTGCTATTCGTCGTTGTCGGTGTCGTATGTTTAATCGGATTCCATTTCAATTTCAGAGAATTGTGTGTTGCTACAGCACACTCGAGTTGAGGAGCATCCGGTGGTAAACATTTCGTTTGACATTTAACCGTCGAAGAATATGGACCTTGTCCAATAGGGTTCACAGCACGTATGCGAATTCTAGAAAAGTCGATTTCTCAGACATCCCATTACTCATGAATCTTACCTGTAAGATGTATCAGGTAATACTTCGTCAATAGTGTATTCAGTCAGTTCTGGAGGAACAAAGATTAACTCCTTCTCACCAATGTCAATATAGTAACCCGTGATTGGCAAGCCATTATTCGATGGTTCTTTCCAATTAACCGTCATTGATGTTGATTTCGGATTTACTTTCACAGATGTAACAATAGATGGTGGAGTGGCTGGTGTGACATATGATACTATTATACTGTATGGACTGGGGCCAGCTGCGTTTACCGCCTAAATCAAAAGAGATTTATTGCAATAATTGAAATTCCAAAAATAGCATTTCAATATACTTGTACTCGGAAAAAATATTGTGTAACCGGAATAAGACCTTTCGCTTCATATGAACAACTCGTACCACAATAGATTTGCGTGAACAAATCATTTTCTTTTCGAGACGATTCTAGACGATATTCTGTTATCGCTGCACCATTATGTGCACCTTCTTCCCAACTAAGGTAGACACTATTCGCCGTCCGACATTCAACTGCAAGGTTTCGTGGGACTTCAGGTGTACCGGGACCAGAAAGAACTTCAAGGTATTCTGACCATGGACCAGCCTATGAACATGAAAATTTCTAGTAATTCTATGGAACAGTGTCAGATGACGTACTCCTGCTCGATTGGACGCTCGAACTTGAAATAGATATGGACGACCGGGTAATAAACCAGCAACAGCACACTCAAGGTTTCGTCCACGATACACAATACGTGATGAATTATCAGGATTAATGACTTGAACTTCAAATTCTATGACACTTGAACCGCCATCATAATCAGGATAAGCTGAAACGAAACGGAAAGCAAACTAGTTATATGTACATCTGAGGTCATAGGCGCACACGTGTCTAATACTTTGAACGTGTTTAAAGACTGATTTAGCAGATACTGAAATATTTTCTTTAGGACGTTTTTCTAGCCTTGTAGAAGACTATTCATTTTGCACTGTCAAGAGAAACTCGAGGAAAAAACAATCATATGTGTCATACCCCAACGAAGATGCAAAGAATTTGCTTTCGGTTTTCCTGAAATCTTTGGTGGATGACACGAAGCAGGTGCGACAGCAAGCGTTTTTATTTGTGTAATGTCCGATGGATGACTATGACCACCGATACTCGAACAGGATAGACGCAATGAATACAAATGACCAGGTATTAACTGTTCAAGTAAATATTCAGTGTCTAAACCAGTATAGATCACATGAAAACCTAAAAAAATAGAAGTACAATGGAATGAGCAAAGGTATGAATGTAAATATACCTTTTGACTCTTCCACTTCCAACTGGTACTGTTGAATCTCAGCTCCGCCATTCTCTCTTGGTGGATCTAGAATAAAACATCCAATATATATGAGAAGCAAGAAGGACCCTCAAGCCATTTTTCTTACCCCAAGCGATACGACATTGTGTGGCTTGAATGTGTCCTTTTATTCGAGGTTTCGCAGGTGGATCAGGTCGATCAGGCAATGTCTTATAAGTAGCAACTTGAGAATAGTTACTCTGTCCTTCTTGATTATGTGCTGCCAACTAGAATAAATTAATTGCATCGTACAAAAAAACGAGGAATTAAAACATGTATAACTTACTCGAAACTTATATTCAGTATTTCGATATAAATCCGTCACAGTATACGATAGTGATGGTCCAGTATATTTATTACGAAAATAATTTGATTCATCATTCATTTGCAATGTAAATGTTTCATCAGTGGGGCGACTTGTCCAAGATAGAGTTATATGTTTCACGCCTTTTTCCAATAACATTGGAGGATCAGGTTCAGAAGGTATTGTGCCTATGGTACTGAATCGAACTGTTTCACTAGATTCGCTGAAACGAGAAAGCAACGAGGTTGAACTGCGTCTGTTTGCAATGCGGTTATTCTCACCTTCGTCCAATACTGTTCTCAGCAGATAAACGAAATACATAGAACGTAGCTGGGGTTAATTTACTCAACAAAAATTGTTTCTTTATGCCACGATAAATCTCCACAAATTCTCGTCCTTTGCCCTGAAAGAGAATGAGAGAAGTAACGATGAAAAATCATCGTTCAAGTGACGAAAAAAACCGACCTCATCATATTCAAGAATGTAATTGGTTATTTTCGAACCATTATCAGCTGTTGCTGTCCATTTTAATGTTAACGAATTTTTTAGCCGTCCGCCCAATAGTTTCGGCGGACTAGGTCGATCAGGTTCACATTGCTCCGTTGTAAATGGAACAGGATCCGTGTATTCGCCTTTGCATGAATCAATACAAGCACAAACTCTAGAAAATCGAAGTTTTTTGTCAGTAGTAGTGAAAAGATTTCCATGAAAGTTTTTTGTTACTTTAAATGGTATTCTGTCGCAGGTTTAAGATCTTTCAAAGTTATTTCTATGGCATCGCCACTGAAAGAAGAGAACAACAACAACTGATTACTTTAATACACGGTTAGTCTGGCATCTTACCAATAGACTTGCTTATACTTGGCATCTTTGCCTTTATCTGACAGCAACAATTCGTAGTTAAGGTTGGTAAAATCAACGGAATAATCCGATTGAGATGACGTTAACGATGTTTCACGAGGCGGTTGAATTCGGACTAATACACTTCGACTTTCGATATCGTGAACCTATATTGAAGAAACAAATAGAGTTTCATATCTTCGCCGAGAAAATATCGATGGCTTACAGTCGGCGGGGATAGTTTCGATAGGATCTTTTCGATTGTTTGTCGTTCTTTATCGAATTCTGCTGCAGCTGCTAGATCCATAGGTTCATTCGTTGGCTGAGCGATCATATCAGGATAGAACGTCGGATAATGTGCCGGTGGTGGATGATGATGGTGGTGATGGTGATGATGTGGAGACTTGTGTGAACCATCTAGACAAATCGAAAGATGAGCTTTGTCAAGAACATGTAAATGGAAAACCTATGAGAAATTTTATATTCAAACGTATTCGTCGATAACTTTTTATTGGAAAAGACTGATTGACATTTTGTTCGATTAAGAACATAGGTTTCATTCTTTCAGACAAATTAAGATCAAGCGCGATTTTTTCGTCATACTTACTCATATGAATATTATTTACAAAGGAATTTTTATTCGAATGCGGTGGAAGAATACGTCGTTTTGAACCACCATTATTCATAGTTCTTCCACTTGATCCTCCTCCTGTAGTCGTACTACAATGGTTATTATTCGTATTATACACAGGCGAACCATGCTGTTGATTATTAGTTGCGTCAGCTGATGGAGTGTTTATAGATGTACTACCACTAACTTTAGTTGGTGCTGATGTCCCATTACTATCAGCAGCAAGGTGAAGTAGACAATGTGACGCTAGAAAGAAGAGAAATAGTTGTCACTTTCACTGTACAGTCTCAGAAATTCGATCTTTCGTACGATTAGTTGTAGAAGATGGTGAAGATGATGTGTGATTGCCAGGAGAACGTGAAGAGTACGATAATGTATCAGTTGGATAAGATCCGTAAAGATTCGGATTGTGATATTGTGACGGATGACCATAAAGTCCATTATATGGCGATGGAGAATAACCGGTATGCTAAAGAACGGAACGAAAGTAATAGAATCGAGAATTCTTTTTCCAAAATTTAATGTTAATTTACAAGATGATGATGAGGTGGAGGCGGTGGTGGTAATGGTCCAGGTTGCGACATAATAACATGTGTTAAGACACCATTCTCGTCTAAAACTTGTTGAACCATATGTCCAGGTGGTAAATGTAAAGGTAATGGAAAAGCTGGTCCGTTCTCTGAAATCATTCTTACTGTCGCTGGACCTAGAAGAAGTAGAGAATCAAATTAATCCTCGTGTCAATTGATATGGTAAACAGATGCGATAACGAATGAAACAAATTGTCAAATTTTTCTTTCCAATTCCTTTTCCTTTTATCTTTCTCTCTTTCTGTCTCTCTTTTTCTCTGTGCTCAAGGTATATCAGGCTTAATAAAAGGTCACTGATATTATACCGGATAAAAGAGAAAAAAAAACAGCAGCTGTTTGTCACGACTGGTCGGATCGTGGGCGAATGACTGAATCGATGGGTGGTATGATGACGTCAGTTAAAGACAACAATTCTACCACCGATTATCTCTATCCAGTCACTGTTACTCGAGAAAAAAAGAACGATTAGTAAATATAACCATGAATGCAGTTTTGCTATTCTTTTTTATCTTTCTATATCCAAAGAACATGACTGGTTATACTTATACTAGTCTTGCGGCTGGACCTGTGTGTAATCTGCATCAATCATAATCATGCATTACTGTACTGTGCGCTTTACTCCCCCAAAGAACGTACGAGTACAATATGATGATGAATCATGTATAACAAGAACAGAAGGAATTCCGTTCGGGTACAAAATTGAAAAAGTCTTTTGTTTCTGTATCCTTCTATTTTTAGTATCAATTAGCTTTATGGGGGAAGAGCGAAAAGGAAAGTCATTCACTTCGATGATAAAACATACTTTGCTGCTGTTGTTGCGTGGTCATATGTGCAACAAACCATGAATGTAATTGATCATGACTCGAAGCGGTTGATGATGATGATGAATGTGTTTCGCTACTACCATTCGAGCTATTATTATTATTATTATTATTATTCAAATGAAAACGGTAGGATTGAGGAGGAAAGTAAGTGTGAGATATGTGAGGCGGCGAAGGCGTTGCGGGAATTAGTAGACGTTGGTGTTTCGAAGAGTCGGGTGAAGATGTATTCGAGGAGCCGGGTGATGTCGGAGGATAAAATCCGTTTTTTGCAAATAATCCGATTTCATACATGATCAGTAGTACTTCAAGATCGATTATTGACAATTCAATGACGATTATCTTTTGACAAGAGGATGTTCTCTACACGCGTGTATCTCTGCCATACAACTGTGGTTGTCCAACGTACTTTTCTTTTTTCTGCACTCGGAGTGTGTACTATGACTCGTTGTTCTGTTCTTTTTCTTTCTTCTCTATCTCTTTCTCCTTTTCTCTTTCTCTCGCTTGTTTCTGTACATATAATTAGAATAACTAGAGAACGAGCGACAACGTATGTACATAAACCACACACACATCGAGATACGGAACTCTCACTTCTGCTCGATAGTGTTCTTTTTCTTCTTCTTCTTCTTCTACTTCCCCTCATTCATCAGCATGCAATGTATTAAAATAAACATATACAATAGTCGTCGAACGGCCATCAACTAAGGACGATATTTGTTTTCGTGAAAATCATCATTATCATTATCATCTTCTTCTTCTTCTTCTTCTCTTTATTAAAGGAAAGACAAAAAACAATAGTACATATCTCTTTATACGGCTGTCCAGATAGATGTTCTTATCGAAAGAAAAGTTCACTCACTGATTGAGTCTACGAGAAGTAAAGGCCAGATATCAGAATCATCTATCAGAAAAAATTTTATCTGAAAAGACCTTGTCAATTGTCACTTCAGATACGCCCCAACATATTAACTAGACATCTTACACTCCAGGCATTAATATGATACATATCTCGAACTAAAGAGAAAATGATAACTGGAACAAAAAAAAACAACAAACTGCTTTCATCAATCAATTGTTTTGACATCATCAATATCGTTTGTTTTCTAGTTCTATTATAGTCAACCATGATAAACAAATCTGATATGATATATGGAAGTAAAAGGAAGGAGAAATAACAGTTTTCATATAAAAAAAACAGTAACTATTTAGTTAAAACAGTAGATCTCTTGTTGCCGCGTGTAGTTATCATCACAATGAAAATAAATCAACTTACCATGTACTTCTTTGACTTCGTTGTCGACCTGAACACGAAAGATTTGTCCGGGCTTAACGAGAATTCGAGCAACAGATGAGCGTGTTGCACCTAATGGTAAATCTGCTGATGTTGCTTCAGTAAATGAAGCTTCCGCAGTGACCATATTGATTGCGTTCATGGTCGGTAATGGATCGATTTGTGTGAGTTCGTCGTTATTATTGTTATCTGTCATTTTGATTTCATTTTCTTCTGCTTGACAAGATGGTACTTGTTCTTGAAGTTTTTCTTCTGAATCAATAGGATCATCAGATGTCATTGATGTTGATGCTATGTTTGTTTCTTGGTCTTCAAGATGATTGAATTGTTCAGATAAATCACTTGTTGAAGCCATGAAAATACTGTAGAGAAACGATTAAGAACAAAACGAAGGCCAACGTCGACGACGACGATGATTATAGAAAACCACCCAAATCATCTATAAGTAAACCATTTATAATCATGATATAACAAAACAGATTGTCTCCTGAACTCGCTATGTCATTATCATTATCATCATCGTCATTATCTCGAGTTCTTTTTTCTCTCTACTTCTACCATCTTGTTCTTCTTCTCGAGATGATGAAAACACACAGAATTCGTGTGTGTTACCCTTACGAACGATGACATCAACTAATCAAAAGCGAAAAAAAAACTGTCAACGATAACAATCAAGCACGGACAACTAGTCAATACAAAAAGAGTTTTTTCCTCTCATCTTCTCTCTTTTCTCAATGAGTGATGGGTATATTGTGGGTGGAACGTGACTTCGACGACCTTTTCCTGTTAAATCCTCACTTTCTCTTTCTCTCCTTCGTTATTGGAAAGAATATCCTTCAAATTGCCATCTGTTCGGTCAAGAATAAATGCAATAAAGATGGTGTCGTCAACGTTTTCTCTTCTTGTTCTTCTCTATCTCTGTGTCAATATTTTTATTGAGATTCTTGTTAAACGACGCGCTTTTCTTTTCTCTATTCTTGCTTTTATTCAACACTATTCTCTTTTCTCTTCAAAAACACATTATAGAACAATCACGAGAAAGAACACCGAACGATCAAAAAAGAAAAAAAAACTGAAGAATGCGAAAAGAGTTAGAACAGTTCTTTCTACACATAGATTTTACCCGCATCAGATTTCCTTTTTAATACGAAGTCACTATTGATTGGTCTTATCAGTTCGATATATGTTTCTTATACTCGGCCCTACACGAAATTACCAACAAACGATTGGCAAAGTCGTAACAGAAAACCATGCATTGTGCTTGATGTAACAGATATCAGTTTTATCTTTCTTCAGAGACAAAGGAAAACATCGAATGGAGGCTTATCGTTGTCCTAATAGAGTTATATCTATTATTGTAACTGTTATCATTGACTAGGACGACAAGAGAAACAAGTGTCAGCGATTCGTGTTTGTCGAGTTCTGTTTTCTTTTCCAATCATAATAGCTAACAGGTGCCTGCAATTCTCATGGCAATGACACACTAATGTGACAAACATATGATCAACGAACAGAGAAAAAGAGAAATCGGTCGTGCACATCGCTGTTCCGATTCGATTAGTTTAATCAATCACTACATTTTCAAGTTTACTTAACTGTAATAGAAAGAAGAGACTTTCAGTTACTACAATGTCGCATTCTCGAAACTTATCAATGGTTATCTGGCGAAAAGGAAAGAGCGATCGTCTGAAAAACGGAAGCATGTTGCGTGGGTGTCAGTTGCTAACATTTGCGTTCTCGCTGTAAATTCCAATATTGTTGAATACGCGAGGCGAAGGAGAGGGCGCACCATCTCTTCTTTTGTATGTTGCCGAATCGACAAGAAGAGTTTGTTGTTGAGGTCGTGTCGTCGATCTTGGTCGGGAAAAGAGATGACGCGAAAGAAAAAGAAAAGAATAGATAAATATAAAAAAAACGAGAAAAAGAAAAACTTGCATTCCGTTCTTTCTCTTCTATCCTACGAATTAGCTTGCGGCCGAAAAACCTCAATCTTTCATCATACAATGTGAATGCAAAGACTTGATAATCATAATAGAAAATGGGATAAAAACAGAAGAGAAAAGAGCTGCATAGGAAAGTGGATGGGTAGGCGGTGGGAAAGAAAGAAAGAAATGAAAATAGAAGAGACACAACGATTAACACTTCTCGTCAATCTATAGAACGATGTCAGTACTCGAGATATCCAACGGAAATCTGAATGAACGTTATTAGTTAAGACTTGTAAAGAAAAAGCGACATTGATCGGAATTGACTTCGCTTGCAATAATTATTCAGTATTTCGTTTTTGACAAGTCGAAAATCGATCGACGATTTCATTGGCATAATAAATATGTTCTCTTATCTTTACAGTACATTCGGATAATAAAATGCAAAGAATCAAAACTATCTTGCCCTTCGAAAATACTTACGAAAAATTGCAAGTAATTCTTAATCATTTTTATAACTCGCAAGTCTGTATCGATCATAATCTTTGTGAAAAGTCAACGAGTTAACCGTAACAGAAGATCTCCGGCATGAATAAGAGAAACGGATCAAAAAATATTCTAATTGACTGAAAAGAATCTTCTGTTATGAAGATCTCATCACCTTGATGAATCTCTTGATTTCCTATTTGCAAGTGAAGAAAAAAGGAACAATGTGTGAGGACGCGAATGAATGAATTTATTTATTTATTTATTTATTTCTTCTTTCCTTAATGTCATCATCATTGGTTAGTGACGATTTACCATTCAAACCATTGAAAAGGTGTCGCCAACGATTGCTACTCAAAAGTTTTGTCATCTCCCTGAAATGAACGAGGACATTGAGATAAGAAGACAAATCTCATTTAGATAAACGAGGTGCAGAAATGTAGTTATTCAGATAAAGATTAGGGTATGCTGAAAAACAAATCATTAAAGTCCATTCGAGGTCATACAATGAAAAGCTGGCCCATGGGATTGATGTACAAATTTACATTGAAAGTTTTTTCGAAGAGAACTTTTTCTCTCTTGTTAACACTGTGTTTTGCAAATGAAACAAAGAAAAAGAAAGTCTTTGAAATAAATGGAAGCGTGATTCATCTATGAAAACAAGAATGTATGACAATGCATAGAGTTTCTCTTGCGTATATAGTTTTTTTTTGCAATTGCGTCTTTCACAAAATTGATGGTGACGTCCGACAAGTTTCCTTAGTAACACAACCATCATTATTCTCTTGAAACGAATCAGTGGCATTTGTAAAAATTCCTTTAAAGAGAAACTGTTGAAGGTATTTTAGGTGTACACGGAGTATTTAAAAATTGCTTTCACTTCAGACTACGACTTTTTGACAGTTTAATTTGAAATGGCATCGGGTGGAAGTAGTGATTTGAAAACGGCTTTTGATACCTATGCAAAATTCGGTAAAACAGAAGCGCAATTGAAAGAGAAAGATATTCGAATTGATTCGAAAAATCTTCAAAAAATGATGAAAGATGCTGGTGTTATTGATTCCAAATACACAACGCAGTTATTCGATAATGACATTGCTCGTGTTCTCGGCAAATTAACCAGCGGTGGAACCTATCCGAAAGGAATGTAAGTTGCAAGTTTCAGCTACTCTTATTTCAAATGCCATACATACATTTAGAAAAACATTCGAATTGAACGGTTTCAAAGCACTTATCGATCAAGTTGCTGACACGAAGAAGACAACAGCTGATGCGATCATTGCGAAAATCAATTCGACAGGTGGTCCAAGTCTGGCCAATGTTACAGTAAGTTTAAATGAAAGAAAATGACTGATGAAAGAACTTTCCCCATTTCAGGGAACAGCGAACAAAGACATCACTGGACGCATGACCGATCACACTCAATACACCGGTGCACATAAGCAACGCTTTGGCGAAGATGGCCACGGCAAAGGAAAGGAAGGTCGTACTGACGAAGCGAAAAATACAGGCTATGTTGGTGCTTACAAAGGTGACGGTACTTATGACCAGAAGCACTAGACCCAACGGATTATCCTAACAAAACAGAACAATCTTCTCTGAATCTAATTTGATCCTGTAAAAAACCGCTCTGCTGCTTATATTTAGTCTTTTATTTACTCTCTTTGTTAATCATGCCGAAATAGAAATAAAAGCATTTTAGTTCGTATCATACAATATGTTTTTCTTTTCAAGAACAGAAACATGTTAAACTATGACGACAGTTTGGCCTTCGATTGCTTCTTTTTTCGATCATTTATTTCAAATAGCAAAGAACAACGTCATCTCCGAGTTTGTTTTTCTCCTTTTCTCCATTCTCATACACTGCTGCAAATAAAACACAAATGAAAAAGAAAATAGAAGGAAGAAAAAAAAAGCTTACTCATCGATTTCCCAACATCGACTTACCTAATATAGATATTCAGTCGAGAAAAAATGTATGTTTTTTTATTTCTTTACATCACATTACATTTATACGTTGTTTTTTTTCTTTATTCGATAAGATTTAAATATCTTTCTTGTATTTAAAACAACACCCAAAGACAAAGTAACAGTTCTCTCTTGCCGTATCTTTATTATTGTTATAATTCTTCAACGTAGTTAAGGGTAAGTTGTGTCAGCAAACACATGACGTCATTTTAGCTAAGCGAAATCATGCAAGCAAATATCGCGACACATTCTTAATCGACAATGAAAAACAGATTTACTTGTTAGTTGTAAACGATTCTATGTAGAGAAAGGTTGTCCTTGAAAGATAATTAAATGGTAAAAATAAACAGCAAAGTACGTTGTGCTCATATCATTACATGATACTATCATTATATTTCAATGTGTGTGTGTTTATGCGCGCGTATGACATATAAATCGTTTTTTTTTCCTGCAATTATTGAATATAGGTAGTCAATCAAAAGAATCGTTATTTTTTTGTCGTGTGATATTAAATTGGAAAAAGCCAAGTAGTTCATTTTCACCTTTCATTTTAGCTCGAAATTACAATGCTCTCGAAATTTAACAGCATCAACTCGATTGTTGACTATCTCCGAGAACCGATTGTTCCGTCGACAACGAAGGATTCTCGTAATAATACTACTGTTGGTTTGAAAATGTCGAAAAAACAGCGAAAAACAAAGGAGACGGCGAACTCTACGGACACTACACATTCTCCCCCGCGATCTCAACCACAAATGCTACACAACGTGAACATTGAAGTATTACCGAAAGGTCGAATGAGGTAAAGGTTAGATTTAAGCGATTAAGTAGTTTATTTCATTGTATTCGATTAGATATGGTCCTATAACGGTTAATCCGCGAAAATTGCCATCGAAAACCTTGTTTACGGGCCGTCGATCAAAATATGAAGTCTTATCTACGGATGAAGAAGAACGTCGTCGTGATCGACGCGAACGTAATCGCATCGCCGCAACGAAATGTCGCGAAAAACGGGAAACCGTTCTCGGTCAACTGGAAAATCAACACCAAGATGAGTTAGAAACCCATCGGAACCTTTTGAAAACAGTTCATGATCTCGAACAGCAAAAGAAATATCTAGAAAATATTCTAAACAACCATTTGAATGACTGTCCTCTACTTAACCCTTCGTTTTCTATGATCTTCGGTGATACAAGTTTTCTTTCGACGATTATCGATGTTCCTCCTCCAGTACTCCCGCCTGGCCCTCAACCTATTGTCAACAGTGAAGACGACGAACTCAGTCACATACTTGATCCATCGCCCGGATTGACCAATTCAGCTTATGAGACCGATGATTCCAATCAAATCTTTCTGCCACCACTCGGAGGATTATCAGCACAACCCATAACGATGACTAGCAGTAGTATCGAACGGTTAATTAACAGCTTGAACACTCCGACCATCTCAATGGAAAGTGCGAATAATCATTCCATGTTAGTCAACACTGCATTCGGTTCGACATGTGCCCAACAACACTCGCATTCGAGTGATGATGACTCGTTACCATCACGTGCCAATCCTTGTGTGTATTAATTCAAAGCAAGTGAGTGTTCGACTTGGCCTGAAAATTCATCTTCATCTCGGTTTTTCTTTCTAGTTTGTCTCTCATTCGTTGTCGCAATGAACTCTGTATTATTTCTTTTTTATCTGCCGTTCTTCTCGAATTCAAACGTGTGACTTTCTATATGTATTAATAGTTCATAATATTATTGCTTTCTTCTCCTTATATTAAACATATATTGAACATTTATTTAAGGACTCGGAAAATGATCTCCTATGAAGTTTAAAGCGAAACACAGCTATAGGAGTTCAGACATTTTCCCCGAAGATTGGTTTTCGTGTATGTTGTCAAAATACAACGGTCAATTTTGACTAAAATCTTAAAATTTTCTCTTTTGCTTTTTCATCATTTATTCAAAATAAATTTCTTTGTGTTGTTTTTCTTCTTTCTGAAAAATCACGTGATGATATATTCGACACATTTGTTCTCCGTCAGCATGACTCACGGTTTACTTAGTGAAATCAGCAGAAAAAGTCGACTAACTCAATCTTGTCTAATACTGATTTATTCTAAACTGAGAAAAACAACAGACAACGCGCGTGTTAATTAAACTTAAAACAATCGAGTTCCGTAGCCAAATGTCGTTTTGATACTCTCGATGTAAAATCGTTTCCAACCATCCTAAAACAGAACACAGTAGAACCTATTGAACAAGAATAAATGAAAATTTCAATGAACAAACCATTGTATTGTCGTAGAATTGAGCTGGTACGCCTGTTTGCTGGATGACCAGTTTAGTTTGATCGGTGTCATCTTGAAATATCAATGAGACATGAGAATAGTGATCACTTGGCCAGGATTTGAATCGCCATAACATATCCACGCGTTCATACGGAACGATGTCGACAAATCGTCCAGTGATATTATCACTGAACAATGAAAAAAATCCGCCTTTTTTACAATCGTATCTTGACACACTGTTTTGCGTAAATGCTTTCACTCGATCACTGTCGCAGAAGGCTTTGAACAGATCAGTTTTTGTACATTTGAATGTGTCGTGAATTTTCAAATCTCGATATTCGATCACCGGCGTTTTGTTTGTATTTGTCGGTAAACTTGTAATACTTTTGGTGGTATTAATCGATGATGTTGACTGAACTTTCGTTGCAATTGGAGAGTTTTTTGTTGGAAGAATCAGTCCTTGAGAAAATTCTTCTTTAAGCGAACGAACGTACTCGGTGAGCTGATTACGTATCGATGAATCGCCTGATTTTCTCATAAACTCTTTCAATTTTTCTGCTTTGGATTTTTCCGTTGAAAATGTAATGGTCACTTCATGAACGTCGTTTTCATCGGACAGATTAGGAATATCGAAAGTACCTTCGTATTTTGTTCGATTATCGCCTGTAAGATACGTTCCTTCCCATTTGCCATGGATTTGCCATTCGTACTAGCGAAAGAAGAGCAAGCTCAAGGACAAATGAAAATACGAAAATATTTACGATGAAAACAAGTTTAGCTTTGCGGTTATTTGCTGTTGCTTCGCCAGTGCATTTTGATAACTCTTTGATTTCACATGCATATTCTTCATTTTCAACTTTCAATCCTACTAGCAGCTCCTTGAGTTTATCCTTTGACCATTGTGTCGCATTTTTTTCTGTCCAATGCCAATTATTCGGATTGATTGCTAGAAATTATGTTTGAGCATACAGAGTGAACAGAACGGTCTGCTTACCATCTGGACGATCTTCGACAATCCAACGTGGATCACCTTTGCCCCATTCAGCCATGTCTTTCGTAGGAAAATTATATAGTAATCATAGTATGAGAGTGTAGTGCGGATGGATGGATGTTTCCAAACTACACTTAATTGGTCGTTTCATCAAGCAAATGAGCGTACGTAATGTCGTTTTTTCTTCTCTTGCTCCTAGGAAAGACGAGACATCTGTTGTGCAGTCGTTCTTATCAAAGAATAAAGTTAATCAATATTTAAAAAATGTAACCATAGTGTTCTCTGCTCGATTTCACTGTGAAGAAATCCTCCGTCGGGATGCTTTTCTTTAAAATGAGTTTAGTTTCTCAATTACCGTTTTGTATTCTCTCTTCTGGAAGAAGAGAAACAAAATGAGTCTCGCGTTTACATATTCATTTTCCATTTTTCTTCGTTTCTTCACCCAATGAAGTCTCTAATATGGCATCTTCCTTCGATCTACAAGCTCATGCCTATCAGCAATTACTTTTTCAACATCATGACCAACGTCGAGAACATCAAGGAATACTTCTTGACGCATTAGATCATCTCAGCAAAGATGTAGCATACTCCTTGATCGACGATAAACATACATATGACAAAGCGAAAGATCTGTTTCATCGTAAATACAATCGGTTGCAACGTGTATTCACTCATTCAGCATCACGACACAGACAGAATACTTTACAACCTCTTAAACTAATCTATCACCAACGCAGAGATCTCGCCTTGAAAATCTCCGAACTGCTTCAGGAAACACGATCAGAAACGAATTCCATGGAAGTTCGAACACATTGGAACGGTTCGATTGCTGTTGTTTACAATCCGACAACTGGTCGAGCAGAATGGAGACAATCGTGGCACGGAGGTATCCACGGTGTGTTCAATCCGGTGACAGACATTATTGAATGGCGAGATGAATTGCATGCCGGCATTTACGGTGTATTCAATCCGAAATTGAATATAGTCGAATGGAAGAAAGTTTGTCAAGGTGGTGTTCATGGTGTTTATAACCCTTGGATTGACGACATCGAATGGCAAATATCATTTCATTCCGGTATTGGAGGCGTTTATAATCCTTTGACAAAAGAAGTCGAATGGAGAAGTGCGTTTAAAGGTGGTGTTGTTGGATATTTTGATTATGGAAGCCAAACAGTAAAATGGATCGAAAAATGGCACCACGGTCTGGCTCTTATCATTTGGGACGAGACTATTCATACATATCGAACAACGTCGAGTTCCGGTTGGTATGGAAAGTAATTTTTTCTCAATCGATTTTGCTCTCCTAGTTGTGAATTTTGAAACTCAGCTATCTTTTCATAATAAAATCCCATTAAAAAAACTTGATCACATGCATTTTCTTTCATTGTACTACTTGCATATATTTATATCGACGACCGTCTTTCGTGTCATACTTCTTCTTTCAGCTGTTGTCGTCTCTATTATATATTCAATTCATTCTTTAGTTCTCTTCTTACATGTATCGGCAATCGTTGTCGCTAAAATATAACCTACATTATAACAAGAAAGAGAAGAAAAGGTAAGTGCACTATTGAACAGGTTAGACGAAGACGAACATTTTCTTCTCTTTATAAGTGAATGTATTCAAGCGATTCGTCAACATTTCATATATATATATATATTGCATATACCCATACATATACATAAGCGGTCAAGTTCATATAAACTATTAGATCAATAAGAACGCAAGTAGAACATAACTTTATCGAAGGGTTTCTTTTACTAGAAGCAATGCCGAATGATATAAGAAAACAAATTCAGTTCTCGAATTTGTCTTATAAAACTACTGAACAAACATTGCTGAGTTATTTTTCTACTTACGGACCAATTGATCAATTAGTTCTGCATAAAGACGATCAGGATCAGTCATTACGAAAAGGTTTTCTCATTTATCAAAATGTTCAATCATCGAATGACTTAATGTCCAAACGGCCACATTTAATCGACAAGCGTCAAGTTTTTCTTCAACGTGCAATGCCAACGAATGTATCCACGAGCCGTCAATGTCTCTCGGAAACCTTAGGAATCAATCTCGCCGTTAACGAACTGTTCATCAACCGTTTATATTCAGGAGAAACAAAGAACATGTTTATAAACTATTTCCAACAATTCGGAACGATTACCGATTGTCGAGTATTGAACTCGCGTTCGCAAAATCGAAAACAGATGGGCTTTGCGTTTTTAAGATTCGATGATTACGATAGCATTGGTAAGTAACAACGACTAAGTCGATACGCTGTCATTGAATTTTTAGATCAAATTATTCTTTCAAGACCACATCTAATCAATTCGAAATACTATCATGTACGAAAATCGATCCCACGTGAATATAATTACATCATTTCATCGATAAAACCAATTAGTTTGAATAAACCTCTATGGCGTCATTATGCTTTCGGATTGATCAACATGCGAACCCAAGAAATCATTTATCCAACGCTATCTACGCCTCATAACCAGTAAGTTAATCATTCGGCACACATTTCGAACGATTCGGCGGTTCTTTTCACAGGTACAACAAGCAAGAAGAGCCGGAGTCAATTCGAAAGAGTCCAACGTCAGAATTTGAATTGCTTACAGCAAGCTCCTTGTCAAGTAGTATATCACTTGTCAATTCATCGATCGATGATTTCACTCCAATACAATCTCCACTTTATTCCACGGCAATTGCGTATTCACCTACGACGGATATTATATGAAATAGTAAACACTCAGAGTTAATGTGCCAAACGAAATGATTGTTTGATTGAACATCGATATGTGTATAAACTCGATAATCAATCCGTAGAATTTTCTTTTACTTCCGAAATGATCATTTGTACATAGGAGTCTTCGTTAACTATTAATAAAAGAAAACTTTCTCTCGATGTTCTTTATCACTGAGCTGATTGCTTATCGAAGACGTACGAAAAGCAGATGCATCAAAAGAAATGTCAGCAGTTGATAAGCTGCTCAAAAGTCAAAAGAAAACGTTCATTTTGTTTATTCAGCGGATGATGATGACGACGATGCGCGATTAACTTCTTCTATCCAGTAGATGTCATTATGACATAGTTCATTCTAGCCTGTCTTATTGCTGTATGGACAATCCAATGAGAGAATCGGTCAGTATTATCATCGTTCATCATCGTCTTCTTTTCTCTCTTCTTTTCTGTTTATTTTTATCTTAGATCAAAGGCCTATGTTAAGTCATTTTGTGAGATTTTTTTGTAGAATTCTATCGCGTAAGTATTATGAATTGTTCTGACGAGAGCTCTTGACGACACAGGGAGAGAGAAGACATTTCTTTTCATTAAAATGACGAAAAAAACACGCGGAAGTGATTGTATGGCTGAAGAGAGTTTATTGTATAAATTTTCACTTTCTTTTCGAATAAACTCATAAAACATCCGATCATTGTCTTTCGCTTGTCAATGAGAAAAGAAAAGACTGTTATGCGTCCTTCGTTGAAAGGCGTACGATATAAATAGATGAAGTAATCATCTCCATGAATCACTACTCAATCTGAACGATGAATGAATCATAGTTAAATTTCACTATGATGAATCATAGAGTCCAACAGACATCCACCGATAGTTTTCTTTAACTATTAGCCGTGATATTTCCCCAGGTGGAAAATGAATCAGTTTAGTGTAAAGTACGATTTATTAGGTAAACAAGTCGATCGATTCTGCCTACTATTAAAAGGCGAATTTACATCGGATATGATTATTTATGTAAGCTCGTCTATTCGATTGAATTTTTTTCTAATTAAATCAAACTGGTTGATTTTTCTCGTCAGCGATGATGAAGAACAGATTTTTCTCCTTCTTCCGCTTTCGACTGATCACCGATGCTGTTTGACACATTTTTTTCTTCATCACTTGCTTTGAAAACGGGGCAAATACGAACAGTTTTTAACCTTTTTAGATTATAATTAATATTCTAATATATGCGTGAATAACAGCAACACAACGGCGGAGGTTATTAATGAAAACGGGACGTTTGGAACGTCCCAATGGCAAACGTCTGATTCGATGCGTTCGACATCCAGTCTCAATTCATCAGAGACAAATGAAAAAGTACGTAAAAAAGCAATGCTTACTGTTACGACATTATCTTTTGGAATATCGTAGAGTATAGGAAGTATTGAGAAAATGAATCACATTCGACCGGATGATCGAACGCTGGAAGAATTGTTTCAAAAGACCATTGTAAGTATTTGAAAGTTGTTCGAGATTCTACTTTTCCAAGGTTAACTTAGGCAACAATGGATCTTGCTCCCGATAAAATGAAAATGTTACGTGACTTTCCAGCGGAGAAGAAATGGGATATAATTCGTGATCGAGTAAGAAGAAGAGACGAAATGACGAATGAATTGATTGATGAATTGATGTCTAGGATCAAGTTATAGCTAAACATCCTCCAGAATATTACATCGAAGGTTTACAAACGTATATACGTGGTGCGAATCTTGTTGAAAAAGCATCGAGTTTGGTAGGAAGGAATGAGATCGAGTTTATGAATAAGAATTGATCGTATTTTTAGAAAAAGAAACAACCAATCGAACTTTCAACTCAACTATTATCAAGTTTAGAAATTTCTTTACGAACGAATAATATTGGGTAAGTGATTGACAAGACTCTTCAAATTATGACCTTGTCTGCTTTCAGTTGGGTTCACGAATATCTTAATCCAAATAATAAAGGTCTGGATGTTTTACTTGATTATTTAAAAACATCATTAGAAGTCATGCGGTAAGAACAGAACGGCAATTTGTCTCGAAGAAGCGGATTGTTTAAATGTGATACGTGATTTTTAGTGAAGTTGATTCGTCGGATGACGGACATTTCTCGACGATAAATTATCCCGATGAGAATTCTTTAATCACATCGAAACGACCAACATTAGGTCGATCTGATGCGAAACGATTGCATCGTAAACTGAAAAAGTACCAAATTGGCGAAGCAACCGACGATGTCCGATTATGTATCATGTGTCTTCGAGCAATAATGAATAACCAAGTAAAAATCTTCCTTTCACAATCAAGATTTTCTTCAATTGATGCTGTTTTCGTTCTCAGAATGGTTTCAATCTCGTTATTCAACATTCATTAGCGTTGAATTACATCACACTTAGTTTACAACATAAAAATTATCGGTAATGATTGTATACGAATGTATAGAAATCATTTGTGAGTTATTATTTAGATGTAAAGCATTGATTTTGGAATTACTAGCCGCGGTGTGTCTAGTCGAATTAGGTCATGACGTTGTTCTGGGAGCGTTTGATAATTTTCGTATAATATGTCAAGAAAAACATCGATTCGAAACTTTGATGAAATCATTTACTCAACCAACAGACTTTAACGTCGATTATATGGTAAGTTCGAAAGAAATTGTATTGCTTTATTGAAAATTTTCGTGATTGGCTAGGTGGCATGTATGCAGTTTATTAATATTATTGTTCACTCAGTTCGAGACATGAATTATCGTGTGTATTTACAAGAAGAATTCAAATTACTTGGATTGGACGAATGTCTGAAAGTAAAGATTGGATCATCTATCATGCGGAGTGTAACGAAAAGATGTTCTTTAGAAATATTTGGAAATTCATAGTGAATGTGATTTATTTATCTTACACATTCATGCGTTTTTGGATAACTATTTCGATGTGGGACAACTATTGGAAGATTCCGAAACGAAGCAACAAGCAATTGCAAAAGTGTCAGAGTTAGAAGAACAACTAGGAATTGTAAAAATATTTCGCTTTCGAAAGATTCTGTACGAATGTTCATGTTTTATTAGGTTAATGAACGTGTACAAGAACTTGAGAATGGAAATTCAAATAAAATTGGTAAGATAAACTCCGGACGATGTGATTTATTGGTATTGATTATTTTATAGCTGAACTACAAAAGGCATTGGAATTTGCAGAGGAACAAATGGAGAATGCGAAGGTAGGTTAATTAAAAGTACTTTCTCTGATTCAATACCGAATGCATATCTACTCTTATAGAAAGAACGCGATGACATCTCACAAACGCTTACCATATTGAGGCAGAGTCATCAAGAACGTGGTAAGATTCTATACTTTCCGATTAAAACGATCCTATATTTATTTCGAATAGGATCTCTCAATGGTTCATCATCCTCGATATCATCAGCTCCTCCAGGTGCGCCTCCCAATGGACCAAGTTTCCACAATACAGCGACAGGTTCTAGTGCACCACCAACTGCGCCGGCACCACCCCCTCCTCCTCCTCCTCCTCCTCCACCACCAAGTAAAATCAAATTGCTTCACCTAATATATCTCATTCTGTCTTGTTCTTCGCAGATTTCATTCCACCACCTCCACCACCCGGACCGGTATGCTTGATTTACTTGTATTTGTATTATTTGAAATACGCACTGATTCCATAGCCACCTCCGATCTTTGGCATTCCACCACCGCCACCAGGAATGCTTGATCCTCCACCTGGTTCCATGACAATAAAGAAGAAAATCGAAACGAAATATAAGCTACCTAATTTGAATTGGACATCGTTGAAGCCTGGTCAAGTTCGTGGAACGGTTTTCTCCGAGCTCGACGATGAAAAATACTTTAAAGTAAGAAGTTTATCGATCGAAGTACCAACGTCCTTTTTCTTGTATCTGTAGCTGATCGATTTTGATACTTTCGAAGAATTGTTCAAAACAGGCTCCGGTCTTCCAGTCAATCAAACAACTACTAGTCCACATTTGAAACAAAAGTTTGTTAAAGCTCCTGAAAGCTTGACATTGCTTGACCCTCAACGACAACGAAATTTAGGTCAGTTGGATCAACACAAGAACGATCTCTTCTATAAAATCCCTTTCTTTTAGCTATTGCTCGACGGAAACTCGATCTTGATGTAAATACAATTATCCGCGCATTGAATAAGTACGTCATATTCTATTACGAGAAAGATGAATCGCCATCTCGAATGTTTATTTTAGTCTTGATTTGAAGATCTTAACTATTGATACAATCGATATCCTACAGCACTTTATTCCCACAGAATCTGAAACCCGTGCATTCGCTTCGTACTTATCCGATGGTAAATCGATCGTAAACCTTTCAGACGAAGATCGCTTTCTACACGGTGTAAGTCAAACCGAACAAAAACTCATATCCTTGACTTCATATTCATACATTTAGCTCTCGAAAATTGAACGATTAGCACAGAAGTTGAACGTTGTGTCATTCATGGCGAATTTTGACGATGTTAACCGAAATTTAACACCGCAGCTGAAAGCAATCATAACAGCATCGACAACGTTAAAAAATAGTACAAAACTCAAAAAACTCCTCGAAGTAAAACCATCGATCATTGTCGAATTGTTTGCAAAAAGTGTCTTGTTTCAGATCGTACTGGCGTTTGGTAATTATATGAACAGTAGTAAACGTGGTCCGGCATACGGATTTAAATTAGCTAGTTTAGAAATTGTACGTTTAATGTTCTACACACCATTGTTTTCATTGAATATATGTTTGTTTGTAGTTATCAGATACAAGAACGCATGATAAACGTTTAACTTTACTTCATTTTCTTGTACAAACCGTGGAAGAACGATTTTCTGACGTTGCCAACTTCAGTCATGATTTACAATCAGTTGAAAAAGCCGCTCAAGGTGAAAAGATTTTTTCAATAACCATAAGAACCTACTTTCATTACTTAGAGTTTTCATACTCGTTTAATAACTTTGCACGACGACACCTTTTGTATTTTCCGCCACCTTTCCGACGTGTTATCCCCGGAAGATCTTTTCACATACTCTAGGAACATTCAACAGCTTCTTTTTTTGTTTAGTTTCATTGGAAAATATTCAGATTGATGTTCAAGATTTAACTCGTGGCTTGGATAATGCCAAAAAGGAACTTGTTATTCGGCAGACAATGAAAGTAGGAAATGTTCGAGGAATAACATCCTCGATTAAATACTTCCTCTGTTCTAAGAATGTCGAGACACGGCCATTGGAAGAATTTCTCAATATTGCTCAAGCAAAAGTTGACCGATTGATTAAAGATGCAAAATCAGCCCAGGAATCGTTCAATCAATGTGTAGAATACTTTGGTATGTGAACATGCTTTGTTTGCCGTGTAACATCGCGCTTTCTGTTCAAGGTGAAACACCACGAACACAAAATCCATCGAACTTTTTCTCCGTTTTTGTCAAATTCCAACGTTCGTATCAAGTAAGACTCGATGAAATCTAGTTTTAAAAACCGGTTGATATTCGACTTGTGTAGCAAGCACGAATTGAAAACGACGAACGTACACGATTAGCAAGGGAGGCGGCATTAACCAATGATAAGCCAGCAAATAAACGTTCAATAAACAAACGTTCACAGGTAAGATTTTTCTTCGAGTAAACTGAATTCTACTTGAAAAAGTCGATTAGGGAGAGAATATTCTACCAAATCAGGTAACCATTTTTCTCCTTGTCTTGCCTGTCGAAGCTAGCCGAGCGTATATTTTAATTCTGCTTAATTTTGCTTTCAACAAACATAACTTCTTATTTCCTATCGTCATTTCTCGTTTTTTATGCTTTATTTAGGAAGAACTATTAAGTGAATTAAAAGGACGGAAAGAAGCTATAAAAGATCAAAAATTAATTAAACGTGAAGCATTAACAGATGGCACTATTGAAACTTTATTAGATGGTATGACAATTTTCTTCTCGCGAAGATTATTTATATATTTAAATATCCTGCCAACTAAAAATAGTTGAGATAATGAACACATATTCGCTGATAAGACCGGATTATTGTTGTACAAAAGAGGAAAATATCGATCTTTAGACCAGGCTTTACATCCATATCCTCGAGGGATTTGAAGCGATGAATAGACTTGATTTAATTGTTTTCGATCATGTTAGACATACTCGTCTTGCACTTGTGTTACTTAAATGGGCGAAAGCATTGATTATTGTTCGCTTTGTTTTCTTCGTCGACTATTCTCTTTCATTCGTTATTTATTTACATCGATTTCCCTTTTCAATCAATTAAATATTCTTTTGCTTTTGATATTTTCAAAGGAAAAAGTATTAAACTCATTTGTCTGTCTTTAGACTTGAAAAAAGCGCCATACTTGCGAGCAGATGCAGCGCGTCGGAATCGTCGTAAAACTCAAGAACTAATGAAACAAATTAGTCGCGACGTACTCGCCGCAGTGACGAGCGGCACGAGCACAACTTCGACTACCACACCTGAAGTTCACCTCTAGATCGACGTTTTCTTCTTGAGTCAGATACTCTCTCTCTCTTTTTTTTGTTCACTTCAGTCATAAAAGAAAACATTTCTGCATATTTGTATATTGAATTGTCTTTTTTTTTCACACGAAATAAATCAACTGTCATTGAATTGAAAGGAAGTACTTGGAGCAACATTGTTCTTTCAAATGTAGTCATGCTCGAAATTGCATTCGTAATAAGCAAATCGATTGATGAAGATAGAAATACAGATATTCAAAATGCATGTGCACATGTTATGAATAATCGAGTATGTGAGTGGGTGCGTGTGAATAATCATCCGAGCTAACCTTGACACTAAGATGAGGAATATTTCCCTCGACGTTGTTTTCCTCTCTGTAATCGATAAACTTGTTCATTCATTTAACAAAATTAAACATCAGTTAAGCTTTCGAGCTTTTGAAGACGTATAATTAGAAGTTAAATGTCTAGTCAAATATTCTTTTTGTCTTTGCTCAAGAACATGTCATTAACACGCGCTCGGCTATTGTTGTTTCTCTCTCTCTCTTTCCCTGATAATGATAATAAATTTCTCTAATACGGCGCTTTTGACGTTTCTCTTTGTCATAGTAAATGTTGACGTAGTTATCAACTGTAATGGTGTACGTGCTGTGGAATTCATTCGTCGCTTCTCTTTTGCTCTAGTTAATGTGTTTGCATGCAGTTCTTTCTTCTTCTCCTCTTTTCCTCCGAAGTGAGAAAGGAAGATCAACGGAGAAAGGAAAGCGCCGCATACACGAGCTTCTCGTCATTTCTTTACTTGTCAAGAAAATTTTTAAAATACTTCTTTTGAACTTTTACATTCGTATCATCCACGCCGATTACAGCGAATAACACGATTGAGACTGTAAGTAAGTTAATAATCCAAGCGATCAAGTTCACGTCGCTCAAAAAAAAATGAACTTAACAATATGTCACGCGACTAGTTATCATTTTTTTTCTTTCAATTATAACTTGCAAATATATAATCAATGTACAAGACGATTCTTTTACTTAGAAAGAACTTAGATAGAAATGCTCTATTCTTTGCTGTTGACGTAGAGTATCACCTTATGTCGCTTAATATGAACAGAGTCAAAGAAAGTGTTTGAAATTAGTTTTCTGTCGTTCCATTTTTTTTTCTTCTCCTATGCCGATTGAAATTGCGCACATATCAATAATAAATAACAATAAAAAAGAACTCACTTTCGCTATATTCAGAGAAGTTTATTCTCTTAATAATAATATTCATTTATTAGCGTGTCTAGTGAAAAGCAGCGTGCGCTATGTTGAGTCGATGTTCACAATTTGTTCGAATGTATTTATCTTTTGATAAGCAGAATGTATCAATCAAAACAAAGGCAGAGTTTCGGTGAAAATAGAAATACAAATATTTTTCTTAGGTATCAGGGATTTCACCTAATGAGATCATTCTCGTGTTGATATAGTATGGAATGTTCGAGAGGAGTTACGTTGTTAGGCAGTACCTTGATTGACTCGTTTATGTAATCGGAGCGATGCCTTTGTTTTTCCAAGAAAAGGAACGAAAGAAAAGCGATTGTTATCGATTTTGCTTCTATTTCCGACATAAACACAACAGAAGTTGAGCTCAAAAATAAGAAAAATCCTCTATTTGAGATTCCTGACATGTTAGCTGATATACGAACGTCATGTGAGTACGGAACTTCTATTGTGCCTGTTCTTCTCAACATTGATGAAACAGAACACGGGAGATATTTGACAAGAGAAGACTTTTGAACCTCATTTTCCCCTAAACTAAAACATATATTTTATTAATCGTTCTCAAATATGTACTTAAGTAAATGGCATTCGCTCGCCATATTGTCATTGTTGATTTTTAGTCAAATATGAAACGAGCATTGCGCACAGAACCTTAGCTTTGCTCATGTTTTTGACATGTCTTTTAGATATAACATAAGTTTTCAACATTTTTTTTGATAAATTTTGTTCATGCAATTCTTATCGAACCAACAATCTACGAAATCGCGCTCAAACATGGCTTCATCTGACTCTTGGTTGAGCATACGGCATCTACCAGCAATTTTAATGACCCGAACATCGTTCAAAGTCAATGAAGAGCATTTGTACAACTTAGCAATCAAAGCACGATTGGAAAATCGCGAATGCGGATATCTATCGCGGCGTGGTGGCCAGGATCCGTCGTCTTCGGCGAATAAATGGCAATTGAAATGGTTTGTTCTCTATCAAAATTTGTTATTCTACTACGAAAATGTGAACTCATCGAAACCGCAGGGTGTTTATTTCCTTGAAAGTTGTTATTCATCCCGTTCAACAGCTAAGAACAGCAAAGATGGAGAAAAATTAGTAAGTATTCAAGACATATGAAACGACCAGCTGCAAAGCCTACAAAATTCTAATGAAATGTCTTCATTTCCATCTGAGTAATCCGTCTTGTTATCAGTCATATCAAGCATTATTCTTCTCTATCTCTAATGAAATCTTTCATAATCGAAACAGTAAACTGTAATTAATTTTCTTTCAAGATTAGAAAACATAGAGATGTTGTAGAAGGAATCTATCTCTCAGCGTGATCGTATGTCAGGCGAGATTGACGATAGGGGCAGATTGAATTGAATATATTTACGAAATGAATGATTCAACCTCGATTTAGAATTGTTTTTCAATATCTTACACACGCGATGGCCGAAATGCCATTGAATTTGCAGCGGAATCGGAAAGTGATTGTCAAGTATGGATTGAATGCATTCAATCATGCAGGTAGTTGTGACAAGAACGGAAAACGATTGAGTTCATCGATGGATCTGTTCTAGTTACAATCGTTTGCTGTCTGTGAAAGAAGAAATCGAACAGAAATATCTTCATCTCTCTCAAGTTTACGAAAGTGAAGCAAAAACGAAATATCAATATTTACAACAAGTCGAAGAATTGTCAGCTGAAGTTCGAGAATTACGTCGCGAAGTAAATTCTGATTGAAGGAGATCCTAACATCTCTCGTTCGTGTCCTTTTTAGTTATCACGATATCGCCGACAACATCATTTATTACGAACGAAAAGCATCGCTGAGGAAGACTCTGCCGAAATTCGAAAAATCAAAAAAGTTCAAAGTCTGTGCCGAGGTTGGCTATACAGACAACGTTGGAAACGAATAGTCGAAGAATATATCCGGTAAGCGTTTCTCTCTCCTCATACCGACGTCATTCAGTCGTTTCAATATCACTTTCATTCTGTTCCGTTAATTACATTTGTTCATGTAGAAAGCAAAAAGAAAACGTTTCATTGTATGGCAATTAAATTTAGTAAAGATATCTGTAGGTGTTGAATTGATCAGTCAAATTAATTTTTTTTGTCATACTTTATTTCGTCTTCATCAACTCGAGCTCGTCTATATTTAGCGGAAGTACTGTGTTTTGACGTCAGTGCTCTTTCCTTGATGAGGATGAAAAAATTAATTAACATGCAGAATTCGCCGGTTTCAAAAGTCGATATTCGATCCGAGGAATGAAATTTTATTTTTAGGTCTCCTCATGCAGAATTAATGCGTAAGCGCAATAATATTATTTTTAATTTGGTTGAAAGCGAGCGAGAATATGTGCATCAACTGGAAATTCTTGTGGCCAATTATGTGCGGCCGTTTCGGATGGGTAAAAATCAGGACTTTTGTCTGTCGCCGTGGATTATATACGCTATTCCTTCTAGCGGCAAGTTCAAAAAAGCCGCCAATAACACATGAAGATGTTAATTCTATTTTTCTAAATACGTAAGATTAATCGTGGTCATAACAAACCTGACAAGTATTTGTTCTTCTTAGTGAAATCATCCTTTTCCTCCATCAGATATTCTATAAAGGTTTATCGAAGAAACTCGAAAACTGGCCGACATTCTACACCGGTAAAACTGAAGAACTCAATCAGGAAAATATTTAGCTCAATTCTTCTAGGTGACCTATTCGATATGTTCATATCCATGTTGCATATTTACTTAGAATACGTTCGAAATCATCATTATAGCTTGCAGGTAAATGTGCACTAGTTGTCTGTTTCGGAAATCGACGTTTTTCTTCTATGTCGTTTCAGTGCTTAGTCGAATGTAAATTGAGTAACCCAGATTTTAACAAATTCCTTGAACGATGTGAACAAAAAGCGGCGTGCGAAGGTTTAACACTGGACATATTACTTGTTCTACCAATGAATCGGGTTTGTTTTTGAAGAAAGACAAGCCATTCTAATCAGTTGACTTTGTTCTTCTTTGCAGATACCGTATTATATTGTAACATTAGCCAATTGTTTATCGCACACACCGCACGCACATGTCGAAAGAGAAAGGTTAGAACAGACGAAATCGAAATTAGAAGAATTATCGAAAGTAAGTGTTGTATATAATAACGAGATTGTCTGATCATGTCTTCGGTAGATTATGCATGATGAAGTCTCAGAAACGGAACATATTCGAGCAAATTTAGCTATCGAACGATCGATTGCGGAGGGTTGCGATGTTCTACTAGATGTGAACCAAGTACTATGTCGGCAAGGTAATAAGCTCTACTCTGATTATGAAGGTTTTTTGCTCATGTTGAAATAATTATAGATAGTCTTATCTTATGGGCCGGTGATCGAAATAAATCAAGCATAGGACAACGATTTACGACACGAGATCTCCGCCGAAACGAAAGTGTTGTTCAATGTTACCTGTTTTCCAATCATTTAGTTGTTACAAGTCGAGCATCGAGTGGAAAACTACACCTTGTCAAAGTAGATCTCATCTCGAACTCTATGGTAATCTTCCATCGTTTTCCATAGGGTTGCGGAGTTATTCCATTAGCCGATGTGACACTTGTCGAAGATATTGCCACTGATCCTCAGCATATGCTTGCTGCAGTTACGGAAGAAGACAGCGCTGATGATACAAATTCGAATGTAACAGATAATAAAACTGGCGAGATTGACATAAGTTTCGCTCGTTTATTTCGTTTGATTGTTGAATCACGTGACCAAACGCCATACACAGCAACATTCGTTGCTAATGATGAAAAACATAAATCCGAATGGTGTGCTGACATAGCACAGTGCTTGCAAAATCTTCGTTATACAGAATTAGTTACTGGAACATTTCGAAATGAATCGTCCGTTATGTCACCGGAATCTGTCAAGTAAATACGAAAGTTTTGTTCAGCATAGTTTTCATTCGTTTCCTTTCGCTTAGATCTGATCTGAAACTGTACAAAGATGATTCAGAAATCAAGTATTCCAAAACACTGGATTCATGTAAAATACCACAAGTAAACTGATGAATCTGTTAGATTTCAATAGATAAAACCCGATGGTTATGCGTTTTCTTCAGATTCGTCATGCAACTGTGGAACGATTGCTGGAGCGTTTAACTGACCTACGTTTTCTCTCCATTGATTTTCTCAATACATTCTTATTAACTTATCGTTTGTATACTGATGCTTACACCGTGATGGAAACCTTAACTCGTGTCTACAAATCCTCGCCACATACGTCATTAGACCATACAAATGATACAGATGGAACAAATTCTCATTCGAATCACAAAACAGACGAGCAGCACAAGTAGAATTTTGACAAAGATGTTTCCTAAACTGTGTAATGATAATTTTTAGAGATAAGTTACTGTTAATTAATGAACATGATAATGAATTAAATCGACGTGTCTCGGAAGGTGAGTTTCATCATATCGAAAGCAATATAAGGGATGAACTTCGTTTACTTCAGGTGTCCATTCGCTACCGGTCGATAACTCAACTCAACAAGAACGAGATCTAAGAAGGCATTCACACATTGGAACATTCCGTCGAGCATTAAGTATCGATCAAAACGAAGCAATTACCACGACGAAGTGCATGGAGAAAAGTAAGCAAAACTCATTTTTATAAAATCTTTCGAATGTGTATCAAAGTGCAGTGATGTTCACTTCTTGTGCTTCACAGTTTGACAGGCCAAAAGGTATACGCCAGTGCCTTCAGGTAGAATTTCTTTGTCCACTATCGAGGCCAAGTCTATATTCTCAGTTGCTAGTATCAATTCATACAAACGAAAATCTTGTTTTTCTCGTTTGGAATATTTAGAAGTTTCAATCAAATTCACGGAAATCAATATTCTACCGACAACTCCATCTGTTGATATCTCCGCATCGGCTGATCAATTACATACATCTCTAGCTCCCCTCGCTTCGTCGGAGACATTCTCGGATGTTGTGTCTTTAAATCTTGATGAGCAATCCAACAAAGAGCAAGGCACATTGAATTCTGGGAAAAAAAATATTAAGATCAATGATTTCGATTCATTGGAAATGCTCTTCGATTTTCCATCGTTGGATTTATCAATTGATTCCCAAAAAGATATTGCACAGCCAGTCGAAACAGGTTCTCGTATACGATTCTCTGCAAATACACAGATAATCAATATAAGCAAAGTAAATCATCTTCCGATCTCCTCATTTTCGCTATTTGTATATATTCATTCACAGGAAGATAAAAACTCGCTTCGAATCGAAAAGAGCGACAGTCCACCGATACAGAAATCACAGCAACGCTTACGATTAGATTCACAAACAAATCAAAATGTATCACAGAATGTTCAATGGCTATGTATGTGTCACTCGATTATCTTTTCCTCATACGAATATTTGTCTATATTTCCAGCCAAACGATTGAGTGAAGTTCTCTCGTCTCCGAGACAAAGTATTCGAAACGCAGCCGAATCTTCATTGAAAAAGGTTCTACCGGGTGTTGTCGTCACGTCATCTCGATCATCTCGTCGACGAATAAGTTCAGCAGCAGCAACGCAAGCATTCGCTGTTGCCACATCTGGCGAGTCTCCGAAAGGGATGAGGCAAGAACGATTATCAAGTAATCCAGGTACTGCGCTGATTTGGCGTTTTTACTTTTATTAGATGTTTAATTTGCTCAACACAGGTGGTGGATCTGTTTCAACCCAAGCAACTGCAACTAGCAACAATTCAATGCCGTTGAGTTCGAAAGAACAAAGAGCAAATGAATACATTATTGTTAATACAGCTTCGACAATGCGTGTGCTTAATGTTCTACGACATTGGTTAACTAAGCATCCGTTGGTAACGATGAGTTTTATTCAAAATGAATTCAGCCGAACTTCTAAATTTGTATATTTCAGGACTTTCATACTAATCCTAAATTGAAAGAGGTAAGAACAGTTTGTGGAGTGTGATTATTTTGATGTCAAGGATTTGTTTCAGATGGTTTTGGAGCTTTTACAAGATATGCTGTTAAATGACCATTTAATTGCTGCTGAACACAAAGCAGCAGTTGCCATTATAAAAAAAATCGAAACGTCAGAAATCGATGATCAAAACGAGCAATTACAAATACTTTTAAATCCCACCCAAGTAAATCAAAAACATTTTCCTTTCAATGGAATTTCTTCTTCTTTTTTTTTAGACCTCAAATGCCACGTTTGAACATATTGCTGTTTCGGATCTTGCTGAACAAATGACATTAATCGATCATAAACTTTTCTGTGCACTAGGCAGCGAGTAAGACACAAACTCTCAAGAATATCTCTTGATGATATTTCTTTTGCTATAGAGAATTGCTACTATTGGGTTGGATGAAACCTGGACGAGATGATTTAGCACCGAATGTTGCTCTTGTATCTAAGCGATTCAACGAAGTAGAAAATTTTCTTTTACTCAAACGCTTTTTCTACATCTCAGCTTTCAGATGTGCCGCCTTGTGATCACCGAAATTCTAACACAAGCAACTGTGAATGATCGAGTACAATGCATTGAAAAATGGAGTAAGTTGTTCGGATAGTTTTGAAATGAAAGATTGAATGTTGGACTCTTAGGTACGGTTGCTGACATATGTCGATATTTACGAAATTTCAACGGTGTTCTTCAAATCATGGCCGCATTTGTTAACAGTTCAGTTTATCGTTTAAAAACTACTTGGGATCGAATATCCAAACAGCACAAACAAGTGATTAATAAGTTACAAGCTTTAGTTCATTCCGATGGAAAATTTAAAAACCTACGCGATACTTTAACTAAGTAAGATTGATCAACCGAACAGAAAGAGTCATTTCTTTATGGACATCTATAGAGTGGATCCACCGTGTGTTCCATACCTTGGTTTATACTTGTCGGATTTAACATTCGTGGAGGAAAGTTCTCAAGATATATCCGAAACACATTTGATCAATTTTTCCAAAATGCGAATGGTAAATCCGGTTTTTGATCGGCTGTGATCAATATACAATCTTTTTTTTTTGTTTAGAAAACACATATCATCAGCGAAATTCATCGTTTTCAATCGACTGCATACAAAATCAAGCACAATCCACGTGTGTGTTCCTATTTATTAAACAAATCGAACGTGTTAAGTGAAGATCAATGTTATATTCTTTCATTGAAACTCGAACCTCGTGCATCCCGTGCCGGATTAACTAATTTAGGCGTATAACGAATTGTTTTATTTTTCAATAAAAATTTTAGATATTTTATCAATAGAAATTCAAATGTCCTTCTCACCATCCGCATAGGTTTCCTCACGCATTGCTTCATTGTTTTTTCATCTTCAACAGACTTGTCAGAATTCCTTCGGCATGAGTAAGGTCACTTGGTTCTAATGTGCCACTCTTATCAGCATCGAGTTTTTTAAAAATAACTTTCGCTAGCAATTTTGCAGCTACACCTTTCACACCGAAACGTTCTAGTAGCAGCTGTAAATCTTCTTTCGTCACACGTCCGTCGCCATTTTGATCTAACGCATGGAAGGCTTCAACGGGATTACTGAATGCTTTTCTTAAACCAGCAACATCAAATTCTGATGGTAATGCATTCGCTGCTTCTTGTTCGGACGGCATGTGTGTGTCCTCGACGAGTTTCTTCACCAAATGTGTCGATTATCGTATACCTTCGATGAAGAAAAACACACTCGAAACAGAATAGAGAAAAAAACTTTCTTATAGCTCCCAGCCAGACGTTCATGACTCATGATAGAATACCATGGCATTTAGTTGAGTGAAAATTTCAGTGACGTATTGTAATTTGAGAACGATATTTGAAAAAATTTAACGACAGAATGGAGAGAAAGAGATGAATGAAAATGAATCATATTGTGTACAAATTATGAAATTAAAGTACGCTTTGGTAGAGTAATTTGATCAATGCAAAGCATGCAACATACGACCTCGCTGACCTATTTGATCTAATGTCTTGTAAATGAATGTGTCGTAGGGAATTGATGGCCGATAGTTTAACAAATAAGTCTTACTGTTTACATTAGACGACACCGATTAGAGTTCGGAATTGTAAAACAAAAGAGTCGCTAACTTCTATTTGAAAGCACTGGCAGTTGACGAATACTAGTATTAAGGAGTTTGTGTCGTATTCACGAAAAAAACGACCAAAGAAGAATGTTATTAGAGCACACATTTATACCATGTCCAAAAGACAATAGAAGCAGAAAATTTATTTGACAATCATGCTGCGTATTCAATCAGATAAAATCTCAAATTAAAAGACTTTTCTGATTTATCAAATCCAAGAGAGACGAAAACACGTATCTATCCAGGATAATCCGCCTTTTCATTGATTAACTCATAGAATGGAAAAATCTCGTTTAACAAAATCCTAATACAGAATGAATGAACAACTCCCCGTCTTGGTTAAAAATAAAAACGTAATTTATGATGAGTCATTGCAATTGTTGTTATCAATGTCGTCTTATCTACAACGATAGTCCACTATCTCTGTCTGCATACGCATTATTATCAAGCAGTGAGAGTTTTTTCAACGTCGACGAAGATGAAACATTTTCTTACGATTTTCTCAATATTCAGCGTACTAATTCACAAATATTCTGCACTTGATTTCGATAACTACACTCTATTTATTAACCATCTCAGTTCCGATGAAACCTTTCTCGATAATTACGCAGATTGGTCATTGAAGCTCTTCTCTCGCGAAGCTTATATTTATGGCAATCAACACGGTCGATTTCGTTGCCCGAGGAACTATTCGAAGACTAACTCTAATATTCCTACATCAGTCCACAAACTTCAACCGGGTGATTTCAAATGCATTGGGGCCTTGGGTGATGGTTTAACGACTGGTCTAGCCACTCAAGCAATTACGCCGACGGGTTTATTATTCGAAAGTCGAGGTAAAATGTTCGATAGGAAGTATTCCTTTGTCTATCGACGCTGCTTTTTTCAGGCATGTCCTGGTCTATTGGAGGAGATTATACTTTCTCAAAATTTATATCCTTGCCGAATATACTACGAGAATACACTCCTGCTTTACAAGGCTTTTCGACGACAGTTTCAGCGATGTTTTCCAATGATGGTAATTCAACGGATAGTGGACTCAATGTTGGTGAGCATCGAATATTAATATAAGAAATTAATTGTATTTTTTCTGCTCTTTAAGCTAATTCAGGAGATTATTCTATGCATTTATCATACCAGGCAGAATATCTCATTGATCGAATAAAAACTGAACAATTATGCAATTGGAAGGATGATTGGAAGCTTATTACAGTTCTTATCGGGGTAAGTTCACTTCGAATCATTGCGTTGCTGACTGCAAATATTCTAGGTTAATGATCTATGTAGTTTTTGCGATGATGTCAATGGTAGTAGATACACACCAGAACAATACATAAGGAACATTCGTGAGGGATTGGATATCTTATATCAAGCTCAAATACCACGTACATTTGTTAATCTCGTTCCTCCACTTGATGTTCGTATTTTTCAACAGCATACTGCACATGGACAAGTATGTGAGTCACTTTTAAAACGATTGTGTCCATGCGCAGCTTCTCCAACAGCAGAACAGGCTCATGTACTAGACGATCATGTTGAACAGTACTATGCTTTACTTCACAAGTTGATCGCTAGTAAACGATATGATGACCGTGATGATTTCACTGTCGTTATTCAACCGTTTATGAAAACAATCTATCAACGACATAGAAATGATCATGGTATTGACCTTAGTTATTTTGCATCCGATTGTTTTCACTTTAGCGGTGAGTGCACATTATTCACACATGGTACACACGAATCTAGTCAAACCTGTTTTAGGCAAAGGTCATTCTCAAGCAGCACTCTCCTTATGGAATAATATGTTAGAGCCTGTTGGCGGTAAACACTCAGCATGGTCGATGGGTAATTCGCTGAAATGTCCAACAAAAGAATATCCATACATATTCACATCGAAGAATTCTGCCGAAGCTTTACATGAATACAAGCGTACAACCATCGCACAGAGCAGAAATGCAAGTACCAGTACGAAAGCACGCACATCAACAATAATGAGTAGTACTTTTGAGCTAAATGATACTAGCGAATCTTTTCAAGAAGAGCTAAAGCCGATATCCAAACTGCCGATGCGCAAATCGAGAATCTTGCTTATTGTGATCATTCTAATCGGTATAATTGTTATTCTCGTATGGATAGTGAGTCAAAGAAGAAAGAATCGATCGTTTAAGTTCCCATCTGGCCGACATAATTTTTCCGGTATTCAGAACACACAACGAATTGAAGATGAAGATGATGACGATGGCAATGTCTGGAATAAAAGTGAAATACTTCCAACTTATTTTGATGATGACAAAACGACGAAAACACATGGCATACGTGTCTCATTTGAATAAACATGCACACAATGTTGCTGCAAGCTACCTTTTCACGTGTGTTCATTCATCGATCTTGTTCACACATTTGTACATCTGTTAGCTTGCGACAACTATAACTGTATCTTTTTTCCGATTGGTGGAAAGAGAAATTTTGGTATAAAAAATAAAGGAAAAGAAGAAAAAAAAACTTCAATTCTGACAGTGTCTGTTAGACGTCGTCGTTCATTTGAATGTCGACAACAGTTACCGGTACCTGTTTATGTCGACCAATTTTCCTTCTTATTGGTGTCGTTAATGTACGTGTTGATATTAGCTTTTTCCTCTTCTTTTTCTTTCCGCTTTCTTTTATTTACGACTTTTTTTCTCGAAGATGACTAATGATGACAATCGAATGATAGACGATCACATTCTCCTTTTCTAGCTTATTATTCAGTCAAGTGCGCATTTCATTTCGTATCTCGATGTCTGATACATCCAGAGAGAAGATCTACGGTGTCGATGCTTCGGAACGCAACGCTCGTTTGCTACGCGTGAAAATTTTACGAGCTGTTGATCTACAGAGACGAGATTTTCTCGGCGGATCGGGTGATCCCTACGTCAAAATATCGTTGCAAGTTCGTGATAATCGAAATGTAACAATCGATATCGCACGAACACGCACAGTACCAAAAACACTCAATCCATTATGGAATCAAGATTTCATCTTTCGAGTATGTCATCCATTTCATTTAATGGAATCGAATAAAGATCGTAAATAGGTTGATCCAAGCAAACACCGTCTGCAGTTCGAAATATACGATCAAAACAAACTCGTATGTATATGAAATCGAATTGAAACTGAAAAACAAATGATGAATTGCGTTTGTTGTTGTCTTCAGACGAAAGATGAGTTTCTTGGCATGTTTCTTGTGGATTTAACAATGAATATTCCCTATGAATCAGCTGAACAAGCAATGTTAACCAAAGACTTTTCTTTAACGAAGCGCAGGTACGAGGGAGTTTTCTTTGAAGAAATGAATTGTTTATTGCTTTCTGAATTTAGCATTCTTCAACGTGTCCGCGGTACAGCAACGATTGGATTGGCTTATATGAATTCTCCAGGAACATTGACACATGCAGAATCTTCAGAGATCGAGACCAATGGTAGCGAAGTAAGATATCAACAGATTTCGTTTATTCATACATATAACTGTCCACATTTTGATCGATAGTCTGGATTTGAAATTATTCATCATCGAGATGTCTCTCAAACATTAAATGAAACACCTTTGCCTCCAGGATGGGAAGGTGAGTGACATATGTTTACACTTTACGCAAACTATTCTTGTTGATACAATTAGAACGAAAAGATGGACATGGTCGAACTTATTATGTTGATCATAACTCTCGCACAACAACTTGGCATCGTCCGACCGGACAAACTACGTTAGTATTCATGCCACTCAGATTATTCTTGATATCATCTGTCTACTTTTGGCATCAATGAGTCATATCAGCACGAAAAAGAATATTTTAACTTTGAGATATGATACCATAGAAGGTCATGTACGCAATTACAATTCACTATACGATTCCAGATATAACCATTTGAGTCAGAGCTACGTGATACTTCGGATTATGTTACGAATCGATATGAAATATTATGCAATTATATGTATAATTTTAGCACGGATAGTTCTCAGCGTACTCAACAACCAGTCGGTGATCGACGTCAAGTTGATGATATTGACGGTAGCAATAGTCAAACCAGTTCTTCAAGAACAGTGACAAATAGTTCTCGTGGCGGTGGTGTAGCAGGTAGTGACGGTGGTGGAGGAGCAAGCATTGTTTCTACAACTGCCGCTGGTTCGAATGCATCGGATGATCTTGGTCCGTTGCCACCTGGTTGGCAACTATCGAGAACTGACAATGAACGTGTGTTTTTTATTGATCATATCAACAAGCGAACAACATGGGTAATTAGCAAAAACGAATTTTAACGAATGATGATTCCAATTTATAGATTGATCCACGAACTGGCAAACCGAGTCCATTACCAGCCGCTCAGCGTGAGCTTAACCAGAATGGACCATTACCAGTAGGGAGTTCAACGAGTAGTATTTTCCGATATATTCAGTTGACTTCATTTCATAGGAGCAGTGGGAAGTTCGAACATTACCTGACGGTCGAGTTTATTACATCGATCACTGTGAGACTCGATTTCACACAAATTTCTCATCCTTTATCTTCTGTATTTTAGTGAACAAAACCACAACATGGACTGATCCTCGTATTGCTGGACCGGTACGTAGAGACATATATATGTGTTAGGGTATATTTACATTCAATCTTTTCATTTAAAATACACATGTAATCTTATTGCCTATTGAATTTACCTTTCCTATTGACACGTACTTATACCTGTACTTCGAGTACACTCAACTAATACCATTCTTTACATATATGTTCGGTGTCATTGTATCCAAGGATTGTGTACACACGAGAGATTTAAATCCATTAGAATACGGCTTTCTTAAACTTAGATAGTTTCTCTGCCTGTTTAGACGGTACCTTATTCACGTGACTATGAAGCGAAATATCGGCAGTTTCGCCGTTATTTACCGCGACCTAGATCAAATGTTGGTAATCAAGTTGAACTGCATATCAATCGAAAAGATATCATGGAAACTTCGTTTCGAGCGGTAATGGGCGCCCGAGATCCGGAGGTGTTGAAAGCAAGGTAAGTTTGTCTATCTTCTCTTCAAGTTTCATACGTATTTTTTTCAGACTTTGGGTGGTATTCGATGGCGAACGCGGTCTCGACTATGGTGGCTTAAGTCGTGAATGGTTTTTAGTACTTTCGCGCGAAGTTTTCAATCCATATTACGGTCTATTTGAATATAGTGCTATGTAAGAAAGATTTGAGAAACTTTAGTGTAACCATTCGGAAAATTTCTTCTAGTGATAACTATACACTTCAAGTCAATCCTCTGTCTGGTATATTCAATGAAGAACATATAAAATATTTTCGTTTTATTGGTCGTATCATCGCTATGGCTATCTATCATGGCAAATTACTCGAAGGTTTGTTTGAATTGCTTTGTTCTACAAGATGTCGACCTTCGTTTTACTTCGACAGCATTCTTCATTCGTCCGTTTTATAAAATGTTACTTTCAAAACCCATCACACTGGCTGATATGGAATCTGTGGATCGAGAATATTATCAATCTTTGAAATACATCATTGACAATGATCCAGCTGATCTAGATCTTTACTTTGTTGTTAGCGAAGAAATCTTGGGTGAAGTAAGTTGCAACGCTAGATAAAACGAATCTTATTCGATTGTTCACAGTTACGTGAACATGAATTGAAACCTGACGGTCAACATATTCAAGTAACTGATGCAAATAAACAAGAATATATCGAGTAAGTGAACTTCGCCATAACTCACTCATCAATGCGATTGTTTCTTTGAAATTAGTTTGGTCATCAATTATCGTTTCGTTCAACGAATTGCTACACAAATGAATGCATTGAAACAAGGTTTCCAAGATATCTTATCACTCGATACTATCAAAATGTTTGACGAGAAAGAAGTCGAGGTAAGCTCATCATTGCTTGGTGCTTATTAAAAGGCTATTTTGTTCTTCGTAGCTTCTAATCAGTGGTCTTGGAGAAATCAATGTCAATGATTGGCGAACCTATACAATGTACAAAGGAGGTTACACTCCAGACAATGTGGTTATACAATGGTTTTGGAAGGTAAATTCGACATTTTATTGTCGGACTTCATTCCGCATAGTTATTATTTGTATAGGCTATTGGATCGTTCAATATGGAAGAACGCACTCGCTTTTTGCAATTCGTTACGGGTACTTCTCGATTACCAATGAATGGTTTTCGTGAATTGTGGGGGTCGTCAGGTCCGCAATTATTCACGATTGAACGATGGGGCGATCGTACAAAATTACCGCGTGCTCACACATGGTTTGTAGACTTTGATTATCCGATGATCTCATGTCTATTTGACGAATTTGTTCTAGTTTCAACCGTATCGATTTACCACCGTATGAAAGCTACCAAGAACTGCGCCAGAAATTAGTTCAAGCAATGGAAATGAGCGAAGCATTTGAAGGTGTTGACTAACATGAACACATTCTTTTTATTTCACTCTCAATATTTACATATACAGGCCTATACTATAGTTGCAAGTCTTTCTTTCTTTCTTTCCGATATTCTGTTCCGCTTCTATTTCACTAGATCGTATGTGCAAAAAAAAAGAGACGAAAATCAAGACAGCATGTACAAACTTTTCTTTCGTGTTTATATACAGTGAACAACATAGAGAAATATCGAAGAAGTATGCATGTGTATATACATTCATTCCTATTCGAATAGTTTCAGTTATCTATTTTCTTTACCTGATTTCGTTTTTCCTTTGTTCTCTTTTCGTGTATCACTTACATATTTACTCTCAACGTTTATATGCCAGTGAGTCTATATGTTATCTTCTACCTTCTTTACAGTTATATAACAACTTTTGTTAATTGCTGTCCATCACCATTTTCTTTTGCGTTTTTTTTCTGTTGTCGTTATCTTTTCCGCTTATGTATATTCCGACAGACGAAAGAACAAACATGATCACGATGACGTGAACTTTCACGCGAAAGTAGCTCGGCCCAGTTCGATCTATTGATATTTCCAGAAAAATATAAAGGCGTACTGAATCTTATCTTTAGATAGTCTTCAAGCGATATGAGCTGGTCTTCATTGATCGGTTGGGTAGTAGTACCACAGATTGGTGGCATTTTGGGCGGTCTTGCAACTGTCACGCAAATAAAAACGTGGTATGAGGTAAATATATTGATGACAAATAGAAAAACAGATAAATATTCATGATCTCGGACAGAAATTGTTGAAACCGTCGTGGCGACCGCCAAATGCAGTTTTTGGACCGGCATGGACGATTTTGTATCTTTTTATGGGCATTGCTTCGTATTTAGTCGCACGCGACGGCCAAGGATCAGTAAGAACACTGGCGTTAACATTCTATTTCATTCAATTAATATTGAATTGGTCGTGGACACCGGTGTTTTTCGTTTTTCATCAATTGGGAGCCGTGAGTTCGAGTAATCACATGGCTATCTCGAAGTAAAGGTCTTATTTTTAGGCCATAGTCATCATTCTCGTACTATTCATTAATATTTTCATTTGCGTTCTACAATTTTGGCATATTAATTCCTATGCGGGAATGCTGATGGTTCCTTATCTCATCTGGGTTGGATATGGTAAAAATGTTTGCATGTACAACTCTCGTATATAACTGTTATTCATTTCAGCATCGGCATTGACCATTGCCATATGGCAATTGAACTCACCCTATGCTCAGCCACCACCGCGACGTCCTCGACCAACCGGTGATCCATATCAGCAATAGTTTTTGCGTTGATTTTTTCAACTATTTTATATGTTGTTTTGTTATAACAGATCTAATCATGCTTGTAGATATTGTGTCTAACACATGAGTTTTTCGAAGGAAGCATTGGGATTAACAATACTACCGCATGTCGGCGGCATCATCGGCGGGTTAATCACACGAAAGAACGTCAAGCAATGGTCTGTATTGAAAATAAGTCAACGTCTTAGATGTATTTGCTTGTTCAAGGTATGAAACATTGGATCGACCATCATGGAGACCACCGAACTGGGCATTTGGACCTGTGTGGACGAGTTTATATACCATGATGGGTTATGCATCGTATCTAATATATCGCGATGGTTTTGGCGAAACTCGTGATCGTGCTCTTGTTCTTTACGGTTCACAACTTGCATTAAACTGGCTTTGGACACCCATTTTCTTCCATTATCATAAGCTAGGATTGGTAAATGACAAACTAATTCCTCAAAATCAGGAAATTACGACTTCATTTTGCTTTTTTTTGTCGTAGGCATTCGGTGAAATTCTCTTACTCTTAGCTAACATTGGTTTGTGCATCAATGCATTCTATCCAATCAATCGTACAGCCGCTTATCTTATGATACCTTATTTCGGTTGGGTTTCTCTGGCAACGACACTGACTTATTCCATTTGGCAGCGAAACAAAAACAAGAGAACGGACTAATTCACCTCTATCGCGTTCAAAATCTATTCTCTAGATAGTTTTGTGCTAAAATCAAGCAAAATAGGTATTCTTACTATCAGAATCCCTCATTAGAAATATAATTTGATATTTTATATGAGATCATCAGGAAATAACCGAATCAATGTCGGTTAAAAAAAGAAAAACGTTCGCTTTCTGACGTTAAACTTGTTTATTGAGGAAGAATGACAAAGAGATTACACTCGGATGTATAAGAATAATTGATTATATGAAGAAAAATGAAGTCATTTCAGTGCGATCATTGCACCAATGTTAGTGACGATGCTTTCTTTTGACTCCGTCGGATTTTCTGCTGAAATAATGTTACGATCTGTTTGACCGCATGACTCATTATGCAATAGCATATGGGATTAATTGCTGAATTTGCCAAGGACAATAATTGAAAAACTGGATTCACATAAAGAACAAGGAACATTTTGTTGTTTGTATTTGTCGTATACGCTGAATAGAGCGATTCGGGATCCACTGCTGTACTATTGATATATGTGTTTTCAAGTAAATACGTATTGGATGTTGCATCGATGTAAATCGATAGAATATGTATCGGAAGTCGTGTGATGAAGAAAACAATGACTAGAAGAAAAAAAAAGTGAAGTTACAATGAAGTGAATATTTGAGTGTGATTACCTAAAGTGATGAGTAACTTGACAACTCGACGCCGACTGTGTAAAAATCGACTGGCATGTTCAAAATCAATGATCGATCGACGTTGAGGATTGGTGAGATTCAACAAACGATTTTGACATGGAATTGATGATACACTCGAACGAAGAGCACCACTGGTATATTGAGTGACTGAATGTCGTTGACGAATAGGTATTGCACGTCCTTGGGTATTCACCGGGGTGTGAGCATTCAGATTCAATGTATAATCATTTTCGCTGAACCGTCGTAAGACCATCGGTCCAGCTGATAGTCGGCGATAGTTTTGTTGTTCTTGCAGTAGAGTACCTCGTCGCTGTCGATTAGAGACTAGCAGTGCACGATAATCATCGAGATTTACTCGACTACGCTGAAAATCAGTATTTCGATGGTAACGCATGTAGATAGGTCGAGATTTTTGTAATGAATTGGCACGTGTATCATTGAACATGTCTTCTGATATAGTAGAAAATCGTGCAGCATTGAGAATCGACGAGGATATTGATGAGCGAACATTGGAATCAATGAACCAAAGTGCAAAGCTGATTCGAATGTAACAATACGTCATTAATGTTAATGGTAATATGAAAAGAACGAGAAGTAAGATAAAATCATAGACTAATCGTGCATTCATATTTCGATGCCATTCTTCTGCACATGCTGTTAAGGTTATGTCAAACGGGTCGACAATACGATGATGTAGACTCAATGGAATCATCAGAACAAATGCTAAACGGACATGAATAGTTAAAGAAAAGATCATTGCAGATAAAACTTACAAACAATCCATGTCATGATTATTGTAAACAACACTCGACTTGGTGTGCATAACAATTTCGAATGTATAGGCTTGTGTATGGCAATAAATCGATCGATACTGACTAAAAAAGACGATGACTTGACATTTTTTTTGAAATTGAAGATCCAGGACCGCTTACCTGCCATTAAAGTAAAGATGGATACAGCGACTGATGTACCTACAATAATGATTCGAGTAAATTTGCAGACGAAATATAGGAAACGAAAATGATCAATAAGATTCAGAGCATTCTTCTGGGAATTCCTGTCAAAAACATAATAATTAGTTTACAGCTGCCTATGACGAAAGTTAATTGTGTATTTTCTTCTCCATTCACTAATAACAGGAACATGACAAGCACGTTCACTGTATCTATAGACGAAATTGAATTAATTTTCTCGTGAATATTAGTTGATTGCCAATGAATGGTTCAGAATTAGAAAACAACAATCTTTACCTTGCATAAACGGAACGAACCGACAGAGAAATTCGCCGAAAATCCATCGTTTATCATAGTAATGATACGATGTGGGCGGCAAACAGATCAACGTGGCAAGTAAATCTGAGATGGCCAGATTGAGCAAAAATCGGTTTGTTAATGTTCGCATTCGTCGACGTTTTATAATCATAACGATCACGAAGATATTTGCGATAAGACCGATGAGAAAGATAATTGCATAGATAAAAAATAATACACAGGAGAAGATAAACGAAGTCTGTGTTTCAAAGGCCGCTGACCAGAATGACTTCGGTTTGTGAGGGTAATCGGTTTGATTGGAAAATGTTCCTTTTGACATTGTTGGATCTAAAATAAGAAAATCTTTCAAATGAGCAGTAATTGAATGACGCTTTTCTCTTTTTTCAAAATCACAGCGTCGATGACCTTGATGTTACCGACCGATCTCTAGTCTTACTTTTCCTGTTGTTAATCATTGACTATTATGATGATCGACCCGAACTGACGATTGTCGAATGTTTCTCAGAATAGTTCACGCTCCTTTTTTTCAGTTCAAATGAAAAAAAAGAAACAGGAAGAAAAGCGTTTCGCTGTAATATAACCGCCTTCAAAGGCAATTCTATTGGATAGAGACAAAGGGCTGAATTACTTATCTTACCTTTCATTTATTCCAGGAGATGACTATTCGATGGAGAGAGAGAGAGAGAGAGAAAAGAGAGACAAGGAAAAAAAGAAAATATCCTGTTATTAACTGTGATAATGATGTCTCGTACTATTATCGATATTTTCTCATTGTAGTCGCTTTTTCAGAATAATGCATCAGCCGGCATCAAACTCGTTCAAGCATCGCTATTCGCAGTGTCTGTTTCATTTTAGTGTCACCTGAACTGCGCATCTGCCTTGACTTCGAAGATAAATGAAAGACTCGTTAATTAAAAGTCTACAGATTAATAGATGAATGAAAATGACATCCAGATATGCGTGTGACACGTCAAAACACGCACAAATCTAATAGTTTTCGTACTGAACGCGACATGTTAGGGCTCTTATTTCTTCAATCTAGGTTACACTACACTTTGACGTATAAATAATAATGAAATAAGCTGAAAATCTGGGATGAACTCGTCTTCTTCGAGTAATACGTTGACAGATGTTCGAGTGAATTTTATTCTGGTCTTTCGAATCATGAAAGAAAGCAGAGACAAAGACTTCCATCAAATGTTGAAGTCTTTTTATGAGCAAAAGAACTCATGCTTATTCGCGACGTCGTAGCCGATAACGTAGGAGTGCGAAAAAAATGAGTTCTTTTATTATCTGTATAGAAGATGGCAAATGTTGATTGGCAACAATGACAAATCAATACATTGTGAAGCTAGAAATTCTTTTTTTGATTTGTTAGTATGGAAAATCTGCGAAGCGGTTAGCCATTAGCTGATAATAATAAGTTATTGCTTTGAACAGGAGGATATTTTGTTGTATCTGACCTAATAATGATAATAATTCGAAGCCGCGAAACAAGAGTAATGCGTGTCATGTAGTCTACACAGAGCGACATATGTCAACGCCATCTGTGATTTCAATTTCAAAACTGTAATTTGTCAGAATGTTACCATTCAGACTGTCACAGGAATATTTATTTTGCATGCGTAGCTCGTCAAAGAAAAAAAATCTATCATTCTGCTGACGTGGATACCAAATTTGATTTATTCATAATCTAAATGGAAAATATTGCGTTGACCGATTCAAACGATGATCTGACGAGTGAAGTGGTTGGAGATCAGAGTTCATCTCATTTACCATCGAGAATGTTTGCTGAACAACAGCATGTCACATCCGAATTACACGATGCAGCGAATACGGATGTCACAAAAGGTAAGCCAATTGTTCTCAGAATGAGTTTCTCTCTTAAGTTCTTCTGTTATTGTTAAGCACCATTTGTGACATCGGCGAATACACCATTTAGACCTCTTTTTCCTGCATTGAATAATTCGCCACAATTACCATCGAATGGTTCGCCTTTGTTATTTCAACAGAAAGGACCTGCTATTCCCACACCGACGATGAATCCACTGCTTCAATCACCAGCATCTGTTCCGCCATTATCATCGACATTGCTTCAACCGACACTTCGTCCACCACTTGCTTCAAGTGCGTTTCAACCACCAACATCAGCGTTCACACCATTAAACCCTGCGAATACACAACTGTCAACATCATTGATTCAACCAAAACTAACTATTGGAAATCAGTCAAATCCACTAATACAACCAAGTCCATTTCCACTACCAAGACTACCAACCGTCCAAGGTTCCGAAATGGCAAACGTTCCACCACCTATGACGATACCACCTCCGACACAGGACATACCAATCTATCAGCCGGATACAGGATTCCCTCCATCTGCACCTCCACCGCAAGATCTAAATCATCCAGTACCTCCTCCACTACCACCACCACCACCCTCTCAACCAATAGGCACATGTAAGCGAACTTGATATTTTCTTGATCAATTGATTTCTCTTTGTATTTTTGTTTTTTTCTTCAGCAGCAACTAATCCTTTTAGTGCTCGTGCTTCATTGACTGAACGAATCTATCCAAGTATGCCAGTGTCTCAAGCTCCACTTCAACCACAGCAATTACCTCCCCCAATCAGTTTTCAACAGCAGCAACAACAACAGAATCCCTTGCCAGTACCAACGAGTACAATGTTTGTTCCACCACCGCCACCGCCTGCTGCTAACTCAACGATACCTAATGTTTATCCAGGGCAAGTAAATCTCGTTTTTCAACCTCACAATAAATATTGTTGTTTTTCTTCCTCTTCTTCAGAACTGACCCTAATACATATAATCTGGCATATCAACCACCAGGTTTGTTTACAAATTCGAGTCAAATAGTTGCTCGACTTTATTCTTTTACAGGTGAACCTAGTTTAACACCATGGTCTAATTATCCACCTCAACCAACGGCAGGATATGATCAACTGCAGCAAGACTCATCTTCTGCTAATGCTGCTGGTATCTGGGGTTGGATTAGTAATAACAAAATGTTAGCTACTGTGGTTGAGAAAGCCAAGGTAAACTTCTCTTCAAAGCTGGCATAGTTGAATTTCAGCTGCTCTGTACTTGACTTGAAATCGAAATAAAAAAACACCGTCATTGTAGACTGGAATTGAAACAGTGATCACAACGGTTGATCCTCAAATGAAACAATATATTCGTAAGTGAACATTTCAAGAGTATCGGAGAAAAAAGTCATATCGTCTTTATTAAGAGCCTGGACATGAAGTCCATATCGTAGTTACTTCAGCAAAAGATGTGAAACTTACTCCTGTACGTGATGCATTTACGCATGTGTTTGGTCGAGCAACCACTCAAGGCATTGTAAGCACCATAAAATTCATTTTCTCTTTGATATCGAACTTCGTAGGGTGTTCAATCCAATGTTGCTCCACAACCTATCGGTTTCGAAGCTGGATTTAAAGGTTTGTTCAACTCGTTTTGTTATTCACAATCTAAAGTACATGTGTCTCTAATTACAGGCGCTCAACAACGTATCGAGAATCTTCGTCGTCAAAATGTTGTTCGTCCAGATCAATGCGTTGTTTCAATCGAGAATTTCATCGCTGAACTTGTTCCTGATATGTATTTTGATCTTGGTTATGTACTTTTATCTGATCCTCTGAATTCTATCGAATTACATCTATTTACTCAAGCCATCCCCGTGCCTATTGAATATGTCTATCAAGCACGTGATCGCACACCAGCTGACTATCCATTGAAATGGAGTGGCTATATGGTGACAGTCGGCGAAGTGCTTCATTCACAAATGCCGTTTGTGAATCCCGAGGATTGGCATGAAATGATGAGCGGAACATCGCGACGAGAGATTATATATGCAACATGTAAAACACTTGCATGTATGTATAAACAAAGATTAAATCGAAAACAATAACAGTTCTATCTCTTTTATGATTATATAAAGTTTATTCTTTCTTTTAAAACAAAAAATCACCAAGAAACAAGACGATATTTCTATGTGAAATTTATCTTCTCTTGCACTAATATATATTGTTCGTTTTTTTTTCTCAGTATGTTATTCAATTAGATAAAAATGAAAAAGTGGAATTCTGTCAATCGTATCCTTTTGTGTAAACACCAATTCTGGTTTCGCATGTACTGAAAACAAAATTTACAAAAACACCCTTTTAAAGTTAGACAACAACGAACCTGAATTAAACTTTAGCAACTTTCCAAGAACAGTATTTTGTTCTGCTTCTAATGGAGACCATTAAATTTACGAGTATTTACACAGAATACTAATAAGACTATATTCAGACTGTCAAGAAGCTGAGTCATGTGCTCCATACAAGTAAACCTATGTTTAACATAAGACATGAGAGAAATCATGACAGCCGACTTGAGCGAGACATGATGTTGACTCAACGTTCTCTTTTCCTGTATAAAAAGTTGCTGCATTTTTCATATTTCAGTCATACTTTTTCATCCATTTTTTCCTGACGAGGTATTACATAACTGTACGAGTTTCTTTAGAAGATCTAAACTGCCATACAAAGTAGAATGACTTTTCAGCGAATGATATCGAGAACACATTCTGTCAATTCACACAAATATTTCATAAGGAGCACGTCGAGGATTCTTCTGTATTGAGTATCTCATCGAATTACTAGTGACATCTCGCTGTTACTCATCTTAAAAGTGTTTAGTTTAGTTGAGCTTTCACGAGTACTACATTTTCACTTAACTTTGCTTATAATCAAACGCTTCTCAAGATTCACAAATAAAACAATCCACTTATTTCACTGGCTGCTGCAAGTGGCATATCAGAACAGTGCTTGTCAAATTCGTTAATAAATCATCATGAAATATGCTTTAAGATTTGACTATGAACATTTTAGCGCATAGGTTCAAGCCGGTTAAATCCGATCAATGTGAGACGAACTGTCTCTCACAGGATGAACTTCAATGTTTGAACAAGCTCATCGGAAATCAATGTGATGTACGTGGAGAGATTTGGATTCCTCGAAATTCCACGTGCACGTGTTTAGAATTTAGCAACGGCTGTGGTTCAGATTTTACATGAGAATCAAAATCGATGGAGGAAACAAGCGTGTGGAATTCTATGCTTCGTGACAGATTACGAAAAACATATTTATTGTTTTCGTTTATATGACCTTCAAGTAACGAAAAGCATGTTTTTCTCATCGCGCGGTTGGTAAATATTCTGTTTGTTTGCGTTTAGCTGAAAGAATCGATTTATGAAGCATTTGTACCGAGTGATTTACGTCTCAAATATATTGTAGATGGTTTCTATACATTCGATGGCATGGTATGAACATTTCTGTTTCATTCATTAAATGTTTATTCTCTCTTTGTACTCATATAGACATGCAAAGTCGGCATTAATTTCGCTCAACAATTTAATGCAGAGGTCTTTTGCAATCAATTTCATGCGAAACAGGATGCTCGACAGAGTAAAATAATATGTTCAAGTTTATTTCTACACAGGATTTTCTTCTCGAATAGAAAAATCATCCATAACGACTCACCGATTGCCAGGTATGATCTAGTCTGTCTAATAACACTCACTGTAATACAGAACTGTTGTTCGATTTAGAACAAATCGGTTCGACATTTAAAAGTTGGATATTCAAGGGAAGAAAATCACCGGTAATATCTGCCCCTCTTACATCCACGTATGTCGAAGGAAAACTTAGTTCGGACAAACGTATTTTGTTTTAGTTTCGTACATGGTGCACATATTGGGCCTGACGGAGTATGTAAATAAGTTCGATTATCAGTGGAAAAACGACTTCCTTTTTTTTAAAATTTAGTCTTATGTGAAAAATGAAGCGCAGAGAAAGTTGTTTGAAGAAGTATTAGCTTGCATGAATTTATCCCAAGAAGAACAAACGTACGTTCGAGAGAATATTGATTCGAATAATGGTATCTTGGAAGAACTCTTCACAAGTACGATTTGCACAGGCGTTTTGCAATATAATTCGAAACTTGATTTCAATTTTCAGAAAATTATAGCACTATGAAAGCAACTCCCATTTCATACCTACCGCCGGTTCCTCCACGGCCTACTTTGACTGTTCCAAAACATAATACTGAAGTGCAACGAACGGCACCGACCGTTCAGCCGCCTGCACCTCCACCAATCTTTCCTTTTACAAATGTTCCAATTGTATCTGCGGATACATCATCTTCAATAGAAGCAAAACCTATTTCAAATGACGCCACGAATTCAATTCCAAAAATTATAAAAGTATACATTGTCGTTTACTTTCACATCTAATCACATTTGCATTTCTTAGCCGGTAGAGACTTCAGCCGCACCATTTTCGGACCATATCGAGCTTGACCCGCGTGATACGTTGCAGATGAACATCCGAGAAATGCTCAAAGTCCGACGAATTGGTATCAGTAAGACATTTCTCATTGACAAACATTTCGAACGAATCATTTTGTCTTCTATTAGTGGGTGACAAGGATACCACAACCGATCAAACACCGGATGAGGATTCATCGACTTAGTGCGACACAATGGAGAATAATTCGCTATGACTGCTGTTCTTTTTTATGTATCGAAATTTTAAAAAAAAACTTCAAATGTTTTGTCTTCCTGTTTTATTTGATAAGATTCAAAGCGTGTTCTCGTTTATAGTGAAGTTCACCTTGTCATCTTACGTAATAGTCATAAACTGCGATTTCCGTTCTCAGAAGTTTTTATTAGACCGATAAGCGAAGAATGAAGATTTACATCTTAACATACGAACAGTCGATTATTGACTTAGGAAACTATCTAATGGCACGTAATCGCTTGCCTCTTATTCACTCTTAAAGTGCATTTAACAATCGTTTCATGGGTTCATTGATATTCAGTCCATCTAGTTTCCGATCTAAACAGTCGAAATCGCATTTTTCGATGGTTTGTTTGGTTAACTGCTCATCATCGTAAATCCTATGGTGTGGTGATGTATTGTACAGCATTCGTTCACAGAATGCTAAAATTCCGGCATAAGTTTCGAAGGTGAATTCATATTCTTGAGTTTTTAGATCGAGCAATCGGCAAAGTTCCGTATATTTCGCACGTGTAAAACTTTCTTTGTGAATGTCGCTCATCGACAAGAAGAGATCTGACGATTCGAAGAGATGTCGTCGATTTCGGTACTTTTGAAATAAACGCTTAAATTGATACTGTCGACGTGATGACAGGCGACAGTACTTTGTCAAATAGTCGAGTGGCGTTAAGTTTTCAAGCGTTCGTAGATCAAACGGTAATTCAAAACGACAAGCCTGAAAAGAGAAGAAATTAGACAGATGATTTTCTAATTTTACCTTTAGACACAAACTTGTTGGGATAACGGAACAGGACCTATTGATGCAGCACTAGCACTTTGTTTTATTTTAGTTAGCAGATTTAATGTTTCTTGATTTTCTTTGACATCTTCGTTTTCAGCTTTTCTAATGAGTTGATCGATTTTGTCAAGTGTTCCGACTTCTGAGATGATCGTTCCATTTAAAGACTCCTGGTCACCTGATATACTTTTCCGTTGAACTACTTTTGCTTTCTCTTCAGGTTCCATTGATTTGTTCACTTCTTTTGGTGCGATAGCTTTCTCGCGTCGCTCACCAACGATCGGCTGCGTAACACTATGTCGCTTCACATTCGAAATCGTACTATTTGGCTTCAACGATGCTCGTCTTAGTTGAATAGTTGGAGAATCGGTTGTTGATCGTAGAGAACTTTTACGAGCCGAAGTAAGAATACCTATTTTACCAACAATTATGGAAGTGTGTAGTATTCCATTGCTCGTCTCTGATCTCGGTGACGATTCCGGTTTATAATCGGCAAAGACAACCTGTTTTGTTCTTGAGGTTTCATAGTTTCTCATCTTCCTAGCTTTAGGTAACAACCGTAAAACAAATGCTACAGCTTCGCGATATGATAAAATTCTGTTCTCAGTATTGTCTGATAAGGAATGAAAACAGATTAATCTTTATTTTTTTCTTTTCTTTCGACTGCAACCAAGCAATCCGAAGTTACACACTGGATTCCATTTTTTGCACATGATCTGAATGGTTGATATTGACTAGTGTATTTCTTTGACGAGAAAGTTCTAATGAAATGTGTTCGTATGACGTCACCTGCTGCGTGCATTGCATCATCTTTTCTATCTCTATTTCAGATGACGAACGATTCGTCTTTGAGCAATAATCAAAACATGCACGACGCGACAATACTTCGCTACTTCACATCTGTTCGAGAACAAGAACCTGAGTAAAACAAAGTTCATTTTAACATACGGAGTTTTGATTTGTTCAATTGACATTTTAGAACGTCGGTCGCTACAACAGCTATTCGTACTTTACTCGATGTTATCAAACGCTCGTCAGCTGGCACATTGAGTGAATTAACAGTCGAATTAAAATCTGCTGTGCAACTACTGATTACTCACACAGATTCTTCCATACCCAGTGTCAAATCCGGTTGCGAATTATTTCTGCGCTTTATTACATTAGCAGTTTTCGATGCATTTGGTATCGATGAATGCCGACAAAAGTTAATGGAACGTGGACAAATATTCTTGAATCGAACACTATTAGCCCGACAGCGTATTTCCCAGCATAGTCAAGAATTCATTGTCGATGGAAGCGTCATTCTCACACATTCGTATTCGCGTGTCGTTCTTGCTCTTTTGAAATACGCATCGAATTTTGCTCGATTCAAAGTTTTAGTTACTCAATCCGAACCTGACAAAAGCGGACTGAAGATGCGAGACGAATTAGAAGCTATCGGCATACCGGCGATCTGTATTCTAGATGCCAGTGTGGCATGTATGATGGAACAAGTCACTCTTGTTCTAGTGGGCGCGGAGGCCGTCGTGGAAAGTGGTGGCATTATCAACAAAATCGGAACGTATAATCTCGCCATAGCAGCACGAGAGATGAACAAACCATTGTACGTTGCTGTTGAATCGTTCAAATTCGTTCGATTCTATCCATTGAACAATCGTGATTTGCCCAATGAATTTAAATATAAATCATCCACCATCGCGCGCTCAAGCGAAATTAATCTTGCTACAGAACATCCGTTAGTGGATTACACTCCGCCAGCGTATATTACTTTATTGTTCACAGATCTCGGCCCATTAACACCGTCTGCTGTTAGTGATGAGTTAATTAAACTTTATATATAGAATGCACGTACCGATGAAATAGTTTTTTTAAATAAAAAAAAACAAATCGTTTTCTGTTCGTTGTTTTTCTCTAGAAATCTGTTATTATTAGACATGTCTGTATTAGTGGTATCTAGACTGAATTTGTCCTTTCGCGGAATAGCTACTATTCTTGACGAGATATCTAAAGTAAATAGGAAGATAATCTAAGAATAACTGAGATTGACGTGTATGCTTACAAAATAGAATAGCATATTTCATAGGAACTTTTCCGAACTTGATACTTACGGATAGAATATGTCATTATTGTGTTGGATGAGGAGATAGAGAAGATATTTTTCGTCGTTTCTAATCATCTCGCATTCGAACCCATCCGAATCACTTTCTCAACCACACTCGCAGAATTATTTTCACTATCGTCATAATCAAGTGATGATGTTCGATAGTGCCTTTTGTTGTCTTAAACTGATCTTGTTAGTTTATATGAGAGAGGAAAAAAAAACATTAGAAACTAAATAAATATTAGTTTCGTTTTTCTATATACAATTCTCGAATGATCATATTATATGTAAAAAGAGAGACTTGACGAGATGTCAAAGTTCAGAAAGAATACTTTCTACTCGATCATAAATTAAATTACCCCGATCGACAAGAGCATTTAAGCGTTCCAGAACAAGTTTAATCGATTCTTGTGTTGTCGATGATAATCTCACGGACGACTGATCGTCTTTTGCCTGTTTTTGCTCATCGTCAACTAATAGAACGGATGATTCATCGATAATCAGACGAGTATTTTCTTGCTGTTGATTAACAACAGTCGACAAAGTTCGTACGATATCATCTAGTTTCGAATGACGGTGGCCGTTAGTTAACAGATGAGTTTTCGTCAAATTCGATCGATGTTGATCATCATTATCAATATGATGATTATCTCTCGAGATAAGTGCACGATCGAGTTCGTGTAAAGCTAACCAATAAGAGAGAAAGTTTAGCTAAATGACGTGTTGGTCAAGTTTGCTTTACCTTTTTGTAAATGTGCACGTACAGAAAACAAGTCACCCGTACTATTGTTGATTGTCGATGAAGATATTGATCGTTTATGATTCGTAAATAAAACTGGTCGTCTTCGCGTATGATTTGCAGCGGCAGCAATCGATGGGTGTCGAATTTGTTGGATTTGATCATCATCATCAGTCATTATACGGTTGATTTCATGATGCTCATCACTTCCATTTGTCATCGTAGGGCTCGACGGCTGCTGCTGATCATTGTCCATACCTGTATGATTCTCTTCGACGCTATTGTTCAGTCCCTCAATGTCATCGTCGTCACCACCGCCGTCTTCGTCGTCGTCCATTTCATGATCTAAGTTAGGTAGAGAGATTTGTTCGGGAACTTGCGTTAAACCACGAGTAGATGAACGCACATATAACGCGTCAGTGCCATTCGAGCGAGGATCTTTTATTCTTTTGGCGGCACTGAAATGAGGGAAAAGCTCGTGTATTTATACTTTCAATCTTCGTAATTCCTATCAACGCGTCTAGCTCTTTCCGTATACAGACAAGATTGGTTTTAGTATTTACTCAATGGGAAAGAGAAAGAAAAACACGCTATGTCATCGATTTATTCATCTGCTCACTTTAGAGATGTAGAACAATCGGTATTCCAGTCGGATGCATTACACCTCTGCGTGCATGCAGAATGTTTGACACCTTCAGAAATCAAGTACGAGAATTGATTTCCTTCCGATTACATCTCATTTCCGTTCAAATAGAACAATCCGAAGAAAATTGAATTGTTCTGTCAGACAAATCAAATATTATTGATGAATAGATTGGTATTCGTATTTACCGTTCTCGGTGAAAATAATCTGAAATTCGCCGATAAGCTTTGCGTTCATCTAACAGCTTATAAATTTTCTTGATTGTCAATGGCACGTTGGATTCACGTCTAATATATTCACCGTATTTCTTGTAATCATTGCCTAATCAAAAGAGAAACAATTAAGTCGAAATGAAATCATTGTTCAACAAGAAAAAGGTTAATTAACCATAAATTTCGCGTAATTGAAATAGTAATACTTTTTCATCTTCCTGTATTCGAATGACTTTCGTTGACGATTGAGGATTTGGTGGAGTAGCCATTCTAGTTTCACACGTATGCTATGCGAATAAGTGTTCGACGCGGAGTGAGATTGACGACGAAAGACAGACGATAGACGCACAAACACCGTATGTGCGTGTGTGTGCTCGCTCGTTTGCGTTCGATGGAAGAAGGGAAAGAAGAGAAATGAATGATGACGGACTGAATGAAACACGACGACGATGACGACGTCAACCGACGAGTCGGCATTGCAGCGACGGCTCGTTCGCTCGTTCTCGGTTGGCGCTGTGCGCTTGTCTCTTTTCTCCCCACCGCTCGGCAGCGTTAGCGACGATAACTGGCGCGCAAGTCGATCATGTTCGTTTGTTCTCTGTCTACGGCTCGCAACGAGTATATACTACGTGATGTGCACATTCGCGACTATAACCAGTACTCGTCGTTGAGTCTCCTATGCGTTGTTCGAGTTACGAGAAGAGTATGTCTACGGGAGGTCAATGTACCGCTCTATATAGGAGAAAAGGCGAAGAGAAAGAAAATATAAAATAGTACATGCGTAAAAACCTGATGAAAATATATTTACGAATGTTGTTTGTCAGTGGTATATGAGTGATTTCAGATGTTTACTCGTCCTTCTGGTTGCTTTTTGAAAACTTTCATCGCTCATGGTCGATGCCTCAGCGAAACCAAACGTGCATTGTCCAATGGTTCATTTGTTCGCCAGGTAGAAGAAAAAGAAACACATGAACTGATTTGTATTTCTGAATCGGTGTTCTTTATTCAGCTTTTTGAACAAATTACATCAACATATACTTATATCATCGCCGATGGAAAATCTCGAGAAGCCGTTATTATTGATCCAGTGATCACAACAGTTGCGCGAGATGCTCAACTTTTGAAACAGCTCGGTTTACGTTTACGATATGCAAGTATGCATCAGATCAATATATTATAGAATACTTTTGTTCTATCTTAGTTAATACTCATGTTCATGCCGATCATATTACTGGTAGTGGTAAACTGAAAGCATTGATACCTGGATGTCAGAGTGTTATAAGCAAAGTTAGCGGGGCAAAAGCAGATGTGTTCATCGAAGACGGTGATGTGATAACCATCGGTGACAAAAAAGATGGTTTGGCACTCGAATGCCGATCAACGCCCGGTCACACAAATGGTGATTATAAAAATAGAGTGTACTTATTATAGATAAATTAATAAACGAGTATTACATTTCCAGGTTGTATGACTTATGTTTGGCATGAAGGTGCCAGTGTTTTTACTGGTGATTGCGTTCTTATTCGAGGATGTGGACGAACAGATTTTCAACAAGGTGACTCGAATAAAATGTACAAAGCAGTACATGAGCGGATATTCACATTACCTGATAATTTCATCGTTTATCCTGGTCATGATTATACCGGTGAAATGAGTTTTTCTCCAGAAATGATAGTCTATTAGCTTTTTTTAGGTCAAACTAGTTCAACGATTGCAGAAGAAAAAAATTTCAATACCCGCTTAACGAAATCACGTGAAGAATTTAATAGAATTATGAAGGAGCTTAAATTAAGCTATCCATTACAAATAGGTAAATGTGTACCTGGGAAAGCTCACTTAAATCTCGATTTCCATTTCAGACAAAGCCGTTCCTGCGAACATGATTTGTGGTATATTACCCGAACCATAAATAGTTACTGAACATTTCAATTCCGAAGAACTGAACATTGAAATAGTTTTTTCTAAATGAAATACTTTTTTTTTCGAAAACTAATCTAACTTTACAATAAGGATGTTCAGTAGCATTTTCGCAGCAAGAAACTTATCAATTGGCGAAATCATCGGTGTAACTATTTAACTTGTACATTTGTTTCTCATTAATCGCATTATGACATATATTAATGAGTAATTGTCATCAGCTATGAACCATATGAAATTCTGCTCTAATATTACATAACGAATTTTCTTTGTGTAAACCGACAAAGACTCGAGAGATTCATGTGATTAGGATTTTTACCGCTCCGTGACTATTCTTATTGTTTACAAATCAATATTAACTGAAATGAAACAAAAATGATTATTTCCTATTCGTTAGGACGTAGAATGATTCTATTAACGCACTTCCCAATCAACTATTGAAGTTCCTGTACTTACAACATTAGAAATCCTTCACAAACATTTTTTTAGCCGAGAGAACTACTTGTGCCTCGACATCTTATTTTTCTGCGATTGGCGATACAATAAAACATTTATTTGGCTCATGAGGTTTGTCATAACAATAGACGAGTTTTAGCGAAAACAACAATGCTAGTATATCTATTGAATATTGTTTGTCTTAACGAAAGAATAAGAATCGTATTAGAAAAGAAAACAAGAATTTATTTAACTATTGAGATTCACCATTTTGGCTTTTGTCCGGAAAGAATCCGATTAAGGTTCTACGTCAATCGACGATAAATTCTTAGCATCTTTGAAGGCAAACGAAAGACATAACTGTCGATCTCGTAAATCTGACCAGCCACCATTCAGTTGTTTAAGTAGACGCTTATTTTCGTGTTTTGTATGGAGAGAAAGTGTCGTTGTAGGAAATAAATACTTCCGATTAGTTCGATAGAATGTTTCTGTATCTTTCCATCGAGCAATATCTGAGACATTGGAACAGAACTTTTTATGATGAGTACCGCTAAAAACATAAAGAAATGATCGATTCGTTTGAATGAAATTTATTAAAATACCACGATCCGAGATGAACGACACGCGTTGCACTGGACCACATGACACGTGGGAAATGGAAATGCTTCTGCGCCAGATAAACGAGTGACCAATCCCAGTTATATTCATCAATTGTACAGAATTCCTCCGCGTATTTAACAAGTAATGTCCACACTTGATGAGATATTGTCATACCAAGATTAAATCTTGCATGCCAATACGCCACCGATACCTTGAGAGAAGTTTGTATGTAAAGATACAAACGCGATGCGACTTACTTTCGAACCGAGCCGTCCGAACTGTTTGCCTGACTTTTCAAGATTTCCTAATGTGTAGAAGGAACACGTTGGACATAGTCTAAAGAAAAGTATAGGGAATTGCGTGATCTCCAGTGTGTCACTTACCGCTCTTTTTCATTTTCCATTTTCCTGAGAAAGACGAGTGCATCGGGTGATAAATAGAAATCTTCTTCAAGAAGTAACAATAAATAATCAGAACGATTTTGTAGGATGTCAATGGAATTATGTACATAATTAAGCTAGAAAGACAAACAAATTTCCAGGCTTATGGCTTATTTCTTTTCTCCACAACGAAAACTGCCATTACGTGTAATTCAGCACAAATGAAAAATCACAAAACACATCTTCTGGCTTACCTTCCACCACCAATGATGTTTTATTTGCACAATAGACACTTCCCGATAATGTCCATATCTATCTGGATGTGGTGCATTGTTACATCGAACTGCTAAAGCTCTGAAATATTGAAAGAAAACAAATTAAATTTCGTGTTTACGTTCAAAATGTAATTATCAATATTATCAGTAGAAAAACCAAAGGATAAGATATAGAAGTGCAAATCCAGACAAGCTCAAGTCTTAGAACATTCCATTCCTCATTCATCATATCTCACCCGGCAATAGTCTTTCGTGAGCGGCTGAAAGTATTTATCGATAACATAAGACAACGATAAGTCAAGTCTACTCACTTATGTTTTGAAATGTCACGTGGACAGTCCTTTGGATCTAGGCCAGGAAATTCATTAGGATAGAGCTGTTGAGAGAATGGATAGAAGATTTGAATAACCTAAATAAAACATAATCTGTTGTTCATCACTACCGAGCACTTTCTACACACTCAACAAGAATCATAATGATCTCTCGAGAGTTGCAACTAGTCTTACATCGAAGTGAAACAAACCGAATAGTAATTCACGTGAATTCCTTATATGATCACACATTTGATCGAAACTACTACGAGAAAACAATTCTTTGGTCATGTTTAGTCAATCTCTAATGTCGTTTTTCATCGAAATTATCTTCTAATACTATTATCAGTCTGTCTACAAAGACTCTTTCGTATCATATAAATCACAACTAATGGATCTCTTTCTAATCAAATTTGCACATATATGTCAGACAACTACTTGTCAGTTGATGAGATTCAAGACTTCGGATCGAATCGCATAGATGACAGACATGACAATGAGAGAAACCTCGATTCGTATTTCAGACTTTACCGGAACGAAAGTAATGCTTGTCACAAGTGCATTGATATCGAAATCGATGAAATCATGACTAAATATCACTAAAGTTTCATTGATTGTTTCGACTTCTTGCAACATTTCGATAAACTTTCTCAAGTAAACCACACGCGTATGAACTTGAACAAGAAGAATATATCGTGTTGTATTGACCGAGAAAAGGTTTTTGTTATACATGTATTGTTCTCGATTTTTCTGTTTTACATATTGACGATAATAGTCAAGCGAAAATGGACTGGTTCGGTTCGACGCGTTCGAAGAGGAATGTGCGGATTGAATTTGTTTATCGAAAGGTAATGAAGTGATCGTTTGCTCAGTAGAGTATCGTTCTAAGTCATTGAACAACAGGACTATTAATTTCAATAGAGTGATAACAAATATGGCCATGATGACGTAACGAAAAAGAATATAACGGTAGCGAAAGAGTCGAGACATGTTTGTTAAAGGCAGCATGACAATCTAGTGCAGATAAGAAGCAAGAAAGAGAGAGCTTCGGGACAAAAGAAGAAGAAGAAGAAGAAAAGGAGAAAATCGTTTTCTACGTGATGGATAATCGATAGAAGAAATGAACGCCATCGATAGACATCTTCAATCAAAGAAACGAAGAGATTCTTCAATGGAAATGTTCGATTTCGGTTTGCTTGACAAGTTTGTCATCATTGATTGCTAATTCAATTGAACGGAGAAGATTTTTTGATCGATTTAGTTGGCATTAGTATCTACATGAAAATCAACGAAACGTTGGATTGATTTGCTGGAACGATTCGATTCTCTGCGAATTCTAATAAAAAAAAATGCTAAAACAAACATTTTGCTAAGGACTCCCATTCTCTTCTCGACTCATGACAACCTTGTAAACAGAATCGCCTATTATATATTACATGTGAATGATTTCCTTCGGTTCTTTTCTTTTTCTATTTCTTGTTTTGTATAATATAATGCTTTAGGGACAATAAACGTGTGAGATATTTAATAACATGCAATCTGTAATCGAGAAGAAGAGAATTAATCAGCAGTGGAAATCTACAAATGTCTCGTCTTGAAGTATTCGAGCAACTTTAGTTGTGATGAGTGTATATACACTGAGATAACGGAAGATATCTTGAGAAGATGTCACTATACGATGAGATATGAATTCTTTTCTCATTAGGAATCATTCGAACAATACGTAAACGAATGTTGGTTCATTTTGTTTGAATATTCAAAGTCTTTGGAGACTTGAGGCTAAGTCAATTTGATATGCAAAAGAAGTGATGAGTTTATTGTGTAAGAGAATACAATTATTCATTTTCTTTATGTCAAGGATGATCAACAATACAAAATGTTTCATTGAAATTCAATTCATATACATTCACGTCCTTCTGACAATAGTTTGACTCATATCAATAATTAATATTACTTTTCACACAGTACTTTCTGAGTATCTTTGGATATGTTAATGCGATACTTAGGCGACGAGATGTCACAGACAATATACTGTCAACAAACATCTGATGTGATATAATGTATACACGCCCTATCAGTCGATGGAAGATTATTTCTTCTTGTGATAGTATATGTAAGCCTGTTGTTGATCTTATCATGAACAAGAAAGAAATTGCGTCAAACTGTAGAAGAGAATCTTCTTCATTTGCGATTTTCTTTTTTTCTCTCTCTCTCATATTTCGCTGTAGAGTCTGTCATTTTTTTCTTATTATTTCCGTCTCGATGCTCTTCCACCACTGTACAAATCTACAAATTATTCTTATCAAGATATGGACCAATGATGAATTTGCACTGATTTTTCTGTGAAAAAAAAACAAGAAAAGAATTTATCATGGAATCTCGACGACTTACAATGTCGAATCCATCGGGTGTGTTCTCCATCGTAGCTCATGAAGCGTTAGATCATATAGCTGCAGACGCCGATAACGACGAAGCACTAAGTCATGAAAATCGAATGCAACGCTCACGACGTCGAGTCAAGGTACAAGAAAATCTTCTCATTTTAATCAGACTTTAATGAGATATGTTCAACTTCCAAGATGAGAGACTGTCAAACGAGAATATCATATCGAGCATCAATGATGTCCTTTACCAGAAAATGATGGGATGTCAGAGATAATCGTTGTATCTCTTGAGGATAAACATTTGCCCTTTTTTTTTCTTCTGGCCGACGACCAGAACGAGTTTCTCATTGTACCATCGATGTATTTTCTTCTTTTGTCGGATAAAAGCTACCCGTCCTTTTGTCATAGAGCTAGAAGAGAGAAATGCCAATAAGTGATTATGCCTATCTCCACAGAAGATCCAGAACACTCAAATTACTCGAGCACAGGAAAGATGACCTTCTTTATCCATAACTGTAACTATAGGAATACATGGTATAAAACAGTCACATATAGAAAATACCAAAGCGTTGTATTTGATCAGACAATATGTGTGTATAAAACCAAATAGAATACAAGAACACATGTTGAATAATAACACCAAAATAGATATCGGCAAATACCATCTGCTTTTGGTTAAAAGAAAATAAGACCGATCTGAAAATATCGAGGAGAACATACGGTGGTTCCGCTAGTCGTTGTAGTTTCATTCGAACAATGGATAGTAGCTCATTTCAGCTCTCAAAGAAACGTACGAGTCTTGTACAAGTACGTGACATGCAGGTAATTGTTTCTTCGATAATTTCTTTTCGTCTTCTATGTCTCTCTCTATATATATACATAAGCCCATGTCGTTCTTTCCCCATCTATATTTGTTAATTATCCAAGAAAAATAGACAATAACAACCACCAACCGTGCTTCGATGAGTTATGGATCTTAACAAACACTATTAACCGTCAGTTTCTTTCTTTTTTTCTCTCTTTTCTCCTCGTTTCATACGCCAATATATCCGTGGAAAACAAGTGAGTGACGGATATTCATACTTATGGATCCTCAACCATCAATATTGAAACGATCGAGCAAAGTGATACAAAAGACGATTTTTCAGCGACGAACTAAACATTGAAAATCAATTTTGTCTTCTTCTTTCATTTAGCGTGATTTCAATGCTCTACCGGAGAAAGTCTTATTGGCAATTTTCTCTTATTTACCTCACATCGAGCTTTTACGCTGTGCCCGTGTGTGTCGTTTATGGCGTGCATTGAGTCAAAATTCGAAATTATGGAAAACGGTGTTTCTCCGACCCGAATATCACGGTTTACATGTGAAAAATCCGGATGTATTTCTTAGCCTCATCGGCCATCGTTTTTCGTCATCATTACAGTTTATCGAATTGCCTATGGAATTGATCACGGCAGATATTTTGCACGAATTAGCAAATAAGTGTTTGAATTTGAAATATTTAACCTTGGATTTCTCAACAGCGATGCAATTACACGATTTTAATGATTTGAATGCATTTCCATGCAATTTAAAGATGCTCTGCATTTGTTTATCCGAGGTGATTTTTCTCGAAGGTTTCATGAGACGTATCTATTCGTTTCTATCATCCTTGGAAATCTTGCAAGTCATTGGTATAGAAAGAAAAGATTTTTCCATCGGCAAGAACTGCTTTTACTCTCATTGATTCGTAGGTACAATCGAGAAATCGAACGAAGCGGAAGAAGAAATCTATGAAACTATTAATATCAGTAAAATCAAAGCTCAAACACCGAACCTTCGAGTAAGTTTGCCTTGATCCAAATGATCTCTATCGTTTTTTTCTTCTGTCATAGGTTATTAACTTGTATGGTGTATTCTTCGTTGATGATAATCATATAGAAATTATCGCAGCAGGCTGTATTCATCTTGGATGTCTGGCACTAAACTTTTGCACGCGTGTGAAAGGCACGAGTTTTAAAAATTTGCTGTTACGTTGTAAGAAATTACAATCTCTGCTACTTCAGAATACTGGTAAATGTTTTCTGAAATATTTCGAGCCGTCTGGACACGTTTGTTTTCGTTGAATTTTAGGTATTGAAGACAGTGCTATGTTAACAGCTGACTGGGAATCATCGATTATAAATGAGTTGGACATATCATCTACGGATTTATCTGAAAGTTGCCTTTTGAATCTTTTTTCACGTATGCCGAACCTGAGTTACCTTGCCGTACCAAGTTGTGATGGTTTTACGGATCAAGTAGGGAGATACAATCGAATTGTTTTGTTTTCTTATTATATTTCACTCTCTTTTCCTCAAGGTTCTGGGTCTTTTGATCGATCAAGGCAAATTATTTAATTTACGTGCGATCGATATAAGCAATACGGTTAATCTTAATTACGAATCTCTACTCAGTTTACTCGCACTTCATGGTCGTCAGTTGCGTGGTTTATCTTATGCTGGAAATTCCAAGATAACCGAACAATTCTGGATCAATGCAATCAAAAATTTGAAAAATATTAGGTAGGGAATAATTCGAAAATGGCTACATAAACAATCACCCAGCGCTCGATTGGTCGAATGATTTTATATTGACACATATCGAAAATAGTAAATAATGAAAGCAAATCATCATAGGGAAGGTCAAATACGGCTTTCTCATCTTTGCCATTATCTTATCTAACAATATAACGTAATTAAACATGATTTATTGACTACGTAAGAAAACAAAGTTCGATTAGATTCTGATTGTGTGGATTGAGGTCGAAAAATTCTGCTTTTTAATTTAAATTTCTCTTAATCATCATGTAAACCTTCTTGAGTGTCAAAACAAGAAGAGCGTAGTTTTGAAGTTTAATTCAATCAGACGTACTGTGATTTTTGTTCCCTTAAAGGATCTTAGTGATTGGCACATCGCATGGCTGGTTTAAAAAGATCAATACACGTATTCATATCGATCAAATCTTGGAAGCGTGTGCACAAGAATGTCAAAAACTTGAACGGTTAGAAATTCAATGGGATCAGGAAACATTACGATGGAATGAAAATAGTTCGAAATTTATTGATCATATTCGGTAAATCAAACGCTTATCCATTGATGAGATTCTCATATTATTTTCTCTTTAGAATTCGTTGTACAAAACTGATTTCGTTGGTCTTAGCCGATGGCGAGTATTACGAACTTGTTCGCTCGAATTTCGAACGAGCTGATCGCCAGCGTGTTGTTCGCACGACGACAAGTGATCAAACAAGTATTGTTAGCCTACTGAACTATTACAATGATCTACGATTCAATTAATGTGTTTACATGAAGACTGATTGATATACTCACAGTGTGTGTTTTTCATTTTTCGAGTTTTGCTTTTGGCCTGATCATGGTCAACCTATTAAATAAAAATAAAATCGCTCCTGTTATCGGATATATTTGCCTTGTGAGAAAATACAGCCTTGATTAATCAGGTAAAACTAATGACCTCGAGAAAATTAGCAAGAAATATTTTAGTCATTAGATTGTCAAAGAGTAATCATGGATATATGATTGTTTAACGAATGAAAAGATACTAAAACACGCGATACATCTAGCTACCTTTACAAGGTTCTCATGCGATCAAAATCAAATGATGAAGTTATTTACAGAAGAAGCAAAGTTTAAATTATATGAATGCGTTTCTTCGTTCAGATCGACTTTTAATTAACGTTATATGAAGCATTTAATATAAGGACTTTCTGAATTTGATGAAAGATAAAACATCAGCTTTTGTTTTAAGATCATTATCATAGTACGTATATTTTTATCTGCGACGTACGATTGTGATTTGTGATTACCTAACACGTAGGTGAATATGTATCTTTCTCTCTCTCCCTCTCTGTCGTTTTCGTGTTCGGTATTAATGATGTTTACCTGTATATGCTGCAAGGTAACAACAGCTGTCGCAAGCCACAAGCAATATGTTTTTGTGGTATGATTTCTCATTGAAGATTTATGATTGGGCATCGGTATTATGCTTTATGAGATTCGCTATCATTATATTTTTAGCGATCCTCTTTTGGTCTGGTTACTCTACTCTTTTGTATGATTGGGAGGTATTCATTGTTTTGCACATACAAAAAGACGACCATGAGCAACAACTACGGAAGCCGTTCGAGCGAAAATACATAGCTGATGCTTTCGCTTTCTCTCTCTCTCTCTCTCTCTCTCTCTTCCCTATATTGTTTATCCATGCGTGATCGACTGAGCCTATATAAACAGTGATTTACCAGCAAGTTTTCTTTATATCTTGATTCTACAAGTAACTACTGTATCTTCACTTGGTAATTATCAGTCAACATGGCTAATTACTCTTATGAATCGTCATCGTACTCATCCAGCAACGGTGGCTTTGGAGGAGCGGATGCTGCTTTCCAACAAGCCGATGCCAACCGTGATGGCCGTCTTGATATCAATGAATTTCGTAACTTTCTCGGTAAATATATTCTTGTCATTCAATGCTGACATGTTTTTTACATCCCTATCCTGTTATTTTAAGGCCAACAAGTAGGTGGTGCCGGTGGTGCTAGTGGTGCTGGTTACAGCTCAAGCTCATCATTTGAATCAGCTTCATATGGTGCTGGAGCTGGTGCTGGCGCTAGCTACGGCGCTGCTGGCTACGGCGCCGGCGCTGGTGCTGTTGGCTATGAAGCTTCATATGCTGCTGGCGGATCGGGTGGTGCTAGCTCGAGCAACTACGAATCATCGTCATTCTCAAGTGGTGGATACGGTGCTAATGCTGGATTTGCCGCTGGCGGACAAGCTTATGAATCATCATCCTCAAGCACTCAAGTGCAACAATATGCAACTGATGCTCAAGGTCTCTTCAGAGATCCAAACCCACAAATCATCCGTCGTCCAGCTGCAGGTGGCGTACAAACATACACCCAAAACATTCGAGTTCGCTTCCTTCAACCACCACCAATTCCACCACCAGGCGTAAGTGTTCTTTATTATTAACCGAGGAACAGACATTAAATATTGTTTATTATTTCGTAGCCACTCATCATCAAAGAAGTGCGACCACCTCAGCCACCTCCACCACCACCTCTCCGCATTCGTCAACAAGCCCCACCTCTTCCTCAACCACCTCCACTCATTCTTCGTGAAAGACCACCACAGCCTCCAGCTTCAATTGCTTCCCAAACTGTTATCCGCCGTTTGGCTGCACTTCCCGTTCCACCACGATCGGTCGTCATTGAACGTCTTCCACCTCTTCCACCACGACCACGTATGTTATCCTATTCGTATTTAAACAAGAACTTATTCTCATATAATTGATGGTTTCTTTTAGGTGATATCATCATCGAACGTTGGATTCCATATGGTGCCCAAGCTAAACGAAAAACTATTGTCCAACGTGCTGCTGCTGCTCAACAATATGCGCGCCCACGTAACGTTATCATTCAATATGAACCAGTTCAAGTTCGTATTGTTCGTCAATTTCAACGTCTCGGTGTTACCCAAGCTAATCCACAAGCTTACGTCCAACAATACGGAGCTCAACTTCTTGATGCTGCTACACTCCTACAACAAGCTCGGGCTGCCGGTGTTGTCGAAGATATCGTACGTTGAGCATATTCTTTTCAACTATTCATATGTAGATACTAATCCTATCTGTTTGATTTTCTAGTCGCCACCAGCTGGTGCGGCTGCTGTTGGTTTCGGTGCCAGTGCATACGGTCAAGAATCAGCTTTCGCTGCCTCATCTGGATTCGAAAGTGCTACCGGTTTCGCTGCTGGCGGCGCTGGCGGTTTCGCTGCTGGCGGTGCTGGCGGTTTCGCTGCTGGTGGTGCTGTTGGTCTCGATGCTGGTGTTGGTGGTGGATACAGCTCATCATCGTCCTACGAATCATCAAGCTTCCAATCAGGCGGTGGCGCAGGTGGTTACGGAGCTGGCTTTGCTGCTGGCGGATTTGGAGGAGCTGATGCCGCTTTCGCTGCTGCTGACGTCAATCGCGACGGAAGCATTGATCAAAATGAATTCCGCAGCTTCATTGGTAAGTGTATGGTTTAGCAAAATTCAGGCTAACATATCTATCGTTACTCGTGTATTTAGGTCAAGGTCTTGGAGGTGGTGCTGGTGGCTATGGTGGTTCATCATCATACGAAGAATCATCATTCAGTTCATCACAATCCTATTAAAAACTCACATAATCAAACAAAAATAAAATATAGCAAAGTTGCTTGCCACACGAGAAGAATATTAATACGTCTGAAACAATCTGGTGTTCGTTCTTTCATTACTCCTGTCTGTCTTTCTTTTTTTTTCTCTTTTAAATTATCATAGATTAATGTATTTTCTTTTGCTTTGTTTTCGTTTTTACAATGGAATCTAAGGTTATAACTTATTTTAAATAATATAAAAGTTCACAAAAGAATTCGTTTCGTTTGTCTTCTATTCATACGTCCATCAGATATCTCATACACAAAATATCATACCTAAACCGCATGATCGTACAGTCCAACATTCAATCACACTTACAACTAACCGTTTTGTCAACTGCGTAGATATAATTATTCAATGTGTTTACATTCCTCGTCGAGAATGATTCTATAAAACATTATAGCCATTTGACACAGTCAGATTAATCAAACTAGACATGAAAACAAGACATCAAGGTTTTTCATATGTGCTTATACTTTGTTAGCACAATAGTATGTTTGGGTATAGGAGGTAGACATTGACGTCAGCAACTTTTTCTTTGTTTAGTAAACGCGGATTTATGTAGCATAACAATAGGTACAGGTATACAATCAGAAAATATTCTTTACTTTCAAATTTTTTCAGGTCCTGATCGTACAATAAAGCCGGTGGGTGTATCGATCAGATGTGCGAGATTTGATCCAATCAAGTCGTAGATGTGATAATCGAATCCCAATAAGCATTTTTTCTTCACATCACGCAATCGAAATTCTTCCAAAGGAATTTCTTTGTATGTTCGTCTTGCTAGCATTTGCAGAAGAAAACGTCGACTCTTCTCTAAGCATACGATCAACGGCGATATGTTCGGAATGGAAAACCAATATTCGTCGACTTGTTTTGGTAGTAATAAACCTAGTTGGATGAGTAATTGAATGTCGTTTGAGTTCAGTTGAAATTCGTTTTCGAGAAGAGTCTTGTCAATGGATAATCGAATACATTTTGGTAGGAGATCGTGTATGAAACGTTGTTTCAGACGAGATTTTTCAATAGATGATGATGAGAAAGCATGTTCAGTCAATTGACGTTCGACAAGTAGATGGTACTCTTTAGTAAACATGATCATAATACCGAAATCGGAGTGAAATAGACGTATCTGATTGTGATTGAACATATCTTGTAATTGTTGATCGATCAGTGTCCGATTGTTTGACTTGAAAGCATAGAGTTGATGTTTGAAGAGTATAGGTGGCAGATGGAAGCGATTGATGAAAGCATCTTTAGAAGCGTCGAGAAAATATGTGAGCGACTGGGATGTCAATGATGGAAGATTTGAAAGGGAATTCGCTTTTGTTTTCAAACGTTTGGACGAAGAAGTTAACGAAGAATAGGAACGTTTCATATTTGTCAAGAAGAGCGAATATAACCTACGATTTCACTGAAGTCGCGTTACACAACACATGTTCATGTCATGTCAAAGACAAGAACTGACTATTTGTTGGTACGCAGGTCGAACAGTGCATCGCACCAACAGATGGCAGAATAGATTGATAATGAATGTCCGTTAATAAACTATTCGGTATGCAACTAAATCTCATTTTAAGCAAAGAGATTTGCGTTCATTGAACAGGGCTGTTAAGGTATTTGTTTTAATCGAAGCGAATGCGCAAAGATTGTATCAGCACTGTCTTGAATATGAAACTGTTTTATCGAGTTGGATGATTTCGTTTTCACAAGACAGTAGTGGGACATCTATTGAATAGTATGGTTAACTTGCGGGCCAAACAACAGTGAGACAACGTTATTTAGCAAAAAGAGGACAAGGAATCAATCATGTACACGTACGCAGTAGGGTCTTTGGCTTTTGTCCTGATGTTGGGCGTCATTTCATTAACACGTTTCTAGCATTTTCAATGCTATGCGAGTTTCTATCACGTTATTCATATTTATGACACTCTGATAATTGATTACGAATTCATTTCTTTAGTTAATATTTATTTATTTACTTATTTGACATTTCTAGACCTATCTCTTTGGGTTTTACTATTACTCACAAGTCAAGGAATGATTAAGCATAAATACACAATCAGTATTAGGGCGGCATAAATTCTAGAATTAGAAATTTCGAAAAAAAGCACCTCGTTTAAATGACAGCAGCGAAAAACTCCTTGATTTTCGAGGGTCTCCAGATCGTGACTCTGTGTTTAGTATGGTATGGTAAGTGAAACAACGAGAGTTAATTTGGTGAATTCGATTATGAATGAATAATATAGGTGTGTCAGCCATAGGCAATGTTATTGTCAAAGAACTGTTGAATGAATTTCCATTTCCATTGACCGTTACTCTTGTTCAACTTTTTAGTGTCTGGATTTTGAGTATTCCTCTCCTTCGGTAAGTTTATTGATTTCTTTTCATATACTTTTTCTATACAGAAACGCTTTTCTAGTCTTTTGAGAGTTCCAGAACCTCAATATCTCTACCAAAATCGAGTTTATTATTTAAAAGTAATAATTCCTTTAGCTGTAGGCAAATTTCTTGCACAATTATCATCGCATGTTAGCCTTTGGAAAGTACCTGTGTCGTACGCTCATACAGTCAAAGCAACGATGCCCTTATTTACTGTGTAAGTTATCCATATCATCTCGAAAAACGTCACTATTCTCATGATTTACCTTCTAGAATTTTATCTCGATTAATCTTACGTGAAAAGCAATCCCTGTCCATTTATTTTTCACTTGTTCCGATTATTGTTGGTGTTGTCATTGCAACAGTAACTGAGATATCTTTCAATATGGTTGGCCTTATTAGTGCTTTACTTTCAACATTTGGTTTTTCTTTACAAAATATTTATTCGAAAAAAGTAAAACTTTAGTTTTTTCAACGCATCCAATCGCAAGCGCTATCTTTCGTTTGTCTAGTCTCTAAAAGATATTTCAATTCATCACTATGCATTACTTGCGCTATTAGCCAAAATCTCCTGGTGTATGTTTGTACCTTTTTGGTTTTTCTACGATGGGATTGATATATTTTACAATACGAAATACGTGAGTAGATGACAAACATACGAAATGTCCTGCCGAATGGCTCATTCTTGTTTCTTGTCTCTTTCTAGCATTCGTACAATTCAGCCACGAAAATACTCTTCTACTTAGTTCTTGATGGTCTTTTGAATTTTTTACACAATGTCGTCGCATTTACAATGATTTCATTAGTATCACCATTATCATATAGTATCGCCAACAGTACCAAGCGAATCGTGGTTATTTGTGTATCGTTGTTGATATTGAGGAATCCTGTGACAAAAACGAATGTGATCGGCATGAGTTTAGCATTATTTGGTGTGATGTATTACAATAAAGTATGTAGTTGTCGTCAACTCGCCAGACATATCATCTTTGTGGTAGTCGAGTTCTTTGAAGTGTCTGTGTTGACAGATTTACACAATCGGAAGAAACAATTAGTTGATATAATATTGACCAAAACTGGAAAATGTACTTTTTGCGCTTGAAAACTTAACAACACCACTATCACTTCCAACTGAGACATGAAACTACCATAAGATTAAACTATCAGTGCAGTTTAGATTCTCCAGAAAGAAAGTTTTCTCTGTCGAAGAACTTCGTCATTCAGTTTGATCGATTTGACAAAGAGCAAATGTTAATTCTTCTGTTCTCTAGGCTAAACTTGATCAACGTCGTGCTCAACAGAAGCAAGGCATTATACCGCTCGTTCGCAGTGAGCCTGCTCTGAATACGTTGAATCTTGGTAAAATCCAATTCGCTCATCCCGATTCGGATTTGATCTCTCGTCATCATCCATCGTTCAATACATCTCGTCCGTACTACAATGGCTTTATCCCTAACTATGCCAGTCAATCATATAAAAATGTTTAATTCTGTTCATTTTACCTTTGGTTATTTGTTTATCTTTTTTTTGTTTGTTATTTCATCAATATGATTTCGATTATTCTTCTAATTAATTGTTCGAAATTTATTTTTAAAAGAGCAAACTAGGAAGATACAAGGTTAATTTAACCTTCTTAAAAAGAAAAGGGAGAAAGAAAAAAGATGCAGTAGATCAACATAAGAAATCAACAAAGCAATAATGCGGCAGAAAAAAAAAGAGAGAAAGTGAGTAAATAATAATAATAATAATAATTTTAATTACGGTAATAAATGTTTTAAGAAAGAAAAAAATCTTTAACGCAACAAATTTTCATCATACAAAAGGAATGACTAACTGTCTTGTTCATTTCAAATGTTAAGATATTCAAAAGAAAACTTAACTATCGGATTGACTAGTTATGGAATGAAATAAACATATACACATGAGAATATCCTTCGATTGTCTTTCTCTACGTTTGCTTTTCAACAAGTATTTTCGTTTTATATACAGATTCATGTGACTAGAGAAGAAATGCACTGTGTATATGCGGATTTAATACGGTTTGGCTAAGTCTTTGGGTCGTTTCAGTTGAACTTTCAAGCGTTTCATACCGATTTGAAATCCATTCATCGATTGTATGGCTGAAATGGATGGGAATTAAAGAGCGGAAGGAAGAAGAGATAGGATTGCTTACCTTGTTGTGCACATTGTGGATTATCGTAAGAGACAAAACCTAAAATAGAGGAGATGTTTTAGCAAGACGTTTTGTACATGAGAAAAGAGAAAAAGAAGAGAGTACACGTGCAAGAAGAAGAAAAAAAGGAGAACTGTATTGGATTGTCACATCACAACATCAACATGAATGAAAATAAAACGAATGAAAAATGTGAAATCTTGATGCGGCGATCCAGCACATAGTTCCGATCTTTTTTTACTCTTTTTACAAATGTCTACTCTGCAAATTTCCCTTTTTCTCGAATGTTCAAATATCTACCGAAGCATTTCGATTGATTCGTGGCGCGGTCGACATAGACCTTTGCCGATATGACGTTGCCGAAAGGCATGAACATTGATGCGAGTTCGGAATCACCGAATTCTTGTGGTAGATGGTAGATGAAAAGATTGCAACCCTCAGGACCAAAGAACTGTGGTAAAGCTATGAAATCGAAATTGAGATTAAATAAGTTTTCACCAGAGAGAGAAAACGAAAGAAAGAAAGAAAAGATTTTCACCAGACGAGAGAGAAGCAAATCATTTGCTTGAACTGAATTCATTTTCACTCACCTTCTTTATTTGGCGAAGCTAACGTGCCTGGAATCAGCGTTGTCGCTGGTAAATGCGAATAGATGGCCGTTGGCGCATAGATCGGATACTGAGCAGGTAATGTCGTATAAGCTGTTGCGGGCTGTAATTGAATGCCCGTAGCTGTATCAATGGCTGGGCCAACGACGGCTAAAAAGGAAATTAGCGTTTCGGAATTGGATGCTCAAAATGAGATTTCATCAAGAACAATCACTGGAAGCAATGTATTCAAACGAAATTAAATCTGAATAGAACGTAATATTCATATTAAAATGTTGCTTTCAACTTTTCTTTTGCATACATTATTAATTAAAGAAAAGATCATGTCATCCATTGATGTCATGATTATTTATTAGTGGCAGAGAAGTTCGTGCTTTTCTAAGTGTAAATCTAATCCCTCCTTATCTGAATAACTTACTTGAGTATGGCATGCCCGATGAGAACAAATCAGTTGGTTGACCATTTGGACCCGTTACTGTAGTTTGATAAATTGTTGGTGGACCATTGTTAACAGGAGATGCGTTAACTAACGAACAATTCGGAAAATCCATATTGTCACAATCGCCTACAAAGATTTGTTAATGCTATTAGAAAAACCAACAAAAAAAGCTATTATCGCGTATTTACCTGTTGATGGCGTCATTGTTCCATTACTCATAGGTTGGCCAGATGTAGCTAAGACTGGTATAGTTGTGTATGTCGCAGGATGACTACCGGTAGATGATGCCAGTAAAGTTTGCTGTTGCATTTGTGTATATCCTTGATAATTTAAGTTTGCTGCAATCTGTTGTAGTACTAATGGGTTCGATAAAAGCCCAAGTGGTCCTGCTAGTTGTTGCATGCGTCTTAATTGTCGTTCTTTCTCTGTATCAGCAAACTTAACAACAATTGATGATGATGCACCTGGAAAGGTTTGACTGCCATGAACGTTTTGTATGGCTTGTTGAGCTTCATTATGACTAGAGAATTTAACAAATGCGCACCCTTTACTATCACCGCTGGGTCCACGTAAAATTGTACATTCTTCTATGGTTCCATATGGTTCAAAGATGGCGCGAACATTTTCTTCTGTCATCTGCTTATTTAACATTCCGACAAACAATTTTCGATCTTCTATTAGAGGAAAACAAACAAAAAAAAGCATGTATTAATAAAAATTTTCAAGTGCTTTCGTCTATAACTATGAAACATCTGTCATTTGGCCTCACACACACATACGCACTATCTATTCAACCGAATATATTGTTTCTGCCTAGCAGGCAGTCAAGTTTATTAATCATGCATTGTCACATATGACATGCTTTTCCCAGCGCATTGTAGGAGGTCTGTTCTGCTTGATATGAAATTCCTTTTCTTTCATTTTCTCACCTAGATTTCGTACTCGATTAATTGATGTCGAATACGGTGATTGAGTTGGGTTTGCTGCTGCGACCATCATTTGTGTAGAGGATGAAATCGTCAGAGAGAATACTGATGAAGATGTAAAAAGAAAATTTCTTTTCTCTTCTATTCTGCGCTCGGAAATCCCAAACGTCTACTTCTCTTCTTTTTTTTTTCGTCGACCGGAAAAAGTAGTCACTCTTTTTTTCTCTCTCCTCCTTTTCTCTTTCTCAACTACCTAGTTAGCTATCCGACGCTCTCGCGCTATTCTATATGTCGGGTCAAGTTTCTTCTATTTTTTTTCCTTCTTCTCCTTCTTTCAGTGACGAACGTCGACGATGAGAGATCCTATTAGACTCCGTTTTTTTTTGTCTATCACAAAAAGAGGATGCTGTTGCTCACTCTTCTCTACCGATTGGACAATTTGTTTTATTCTTCTCACAGCGTAGAAAAACTAGAGAATTTTCTTTCTTTTTTTTCACTAGCAGAAATAACCTGATATGTATGTGTGTATGAGGAAACAACAGAAGGAGAGAGAGAGAAAAAGAAAACGGAAAATTAGTTCAAAAAGAAAGATAATCATGAAGAGAGAAATGTTGGTGACGTTTTTTTTTACAACGACGAGGCTGAGCACATCAATACCAGCACGACGACGAGTTGACATTACACCATTGAATTAGAGAAATAGATAGATAAAAAACGTGTAGTTCAGCAACAACACAGGCACCAATAACTACCATTGAATATATAATATGATCAACTCACATTCGATTTTTCATTGTACGTCTGTCGTTAGATTCGCATCAACAGGTGCTAATCAAAGAAGATTATCATCATGGGAGAAAAAAAAGGGACAAAAAGAAGAAGAGGACGAAGCGGAAGAGTCGACAGTAGTCTGAAATTTTCTTCAATATTGTCAAAAGAAAAAGAACTTTCAAATAGAATTCAATTGATGCCGCCTCATTTCCGTCTCAACATCAAATTGTTAATTTCCTTTGTCATCGAGGTGTGTATGTTTATGTTTCATCCTCATCAATGTACTTCGCTCGTCGGATAAACGATATCAACCAATAAATTACCGATCCGTGAGATCACAGATACATATGTCGATATAAACCAATAGGAAACACAATCAATTACCTGTTCGTGATTCGCTATCTGCTGGCTTGACTTGAATAGGACGACTCATCTAAAATACGATAGAAGAAAATCAATCAAGACATTAACGAACAAAGGTGTCTATCATCTTGACACACTTTTACCTTAATCCTTAAAACTTCTGTCACTTTTTCCTGTGTGTAATTAAGAACAACGATTAGAATTTCTTTTTTTTTGTATCAGACGACGCGTATTCAAATGAACCTACGGATGAATTACTCGAACACGCGAAACTATTATATGTATCTATATTGATGGATTCTTTCTATTCGATGCCAGAGGCCATATCCACTTCTACTTCCATTTTGTCCTTGGTGACACTACAAAACTTTTGCTACAGTTCGACCATCTGCATATCTTTCTCTTAGCTCAACAACGCTAATTGCAAACTCTCGACGGTTAAGTTCAAAGCTGCAGCGAAGGAGAAAATTGACGCACGTGTCTAAACGGTCTCCTGTCTTTATTATAATATTTTTTTTTTGTGAGAAAAAAGACAATTATTCAGACCGAGCGTACATAATGAATGAGAAAAAAAGATGATATACATTGTATTTGTTAACTTACGAGTGTAGTTGAAGATTCCGAAGAAGTAGAAGGAGACGTATCAATGCTGTTGGCACGATATTTTCTTTTCATTGCGCGTTTACACCGCGTTTTCCAACTGGCGTAGGCTAGTCGGAATTAGAATGCATGCACAAAGCGCATACAGACGTTCACCAAGAATAGATCGATTCAATAGAAACTGCCTCTCTCTCTGTCTCTCGTACTTTCCACAAACTGGAAATAATATTGTGAACAACAAAAAAGAGGCGATGCGAAGAAGAAAGAAGAAGAAGAAATAAGTTAATGGAGAGAAAAAAAAGGAGAAATATATGACTGTCGCGTGCCAATCTGTAAAAAAAAAGGAAAAAGCGTGTCCATTCCATGACGCGGAAATCACATCATGCATTCATTTGATTTAACTACGAGAAACAGACAGACACCGAGCATACACATTACGCATATGGAAAGTTTACTAGAAGTTGACGTTAAATGTTAGCAGCGCGTATGTTCATTGTCAATCTGGAAGTCTCTTAGGTATAGAGAAATAAAAATTGACTCAATTTCAACATAACAATCAGCAGTATCTATATATGTGGAGCAGGCAGATCAGATGTTCATGATAGATTAAAGTCTGTTCAATGTTTAGTTCATACATCAATTCAATCGATTCATGGCACTTAACATTGCATAGGCTTCTGACGATTACTCTCAATGTTTTTTTAAAAATCTAATGAATTAAATGCTGAAACCTTTAACAAAACAATCGACAGATGTAGGAAGAATAACTGCATAGAAGCATTGTCTGCTGATATTCATTCATTTACTGAACGAAATTGACATACAGATGTGTAATCTACTGATAATCAATCGAATGTGACAGTCGACGGCAAGAGATTTTTCGCACACGAAACTTAAGCATGTGTCAATTTTGCGAACCATTTCATCTTCTAAGATGATGTGCGTTAAAGGTACGAACTCCATACATTCTTGGAATGAGGGATTGTGAAGTGTTTCATCTATTTACTTTACTAAAGATGAGTTTTCTTTCATATTCTCTCGCTACATGTCTTTGATGAAATGATTTTTAGAATGGACACGTTCTGGTCCCATTCGCTCAGACATATTCGCATTTCTTTTCTGCTGCGCGAGTTTGTTGACCTTTAGGGATCCTTCAGTCTATAAAAATTGACATGTTATTTCTGAATCGAGAACTTTCCGCAACAGAATTTGTTTCCAATACGACACTGTTCAATTATGCTCGCTTTTCCTTAACACTAGCGACATCTATCGTACTTACGCCAGGCAGTGTACGACGTTCGTGTAGGGTTTGTTGAGCTTTGAGTGCCGAATCTCGATGGCAATACGTCAGAAAAGCACATCCTAAAGAAGACAAAGATTTTATGTTCGTGTGATTGATCGATTGATTGATTGATTAAGAGAGATTGTTCGCTGTTAACAAGAATGAAAACTACTTAATCAGATTTCTTACCACTAGATATATCGAGTAACATGTTCGAGTTCTACGGCAATGAAACTAGAAATGAAATGTTCTCTTTCGATTGAAGCAAAGAAGAATGAATTGAAAATTTGACCATCTGCTCAAGAAAACGAACACTAAAAACACAGCACTTCATTTGTTCATTTTCATCATCCCCTATCGATCAGTTATATACAGGAAGAAAAATGATTAATAATAACGTATATTGGCTTCTGCCCTACGTCGCCGGCTAAGACGGAGGAGGGAAATGATGGCATTTAACTGTTTTTTCCTTCCACTCAGTATGCAAACGAATATATATGTGTGTATGTGTTTGACAAGTCAACGAATGTTTGTTCCATTCGGCCAGGTGGCCGCTGACACGCAAAGGCTATGACTCAAATCATTCATTTCTTCTTTTTCTTCAATCGGCATGTACTAAACGTGAACAAGATCAAAGAATGGAGAAATATAAATGAACAGCGGAAATATGTCTGATAGGATTGAATTTAAGTTAGCGAAAAAGTTTTCTTTTTCTCTTGCATGATTACTTACCACGGTGCATGCCCGTAAATCGATCTTTCAGCACGGTTAACTCATAAATTTGTCCAAATTCTTCAAATATAGGCCGAAGATCATGTTCTTCTAAATGTCGCGGTATTTGTCCAACAAATAATTTGACTGTGTCTGTATCTTTCAGATCGGACGATGGTGACGTTGAACCGCGAGACATATACGTTGTTGGCGAATCAATCGGTGACATGTATGCGGAACTAGCTGGTGGTATAGCTGTTAATTGAGAAGATATCTGATTATGTTGTGATTTTCTAGTCGATTTCAATGACAATGATGACGACGAAGAGGATGATGAAGGAAATATAGGTGGAGGTACTGATGTTGGATAGACAGTTGCATATTGCATGGATGATGTCGGTTGAATCGGAGTGAAATAGGTATGTGACGATGGTAATGGTTGTTGAGAACTGTACTGCATCGGGAATAATGATCTGGAAGAATGAGTGAACACACTTATACCGCGGAAAAAAAAAGAAAAAAAGGCGAAGAAAAACAGATCGTTTAATGAGAACTATGGCTAGAGTATTGACACACACACTTGCTACAATGCATTCCAAAAATATATAGTAACAGAGAGAAAGAGACTATGAAAGGGTAGCAAAGGAGCAGAAGAAAAATCTCCTTTTTCTTTTTTCTCCCAATGTCCCTCATCGATATCTATACTTGTATTTTTTAATACGATAGGCAGAAAAGGCAAAAAAACTACTATGATTAGTGAATGTGAGTGAGAGAGAGAGGGGAGAGAGAGAGAGAGAAAAAGGCAAAATTATCATTGCATTGTCGACCACTGTAGTGAGAATGAACAACTACGAGGGAAAAAAAGAATTAATTTACATGTAAAACCAAAAAAAGAGAGAAAAATGTTTGTAGCTCACGACATTAGACTCATTCGGGAATGATGAAGATGATTAAATAGACTCTAGATCACACACATCCACTGAAATTTGATTAGATTGAAAAACGAATTAGCTATTCATCTTTTTGGCTTTACTTACGACTGTAATTCTAATGAGTTCAGATCAAGTATCACTTAACAAATGTTCGTATTATTCTATTGGCAGATGTTGACAGAAATTCTTTCAAATTATAATATCATCGAACATAAGGCAAGATAAATAAGAGGAATGGCATATCCTTTCCAGCATATCTCCTCTCCAGTGTGCATCCTGTTCGACGCCCGGTGTTTTTCACATTGATCACCTGCAAATACGGAAGTGATAAACTAACTTTCGATGTTATTGACACAATTCATTATCGCGTGACACGTTCTCTCCTTGATGCTCGCGAAGCCTTCGATGTTAAGCAGTCAACAGATACTGACTCGAAGACATCTGATATTTGAATGAACTCGTCAATATATTGACATAAGCCGTTGTCGTCATTGTTAGAAACTAAAACATAGTCAAAGATCGATGCGATAATCATCTTCATGAACGCGTGTGAATAATGATGTCGTTTCCTAGTCGACTCCAATAGAATCGTTGATGAATGATGAGTTTCTTCGAACCATCATTTTACTATCGAAAAGCAATAACTGATCACAAACGGAAGACGTTTTCCTTCCATTAAGCTCGTGCATGCATGCATTTCTAACAATTAGGAAATTAAATTCGATCAGTAAGCGGTCAAAATTTGCCCGTCATGGGGGTTTTCTTTGCTCTCGTGTTTTCTTCTCAATAGAATTATGAGCAGAGAGAGAGAGAAGGAGAACTCCATACTAAAAGAAAATTTTCTAACTAGTTCAATCATGGAAATCAGCTAACCGAGTACAGGTAGTTCATTTCTTTCTTTCAACATTGTTTTTCTAGTTAAACAAACATTCTGCGCTGATGGGTGTGTGCGAAGGGAGAATTTCTGAGAAATAAGTCATACGATCTTTGAATTTAGTCATAAAATGAAACTTGTCGTCTTGTTTGCTTTCGATATTTGTTCAACTGGATGTTGACACCTGCACAGACTCAATGATTTTCTCGTGCATGTTCAAAGCGATTCTCTCTTGCGCTCGAACTTGTTGAAACAAGCTCGATCAAATTGATTTTGTGCCGCTACAACGCTCATCATCGAGACAAATTGAATTAGGGAAATTTTTGAAATAACAGAAACTCGAACTAGAATGACAAATGCATTGATGCCTTCATCGACATGACAGATGTCTTGATATCTTTTTCTAATTTGCTCATCGTTGATGATCAATAAACAGATGCAAACGATGTTGACCAGTGCACAATTCAATCACTTTGATATGTTTCTACTTGCCAATATTGAATGTTCTTTCACGGAGAAAAGAAGCGGAAGAATTCTTCAATTCGAATTCATGACAATCCAGGACAAATATTAACGTAGTTAGCAAATGATTTTGATTAAATAAAAAGAAAAGGAAATCTCCTTCAGACAGTGTTTCTCCTCCTCCTTCTCCTCCTTCGTTCTTCTATTATGGATGAGAAAGAAATTAATGCAACATAGTCTCAGAGATGTTTGTAATTCAAATCATCGTTTGTCTGAGAACATACAAGAAAGAAAATTACCATTCCAAATTTGCTTCATGCGCTCCAGAAGAACTCGAACTTATTCCCCAAGATCATATCGTTTATGGAACAAAAGATAGAATAGGAAATTTTAATCAACGAGACGAAGCGATGTGCGCTGAAAATAACCGATGAACATTACAATGAGAATAGATCAACTGACCTTCTCGTTTTGTACGAACTATGTAGTGAAGATTAACATACTTTTCTTCTTGTCAATGTTAACAAATACCGGAAAATTCTCTCATGTACCGGTCGAAAGGTGTAAGTCAACGTGTGGAACTCCCTGTTCATAACAGAGGAATACATTTGTGTTGACTACACCGGTTTCCAAAATTCGTATCGCGAACTGTGAAAGTTAGGAGGGATATGTGGAACGCGTGTCTTGATCAAATACATGATTCTACTGGTATGAATTCTAGAGAGAATTCATTATGTCAAATCTAGTTAAGTATGGTTTCTGTTAACAAGGATCACAAGTCTTCCGATTCTATTTGGACGAGACCAATGTATCTATACCAGAATAATTGAAAAGGTTTCGTTTCTGATGATGACATCATGTGAAATTCATCTCGAAGAAATGTTTCATCACATTTTCATTAATAAAACCAATGATTGACAGAACAGCTCCTCTTATCTCGATGTTGAACATTTTACATAATCATTAGTAACGTTAATAGTATAAACTATATCTCTCGAGATAGAGTTAATCAGGAATCCATTATCACACTTGTTTTCTCTCATTTCTGAATCTCTCGAGGCTATATAAGTCATACCAATGTAAATATTGATCGATTCCTTATGATGTGCATATCTGGGGGTGTATGTTGGTGGTGGTGGTGGTGCACTTTTTGTTTTCTAATGCCCACGATCGTCTTCAATGATTTCTTATTTGACAAGATAAGAACGATAAAAGAAACGGTCAAACATTTGAACTCGCCGATTGTTCGCCTAGTTGTCATTGAAACTGTACAGTAAAATATAGACTCGTTCTTCTCTTTTCGAGCTTTATCATCCAGTCAAAGAAAAAAAAATCGAAATTCAACATTCATATTTCGTCCAGCATCGAATAAGTAAAAGAAAATGACGCAAGATCGATTGTATTGTACAAGAAAGAAAACAGGATGACATTTTACTTTCAGCCGATAAAGAATTCCCGTCTCGACCTAGTTATTAATAAGTAAGTGAGTAATATATTTTCTTTTCTACAATGAGTTATTATGCACAAGAGAAGAGGCGGATAGTGGTATGCTATCCGTTACTAAGAGAATCGTATGCAGCACTTCAAGTGACTAAATAACATACTCGCGTGTATGTCTCTCTCGCTCGTTCTTCAATACCCAAACACACACACACACATATCCAACTGAAGAACGAAAGAAGAACATACTTGTACAAAAAAATCAAACAAGGTGCATAGACATACGGTATGTGTGTTGAGAAAAATGTTGTTTAAAATGACATTTTCTTTTTCGCCTTGAATCAATCTTTCATCCAAGTAATTGAAGGAAAAGAGCAAATAGGATAGGACACATTACATTTTAGATACACATCTCATTTCATTCGATCCTATTTGTATCATCAACAAACTTGACGCGAAATCGTGATGATCTTTTTCTGTTAAATTCACGAACAAACATCTCATGGCACCACTAGGTGAAGCAAAGTATGCATTGTTCCATTTGTATTTCTTTTTCTGTTTTTCTTCGTCTCAGCAATCATATATAGATATTCATCATAGATAGATAAGACGATATATCACTTTGGACGGCAAATCAGTTATTGACTTGTCGAGACATGGAAGAGCGATTCGTGTAAATAGGTTAATTCGAGTGAGAAGCGAGAAAAAAAAGAGCGCTGGAGTTACAATAGAAGATATAAAACGATCGAAATTGATTGTTTTTTGTTGTTTTACGACAAATGTCTAAATGATCACAACGAGGAGTCTTTGTTAACCTTCAAGTCGCTTTTTGCTTGGAGAGTCGGTGGTTTTGAACTACATCGAAAATGTTAATTTGCCATATCTTTGTTTCTTTTTTAACAAAACATTAGTCGACGATCGTTTAACAACAGTGATAACCTTGTTCTCCGACACTCAATGTTGACTACTGGCAATGAACCTTTATTCGATGTCAAGTATAAAGTTCTGTTACTCGGAGATACTCTCGTTGGCAAAACATCATTGCAACGCTTCATTGCGGGAAAAGATTTTCGAACAGATATTGGCGCGACGATCGGTACGTTGAGAGTTTGTTGTGAGAGCGATAAGAAGCACTCCTACTTATTTTAGGCGTTGACTTTGTGAATAAAATTATTCCTGTCGAGCAGTCAAAAGTCAATCTACAGATATGGTGAGTTATTGACCTGTTTTGATTAAGAACCAGATGTTCCTAATGAGATCTTTCATGCCATTTCGATCGACATGATATTCCTACTTCCTCTACAGACTGCACTCCATATTTACAATCATAAACGATTATCGTCAAGGTAGTTTATGATTTTACTCGTACATAAAAGTAAAAGAAAATATTTGTTCTACCGTCGACAGTTTTCACAGCACGTGATTTGACAAAAATATTATGTGAATCTTGTTTATAGGGACACCGCCGGCCAAAGAAATTTCCGAACAATCGGCCGAGGTTATTATGCTTCGACGAAGGCATTCATCCTGGTTTATGATGTTACTAACATGGAAACGTTTCGCTTAATTGAAAATTTCAATCACCTAATCGAACAAGTAAATTGAATGAGAGTCAGCGATGTTTATTAACCGTTGAGTTTAGGCTGGATTAGATATCGAACGACGATATTTAATTGCTAACAAAGTCGATTTGATTGAAGATCGCAAGGTAGACGAAGAACTAGGTCAACGGGTGAGAAATCTTGTTTTTCTCGAATCTCAACATCGTTCTCGCCACTGTTTAGTTTGCTTTACGAAATAGTATGACTTATTTTGAAACAAGCTGCAAAACGGGTGAAAACATTCAAGATTTATTCGAACAAATTGCATCTGACCTTGTCCGTCAACATAATCCTAGACTAGTCTGTGATGTTCTTCTTTGTCCAATTGATAGTTGATTGATTTCTTTGTATTTAGTTGGAATCTCACGTTCCGCTGTTTAATAATTTCGCTTTTAATTACTATGTACCTCCGACAATCGATCATAAACTGAGCGAGAAACTACGAAGTGCTCATCAGCAACAGATGAACCAATCGAAAAAGAAAGCTAAATTCAAACTTTTAACACCCAATTCTCATCTCGGCAATCAACGCTTTCATTTTCGTCGCTTTCTTATCTGCTGCAGTCCGACAGAGACCGATGCTTAACCTGGCCCGGGATGAACATTACAAACTTGCAATCATTTTCCTCGTGTGATCTAATTATATATTTGTTATATCTATATTGTTATACTTCATCCTTTAGCTGTTGTTTGATAATTTATTTTTCAATGAATGTAATATCAATGGCAAGAAGAACAGTCTGTCAAATGAGATGTGAACAGTCGCTCGGAAACGGATGAATAGCTCTCGGAAGTGCTCCGATAAGACGACGTCAAAGATAATAGAACTGTTGTTGTTATTTTTCCGTTATAGTTTTCATGACTTCGAACAAAAAACTCGTTTCGCGCTTCAATACGACACATGAAAGTCGATATATTAATTTCCGTAGTTCATTTTTTAATTGAAAACTAATACTGGTTTTTCTCACGTTGGTAAAAGAGAATCTGATCTATTCTTAGATCACATTATTTAATCTCTCTGTAGCTGAAGAAGAAAAAGCACAGTACATCGATTCACAAGCCGAGTTTCATCATATCATCTGCATTCGCATAGACAGGATTGGTTATGAATAATTCAACCGTGTGATGAGACTTCGGTCTTAGTATCGGCCGTTTATCATTAGAACCATCGTCTTGTTCTTCTTCTTCGGCATCTCGATCGGTTAGAATTGTTATGACTGGAACTTGCTGTTCACCAAGTACATCTCTTGGCTGTCTGTTCACTGAACTAATCATTGGTGAATGTTGATGTAGATGTGATTTCCATGGTATATTATTCAAAAGATGAGCTATACATTCGTCAGCACTAATAGACGGTCCATCTTCATCGTCATTCTCGTCGCTGTTTTCGATAGACGAACGTATTGTTTGTAATGTATATGTCACATTGTCGTTATCATCGATATCTTCGAGAACTTGTTTCGGTGGCAATGAAACAAGTTCAATTTGAATGGGGATTTTCTTAACATTGACATGGCCTTTCTCAACAATGTCTGTCAACAGATCGGGATTATCCGGCGATATTGTCAAGGAAAGACGCCTCAATTGCTTGCGTCGTTCAAGTAGTTGTTTACGTTTATGATGACGATGTTGAATCATCATCGGTAAAAGCATCAGAATACTTAATGCGTACATTAATGGTACAAATAATGGTTTATAAGTTGGAAGAATTTCGAAATCGGTTTTGATCACTCGGAGGTCTTTACATTGGATTTCTATGTCATCGGATCGGCGAATAAAATGGAAACAGATGACGAAGAGATCAACGGACTCGGCTGACGAACTAGACTGATTGAATATTTTTAAATTTTTATGTTCGTATCGATGTGTTGCTGGATATAAACCATATTTAATTGCTTCGTGTTCAAACAAGCGAAACGTTAGATAGTATGGATAGTCTGTCGTTAAGTTGTAATATAAGATGAAGGTCGTGTCATTCAGAGATTCGATATCGACAGAGATTTGCGTTGCAGTACGATTTTGATTTGCCGAAATGGATAAAAATAGGCAGAAGGAGATATGAAGGAAAATAAGATAAATCATTGTCGATGGAAATGTTTCGATTAACTAAATAAGTGGAAATCCTCAGAAAAAAAAACTTCTGCATCGCGCAAACACACACGTATCAGCAGAGAAAATAGAAGCTCTGGTTCTCTTTCTCTTTTTTCCTCTTGCGGAAGCACACACACACACCTTCTTCTGCTCGTGTTTTCTCCCGGTTATATTGAACTTCATATTATCATCCTTCATATTTGATTAAAATAACTTACCAACTAAATTACCGCACCAGACTGCTCGCAAAGGAGAGATATAATCAGAATTAGTTTGTAGGTCAATCATATTTTTCATTTACAATACGTAGACTTTGTATAAATCATGTCGAACTCGAAGCAAAGTCTTCTGCGTACAAAATCGACCCATAAGGTGTCTCCCTCTGTTTACTTGGTAACTTTTTGCAATTGGTTATGGCGACTAAATGGTCTACCGATGATGTTTTTCAAATCACCGATAACGACAAACATTCCCTATCCTATTTTGATTTCTGAACTTGAAACTACATCCGACGAGAATCATCATGACTGACACAGATGCACTCTACACAAAGATAGTGCACGAGAGTACGTAAATCTCCCGATGGATTCAGATTAGTAATCATCGTTTCGTTTTAGTCGAATCTTATCTAGCTGAAACTAATCTGACGAACGATCAACATTTATTGGCCTGTGCACGTAAAAATGACGGCTGGATACGGCTCGAATTATTTCGTGGTTGCCGAACTCTATCCAGTTATAGTTATGATAAAATTCTTCGTGCTCTCGAAACAAAACGATCAAGTCAGCTCGAATTGAGCACATTCGAACCTCGATGTGTTCGCTATCGATGTGAAACGTGTCCAAATGGTAATAGTCGGACTGTGATCATTCATGGTTTACCACGTGATGTTCGATACGACGATTTAATTGAATTTTTTAATAGATTCTATCCTATCGATGAAGTAAAAATGTTCCCTTTGGCGAATAAATTCCATGGGTCCATTCAGGTTATTTTCACTAACCCGGCACATGCCTCAGCATTTGTTCATCGATCGATGGTTTTGTCGATTATCTATGACCAGGATTATCAGCTGAGTTGTGAATTATCCGGAGACAATAATGATGGGAGGAAGGATTTTATGAAAGGTAAAACTGTTGTTGTCATGAATAGACCTTTGACATTATATTTTCTAGGAAAATCGTTTTCTACTCGATTGAGCAATCAATCGTCACAGAGTTCAGTGCGCAAAAGTGACTCAACTGGTAAATAATCAATTGAAGCTGACCGGTAGACCTTTATTTTTTTTAAATTTCCAGTTCGCCCAAAACTGAATTTGAAGTCGACAATGTGTCCTACTGAACAAATACTATTTTGTCAAAATTCTCCCATTAGTCCATCCAAACGAAACGATCACGCGAAACAAACTATAGTCCATGACAAATTCTCGTACGCGTTCTATCAACCTGATCGTCTTCTACATCAAACGCATAAATCTGTGATAGTATCTGTGTTAAATCCTCACTGTTTCACGATTCAATTAAGTCAAGATGCAATAGAGTTTGATAGATTCCAACGGGAAATCAATATTTTTTATAATACAATGGCTGACAAACAATATCACATAACCCCGCAGCAAATTCAAATCAATCTATGCGTGATTTGCTGTGATACTAAATCAATTGGTGGCAATCAAATATGGAACCGATCACAGATTCTTGATTTTGACTCGCCGGACAATACGGTGAATGTCTTTCATGTGGATTTAGGCACTTGGGAAGAATATGTGCCGATCACTCGTCTTCGACATATAACCCATTGTTTCCAACAACATCAAGTTTTCTCTCTCACATGTCGTCTAGCCGGAGTACTTCCATTGAGTAATAGTAATGGTCAAATAACATGGACAGATGAAGCAACGAGTCAGTTTCTGTCAGTTCTTGATCAAGTTGTACCTGAAGTTGAATTTATATCAATTACGTCGAATGGTTGCATTGATACGAACTTATTCGTAACTGTTTCCGGCCAATTGGTCTGTGTTAATGATTATCTGGTACATATCAAACAGGCAACAAACGGCGGACAAGATAATCTCCAAGTAGGACATGAAACTTGTTTATGCATATAACTAAATTCAGATTGTCATTAGTCAGAGAGGCAAGAAAATGAGTCGTCAATCCATCCAGTGATTAGTTTGTACAAGATATTGGGCGAGTAAGTATCGTGAACAGATTTCATCTCTCATACAACTTCAACCATCCTGGTAGAGTCCTCCAACAATCGTTAATTGACTCGCGCACGAACAGTACAAGCAGTTCTACGGTTTCATCTGTGTCGATGTCATCACGAACTTGTGTGAAATTGATTCATGTAAATATAAATTCAAGTCACACAAAGATAGTTGACAATCCCCGGCAATCGCATGTATTACCAATGATCTTTGTCCGTTATAAGAGGACAATTCTTATCCCGGATTTCAATATTTGTAAATTATTCAAAATTATCGATTCTAGCTTTGATATTTCTGCAATAGAAAACGATATAAGAAGCTTCCCTTCGACACCTGCTTGTTTCAATCCAATGTTTACCGAATTTCCGTTTCAGACAGTCACTATTGGATATAATTGTGTTCGCATAACATCAGAGACTGATTCCAGTATTTTTTCTCTGTTGGTTTCATTGAATAATATGGAACATTCAGATAGTATTACGTTGTACTCATTGGATTTCGTTAATGATCTACTCCAACATTATCAGTTTCCAATAGCAGATGTGTTTCTTGCACTAGAAAATGCCAAATGTGCTCAACTTCATGAGTCGGATCTTGCCCGTTGGTTTGCAATAGATAACAAAGTAAATAGTTATTTTTTCAACAATGTTTTTCTCTCATCAAACTTTGCACTCCAGCTGAAAACGGCGCTCACACCGATCTCCAATGACTTTACTAAGTATGTCATGCTGATTCAGACCGCACAGGTGTATAAATTCGTTTTTTTATCTAAAGATCAGATCAAAGCGCTGTGATATCTCCTGTGGAGCATCAGCCGTTGAAACAAATCCGCTTGCCGTTTTCTAACCGCTTGATAACTCCAACTTGAATTCATCTAGTGAACCGTAATCTTCCGGTATTTGACTCATTGATCCGTTAACAATCTTCATTTTATCATTTTGCTCATCTCGATAGCTAACAAACGAAAATCATTTTTGTTTTCTCTTTTTTATTTTCAGATCTCTCTATTAAACGGAAACATTCGATGTCTGCTCGTGGCTTACAAACAGTTGTACGAAATGTACAAAATCTATGGCTGATTAACAATCGTCGACAGTTTCAAACATCGGCATTACGTTTAGCTGACAATGTTATTCATGTGAAAGACGATGCGGATTTTCAAAAGCGAGTTTTACAAAGCAAAAACCCGTTCGTAGTTGATTTCTATGCAACTTGGTAAGGAAAAACACGTGATGACAATATTTTGAAACTGTTTCATCGATGTTTTAGGTGTGGACCATGTAAAGTCTTGGGTAAGATTTCCTTCTTTGCCTTCTTTATGTTAAAACTTGGATAAAACTAGAACCACGCTTGGAAAAAGTAGTAACTGATCATAATAAGAAAACCAAGGGCGATAAAGATGTGAAACTGGCCAAAGTCGATATTGATCAGCTGGAACAACTAAGTGGCAAATATAATGTTCAAGCAGTACCCACAGGTAGGTCAAAAACTTTCACATCAGTTTGATTCAGTTGCGTTGTTTTGTTGTTCTCAGCAGCAGCGAAAATGATTACACAGATAAGTTGACTTTCAAGAAGTATTATGAAAATAAAATTAGGCATATATCAACATGCAATGAGCTTGTCAAATAAACTTTGTTAGAACTGAAAATGTACTCAGCTGTTCATACATACGATGATGTTTTATTAAAAGTATATAATGGACGATAGGAAAGTTTGTTCCGGTTAGATTCGATTGTTCACAACAACTTAGTTTTTTCGAAGCAGGATCACATTTAAAGCATTGCGAGTGTAGATAGAAAGCATATGTTATTAAATTAAATTTCATTTTAGTGATAGCAATCAAAAACGGCAAAGAAATTAGTCGATTTACAGGTGCTGCAGATGAAAATCGAATTCAAAAAATGCTTGATCAACTTAGCCGTTAACACAACAACAACAACAACAACAACAACAAAACGAAAACTTTCACTTTGCTCCTCCTTCCTTTTTGCATCTATGAGCTACCTTTTTGATTAAAACCGATCTTGTGGAATCTCCGGATAAATTGTCGGGTATTGATTCGGCGGGATATAACTCGGATTGTGATATTGAACTGGAGCCTGATGATAAGCAGGCATCATCACAGGTGCGGATGGTTGAAATGATTGCGGAGGGGCAGTAAAAACTGCTTGAGAATAAACCGGTGCCATGACAGTGTCAGCTACTGTTCGCACTTGCTGTCGATTTGCTCGTGCTGACTTCGAAGATACAATGAAATATGCAATTATATATGCAAAACATGTTGCTGCCATTACAGCTCCACAAGCTAATTGTACTTTAATGAATATCATACGAGCATCGGTACACTTATCTAGACCACTACCAAAAGCACAACTGACCGAGTTGTACCAAGTGAAACCGAAACTTCGACAGAGTCCTCCAGTAAAGAAACACTCGTGCGGGTGTCGAATGAATGCAATGTTAATACCAATTAATGCACTTGCAAAGAGAAATGAAATACAATTATGTATCAGTGCATGTGTAGCACAGCTTCGTCGACGGCAACAGCATACTGAAAATAAATACTCACGAATGTATTCGGATGTGTTTCGTAATGAAAAATTTACCTGTTGCAAACATGGAAATCCATAGAATAGTAAACGGGACGGACGCCCAAAAGCCAGCAAATAGATTTGTTAATCGGACATCGATAATCACATGTCCAACTTCAAGTCCGATGATCCCAAATGTTGCTAACATTTGGATAATGGCTAGAATTGCCACAACCGATAGTGGAAATCGATCATTGAATTGTTGTTCGCGAGTTAAGAAAGCTTGGGAATTCGGTTGACGCATTCTCATATGACTTTCTGACTGAGTGTGTTAATCAAGGAATAAAAGGAAAATGAAGAGAGAAAGAGTTTTTAAAAAAATTCACATATTGCTTGCTTTTTCTCGATGACATACGATCTACATTTATACAAGTAGGCGAAGCTCACATAGATTGGATTGCTAAGTCAATTTGATTATGACAAAAAAAGAGTATGCCACTGAGCCGCTTTTTTTTTCTCTTTCGATATAAAAAGTTCTGTCAATATTGAAAGTTTTCATTTCCATTGATGATTTATCATTTAATGAAGATAACGTGTTAATCGTTGAATATTGTTATGACTCAATTTTCTTTTCCAATATCATGATTGATTACTAATATGCACTTCGAAGGCAAGCTATATGACGGGCAGAGAAAAGGAGTCATATCAATGTTATTTCATGACGTTTTCACATGACGCATGGAGTTAAGAAGGTTATACGTATTAGTATAGTTATTAGAATATTGACGTCAAATGGTATCGGCCAATTATTAGAGTGGAATCACAAAATAGCGCATAACTAATTTGGTCATGTCTATTATGAGTAACACGAAAATAATAATGAAAAAATAAAACAGAGCATTTGAAATGTGGACACCTTTTTGATGATATTTTCCTCCTGCTATTTTTGTTATTTGCATATTACTAATTTGTCGCTTCAATGGCTACAAAAATCTATACAGGATGAAAACGCAGGCTCTTTGAAGGAGACATAGAGTGAATGTATTGTATTTGCAAATGTCGTCAGTCAAAGCAACACGTTCTGTTTCAGTAAATCGGAATAGTAGGATACATTTTTTCTTTCAATTTTACAAGCCAATCATGTTTTCCTCGATTTTGTTCTTCAAGGTCGAAAAACAGCTCGAATTAATTTACGTAAACTCCATCCACATGCACATAAACGTTCCAAAGAAGCATCAGAAGAGCCGCAAACAAAAGCGCAGTTGACCTCCGATGAACAGCAAAAACGTGAACTTATTGAGCAGTATATTTTCTCGAAATTAGAAGCATATGCTCAGAAACCACGGCTATGGCAGATTGCACGTTCTACTCATATCAAACGGCGTCTTCTGGATAAATCTCAACATTTAGCTAATCGCCATTCCGTTTCCAATGAGTTCGTTCGTGAATCGATTAATCAACTATTCGATGATGTTGACAAACACATTGTTCGAGTTCGTCATCTTCTCCATTCGACATCGTATGCGACCGAAAAACCAAACACGTTTTTTCAAACGCTGGACAAAACAGATAGCCGATGGTACGCATTGCAATTACAACGTGCATTGGAAGTGTTTCCTGAAATGATCGATGAAGATTTAACGGATAATGAACGTGTACAGAAATACTATCGATATATCATAGATACACTGACACCAAAGACAGATGCAGCGAATACAAATTGTATTGCACAACTGCGAGATCAACCATTCGATCTAGATCAGGCATATGCACAAGCGGAAAGTATGGGAGCAGATTATCTTGAGCATTTGTTGGAAAAGTACCATCAACGGTCCGAACCAGATCTGGATATTATTCAAAAAATGGTTGATATCGGTAAATAAAATCTACATATTCTAGTCAAGAAACGACTTCTCTTAATTTAGGTTTCACACATATGCGAGTAAGACCAAGTGATGAAGAATTCAATAGTGCGACAAGTTTCCTTACTAAAATCGCCGTTCTACACAGATCGAAAAAAACATATGAATGTAATTTAAAAAATATGGGTGATGATTTCATGTTATTACGTTTCGGTAAAGTCTTCGGACCAAATGCCTTACAAACAACGGCTAGTTGTAATCAACAATTCATCTATTTCGTTCATTTATTTATTAAATCTGTTGCACATCTGATGATGTTAACGAAAGCATCGGCTAATGATCCCGAGGACGTTCCAGAAGGAGTGAAAAAATTGATCTCTTCTCTATTCGCAGCTGAATCGAATTCAAATGTAATCAAATTAAACAATGATTTGTTTTCCCCGAAAGTGAATGTTGATCAATGGACATGGCTCATCGAAAAGTGGCGTGATGCATTGAAAACATTTCCAATGATGCTCACACAAGTTGGCTCATTCGGTCGGCTATTGCGTACGACCATTGGTATCGGAATTGCGCGAATCTTTAACTTTTCCGAAACAGTTGTGAAAAACAAGCAAATGTTAGACATTAAAGTTATTAATGAACAGTTCTTTCATGCACTGCAAATGGGCTTCTATTTTGGTGTTGCCTATGCCATTGTCGACTGTATTCAAGATGAGATTCGCAATATAGACAAAATTCCTGCACATCATTTTGATGCCCTTCGAGCAGGCGCAAGTTCTCAAGGGGGATTGTTAACGCCAGCTGAAATGATTGAAAAATGGACATTAACTATGGAAAAACTACTGAGCGGAGAAGAATTTGATCGTAGTGAGATACCGAAAACACCCTTAACACCTTTATTACTAGAAACATTCGATGGTTTGATAACTTTAACAAAAAGCATTGGAGTTACACGTTCGGCGTTTAATGAATTAGCACTTCTATTAAGATCGCAACGCGTCGATAAGAAGACGCCAGAAGAATTCTATAATGACAAGGAACTATTCCTCGGTAAAAACATCGTTTTGCTTGTTTATTCTAATTACCAATGTCACGTTTCCCTTTTACAACGATGAATAACCGACTCTCCGCCCTCTGACGCTAAAAGCATGATTACTTCATGCGCGACGATCAACAAGGAAGGCGTTGTCAACTACGTTTACCCTAAAAACTAATTTACCCTATACAATTGAGCATGATAGTCTAAACACCCTTATAATAATGTTTAACGATCATCATTGAACAATTTTCTATTTCTAGGTGCTGTACTCAAGTCCCACTTCACTTATACATGTACAACATTTTTGGGAAACATCAAATCGGCTCGTGAGGAAAATGAACGACTATGGATTATGCCATTCTTAGGTCAACTAACCGATGATTGTCGAGATTTCTATGATGATGTCACATCGAATTCAGTCACACCATTTACTCATTACGCAAATTTTATTGGTCGCGAAAAGTGTTCGAACACATGCTTACTGAATCCATTCTACGCATTTCTTCATCTTTGTATAGATCTCTATATAGATTCTGATTACGATGAACAAACAGGTGCTTTTCTTGGTCGTCGTATAGCACGAACCTTACGCTCTATTGAAATTAGCGGCGATCAATCAGCACTTCGAGAATTTCTACATATATTCTGTCAAAATAATACATCACTACATCATTATTTCTGGTTCAGTCTTCGTCCTAAGTTTTCCAACGTCAGTGATCCTGAGAAATCATTCTTTCGTACCGTTAACAAAGCAAGCGTTCAATACGCGCGAATTAACCGTAAATTAGAAACATACGTCGGTGATCATTTAAAACAGATCGAAGATGCACTACGGATCCATTCGTTTAATAAGTATGCGAAAACCAAACCCATCAGCGATCGCGACGAACAATTGTTAATCTCTGCTATGAATTACAGCGTTACAGCTGGCGGGAAACGTCTTCGACCATTAATAATGTTGATGGTTGCCGATTTGTATGAGCTCAATATAAAAAATATCATACCATTAGCATGCGGAATAGAATACTTGCATACGTCATCGTTGATATTGGATGATTTACCTGCACAAGACAATAGTGATTTAAGACGTGGTAGGCCAACATTGCACAAGGCAGTGATTAACAATGATATACCGGAAGATCTCTGTGAGGGTCGAGCACAATTGGCAGCTGTTGATTTGATAGCTGTTAGTATGAGTTTGATTAATCATGATTTAGTCAGAAATGGTTTTTCACCAGAACGTGTCAATCAAGTTATCAATGAAATATCGCTGTCGATGCATGATTTATGTATTGGACAAATGATGGATTTACGTGCTGCACATATGGGCATAGAAGACGGTGATGGACAAGTCGATGAACTCGATCGTATAGCATGGTTGAAAACAGGCAAAGCAATTGAAATCGTTTTGATCACGCCCGCCGTTTTAGCTTTATCACCTACCGATCCTGGTCATGATAATACGATTGCACAAATTCGAGAATTAGGTCGTCTGATGGGTATATTGTTTCAAATGCGTGATGATCTACTGGACGTCGAAGGAGAAAATATTGGTAAACCTGCTGCACTTGATGTCAAAAATAATACGGTGACTTACGTATCAACCTTGGGTGCTGAGGGCACTCGCAAACGTCTGAAAGAATTTCGGACACAGACATTGAAGTTAGTCGACGAGCTTTGGCCAAAAGGTGCAGGCACGATCAAAACTGTGGTTAATTACATTGTTGATCGTAAAAATTAATACGACAAGTATCATTCATTCTGTACGATAGTATACAAACATTAGGAAAAGTTCGCCGAGTTTTATTTTTCGGCGCATTTTTATCTGACAAAATGACTACTTCTTTGTAATAAATTTCTCTACGACTTTTTTCAAGATTAACCGTTTCATTATGATCATGAAGATAAGAACTTCTACATCACTTTTTACTTGTTCATCTAACTTTGATTGAACAACTTGGTGGCGTCTGGACTCTGTCCTTTTTTTTTATCATCGGTATAGTAACATGAGAAAGTTTTGTCGACTTCGACATATAACATCATGACTTAGTTTTGCTTTTGTCTCGACATTACAATGCGCATGGCTCACATCTAAATCGAATAAGGCATAGTTAGCCAATTAAAATTAGTTGAATCAAAATTGTTTAAAACCAAGAATATGTCTAATCGTAAAGAAACCGATCGATTGCCAGTCTGTGTCCGTCAATCGGCTAAAACTGATCCAGAATAGCGAATACTTGGGTACGAAGCTGTATGATTTTTGAAAATTCAAATTAGACTCTAACAACTTCTAACAGATCATTTTCTTTATTTATACCACTATGCCAACATCATCATCATCAAGGCAAAGAGACATGAGAAAACATAACAAGGGCGTGTCTAATATAATAAAACTTTTTTTTTTCTTTGCAGTGAGTATTATGTACATATTTTTCAATGTTGGATACACTACCTGCTCGTCCAGAAACATAAGGCTATCAGGCAGAAAAACAGCATGCCGGACATAAAACACATTTAATAAGCTCTTCAAGTATAACAAGAGGCTTGGACATAAGTAACGAAACTTTTCCCTGGTGGCCTACCGACATTCAGCTATGTCAATCCAAATTCCCAATTCCAACGATAGACTTGATAAAGTTTCACATTGAATAGGTGAATTTGATTCGATGATGTTCAATATTAATCTATGGAACTGATTTCATCTCGTAATATTAGCTGTGTGCACATTGAAATTCTCTAATAATATAGTTAAGTAAAAAGCAAAATATTTTATCAAAATTATTGATGATATTCAGAGGAACTATTGATTTCTAATGCAAAATATCGTACGATCATTGAAACATTTGTTGCTATTTTCAAAAATGATATCAAAATACAAACGTCTTTTGGTTAGTTTGATGCAATAACTTAGTCATGCTCGACTAAATATACAGAAAGTAATTTACTCGTAAGCATATTATCTTTTAGAAAAATAACGGTGTGTTTCCAAGTTCACTACGGTAATGACTGTTTTGCTTGTCGAGGAACTTGCTGAGAAGACGATCTTTCTTCTCAGTTTCGTCAAATAGCAAAGAGTCGTTTCAACTTTCATCTGAAAGATGTATTTTGGCATTTCTTCTTCTTTGAAAAAAGACGAACGTCGAAATCCGATTTCCCAAAGCACGAAGTGCTCTAGTCAATATTTGAAATATACCAATTGACTGCGAACATTCGCGCTCAGTGATGATTACCGGTGAAAATGTAGTTGATGTTCAAAAGCACATGACTATTACCAATAGACCGTGACGAACACCGTTGAAACTCGAACATAGAACTCTTTTGAACATGTCTCATCAACTACAGTTGATGAAAGTAATCAAATCGTGATAAAAGTTTATATGAATGAGAACGAAAAAGAAAATACGAGTAGTCTGTTGACTGAATATCCCATCGACGATGTGTCTCATGCGCTTTTACGATATGCATGTGCATATAATTGCATTAATTCATATCGCTTCTTTTTCTTTCTCTTTCTCTCTTTCTCTCCTCTCTTCTTTCATTCAACGATAATTCACCTTTTTCGTCGATGTCTACCTCTCTTTCTTTCGTTATTGTATGGAGAAAGTTGCCGCAGGCTACAAGCTAAGAAAAGAAAACTGACTGACCAAAACGTTTTTAAAGTGAATAAATGGACAATTAAACTCTTTATCCGTTAGTGAGAAAAGAGCCTCAAGGTAGTCTTTTCGTATTCACCGGCCATTCAACCAATGACAACAAGTATCCTTCGCTATTCAAATGAGTTTGGAAAAAAAGCACAATGAGAAAAAACATTTACATGTTGAAAACTTTCTCAGTCCATCTCAAGAGCAAACATATACACATGCACGAAGAAAATAGACTACTTACCATCATCAGCAGTATCAGCAGTGAAACAGAAAATGAAGACAATAAGAAGAAAAGAGAAGAGAAAAAGAAACGGGGAAGCATGTCATCGGTACTCACTAGGTGTCCGTTTTCGTTGTCAAATTCTGTCTCTTTTTTCTCTTTCTATTTACTATTCATACTTTTCCTCTGCTTTCGACGTTCGCTGATGGTCAATGTTTGCTTAGACAGGTAGTCACATGAAGTAGCATACTTCGTCCGATTTTGTCGTTGTCAAAGCCTTATAATTGTACGTGCTCGTATACATATGCATATATAAAAGAACTACTCTTGTTTCAGCAATATCGCACACACACATATACATGTACACGAATGCAAATAAAGCAATACGTTTGCGTGCACATCGTAAATTGACCAGTGGATCACATCGGTATAAACTGTGTATCCATGGTGTCTGTCTGTTTGCCTGTCTGCTCTCACCGATGTACAAAAGCGTTGGTAAGCAATATCGAGAAACACGGGCAGCGATAGTGGAAACAAAAAAGAAAAGAGACGAAGAAACTATGGTCGTAAACCGTTTTTCTTTATCCCGACAACGACGGCGATGTTGATGGCAGAAAAATCATGCACATATATATGTTTCGTTTTTTGCTCTTTCGACATGTTCGTTCCGTTTATAATTACGTCAATCGTCATTGTTATGTTGATTTAAATCTTACACGATAGTTAAAAGAAAAGCGAAGAAGAAAAGAAAAAAAACGAAAAGAAAAATCGAAATCTATGAGAATAATCGTCGAAGATTGCAGAATAGTAAAAAAATCTATTTTTTCGGAATTTATAATAGACTGATATAAATAACTCGATAGTCTCGTTTATTGTTTTATTCATCAAAGTCTAAATTATCAGCTAATTGGTGATAAAAGCAGATTCTCTATGAACAAGGATATCACGAACCGATATTCAAACAAACATTAGCTTCATAGTTATGCTCTGATATGTGAAAGTCATTCGTAATAAATAAGTTAATTTTATTTCAATTCATTTTTTATAAATATACATTTGGATTAATACCGGTCGGTTCATTCATGATAATAACAGAGTCCGTGTCACTCAATCTGGACTCCGATGGATTCTCCAGTTCATTATAGCGATGATCATTTGGATTGTCAATAATTTCTTCGATCGAATTGCTTAGGCCATTGTCTAACGGTGCCAATGGCTTTTGTTTTTTTCCTTCCAGTGCCAATTCGAGGCGTTTACCTGTGAATAGTTCTTTTAATTCTCGACGAATTAAGCTCGTTGTGATCGTTGATAAAAGTATACAAGGGACAATGTACAGTAAAGCTGGTTGAGCGGTATTCATTAAGTAGAGTGCAACGTGTGTCAAAGCTAAGCCAACAAAATAAGCTATTAACGATTGAAGATAATAAACAGGCCAACGATTCGCACTGGCAATATCGTATATTTTGCAAAATGTTAAAAGAATACCCTAAGAAAAGGAATTCTTTTGTACAGAAAAGAAGTTTCATTTCTATTTACCGGTAGGATAATATCACCAAAGCCAAGCATTGACTTTCGTACAGTTACACATGGGTCGATTTCTGATTCAGGTATGAACATTGGTAAGGCAAATAGCAGTGGAACGGTTTCACCGTTTGCTCCGATGCCCAATGCCACTTGTTCCATCACTGACGGGGTTCTTGTTGATTTTCGTGTTATTGACCGAACACTCGATCCACTGCCTGATGGTGCAACGGTAGTGGCACTTGAACTTGTCGACGATTTTTGAAATATAGGAATATAAGGTGTAATAAAAACAAAGAAGGTATCGTAGAGGAAAAAAGCTACTAGAATAACCGTGATCACTCGCATATTTCCCAGTCGATAGATGGATGTGACTGATATGCAAACTGCTGCACCAAGAATATCTTGTAGAATCCACGCCCAATCTCTTTGACGATAGATAAACCAGATGATAACAAGTGTTAATGAAACACAAATTGCCAAGATTGTAATACAGTTCAATGGACCTAGTTTCCATATACATGGCCGACGTAGCGTACACGATGGAATTTCATACCGGCGAAGAATTGGAACAAAGTAACTTAAACGGTTGAAACAACGGATTAAACTTGAAAACGCGCTGATACAAAACATAGCTAAAGAGTAAATCAGAAAATTAAGAAAAATTTCCTTTTCAATCATCGATCATTCATGACGTGCACTATCGAAAGTACTTTATCTAAAAAACCAACTCTTTTCTCCTGTATTATATATCAAGTGATTGCACTCGAATTCTTAGTTCATTCTCTACCAACGAGGAACACGCTGAAGAAGTGATGTAAATGGTGAAATTACCTTGTAGAACGTAAATCATCACTTGTGGAAAGTAATATAACAAAAGTAGCCATCCAACAGCAAAGAATATCATAAGAATAATGAAACAACATGTCATGGGAAGAATAGCTAATTTCTTTTCTTCGAGATCTTCATTCGGTCGTGGTGAATTTTCTTTTGTAATAACTTGTACTGGTGCTGTTTCATCAACACGCGGTGATGAATTCGCACTCGAAAGTTGACTACAATTATCACTATCACGTTCTTTCATAATTCGCTTGAATTCATCTCCTGCCCAAAAGTTTCCACAAAGTAAAACAACCAGCACTAATAGAAACATTAGCAAAACTGCTGGGCGAAATTTTCTTCCAACATCCACAGGATAATCAATTGACAACTGAATACTATTCAAATCTTCAAAACGATTCTTCAGATGATCAAAGTCTGAATCCAAAAACATCATTACTGGAATACTAACAGGCATCGTTGTTGTATTATATGTTAATTCATAGCTAGTATCTTGCCGATCGGTGATAATCATTAACGCAATTTGCCCATAGAGCTGTTCAACATTCCACGCTTGTTCTGTCATTGTACATCCATGCTCATATATGATTAGCATCGTTCTCGAAGATAATGTGTTTGGTAAAGACGTATTTAAACTTGCTGCATTACAAGCATCGACTGTCGACGATACCAAGTACGGATTATACCATCCGAAGTCGGAAACATTCACTGTTTGACCATTTGGTAGTTTGGCTAATTCTATACAATAGCGATAATATTCTGATGAGGTACTTGAACGAACTAATAGATTGATCGCTCCATCAGTATACGTTTGAACAAACGGACAACAAAGGAGAAGAAAAACGAAATTAATTATTTGTGTCATCGTTCATCTAAATGAAAAGGAACAACAACTGAGGAGAAGAAAAACAACGAGGTGACTTCTTTTTATTCTCATTCTATTTCTGCCGTTTTCTCCTTCTCTTTCGCTTTTCTCTCGCATCAGTCAGCTGTGTGTTACGAAGTATATCATTTAGGCGCAATCTGTGATGTTATTTTTTAACAAAAGCACTTTCCTTTCCTCGGCACTCTCTCATTGTTATTCTATTTTCTTTTTCTATGAAAATATCCCTGAACCAAAATACACAGAACAACATCCAAACACGGAATTTCTTAATTCGTAATTGTCAATAAAAAACAAGATAACAAGAACAAGAGAGAAAACAATCAATTCGTACGACTCGATTTCGTTCTATTCCTACTTGACAGAAGAGAAGAAGAAGAAAAAGTCAGCAGTGGATACTGCGGCTTTATTTGCCAACCGTTTTTTATTGTTCAGTTATAGTTTTATTGACTTTCATACACCAAGGTCAACAACAAAAAAAAGAGGGAGCGAATGAAATTGTCATTCATTCGTTCAGAGCACACATACATATACATATATGTAAAGAAAAAAAACGAACAAGAGGTCGAACTCTATGAGTGTGTCATTTGAACTGCGATAGATATACGCGATGAAACAGATTTTAACTTTTTTTATCTTTATCTATTTACTGAAATGCATTGAACAACAGACTTATTCGTCTTTAAATCAAGATCCATTTGAATATTTTCGGAAACTTGCTCGAGATGTTCAAAATTACCCGCAATGTGATTTCATTCCACCATATAAAATTCAACTCGATTCGTCATTCTTCGATGTGGATTTAAGACAATGGCAACGAAAGAAGGACCCTCCACCAATTCATCGGACTCTCGAAGCATTTGTGCAATTAGATACCTTAAGACAGAGTACTTATTTCAGTCACATCCTACAAGGCAATAGTCAAGCTAAAGTGCCAGGTAAATGAGGGAAAACAAAAACAAAAACAAAAGATTCAATAGTCACTGTAGATACATTTCTAGTCAAGTATTTATATATTGACTGACAACAGAGCTTAAGTCAATGTTAGCTTTAGAAGATATGAAATCTGGCTAGTGCATTGAGATTGCATTACACAACTGTGCATATTTTTTGTTTATGTTCAAGGTATTCTTTACTTTTATTTATCTGCTGCTGCACAATTGCATACTCTTAAACAGTTAAGTCTCATTAATGGTAAATCTCTTGACGCCGTTCAAAGTGTTCGTTATGCATTTGATTCGAATGAAGTCTTTCGAGTGCCATGGTATAAGATTGGTGGTAGTTTTATGAATTTTGAGCGTCCATTCGCTGTTTATGCTTTTGGAACAGAATCTCCTCAACATCTCTCGATAGTTGATATCGGTGTTGGACCATTTGCAACCAATGATTATACAATACGGTTTTACGAACATTTCAACCGAGTTTATAATAATCCGTTGAAAACTTTTCGAACTTATCAGGAATATTTCAATGCACTGATACAAACATGGTTAACCCAAACTCGAACGGACCAAGATGATTTGGCTGATTGGGGAAAAGAAACGAAGGAATACAATAATCTATTACAATTTGAAAATTATTTTCCTTTGCCTTATCGATCCGTACCACAGCCTGAACGAACTGATATCATCGATCAACGATCCGATTTCAATCGAGTTTTTCCCTACGCAGATTTAGTCTATGAATACTATCGAGATAGAAACTATTATCGATATGCGCGAGGATGGTTTCTCAATCATACACAAGCTGAATCAAATCAAAATGCGTATGTAGGAAAGATAGTTCTTCGAATTATATAATCGATGTTTTCAAAGGTTGTCGTATGGAGTTTTACCTGATCGCATTCAACGGAATGTGCTTTTGCCTATGTTTGAGCAAGCACGATGGACTGGACCGTACATTTTTTGTCCATTAAATCCAAGACAATGGCTTGTCTCTTCTATTCAACCAATTTGGGCAGCAAATCACTTCAACTACAAAAATCCAATCGCTTTTCAAAATAACCGACGTTATAAGTAGGTTTGATTCATATTCTATTTGAAATATTCTAGTTGCTCTGTCTTATATTATAGTTTTGCTGGTGTCACCAATGTTGAACTTGATTATATACAACTAGATGTAAATCAATGTCCAGGCGATCACATGCGCAATTTCTACGCGAATTCAGCCGTATGTGATCGAAATGCTTATGTAAGTGAACTCTTTTTTCGAACACTAACAGTACCGAAGTGAGTGAGGTTTTTAGTGCGAGCCACTGCCTGGTTTTAGTTTACAAAGTGGTGGTTATCAATGCTCGTGCCATCCAAACTTTCGCTATCCATCGAACATTCGCATACCATATCGACCTGCATATGATAAATACAATTCCAGATTGTCGCCTGTATGTCAACCCGTACGACTGCTCACGCAGTATCCAACATGGCAAGTCGAACGTACAAAACGACATCAGACTCGGCGATCAATCGCTCGACCGAATCTATTTGAAAAACTTCGCTCATTGATCTTCAAACGTCCGTCGGGATGTCCACCATGGTCACATATTGCTATGTTACCTGACGAACAAAATGATGATGAAAATATTCGATTTATCAACGATATGACTCGCCATGTCGATCGTATTGCCCGACCATTCACGCTGCAAGCTGTACGATTAGCTCATCTCTTTTCTAGCTATTTAGCACTGTACCGACCAGATCGAGATCCAGCAAATGACGGCTTTCTCGATCGTCGACCTGATCCTCCATTGACTGAACAATGGATTGAATCAGAAATAATGAGCACTGGTTTGGCATATTCACAATTATTAGAAATTGGGATTTATTTAAACGGATCAGAATATGAAAGACAAAATCCCTTTCAACAACGTGGTGAACCACTGGAAGGGCAAACCGAATTCGGTTATCGAACAAGTGTCTTTCGACAGATGAACTATGGGCTATCATTCATTCGTTTCGATGAAAATGAAGACAAATATATTCTTAATCGAACACTGGATGGTAGTTATTTAAATAAAGGTACCTGGTACGACAAAGCCATGTTAGCGAGAAGCAACATCGAAACAGCTAGATATAGTGTATCAATGGCTATGCGAAGAGATATACTAGGCACACAATTGATCAAATTACCTACATTATTGTACGACGCACCAACAACTGGTGTTTGGTAAGTAAAACTAGATGTTTATCGATCGAATTGAAACTGTCGTTATTGTTATACAGGTTCGGTCCTTATCATGACTGTTCGTACACAAAACATACAGCAAATACTATGGTCCGCTGGCGATACTCCGTGCCAATATTCAAAGAAGTCGCTCGTTTACCTGTTGGTTTTGTTTCGATTGTTTTCGGTTCTAATCTACGTTGGTATGCAATCAATCCATGCGATGCATCAACAGGAGTCAATGCTTACAACGGATTTCAAGGTCTTCACAAATGCCACCGTGAAACAACTGAATGTCGGTATCAAAGTATACCGGAACAAGAAACAGGCTTTGATTTAGCAAGTTATCGATGCGTTTGTAAGCCTGGTTACGAATATCCATTTGGTTCAATGAAGAACTACTTTGAAGGTGCAATCATAGAACGTGAATATTTGAAAATGTTGAGTGGAGAAACAAATGCTTATGAAAATATGCAGTGTCGACCAATAGATCAAGAATTAGAACCACGATATTTCATGTCAGATAACGTTCGACTTCAAAATTCTGTTTCTCTTTTCTACTATTTGCTTTTCATACGATTAGTTTTTACTCTTTTTTGAATAAATTATCACTAATATGATTTTACATCACAGAAATGTTGTTTTTATATACAAAACAATTACAGGAAAGGAAAGAATAGTAGTATATATATTCTTCGACGCGTCTCTCTCTCCTGCTCTTTTTCATTCTGGTAAAAGTACCACATGAAGGCTAAACGATGGCAAATAGCAACATACACCGATACTTGGAGAAAGAATAACTGCCTGCGACAACTTGATTTTGCGTTCTTCTTTATTTCCCTGTGTCTTGTCATGTGTCTACATCGTCAAAGACTTTCACTACATCACACACTCGGCTGTCTGTTTTTCTTTCAGATGAACTCAATCATCGAAATTGTACCGTTCGCCCCTGAACATCGGCAAAGTGTTATCAATCTATTGATGAGCTCGTTTTTTATACAGGAACCTCTAAATGCCATGCTCGAGTTCGATATACCTCACGAACCATTACAATTCGTGGACTCAACCATTGATGGAGCACTTCGTGATCAATGTTCATTTGTTGCTATTGACACAGATGCACCATGCAAGGAAGTTGTGGGTGTTATACTCAACGGAATCAGTCAACGTTCAGCACCTGAAGAATTAGTGACTTATCCATCGGAGAAATTAGCATTGATTTTTTCCATAATCGACAAAGTTTCGGAAAAGCATAATTTATTCGATCTTTATCAAACCGATCGATTGTTTCATTGTGATATTATTAACGTCGATGAAAAACAACGCGGCCACAACCTAAGCGCTCGATTGATCAAAGCCTCGTTGGATAAAGCCAAGCAGTTAGGTGTCAAAGGTGCCTCCGTTGCATGTACGAGTTTATTTTCTCGAAAAGCTTTTATGCGACAAGGCTTTGAAGTTGTCAATGAGCTTGCCTTTTCAACATATGGAGATGAACGATTGAAGAATATGGGCGTACATGATCGATGTACTCTGCTAGGGAGAAAACTGTAATGGGGCAGTGTGAATTGAAAAATATGCAGAAAACTAGAAGAAAACGTTGACTTTTTTAATAAATAACTTTTTTTTGCACCTTGAAAGCTTTTAGCTTATTTATAACATCATCAATAGAACAAGTAATTTATTGTTTTTTGTACAAGAGTGTTTTTATTTGCTTAGCAGAAATGTACTGATGTTATCGACACACGTATCTAACTACGCAAAACTGAATGCAATGTAGGCCGAATCGATTTGTATCATTAGTTCTTCTCTATGGGGAAAGTAATCAAAACCTATCACAGAATTCTTTCATATGTACAGCAAATGTACAAAGAAATTTATCATCTTGTCATTGAGATCGTAGAATTGGTAGTAACACGATTCCCAGGGGATCGATAGGATAAAGCTGTCATCGAGCGGCCTCTGTTATACATATAAAGTATACAAATAATCTGAGAGGTTTTCGGCTTCTACAAATGGCAAATAGATGTTTTCGTTTCGTTTCGTTTCGTTTCAAAGCGGTTATCGATAGTGCATTCATTTTTTCTGATTTTTCAAAAACAACTTATATCAATATGAGTTCAGCTGCTAACTCCAAGATTTTTACATCTTTACTCGAATTAGAGAATAATCCAAAACTAAACCAGTATGATCCTCATCTATGCAGAGATATACACATTAAACTAGATCAAGAAGCACGAGCAGAAGGTTTAAGCTATGAAGAGCGCTTTGAAATGGTTCGAAAATCAAGAACACTTGATTCTCTTGATTGACTGTTTAATACCTAGGCGAAAAAGAATCTATCAGTGTTTCATAAATGGTCATCGATATTTCCTGCTGGTATATCCCAATGCTTGAAAGAATACTGGAAAGAACGAGTTAGCTCAGCTCCACTTGATCCACGTTTTCCGAACGTCAATCAGACAAAGTAAGCGGAAGATCTTCGACAAACTTTCTCGTTCTATCATAGAATATTTTCAGACGATGCTGGGTGAATTATGTCGATTATCATCGGTGTATGGAAATCAAAAATGATGAGAAAGTGTGCGGATATTTCAAACATCTTTACAAAGATTTATGTCCAGAAGAATGGACTAGTAAATGGGATGATCAAGTAGAACGTGGTGTCTTTCCAGGCATACATGACTGATAGGTACGCACTAGCACAGTCCGACTGGGTAAAGAGTTAGCGGTTTGATCACCAATCCTATCGCTCTGCGATCTATTAATCAACTCGTTTAATAACCAACATCGCTGCTCACCCAGTCGGACTGGGTGCATATCTAATAGGTGAAAAATTCGGTTAATCAAGCTATTTTGTTCTTTTTTTCTGTTATAATCTTGTGTTTTCTTCATTTGTTTTCATCAATTTCAGTTATTTGTAGATAACAAATCATGAGTAGCAAGAAGGCATTAGCTGCTATTCAGACAATGAAAATCATCTATGGTTCACAAGGAAGACAAAATATTCTTCCTTACCATTATCTTGGGTAAATCAGTACTCTCATGAATGCTTCATTCGTATTTAATGTTTTCAGTATGGTTTATCGTACTCCATGGCGTTTTTGGTATTCGAACTCGCAAGTGTTTCGATGGTTCTCACGTATCATGCTAGTTGCTTTTACTGCATCAATCTACTTACCATTACGAGGGGTTGATTTATCGTATACACCCTATACAATCGTTCACCATCAACTCGATCATAAATTTGGACACTGGATCGAAGAAATGCGTTATCCAGTCGATCAACAACGAGTGGAAGAATACAAGAAACAACATGGATTGAAATAGACTCTCGTTTAGTACTTCGATTGCCTGATCGTAGATCATTATTTAATTCATTTCCTTGAACCTCCTGATAACTATTTTTTTGATAACAACGTTTTCATAGAATAAAGATGAGAAAACCACGTTCTTCTTCGGCGAATGTTTTGCCATTAAAAATTGTACCATCGAATGAATTTTTCGGCTACCAATGTTGTTCATAATGAATCATTGTGAACTAAGAAATGTTCAATTATTTATTTTTTATCACTCCTCACCCTCGAATCTGTTCTTTTTCATCTCTTTCTCTTCCGATTCAATCACATTTGCGATAAACTGATCGTATCTCTCTTCTCCTAATTGAGATCTCAATTGATAAATCACCATCTCTAGTCAACTATACGTAATACTCAACATTTTCAGTCTCAATTGAGAAAAACACATATGTCGAAGTACACTCCGATCATGTGATGATCTAAGAGATTGTTTGATTGCCACTTACATCAAGAAATAGCAAAGTGCTATCCAAAAGACGAGAATATATATTTAGCAATAATCTTCTAGTAATATTGGATACTTCACAAGTGATGCTTAGGTATATTTCGTTATTTTCTGAACAAAGAAAAAAAATGAAGATCTTCTTGAACAGTTGTCTTTTTTTCTCATGTAGTCAATGATAGTTCAATATATCTTAAAGAAGTTGAGCTTCTTTTTTTATGTTCATAAAACACATACACTCAACGAAAATTGCTTCTTCTTCTTTTTTTCTTCTTCTCTTCGTCAGACATCAATAAAAGCTTGTCGTGCACACGACTAATTAAAAAACTTTGCCACCGTCCGTCCGTTTCTTGTTCCATAATAATAGTATTGTATATGTCTACTCTCTTCTCTCTTCGCTCACGCGCGTATTCTCTCTCCGGAAAGAGAATATGCCATACATATAAAAAAAAGAGGGAGAGAGAAACATTTCTCTCTGTGCGAATGAACACATTTCATTGCGAGAGAGAGAAGAGAGGAGTCAAGAAGGGATTAAACAGAGGGAGAGAGAGAGAGAAAACTCATTCTCTGTTGTCATTGCTGTCCATGTATGTTTCTTCTGTTAAAAATCAAAAAGAATTAAATCATTTTTTATTCTCTCAGTTGTAGTTGTATAGGATGTAAGTTATACGTATGTCATTATCTCCACAGCAGTTGCTTCTGATTTTTCTTCTTTTGTAAATTAACATATCAAATATTCGTTCTTTGATCTTTTTATTTATTTTAGGATCGAAAATCTTTTTGTCTTTGTGTTTAAAATGTTCACAGGCAAATCTCTGCTTGTGCTTCTCTTCCTCTTTTCCCTATGTTCAGCAAATCGTTGGTATCGAATGTTTAACACCAATCACGACGATCCTTGTGTTGATCGTTACAAACGTTTTCAACGTTGCATCCCGGATTTTATCAATGCGGCTTATCAAAAGCCAATCTACACCTCGTCTACATGTGGAACGTCGCCGAAAGAATTCTGTAATTTAAATCAACTGAATGAAAAACAATCGATTGACTACTTAACGGATATCAACAATCCGAATAACTTAACTTGTTGGCAATCCGATCTACTGAAACAAGGAGAGAATGTTTCGTTAGTTCTATCCTTAAACAAAAAATTCGAATTAACTTATATTAGTTTACAATTCTGTGGTCAAAGTAAACCAGACTCGATGGCTATTTTTAAGAGCATGGATATGGTAAGTTTAGTTGATGTTTTGTCGAGAATCGGAATGAAGAATTCGTTTAAGGGCGTAACATGGATCCCATTACAATATTACTCGAATAATTGTGGAGATGTTTTTAATAAAAGTTCTCAAGCCATAATAACTCGTTCGAATGAACAAGAAGCGCTATGCATTGATACGAAATCTCAACTATCATCGACAAGTGAATCACGTATTGCATTTAGTACACTTGAAGGACGTCCGTCAGCATATGAATTCGACTCGAGTCCTGTTCTACAAGATTGGGTGACAGCAACAGATATTAAAATTGTTTTATTATCACCGAATGTCGATATGAATTCCTATTCTGTGGCTGATTTCGCTGTGGGAGGCAGATGTAAATGCAATGGTCATGCATCAAAATGTATTCCCAATAGGTAAGACTGCTACTAAACATGTTTTTATATTTGTGCATAATTCGTTTTCTAAACAAACTTTGATATATACATTTTAATATATGCGATGACCGAGAGTGAACTATTGTCATATGCAAATCGAGTCAAGAACATGTCTCATGACTGGACAATTGTTCGATTACATGATGTCGATGTACACATCGTTTGAACGTGACATTGTCTATCAATCAGCTGACAGACATCGAAATATTTCATCTCTTATCGATTGTTATCAGATGAAGAGGATTTCAAATGCCGACAAAGTTTCTCGATGACGGAATTAAGCATGAGAAAATATCCGTAAGCAACATTTCGTTGTTACTTTTTCTAATCAAGGAAGAGAATTATGTTCCGCTAGATGAATCAGTTTTCCCTTTCGTCGAATATAATCGATTGACCGTGAATAGCGCAGTAGCAGAAAGTGAAAATGTGTGAGTAAGATAATATGATTGACAGAATGAAAAGAGAAACGCCGCATCGATACATATATATATTCAATTAGACATGTCTAGGAAATATAGACATGTTTTTATGATGTGATCATAGTTAAGTTGTAAAAATCACTTCGTCTTCTTCGCACACCTTTCATTCGATGTTATTGTGTACTCGATTTAGTTCATCCGTATGTGCTTCACGTATACATCAACGTGTGAGTACGAAAAGGTGGTAAGGAATAAGGATGCATCATAACAAAGACAGTGAAAAAGAAGCGATCATCTCCCTCTCCTGTGCATAACGTTTGCTTAAACAAATGAGATTTGTTCATCACTAGACAAATGTCACATAGATGTACACACAAAGACAGAAGGCAATGTTTCTGTTACTATTTATTTAGGTTAGTAACGCAAATACGCATATCCATCCGATGATGAGAGAAAGACACATGGTCAAGTGGCCTTGTTTCATCGGATATGAACTATGTACGAATGACTGTTAGAAACATTAATAGAGGATGTTAGTGATGATGTAATGCATCGGAATATTGAAAAAATAAAGAGTGGACAAGTGACAATTGAATATTCAATGAGAAGAAGAAAAAAAAAGGTGTATGGATGTGAGATGAATGATCGATCGATCGGTATGATTGCTATCAATATATTTCTTTCTTTTTTTTCTTGTCTCCAGCCTTTCACATTCGAAATGATCAATCAAAATTGATTGTTTCCATTGTTAATAAGTTGCTCGTTCACAAGAGAAAACTTCAATTGCGATTGACCAGTCACTTGAAACTTGTTTTTTTTAATTCAATTTGAGTATATCCGGTTCGTTTTCATTTCCTAGTGATGGCCGTTTAGTATGTGATTGCAAACATAATACCGCAGGTGACGAATGCGAACGTTGCAAAGACTTTCATTATGATCGTCCATGGGCTCGTGCAACCCAACGTGATGCGAACGAATGTGTCGGTAAGATGTTGTTTTATNAGTCAAGAAGGGATTAAACAGAGGGAGAGAGAGAGAGAAAACTCATTCTCTGTTGTCATTGCTGTCCATGTATGTTTCTTCTGTTAAAAATCAAAAAGAATTAAATCATTTTTTATTCTCTCAGTTGTAGTTGTATAGGATGTAAGTTATACGTATGTCATTATCACCACAGCAGTTGCTTCTTATTTTTCTTCTTTTGTAAATTAACATATCAAATATTCGTTCTTTGATCTTTTTATTTATTTTAGGATCGAAAATCTTTTTGTCTTTGTGTTTAAAATGTTCACAAGCAAATCTCTGCTTGTGTTTCTCTTCTTCTTTTCCCTATGTTCAGCAAATCGTTGGTATCGAATGTTTAACACTAATCACGATGATCCCTGTGTTGATCGTTACAAACGTTTTCAACGTTGCATCCCAGACTTCATCAATGCGGCTTATCAAAAGCCAATCTACACCTCATCCACATGTGGAACGTCGCCGAAAGAATTCTGTAATTTAAACCAACTGAATGAAAAACAATCGATTGACTACTTAACGGATATCAATAATCCGAATAACTTAACTTGTTGGCAATCCGATCTACTCAAGCAAGGAGAGAATGTTTCATTAGTTTTATCCTTAAACAAAAAATTCGAATTAACCTATATTAGTTTACAATTCTGTGGCCAAAGCAAACCGGACTCGATGGCTATTTTTAAGAGCATGGATATGGTAAGTTTATCTGATGTTGTGTCGAGAATTGAAATGACGAATTCGTTTAAGGGCGTAACATGGATCCCATTACAATATTATTCGAATAATTGTGGAGATGTTTTTAATAAAAGTTCTCAAGCCATAATAACTCGTTCAAATGAACAAGAAGCGCTATGCATTGATACGAAATCTCAACTATCATCGACGAGTGAATCACGTATTGCATTTAGTACACTTGAAGGACGTCCGTCAGCATATGAATTCGACTCGAGTCCTGTTCTACAAGATTGGGTGACAGCCACAGATATTAAAATTGTTTTATTATCACCGAACGTCGATATGAATTCCTATTCTGTTGCTGATTTCGCCGTGGGAGGCAGATGTAAATGCAATGGTCATGCATCAAAATGTATTCCCAATAGGTAAGACTGCTACTAAACTTGTTTTTATATCTGTGCATAATTCGTTTTCTAAACAAACTTTGATATATACATTTTAATATATGCGATGACCGAGAGTGAACTATTGTCATATGCAAATCGAGTCAAGAACATGTCTCATGACTGGACAATTGTTCGATTACATGATGTCGATGTACACATCGTTTGAACGTGACATTGTCTATCAATCAGCTGACAGACATCGAAATATTTCATCTCTTATCGATTGTTATCGGATGAAGAGGATTTCAAATGCCGACAAAGTTTCTCGATGACGGAATTAAGCATGAGAAAATATCCTTAAGCAACATCTCGTTGTTACTTTTTCTAATCAAGGAAGAGAATTATGTTCCGCTAGATGAATCAGTTTTCCCTTTCGTCGAATTTAATCGATTGACCGTGAATAGCGCAGCAGCAGAAAGTGAAAACGTGTGAGTAAGATAATATGATTGACAGAATGAAAAGAGAAACGCCGCATCGATACATATATATATATATTCAATTAGACATGTCTAGGAAATATAGACATGTTTTTATGATGTGATCATAGTTAAGTTGTAAAAATCGCTTCGTCTTCTTCGCACACCTTTCATTCGATGTTATTGTGTACTCGATTTAGTTCATCCGTATGTGCTTCACGTATACATCAACGTGTGAGTACGAAAAGGTGGTAAGGAATGAGGATGCATCATAACAAAGACAGTGAAAAAGAAGCGATCATCTCCCACTGCTGTGCATAACGTTTGCTTAAACAAATGAGATTTGTTCATCACTAGACAAATGTCACATAGATGTACACATAAAGACAGAAGGCAATGTTTCTGTTACTATTTATTTAGGTTAGTAACGCAAATACGCATATCCATCCGATGATGAGAGAAAGACACATGGTCAAGTGGCCTTGTTTCATCGGATATGAGCTATGTACGGATGACTGTTAGAAACATTAATAGAGGATGTTAGCGGTGATGTAATGCATCGGAATATTGAAAAAATAAAGAGTGGACAAGTGACAATTGAATATTCAATGAGAAGAAGAGAGAAAAAGAAAGGTGTGTGGATGTGAGATGAATGATCGATCGATCGGTATGATTGCTATCAATATATTCCGTTCTTTTTTCTTGTCTTCGGCCTTTCGCATTCGAAATGATCAATCAAAATTGATTGTTTCCATTGTTAATAAGTTGCTCGTTCACAAGAGAAAACTTCAATTGCGATTGACCAGTCACTTGAAACTTGTTTTTTTAATTCAATTTGAGTATATCCGTATCGTTTTCCTTTCCTAGTGATGGCCGTTTAGTGTGTGATTGCAAACATAATACCGCAGGTGACGAATGCGAACGTTGCAGAGACTTTCATTATGATCGTCCGTGGGCTCGTGCAACCCAACGTGATGCAAACGAATGTGTCGGTAAGATGTTGTTTTATATCATTTAGTTTACTCATCCGAAGTGCTCTGATTATGTATTCGAACTAAGACTGTCCATTCTCTGCTCTAACACGTTGTGAAATAAGGACACATATACGTGTCAAAGGTTAATTCTAGTTTGTAATTGCAATAAACATTCAACAAAATGTCGTTTTAATCTGGAATTATACAAACTCAGTGGACATAAATCTGGTGGTGTATGTCTCGAGTGTCAACATAATACAGCTGGCCGATCGTGTCATTATTGTCGAGAAGGATTTACACGTGATTTAACTCAACCAATGACAAGTATAAATGCTTGTCGAGGTAGTAAAACAAGAACCGAGCACTAAATTTCGTGTTTTCCACGATTCTATCTGTTGTCTTTTCTCGTATATTTGCACATTTACATACACATACATCACAGAAGGAAAAAGAAAGCAGAATATAGTCTAAGGAACTCTCCTTTCAGCCGATCTTCTGAGTAGTTCACTAGTTATCGAAACTATTCTATATTTTACAGCGTGCAATTGTAACAATCATTCTCGACAATGTCGCTTCAATAAAGAACTCTATCTTCTTTCGGGAAGAAAATCAGGTGGAATTTGTATTCAATGCAAACATAATACCGTGGGTCGACATTGTAGTTATTGCAAAGAAACGTTTTATCGGGATCCAAACTTGCCAATCACACATCCGCAAATCTGTAAAGGTAATCAGAGAGAAAATAATCAACTAGAAATGCATGAAAGAAATTAATCATTTTCTTTTGCTTGAACATCTTCCTTAATCTCTTAGTTTGCCTTCTTTTTCCGCTCTGTGAATGTGTGTTCGTCGCTTTTTTTATTGCACTAACCTTGCATGTATTCGTAGTCGCTTTGTGCATGTCTTATTTTAATGTAGATATATGTATGTATGGCTCGTTAGTGCTAAGTATAGAATGATAGCATACATCCTGGCTATTGTTTGAAAGTATGTGTCGATTAACGGAAACATATATAAATATATTTGTATAGAAAGGAAACGATCGATGGTCTTTTTATGAGTACAAACGAAGAAGGTAGTGTCGAGCGTTCATTCAAGGTTGCGCGGAGATTCAATTCTTTTGATGAGCTAGACTGAACATCAACAATGATAATTGTTAAGAAATATCTTTCGTATTTCCATTTTTTTCTCGATTAATTTACTATCCATTAACCGAATAGACAGACTATCTATTTATACTATGTCTAGATAAATAAATATTAGCACTAAGACATGCGCACACATACATATATCTGTAGACGTTTTGAATTAACAAGTACGGAATGAGACCTTCAATTTGGATTTGCCTTTCAGCATGTAATTGTCATCCGGTGGGTTCACGTGGCAAAGTTTGCAATCAAACAAGTGGTCAATGTCCATGTAAAGATGGTGTGACTGGTTTGAGATGTGATCGATGTCTCAAAGGTTATCAACAAACGAAATCACAGATTGCACCATGTATAAGTAAGTGTTAATCAATTTGTCTGTCTCACCAACGTCAATTGCTTTGTATCAGGAAAAGTCAATGTGCAATCATATAATATCTATGATCAAGATGACAATATGCAGCAATATCGCGAACAAGATGTCGTCGAAAATGACGATATGTCGACTTCCACAGCGATCAGTACAACGACTACGACAACCGTTTCTCCTTCCGAAATAGGTTACAATCCATCAATTGATCTCGGACAATACTGTGGTGCATGTCGGTACTACAGCCGTCGTTTACATATAAAAAAATATTGTAAACGAGATTACAGTAAGAAACAAGGAAATCATTTTCTGCATAGAAACTTTCGATTTCTTTTAGCGATTCATGCACGAGTGACAAATCGACATGATGCTGGTCAATGGGTGTCATATCTACTAACGATTGTTCGAGTTTACAAAGATCGTCTCAATCGCATACAGGAAAGCGAGCAATGGGTATGGGTATCACGTAAAGATGTTCAATGTGGATGTCCTCGTTTGAAACTCGATAAACAATATTTATTGATGGGTTTCTATGATCAAATGCAAACTTCGTTAAGTCTTGATCGTACATCTGTCGTCATCGAATGGCGACCACGAATGGAACACCGTATGAATCGTTTTCGAAGATATGAGTTAAACAAGAAATGCTGAAAGAAAATAAAGCAATAGATTTCAAGTCAAATATAGATTATCATTCCGCAGAACATCGAACAAAAAAAAGACACGGGAAAGAGAGAGAAATCAATTTTGTATATTTGTCGTGTGTGTGTGTATTGTTCATTTTTTAATTGTTAATTTGGTGTCAGTAAAATTTAGCATTACGAGAAAAGAAAGAAAAAGTCATTTTCATTTGATTGCATAATGTGAATCTTTTTTCTTCTTTTAAATTATTCGTAAGATAGCGCAACGTTGGCAGACTGTCGTCATCAAATGTCCATTAACCAGATGGATCATTTGATTTAATTGAGCAAAACTTTGTTTGTTACACGGCACAATGAAATCTATCGTATAAACAAAGAACAGGAAGTGAGAAAGAAGGACGGGTCATTCGCCGTCGGGTGATGATCGTGTCCACTCGAAGAAAAGAGATTAATCGATGGTAAATCTTCATTAGTGCAAATGATCACTAATGCAAAACGGAAGTAAATGTGAAGAGAATAAGTGCCGCACGACGAGTGTCAAATGAAATCGAGACAGCAGATACTGAACACCATTGTAATTTGTTCAAATTTCATGGTTCGATTCAAACAAAAGTAATTTTATCGAAATTAACAATCAGCTGGCTATTTCAAGGATGCATTGAACACTACTCATTTCCCTTTGTTCTTCGTCGATTGAATTCGAACAGCAGGAAAAGATTCGTTGGCAGAATTCATACACAAAAAGAATGTCACACCATGAACAAACGCAAACAGATGATGGTTTTATATTTCGTATATTAAATCACCGTGTTGACCTTTCAGACTTTGGACTCTTCAATTAAAATGAAGAATAGGAAAATGAATTGTATAGAAATATCTCTCTATCTGTTCGGCCAACTAGTGTAAATCGAAACAGTGTTATTCACACATTCTAGTAAATGGCTGAAAGGTGTCGGTAGGATGATATGCAAAATTTTCTTTGTGAATAGTAAGGGACGAAAACAGCTGATTAGATTCTCAGGCGTCGAGAAACTTGTAAATGGGTTAAATTGGGAGAGTTAACCGATTTTTATCTCAGTACAAAGAAAAAAAAAACGATTCGTGTGCGATGATAATTCAATATTTGCTAATTGTGCTATTCAGTTTTATTTTTGTCTATGGAACGCAATGGCCTGTTCCGTATGAACGTGTTAGTAGTCGACCAACAAACAATGCATATTGTCAAGCAGGATTGATTCCGTTTTGTGCACCTGGCAAAACTGAAGATGCAATGATTTATGTCGATGATGATAATGATACAGTGGAGATTTTTGCATTGAAAAAGCCGGTCTGGTCATTCAAATTCGGAGATCTAATGGCCAAATTTGTGAGTATTCTGTGTTGTCATTAAGTTATAACTTTATCTTCTACTTATAGAAAATCATGCATGATGCATTAGGTTTTCGTAGTCAGAAGACTGGCCGAAATTGGACTATGGAATGGTAACAAATAGTTTATGTAATAGAAAAAAACATTGTAATAGTTATCAAATTTTCATGTAGGTATGAATTAGATCAATTATTCAATTGTACATTTCCTCATGTACTGAAAAATGATACGTTCATATGGTGTGATCAAGGTTAGCGATAGATTTTATTATAGTAATTAGTGTATATTCTTGATTATGTCTTATAGGTGCATTATGTGTCTATGATGGTATCGTTGATTCGATGTGGAATGGTTCATCTGATTTGAGTATGTTGAAGAAGGTCGGCGAAATTTATGGTAAGATGATTATCTTGTCATGACGACGTCATCTACATGCAGTACTTTTCTTTTCTAGGTAAGGATTACAACAAATGGGCAACGTGGGCAGTAGACGATAACAACACCGGTGTCTATTACGAAACCTGGTCAGCATATTCAGATCCTGGTAGATATCATTCGATATAGAAGTATTTCACATTAGTTTTGTCATTTGATGAATTCAGGTCCAAATGCTACGATGTACTTTGATTCGTATGACTGTGCAAGTTTTGTTATTCGTGGATTGAATCACCTACTAGCCTCGGGAGCACGAATCTTGCCTGATGTTCATTTGAATTATACACGTTTGAACATTTACACACATGAACCTGAGTTGCTTGGTACATATGATCAAATTGTTCAAAACCAAACGCTTCACAGTGATTTCATTAGTTTCTATCGAGAATTCGACTCGAAAAAGCCGAAAACCGGAGATTGGGTGAAATCATTAGTGCAAATCTACGAAACATTCTACTTAACTCGCCGTTTTTACTTCTACTACAACAATGTCTATTGGTACATGAAATTAAAGGAATCAACACCATTAAAAGTAACATTTGATGAAATTCCAATCATCTCTCTCTTGGATCGATTCAACTAAATTCTAACTAACAGACTAAATAAATTTGTTTTTCCTCTTCGACAGAAAACAGTTAATTTTGCTAAAAACAATAAATATTTCCGTTGATTATTCACTTGTGAACGAATAACATAATTGTAACATACTCACATCGATTATTTGTCATGCTTGGTTTGCCTGTGTGTAGATGTTTTTCTCTCTTTTTTCATGGTCTTGTGTTCGAAAACGAAGTACGACTCGGTTTTTTTTTCCATCAATTATTAACGTACACTAACGTTTATTTTCGTGTAACCTTCAACGTTCTTCTCTACTTTTGTATGTATCACTATAGAGCGCAAATCAACACGTTGTGTTGTTTTATACGAGACAAATAGCATGTTTAATCCCGATCGTCGTCCCTCGGATATCGACTCGGTGTCCTCTGCAACATCGAATGCTACATCTCGGGCGACAACGATACCTAACTCGTGGAGTGCAACAACTTTACAAGACAAATTGAAGCAATTAAGTCAATACAATATTCGGCCGGTTGATGATGATGACGATCATTCATCAAATTCATCAGACACACCTGAAGGAGCGATGTCTGTCAACAGTAAAAATAATGACATGCAGAGAAACAATATCATTCAACCGAACAATATGAATGCACAAAACCAACAGCAGCCATGGGTTAATCCATACTGGGGACCAACATCCAATTCAGGAACAACAACATATCCGTCAGATGTAAATCCTAGTGTCAATGGTGTGGGAGTGTAAGTACCAATATACTTAGTTGATAGTAGAATATTTTCCTGTTTTTCTATCGCTTTTAAAGTTCTACAGCGCAAGAACATGTCAAACAACTTATTCCCGGTTCAATTCTAATCAATGATCAGGGTGAAATAGATGATGCTCAATGGAGCAAGAATTCCGGTTTGCATTCAAGTACGTCTAGTGCATCATTTACTCCAGGTGGCGAATACATTTCTGATGAAAGTGGCGGAGCCGGTGGTTATCTTGCACCCACACATATTCAACGTCGAAGTGCACCTGCATCATCAGGACAAACAGTCCAATCTGGAAACCGAAATTCATTGACTCAATCACAACAAACTCCCGAAAATATGACTAATAGTACAACTCAGCCATGGGTCAATCCCTATTGGCCGCAAAAGGATCAAAATAATACTGATCGTAGTCAAAGTGGCAATTTCAAACCAAATTTCGAAAATTCTTCTCATCTCTACGTCAATACGTCACCGAAAACAACCATAGCAAGTGATACATGGGAGAATCCTTACTGGGGAGATAACAATACAATCAATGAGAATAGTTTATCAATGAAATCATCATCATCATCGTCAACTGTTCCATACTTTTACGAACGTATCTATCCTCCACCTAGTCCAACATCGTCTCTAACAAATATACAACATGAAATAACACCATCGATGAAGAAATCTGACGTGCATATGCAAGACGATAATGACGATTTACCTTACACATTTGATAATCCAAATGTCGTTCGTTATCGTGCACCGTATGCTGCGCCCAATCGTACAAATAAAGTATTCAATTCCACTCCAACCATACTAAATGCGCAGTATCCACTTTCATCCGAACCTAAACTTAACACTTCCGGATATTCGCCAACCACAAACATTAACACTCCATCCTCCTTGAATAATATCCTATCTACTCTGTTCCCGAACGCTAATACCTATCCATCATCTTCCGTTCACTATGATATTCCTTCTCTATCCAATTCTGCTACTGTCTTAACTGAATCCGAAATTCATCGTATTCATAAAGCACTTCGTCTACTTGAAACTGATCCAAATGCAATACCAACCGTTGAATCATATAATCACATGACGTCATCGTCGTCAACTATTGATCAACGTAGTGATCCTTTATCGTCGATCACTTCGTCAGCGCAACCACACTCATCACTACTTTCCCGCACTGTACAGTTCAGCTCTCCAAAAGCATCACTATTCTCTATGCCAAGCTATCCCGGAACAACTCGTAAAAGTTTACATCAATCAACAGAGCAAGGCAAGGTTGCTCTGATTTAAAATACAGATTAGATTCGAAAGCAAAAGAATACTTTTTTTTTATTATTATTAATAAAGCACCATTCAAAGGATATTCTCCTTCTTTTTGATTGTTACCTACTGATGTCAACAATGAGTAGATGATCGAGACGTCGGTGCAACAAATAATCTGGTGTTGAATCGTTGTTTGGATACTTTCAGTATGTGAAATTTTCGATCACAGGCGAGAAATACCAGTATGAAGAATACTTGAAAAGCAGCCAATACAAAGAAATAAACATAGAATAACTCAGGCTCATCTGTTGCTTTGCACTGAAGATAAAATAAAGCCTATAATCAAGAAACAACAAGAGATTTTGCTTACGGAAGAGTTTTCAAAGGCAAGATCGTGTTTTATTTTAACGAATATACCAATATAGAACGAGCCGAAGAACGATGACAGGCCAGCAGAACAAAATCGAAGACTCATAATTAACGATTGAGCAGAACGTGGAGCGGCTAAATACGCGAATTCTAAGCTGGCAACTGAAGCGAATACTTCTGACAGACCAATTCCAATGTACTGTGGAAATTGATAAAATATCGACATGTCAGCAGCAGTATAATTCATTTTTCCTAGAAAATCATATTCAAAACTAAAAGAGCGATGAAAGTAAATCTCGCTTACCAATAACTTGTGCAATCGTTGGTGGAGAATCGCAAAGTTTTTGACGAAATATCTCCACAGTGCCTGCCATACACATTGCTAGAGCAGCTGACATCATACCAATAGTAATTCGAAAACGTATTGAAATCGAACGTCCACTTGCTCGAAGACGTTTGTAAACGAAAGTGTTGAGAAAATAGATTGCAACTAAATGAAAAACAATCCTATGACAAATTTGTCCTGAATCATATGATTATATCTACCAATAATGATGATTTGATCACCGAGCGATAGCCAAATGACAGGCATATAATGATCGCCTTGATCCGTACGAAAGAATTTCATTACTTTCATATGCACACCTTGGACAAGAAATGTTGTTTCAATCTAAATCATGAAACGCTGATATAGAACTCTCTCTCTTCCCAATATGAAAACTAAGTTTACTTGGAAGTATAGAAGCCAATAGGGCATAAGAAGAAGGAAAACAACAATGATACGTCGGAGCGATTTGATATCATCTACGATTCGATCGATAAATTTTCCTTGGTTCGATATTTTTGCATAATCTAGAAATGACCATGTTTGCCCGCTTGTCGTTATCGAAAATTGATCACTGTAGTCAACACGATCATCTAATAACACCGTTGAACTATTTTGTCTTCGATTATTCGTTAAGATTTGCGCATTTCGTCGATGTTTCCTCCACGTTTGAAAAGCGTTGATCAGTACTGGAATGATATTACTAATTACAGAATCATGTGGTACAATATGAATGCAAAATCGATAACCGATCAGAAACAAAATCAACGCAATAATCAATAGACCCAATGGAATGATATACCCGATGAAATAACTATCATTTTGTTGTCCATAGGCAATAAATGCAAAAGCAATCAATCCACCGATATTCACTGCAGCGTAATATTTATCAAAGTATTGTGTCGTTGCTCTTTGTTCTCGAACTTGTTCAGCACCGAATACAGCCATATTTGCTTGAACTGCGCCGACGCCGATAGCTCTATACATCGGAAAGAAAACTCCGCTAGACAAGTCATTCGCTCTACACACGTGAGAATCAATGTCGAGAGAATCTGAGGAATGCATTGTTCTTGAAAAAATCCAACTGTGTCCAATACTGTCAGATTGCTTCTACCACAGAATGTACTATATAATTCATATTGATCATTGTCAGAAAATAAGGAAATGAATGCATAACCAATGATGTACAATAGAAATCCTATGTATCAAACTTATAATTATGTGAATGGAATCATGAAAATGAGTTACCGATAATAATTGTCTTCGCTCGACCTAATTTGCCGTCGCTGATCCAAGCAAAAATAAGAGCCGATATGTAACTTGTACCTAGAAGTTGAGAAGAGGGTATTTTCAAGAAAAATATCTATGTGAGGCGTACCAAGAAATATGAATGAAGCAGTGACACTGTGTACCGGTGTCCAATTAATAACATCGGATGTAAGAAACAGAACAAGATTTCCTGCTAACGAATAGAAGGCTAAGCGCTCTAAACCAGCGCTGATTAGAATTAGCCAAACAGAAAGTTTGCGTTGAAAATCTGTTCGATGATCTGGTGTATTTGGAATACTCGAAGTATGGAAAATTAGTGGAGAACCCTCATCAACGCTCGACTCTGTCATCTAAATAAATACAAATGACGAATAACTGTGTGCAGAATAAGAAACACAATGAAACACACTTGCACGTTGTTTATGATATCAGATGTAAGTAAAACTCGATAATTGTCTATGATGCTGTCAATTCGATATAGATAAGATATGAAACCATTTGTTGTTTTTATTTTCATAAGAATAAACGAGAAGAAAGAAACGGTAGTGAGTCGAATACACTACGTTCATGGTAGTTTACCAATGAGATGAATGTTTAGATAAGAAAAATCAGCTATTTCAGCTCTGATTTTGTACACAAGGCTTGATAAGCAAAGAAGATTGTGGAATTGCAAGAAAAATTTGTTCGTTTTTCTTTTATACAAACACATGAATAATAATTATCACACGGACATGTTTTGAAAAGACAATCTTTCCATAATTTCACACAAAAACACAGAATGAAACAAATCAAGAAGTTCTTGGCTCAGAATCCGACGTTAGAAAATGACGGGCACTCAGATGATGATTGGGTACTTTCAAAATCTTAAATTTTCGATTGCATTCGAGAAAAATTAAGATAAAAACTATTTGAAGACCAGCCAAAATAAAGAAATATATGTAGTAGCGATCATTGTTACGATAATGCTCAGTAGTATGATTTCCATTCTAGAAAATATCAGTGCGAATTATTCATTTCCAAGCATTCCTTCAAATCTCACTTCGATCGACATGAGGCCAACTATACCTGACCCGAAAAATGATGACAAACCAGCAGAGCAAAATCGAAGACTCATTATCAACGATTGAGCTGATTGTGGCGCAGCCAAGTACGCGAATTCGAGACTAGCAACAGACGTAAAAACTTCCGAAAGACCAATACCGACATATTGAGGAAATTGAAAGAAGACACTCATATTCGCGGCAACGTACTCTTTGTCAGCTAAATGTACAAATTTCATATGGTTTTAGGATGCAAGTGTGCGTACCGATGATCTGCGTGAAGTTTTGAGTCTTGCAAATATTCTGACGAAAGATTTCCACTGTACCGGCCATGCACATGGAGAGTGCAGCGGATGTCATTCCGATGACAATACGAGTATTAATAGGAAATGATCGACCACTGGCTTGGAGACGTTTGTAAACGAAAGTATTGAGAAGAAAGATGGTAACTTAAATGAAACAAGATATCAGTCAACTAAAGGTAAACAGAATTCATCACGCACCAATAATAATCATTTGATTAGCAAGCGAAAGCCAAACAACTGGCATGCGTTTGAATGATGTGGGTAGTTTCATGTGTGCACCTTGAACAATGAATGTTGTTTCAACCTACACAAATATATCTTTCATATCAACGAAAGAAAAAGATTTGTATCCGACTTGAACATAAAGTAGCCAGTATGGTGTTAGCAATAAGAAAACAACCATAATGCGCCTCAGTGATTTGATATCATTTACAATTCGATCAGGAAATCGACCATTATTTTGCACTTTGGCGTGATCCAAAAATGACCACGAGGGTCTACTAACAGTAAATGATAAATAATCTGTACTATCGGCTTCAGTTTCTACGATAGGTTGTTCATGATGAAGTTCATTTCGATTGATCGCTCCCGACTGAGTTCTTCGTCGAGTTCGCCACGATTGAAATGCATTGATAACCACCGGAACAAAAACTGTAATGACAGCATCTTGTGGTTTAACGTGAACGTAACATTTATAACCGAGTACGAAAAGTATAAATGCTAAGAATAGCAAAACACCAGGAATTAAGTATCCAACGAAGTAACCTTTATTGATTTGTAAATATGCAATAGCACCAAATGCAAGAAGTCCACCAGTATTCACTGCAGCATAGTAGATATCAAAATAGCGCATTCGACTTCTTTGCTCTCGGACTTGTTCAGCGCCAAATACAGCCATATTCGCCTGAACTGCACCAACACCGATGGCACTATAAAAGTTGATGTTGCGCTTCAGATGAAAAGAAAAGAGAAGTTTTTACGTTATAATCAACGTCGGAAGAATGTATTGAATACAAAGTTCATCAAAAAAATCTGGTGATGTTGCTTCCGTTGTACTATTGCGTACCGGACACCAATTTTGATGCATATGCTCATTGGCGAATAGAACCATGAATGTGTACCCGATGCAATAGATGGTAAATCCTATTTAAAATCAATTCAGATTAGATAGTTGTAAAGAGATCTTCAATTACCGATCAGAATTGTTTTCGCTCTACCCAATCTTCCATCGCTAATCCATGAAAACACTATAGCCGAAATATAACTTGTTCCTTTGACGAAAAATCGATAATTTAATTAGCTTTTTTTCGGTCGAATTGACCATTCTTTACCGAGAAAAATGAGTGGAGCAATGATTGTATGTGGAAATCGCCAATTGATTAGTTTTGAATCGAGAAAGAATGTCAAATTACCTGCTAATGAATAAAATGCTAAGCGTTCGAAACCTGCACTGAATAAAATCAAATAAACGGCGAGATTTCGTTGAAATGTAGTTCTTTGATCACTTCTTAGCGACGTTCGTTGCGGCGTTAGTACTAACGGAGTGGCTTCATCTACAGTTGTTTCGCTCATCTAAAACCGCCTCACCCTAAATGATGATCAAGTTTAACCGCAAAGCTTTACTTTGATCTATTATTGACAGCTTGAACTCGAATAACACCAGCATACACAAGAAACCTTAATCATATTAATCGACATGAAAACAAATTTGAAATTTTATCTAAAATCAGTTGATATTTCGATATTAATTATCACTTGATGTTATCAGGGGTTCTAAACTATTGTCGAAATCAGAGATATCCTTGAAATGTCACGCACATTTACTTGTCAACGAAAATCTACACTCAATCAATTGTGATTCACGTCAAAGAATGAGAAAACAATAATTATGCAAAGAAAAAAAAAATCGATTCTTGTCCGCTTCTCTCCTACTACAGCGAATGTCCTACACAATTGCACGACTCATGCTTCGCATGGTTAGTTTTCGTCGTTGCATTCAATGTTTTGGTGACGAGAACAAACATTCGTTTCACTAACCGAACTTCAAAACAATGATGCACCACCGTCATCATAGGCAATTGCTTCACAAATCAGCTAGTCCAACGAAATCGCGACAACGATTCCCATCGAATAATGATAGATTTTTTCATTTACCAACAACAATTGCATTAAATGATCCATTTCTACGACGTTTGTATAGTGTCGTGTCATTGGTTCTTGATGACCATCCGTACCCATCGACACGTGAAGAATTTTCTCGACGTACGCTCGAAATTGAACAGAATGTTCGAGATCTACATCTACCGTCACAACAGAGAAAATTTCTTCAACGATTACAGGTCGAAACTGGTATTAGTTTGGTGAGTGTACATTTAACATTTCTTTCTTGCAGACAATAATTGATTTCTTTCTTTCAAGGTGGATCTCTGGCAAGGTTCACATGTAATTATTCTTGATAATGGGTATTTATATAACACATGGTCACAATTACCCACTGCTCTACCACGTTTTTCGTCACATTATCGTCAGGTTCCTGTTCAACAATATGGACTTAATTTTCGAGATCATCAATTACTTTTCGGTAAGACAGCAACTGATGGATCAACTTGGTTTCAAATGGAAGCACATGGATTTGATCCAAATGACATTTATAATGATCCCGATCTTGCTGTCTATCACGGACAAGATTTCTTGAAATATCGTTTCCATGGAATGAATGTTGGACCGTTTGGTTTTTCTCCACATACAGAGACAACTCGTCCAATTATTCTGCGTTACGACTCAAGAAAAGGACGAAGAAATCGAAGATAGTAGAAGTTGAGAGTTTTCTAAAATTAAAACGAAATAGTGAATTTCTGTTAAGATATTTTTGAGAAAAATATTTATATATCAAAACGAAATATACATACGTCGACAAAATTGAATCGAATCATTTGACTGAATTTGAAGTTTTTTTTACAGTAAACGAACAATATCTTAATTCGATGTTTGAGGGGACGGAATGTATGTCTAATCATTATCATTCATTTTTTCAAATGCATGTGAGTGAATTGACGATAGTAATGAATATTATTGGCTATAGTAGAATTATCACAGATGAGTACAATAGATGTCAGGCAAAATGAGTAGAGATTCTACTGACGTTCTCTGTACAGGTGTGCAAGTACAAGATTAAATACAGATTATAATTTCATTTTGCAGAATTCATCACATATCGTTACAATATGATAAGAATTTCGATAATTCGGAGAAAAAAACCTTTAACCGATGTTGTTGGAAGGTTTGGCAGAATTAGAATGTTCACGAGCAAGACTCCTTTTCGATTGTGTGACATTCTAAGCTATAATCAGTTATTATTTGATGTCCTCATACACGTACGCCAGTTCATCTACAAACATTTTTACGATTCTTTCCAATTCAATCCTTTAATCCATGTCTGAGCGTACACATAAGAAAGATTGAAATTTACATTTCCCGATTACGATGACCGATGTATATTATGTTCGTAATTTCGTTTTCACTGCGTACAAATATCGTCATTTGACGTCAATCTTACCTATATCATTCTTGCATAATTACATTTTTTTCATCTATCTCTCTGCGTACATATTCTATCTTTCTAATAACANATTCTATATTTTACAGCGTGCAATTGTAACAATCATTCTCGACAATGTCGCTTCAATAAAGAACTCTATCTTCTTTCGGGAAGAAAATCAGGTGGAATTTGTATTCAATGCAAACATAATACCGTGGGTCGACATTGTAGTTATTGCAAAGAAACGTTTTATCGGGATCCAAACTTGCCAATCACACATCCGCAAATCTGTAAAGGTAATCAGAGAGAAAACATCAACTAGAAATGCATGAAAGAAATTAATCATTTTCTTTTGCTTGAATATCTTCCTTAATCTCTTAGTTTGCCTTCTTTTTCCGCTCTGTGAATGTGTGTTCTTCGCTTTTTTTTATTGCACTAACCTTGCATGTATTCGTAGTCGCTTTGTGCATGTCTTATTTTAATGTAGATATATGTATGTATGACTCGTTAGTGCTAAGTATAGAATGATAGCATACATCCTGCCTATTGTTTGAAAGTATGTGTCGATTAACGGAAACATATATAAATATATTTGTATAGAAAGGAAACGATCGATGGTCTTTTTATGAGTGGAAACGAAGAAGGTAGCGTCGAGCGTTCATTCAAGGTTGCGCGAAGATTCAGTTCTTTTGATGAGCTAGACTGAACATCAACAATGATAATTGTTAAGAAATATCTTTTGTATTTCCTTTTTTTTTCTCGATTAATTTAGTATCCATTAACCGAATAGACAGACTATCTATTTATACTATGTCTAGATAAATAAATATTAGCACTAAGACATGCGCATACATACATATATCTGTAGACGTTTTGAATTAACAAGTACGGAATGAGACCTTCAATTTGAATTTGCCTTTCAGCATGTAATTGTCATCCGGTGGGTTCACGTGGCAAAGTTTGCAATCAAACAAGTGGTCAATGTCCGTGTAAAGATGGTGTGACTGGTTTGAGATGCGATCGATGTCTCAAAGGTTATCAACAAACGAAATCACAGATTGCACCATGTATAAGTAAGTGTCAATCAATTTGTCTGTCTCACCAACGTCAATTGCTTTGTATCAGGAAAAGTCAATGTGCAATCATATAATGTCTATGATCAAGATGACAATATGCAACAATATCGAGAACAAGATGCCGTCGACAATGACGATATGTCGACTTCCACAGCGATCAGTACAACAACTACTACAACTATTTCTCCTTTAGAAACAGATTACAATCCATCAATTGATCTTGGACAATACTGTGGTGCATGTCGGTACTACAGCCGTCGTTTACATATTAAAAAATATTGTAAACGAGATTACAGTAAGAAACAAGGAAATGATTTTGTGCATAGAAATTTTCGACTTCTTTTAGCGATTCATGCACGAGTGACTAATCGACACGATGCTGGTCAATGGGTGTCATATCTATTAACAATTGTTCGAGTTTACAAAGATCGTCTCAATCGCATACAGGAAAGCGAGCAATGGGTATGGGTATCACGCAAAGATGTTCAATGTGGATGTCCTCGTTTGAAACTTGATAAACAATATTTACTGATGGGTTTCTATGATCAAATGCAAACGTCGTTAAGTCTTGATCGTACATCTGTCGTCATCGAATGGCGACCACGAATGGAACATCGTATGAATCGTTTTCGAAGATATGAATTAAACAAGAAATGCTGAAAGAAAATAAAGCAATAGATTTCAAGTCAAATATAGATTATCATTCCGCAGAACATCGAACAAAAAGAAAGACATAGAGGAGAGAGAGAAATCAATTTTGTATATTTGTCGTGTGTGTGTGTGTGTGTATTGTTCATTTTTTAATTGTTAATTTGGTGTCAGTAAAATTTAGCATTACGAGAAAAGAAAGAAAAAGTCATTTTCATTTGATTGCATAACGTGAATCTTCTTTCTTCTTTTAAATTATTCGTAAGATAGCGCGACGTTGGCAGACTGTCGTTATCAAATGTCCATTAACCAGATGGATCATTTGATTCAATTGAGCAAAACTTTGTTTGTTACACGGCACAATGAAATCTATCGTATAAACAAAGAACAGGAAGTGAGAAAGAAGGACGGGTCATTCGCCGTCGGGTGATGATCGTGTCCACTCGAAGAAAAGAGATTAATCGATGGTAAATCTTCATTAGTGCAAATGATCACTAATGCAAAACGGAAGTAAATGTGAAGAGAATAAGTGCCGCACGACGAGTGTCAAATGAAATCGAGACAGCAGATACTGAACACCATTGTAATTTGTTCAAATTTCATGGTTCGATTCAAACAAAAGTAATTTTATCGAAATTAATAATCAGCTGGCTATTTCAAGGATGCATTGAACACTACTCATTTCTCTTTGTTCTTCGTCGATTGAATTTGAACAGCAGGAAAAGCTTCGTTGGCAGAATGCATACGCAAAAAGAATGTCACACCATGAACGAACGCAAACAGATGACGGTTTTATATTTCGTATATTAAATCACCGTGTTGACCTTTCAGACTTTGGTCTCTTCAATTAAAATGAAGAATAAGAAAATGAATTGTATAGAAATATTTCTCTATCTGTTCAGTCAATTAGTGCAAATCGAAAAGTGTTATTCACACATTTGATTTAATGGTTGAAAGATGTCGGTAGGATGATATGCAAAATTTCCTTTATGAATAGTAAGAGACGAAAACAGCTGATTAGATTCCCAGGAGTCGAGAAATTTGTAAATGGGTTAAATTGTGAGAGTTAACCGATTTTTATCTCAGTACAAAGAAAAAAACGATTCGTGTGCGATGATAATTCAATATTTGCTAATTGTGCTATTCAGTTTTATTTTTGTCTATGGAACGCAGTGGCCTGTTCCGTATGAACGTGTTAGTAGTCGACCAACGAATAATGCATATTGTCAAGCAGGATTGATTCCGTTTTGTGCGCCTGGCAAAACAGAAGATGCGATGATTTATGTTGATGATGACAATGATACAGTGGAGATTTTTGCATTGAAAAAACCGGTCTGGTCATTCAAATTCGGCGATCTAATGGCCAAATTTGTGAGTATCCTGTTTCGTCATCAAAACATAGCTTCATCTTCTACTTATAGAAAATCATGCATGATGCATTAGGTTTTCGTAGTCAGAAGACTGGCCGAAATTGGACTATGGAATGGTAACAAATAGTTTATGTAATAGAGAAAAACATTGAGTTAGTTAACACATTTTCATGTAGGTATGAATTAGATCAATTATTCAATTGTACATTTCCTCATGTACTGAAAAATGATACGTTCATATGGTGTGATCAAGGTCAGCGATAGTTTTTATTTTAGTAATTAGTGTATGTTCTTGATCATGTCTTATAGGTGCATTATGTGTCTATGATGGTATCGTTGATTCGATGTGGAATGGTTCATCTGATTTGAGTATGTTGAAGAAGGTCGGTGAAATTTATGGTAAGATGATTATCTCGTCATTGCAACGTCATCTACAAGCAGTACTTTTCCTTTCTAGGTAAGGATTACAATAAATGGGCAACATGGGCAGTAGATGATAACAATACCGGTGTCTATTACGAAACCTGGTCAGCATATTCAGATCCTGGTAGATATTATCGATATAGAAGTATTTCACATTAGTTTTGTCATTTGAGGAATTCAGGTCCAAGTGCTATAATGTACTTTGATTCGTATGACTGCGCAAGTTTTGTCATTCGTGGGTTGAATCATCTGCTAGCGTCGGGTGCACGAATTTTGCCTGATGTTCATTTAAATTATACGCGTTTGAACATTTACACACATGAACCTGAGTTGCTTGGTACATATGATCAAATTGTTCAAAACCAAACGCTTCACAGTGATTTCATTAGTTTCTTTCGAGAATTCGATTCGAAAAAACCGACAACCGGTGATTGGCTGAAATCATTAGTGCAAATCTACGAAACATTCTACTTAACTCGCCGTTTCTACTTCTACTACAACAATGTCTACTGGTACATGAAATTAAAGGAATCAACACCGTTAAAAGTATCATTCGATGAAGTTCCAATTATCTCTCTCTTGGATCGATCGAAATAAATTCTAACTAATAGACTAAATAAATTTGTTTTTTCCTCTTCGACAGAAAACAGTTAATTTTGCTAAAAACAATAAACATTTCCGTTGATTATTCACTTGTGAACGAATAACATAATTGTCACATATTCACATCGATTATTTGTCATGCTTGGTTTGCCTGTGTGTAGATGTTTTTCTCTCTTTTTTCATGGTCTTGTGTTCGCAAACGAAGTATGACTCGGTTTTTTTTTCATCAATTATTAACGTACACTAGCGTTTATTTTCGTGTAACCTTCAACGTTCTTCTCTACTTTTGTATGTATCAATACAGAGCACAAATCAACACGTTGTGTTGTTTTATACGAGACAAATAGCATGTTTAATCCTGATCGTCGTCCCTCGGATATCGACTCGGTGTCCTCTGCAACATCGAATGAGACATCTCGGGCGACAACGATACCTAACTCGTGGAGTGCAACAACTTTACAAGACAAATTGAAGCAATTAGGTCATTACAATATTCGACCGGTTGATGATGATGACGACGATCATTCATCAAATTCATCAGACACACCTGAAGGAGCGATGTCTGTCAACAGTAAAAGTAATGACATGCAGAGAAACAATATCATTCAACCGAACAATATGAATGGACAAAACCAACAGCAGCCATGGGTTAATCCATACTGGGGACCAACACCCGGTTCAGGAATAATAACATCTCCGTCAGATGCGGATCATAGTGCCAATGGTGTGGGAGTGTAAGTACCAATACATTTCGTTGATAGTAAGGTATTTCCCTGTTTTTCTATTGTTTATAAAGTTCTACAGCGCAAAATCATGTCAAACAACTTATTCCCGGTTCGATTCTAATCAATGATCAGGGCGAAATAGATGATGCTCAATGGAAGAAGAATTCCGGTTTGCATTCAAGTACATCTAGTGCATCGTTTACTCCAGGTGGTGAATACATTTCGGATGAAAGTGGTGGAGCCGGTGGTTATCTTGCACCCACACATATTCAACGTCGAACTGCACCTGCATCATCAGGACAAACAGTCCAATCTGGAAACCGAAGTTCGTTGACTCAACCACAACAAACTCCCGAAAATACGACTAATAGTACAACTCAGCCCTGGGTCAATCCCTATTGGCCGCAAAAAGATCAAAATAATACTGACCGCAGTCAAAGTGGCGATTTCAAACCAACTCTCGAAAATTCTTCTCATCACTACGTCAATGCTTCACCGAAAACAACCATGGCAAGTGATACATGGGAGAATCCTTACTGGGTAGATAATAATACAACCAATGAGAATAGTTTATCAATGAAATCATCATCATCGTCATCGTCGTCAACTGTTCCATACTTTTACGAGCGTATCTATCCGCCACCTAGTCCAACATCGTCTCGAGCAAATATACAACATGAAATAACACCATCGACAAAGAAATCTGACGTGAATATGCAAGACGATAATGACGATTTACCTTACACATTTGATAATCCAAATGTCGTTCGTTATCGCGCACCGTATGCGGCGCCCAATGGTACAAATAAAGTATTCAATTCTGCCCCAACCGTACTAAATGTGCAGTATCCACTTTCATCTAAACCTAACCCTAACACTTCCGGATATTCGTCAGCCGCAAACATTAATAACCCACCCTCCTTGAATAATGTCTTATCTACTCTGTTCCCGAAAGCTAGTGACTATCCATCATCTTCCGTTCACTATGATATTCCTTCTCTATCCAATTCTGCTACTGTCTTAACTGAATCCGAAATTTATCGTATTCATAAAGCACTTCGTCAACTCGAAACTGATCCAAATGCAATACCAACCGTTGAATCATTTAACCACATGACGTCATCGTCGTCAACTATTGATCAGCGTAGTGATCCTTTATCGTCAATCACTTCTTCAGCGCAACCACACTCATCACTTCTTTCCCGTACTGTACAGTTTAGCTCCCCAAAAGCATCATTATTCTCTATGCCAAGCTATCCCGGAACAACTCGTAAAAGTTTACATCAATCAACAGAGCAAGGCAAGGTTACTCTGATTTAAAATACAGATTAGATTCGAAAGCAAAAGAATACTTTTTTATTATTATTAATAAAGCACCATTCAGAGGATGTTCCCCTTCTTTTGATTATTATCTACAGATGTCAACAGCGAGTAGATGATCGAGATGTCGGTGCAACAAATAATCTGGTGTTGAATCGTTGTTTGGAAACTTTCAGTATGTGAAATTTTCGATCACAGGCGAGAAATACCAGTATGAAGAATACTTGAAAAGCAGCCAATACAAAGAAATAAACAAAGAATAACTCGGGCTCATCTGCAGCTTTGCACTGAAGATAAAATAAAGCTTATCATCAAGAAAAAAAACAAGAGATTTTGCTTACGGAAGAGTTTTCAAAGGCAAGATCTTGTTTTATTTTGACGAATATACCAATATAGAACGAGCCGAAGAACGATGACAGACCAGCAGAACAAAATCGAAGACTCATAATTAACGATTGAGCAGAACGTGGCGCGGCTAAATACGCGAATTCTAAGCTGGCCACTGAAGCGAATACTTCTGACAGACCAATTCCGATGTACTGTGGAAATTGATAAAATATCGACATGTCAGCAGCAGTATAATTCGTTTTTCCTAGAAAATCATATTCAAAATTAAAAGAGCGATAGAAGTATATGTCGTTTACCAATAATTTGTTCGATAGTTGGTGGAGAATCGCAAAGTTTTTGACGAAATATCTCCACAGTGCCTGCCATACACATTGCAAGCGCAGCTGACATCATACCGATAGTAATTCGAAAACGTATTGAAATCGAACGTCCACTTGCTCGAAGACGTTTGTAAACGAAAGTGTTCAGAAAAAAGATTGCAACTAAATGAGAAACAATTCTATGACACATTTGTTCTGAATAATGTGATTATATTTACCAATAATGATGATTTGATCACCAAGTGATAGCCAAATGACAGGCATATAATGATCGCCTTGATCCGTGCGAAAGAATTTCATTACTTTCATATGCACACCTTGGACAAGAAATGTTGTTTCAATCTAAATCACGAAACACTGATATAGAACTCTCTCTCTCTCTCCAATATTAAAACTAAGTTTACTTGGAAATATAGAAGCCAATAGGGTATGAGAAGAAGAAAAACAACAATGATACGTCGGAGCGATTTGATGTCATCTACGGTTCGATCGATAAATTTTCCTTGGTTCGATATTTTTGCATAATCTAGAAATGACCATGTTTGTCCGCTTGTCGTTATCGAAAATTGATCACTGTAGTCAACAGGATCATCTAATAACACAGTTGAACTATTCTGTCTTCGGTTATTCGTTAAGATCTGCGAATTTCGTCGATGTTTTCTCCACGTCTGAAAAGCGTTGATCAGTACCGGAATGATATTACTAATTACAGAATCATGTGGTACAATATGAATGCAAAATCGATAACCGATCAGAAACAAAATCAACGCAATAATCAATAGGCCCGATGGAATGATATACCCGATGAAATAACTATCATTTTGTTGTCCATAGGCAATAAACGCAAATGCAATCAATCCACCGATATTCACTGCAGCGTAATATTTATCAAAGTATTGTGTCGTTGCTCTTTGTTCTCGAACTTGTTCAGCACCGAACACAGCCATATTTGCTTGAACTGCACCGACACCGATAGCTCTATAGATCAAAAAGAAAATTCGGCTAGACAAGTCATTCGCTTTACACACGTGAGAATCAATGTCGAGAGAATCTGAGCAATGCACTGTTCTTGAAAAAATCCAACTGTGTCCAATACCGTCAGATTGCTTCTACCACAGAATGTACTATATAATTTATATTGATCATTGTCCGAAAATAAGGAAATGAATGCATAACCAATGATGTACAATAGAAATCCTATGTGTCGAACTTATAACTATTTGAATAGAATCAGGAAAATGAGTTACCGATGATAATTGTCTTCGCCCGACCTAATTTCCCGTCGCTGATCCAAGCAAAGATAAGAGCCGATATGTAGCTTGTACCTGGAAGTTGAGAAAAGGGTATTTTTAAGGAAAATATCCATGTAAGACGTACCAAGAAATATGAATGAAGCAGTGACGCTGTGTAACGGCGTCCAGTTGATAACATCGGATGTAAGAAACAGAACAAGATTTCCTGCTAACGAATAGAAGGCTAAGCGCTCTAAACCAGCACTGATTAGAATTAGCCAAACAGAAAGTTTGCGTTGAAAATCTGTTCGATGATCTGGCGTACTCGGAATACTCGAAGTATGGAAAATGAGTGGGGAACCCTCATCAATGCTCGCCTCTGTCATCTAAATAAATACAAATGACGAATAACTATATGCAGGATAAGAAACACAATGAAACACACTTGCACGTTGTTTATGATATCAGATGTAAGTAAAACTCGATAATTGTCTATGATGCTGTCAATTCGATATAGATAAGATATGAAACCATTTGTTGTTTTTGTTTTCAAAAGAATAGACGAGAAGGAAGCAATGGTAGTGGGTAAAATACACTACGTTCATGATAGTTTACCGATGAGATGACGTTTAGATAAGAAACATCAGTTGTTTCGGTTCTGATTTTGTAGATAAGCCTTGATATGCAAAGGTGATTGTTGAAGTGCAAGAAAAATTTGTTCGTTTTTCTTTTTTATCCAAACACATGAATAATAATTATCACACGGACATGTTTTGAAAAGACAATCTTTCCATAATTTAATACAAAAACACAGAATTAAACAAATCAAGAAGTTCTTTGTTCAGAATTCGACGTTAGAAAATGACGGGCGCTCAGATGATGATTGGGCACTTTCAAAATCTTAAATTTTCGATTGCATTCGAGAAAAATTAAGATAAAAACTATTTGAAGACCAGCCAAGATAAAGAAATATATGTAGTAGCGATCATTGTTACGATAATGCTCAGTAGTATGATTTCCATTCTAGAAAATATCAGTGCGAATAATTCATTTCCAAACATTCTTTCAAATCTCACCTCGATTGACATGAGGCCAACTATGCCTGACCCGAAAAATGATGACAAACCAGCAGAACAAAATCGAAGACTCATTATCAACGATTGAGCTGATTGTGGCGCAGCCAAGTACGCAAATTCGAGACTGGCAACAGATGTAAAAACTTCCGAAAGACCAATACCAACATATTGAGGAAATTGAAAGAAGACACTCATATTTGCAGCAACGTATTCTTTGTCAGCTAAATGTACAAATTTCATATGGTTTTAGAATGCAAGTGTGTGTACCGATGATCTGCGTGAAGTTTTGAGTCTTGCAAATATTCTGACGAAAGATTTCCACTGTACCAGCCATGCACATGGAGAGTGCAGCGGATGTCATTCCGATGACAATACGAGTATTAATAGGAAATGATCGACCACTGGCTTGGAGACGTTTGTAAACGAAGGTGTTGAGAACAAAGATAGTAACTTAAATGAAGCAAGATATCAGTCAGCTGAAGGTAAACAGAATTGATTACGTACCAATAATGATCATTTGATTAGCAAGCGAAAGCCAAACAACTGGCATTCGTTTGAACGATGTGGGTAGTTTCATGTGTGCACCTTGAACAATGAATGTTGTTTCAACCTACACAAATATATGTTTCATATTAACGAAAGAAAAAGGTTTGTATCCGACTTGAACATAAAGTAGCCAGTATGGTGTTAGCAATAAGAAAACAACCATAATACGCCTCAATGATTTGATATCATTTACGATTCGATCAGGAAATCGACCATTATTTTCCACTTTGGCGTGATCCAGAAATGACCACGAGGGTCTGCTGACAGTAAACGATAAATAATCTGTACTGTCGGCTTCAGTTTCTACGATAGGTTGTTCACGATGGAGTTCATTTCGATTGATCGCTCCCGACTGACTTCTACGTCGAGTTCGCCATGATTGAAACGCATTGATAACTACCGGAAGAAAAGCTGTAATGACAGCATCTTGTGGTTTAATGTGAACGTAACATTTACAACCGAGTACGAAAAGTATAAATGCTAAGAAGAGCAAAACACCAGGAATTAAGTATCCGACGAAGTAACCTTTATTGATTTGTAAATATGCAATAGCGCCAAATGCGAGAAGTCCACCAGTGTTCACTGCAGCATAGTAGATATCAAAATAGCGCATTCTACTTCTTTGTTCTCTGACTTGTTCCGCACCAAATACAGCCATATTAGCCTGAACTGCACCAACACCGATGGCACTATAAAGATCAATGTTCTGCCTTAAATGAAAGGAAAAGAGAAGTTTTTACGTTATAATCAACGTCGGAAGAATGTATTGAATGCAAAGTTCATGAAAGAAATCTGGTGCTGTTGCTTCCGTTGTACTATTTCGTAGCGGACACCAATTTTGATGCATATGCTCATTGGCGAATAGAATCATGAATGTATACCCGATGCAATAGATGGTAAATCCTATTTGAAATGAATGTAAATTGAATAGTTGTGAAGAGATCTTCAATTACCGATCAGAATTGTTTTCGCTCTGCCCAATCTTCCATCGCTAATCCACGAAAACACTATGGCCGAAATGTAACTTGTTCCTTTGACGAAAAATGGATAATTTAATTAGCGTTTTTCGGTCGTATCGGCCATCCTTTACCGAGAAAAATGAGTGGAGCAATGATTGTGTGTGGAAATCGCCAGCTGATTAATTTTGAGTCGAGAAAGAATGTCAAATTACCTGCTAATGAATAAAATGCCAAGCGTTCGAAACCTGCGCTGAATAGAATCAAATAAACGGCGAGATTTCGTTGAAATGTAGTTCTTTGATCACTTCTTAGCAACGTTCGTTGCGACGTCAGTACTAATGGAGTGGCTTCATCTACAGTTGTTTCACTCATCTAAAACCACTCATACCCAAATGACGATCACGCTTAACCGCGAAGTCTTACTTTGATCTATTATTGACAGCTTGAACTCGAATAACACCAACATACACAAGAAGCCTTAATCATATTAATCGACATGAAAATAAATTTGAAACTTTATCTAAAATCAGTTGATATTTCGATATTAATTATCACTTGATGTTATCAGGATTCTAAACTATTGTAGAAATCAGATATATCCTTGAAATGTCACGCACATTTACTTGTCAACGAAAATCTACACTCAATCAATTGTGATTCACGTCAAAGAATGAGAAAACAACAATTACGCAAGGAAAAAAATCGATTCTTGTCCGCTTCTCTCCTACTACAACAAATGTCCTACACAATTGCACGACTCATGCTTCGCATGGATAGTTTTTATCGTTGTATTCAATGTTTTGGTAACGAGAAAAAAAACATTCGTTTCACTAACCGAACTACAAAACAATGATACACCACCGTCATCATAGGCAATTTCTGCACAAGTCAGCTAGTCCGACGAAAGCGCGACGAAGATTCCCATCGAATAATGACAGATTCTTTCATTTACCAACAACAATTGCATTAAATGATCCATTTCTACGACGTCTGTATAGTGTTGTGTCATTGGTTCTTGATGACCACCCGTACCCATCGACACGTGAAGAATTTTCTCGACGTACGCTAGAAATTGAACAGAATGTTCGAGACCTAAATCTACCGTCACAACAGAGAAGATTTCTTCAACGATTACTGGTCGAAACTGGTATTAGTTTGGTGAGTGTGCATTTAACTTTTTCTTTCCTCGCAGACAATAATTGATTTCTTTTATGATTTGTTTCTTTCAAGGTGGATCTCTGGCAAGGTTCACATGTAATTATTCTTGATAATGGGTATTTATATAACACATGGTCGCAATTACCCAACGCTCTACCACGTTTTTCATCACACTATCGTCAGGTTCCTGTTCAGCAATATGGACTCAATTTTCGAGATCATCAATTACTTTTCGGTAAGACAGCAACTGATGGATCAACTTGGTTCCAAATGGAAGCACATGGATTCGACCCAAATGACATTTATAATGATCCCGATCTTGCTGTGTATCACGGACAAGATTTCTTGAAGTATCGTTTCCATGGAATGAATGTTGGGCCGTTTGGTTTTTCTCCACATACAGAGACAAGCCACCCAATTATTCTGCGTTACAACTCAAGAAAAGGACGGAGAAATCCGAGATAGTAGAAGTTGAGAGTTTTCTAAAAAATTAAAACGAAATAGTGAATTTCTGTTAAGATATTTTAAAAAAATATTTCTACATCAAAACGAAATATGCATACGTCGACAAAATTGAATCGAATCATTTGACCGAATTTGAAGTTTTTTTAACGCTAAATGGATAATGTCTTCATTTCGACGTTTGAGGGAGCAGAATGCATGTATAATCATTATCATTCATTTTTTCAAATGCATGTGAGTGAATTGACGATAGTAATGAATATTATTGGCTATAGTAGAATTATCACAGATGAGTACAATAGATGTCAGGCAAAATGAGTAAAGATTCTACTGACGTTCTTTGTACAGGTGTGTAAGTACAACATCAAATACAGATTATAATTTCATTTTGCAGAGTTCATGATATGCCTTTACAATATGCTAAGAATTTCGATAATTCGGAGAAAAAGCGTTTAATCGGTGTTGTTGAAAGATTTGGCACAATCAGAATGTTCACGAAAGTTAAGACCCTTTTTCGATTGTGTGACATTCTAACTTATAATCAATTATTCTTTGATGTCCTGATACACGTTCGCCTGTTCATCTACAAACATTTGTACGATTCTTTCCAGTTTAATCCTTTTAATCCATGTCTAAGCGTATACATAAGAGAGATTTACATTACGTTTCCCGACTACGATGACCGATCTATATATATTTTGATCGAAGTTTCGTTTTCACTGCGTACAAATATCGTCATTTGACGTCAATCTTACCTATATCATTCTTGCATAATTACATTTTTCATCTATCTCCCTGCATACATATTCTATCTTTCTAATAACATCATTCGCTCATCACTATTTCAAGGCATCGTTTGACGTCAATTCTTCATCGACTAACTACTATAAAACTCCATACATTCCCNCACACCAACTGCTAACTGTGCTTTGATTAGTGGTATTTTGATATAGGTAAAATTATAATCAGAATAGAAGAGACCACGTGTCGATGCCGAACTGTTGCATACGCTCGATGGAAAAAAGCATGTCGATGGAGAGACGATATAATATGCATCGAAGCCAATGACACACAGTGCGAAAACCATCGAGATCAGCTGACTTATCAATGTATACGTTGCACATCCGCGTGCACGACAGCAACATGCTAAAACAATAGTAGCAGACAATCAGCATGAGCAATACTACAGTTAATCGTATCGTAATTACATGAAATCCATTGCGAAACACATGAAGTCAAAAAGAATAAACTCGCCCAAAGGCCAACATATACTGTTGCAGTCACAATATCGATCAGCATACTGCCCACTTCACAACCAATGATGATGATCGTGATCAAAAACTGAACAGACGATAATGCTCCAGAAGCAATCGATGGAAATTTTTGTCGCCATAATGGTACTATTGGTGGTGCTCTTGGTGTTATTATCGGTGGTTGAATAGCAGCCGGAGTGTCCGTAATCATCTTTCTACTTTGAAATTTTGTTATATATTTCACAATTCTTTCTTTTGCTACGTGTTTTATACAACTCGAATGCTAATCAATTTATTTGTTTTTGCCAAAATCAATATGGTTTCTCTTCATTTCTTTTGATTGAATAGCGATTTCTTTTGTCTCATTTACATACACCTACTGCTTTTTAAAATAAAGGAACAGAAAGCCACACCTGACAAATTCATCCTTTTCTAAGTCGACCAACGTGAGGTTCATTAATTCTTGCTCTAAAAATCGCATATCAAGCCATTTGGCCAATAACTCCACATTAGATGCGAATAGAACAGAATACAAGATAAAAGAGACGTGTCCATCTAATTAAAATTCTACATCGCTTCATTCGTCATGTTGATCAGACACGTTACGAACTTTCGAAACAAATTTTGCATATTCAAAAATGTTTAAATATTTGCTAAGAATATGCTCTATAAAATCACTAGATTTTTTTCTCCGACCTAAAATACAAGCGACACGTTGTGCGAAAATTTCTACCACCAGTCCCATGAAAAAAGAGCAAACAACATCGTTCTTAACTGGGCTCTGTTTCCAGCGCCCTCTGAAGTGTGTTTTGTTTGATGATGATTCGCTGACTCACCAAACTCTATACGTGATCACTACGAACTTAGCTACATTTGATCTTGAACCATTTTGTTCATCTCAGAACGGATTGTTTTTTGTATCTTCAAAGCAGGAACAGATTCACCAAGAACCTCGACAGCTATCAACTGCCTGTTCAGAGCAAGTATTATTCTTATCTGATAGACTGTCACATGTGAAGAAATGTCATTTTCCACGGAAGTACACTTTTCTCATCCTACGAAGTAAATATATTCCCTTTCAGATGTCTTATTTATCAGATCGTCAATACGGTCGTTTGTCTCATCGGTCATTTTTGTTGAAATTGAAAAACTCTTCGTCAATAACTAAACGATTGACTCTCGATTGTACATTAAATGTTCATCGTGGTTGTGTTAATACGATTTGGTGGAATGAGCTTGGTACAACCATTCTTTCCGGTTCCGACGACCAAAACCTTGTTGTTACAAATCCCTATACACGAAAGGAATTAGTCAAAGTTCGAAGTGGTCATCGGGAAAATATTTTCTCAGCGAAGTTTCTTCCTGAATCAAACGATAGACGCGTTGTTTCCTGTTCAGGCGATGGTGTCATCTTTCAGACGAACTTTGATCGTCCGCCAAACACTTACTCGCATGAAGGATGTTTTACATGCCATGGATCATCAACCGCATATGAAGTTCGTACCTTTCCACATACGCCAAATTTATTTTTATCATGTTCTGGTAAGACATTTACAAAACATGTAATGTCATTGCAGGTTTCGTTTGGATTTAGACGATTGTACCATTCGCTTGTATGATTTGAGAACAAAGAGTCACTGTCTGAAGGATCCATGTAATGATGATATCTTGATTCGAAGTAATTGGGGAATAACATCGATCGATGTGAATCCGATGAATTCCAATGAAATTATTTGTGCTTGTGCCGATTCAGTGAGTAAATGACTAGATCAACTCTTACAGTCATTCTTCTCTTCATGCATTTTTCCTTCTAGTCAATTCGTCTATATGATCAACGAAAACTGTCTACACAATCATCATCGCTAACCACATCCTTGCGCGAACGATGTGATCTATCAACAAAAGGTCTTCTAGCATATTTTAGTCTAACTGATGCGAAAGACCAACGTCGATCGCGTATTACCTCTGCTGTTTTCAATCCACATGGAACAGAAGTCTTAGCATCTTATTCATCAGATTCGATCTATCTACTTAATCCGAAACAAACGACTTCTCAAGAACAAATTCGAGAACAATTGCAAGAACATATAAACAAGAAACAAAATAAATTAAATGAGAGAGTAGCACAGTCAGTCGCAAGCAATGCAGCAGATCATCAAGAGTCAAAATTAACTCGCACGAAACGACTACGTCTTCGTGGTGATTGGAGTGATACTGGTAGATGTCCTTCATTTGACAGAAGCTCGTCATTTGCAGATAATTCTCTAGGTCCAGATTCTCGTCCGTCCAATGAAGAAGAATCGACACCTGTAAGTAATCCGTCTGACGAATCCAGTCAACAACCATCGGGACGTAATCTACAAAACTTTTTTATGCAACGAATGAGTGATATATTAACACAATTAGTCACCGGTTCTCAAACAGATACTGATCAAACACAAAGTACTACAACCGATGCAACTTCATCTTCTTCTCAAACTGAAAATTCTACCACTGTTCAATCATCAACTAGCGTTTCAAATTCTACCACAGCCCCATCTGCAAATCAACATGAAACTAATGATAACGAATCCGACGTAAATATAATTCGAACGCTGAAGTTAATCTACTTGATACTGCTTTGGTTTTTTCTCAGACAAACAATGCCTTTGGCTTAAGACTAGATGAAGACGATGAGGATGATGACCTTGACGATGACGACGACGATCACGTAAGAGTATCATTGCAAACAACATTGCTTGTGCATATGTGTCATATAGGAACATCAGCCAGCAGAGAACAATTATTCCCATTCATATAGAGAATCAGCGCGATCCGTCTCGACCAAATGGGACCGTTTAAGAAAACGTCGAGAAGCCGATCGTACTTACGAAGATCATCTTTTGAAGAATATTCCTAGTTTAGGTTTACTCAACTCCTATGTTGGCCATCGTAATGCTCGAACAATGATCAAAGAAGCTAACTTTTGGTCGGACAGTTATGTCATGTCCGGTTCAGATTGCGGGTGAGGAAATCACCGAAAAAAAGTTTCTCCATACGAAAGTTTTTCCTTTCTGCTAGACATATCTTCATATGGAATAAATTTACAGGAGATATTGTTCGAATCATTGAAGCCGATGAACATGTTGTGAATTGTGTTCAACCTCATCCTCTCGATTATCCAATATTGGCATCGAGCGGAATCGACTAGTAGGTTATTTAAGCAGATTCTCTTGAGAAAAACAGGATACTTTCATTCTAGTAATATCAAAATCTTTTCTCCATTGGCTCAAATACCAGTCGATGATACTGAACTTATCAAACAAACGGTCAAACGTAACCGTGAAATGACAGAAGAATCATCCAGTACAATAACTGTTCCCGCGAACTTCATATTTCGCATGTTAACATCAATTTACCGTTTAAGACATGCTGACGACATGCCGGAATTCGATGATGATGACGATGATTAAACCGAGTGATTTTGCTTTTACTTTTGCTTTGTATATTTGTACTTATATTATTTAATCAGCCGACGTACGATGATTATTTGAATAAAAACAAAAGAAACTGAAATTCGTGTATCCGATCTAACAGACAGAGCAATGTCAGCTTCGCCGATGCCGATATCTGTTTGTATTTCAAGGATGGAGTAATATTTTTGCATTTCTTCGTATCGATCACACAGACCGCAAAATTTTGGACACTCAGCAGGCACATTGGCATATTTAATACACCATGATTTGTCTGATCCGTATGGACAAGTATTGGGTAACGATGCACAGCCGAGTTTTTCACACAGTTTACCCCTTGCATATGATGTACATCGACATTCACACGAGTTCAGATCAATTGTCCCACCATAGAGACTGACCAAACCGTTACAATCTATGATATGCTTGTTTATCTGTAAAATGCGAACTATTTTATACAAATCTTAACCGTATAGTCGCTTATTTGATGAGGACGAGTGTCCGAGCATGTACGGTTTGTTGTCGCCCAATTGCCTTGTTATGAACAGCAATGCACGAATGGCTAAATACCATGTGAAGAACTGATATACCCTGTCACATAATCTAAACGAGTCGTGCAATTGATAAGGCTTGATGCGAAACGTAATTGTAGTACTTACTGCAAACATGATGTAACCAATCATGATACGAATTGTATTGACCTTTAGGACACATGACTACTCCACAGCCAACTAAAGCTGCCGTGTCTTTTACCATCTACCGATAGGACTTTAGCGAAAAAGCGAATATGACTCGTGATTAACCTGTGTGTAATGTCCAACAGGGCCGTTCTGAACTTGACTGCCATAGTTAAAATCTTTCTTTTCATTTGCCCACCCTCACACCCATACAAAGATCTTTCACTCAGTGATATAAGAAGAATATACCAAGGTTTTGACCAGTTGGCATTGGTATTCGAGGTGCTTCTCTTTGAATAGATTTATCATGATGAAATACGCAACGCTCAGCTAAGGATAATCGATGTAAGGTTTTCTTTCGGCTAATTATTCGTACAAAGCCATACCGTAACGTTGGGCAATTTCAGCTAAATCTCTACTCCAGTACTATGACAATATAGATCAAATAAATCTTTCGTATCTTGGACTAAACATCATCTTACCATCTGCTGCATATTTTCACCCTGAACATCAATGCGTTCTTGATTGTGCAATTTTAAGATTTGTCCTATTTCGTTCTCGGTCGGCGGTGAGCTATACAACGATATTTTATCAAGACAATACGAGTGCTGTTGATCAATCATTCTATATACCGATGGGCAAGTACTACAAACTATGGCACAAATGATTGGCACGGTATGAGACTGATTCTTTCGGTTCACATACCAAAATATAACTTAAATAAAACCATGAACTCGACAGTATGTACGATCTTCATTATACAAATGTTTCTGCCTAATGTTTCGCGCGAATTAATTTCATAGAAAGATATAGAGCATCGGTAGTTTTTTGTTTTCTTTTATTCTTTCTTTTTTTCAATTATACTCTTATGTTGTTGTACACAAGAAGAAAAACAAAGTTATGATGGAGAATATCGATGGTAATGATGGCAAGAATACCAAATTTAGACAGCTTAGTTCTTGTAAGCACGGCTAGCTCGTCGGCCACGAGCTTTCTCGAATTTACGACCTTTGGCGCGAACTTTTGGTTTCGTTGTGCTATGACGAGCACCAGGTGGTCGACCTGAGAAGAGAAAATCAAGAAATGAAGTTTTGTCTAATGCGAAGTGGATTCACGTACCGAAGAATCGATTGGCTTTACGAGCTTTTCGTGGACCTTGTAATAAGACTGTGCCTTTACCTTTGGGTGAACGAAGTGCCAATTGATCGAATGTTAAGATCTCACCTCCGGCAGCAAGAATTCTAGCTCGAACGCGTTCAGTAAGATGTAAAGCACAAACTGTTAATTTAGGAACTTCATAAAGTCGAGTATCATCAGTAATTGAACCGACGACGACGGCAGTTTTGTTTTCACGACCTATCGCAGAGAAAAATAGTTACATTGAATTCTTTTGCATCGGTCAATCAACCTTTCTTTTTCATGTGTCGAACAAGACGTGAGAGAGACAATGGTGGTCGGTTGGTGTTCGACATGAATAAGCGTTTTAAGATGATTTTATTGAATTTGGAACTTGTACGACGTGCCAAAAAGCGGTAGAGTTTAACCAATAAAAGTAAATATAAATTTTTTGATCGTGGTGCGCGGCGTACTGCCTTGCGATCAAAACGATGGTCGAGATCAACACCCATTTCACCGATCGAATCTTATGAAGAAACTAATCTGAAAGAAAATCATTATCAAAGAACAATAGGAGATGAAAGCCTGTTTAAAAGTTGAAAACGTGGAAAGAAATACTAAATATGTATATGTATCACTCGAAATGAAAGCAATTTGATTGGATAATGGCAACTAGCCTATGATCAATTAATCGAGGAAGATTCCATAACAAATTTCTCTATAAAATCATTAGAAGAATTTGTATTATTATTGACAAGAGTCGTCAACTGATTCATTTTGCTCAATAAATCCATTTGATTCTGATGTATCTTATTCATCAACTGGTACAAACGTTTCATATGACTATTGACCAAAGTAGATGTATAGTGAGGACGAAGAAGAGATTTAGCTAACATTTGTTTATCCTAGAAATAACAAAAGATTCGTTACATTAGATCGCTGACTAGTTCTCTTCGTACTTGATCGAAAAATTCGAAGTAAAGTGCCCCTCGCCGTTGCGGTGTTGGATTCGTTAACCATGATGTGTTATTATTTGCATCGCCTTCGTTTTGTATTTCACTGAGAATTCTCTCCGCCACATTACAATAGAAGATCAAAAATCGAATAAGAATATCTTCAGATTTCTTTGATTGGTCGATTCTCGAAGTGAATAGATTTACAATCAATTTCAATTCCAAACCCTGAAACAAAAGAGTGGCTTTGCGAGAAGAGACAATATTGATCTTACGGTTAGTTTCAACAAATTCTCAAGATTTGAGCTATTCACAGATAGATTCACAAGGACTTTTCCTGACGATAACGCTTCATCATCAGACACAATTGTTGACTCAATCAACAATCCCAAATCGCAAACATTACTCATGTATTCTTCGTGTAGATAATCGAGAACAGACATGTTTATAAGCAAACTAAGTCCATACAGACGTATGGATGAACTCGATGGACTATTGCGACATAAATTGATAACAATAGAAACAATATTCTAAAATAGAACAGATGAGTGTTCACCTTTCAGCTGATAAACGATGCGTTCCTACCGAAAATTGAGTAATTGCAAAATCATTCAAAGCAAGATTGTTTAATGCGAGAAGAATGTGACATTTTGTTGTATCATTATCAGAGGTCAATAATAATTCTCGTAAGCGAGCGATACAACCAGCGTTCGCGAGATTTATTTGACCTAAGTTGTAGAACATACGAACTTTCTGATATTGAAATGAAATATTTTCATTACTTTCTTTGAATACAGATGTATTGGCAATACTTTTTAAACCATAATGTAACTGTTCTTCATTATCGTGGCTTTCGTAAAGAAAATGAGTTAGTATCGATGCTTGATCTGGTGTTAATGGGACACTACCGCTTGGTATGTGAATTTTGTCTAGACAAAAAATGGGAATTTTCATTTCGGATAGACTCGGAAAAACCGGTGCAATCTTACTTGGAGTGAGTGCTGAATCTGATTCATCATTGTCTACGTCAATCGGAGAATCGATATCAATTGATGGATAATCATGACGCGATGGCGATGATGGCAACGTTGATATCGGTGTGAGACAACGACTTGTTTTCGACACTAAATTAAAAAAACCCCGAACAATGAAGACATTGAAACTTGGATTTTCAGTACGAACATGATATTTGTTTTTGCTGGCGATATAAGAGATAGAGACCTACAGTGGTACAAACACCGGCGGAGACTGCTAGACCAATATAGATCTTTTGTCGATTGAACATTGTGTCAACAACCAATATCCATGTGAAAAACTGATCATTATGCCAGTATTTTTATAGGAAAAAATAAATAACAAACATTTAACTTATTCCGTAAATTACCGGATGATATATGGAGTAACAAAATGCATACTCTTACTTGCCTCTTGCGCTGAGAATTATATAGATGTCGTGAGTGAACAACAAGGATGGTTCTGGCGAGAGAACCTTGCGGTTTATACTGCTAAGACTCTTGAGTGCATTTCGGCCAATGCCTAAGTAACAGGATGAATGTCATGTTCGAAACAGTTTAATTCTTTACTCATTTAATTACGAAGAAAACCTATTCTTCAATCTCACTCCGAATACTTACCAGAGGAATCCAGATTTCAGCATCGGTATTGACCACATATACCTTCCATGTCTTGCTCGACTGTAAAGCTGAATAACATTGATTTTCATTATCTCGAACATTTTGAACAAACAATTCTCATAAGTATACAGTTTACAAAAAGATGTCGCTAACATCTATTCATCTAGAAATGCCTTGAAAGTACAAAGCCAATCATTGATTAAGTGACGTCTACTCTTTTTCTCGCCTTCAAATCTTAACTACTATGTCTATTCGAACTCAATTTGATCCTTTCTATCTTCAAATCAAGATGTTCTTATACTTAAATTTCGTAACTTGATTCGAATTATGTTTATTAGTGATTGTTTATTTGATTTTTTATGCTTGGTTTCTAACAGATTATGTTGTTGACTTTTTTCGGAGTTATATATCATTATTCTGTCTTTTACGCCAATGAATATCCTCAAAGATTCTCTATTTTCTTCGTCAAATTCGCGAAAAGCGAAAAGATCTGGTCAAAATCGTTCGAATAGTTATGAATTTCGGCAAGCAAATAATTCATTAACAGATCCACTATTATACACATTCGATAATAATGATATTGAACTCGGTACAATCGATTCCGATGAAGAATCTCAAGCAGCTAATCAACAGATTTTACGCACTCGACATTCTCGGCAAACATATAAACCAGCCGCACACGGTGGTGGATCGATTGTCATTGTCGAAAAACCGATATTACCCAACGAAACCATTCAAGCATTCTCTATTCGATATCGTGTACCCGTATGTCAACTCGACAACTATTTACATAAAAAAGACAGTGTCTTGAATATCATTCTTATTTAGATTTCGCAATTGCGACGTTTAAACAATCTGCAAAGTGACCAAGACTTTTATGCTTTGACACATTGTCGAATACCAGTCCAACGTTTCGGATTACTTCATGATGCATCGTCATCGACGATTGTTGATGTGAACGAACAGTCGTCCATCTCATTACCTGTTACACATCTATCTCAGCAAAATCACCATGCGTTTCTCAGTGCTATGGATCAAGATCTGGCATTAATGCGTACCAAAGTTGAACAGTTACTCGATGCACCATCAACAGCAACAACAACTCCAGCAGCTATCTCCAATGCTTTAACATCCTATTCAACATCAGAGCGAATGCTAAAACCAACAAAAACGGCAACTAGTGAACTGAACTGTGATGGTGCTGATTGTGGTTGTCATCTTTGGCATATTATTCTGATTATCGTATTCATTGCTCTTATACCACTTATTTTCGCTTATTTTTATATCAAATCTGATCATCATCATAAGATATAATTTGATTTCTTTCTCCTCTCTGTTTTTTTTTGTTATTCTGTTGATTATCGCGAAATATAATAATACGAATGAAGAACATCAATTCATCACATCCTATTGATCAATGTGTCGGTTTATCTATACGATTTTTGTAAATACACGAGCGTTTCGCTCGATATCTTTATTAGATGAAAATATTCTCTGGAGTGGGTTCAAATGTAGAAGAATAAGAATCTTCTGGAAAACTACATAGTAGTACGAGGATAATACGTATTAGTTTGGCCATATCCATACCCTGTTACAAAGGTAGGATGCACATCATACGGTTGTCCTAGTATACCATCTCGATTAATATCTATGCCAGTCCATCTTTCCATTCTGCCCATAAATCCTAAATAATAAAAATTTGTAAAAATACTCTAAGGCGAAATTGATCTTCTTACCTTCTCCTCCGATATAACCATCGCCATTAAGATCAAAACCATATCTACGTTCCATACCGTTGATGAAGTTATCTAATTAGAATCAATTCGTAGATATCTTCGAAAACGAGAAACATATTATAAGAAAAAGCTTACTCATTTGTATTGCTTGCTTGTTGAAGGTAAGCGATATACTGAATATTTGTAATAATGTTTTTCGATCAACAATCCCCTTATATAGTATATTTCCAGGCGACCTTTGCGCTATCTCATGATTCGATTTGCTTAATATTGGTCACGGTTGCGTAAATTTTGTTTTCATCGTTTCATTAGGATTTTACCCTGAGTAATTGATCGATTCAAGTAATCAGGCTTTTAGGTATGAGATACAAAGTTATATTTTTATCTCACCTGTCCGTCTACTTCCCTTTTTCATTAAATCGAACTTAAGAAACAAAATATGATCTGTTTACGGGGCAAAGTTCGACACAAGAACACTTGATTTATATGATTGCAACAATTTTACAAAGAATGTCACAGATTTCGTTCGCCATTGTCAAAACATAGAATCTCATTGTTTGCTATACTATGCTTAACATTATCAATTAAAAAATATCTTAACAAGTATTGTGTTTTGTGAAGAGAATCTGATATATTCTCACAAGTGGTGTTCTTGTGCTTTTTTCGTTTCACTTGAATAAGTAGGTGATTCAAAGTTGGTAAAAACATCGATAAAATAGGAAATGGTTAGAGATGCACTTATCAAATTTTGATAACACACGACTAATGAAACAGACATAACTACTGGAGATCGGTTTTCGGCAAGGATATTACCATGCTGTACTTTGTAGAGATTACGATCGTATCATTAATCTGGAGCAAACGAGTATGAGACTGAGAGAGAATTGCATAACAGATGAAGAAAGTCGTTCCATGTTAGTATAGAACTCTTTAGCGAGAACAGCCTTGCCCTTTTCGAAGCGAAGTCAAGTCAAATCAATTGCTGAAGTGACGTCTATTGAGCTTTTTTACACCGAACATGAGACTAAACGTCTCGGAAGTTCTATTTTATAATTGATTTCACATAAAAACGATACATAAACTATCTTTCTATCCATTTTCACCATTTGCGTTTCGACATGACCAAAATCTTCCACTAGCACAAAGATAGCAAATAAACCGTATATCAAAGGTTGTTGAAATAAATTAAATTGATATTTGTTGTGTAAAATTTCCTCCAATTGACAATCGTTTAGTTTAAAGTTATAAGTGTTGACTAGAAAAATACTGAAAATTACTTCCGCTAACAAAATTAATAGCTCGTCGATCACTTTTCTACGTTTATCGGTTGGAACAACGGCTTCATCGCTCAAATTCACTTAATACCATCTGTATGTCAAGTTAGAGTCATATGGCTGTGCTAAAACAAGTTATCACATTGAACTCTTATTAGATTCGAGTGAAAAGCACTTGGTCTCTAAATGGTTTTCGCTCTCCACTGAAATCTTATATAGTTCTGTATTACTCAGGTTTTTTTAGAGACTAATACACAACTCTTCATTTACGAATACCATGCGTCTCTTTCAGCATGGGAAAAGACAGAAAGACACATGTCTTGGCATACGTAACGCTGTAAAGCTCACCGTTTCATGATGAATGTACTTTGGTGGACGAGAAAATCCTAAGGAGAAATATACACGTACATAACAAAACTTGAAGGTAGAAACATGATTACGAATGCTTCGCCGACTTATCTCGATCTTTGGATGAATTTACTTTTTACGGTTTTATAGACGATAGGATTAACTGTAGTATTGCTCATGCTGATTGTCTGCTACTATTGTTTTAGCATGTTGCTGTCGTGCACGCGGATGTGCAACCTATACATTGATAAGTCAGCTGATCTCGATGGTTTTCGCACTGTGTGTCATTGGCTTCGATGCATATTATATCGTCTCTCCATCGACATGCTTTTTTCCATCGAGCGTATGCAACAGTTCGGNTTTCATGTAATTACGATACGATTAACTGTAGTATTGCTCATGCTGATTGTCTGCTACTATTGTTTTAGCATGTTGCTGTCGTGCACGCGGATGTGCAACGTATACATTGATAAGTCAGCTGATCTCGATGGTTTTCGCACTGTGTGTCATTGGCTTCGATGCATATTATATCGTCTCTCCATCGACATGCTTTTTTCCATCGAGCGTATGCAACAGTTCGGCATCGACACGTGGTCTCTTCTATTCTGATTATAATTTTACCTATATCAAAATACCACTAATCAAAGCACAGTTAGCAGTTGGTGTGCTCATGTTTCTCTTGTGTGTCGCGTATGTGATAATCTACATAGTGACCAGCGCACGAGTTCATCGGGCTAAATATCCCAAACTCGTTTATCCACAAATACAAAATCAACTGATGACACCAGGTGCTGTTCTAAACACGGCTTTACCCACTCAGCCAATGCCCACATATCCTACACAGTTCCCTCACTACCCTTCCACGTTACCTGGTTATCCTTTTCCTACGAGTATCTATCCACCACCAGCACTACTGATCAATGGCGAAAATCGCGTTACTGAACTCGCATGTCCAACATGTAAAACAATGATGAACATGACAGCAACGAAACGACCACCTGCATGATCATTCGACTTCTCCACTCAATCATTTGACATCGAACATGTCTCGCTCTTCTCTTAAACATTTTCATCTTTTGTCATTGTATTTATTGATCAAAATTCTTTCAGCTATACAATATTTATACTTAGAAAAACACTTTTTTCTTCTAACAGTTAATAGTAGCCATACAAACTACCTCCATATCCATATGGTCGTGGTGATGGAAACATCGTGGCTCCTCCATAACCACCATACATCGATGGATATCCATAGAACACGTCGGGACGACGACCAATGATATTGTCGCCATTGAAGTCAATATGAGTGGCTCGTTCTAGTCGGCTAGTGAATCCTTCACCACCGATATACCCATCATTATTCAAATCCATACCAACGTTACGTTCAAAACGGTTCACGAGCATATCTAAACGCGAAACGATGAGATCACTCTGAAGATGTTCTCATCAATGTGAGACACTTACTCATTTCGATAGTTGAGTTGATGTAGTAAGTAGAGAGTTGAGTTGAATAGGGTTTCTAGGCGAGATGTGCCTGTATTTATAGTGATGGTCTACTGAGTCGAGTAAGAGAACGAAGGAAATACGTATAGGTGTGACGTCAGACGATGAATGATGACGTCGCTGCTGCAGTGAGTGAGTGAGTAAGCGAATGTCATGGTTGACAACAGGATAATATCGATAATGATGAAAATAGAGATGCGCCATTACCGTCCAAGGTGATGACTCATGATGAAAACATAACTAGCACTGTTCCTGGATGTGACGTCAGCCTTGAACTACATTGACTGACTAGAGAATAATCAACCGATGGTTCTGTTTGAGGAACAAGAGTGATCTCTTAGTCGNTGGAGTTTTATAGTAGTTAGTCGATGAAGAATTGACGTCAAACGATGCCTTGAAATAGTGATGAGCGAATGATGTTATTAGAAAGATAGAATATGTATGCAGGGAGATAGATGAAAAATGTAATTACGCAAGAATGATATAGGTAAGATTGACGTCAAATGACGATATTTGTACGCAGTGAAAACGAAATTTCGATCCAAAAATATATCGGTCATCGTTATCGAAACGAGAAAATCTATTGAAAGCAATCATAACAAACTGAGGACAAAAGCACTTATATTACGGATTGTTGCATAGAAAGCATATGAGAAAATGAAATGATAGTGTTCTTTAAAAATTCCTCAGTCGGCTTCTTTTTGTTAACAAGTCAAATGTAATGGAGCAGTGCAAAGACATGACATTTATGTTTATTTCAAAACAACACAATGTAACATAACTATAAAGGCGAACAAAAATTCCAGATTTACAGTGGGATGAAAATGTTCGAATTTCCTTTTTTATTGTAAGTATTTATGCGATATCTCGAGGGTGATGCCGCTCGTTGAGAACATTTCTTTTCACATCTGTAGCAAATGAATGTACAAAAATAATCAAATATTTCTGTTTCAAGATTACTTAGTACGTACCGAAGAAGAGATCTACTCAGTGTGAGACATATAATTGGATTTGAACAACTATTCAAATTGAATAAAAGGCTAAATATTGTCATTAACCAATCTAAAAACAACACACATCTAAGTCAATAGTTGAAAAAACCTTTTCTTTCTTATACTCATTGTTTTCTGAGTTATAAATTTCTCATGTAAAGTCATTATAATCGATCCGATATAGAATGGCGTTGAACAGAGTATATATGTAACAACAACAATAAACGTTAATTTAATTGTTTTCAATCGTGCCCGTAAAAGAAAATCATTAGCACCATGACGCTGTTGAAACGTTTGTCTATCAATACTATTTGTGCTCGACATTGTCACCACAGTAACCGATGCACGTCGGAAATAATGCACTGCTGGATACACTCCTTTACGTACATCTGGATTCGATACTGTTTTTAACAGTGTCATATCTGGACACTGAAGAGGATATTGAATATGAATACGGCCACCGATGATTTGTTTTGTAGGCAAAGTCAAAAAATTCGACGAATGTTTTACTGCTTCATTTGGACAATACATCAGAAGATTTCTGTTCACTATGATATAAATAGAACTGTAACAAAATATTAAGATGCCAATGGGCAGAATAAACTGCATAAGAATTGTCCACGCGATGTAAATCAATTCCCACGTACGATCGGAAGTGGAAAACCCAGCCACACATGTTTCTGTTTGATACGCTTCATGATAAGCAATTCGAAATATGAATATTTGAGGCGATGCAATAAGCAGACTTAAGCACCAAACGCCAATCATGTGTATCGTTCCGGATCGATTCGACCATGTATAACTGGACAAGGGATGAACGATTGCTTGATAACGATCATAAGCCATAGCAATAAGTCTGCGGAGAAAAAAAGAAACCTTTTTGTCAACGCTCGCACAGCATTTCATATCAGGTAGGTTGGTTAGTACTGAGACACATCACTTACGTATAAACTGAGATGTAGGAAACTGTTAACATAAGAAACGAAACAATTCGACACAGGAAATCGCCCCCAAGGAATGTCGTCGTTGATTTCCAGATGAACATTGGTAGAACGCTGAAAAATGCTACCAAAAGATCAGCAATAGTTAAATGTAGAATAAAGAATGCCATCCGTGTGATATGTCGATGTTTTTTATTTAACATGATAAATAAGACGATAAAATTGCCGATTAACGCCGATACGAACATACTTCCTAGAACAATCTGTTCAACAAGTTGTAATTTGTGATCAAACAGTATTGTTCCATTGGAAATATTCAGCTGAATTGAATTTGTCATTGAGAATCAAATTATCCCTTTTAATAAGAATCAATCTCGTCTACAAAAGAACCTGATTTTCAACAAAGTTTATACTGAATTAACGTTTTTCATCTCGCTAATATATATACACTCAGTGTTTGCTCGATTTTGCTTCTATACATTCGAGCGTAAAATGACGGCGAATCAGTTGAGAACAAACAAAGTTAAACCACTGTATTCAGTTGTCATGCAACATTATTATGAGTCTTCCCTTAGGGATAAACGTATTCGATTTTGAAAAAAAGAAAGTTCACAACGAACTAGACACTACCTAGATATTTCCACACACACGGAATAAAAATATACGCTCGAGTCAAATGCTCCTAGATTGATCCATATAGTTGACAGTCAGTGTCGTGTCACTTTCGACAAAAAAGGGATGTTCTGAACTTCCAAGCGCAAAACAAGTGTGTAGGTTTATGAAAGTGCACTCACGCAACAGGTATTTTGAAAGGAATTCAAGTTCTATTTTGTATTATCTGTTGTCTAACATGCAATCGAACAAGTTTTCAGATAACTAAACGCTATATTTGCTGCTTTTACCCGACAAACTTTCTCACGTTCAGAAACATCTCTATTAATACCTTTATTCCCGTCGGAGAATCTAAACAAAAGTAGTTAATGTCACTCAATAACTGCAAGAGCTCCGAATAAAAGAAGACTTCTGTAAAAGAGAACCTCGAATGTCGGAAATAATTCAACCAAACATTTGCTACATTGACTAAATGATGAGGTAGAAGATGCAACGTTTTATAATCTCTTGCTGCAACATTAAATGAGATAAAAGCGAATACTTAGAACTTTGGTCACATCAACAAAAGAAAATACTTGTAAATAAGGTTTTACTCCGAGGAAAAAAAAAACACGAACGTATAGCGAAGAGAAATTTCCTTCGAGTAGACACACTTAAGCATTTCAAACTTATGATAAGTTGAATTCATTTATTCGTCGAGATAGCTCCTTTTAATGACAATGAAGAACAGTTTTAAACCATGATTATCCACTAAACGTTCTTCTCGAGTTCATTTATGCTATGATGAATCTTATCCTAATCGAGTAATTATCCTTACACAATTATCCTTACACACACGCGTGGTCGTATGCAGAACCTATTACAAAAAGTGGCGATGACGATGACAACGTACTAACGTAAATGACTGAGCATGAAACTCGGTTGACTTTATGCTTTTGGATTTGACTAAAGGCTTTGACGAAATATATTAATTATTTCTGTATCACGCGCACAATTATCGTCGAAGCGTCAGCTGGAATGTGAAATAAAAATCGATGTCTATACTCAGTGTCACCTCATGATAACGATGTCTTTCTCACATATCTCTCGTAAAAAAATTTAGGACATGGTATTTTCTAAGATTCTATTTTACTGTAATCTAAAAGGAAGCAGTTAAAACAAGTGCAAGGCGAGATTTATTTCTAAAAAAGCACCAGACACTGTCTACAAGAAATGCTTCATCGGTTAAATATTTCGAAGCATGTTTGATAATTGAGGAGAATTCAAGACATGTTCGCGCTGTCGGTTCAATCTTGCGTCCATATCGGCGAAAATGTCGTTCGGAGCACGTAGGTCAAAGAATGTTCCTCCGGATGACTCGAGGGCCACTTCAAGTGGAATGGCTCCGCCACTAACAGTTACAATTTGTGTGGGGTGTTGAGCAGTCCCATCCGGATTAGTTTGCTGTGGGGTGATGGAGTTAATAGCTTCCATTGCATTGCTAAAGCCGAAGAAGTCATCGCGACGAGCAATATCAAATGATGGCGGAAAATTAGCGAGTTGTGGATCTGCGTAAGGAACAGTCGACATTGTTTTTGTATGTGAAATGAAAGTATATTCGAAATGAGATAGATGGATGTATTTTTGACTATGCTTGAGTGATTCGTTATGTTTATAGAAAGAAAAACAATGGATGATTATGTTGTTTACTTGACCATGATGAGTCAAAATCTTGAAGTCGCTCGCTGCATCGCGAACATTCGATAATGTATGATGATATTTCGTAAAAAGTAATTATTTTAGGAAAACGGAGATGATACTGCGGGAATTATTTTGTACGATAAATGAATATGTTTATTTGACATGTTCTGTCGAAAATGAGAAAGAAAACAATCACATATTGTCCCATCCATTCGGATTTTGCATATTCGCATGTCGTCGTTTGAATTCATTCTTGAAGTCAATACCCAAGTCATCGAGATCTTTCTCATCACGAATGACACCCTGAAAATAGAAGAGAGAATAACGATCAGACTGACACAGGGAATAAGCAGGTTTTTACCTTTGGTAAGTAGCCCAACAAACGATGAGCATGTTCACGAAGTAATTTAATACGTTCTTCTTCAATGATCTGTTTACGAAGTTGAGAAATACGTTCGGCTTCAGCACGTTCATCGACTTCACGTTGCTAGAGAAGATGACGAATAGATTCTGAGAGTAATCTTTCGAAAATACAAACTTTATCAACGGCCATTTGACGCCGACGTTCTTCGAGAAGAGCATCGACTGCTCGTTTGTGTTCAATTTGTTTCATACGACGTTTCTGACCATTCATTTGTTCGATACGGTCATCTTCAGCAAATTTCGCCATTAACTAAGAAAATATCAATGATCGATTAGAACTTAATCATTCTTGTTCAATTTTACTTGTTGTCGGAATCGTTCTTCTTCTTGTTTGACTTCAATATCACGTACACGTTTGAATTCCAGTTGTTCGTCTCGTTCACGTTGTAGTTCTAATCGTTGTTTTATACGTAGTTCCATTTCTTCACGTTCACGTTTTCGTATGGCCTGTTCCTGTTCTTCTAAGTATAATTCTTGTCGAACTAGTTCTTGTTCTTCGCGATCTTCGCGATCACGTTTGATTTGTTCAGCTAGTGCTCGCTGAACTTTATCTAAAGCTTCTTCACGTGCACGTTTCTCAGCTTTGGCAACTTCTTGTCGTTGTTCTTGAGTTCGAGCATATTCTCTTATACGACGATTCTCTTCTTCCATACGTTGACGTTCCATTATCTTCCATTCTTCACGTTTACGTTGGAATTCAGTAATAAATTCCCGTGTAGCACGTTGACGTTCGAATTTACGTTCCATTTCTCTGCAAGATAAAAAAAAACAACCATGCGAAGACAACGACTGGAAAGCAACTTCGACCTACCGTTGATCTTCTTCATAGATCTTGCGAACAATTTCATCAATGGCCAGTTTTTCACGAAGAAATTCTTCATACGCTCGTTGCTTGCCTAATTCGCGTTCTTCGAGTTGCCGTTGAAGATCTTGTTTATAGCGAACCATTTCTTGTTGTCGAACAATTTCTTGCTGACGACGATCTGCTTCAGCTTTGTCAGTTTCCGTACGCATACGACGAGCAATTTCCGCATCTTCCAAATAGGAGTCGAATTTCAGGGCTTCTTTTTCGGCCATTTGACCAATACGTTCTTTTTGAACATACGCAGCACGTAGCTTGGATTCTAAATCTCGTAATTCATAACTCGTCTCACTAAATCATCAGTATTTATGAATATGGAGAGAATAAAAATCATCTTTTCATACCGAATTTGCTGTCGCATTTTTTCATCGCGTGTTTTCTCATGTTTGATTCGTTCAAGTTCCGCAGCTAATCGTTCTTCTTGGCTTCGCGCTTCGGTAGCGAGTTGTTTTTCGCACTGTGCTTTGATAATTGCTTGTTCCATAGCCCGATCACGATCCGCACGTGCTTGTTCGCGTATCAAACGTTTGTTTGCTGCTTTCGCTTCAAATTCTTGCATTTCGGTATCGATTCGAGCTTGATTCAATTGTCGCTGTTGAACCGTTCGTTGCGCTTCTTCTTCACGACGAGCGTATTGATTGGCATACCAGTTATTGGCATTGTTGGAACCACCTCCTTGTTGTTTTTGTAATTGACGAGTTAAAGCCTAGAGGAAGTTTAATCGATAAAAATACTTCAGGCAAAAAGGAAAATTACCATTGTTCTGGAAATCAACTAATTTACTCAAAGTAACCGAGATATTAGTTTTGCATTCGCTATGTCTTTTGTTTCACTCGACAACTTCAACGAGAAAGAAACGTTTTCTCCATTTCTAAAGATACTTCTTTGACAACCACCTCGGTTTACATTTGTCACTCAACAACAATATATTCAATAATACAGATGAATTTTAAAAAATAATTCTAATTACAACAGATTTTTCGATTGAGTTTTCATCTTGAGAAGGATGATTTGTTCATAGATGTCAGTAGATGCTCAATGCAATCATCACAAGTCATTTCTTCGAACTATATAATAAGAAACAAGTAAAGCAAACGCTGTCGAGTCATACGAAGCATTTTAGTCTTTTTAAGTTTCTACCTGTATCAACTATGGAGACTATATGAATAGTTTCGTTCCTTTAGTCAGTATTTTTTCTGGAGAATTCGTTTAATGATTGCCTAGTTTATATGAATCTTGCTGTTTCATCAACGAGTGCATTCAAAAACACAGTAACAAACGAAGTGACAAAAAAAAAAAAGAATTCACCGACAAAAATTGTCATTCACTCGATGTTTTTTTTTTGTAACGCATTCATTCTTTTGATTTATTTGTTGACTGCTTTCTTAGCTTGAACCATTTTAGCTAATTCTTTGTAGCGTTCTAAGCATTCCTTTTTCGTTCTACTTGGTAAACATTCTGATATTTGATCCCATCGCGAGGATCCTAATGCTGCTGGGTATGTTCGTAATGCTTGTTCAAAAATGCGCTGTTCATCGACTGTCCATGCAACTGTCGTGTCCGGGTCGCGTTCAGTGACAGTGAGCTGACTTAATTTAACTTGATTTTCCAGCATAGTTGATTGTTTATGTGAATTCAACGCAATGTGATCTAACGACGCTGTTGTTTCTTCGACTTCTTTCTTTCCACTGGCAATATCTTTAGCTTTTTGCATAATATCTTGTACAGTACGGCTGGGGTTGCCGCCGCAACGTTTGAGATACTCTTGAACAACTAACCATCGATTTTGGACACCAGCGGGGTAGACACGAAGCGCTTTGACAAGAATTTCAATTTCCTCGGGCGTCCATTTGATCGCTGATGATGAGTTTGAAGATGACGCTGTTGAGGATGATGAGGATGGTTGAGACAATTCTAGACGGGATTGTTGCATTTGTTCATCCATTCTCTTAACTTCGACAAGAACAATTGCACGTTTGTCTGCATTTTCTTCTTGTAATTTCTCGTTCAACGCTTTCAAATCGTCGTACGGTAAGTACTCAACCAAAGTTTCGATCTGTTCGACTTGTTTTAAATTGGGCGGTGAACCTGATTCGTTGAAATAATTCGCTTCTTTGCACAAGTCACGCAGTTGTTTTTTTTCTTTTCTACAAATGATTTTCAAAAAGTAAAAAGTTTTGTAGCGACGATAGATGTAAATTACTTCATTAACTTCTTCTGTGCTTCTTTTTCCCGTTTAGCTTCGTCTTGTTTTCGTTTCGCTTCTTCTTCCACTCGCTGTTTTTCATCTGCAATACGTTTTGCTTCGTCCAGTTCTTTTTGCTTTTGGTCTTGTCGTCGTTTATCAATTTCTTGCTTGCGACGTTGCTTCTCATCGTCTTTTCGTTGTTGTTCTTCTTTCTTCTGACGTTTTATTCGTGGATCGAGTGCATAAGCACGATCGACCAAATTACGGATGCGTGTCATTTCTGTTTTCTTTCGTTTTTGTCTCTCTGCACGATTCATTTTTTCAATGTAACGCCGTTCATCACGATCCTGACCTTGAGATTTATCTTCCTCGTCTATGTTAAAGGAAAAACTAGAAGTGGGAAAGGAGTTCTTCTTGAAATGACTCACCTAAATAAGAATATTCACGCCATGATTCGAAATCGTACCAGAATCGATAGAATTTGTTCACTTGTTCAAACGATGTTTCGTCATTTCCTAGCAAAGGTACATGTTGATGTACGGACCAACGTGCATTGCGCTCGAATACAGGCCCAAAGGTCTGATAGAAACCATCCGCTGTCGTTGGATTTGGTATCGCATCATCAAATTTTGGATCAACACTATCGTAAGATCGTCGTAGTGCTGGATTTGATAGAAGTTCAAAAGCATGAGTGATCAGAGAGAATCGTTCACTTTCAATTCGCTTAGATTTGTCCGGATGGTAGCGTAAAATCATTTGTTTATGTGCGTTACGAACTTGTTTGTGTGTTGCTTTGTAACGTAACTTTCCGAGACCTAAGACTTTGTAATGATCTTGATCTTTCCATTCAGTGAGATTGAGTTTTCGTAAATAGGATTCATGTTTGTCCCAATCGAGATCTAACTGATCATTTTCTTTTTCATCATCGTTATTGTCATCCTCCGCATCACTGTCACTGATTTCACCTTTTGCGTCATCTGTCGCGATCATATGTGAACGAAAATAACGAACACCAACACGTTCGTACTGCTGAGCATCCTACAAGATATTCACACCGTAGTCAGACGGTTAATTTAACTCATGGATTCGATACATACTGTCGATAGTTGAACTTTAGCATATTTGCTTTCAATATAACACTAAACAGACGATTATTTCATTCAAATATTACAAATGAGAAACGTTACTTGTCTGGCTGCACCGAGCGCAATAACTTCATCACCATTGATTGATGAAAGCATATCAGCATTCGGTAATTTACTCTGTATAGCATCACGTAGCTTAGGTACTTTGGTACCACCACCACACAGTACGATCTAAACGAATGAGATATTTTTTGACAACGACAACAACAACAACAACGTCTAATCATACCAATTTGATATCATCTGCCTGCAATTGTGCTTTGTTAAGAATATTATCAACAGATTTTAAACATTCATTGATTAGAGTATTTGCTGCACCTTCAAAACGAAGTCTAATCGAAAACATGTATGATTACATAAGAAAAATCCATTGTATCCAACCTGCTAACATTGGAATCTAAATCGATACCATCATGTAGCGCGTCGATCGAACATTGAGTGCTAGCTGTAGTTGATAAGATATGCTTAGCTTGTTCCGCACAAGCACGAAGTTTCAATAACGATCTCGGTGCAGTCCTTGGATCATTCTTCGTTTTTCTAAAATCATCAGAGAGAATTTTGAAAGAATGGTAGAAGAAAGTTTACTTTTGAAATTCGTCCGCTATAATATCTATAACTAAGTCTGTAAAAGCATCACCACTGTTCTCAACTCCATTGGCAGTCGCAATCGTTTTGAAGCAGCCGCCAACTGTTCGAACAATTGAACACTCATACGTTGAACCACCGAGTCGATAAACCAATACGTTGCTAAATCGAAAAAGGTTGTTTTTCTTCTGAATGTATTTAATGGATTTCAAATTCAAACCTTTCAGCATGGCCACCATCTTTATCTAATTCATAAGCTAAACAAGCTGAACATGCATCCGGAACAATGGAATGAAGTTCAATGCCACTTTTCTTCATACAAGCTCTACAATAAATGGTAGGATGCCAATAGAAATTTCTGAGAAATCTACTTCTTTCGTACCGAATTAGATCTTGTTTACCGGTTTCGATCATTTTGTAAGATACTGAGAGTACAGCTTGAATTTCACGTGCACCAGTCACAGATAGAACAAGTTCTAAAAGAATCGTGTTTCAATGAGATAGATATATGCGTCCCTTTTCATTGGACTTACGTCGAACATAAGTCAGTAAATGGATTAGAACAGTTTCGAGAGGAATCGATTTCGCTTTGCCATCGATCATCACAGAGAATTCTATCCGATCGTCTTTTTCCATTATCTAAATAAAGACACATCGTGTCATCTGTTTAAGTAGGGTCTGGAAAATCTTTACAGCAACCGGCGATCTTTGTTTATAATACTTGTTGAATGCATCAGCACCGTCGTGTTTCAGTAGAAAATGCGGTGACCAAACGATAGTGTTTTGTTGGTTACGAACAAAACCTTGTTTTGCCGGAAGCCCTATGGACTACAAAGAAGAAAAATTCACATTTGACAACGCAGATATCTCATTTCATACGATATCATTTCCTTCACCGAATGTAATAAACGTCGGAGTTACACGATCACCTAATTCATTGACAATTGTTTCACTTCGTCCATCCTAGATGAATTCCACGTCGAATACATGAGAGAAAACAATATAATAAATATTACTTTGAAATATGCGACAACAATGTTGCTCGCACCTAGCCGTATACCAACAAGCGCTGAAGTCATTATTCAATGCAAGGTATTTCGTAAGAATGAATGGAAAATGCAGAAAATGAATATTCTTTGGAAGTCAATGTGTCCAGCAATCAAATACAAGGAATAGATGGCGCTTATTGATAAAACTAATTCATGTAGTAGATACGAAATTGGATCGAGTTTAGTTTTTAAGATAATGTAATTAGACATAGGAGCTTTGGGTGAAGGAAGAACTTTGATAACGTGTTAATTGTAGCGAAAAACGTCTTGCCATAATATTAAAGTTATTCTCGAGTGTTTTCTGTTATGAATTATCTACTCCGTTAAGATTATGTCAAGTCTCCTTATTTTTTTGATAGGAATTGTCCCTGGCAGCAGGAACTACTTTCGTTTATACTACTCAAGGGGGAAACTTCGGAAATTTCGCCATCTCCTTGTTCTTGCGAAACCAAACACTTGCACCATTTTCTGTTTTTGATTAATTAATAGCTACATTTGAGATCTCATTCGATCTAACCATCTCGTTTGACGTCATTATACTTTTTTGTATCTACATGACAGGACATCGAGATTCAAATCAACAAGGCAAGCTGTGTTTTTTTTCACTTAATTATATCATCATTAAACTAATGAATGTAACAAAACTACGTTAGGATATGCCATATCTATACTAGCATCCATCCTTTGTTAAATACAGCTTTCGATCACGTACGATTCAGTGGCGAAGTGTGGAAGACACACGTAATATAACATGCTGTTATGGTGAAGCTCAGGAATTGTCTTTTCATCTGATTAAGATCTTCTGTATTGTTTCATTTAAGGAAATTGTGTAGTTCTGAACGGTTTTGTAACGCGATCAACTTCGCGTACCCTTTAAATGAGCGACCCCTTTCGATGTTTTGGATTATTGAAATGTCAGACACAAATTCAATTTCAAATAGAAAAAAAGACGAAAACTTTTCAAATTAATTGCCCCGGTACATTCGGTCATGTTTTGTTACGGATTAAAAAAATTGTAGCAGATGGCTGCATGAATCATATTCTTTAAAATTAAGACGAAGGAAAGAAAAGAGCGTCTTCTATGAAAATTTAATCAATGATCGATCGATAGACAAAAAAGGGACGGCGTGAATAAAAAAAAACGTCGAAAGAACGATCAATAATCTTTACACGGCATGTTTCTGAGCGCACCGATCGACTTTTTTCATTTAGATAGGTGCATCGAAATCAAGTATGCGTAGAAACTATGATCATGCTGATCGATAAGGTTTGCTTTGCTTTGTTTTATTTTACCCGGATTTTCCTCGAGAAAAACGAAAATTTTCTTATTAAATTATTAACGTTATCTCTCTTGTGTAATCATTCATACAGAGGCAAGTGTAGTCAAGCAAGTGAACTTTATTATAGATAGTTCTATGTGGGTTTGAACGGGTGTTTATTATCACCATATCTTAAGGCGATTATCTCACTTACTTACGCATACTATTCAGGTCTCATGAATACATTTATATATATAGAAGAAAACGGAGCGAGGGAGAGGGAGAGAAAGAAAACCAAACGCGTAGATAACAGAACAGAAAAGAAAGAGAAGTGCTGACAAACACTGTCTCATTGCAATATATAGATATAAAAACGTCTTAAGACAGAATATAATTAACATTTACGTTTCAGTAAGTACAGGATATATTTTTTTTCTTTGGAGTTTTCTATCAATTTGAGGATAAGTGAAGGAATAGTTGAAGATTGTCGATGCGGTGAGAGGAAGTTATGTCGGCAATTAGCTACAGCTGTGCTATCGAATGATATACCCATGTCGATAAGAAGTACATAGTTAGGGTAAATAGAAGATTGCAAAAAGAGAACAATTAACAATGAAGGAAAGATTTTGTGATTGGCGTCTATTGAAAATTTTCCTCAGTTGTTTCTCTAATCATCAGGAATGATTTGAATATGAAAAACAAAAAGAGAAATCATTATAGGTAGTGCCGGATGTCATTGACATGAGATGCCGGCGGAAAAAGAAAAAGAAAGAGTAAGACTTTTGCAAAAAATCTCTTAGAAATCAATCTTCTGAATAATAGTAATAGGCACTTGCAATAAATGATTGAACTTGAGATCTAACTTGTTCTTTATTCGCACTCTCGCTTTCTTTCTTCGATTGTTCAATGATATTTCTTGTATGGCGCATCACTTGACCGAATGATTGAGCGGAAGATTTCTGTTAAAATCTCGAAATCATTAGGAGAAAAGGAGAAAAACGTCTTCTATCGACATCTTGATTACTTTATTCGATCAACTTGTAGACTAGTTTGCATGAGAGAATGCATTAACATGTACGTCCTCGAAGTTGAATCACTATTCCGAAACTAATCTGATTTGATAAAATAACAAAACAACAGGATTTGACAAGAACGACTTGTACTCATCACTCGACGATGAAATTTCAATCAGGTATCTTGATTTCATCGAAATATCCGAACAGTTATGTCAATCTGATTAGGAATAATATGTTTGTCTAATACTGAGTTGAAAGAGAAATCGTAAATGCAAAGAAAATCTGCGTCTCACCAAGTTCAGCTGCGAAAGGAAGACAATGTTTTCAATCAAGAAAATGCGTAGAAAGATGACATATATCTATATGTAAGAAAAAGATGTCTGAAGTATTCTTTCTGACGAGTCTGATTAAGATTTAGAAGCATCATTCTTCATGTGTGAATTTTCTTGCTGTCGCTTCGTCCTATGCATGCATTGATTGCTTCAGGCAAAACACAATTCCTACGTCATCTTCCACGACGATTCTCTTGAGATTTGTATCAAACTTAAGGAACAAAAATCAGATACACATCTTTATCGTTACGTTACTTGTTTCCTTTTTTCATGCTACCATATGATGGAGTCAAAATGACTGAATAAGTAATCATCCATCTCATGTTTGCTAGCTAGGGGTTTCCTTTTCTTTTTTCATTCGAGTTGACGAGTAACCTTGTTTTGCTGTCGTGTGTTCTTTTCTTCTTCATCTCCTTGGTCCTTTTTGTTATATCCTCCGATGTTCATCAGCTATTCAAATGTTATTAAGAACTAACGCAATAGAAATGACGGTTAAAACGGCAACCAATTGCTTTCCAACATGAGGGAAAAAAAGAGAAACGAACGATCAGATTAAGAGAAAAAGCAACATGAACAACAGCGATACTTTGTAGTGTCATCATTACTCTTTCATTTATTAATATTAAATCTTCTCTCACTTTTTTCCCGTGTAACACTTCCATTCAGGTAGATCAAACGATAAAAACAAAGGATCAAACGAATTTGTTCGATTTATTTATTATATTGTGTCTATTTTTGCAGGCAATGACAACATCAATAGATAATAAAGACTGCGAACAAGAGCAGCAGATGTCAAATCCGTCAGATCGATTACCTTATCATGTCTCATTTAATGATGATCAAAAACAGCAACGTCACAATAGTGTTAATCCTGACGAACCATTGCCGTCATCCTCGAGACACGGTGAGTTTCAAGCACTTTTATCAATAAGCATTTCTCATGTATTTATTTCATGAGCAGAAGATAATGGTTTCTGTTTCGGTTCTAGGTTCACTATCATCGGTGGAAAAAAGTGGTCGCTTTCTTGTAGTTAAACCAGCTGCTGATGTACCGGACATCGATGAGCATGGTATGAGCATGAACAGTGTTAGATGCAATCAAGCATTGTGCGAGAATTTAGATACGAGTGAAAATTCAAATGATCATGGCGAAAATGAACGAACGCCATTGCAGGCGAAAGGCGATATTTCTGTAGATTTCAATGAAAGTATTTTCGAAGTATGAAAACGAATAAACTTTTCGAGTGTTTATTATGATTTATACATAGGAACATGACCATCGACCGAGAACAGTACTTGATCAGTTGTACAATTATACAGGTGGGATTGTTCCAAATGCAGCTGAAGCCGAAAAACAACCAGCTGCTGTGCAGCAGGTTAGTTGGAATTCGTTTTGAAGGAGAAGGGCAAGTCATTGCGTGTATGATGTAGAGTTCAGCAAATCTTGGTACGATTTTCGGTGTTTACCTTCCATGTGTGCAGAACATCTTCGGTATGATCTCATTTGTTCGGCGAGTGAGAAGATACTATTCGTTTATTTTCAAGGTGTCATTGTCTTCATTCGTCTTTTCTGGTTAATTGGCATTGCTGGTGTCTTACAAACGCTGTTAATTGTTATTATTTGCAGCTTATGCGTATGAATATGGTTTGCCAAGATTTGCTTATCTGATTTGATTTCGATTTAGACTCTTTTAACTGCGATCTCAATGGCAGCTATTGCAACGAACGGAATAGTACCGGCGGGTGGAGCTTATTTCATGATCTCCCGTTCACTCGGACCGGAATTCGGTGGCGCTGTCGGTATCTTATTCTATCTTGGTAATACATTTGCTGCATCGATGTACATTGTCGGCGCAGTCGAAATCGTAGTCGTATGTCGTTTACCAAAAAGGAAAAGGTTCCATTTATCTCTATTTCGTAGAAATACATGTGTCCAGAAAAATGTCGACTTTTCGGCGATGACGTGGAAATTCCCTTTGTAGCATTCAATCATTACCGTATCTACGGCACCATTCTACTATTGATTATTGGAGCATGTGTTTTGATTGGAATTAAATTTGTGACGAAAATTGCACCAATATCTTTATGTGCAGTTCTTCTCTCAATTTTAGCCATCTATATCGGTGTCGTCAAAAGTTCATTTAGTCCACCTGATCTACAGTAAGTCTGCCTTTCATGCTAGAGTGAAATCGTTTACATTAGAATAATTGAATTATTTTGAAGAGGGAAATTCTTCAGCAATGAAATATGTCAGCATTGATCTTAATCTGCGTTCGACTGTGTTTTCTTAGTTCTCGGAGGAATGCATAAAACACTCCGAACTTCATCTTTCTTTTTATTGCTTAATTAAAACGCTTCAAAGAAAAAAAAATATTTCTTTGCATCGGCTGAAAGGAATTTGAGATCATTTATGTATGTTCTTAACAACGAGTATGAAATAAAAGCCGATTAGAATGCGTGAAGAAATAGATTCATTCATGTAATTGATTTCTATTTTTATAGTAAATTGAGAATAACATTACATGTTAATTTGAGGAAGTCCTCAAGGCCGAATAATTTGGACTCATGTCTGGCATGATTTCCTTTGGAATCTTAGAAGAACACTTTCGAAATGAATCCATATTTCGAGATGTTTTTTATCTTGTACTTAGGATTTGTCTCGTGGGATCGAATCCGTCACATTTAATTAAATCAAATGTACTCTACAATGATATTAAACGCTATTGTCATCCTGATAAATGGTGTTCCAGGAACAACGAAACGATTCTCTGTCCACTTTATTCAGCAATATGTAATAAATCTACGAATACATTTTGTTCTTTCGAACGTATCACGGAATCAGTTCAAGCTGTGCCTGCAGTTCCTGGTCTGAAAGATTGGCAATTATCAGGTTACATTTGACATATGCGGAAAGATGATAAAATGCCTGGATATTTGTTGTAGAAAATCTCTTTTCACATTTTCGTCGGGAAGGTGAAATCGAACGAGATATCAAAGGTGATTCGTCCTATGAAGTTGTGGCACAAGAAGTAACGACATTCCTAATTTTGGTGGGAATTTACTTTCCATCCGTAACTGGTAATAAACGATCTAGATTGTTCAATGGCATCATTGACATAAATCATTTGTCGTACAGGTATTATGGCTGGCTCAAATCGTAGTGGAGATTTACGTGATCCTAGTCGGAGTATTCCACGTGGTACAATTGCTGCCATTATAACAACATCAATCATATGTATAAGACCAATTTGAAAAGATTGCAACAAGTTATATTGAATGCTTGTAGATTTATCCAACGTAATCTTCTTGGCAGCTTGTACACATAGTACATTATTACGAGATAAATTTGGGGATAGTATTAATAAACAGTTAGTTGTCGCGGTACTGGCTTGGCCGAATAAGTGGGTGATTATGATCGGTGCATTCTGTTCGACTGTTGGAGCCGGCTTACAGACTTTAACAGGTAATGAAAGATGAAGAATAAATCTAATTGGATTGATTGAATTTTTCAAGGAGCACCGCGTCTTTTACAAGCTGTAGCTAGAGATGATCTAATACCAATTCTTGGCCCATTAGCCAAGTCTTACCGTGGTGAACCAGTACCCGCTCTATTTCTGACATTATTAATTTGTGAATGTGGAATTCTCATTGCTGATGTCGACAAGTTAACAGCACTTTTATCGATGTAAAGTGGCTGCGCAGCTCGAAAAAAAGTTGATATTAACGTTTGTTACGTTTTCTAGGTTCTTTTTATTATGTTATGGATTTGTCAACTTAGCATGCGCCTTACAAACCGTTCTGAAAGCGCCAAGTTGGCGACCACGCTTTCGCTATTATCACTGGTAAGAAAACGACCATTGATTGTTTTCGTGAACAATGCTTTCATTTTAGGAGTTTGTCATTCGCTGGTGTTTGTCTTTGTATCGCAATAATGTTTATCGCTTCGTGGTATTTCGCTCTAGTAGCAATGCTTATTGCTATAGTCATCTATAAATTCATTGAATACAAAGGGTAGAAAGGAATTGATTTGGTTTTAGTGGCTCAATGTTGTGTTTTGTTTTTAAATTTAAATAGAGCAGAAAAGGAATGGGGCGATGGAATTCGTGGTTTATCAATGTCGGCAGCTCGTTACGCTTTATTTCGAGTTGATGAAGCTCAACCACATACAAAAAATTGGCGACCACAATTATTAGCATTTATTAATGCTCACAAAGCTGATGATGATGAAGCATATATCATTCGTCACCCAAAAGTTCTCAATTTTCTATATCAACTCAAAGCTGGTATATAGTTTCAAAGGAAAATTCAAGAAGATGAAGTGTCGATTTTTTCCAGGACGAGGTTTCGTTGTTGCTGCAAGTATTCTGGAAGGTGATTATCTCGACAAACACCAATACATCGATCCGGTTCGTTCCGTAAGTATTCTGTCGAATAAATCGTTAGCAATGTTTGTTTTAATGCATGTTTAGTTATTGAAAGCAAGCTTAGCTCAAGCAAAGGTTCAAGGCTTTGTGGAAGTTCTGGCTGCGAAAGACGCTGAGGACGGTATTAGTGCATTGTATGTACACGAAATTGAAGATGTGACTTCTACATTGTGTAACATTTCTATTTTAGAATACAAACAGAAGGCTTAGGTGGTTTAAGACCTAATACGATCGTTCTATGTTGGCCAATACATTGGAAAAAAGATTTTGAAAGTTATACAGCTGATGCTTTTATACGTAAATCTAAGGAAGCTGGTTTTTGTTCTCTATTTACATCTTGCTTTTCATTCAGGAACAATTGCTATTGCCGAAGCACGTCAATGTGCTGTTATAGTTCCAAAAAATATTGACAATTTTCCCGACCACAAACAGATTCAAGAGGGCACTATCGATATCTGGTGGATCATTCATGATGGCGGCCTTCTATTTCTCATTGCATTCTTACTGAAACGTAATAAAGTCTGGGCACGTTGTCGAATTCGTTTGTTTACTGTTGCACAACTCGAAGACAATTCCGTTGAAATGAAAAAAGATTTAGAACAATATATGTATCAATTACGTATCGAAGCAGAAGTCAACGTTGTAGAAATGGTTCGATTTGACCATCATTGTTTTGTTTGTTCAACATTCAAGGCTGTTTGGTTTTCTAGGAAGATCAGGAAATATCTGCATATGCTTATGAAAGAACCTTAAAACTAGCGGAACGTGTCAAACTGCTAAAAGGTTTGAAATTACCTGACAAAGAATTACAACTTCAAGTAAGTCATTCTCCTTTCAGTGTTCTTCGTTGTTTGCTAAAGAAATCTTTTACAAAAATATCAATATTCTATTTATACTAGGCAAAAGGCTTTGAACGTCGTGCAAGCAAGGTGACTATATTCTTATTGTAGTGTCCATCACTTGATTCATGACTTTTTGTTCGTCTCTAATCTTTGCATGTGTCTTCTAATTCACTGAATATCGTTCTTGTTGAGCGTATTGACCACAGTACTGTTTTATCATTTAGCCTCAAATCTTCATGGAATCAATTGTGAATAGTCAACAACGACTGACAGCTCCCGAAGAATCCAATGATCAGTATCAATATACATTCACACCGAATCAGCTCGAAAACTTGAAAAATTCAATGTAAGAAAGACAATGCGCGTGTGCTCGTTTTATACTTGTACTCTTGTGTAGAACTGCCTCGTCGATGCGTAAAATGCATTCAGCTGTTCGTCTAAATCAACAAATTCGAGAGCGTTCAAGCGATGCGAAGCTTGTTCTTATCAATCTTCCATCTCCACCGGCGAAACATTCAAGTTTAGCTGCATATTCTTATATGGAGTATGTCGATGCACTGACCGAAGGTCTTGATAGATTAATCTTAATGCGTGGCAGTGGACGTGAGGTGATAACAATATTTTCTTAATTCTTACCTAGTATTTCTTTTTTGTTCTCAATCATTTCATCGGTGTACTGAATCTTACGAGTTTTTTTTTCTCACTCTTTCTCTCTCGTTTCAATTTCTTCTTATCTGATCTTGTAGTGATTGGTAACTTAAATCCCGTTCAGTGTGTGTATGCAAGTAATAAAACAAATCACTTCATTTAATACAAATTCGATGTCTGTGCTCTTTTCCGATGTACGTCAATCGATCAATTCAAAGTTGACAGGAAACTATCGACCATAAAACATCATTAATAAGCAATAGAAGCAATTATTTGGTTTAATATCTGAGCACGATTGATCGTGAAAGTATCGAGAATTCAAAAACATTATTGAAATGTTTGTGGTTGAAAACAACGAGACGAAAGGATTGAAATCAAAGATAGATACGAAAACCTTATTTCAAGTATTACTATTTACCTTAGTGAAAAAATGTTAAAGGTTGTCCAAAACAATAGTTTGAGTAGTTCCTTTCAACTATGAAGATTTTGACTTCGGTGTTCATCTCAATTTAGTTCGCTTATGATTGCATTTTTGTACGTCTTTTGGAATATATCATCAACGTAGTATACGTAAAGTTAATTAAGACACAAATGCATTGATTACTGTTTTATTTGATTGAAATTAATTCACAAGTAGAGCTCATCCTACAGATTCGTTAATCTTTTTTCTGAAAGAAAATTGAAACTGCCTTTCATGAGAAGAAGCAAAGTTATGTTCGATTTCTCGTTATGTTCAAGTTCTTTTACTTTTTTTGAGAACTAAAGAGTCAATTAACATGCTTTTTATAACTTTTCAATGAATTGATATGAGTCTAATTGGTAATATGATGAAAATAGGATAAACTACACTTTAAAAATGTGTACAAATAGCATTCAAATCGATAACAGAGGGTATACTACTTGTAGTTGGACTTGATCTGATATTACAAGGAAATGTATACACGGATCAGCATTCGTTGTTGCTAAGACATTAATTCAAGAAACGAAATGATCCATTCTGATATTGTTTCTTCGCTTACCTCATATATTCTAAACTCTTGTTATTGTGTGGCAAGGAAAGAGGTGCAACGAGTGAAAAGCGCGCTTTTATATATAATTATGGACACTAACGTAATGTCTGGTGTGATAGCACTCTTTTGTCTACGAGTAAGACGATGAGATTCGAACAATAAACCTGTAAAGAAGTATTCTGAGATGAACGCATGTGTTATCTGACAACTAAACATGTAATACTGAATGATGAAGCAAAATTTTTCAGTGATTTTCTACCAAAATCAAAGCAGTGAAGAATTTTAAGAAAATTTCGTTTATATGATATTTATGCTTGAGAAAAGTTAATAATTGTCGTTATATTATGTGTGTTGTATGGAAGCCTACTGAATCCTTTCGAGACCATGTGAATCACTGGTGGTCTCGCTCTACAATTCATGGATTTTATCTTCATAGATGTTTTATTTCAAAATAATAAATTTACAGATGTTTAGTCCTTTTGATGAAAATCGGATCGCTTTGGAAAGAACTTAAAAAACATAAAAAGTCTTCTTGTGTTTCAATTCATGAATTCATCATCGCAGATGATAGAGTAGAATTCATTAGGCATATATGTATTAATGCCATTCTCCTGCGCTCACCAGCGATTCGTTATTAGTCAAACTATTCACACATCATTTGTTTTTGGCAATAAATTATGAATATACAACTACATCGACATGATGATTTACTTCGTATAACAAACGAAGTCAAACATTTTTTTATTACTTATAATCCCTTCCGTCTATTACACGGTTGGAAAATAAGATGCACACGTTTTCCACGTTACCTGTCGAACTCGTTTATGGGTCATCAAGATTAACTGACGCTGTTTTGTTCCATGCAAAATATTTGTCGATGGGTCAACCAGATTCTGAATACTTCTGAACGATACCAAGTAAGTTAGCTTGACACTTTCATTCTCTTGTCGCCCGTGTTACATATGACTTTAATAATATTTGATATCACGAATTTCCTCAAAAGAAGACAGTGATAACCTGTTAACTAAACGTATAGACAGCTCTACCAAAGCAAAAGAACCATTTTCTTCGGTATACGAAGTAAATATCCCAGAAGAATATTTAAGCAACTCACATTCACAAAGTAAGACATAGGAACACAAAGCGACGACTACGATATCACAACTGTACCTATGACGAACGCATTCCGTTCACCAATGACGACTCGAATCTTTTCACACTAGCATGCATTTTTCAGAAGAGTTATCTCACTTATAATCTATAATTTTCTGAACATTGTGTCCTATTCTTGCCATATCATCAGTTCACAATAACGTACTATCTCTGTTTCCCTACACAGTACCCCAACTCACGACATGTTGTACAATAGCTTCCATCTTCAGTCAATATCAGGTTGATCTAAAAATTCATGCAACTACTGTTTTACTGCAGCTGTGAAACATAGGGTTTCCACCGGTTTGCAGAGCGTCCATTTTTAGGATGGTTCACCAATTTTGACCAAAGTACTTTATTGTCTTCTTGAAGAAAAGAAGGATATTTTAACAGCCACATGCGCCATTTCATAGGACGGACAATCTACAGCGGTGACAATCGAAAGATGTGAATTTCAAATTTCCATGCCTCTCAGGGAAACTGTCGGGGGTGCCTCAGAGATTTAGAAGCGCTGTGAAAAGATTTTGAAAAAAAGAATACGGATTTTATTGTGAAATTTTTAGAGTTTTGTAGTGCATCGTATTCAAGAAGAGATTTTTAACACTTAACTCGCCGTAACTGGAAACCAAACTAGTGCACGTTGAAGTCTTCGATCAGCTCTATAGAACTATAAACCCAGTTTCTGAAACAGACAACCCCATTGATAATGCATTTCGTAGTGTGACGTCTAAGACATAAACAGATCCAGTCGTTCAGCAGAAAAATAGTTGCAATAAATAATGAAACAACCTGAAATCAGACGAAAAAATTCGACTGATTTAACTCCGACAAAGTCCTCTCGCTTATTTTGATAGTTCGTTTGGAAACGGTCTGACGGAGAATGAACAACATCCGTGTTCAACCCATTTCCGTCCGGATCACTGCTTCCATTCAGATCCAGAAGCTGCAACGACCGTTCTTCGTCGGTTGCTAAAGAAATCTTTTACAAAAATATCAATATTCTATTTATACTAGGCAAAAGGCTTTGAACGTCGTGCAAGCAAGGTGACTATATTCTTATTGTAGTGTCCATTACTTGATTCATGACTTTTTGTTCGTCTCTAATCTTTGCATGTGTCTTCTAATTCACTGAATATCGTTCTTGTTGAGCGTATTGACCACAGTACTGTTTTATCATTTAGCCTCAAATCTTCATGGAATCAATTGTGAACAGTCAACAGCAACCGTTAGTCCTACTGGTATCGCCTTCTACTTTCACTTTTGTATAAAACTGCGTCATCGATGCGTAAAATACATTCAGCTGTTCGTGTCAGTTGCTTTCTATGTGATCCTGTGCAATGTGTATACGCGCGTACTCAATTCATAATCGGTCTGCTTTTTTCGTTCCGTCTTTCTTGATAACAATCAAATTTTCTTAGTCTACAAACTGAGAGCAGTATTTGCAATATAGAGTGTCTCCTTGCTCAACGTCTGTCATTTATATGTTTTTCATCATTCTTCTTCTATTCGTTATCAAATGCTAAATGAATACATCAATCTATTTCTGAGTGTTTCCTTCGAAAAATACTTCACCAACAGTTATAGACGAGCATTTCCGATAATAAAACGATCTAGTCAAATGACAACAATTCATTTCATCTCCCTGTTGTGTCTAGATCGACTATATGTACTTGAAAGACCAGCCGAGAGCCCAGTCATAATGAAAATCATTTTTTTTATTTTAAATTAACAGAACTTATTGTAATTACGTGAATCAATATTAAATTCTATTTTTGTTCTGTTATCGATTTAGGTAAGACAACTAAATAACAAGAGAAAAACATGTTATTCCACGACCTATTCACATGACAGCAAGTGTTAAATAATATACTATATCAGTCAACATTGCAAGTTATTTTTAACTGAACGGTGATATTTTGAAAATGAATTCTCTGAGCAGAAAATGAAACTAGAGAAAAACTTATGAGAATATTTGTTCTATTTATGGTATATTAAGAGTAAAATAACAAGAGACGAAACTTTTTCTTTATTCCGATTAAGACGTAAGGGGCATCTGTTGTGAAGCAATATGCTTTCGAATCAACTGACTTTCCTCCCATATTAACTTCTTCAATTCACCTATTGGATAATCATCCATTTCCATTTCGAATGTGAATGGATGTGCGACAACAGGTTCATCGTTTGGATCGTGATGTTCTTGTAAGTACGGATGAGCAAGAGCCTCGTCAACAGAAATGCGTTTATGTGGGTTGAATGTTAACAAACGTTCGAGTAGATCTAAAGCGTTCTTCTCCGAATGTGGATAGAGTCGAGTAAGCGATTGCTTTGTACGCGGCTTTAAACAAGCAATATAATTACGAGCTTTTTCATTACCAATCGATGCTAAATCGTGTTCATCAGGTGAACCAACAACATTTAGAATTAAATTCAATTGATCAATATAATGTTTACCTATGAAATTAACGGAAACAAATGATAACGTTCGCTTGAAACAGAACTATACTAACCAGGAAATAATGGTTTACCATCGAGCATTTCAGCTAATATACAACCAACGGACCAGATATCAATCGATTTATTATAGCCACGAGCATTCAGCATGATTTCAGGTGCTCGATACCATCTAGTGGCAACCTTCGTACATTGAAATTCATTAAAAAATCGAAGAAATGTCTCGTTACTTACATATTCTGTCAGGACACCATTATGATCAAACGACGGATCAGCGATTCTCGCCAAACCGAAATCGCATATTTTCAAATCACATTTCGTGTTTAATAATAAATTTGATGGTTTAAGATCACGATGAAGTACATTCGCGGAATGGATGTATTTCAACCCGCGTAAGATCTGATATGTTAGATAGCAAACATGTTCCGCACCTAATACATCCGAACAAAAAAACCTTCGTTTCATCCTGAAATTATTCTCTGCGACTTACTCAATCGTTGATATTTGATTAATTTGTACATATCACAATCCATTAATTGTTGTACAATATAAATATCTTTCATCTGTTCGAAAACATTCGCATGAAGAATGCCTTGCATGTTGATGATATTTTCATGTTTGAATCTTGCTAAGATCTTTATTTCACGTAATGTTCGTTGACAAAAACATTGATGTTCGAACGGCGAGATTTTCTTGATTGCAATTCGTTTGCATGTTTGCTTATCGTAAGCCGATACGACCATTCCATAAGCACCTTCGCCAATATATTTCAAATCCGTGTAGCGTGGGCCAACTTCGAAGATTTGATCTTTGATAATTTCATGTGTAGTTGAATTCGTTTGCATCGAATGGTTCGGTGAAGATTTCATGTCATTCATCCAAACTAGCAAGAAAAAACAACGATGAATAGCGACAGGTGTTTTCTAACTGTTATCTACTGAAACTACTAAATGAATGGTTTTCTGTTGTGTTTCTTTTCCTTTCAGGTAATTATTTCTGTTAACCTCGCTGCTAGAACGTAATAGAATACTAACGATAGTACACGAGGTAGTTACTTGTGAAGCAGGAAACTGCGCGAGTTCGAGAAAGAAAAAAAAACGAGAAAAAGCCGAGAGAACAGAGAGCAAGAAATGACAATGCCACGTTCGAGAAATACCAACGTTTGCACTCGCCGCTTTCCTCGTTTTTTCCTCTATTATTGCCTCTAGTTTCTCTCATCATTGGTATCGCGTGAGAAATGTATGTCTAATCGAAGTGTCACTCGTCATAATATTGCTTTGTCAAAATAGACAATCAAGCAATTACGCATTGAAAGCAATTCTTTCGGCGATCGACATCTGCAGTTAGGTTTGCGTCTCTCATTGACTAAATATTAATGATTGATTAATGTTTAATACACAGTGGATAGAATATAAATGTAAAGAATGAAAACACAACTATTTGATGCATTGAATATATTAGTTGATGTTAATCAATGTTTGTTTTGCAGTGTCTACAACGACTAGTGTGAAGATGGGGTTATATCGCGGGTTCAGAGGGATTAATTACGATAATTTTTATATGATAAGAAAGAAGAGAGAGAGAGAGAGAGAGAGAGAGAGAAACATTTCGTATGGACTATCTAGAAATGAAAGAGAACCATATGGAAATTCTAGACAATGTTATTTACTTATTGGTCCAAATCGTTAAATAATTGATGACTTCAAGTAGAAAAAAATTTCACATCGATATTTATAGTCATCGTCAAGAAAAGAGTGGATAAGCAATACTTTTTCCTTCTTATATTTTCTCTAACTCAACTATTATGATTAATTGATTCATATTTACAGTTATTATATAAAATTAAGATAAGTATTAGAATCGTACGCAAACTTCACCCAACACAACAAGTTTTGACGTGGTTTTTCATCTTTACGCTACTATGATTTCTTTTGATCTTCATAATCATAAACAGAATATTTTGGGAAATCGAAAGGAAATTACATTCAGTTTTGATGCACCGAACATCTCGTATAGATGTTACTCATTACCAAAATCTAGAACATCTCATTTTACGTAGATCAGTAATCAAGAATTCAAATAAGTTCGTATCAAGGATAATATCGACCGTTTTCTACAGAATAACAAGATGAATTCAAAAATGTAATCATAATTCACATAGATGACTACAAAGATCAAGTCTGATATTACTTCGACACTCGAAGAAGCCTGGATAGTATCCTGTTCACAAGTATGATGTAGTAATTATGGTACTGCTATTCGACCGGAAAATCATTTCTGACAATTTAATGAACTAATCCGAGTTCACAACAAACACAGTCTAAAAGAGATTAAAAAAACATTCCCGCTGTTTAACAAATTAGTCCGACTTGTCATTAAAAGCACAACGATGATGGATTCAGCGTATTATGTCCGTTATCGAAAGTCTTAGTCGAAATTCCAACATGTAAACTGAGGTTTAGAAAAATCTTAATCCTACACAACATTCATTTTCATGAATCCGATGTTTTTAGCAAAGAGATCAGCCGTTTTTATTTCATAAGATAGCATGTATGTACAGAAAAATCAATGATTATTTCTTCGATCCTCCAAAACCACTAAATCCCATGACTGCAGCCATAGCATCTTCATTACCCGCGTCATCGTCGTCTTGCAATGATTGATATTCTTCTAATTTACGTTTTTTACTTTCTTTCTTCTTATCGCGCCGTTGTGCTCTAATTTTCTCTTCCTAAGATTGAAGATTTACATCGAAACATCTGGATAAAGTTCTCTAAACTTACTTCTTCCTTGGCTTCTTTCAGACGTTCTTCGAAATTGTATTCCTTTACGACTTGATTTTGTTTGGCTTTGTTCATCTCAATACGTTTTCGAACTTGATCGACGTTCGATCGTTCGACACGCATGGACATACCCATATTTCGTTGATCTAGACCATAGATTCACCTGTTTTCCTGTACAAATCATTTGAATGAATTTCACTTACGCTTTTTTCCATTAATATGATCCAGAAAATTAATCGAATCTTTGACAATGCAATCACATACGTTACAATAATATCTAAAATAAAAATTCAACTGATTCAATGGATAAAGGTAAGTATTATTTACCCTCCGGCATCGGATGGCGCTGTTGCCTTTGTTACAATGACGGATTTTCCTAGACGAGACTCTAAGTCGACCTAAAACGAACAGTTGAAGGCTAACTTGAGTTGATTTTTTCTATTATGTACAAACTTTAAATTCTCGAGCTTGAAGAAGTGTTCGAGCGATTTTCTTCTCAACAGCTTTTCGTTCGATTTCTGCTTCATCACCACTCTCTTCGTCTTCTGCTGATTGCTTCTTTACACTTCGAAGATTTTCTATGCGATTGCTGGCTTTCTTCTCATATTCACGTATATCCCATCGACGACGATGATCATCGCAACGCTAAACAAAAAATAAGATTCTATTCAATTTGATAATTGTTGATTACTTACTACACCCGGAACAGACATGACGAAACAATATCGTATGCAAAAAAAACGCAGTGAATGAATGAATGCTATTTTGATATGTTTCGATTGGTTACCATTGAACATCCATTGGAAATCGTTGGAAATTTAGATAGAAGGGAAAATTGTATTCAATGGTCTGATTTGAAAATACTGTTTTGACAAAATAAGTTTATGAAAATATTCGTGTCGGTGTATTGGTAAGGAACTAGCATTTAGCGCCATCTATTTTCTCCGAATGACTCAAATTGATTGAAGATTTTTTTTTCTTATTTGAGTTTTCTTTTTCAAACATTATTTTTCACGTAAACTCCGCATTTTTTCGCGCGAATCAATATAAGATTACGTGTATCGACGAGTTTCCTTATTGATCAATCAATCATCATCATTTCTGCAAAAGTTCTGAGTTATGATTCATGTACTCACTGTCGCAAAGGAGAAGAGAGGAGCCTGACATTTATTTTTCGGTAGTAATGCAAATACGCTATTCAAATTAAGGAAGCATATCGATATTCATTTTTCCTCTTTGCATAAGAATGGAGTTGTCGGAGTAGGTAGATGTTTCAGTCAGCTCATTTCGCGCGATCTTTCTGACAGTATGTTGAAAACTGTGTTTACTTTTCTTTACCAATATTAAAGGGCAATGCAGAGAGAAGAAAACTTATCTGTCCAGGTTAATTAAATTCTCTTGCATAATCGATCAAGTCGAGTCAACAAAACTTATCTTCTTTATTTGCACAAAGCTTTGAAGCTTTGTTTCATTGTTCTCTCTTGTTACATTTACCCTTTCTCTTTCTTTTCATAGGTTCATTTTAGTGAAAGATGGAGATCGATTCAGCCGTACGAGAACGTTTGACAAACGCAAATCAGACACATTTACTTGCCTATTGGTCCGAATTAAACGATGAACAACGTCGAACGCTTTTACGTGATATCAATGAAGTAGACTTCAATCGGGTTCAACAAGCCTATGATGCTATCAAACACGAACTATTTTCCGAACCAAATGGACACACAAAAAATGAAATCTCTGACACTATTGATGATATCATGGAGCCAATTCCTGACCATATGGCTGGATCGATCAATGAAGCGAGTCCAGAACAATTGGATAATTATCGAGAAAATGGCCTAAAAGCTATTTCCGAAGGACAAGTTTGTGTGTTATTACTTGCTGGTGGACAAGGAACTCGTCTTGGTATTGAATTGTTTCAATAATTTCTCAATCTTATCGTTTTTTTCGTCAAGGTGTCGATTATCCAAAAGGAATGTACAATGTGGGTTTACCATCGGGAAAATCTCTCTACCAGATTCAAGCTGAACGTATTCGTCGATTAGAGCATCTCGCCAATGAACAATTCAACACTGATAGTGCAACTATAACATGGTTTGTGGTTTGAATATCGATTGAATCGTCTTCTTCACCACTGATTTCATTTTAGGTTCATTCTAACAAGTGAACACACTCAAGAACAGACAGAAAAATATTTCCGTTCGCATAAATATTTCGGTTTAAAACGCGAAAATATCATTCTTTTCGAACAGCACACTCTGCCAGCGTTAAACTTCCAAGGAAAAATTTTACTCGAAGAGAAGCATCGATTAACCAAAGCAGCCGACGGCAATGGTGGTTTGTATCGTGCGTTAAGAACTCGCGGAGTACTAGAGAAAATGGCTGAACGACATATCAAATATGTGCATGTCTATGGTGTTGATAACATTCTTGTTCGGTTGGCTGATCCAGTTTTCATCGGATTTTGTCTAGAGAAGAATGCTGATTGTGCTGCGAAAGTAAATCGGAATAAAAAATGTGCATGTCGTTTGTTCTCATTAGCGATTGACATTTCAGGTTGTAAAAAAGACGGTTCCAACTGAAGCTGTTGGCGTTATTTGTAAAGTCGGTGGTCGATTTCAAGTGGTAGAGTATTCTGAGATTTCAGAAGAAACAGCGAGACGAACGAAGTCCGAATCAAGTGATGAATTGCTATACAACGCTGGAAACATTTGTAATCACTTTTTTACACTCGACTTTCTACAAGATGTTTGCCAGTAAACGAAAAATTTGCAAGATGTCGGATCTGAGATGTGCTTTGCTTGTCTTTCGTTTAGAAAACATGAAAATGAGCTTCGCTATCATGTAGCAAAGAAGAAGATTCCTTCTGTTGATAATCATGGCAATCATGTTAGTAAACCAACGGAGATCAATGGAATTAAATTAGAAAAGTTCGTCTTTGACGTCTTCCCATTTTCAAAGTAAGATAATCGACAAAGCCTCACTTTTCATCCATTCTCCACAAAGATATCTATGTGTAATTGAATTCAAAGTCATTGATATCATTGTTAAGATACATGTACTGAAGTACTTGACATTTTACCTTCGCAAAATGCAGATAAGACAGTGTGCGTTACTCAGATTTTCTTCTCGAGATACGGTGATTGTGCTTTCATTTGCTTTGTTGATTACATATCACAGAAATTTGTCGAAACTCAATGAACTATCTTTTCTTTCTCAAATTAGAACATTCGCTGTTTGGGAAGTACGTCGTGAAGACGAATTTTCACCATTGAAGAATGAGTCAGGTGCAAAGGATACTGCAGCAACATGTCGTCGAGATTTAATGCTTCAACATGTTCGCTGGCTTCAACAAGCAGGTGCTGATTTACCAAATGATATTGAAAAACATATGTAAGCACAGATTATTAGAGTATTGAAGAAAACAAATCAACTATCGTTCTAGAGATACAACCGGCAAAACTTGCGAGATCTCACCATTGGTTTCATATGCCGGAGAAGTGAGTTGTTGTGTGAGATTGAACGAGTATTTCTATGAAATGTTACTGCTAGGATCTCGAATTTGCTAATGGACGAAAACTTGATTTACCAATCTTTTTTGAATTGAATACAAGTAAAAATAATGTAAGTTTTCCATTCACAATTACTCGACGATGAGCTAAACATTGGTTAACATGTTTCTAGACTAATAACAGTGTTCCGAGGAATTTGACAGTAGTCAATGGTTGTACACCAATACCCATTCAAACGAACTGAATTCATTAATAAACATTTTCATCCAAATCCAAATCTGGTTTTGTCTTCGACAGTTATCGCATTTTAAGAATAATATTTATACTTATCAAACGCTATAAATCCGATTGGCTCAAGCGAATTGGTCGTGTGCGCGTTTTATCTTTGTTTTCTTTTTCTGCTGGGGTTCTACTCTTTCTTATGTGATATATTTATTTAGAAATATGTTATGGTTTCTTTCTTTTGTGAAGGGAAATCGTTGATGAGAATAATATTAAACAACAAATAAATATTTAATACACAAATAAAATAGCATCTGTGATGAGATATTCATTGTGGATGAAACTGAAGAGATGTTTTCGTGGATTGTGGTATCGAAGCTCGATGTCGTGTCGAACTCAGTACTAAAGTGAAAAGTAAAGACTTGGTTTAGTTAAACAAATCGAAATTTACGTTGTGACAAGTTCAAATTCTTCAGATATTGTTTCGTTCATCTCGTTTGAACTAAAATGAAGCATCATTTAATAAAAAGAAATACGTGATTCTATCGCCTACGTTGTAATTGAACTAATAATCGGTGCATTGGGTGCTAGATTTTCATCACCGTATACATTTCTCAACATTTCATATCTCTCACATAAACCACAAAGTCGAGGACATTCCAAAGGAACGTTGACCGCAAGACACGATACTGATGAATGATAAGGACAGTCCGGTAGCATTGAACAATTTACTAAAATAAAAATTTGATTCTACGATGAATAAACTAAATGACAAGTTACTTTACATTTTTCACAGTAAACTCCGCTGGCAAATGCCGAGCATTCGCATTGACATGTTTGTAAGTTCAGAGTACCATTATAGAGACAAACTTTACCTTGACAATCTGTAGACAGATGTGATACTCTGAACGAAATACGAGTTTTTAGTTACCATATAACGGATAGCCAGGAATGCCAAATTGAAATGCTGCATGATAATTACTATTTATCAATCTATGTAAGATAACTTTTGATTTTTGTAAAAGTATCGTGCTTGATTGTATTTACCCTGTGATATAGTTACAAACATAAAAAGGCCAGGAGATATTATATGAACCAAACGGTGGACACATTGCTGCAGCACATCCGATCAATGTCGATGAATGCCAAATCATCTGCATGAAAAAATTCGACAACAAACTCGAAAATAATCAGTTATTTTACTTGACTATAATGACTAAAGATAGTCGTAGCAGGATAACTATGATAATAATGTTCTTTTTCTTCAATCCATCCTTCCAAGACATGAGTCCAATTCTCGTAGCCCATCGCCAAATTTTGTCCTGTTGACAATGGAATTCCTGAAATTGTCCATGTAAACAAATCAATCTGTCAATATTCCGTCACTTACTTGGTACACTACGTTGATTTGGTTTATCATGTTCAAACATACACGTTTGGGCGTGCTTAAGAGCGACTTCTTCCAGTTCATCACTCCAGTACTATTATATTAATTCAATGTCAATATCATGCAAAGAAACGAAGGAGAAACTTTACCATTTTCTCCATATTCATCCCTTGCACACGTTGTCGTTCGCAGTTATGCATGTAAAGAATATACTCACGTTCAAACGAAGTAACACGCTGTCCAATGACATTTTGAAATGGTTGAGAACAAAATGAATGATTCGGATCAATGGAACGATATTCCAATGGACACGAATCTACATTACTTACGATGATTATATTTTAACAAAATAACGTTTTCATCTTACTGAAACAATACTTTAGATGAGTAATTAATAAAAAACAGGGAAATAGAGCGAACATCTTCATTCCAAATTGAAGTCAATCTTTGATACAAAGTTCGTCACGTATAGTGTATTTATACATAGCGATAATAATGTACTTTTATGGATGTTCTGTATTGTCTATTACAGTACTCGGATATCAAATCTGTAATGATTATTATTATATGCCAAATGGGAATTGCCTGGAATCAAAGTGTATAGATTAGTTTTATCCTGTGTTGGGTTGAAGGTCTTAAGTTGTGCTGAAAGAGCGATATCTATCAGTTCCATCTTATTTTTCTTTTATAACAAAACAAAATGCAACAACATTAGGAAAATGAAAAGAAGGAAAAACGACTAAAAAGAACTGGTCAAAACAATGAACCTTATATAGAAAGTAAAAAGACAAAACCAATGGCAATTGATGCTCGAAAGTGTGTTGAATAGGAACAAAATCTATGTTTAGTTATGAAGTTTTCGTCGATGCGGACTTTTTACGTCGAGAAACTGGTAATGGAAGTTTACTAGGTCGTCGCGGTTGTACGGATTGAGTTGAAAACGAAGAATTTTCCGAAAAAAGACTGTCTCGACTGGATGTTCGACTGAGAGTTGATGTTGCAGGTGTGTACATGGTAGTCGCGATTGGAATATGAGATTGTTTTGTTTCCAAGTCACCTTTGATGAATAAAGTTTTCTGTTTAAGGTTGAATAGAAGAATTTCAATCACTTACTGGAGATATGATGAGATGAAGTGGATAGATCGTCAATGGACACGGAGAAATCACCGTTTGTTGAAAAATTTGGCGGTGGAATCAATGACATGGATGATGGCGAAGGACGTCGTGGTTTATCTTTCACAGGCTAAAGAAATTCAAAGATTGGAAATCGAATTTGATCAATTAGATCATTTCACTGACTCGAATTGGTGTAACTGATAGCGATTGTTTTGTTGTTGTTGTTGTTGATGATGGTTGTGGTTGTAAGAGATTGCTTGTTTGTCGGACGGTAACAAATCTTGGTTTGAACAATGTCATGGACTGAGCAGCACCATCAGGTAACACGAAACTATCTGGATATAGCTCAAAGTTTGTTCGACCTTTAGCTAAAAGATCAATGTTTAGTTGCAAGAATCTTCTGAATAATACGACACGACAAGAACGACACGTATTAGTATACAACAATGAACAACGTACAGATAGACAGAAATACCTGTAGTGAGAGCAGTTAAGAATTGTTTGTAGATGTGCATTCCTGAATACAAGAGATTCGCTCGTAGTTTTATCGATTCTCATAATATTCAAATAACATAATTCAGAAACAATGCGTTAGTATCAGATGTAATGATTTTAAAAATCATATATGTGAGATTAGACTGGCGATCATAATCTACCTGCGAATGCCCAAGAGGCAAACTGAAGATGTAGTAATGATGGATTATAAGTTATTTGACTGACGGTATTCGTCGCCTGTGTATCTGTAAATACTGGATTGTGGTATTTCATAGGTCCTCTCTGTTTGTGAACTAGAAAAGTGAACGATTTGCGATATAGGAACTCAGGATTCTTATTGAGTTTGACAGAAGGTTTCTACTCTACGCATCTAGTTCTATATTACCTCGACAAGGATCGTGTCGAACAAGAAATTCATCCAATGCAGTCCATCCTCCGCCGACTCGAACCATCACCGTTGATCGAAGTACACGAACGAGACGAAGACTTTGTGATCCGCCGAACTACAACAAGCATGCGTTTTATTGATATATCTCATCACTATTTCCATTATTTACTCGATATCGTCCTTCAGCGACTTGTTGTACATGATATTTATTTGAACATTGGCAAAGAGATGTTTGCCGATTAACTTCACTTTTAATTCGATCGATATCAGCCACCATGGGTCGAACGATCTGAACAAACATAACGATTACAAAACAAAGATTTTCTTCGCTTGAATACCTTTTTCGTTTCTTGGAAAACTTTTTCTAATTCTTTAGTTCGTTCATTCGTTCGAGTTAGAAGTCGTTGCCAACGTGTTTGAACTGATGCAAACGAGTTCAATATTTGATTTATATCTGGTTTTGATGTTATCATTTTCAAATGTGCGACTAATTTCTCTAAATCATGGAATTGTTGTTTATAAGTGTCTACTTGTTTTTGAAACGCTTTTTGCTCATCCATTTGATTGAGCAAAGCTGAATAAAGTGCAAAACGACGATGGACTGGCTTTCGCGTGTTCAAAAATCGCTCATTTTCGCCTAATAGATCAAGAAATTTCTGTAGCAATCGATGAAAACTGTTCATGGAATGTTTTAATTCACGTAATTTATCATGCTTAAGTGTCAAACGTTGTTTAACTTGTATTAAATGCTCTACAAAAAAAAAGCAACATCAAATGATGGAAAAATTCTTCTTTGTTTACTTTTCAATTCGCAGTTTTCATCTGGAAATTCTGTTTGGATTTGTTCTTCGAGATATTTGAGACATTGAATGAGAATTGAAAAGTTCGTATTGATTGTACTTTCATTCGCTTGTTTGTCAATTACATTCAGTTCCTTAGATATTCTGTCGGATAACTGATTCGTTAGTTTGATTTGTTCCAATCGTCTTTCAAGATGTTCATATTGTTCATTCGTGCGAGCAAGTAGTTCTTCCCAACGTTTGTTAATCGATAAGAGTGAGTTTTGATCTTCGAAATCACTATTTTTTAATTGTTCAAGGTCGTATGAGATCAATTGAATGTCATTCAAGAGAATGCGGAATTTCGCCAGCAATAGTTCGATTTGTTTTATATCATTGGAATTGATATCAGTAGTATTTGTGGACAAAGCTGATAGTTTCAATAAGCACGCATCTAGTGACTGTGTTATGTCAGTAGTTACATCATCGACACGGTTTTGACGAAGAGCAAGATCGTAGACGAGGGTTTTTCTATAAAAAAAAACGATGAGTTTTATCCAAACTCAGAATTAAATGGAGGTTTCCTGTTTAAATCTACTTACTGTTCCTGAATTTGTTCGTTAAGTTGATTCCATTTCGTATCAATTTCTATCAGTTGATGTTCGGTTGTATTATCAGTGTAATCTTGCTTGAGATTGATGATATCAAGATATTTCTTATCTAAATGCTCTTTGATTGTTCTGATACGTTCAAATTTATTTGCATCTTCATTCGTCACACATTGATGTGATGCTTGATCGATCCATGTGGACACATTTTCTAATTTAGATTTGAACTCCACAGACTTAATCATTGCTTGTTTGAACTCGGATTGACATTGAATAAATTCTCTATCGAGACGAGTCCATTCCTGTTCTAACTGGTGAACACAACCTTTGATTTCTTCGGCTTCTTGATCATTATCCGAAACCAATGCGACTAGTTGTGGAGTTTGTTGCTGAATTAGATGCTGAAATTTTACTTGGTGAGAGAGAAAACGAGTGCGTAACTGATCGTATTGTTGTTGTTCATGCTCGAATGACGTCGGACATGGATGGATTTGTTTTAACTGAGCAGAAATTTGCGTAAGAAGGACGGAAAGTTCGTTATAGTCGAGCCAGAATTGCCCGGCACAGGTTTGGGTGAGAAGAAGATTTTCTTGCCGCAAATCATTCGATTGTTTCATAATTGACCAATGACTGTTGAGAAGAGAAAGTTTTTCATGCAGATCTAAACATAAATTCTTATCGATCGATGAGCCTTGTTGAGCGTTCTTACCTTTGATTATCTTAACGTCACCTTGAGTGAGTTTGATTCGATTTAATCTGTCAAGATTCGAGAACAGGTGTTCGAATCGAGCTTGATGTTTTTCTAATTCATTCTGTACCACAGCATTGTCAACCAATTGTTCAGTTAAAGTATTCGGTTGAGAGGATATGATGTCACCTGTGGATGAGACTAATAACTCTGAGAGTTCATTCATTGTTACAGTCAATTCGTCGATTTGATGACGAAGTTCATCGATTAACTGAGTTGTTGTCGTGGGCGATAGAATCTAAATAAGTTAGAATCATTGGTTTCTCTGAATACTTCCTATTTAATTCTTCATACTTCATTTATTCTGACAGGAGTCGACGATGGTGTGATATAAGTTCCACTTAAACGAGCTTTGATTTTCAAAATGAGATTATCATAGTGCTGATTGATTGTTTCTAGTAATCGTTCAACAGGATTGTCGTTTGAATCAACACCCGAGGTTTGTAGTAATAACTGTCCTTTTTGATTCAATACTTCGATTTGTTCGTACAGTTTTTCAGTATCATGGTAAAACTGATCTAGTTGATCGTGATGAATCTTCTCGAGATAGATGTGCTTCTCGTTGAGAATAGTCAGCAAATGTTTGAGCGATTGAGAAAATTCTCTTAAATCTTCCTGATGTAGCTGGAGATAGTCGATCGTATCCAGAACGAATTCAATACATTCACACCAGGATTTTTCTGAATAAAACGAGATATGTCAGAAAATCAATCGTTTACTTTTTCTTACCGATTGATTCGATTTCATTTCGAATGGAATCGACATCGATGTAACGTTGAGCAGTTTTGCTTAGGGTCAAACCGATCGTTTTGAAATCATCGATCGTAAAGGACATGGATTTCAGTCGATCGAATGTTTTCTAATTTCGAAGAGACAGATTTTTACACTCGATCTCAATCAGATCAAACTAAGCTTACTTGATATTTTTGTAACATTTCTTCAATATGTTGATCGTCTAATGGAAGTACGATGTTCTCGTCCAAATTCACGAATGATTTGGCTTTTGCGATCGAATCTTCAGCGATTTGTTTTGCTAGCCGATATTGACCGACGTGTTGTTGAAGATTTTCCAATTGCTGAATATATTGAACAATGCGTTGTTTGATCAGATGATAAGTTTCTATGATTCGGTCTGTTTGGGTTTGAGCAACAGACGTGATTTTCGTTAAATTTCTGTCTTTTTTGGTGACTTTGAGTTGTTCATAGAGATTCAGCAGATTCGCCGATGAATAGAACTGAATGAATTGTTCATTGTATGTTTTCAATTGTTCTATAGGTAACTGTGAATGTTCGATTAGCAGCTGTTGACACACATGCATCGGTAATTGCTGATTTAATAATTGATCCGTTGTAGTCAACCATTCCTGAATATGATTCATGGCCGATTCGTATTGATCAAAAATGATCTGTCGGGTATGGAGAATCAATTTGAGATCGTTTTGAAAACGTTTGCATTGTTTTTCGTGTTCATTGATTTGCTGAATAAGTTCGATGATTTCATTTTCATCTTCAATATTCTCTTCATCTAACAACGCGTTAACCAACTCTTGGTATAACTTATGATCGATATTTGATTGTTGATCGTTGCTTAATAGTGCCTGAAGAGCGGTAAAGTCCAGATCATCATTATGTTCGATTTGCTCAGTAAAACGACGAAACGTTTTTGAATAATTCTCGATTAAATAGGCATGTTCGAGGTGAAATTCGTTCAAACGTGTTGAGACACGATTAATTCGTTCGTTGTATTGTGATGCTCGTTGTTCTAATAGATGGAGATGTTTTTCAGTTGTTTTTAAAGACTTCTCATCGTTTTCGTCAAACAATTCTTCATGATTAACATTTGTGTTAATATCTGAGTCGTAGGAAAATCGACGCGTGCGTAATTGTGCGTGAAATTGTCGGAAATTGACGATCTGTTGATCAAGTTTCGAACGTTTCAATGATAATGGTTGAGAGAGAAAGTCATTTTCTACGTTGTTCACCAGCCAAACATCTAATTCATCAATTCGCTCTTTGATTGTTTGTCTTTCATGAAGATAACGTTGAATTAAATCGAAATGATGCATCAAACGTCTTTGCGCGTCATTGTATCGTTCAGTATGAGAATGAAGTAAGTTAGAGAGCTATAAAAGAGACTCGTACGTGTTTTTATGTGTTTACGATGTCTGTGTTATTTTGCCGTGTGTTGAAAAGCAAGCGCAAAACAACGTATTATGATCAGCTAGACGTTTTCTTTCTTTTTTTTTTTTCGAAGAGGACAAGAAGAAAAGAAAAGGAGGAATTCCATTTTCTATAGAAAGTTTTTCTTGTTCTGTCTTGTGCCTTCTCAAGGGTGGAATAGAAAGAAAAACATCGAACTTATTATTAATCTGGCTCCGTGCTGACACAACTAAAGCAACACTCACATGTTCTTTGATTTCAGGTGAACTCGGTTCATGTTTGGCAAGCAGATGGAGTTTATCTAGGTGTTGTTGGACGTTGAGTAAGAGCAATTGTAGGGTATTGTCATTCTAATAAAACAGAAAAATAGAAATGAAAACGAATATGTGTCAATAGAAGTTTTACCTTTTTATTGACAGTGAGATGCTGATCGAATTCATTCATTGTTTTGAGAAATTCATTGTTTAGATGATTGATTTCATCGAAAAGATTGATGAAACTTTCATACTGATCGGAAATGTTCTTGATTTGCTGGAGAAATTCGGCATGTTTAATTGACAGAAGTTGAAATCGATGCTGATATTGATGAAAAACACTTCGGCATTGCCGATCGTTTGTTAGTTTTTGAAAGTCTTGTATAGTCAGATCAATGTTTTGTAAATAATCTTGAAGAGTCTTGAGATCAGTTTGTAAATGAATTCCTTCATTTCGAATGTCCTTCAACTTATTATGATCTACATTCAATGTGGTTAAGTTCCCTGGTGCTGCAAGTTCTTTGTTATTCGTTTTAAACCATTCAGTTAGATAAGTATAAGTGACATTGAATTGCTCAGTTTGAAGGAGAAAACATTCGAAAATATTCGTCAGCTTCTTGTTAGTATTGCATATCTTAATAAGAATAAAACAATAATCGTAATGATTCGATTGACCGTAAAACTCATTAGATTATTTCTATTTGTTTTACACACTTTGAATCGAGATTGACATTACTGACTGGTCTGACTCATGTTAATGGCACAGTCGGCCTTGTTTTGTTTATCTCTCCTCCTAGTATGACATATACATGTTATGCAAAGTGTCGACAGACATTGACAATCGGAAATTATCTTTTGTCATGCAGTACCTGCTGTATCTAACAATAAACTTGGGAATTCAATTGTGTCTTACTGTTAACGAACAAATAGTTAAGAGAGAATAACTATAAACGTACTTCGACTCGTTTTTCTTCGAGATCGTTACTCAATGGAACAAATTGAGGATTGATGTATTCAGCTTGTTGAGAAAGTATCTCTATCTTGACTTGCTCTTCCTCAATTTCGGATTGCAGGACCTGTAAAAACCAATAAATTCGTAATTATGACAATAAAGTCTGCTTTCTTACTCTAATCTCTTCTATGTTCGCTCGAAGTTCATCAGCATCATCTGTTAGATACACATATTGATTCCATTGTGTATTCAGCAATGTTAAACGATCAGCGACGGCTTGCATATCAGAAATCCAGTGATTTTCTTCATTCTAAACACGAACTTTCATTAGTAATACGAACATCTTTTCAACATAATCATAGCAAAATAAAAACATGCGAAAAACAAGCAGCGATATGCAAGCATTTTATGTGATATTAGGAAAGATGGATTTTTAAGAATAGATTCAATCACCTGTACACCCAACACAGTTTTCACTGAATGTTCATTTTCCTGAAAAATGTAATATAGACAATTGAACATTTCCCCTCATAGTATATCGATTTCAATACCCGTTGAGCATGCAGAGGAGCAGAAGAGAATCAGTTTATATGATATCAAGGAACTTTTCAGTTTCGTCGATTTCGTTCATTCGCTGTTCGGTGAGTTTCAGCTGTCGCCTTGATAAACATGAAGTCGAGTTTTCATATACATTATATTTTTGAATCTTCCTCTATCTTCTTGTCTCTATTTTTTGTGAGACAAAGAAAGAAAAACGAAAAACGAAAAAAAAAACAGTGTACAATCGTAATAAAAGAGTGAAGCGCGGTAGAGCAAATAGATATAGATATGTATATACTAAAAAAGGCTCTCTAGGTGGGTTGATTTCTTATTTTGTGTATATAGTTGCGTTTTTTTGATCTAATACTAGCACAAATTAGAGACAAAAACAAAATAAACGTTTATACACAAGCAGAACAAGACACAAATGAGGAAATTCTGTTCTGTACACATAACAAAGAAGAATAAGAATAGATCATAATAGTAACAACAGAAAAAGAGGGATGAAGAGATTCCTAATTGAATATTTGTGTCGAAGTTCATTGTACGAAAATAGATAACCAAGGAGAAGAAGGAGAAGATGCGGAGAATAAGATGGTTGGAACAAGTGTTAATAAATAAAGGTAATAAGAAAGAGAAAACATCATCAATTCAGTCGGATTGTAGTCAGTAGAAGAAAGATGAACCATTGATACCAACGAACTCACCTAGAATAAAAGAAAAACAATCAGAACATGCAAAATAAATAATTAAGTGTTTGATAATTGCACTTACCTTGAATTGTACTGTTGATAAAGAAGAAACGTCTTCTTCTAAAGAAAAAAAATAACATATAATTGACCTTGAAAAGTAAACTTTAATACATATTATGGTAGACAAACTTTTTCTTTACAAAAACAGAAGACGTTCAACATCGAGACGAAATATAAACGTCTAGTTATATTAAATCAACAGAATGTTCAAAGTTTTCTCCCGGTTCATGTCTATTATTATAATCTAAAAAGAATTAGACTTACTTTTCTGTTGAAAACCCGACGATGTTCGTCCTCCTTGCGATCGATTCGATGATCCACCGCTTTGCTGCGTTGTTCGGGTTGTAACACTTGAATAAAATGTATTTCCTCCAGTTCGTCTCGCACCACCTCCACTTCCACCCAATGTATCATCATCATCGTTATTTCCATCTCTCCATCCTGTTCGCCAATCGTCATCTCGACATCTTCCGGATGGACTCGAGCCAGTTCGTCTTCGAATATTTCGTCGGATGTCACTTGTTTCATCTGTACTTAATGGACTAAAGGCACGTCCTCGAGATTTGATTCGATGCCAACCACTACCATGCGAATCTTCATCACCTGAATCCGGTGCACTATTATAATCGTAATGTAACGAACTTTTCACCACTGAATGTCGTCGATGTTTTCGCGATGTGATCTTGGCAGCAACTGTTTCGTGGTCAGCTTTGATAGGTACGAGCGGTGCGCCAACAATAGCGACAATACCATGACGAATAGCTTCACGAACAGAATATTGTGTGTGCGAATGTGAATCATAGATTAGACCTGATTCGGCATCGACGAGACCACGTTCAATCGCATCTTGAATTGTATACTCTCGACTAGTTTTTGGATCGAACAGTTTCATTCGATTGTTATCTAATAGATTCTTTCGTATAGCTTTTTCGAAACCAACTGCTTCATTTTGTGATGGTAGAAACACTTCACCAGCATTGACATCGAACTGGGAGAATAGTTTGCGATGATTAAAAGCTAAATCTAATGTTGTGATCACTTTATTCGAATAAGAATCAACCACTTGTCCTTCATTATCAATGCGTATACCTTCTAATGCATCTTTCAACGACATAAATCGTCCGCTGGTCGGATGTTCAATAATCGTACTTTGTCCATCGATTAAACCACGTTGAATGGCTTCTTTCAAATGTAATTGTTCACCACTATGCGGATGTTTATAAAGACCTGTTCGAAGGTTCAGTAAACCACAACGTATCGCATCCTCCACGTTCATACGATGTAGTTTCGATTCAACTAATCGTGCACGATAAACACTGATTTTCGGTGGATTGAGTTTACCACCATCCCGACGATTGATCAAGCCAAGTGAAAAAGCATCGTAGAGTGTTATAGGTCCTTGCTCACTATCAGCAAAAGCAACACCATTGACATGAATGTGGCCACGTTCAATGGCTTCCATCAATGTCATATAGTGTTCAGTAGCTGGATCACGGAATGTACCTTGATAGACAAAGAGAGATAGATGTGCGAGAAAACAGTGCTTGAGTTTGGATTTTACCTGTTTCTGCAACGTAGAAGCCGAGCCGTATGGCGTTTTGCATTGATAAACCTAGCGGTTTTCTTTCGACATGTTCGCTGATTTCAGCTTCGATTAATTTTCGATCGATGGCCTCTTGAATTGTCATTGTTTCGCCTGTTGAAAAATCGGTATAAGTCTTTGTTTCAGTATCAATCATTTGATTTTTCACAGCGACAGCGCCCGATTCCATACGATCCAAGACATTGTTACGTACACCATGAATTCGGTATAATGTAATGCGTTTTTCCGTAATCGTATCTGTAATCAATTCCAAATCATATTCTTCAAAACGATTCTGACTGACAAGTTCCACATCGAGTAGTTTCTTTTCGATAGCTTTATCGAGTGGAATCTTCACGTTGTATTTTCGATCATGATAAACACCTTGAGCATAATTCAAAATACCGATTGCTTGTGCTTCTAGACCACCAATCTTTTCATGTGATTCACTATCCACGGCTACACTTTTGACAATAAACTTCTTTACTATCTCTTGAACAGAGGATGTTAACATTTCTGTATCCTCTTTGGTTTCGATTATAGTTGCATAAACTAAACCTTCATTAATGGCTTCAGCTAATTCATACTGAACGTTTGTTACTAAATCCCGATAACTTCCTAAAAAAAATTAAGAATACTAATCGTTTTGTTTTTGTTTAGTCTATGTATTTTTATCACAATGACTCATCAGTGATTTCGATCAATTGATCTGAAAGGTCAGTAGACCCCATTGCTTATTAACGTCGACATTTTCTTTAAACATCACTGATAACATCGGACATCTACTCTATGCATCAATTTCATCCAAGACGTTGTTCTTACCTATCTCTTTATCCAGTATGCCCAAATCAATGGCTTCGGACACTTTGATTTCTTTCTGTGTCAATGGATGTATAACCGATGTGATTACATATGTTGCCGTCTTTGTTGCAATGGTTAGTTCATCTTCATCAACTGATATGATCGAGGGTGGTCGAACACTGTTGTCCGATGATGAATCATCATCGTTACAGCGTATGTAACCAGCTTGTATAGCATCGTAGATGGTCAGAACATCGTTGGTATCAACTTTACGATATTCATTCAATTGAATATCGAGAATACCTTGTTTCAATGCATCACGCGGAAGAATCTTCTTCATGTTTCGTGTATCATAAACCCATTTAATTGTATATGTTTGTCGATTGATTGTCACTGTTAAAGAATCATCTTTGGAATTATATTCAGTTGCACCAATAAATTTCAAATGAATAGCTTCATGCAAGGAAACTTGAGAGTTGTTAAACGGATTGATATATCGACCGTGAACAGCATCTAAAATTTGTTTTCGTACCGCTTGTCGTGGAAAGATTCGACGTTTTGTTGACGAGTCTAGTACCCAATGAATCATATAATCAATTCCATCAACATGAATTGGTAATGATGCTGTATCAGGTTCAATACCCATATAACCTAATTCAACAGCTTCTTCGAATGTATGTGATTTACGGTTTAATTTCTCATCGAAGAACAAACGTTGTTTAACGTCGACTAAGCCACGTTGATAAGCGATCTGTAATGGTAGACGATCACCTGTGGCAGTGTTGAGAACCCATATAACACGATAGGGTTCATTTTTAATCATCATAATACAATGCCATTGTTCCCATTCTTCTTCTGTCCATGATTGTTGTTCATCAAGATGGAATTCAGTCGTTGGTTGCGACGGTTTTTGCGGTGAAGTGACTGACGAAGATTTCGAACGGGTATCTGTAATGTCAAGATATTCTTTGGTGACGGTGGTTTGAGTTGATGATGTGAATGGTCGTGGATGATCTTCGATGATGAGTTCTCCATGATGTATACGTTGACCTTCACGTTGACGATCATCAATGTGAACTGGTCGCGGTGGAGGTGCCAATGGTTGTGGACGACTCGATTGAACGACACGAACCTGAATATATGTAAATAATTTGTTACTTTGATTACTCTAGGGACTTCGAGAAATACGAATAGGAAGATGATGACAAGTATAACCTCGATGAAAAGTCAATCTTTTCTTGTCGTGTTCGACGCTGACTACGAACATTTTCATTCGACAAAGAAAAACAAATGAAATCAATAGACACGATATTGTTGATGTCAGTCTTATTTTCCAGGCATGACAGTAATCGTTCTTTCTTATCAAAACAACCAGGAAACGCCGGCAGAAAACGAAGAAGATCAAAGAGTATTTCTCTTCTAGTGAATCATTTTACATATAATTCGGCATTAATGCACGGCTTGCATATCTTTCATCAAGAAGGAAAATATTCGATATCCGATGAAACTTAACGAGACTACTCTAGAATTTCTATTATTGTTTTTCTCCTCATATCACGATCAAGAACTCAAGATCGATTCTTCTTCTGCTTCTTCTCATATGCATTGCTCATTGTCAATGTGCCTTATCTTTTAATTAAAATTTATCGTTCGATTACCTCATTTTCTCGATGTGAACCATTAATCACAACATGGTCTTTTGGTGGTAATGGCGGTGGCATGTATCTATCGCCTTCAATAACAATTTCTTTATGTAATGTGCGTCGATCTTCTTTAATATCAACTTTCGCTCGACGATTAGGATTGATTCCATCGTCGATAACGACTTCTTCGATATATTGTTGTCGTTGCTGATCGGTGGATTTCGGTCGTAGAGGATTGTTTTGATGAACGAAAATTTCACGATCGAATACATTCGTTGTATGTTCTTCAATGATTTGTTCTTCACGTGTGCTCTGATGTTGTTTTTTGTGTCGGGGTAGACGTTGAACAGATTCAATTTCCACCACGTCTTTCTCACGTTGTAAAACTTCCGATTCATTGATTTCGTAGGGTGTTCGTGGTCGTGATTGAGATTCGATTCGTATCGATAATTTCGAACGCGAATCGTTGCCATTTCCATACGGTTCTTGACTGATTATTGCACGACGTCTGTCGATAGATGAAATATGTTCGATATTGTTAAATATAATCTGAGAGGAGACTGATTGAACTTGAATAAAGCCTCGTTTAACTGCATCACCGATATTGATTTCATCGCCTGTGACTGGATGAATATACACACCTTTTTTATGATCGAAAAGTTTTTGTTGAATACCTAAATACAATAAAACATTTTTTGTTGCCATTTTGTTTGTCACTTATTACCTTCTTGAAGATTATAAACTTTATCAGTTCGTATATCAGTAACACCTGTGATTAAATAGAAAACTTGTTCGTGTTGATCACCATAAAATGATGGAGGATGTTGATCGCGAAGTTTGCCAATGATAAGACCTTGTTCGTACGCTTCAAGTATACTCATTTGTTTTTGTGTAACGGAATGATAGTAAATTGTGATATTTGAATTCAATAGACCTGTTTTAATCGCTTCAGTAACACCCAGACGACGATTTGTCACGGGATCAATAACTTGCTCGATAATTAAATTCTTCACGAACCGTCGCGGATGTTGATCGATCAATTCCGTGAAGATTAATCCTTTCTCAATTGCAACACTTATTGGCAGATTTTCACCTGTAATACTATTTACATAAAAACCTTTCGCATGATCGATAATGCCTTCGTCAATCGCCAGACGAATCGGTATTTCTTGGCGTGTACGAGGATGTATCGCACTTTTTAATGTATAAGTCTTCGTTTCTTTAACTGTTCCACGTTTTATTTGACTGTTGCTTGCTGTATCTGAATTAATTGTTGCATCGACTGGTAATGGTTGAGCACGTATATGTCCTTGAGCGATCGCTTCTGAAATAGAGAAGATTTCATTCGTTTTTCGATTGATATATTGTCCATTTTGTTTATCTAAGATTCCAACTTGAATCGCTTCCTGAACAGTTAATTCTTTGTTGTTAAGATAATCTCGTACACCGAGTAAATGGTATGATCGTGTTTCTCGTATTAATGATGTTGATATAACATATTTGTCGTTGGGATGATGATGATGATGATTGTGATTCGCTGTTGGTTGTTGTTGTTCAACGAGAACGAAACCTTTGCTCATTGCATCGTCAATTGAAACTGATTCTTGAGTTAAATTATTGAAATATAAGCCATGATAGGGATCAAGGATTTTTGCACGAATTGCGGTATTTGGATCGATAAAAGTATTTGCACGATGATCAAAGACACTTGAAATGACAAGTGATTCGGTTTTCGAAATGACATTGTACGAGGGTGGATCACCAACTTTGAGAATACCCATTTTTAGTGCTTCACCTAAGTCAACTTGTCGTGATGTTGCACGATCGAATATATGGTGATTAGTCGAATTGATTAACCCACGAGAATAAGCTTCGCGTAAATCGTAATTTCTGAAAATGGAGTAGACAAAAAAAAATGAATTATTTTCTTTTCGATCATTGTTCGTTAAAATCACAAATAACTACTATGGCTTCAACTGACATCGAACTCGAGATACAGACATATAACGATGTATATACATAAAACAGATTTTTATTAGAAAAATGAGATAAAATCTGGCGACTATTGTCTTTTCATATGTATACATTCTATTCATATATAAATTTCTCATTCGTATGCTAAGCAGAAATGAACGTGCTTCGTACAAAAACTACGATTGAATTTCATTTGTGAGTCGAAGAGTGCCTATTACATCTTTTGATTGCTTTTCATTGTACACTGACAGAAAAAAAAACAAACATGTGCAGAAAATTTTGTTCTATCTCCGAGAAAAATATTCGAGGCAACACACAAATCTTGAATTTTTCCTTTCGTTTTCTCTCTTTTGCTTTCTTTGTCTTACTTACCGTTGTTCGAGCGTATCGACCACGTAGGCGCTACGCGCGTCTAGAATATTTGTGTCGATCGCCTCTTTCAATGTAATGGACGTAGTTGTATTAGTTGTGGTTATGGTGGAGTCTGCGCCAACGGGAGGAGGATAATTATTCACCAACAACGGCGACGTAGAGAGAAGATTTTTGTTGTCGGTTGTATGTGGCGGCGAAGACGATGAAGAAGAGAAATGGTTGCGAGGATGGCGATGGTGGTCGGGCGGCGATGTAGAGGAAGAAAAAGGAGAAGAAGAAGAATAAGAAGAAGAAAGAGCGAATGGAAAAGGAGAAGAAAAGAGACCCGTTGACAAATCGAGATATTTACTATTGACCGCATCAACAAACGAGAGATTTTTTCGTTTTGTCATTTCATTTGATTTCGAATTTGTTACAATTATATTAGCATTCGAAATTGCCGACGATAACGATGGTTGCTTTTGAACAATGAACTGAAGTTTATTATCATTATCATTATTGTTATTATTATTCAGATTAGCTATTCGATTTTGGTCAGTTTCGATTTCTGTTCTTGGAATAACATAAGTCGTTTCAAATGAAACCGAACCATCGTTTGATGATAATGGATGATGATTTATCGTGACCTTTCCGTGTGACAAGTCAATAAAACCTACGAGAAAGACAACAGATTGAATGACGTCATCATGAATCTTTCAATTTTACATAAGCGACCAGAGAGGCATACAAAAAGACAGAGAGAGAGAGAATTAGTTGTTTGTTCTTCACTTCAAACTTTTCTCCGTAGACATATACATCTTATTTTAAAACGAGGAGAATATGAAATATTCGATGACGTAAAAAGGGACATGAAGAAACAATGTATATGTATATGAGTGAGCCGGCAGCGTCCACAACAACGGTCGGACGGACAATAAAAGGAAGCTATAAGAGAAATATAAAACGGAGAGAAAAAAAAAGAAAGAGCATGCACATCTAGCGCATAAACCTCGATTTGTTATATTTTTACTGCTTTCACTCTTTCTCTCTATATACATACACACACACTTCTGCATATACCGTATACGTATTTACCATCGTTCTTTCATTTTCTTCTAGAATATAAAATAACTGGCTCAACACTACATAGGCATATGACAAGAAATGAGAAAGGAGATTAGATGTGTGTCAACATCTTCATTACAAATTTTCCTCGTTGTTCTAATCCGATGAAGACTATAAGGTGGAGTTGAATGAAGATTTTTTAATATTCGTCACTGTTAAAGTAGCAAAAGGCATGGCTGATATCAATTAGAAGAGATAAAAGAACATTGTTTAGTCAACCGATTGTTTTGATTTAGTTGTCGATTATCTCGAGAAAAGTGTGTAAGACGAACACAGGCTTGAATAGATCGCCGATGAAAAGAGCAAAATATCCAGATAATGTACATATTATCTTTTAAAATATTATCATCATCAACGATTGTTTGTTACTATATCTCTCTGGAGATACATCTCGAAGTTAATATCGATGTATCGAATCATTTTCTTTCTCTGTCTGTCTGTCTCTCTCTTTCATGCTTAACTTGACACCAAAGATAAATCAAGATATACATATGGATTAAATCAAATGATAGGAGAAAGTTCATTCGAACATCCCTCGTTCGATCAGAACTGAAAACGCACGAAATGAATGAAGGACGACGACGACGACTGTATTGTAGTCTAACCCTAGTTGATACTAGATGACCTTCTTTTTGTGCATTTGATCATACATATATAAAATAAAAATGAAAGACAACTAAAGAATGAGAGTGTCAATGTGCTCGACCTTGTTTCGTAGGGAAGAATAGGGTATCTTCTTATCTGATATATATATATCCTGTAATTATTCTTCTTCGATACTCTCTCTCACACACACACATATGTGTGCTGATGCGGGCAATGCCTTTGCTCCAGACAATTGTCACTTACTTGTTGTTTTCTTCGGAATTCTCTGCTCATCTTCATCGGATGAAAGAAACGATTCGAAAGTAATATCATATCTCGAGAGAATTGTACTTCGATAACAATGTATCAGATTGGATATTGAATCAATTGGAAGATTGATTGTCTATAAATAACATTGATAAAAGGTTTAGTCATAAATCAAATCATTGCTTCGTTACTTGGCCGATACTGTTGAAATTCTTCTTCAATAAGCGTGCATATTCTTCTATCTTCATGAGAAGATTTGCGTACCGTCTGAAACAAAAAAGATTCGACTGAGTTTTGCAGCTCGGAAGATTTCTTCGTCTTACTTATCGAACGATTCGACTTGTTTTAGAACTACTAATGAAGCTCGTTGACCATTGGATGATATCCGTCGTCGTTTGAATGCGATTGAGTTTAAATCACATAGTGATAAACGAAAATGTTTCAAAATTTTGTCATGCATCTATATGATCACGGTTAAAAAAACGAGGTTTTTTTTTATTAGAATTAAAGTTGTTCACATGCAGCAAATGACATGCCAACTACGAATAGTTCGTTGTGTTTTCAAAGTAAGTTGCATGCTCGAAAGTTGAAATAAATATTACCTTAACTTCTTCCATGAATTTCACGGCTACATCGTTCATGTGCTCAACGGATTGGGCTTGAAAAAGAACATCATTGAACAAATCCTACGAACAGAATCATGTGTCGAAATGAAAGGTTTTTGTTTGATGGTTTTGTTTTTACAGTGACAGTTTTTGCTATGCGATGAAGGTTGTTCGGATCGTTGGTGATTGGTTCGAGAAGTTGGATTCGACTTTGAAGATGGTTCAACGCGTTTTCTTCGTTTTGAAACACATTGTGAAACGATCGATGTGATTCGATTATTTGAAGAATTGATCGTTTCCTAAATGACATCGAAACATACAAATGATATTGTTTCGAATAACGAAGAGAGAAAAACCTTTGATAAATTTCCGAAGTGATTCGTTTCCATCGTGTCGCTAATTGTTCGCTGATACGGATTAATCTTTCGTTACTAAGTTGTTCACTGTGTCGGAGAAGTTCTTTCACGGACTTCTCCAACGTTTGAAGATGATTGTTAAGTTCATTAAGTTCGTTGAATTGATGGCGAATGGAGTCCTCGTCATCGACGAGGGATGGTTGAGAAACTAAACGTGTTTCCAAGTCAATAATTTGAGCGGTTAGGTTATTCAAAAGATTTAAAGCAGTATCAGCGATGTCTAATCTAGACATTCGAAAGAAAACGTAACTTGGGAAAACTATAAGTAAGGATTTACTTGTCCGAATAGTTCTTGGACATGTTGAATAAATCTTGAATGTGATCAGATGTTTGAGTAACTAGTGAATTTACTTCGTGATGTGCAGATGAACTGGATTGTTGAGTTCGAATCTTTTCAACACGATTTGTTTGGGAGACAAGTTCGTGTTCGAAATCCTAGAAAATACAAAAGAAAATTCACAATCGAATCAAAACTTTTTTCAATCATTCCTCTTCTTCTCGAATCGCGTGTGTAGATATAACATTGGGTTTAAATGGGATGCGCTTTACGGGAGCGTCCACTATAGATTTATTCTTATTTAATTGATCAGCTGAACCATTTCGTACAATGGATCGTGTTTCGATGTAGGTGATATTCGAGGGAGCTGACAATTTTACATTCGAAGTATTTCTGTAAAGGACAGGGCAAGAACTGTAATGTTGTTGTTCTTTCGTCATGTGTTTGTGAGAACGACGTTCGTATTCTTCGGTTTTATGTCGACGATGTCGACGTTTGTGACGACGTTGAGGACGATGGAGGTTGATTCGAACGTTAATTCCACGTTCATTCGCTGTTACACTGGGAAGATCCGATAGGTGTTGCTCAGTAGGTGAATATTGAAAAGGCAGTATGCGATAGCATCCATTGTTTATTGAACTTGGCGAAGAAGAGCTGGTTGTGCACGCTGAGATGTGTTGAAGATGTGTTTTATATTGAGCGTCAGTATCGGAAGAATAAAAATCATCGACGTTATTGTAAACAAGCCGAACAGGCAAATGTCGACATGTTGCTGTTGATGCACGATTGTTATGCCGATGATCGGCAGATGAGGTAGAAAAAGAGCGGTACATCACTTGTTCACAACTGATTATCTAATGAACACAAGTTCTCAATCTATCCCAACGATGATGGCAATTGGATGCATATGGTTTCCACATACTGCTGTTATTATGATTTGTTGAGTAACAACCAATGCTACCGTTAATCTCAATGATATCACCAGATTCCCTTTTCGTAGTTTTCCTTTGTGTTTGCTATTCAATTCACGAACGTCTGTCGTAGGATATGCAATTTTCTTTTTTTTTATCTCTTGTTGTCGAGACATTTGTTCGGATAGATAATACAAAGGAGAAGAAAGAGAAAATTCTTCCATTGCCTTGACGAAAAAACATAAGACTGATTACTATTGATGAGCAACTTATATTATCCAATCTATTTTCCCTTTCTCTCTCTCTACTACTTCTTTTTCTCTTTTCATTAACAGATCCCACTGACTTGCTGTCGTATAATTGACTAAATGATGGACGGATACATATCGATGTTTAACACTTGATGGCTCAAGTACGTTCGTTATTCAGTAATCGACACAAAAATCAGATGATTTTTCTCTAACCTGATGTTGTTTGTAAAGAATCAAAAGTTCATCCGAAGTTAATGGTGAACTTGTTTGAAGTAAATGAATCGTTCGTTCTCGAACTAGTTGATCAAGTGTAGTTAGAATTGTATCAATCAAATGAAGTTCTTTAATCAGGTCTCTTGATTGTGATCGACTTGAATCTATAAATATCGATCGTATTATCATAATGCAAAACATCGAAGAGACAAGCTTTACCAGAACTATCTGATTGTGGAGAAACAATTGTATCTCTGAAATCACCAGTGACGATCACATTCAACTGTTCGACACCAGATGATGGAACCTGTAAAGAAAACATTTCATTATTTATGATGAATGATATTGACGACGGTTTTTCACACTAATTGACAATGAATCATCTGTCCGACAGAAAACAATTTCTAGTTTCCCCCGGTGTATAGATATGTGTCATTGAAGGCAAACATCGATTGATTAGATTCTTATATAAAGTACAGAATTATAGTTAAGAACAACCTTGGATACAAGAATTCAAAATATTTTCTATCTAATTGGAATCGGAAGACTCCTAGAGAGAGAGAGAGAGAGAACGAGAAAGAAGTGCTATGGTAATATGCATATCCCGAGGTCTGCTTAGATTAGAAAGAGAAGAGAGAGAAGTTTTGGCTGAAATATTGTCGATAACTGTTGTAAACTAATCAAGATATATACCATATAAGAGTCTCGTCAGCTCAGATGATGAACTTGACAGATTGTTTCATTCTCAACGAATTTACTCTTAGCAATGAAGAATGGTGATATTCTTCCTACGGATAAGAAAGTTTCTTCTCTTAACTTGCACAGCAGGAATCGGATCAAACTGTCTTAGAGCGCTAAAAGCTTTCTCTACGCGAAATTCGGCCGAATTACGTCACTTTAAGACAGTGTATTCCTGTTATTTTACGTTATCTGATCCGATCCGATGAGTTCGAAGTTAAATCAACCATCGTTTTACTAATCGTCTCCGATTCATTTCTCTTCAATGATGCTCAGAAAAGGAAAAATGTCAAAGGCGTTTGTTCTCGTCGATTAGTCAACGATTGATTTTCTAATTGAAAATCCTACCTGATGTAATGGACTCGAACTGGCAACGATCGGTGATGAGATTAAATGTATATCAATTCGAAAGTTTAATTGATTGATTCTCTCTAAGACCATACGTGTCTGCTCATCAGGTAACGAGAGAGTGTGAAAATGGTTGATCATTTGTTCTAACTTGATTTGTATCTCATTGATGTAGTGTGTATCAAATGGTTTCGACTAAAACATTTTTTAAGAAAAAAAAAAGAGTCTCTTTTTCGAAGCAGAAAATCAACGAACTTTTATTTCGATATTGGTTATATCACGTTCGATTGAGTCAAGATCACGTTCAAGTTTCTCATAATGTTGAAGATCGATCTCTGTTTGAGTCAGAGTAACTTCTAATTTGTTCCAAGCTAGATTTAATGAATGTATATCTGGTTGCAATGATTCGTTTGATTGTAGGATCTATTACAGAGGATGAATGGAATGAATGACGAATATGTTTAGATGTTACTTCGAATTCGGCATCGATGGATTTTAATCGATAAAATAATCGATGATACTTGGGTAATTCGGTGTGTTTCATCTTTTGAAAGTTGTCTTCAAATGTTCGAAATTGCTCAAAAGTTTGAAATTTAATTTTACGATTGAGATAGTCCATTTTTTGTCTTATCCATTGCATAACGTCTGTCGAAAGCGTCGTGTATTCGTACAGCAATTCACCTTCACGATGAATCTATTCATATATCAAAGCATAGTCACGAAAATATCGAAACAAAACTCGAACTTTGTTGTGTTGTTCATGATATGGATGGACCGGCACAATTGGGCAAGCTTTGTATAGATGAGAAATGTATAGAAGGATACTTTTTTCATCCGGCTCATCGGAATCCACATCTGAAACATCCAAATGATTTAGTGACTTCAACTTTCTCTAAATTTACCTTCAGGATCGATGAGTTTTGTAATTCCATAGTGTTTTTCTGCAAAATCAAAAGCGTACATAAGATTGTCTCGATTCGAAGAGCGGTACACTTGTTTGATATCAATTAGTTTCGGACTAAAATAAACAATGGTAAATGCAACGAATCAAAATGTACCATCTACACAAACTTATGTCGATGTAGGATAACGAGGAAAGCTCGACCGTTTCTCCACGAAGAGGTAAAATCGTCCATAGATACGCCAGGATAATCTTGGCAATGTTGTCGAGCCCATAGCAATAATCTCGTTCGGTAATTAGCAGGAACTTGATCGAGAATTAGTTTTTTCGTTGATGTTTTCAATGGGACCGATTCTGTCAATGCAGTTGATACGGCTTCATCCGAGGAAAACAGTATCGCGTCGGAAAACTTATACACAAGAAAGTAAATATCAAACGATGATCGATCGTGTAACTTACTTGGAAATGAAGGATGATTCGCCAGATAAGCCCTAGGGTTAATTTAGGATTGCCATTCACTAATTCTTCAGGACGAATGTTTACCAAACGAATCTAAATACACAAAAGTAAACACATCGAACTTGCTAATTTGTCTCACATTGTGATCGCATTCCAGTGATTGAAGGCACTGTTCAATATTTCTCAAAGCATGAAATTTCGATGATCCACGTTCTCTTGGCTAAAACAAATATTTTTCTTCTTCAACATTTCAAAAATTCACACATACGATTGTTTGATTTGTCAATATTTCTAATAGAGTTAATAGCAAATGTCCATCACGTAGATCTACGAAAAGATCATCAACATGTAGACCATTTCTCGTTGAGAGATAGAAATTCATCCATTTGGTAAATGTTTTCTTCTGAACAGCATCACGTTGATCGGCTACTTTGAGAACTTTTCGATCAGCTAGATCCAATGACAAGACCGAAATCGGCTTTTCTAAAATCCAATCTTGTTCGTTGAGATCGGGAAAGTAATGGTTATTATTATCATCGACGACCATTTCAAATGACATCTAGAAGAGAATGATATGGTCATTGTCAGACAAGCTCCAAACAATGTACGACGTGCTTCAATTTCGTAAAAATGTGACGACCTTTCGACCGTTCTGTACACAAAAGCTTCCGCTCATAAAAAATGTTTATTTGGATGAAAGAAAGACGAATATGAGGTGCTAAATCAATTGATTGTTTACCGAAATTTACTCGTCTATTTACTTTCATAGACAATCAATGTGTTCAAAAGAACAATCACTTGCATTGTACTCGCTTATTTCATTTCTAGGACAAATATACATAATAGAATTGTCGAAATAACACTAGAAGATGGATGAATAGTAGCAGTTAAATAAAGAGATAGTAGTGCATATATGTACACAATCGAAGTGTAAAGATATATACAAGCTAAAGAAACATATGGTCCATGTGATGAATAAGAAGGAATTAAGCCAATAAGATCAATCCGATTTGAATCGAGTGATAACAGTTTATTAGTAAAGATCAGTGGATTGCTGACAGGAGAAAAACAAACAATCTGAACGTGATGACTATGAAGGATAGTATCAAATAGATCTTTTGAATACACAAAGAAAAGCGTATGATCAGAAAACACATGTGAATTCTAATGACATGAAATGAAATCTAATCTCGAGCTAAGCAAAACAGCAACGATTAGGAAAGAAGGCAATTGGCGATCATGGTCATGGAAGGAAAAGAGAGATTTTTATTGTTATTTTTTCATCAATAGAAGTCATTGTAACTAATCTGGAAAGGAAATTTCTTGAGTGTCAAATGTATTTCTTGATTAATTTTCTTTTCATGATTGTTTTCCTCACGATCGATCAAGTGAGAAGTGCTTATGAATGGAAAGAGATTAATCTTACATTTGCTCGAACTAATGATGAATGCACATGAAACGAAATATTGGCATCGCCTGCCGGAACAGTTGGCTTGGGTTGTTTTTCGAAGAATGTTCTCGATATTTATTTTTTATTCTTTTTTTCATCTCAATGAAATTTTCGTTCTTGTCGTTCAATTACAATCACAGATGATCAATAAACAAAAACAACAAAAACAAGAAAATGATCGTTCTTTTCACTTGTTTAGAGTTGATAACCATATTTTTGAAGTACAGCGAGATGTTTCGCGACTTGTGGTTTCGAACTTAATTTCTTTGTAGCTGTGGTTTTCAATTTTTTCAATTCACGTTGGCGTAAATAGTAGTGTTTAGCCTTGATCTTACGTTTCTTTTCTAATGTTGCAACAACGGTTTCATATTGCCAGCCGACTTCAGTGGATAAACGACCGAGTTCAGTAAAACGACGACGTGGTTTGAGTCGTAACGTACGTAGAGCGCTTGGAACGATCATACGTTTCTTTTTATCGTAGGGTGTTGGAATACCTTCGAAAGCGCGAAGACGTACTAAAGCTTGTTTTCCACGTTCGGTTTTATGTGGAACCATTCCGCGTACAATGCGTGTGAAGATCTTCGATGGTGCGCGGAAATGGAATGGACCTCGTGATGGATTGATGTTACAACGCTTGCGAAGAAATTCCAAATATTTAAGTTTGTTTCGGTAGAATGATCCACTGATGTTTAAACCTTCACATCGAACAATGACAACGTTATGACCTTGGAGGATAGTTTTGGCGACTGTAGCTGCCAAACGACCAATTAAATGACCACGACCATCGATGATTATAGATTGAGCTCGAAAGCCAACTGGTTGTAACTAAAATAGATCATCGAGGGAGTGTTCAAGAGAACAATATTTGCGATTAAGGTAAGATGACTTACAGCTTTCGTACGGGCAAGGGCTGTTTTTGGCATTTTAATTGATCGAAAACAATATCTACAAGAAAAAGAAACTTTCGATTGCACATACAATGATAAGATCGTTTCATCTGATGGATGATGAATAAAGTACTCAAATTTTTTTCTCGGTTGAGGAAAAAACTCGAGAAATTGCTGCTTTCGAATAGTTTTATCTCTTAGGTACCGATCTTTCTCATTCGAAAAGAAATAAATAAATAACTTGCAACTCTCTCGTCAGTCTTTTCTTATTGATTCTCGAACAACCAAACAAAATAATCCTTCATTTACCAACTGTTCTCTCGTGTATCGGTTGTAAAGAAAATTACTCGAAAATATTCCATCGAAAAGCACTTTTTATTCGGAAAAAAATCAAACTTGAAGAAAAATCGATGAATTTCGATAAAAACTAATTTCTCATCCCGTTGAAATCGAGCGACCTCTATTTCAACCAATCCGCTTCTTGTATTCGTTTTGTCTTGTCTGTCTCTCTTTTCCGTTTGTTTGGTAGACATGCATAAATATATATCTGCATTCATAACGTCACGACAAGTCATGTTTTTTTTATTCATTTCAGAGGAAAATCATACAACTACCAAAACATTTCCATTCCTATGCTAATTCGACTGATATATTCTCTTCTAATCATCGTCTTTGTAGCTAAATCCTCTACTTTTGCACTTCATCTACATGGCCACTATTCCAGTAAAGAATTCTTTCGTTTGTTAACTAAGTTCGGTATTCAGAAGACTGATCAACACCGTCCGGTGGATACATTCGGATATATCTATGGAAACATCACCTTAGATTGTTCAACAGCAAACTGTACGATAGCAAAGAATCTTTTATTTGTTATACTTGATTATGATTATTTTGTGTCTGTGTATAAAAAACAACGATTGCAATCATGTTCGGATATGATGAAACAGATTCAAACGATTGCATTTCACCGGCAGTGTAATGAAAAAGGAACTGAAGATTTCTGGCGACGAGTACCATGTGAGCGAGGACAGTTTTGTCCCGATGAAGATCAACCGACTAATGTTATACGCAATCAACAATTTACATTTAAAATACAAGATATTAATCAACCAAGGTTTGTTCGAATGAGTCAAATTCATATGTTTATAACTTTTTTCTTTATGATAGATTTTGGTATTTAAGTTTAATATCATGTTACTGGCACCCGAATACGTGTCAATGGGAAAAAGTCGATGAAGATTTCCGAATAACGTACGATATCTGGGTTGTCAACGGAAATCCGGAAGCTAAAACACGTGATAATCGTTTTGAATATCATTTTTCCTATGATATTCATGATCTTGTTGAAGTTTATTTCGTTTGTATATTACTCTATCTCTTTATTCCATTACCATTTGTTCTATTCAAAATTCGTTCATTAACCTACATCAAACATCCGATCTTAATATCATATTTCTTGTTTCAATTACTATTCTTTCTTGGCAATACTTTTAATTTAATACATTATTTTATTTTTGCTTACAACGGGGTCGGTAGTTACCTCTTGGTACACATTGGCAATTTGATTACTATTGTCGGAGAGTCGATTCTCATCCTTTTATTGTTATTTATAGCAAAAGGTAACCTTTCGCTCGTTTTACGACTCGAGAACGATCCACAGAGTTCTTGTCTTTCTTTTCAAAACTTGTTTCTTCGATTGTTTTAGGTTGGCTGGTGAATGCAACGGTACTTCGAGACGGGAAGAAGATGATCATTCTATTTATTCTTTATACAATTGCATGTTGTTCTTGTTACATCTTGAGCGTTTTAACAATCAATCCTCTGGTTGATTCCAATCATTATCAAACATTTGCAAATTATTTTTCCTTATTATTTCGCTGTTTCGTTATGTTTTTATTCGTTTTCGAATTGAAAGAAACAACGCAAGAAGAAAAAAACTTTCGTAAACTGCAATTTTTTCATCACTTCGGTGCTTGTTGTATGGTAAATACAAATTGATCTTCTTTCGAAACGCTGAAATCCTATCGATACTCTTGTCTTTCTCTTCAGGTTTGGTTCATCTATCCCACTGCATTGATATTTATCATGTCTTTTGTTACTGAACTTTATCGAGTCAAATTAATCATAAGTGTTGTTACATTGGTGAATTTCCTGAGTATATTAATCATGTCTTATATACTTTTCTCCCCGAAATCATTTTTAAACTTACCAAAAATCTCCTCGACTAAACACGAAGATCGACTATTGCATCAAAGCAACGAGACCAACGGGTTTCATAAGTCGAGTATTATTGAAGATGATGAAGATGACGAAGAAGATGATATTGAAGTTTACGGACCATCTCATCTTCTTCTAAACAATTCGAGTCAACGAAGTTGATGCCAATTTTGTTTACTCTTGTATATTTCTCTATTACAGTGAACAACAATGAGTTATTCAATTGAAAATGTCTTTCACATAAATAATCAAGGATGGAAAGCACTGTTTTTTGCACAAGAAAGAAAACAATTTAGTTCATTGCTTTGTTTTTCTATATTATTTATTTTCGTTTTTCTTGTTGTTGTATACGTGTTTATTAAAATTACAAACGGTATCGAAGTTTTGGTTGATTTGTTTGTTTGTTCTCTTGTATTTTTCAGATGATCGAAAAGAATCGCGGCTGGAACGATTCTGTGGGCCAACAACAATGAATTCGGCTAATGATTGCCATTCACCATCAATGATGGATCATAATATCAATGGTTTGTATACATTATTAACTAAAGAGAATAGAAAATTCGCTTCTTTAAGTATTTACGTTTAGCCTTGGAGAGAGTATAAGGTGCGCAGTTACTTTCGTCAAATTGTTATTTGTAACCTTGTGTTTAGATACGACGAAATGTGAAGTAAATCGTAGTGAGCAGAGTCCAGCATCGATCACTAAGCGTCTGAAATCGAATGCAATTGTTTTATCACCTGTTAATGAAAGCCAATCGATGAAAGGGATCAATCGGAAGCAGAAAGCGTTGGATATCAAGGCCAAACAACTTCTTCAGAGTGATTCGAATAATAATACAAGTACAGTACGGAAAGGTCAAGAACAAATCGATTCTTCTGCGGAACACATTCCATCGACATCAGCAAATGTTTGTCAAACGTGTGGCGAAGATTGTGAGGAAATGATTCTGTGTGACGAATGTCACGAAACGTTTCATTCACGATGTGCGAATCCTGCATTATCAAAAGAAGATATTCCGAAAGATGTGCATCTCTGTGCGTCTTGTCGAACGAAACGGAAACTAGTGGATGGGAAAGTGAAACAACAGAAAGTGATTTTACCATTTAATTTCACACCGAAAATGAATTTACATTTAAATGGTTTGAAGAAAAATCAAAAGTTTCGTTCAGATCTAGAGCAAATCAAAGCATCAACAGGTAACTAACGATTTCACCGACTGATATCATCACTAAACTACTTATTCCAGTATCTAATGATCAACCTCCAGTTCAACAACCATTGCTAGATACCAATACTTGTGCAATAAGTAAAAATACGATCAAGAACGAATCTTCGTCAAGTCTCAAACGCAAACGACACGATTCATCACCACCTCCATCACCAGCACCAGCACCAACCCCTGATGTTCAATTAGATACGCTACATCGGCTACTTCTTTTCGATCAATCTGGAGATTTCCAAGGTCCATCGTCATCCAATAATCTTCCCCGCCAGAAATATTGTTTCATATGTCGAAAATTCTCTGCTAAACAAGGACCTTCCATCCATTGTGATTACTGTCCACTAACATATCATTTAGATTGCTTAACACCACCATTAATTTCTCTTCCCAAGGACAAATGGATGTGTCCTAATCACGTTGAACCAACACTGGATCGTTGTTTAGTCAAAAGAAAAGATCAGTCGATCAACCAACGCGTCAAACTTTACCAGCAACATACGTTAAGAAAACAAGACGTCGTTGTACAAGATTTCAATCAAAAGAAGCAAACGAAAGATTATTTTTTATTGAATACAATCAATAATCATCGATCAGAACGTGTAGATATCAGTCAAATACCTCATTCTATTGCCCAATTCTATTCCAAAATCCATTCAGAACAAAAGCACACTCCTCAGCTCGAAACAAAAGATCTCAAACAAAAAATACTTGTCCAAGTAAGATCATCTCCCTATACACACCGATCTTCATCATTATCAATGATTTTGATCTTTAGACAACTCCTCTCCCTGATGAAACTTCATTGGCATATGATCCATGTGTATGGGACATATTACAATCAATACTCAATCATATTGTCAACGACGAACAATATGAAATTTCATTTGTCGAATCTGTATCTATTGAGAATGATCATAGTTCAACAGATCGTATATCAAAAAATGAATGTAATACACTCGATACAATCGATGTATTATTACAAGCTTTAAGTGAACCTCGATCTACAGAAAATCAATCAAATAATCTCAATTCAGATCTTGTTTCCACTAATTCCTCTGAAGATAACTCCAATGTGTAAGTTATTTTCTGTACAAAAACAATTCACTCTCGAGTTTTTTGTTTCTTTTAGAATATCATTGGTAAATTCTTTCTCATCAATCACAGATCTCTCACAATTTCGTTTATCTTGTGCTGCGCTGATACATTTACATTCACAACATGTCATTTACATACGTAAACATACGATTTGGTTCGGTTCGTCATCAGTCAACGAGGTTTGTTTAACTACTTTGACTCCATCTCAACCTTGTCCACATATTTCCGAACGGCATGCTTGTTTATACTACGATCGCAAGCGGAATCTATTCGAACTATTAAACTATAGTGAATATGGAACGATTGTCAATAATCTTCGATATGGTTTAGAATTTGATTTCAATTCGATGAATCCATTTGAGAATGAGAATCAACATCAATGTTTATGTGTGATGAAATCATTCAATCAACCAGCATGGGATGGACCGGCTCCAATCGAACAAGGAACAGTAATTGAAATCGGATGTCATCAATTTCTTTTTTACCGGCACATTGTCCGATAGTATCTCCTAAATCAATCCGAATTCTCCTCTTTATTCTCTTGTACATATCTGCAATCTTTCTGTTCATTTCCTTTTCTTTTTCTATTCAATGCGAATGAACGAAACACTATTCGATTAATACTCGTGATAGAGAGAGAAAGAACATACTCCAAAATGACAACAATCTGCGATCTTAACTTTTCTTTTGCTATGGACGGATATTCTATCTGCAGAAAAAATAGTGTAGTATTCACACAAAACCAAACGCGTGTTCTCATTGTTTATTTTTCTGCGTATTATACATTTGTTTTCTTTTTCTTCTTTTTATGTCACGCGTACTAGTAAACAGAAATATATGCGTGACTTGTTCTACACGATCAGAAGGAAACGAATATCTTCTTACCGAGATGTGAATAGAAAGGATGGGCACATCGACGAACATTTATGTTGAATTGATTGATTTCCTAGTCCCTGGGAACATTTTTTTGCTTAACCCAGGGTTCTTCCTTATCAGTTCAAAGTATCTCATTGACATAAGTCATCTTCATTGAATTACTCGATTCAACCAGTCAAGAAGTTGGATCAAATATTTATTGAGTACGGCTGTTTTCTCTCCAATTATTATATTCGTCCTGTTAACAAGCACTTAGTAAACACTCGAGTTGTTTTTGATCTTAGCATTCTATTCAGTGCAATAATCAAGAAAGAAAAGCAATACGATCGAAACACAGATCGCTGCTTGCCGTCATGATTACGATCTACTTGTTCTACTTCGACTTTGTCCATCAGGCAAGTGTTTGGTAAGTCTCCTTCTTATCTTTGTGCGATCAAAAGATCATTGAGTGGATTTGTGTGCCGTTCTTTCTACTGCTGCTAAGGCTCTTTAATCAACGTCATATGGCTCGCGGTCATTTGTCGCCTGTGATCAATTCGGCATTGTTTCAGATAAATTGTAGACAAATTTGACCAGACATGATAGTTTCGTCTTTCTTTGTTGCAATATGTTATCATAAGGAGATTTCTCTACTTTTGATATATTGAAATTGAAGTGAATTGTGGTTGATTATTAATAAGCGTGAAATGAAGATACTCTGTCCTGCTGATTTTTCGAGCAGAGAAAGTTAGTGCTGTTTCTTTTTCCTCGATTTCATGAGTAGAAGGTGTGGCACTAGACGAATGTCTGATTGACTGCAGGTGTAAAAAGAACTTTTCGCGTGCTGTGTGCCTACAGTTCAATATTGTGCTTCCGGTGCGATTGTTCATACATCATGTGTATGTATGTATGAATATGATGAGTAGGTGGTGCAAGACATCGCGTGTCTATCCAGCGAGAAAATCGACTAGACATACTAGTGAAAATGTGAGAACAATAGTAGATTGTCCGAGATTTTAATCTTTTTCCATTCTATTCATTTCGTACACGTGTACGGATAGACAAGGATGAATGCGAACTACTGATTATATCATTGCTGATCAGTAAATTAAGAGATTATGATGTCAATCAAACAACTTTTCAGCCAGAAGGTATTGTTTGTAAGACAAGCAACGATCGTTCCCAACGCGTATCTCGTGTTTTCTTTGAATGTCTAAATCGCATGATGTAACCGTTGCTTTAATTGTTTTGAAAACAAAAAAAGAAAGTGTTCCGCTCTCTAATTTCATCGTTCGATGAAAACATACGAAGCAAGAAGAGAGAAAAATTTTTCCTCCAATCAATCAACGATTTCATTCGTATTTCTTTCCTTTCCTTTCCTCTCCTTCTCTTCTGTCCAACATCTTTCTCAAATTTTTTTTTTCATTCCAATCAACACGACAACAGCTAACACATTCCTATCTGAATAGAAAATGACAATGACAACAATCACCTTCGCATCCGGAAAACGTCGCTTTTCGGCATCGCACCTAAAGAAACGTCATACAGTACCAATACTAACAAATGACAACCTCCCGGATCTGCTGAGTGATATCTATCTTGAACGACGACAACGGCAAGACACAATTGTTAACATTGCGAAAAGTTTAAGAAAAGTTGGCGATCAACTGGATGAGCAATTGCAGGTAATTCCATGGAAGAGATCTTGATCGATATCACGTTGTATTTGTATTTAGATTCGTTCGTCTTCATCATCGGACTGTATATTCGGTCAAGGAACGATTGTATTTCTTACGTGTTTATCTCACGTTCTACGTTTGTTCTTGTAAATTTTTTAATTTTAATCGTTGTTCTTTGACCCGGTTGTTAAACGGATGAATGGTGCTTCGGAGCACTTCAGTTGTACATAATCATGTTTTCGAATATTTATTTTCCAAAATATATCATTCCGCCACGAGACAATTCTGATTTGTCTACAAGATAATCTAATGTATGCATAAAACAACATTCGACATGATCTTATCAAATATTTAATCTTGTCAACAAACTATCGAATAAAACTCATTTGTCACCTTGTTCTAATTCGATCAACAAGTGTCATTGACTTATTACTCTTCTCGTCGATGACACGTGCCTGATATTTTGTCTTCTTCAAATGTGTGAAAATCGCTGGTCGTTTACAGTCGAGCTGATCATCTTCAGGACAATCTCTATCGAGGAAATAATCAAGCAGAAACAAAAATGTCATCTATACCGATGTATTGTCTTTGAAAATTGAGACGTTTGATTTTTCGATGAGCCGCTCGTCTTTGATCATCAATCGATAAGTGTCTTATATTCGTTGTCCTATCAATTTCATTGCAGCCGATTATTTCCTCTGATAGAGCGGCTATGGGTGGTTTCCTTTTCGTTCAGAAGTTTATGTTCTTGTTAGATTAACCATACTCGACTACTAACTTTGATGTCTATCGCAAAATGGCACGTGCGTTTCGAATATCCATTTTCGATAAGTTTTCTCGTTAGGGAAAGATATCTCATTAAGAAACGATGTTTATCGTCTTGCGCGACAGGTGATACGTTTGTCAATCGATGAAATCATTAGAAAAACAAGTTTGTTTTGTTGTCAACTGATTGATATCTTATCACATGCTATAAGAACATTACCTGCGTCGTATCACGTTGATCGTTCGATTATCTCATAGAAAGTATTCATTCTTTGCGAGTATGTTATTAAAGATTGACTTTCATTCAATATTCAGGTGTAGAATGTCATGCTGAGACATCCATACAAACGTACGAGTCGTAGAAAGCATAGTAAAAGAAACAGGTTGATTACATTTTGCGCACGAAATTTGATATTTATTATAGTATTCGGTAATGGGAACGACACGACAGTTGGTATTTGCAAGATTAGGAGCAGTTTGAGAAACAAAGGATGATTAGATTTGCACAAGAATGATTCGATTTATTTCTGCTTTACTTACCGACGAAACCACTCATAAATCGATTAGCACTTATGTTTATGGAAAGAAACATCACTATGAGAAAATATCAAGGATAATTAGTCACAGCTAATCGGATAGAACGACGATTAAGAACAAGTTGGTGGAAGAAGTTTTGCTTGATTATGACGATCTCAGTTAATTCATTTCAGAAGAGAAGGAGAGGAAAGGAAAGGAAAGAAATGCGAATGAAACCGTTGATTGATTGGAGGGAAAATGTNTTTGCCACTTCGGCAGATTTATCTTCAACAGTTTCTACAGCAACGACCGCGTCATCTTTTAATTCAACGGCTTTTTCGCTTGTTGCATTAGCCGCTTCCCGTACTGTATCTTTCGCTGTATCAATTGCATCATTAGTCTTGTCTAAAGAGATAAAGTAGACCGAGCTATCTAATCTAATTTGTCATAACTGAGATAAATTCTTACCTTTAACTTCTCGGTCTTTTTCTGCTTGTTCTTTGCCTCTATCTGTATCTCAGGAGAGAAAAATGAAGCAGAAGTAGAAGTCGAAGAAGAAGAAGAAAGAAACAGATATGATAGATAGAAGCACAGCAAGCCAAAATAAACTTTGCTCTTCTTTTCCTTTATTCTTCTTTTATTTATGATACGCCATACAATTGAGACATGATGTCCATCTTTGGTGAAATGTTAAGGTCAATTGATCATTCTCATATACACATTCAGTTTCGAAAAAAAAGTCTTCATCTTTTCATAGATGATTTTCCCTGACTTTTCATCAGCACATCATTTGCCGGTCAATGAAATAGTGATGCATTCCTTGCTCTTTCTTGTCGTCTTCTTCTTCTTTTTTTTGTGTAGGAGAATATATCTATATGTATACGCAGTATCGTAGGAAAAAAAGAAGGAAAGAAGGTCACTGGCGGCGGGCGATTACTTGTTGTTGTTTTTGTAGTTAGTCGAAGATAACAAGCTGCCAAAATTCCCGATCATACAATTATTCATTCTATCTCATCTCATTTTTTTCTCCCTCTTACTTTAAACTCGTTCATCTTATATTTCAGATATTCGATGTATGTAAGGATGCCATAGACACATATCGATTCTCCTTTAGGCTACCGCAAATCGACACAGACCGTTAGACAAAATGAATAGTGTGCACAGCTGTGTTAGTGCCAGCCCAGCGGATAGACAGAGAGCAAATCAGGAAAAGTTTCCCGGAATAAAAACATCTTTATTTTCTAGAATTAGATTGATAACAAGAAAAAAAAATGGCCGAAAACGATACATCAGCAACTGAAATCCATGTTTACAAGCCTGATGAACACGGTAAGACTCAACATGGATGAAATGATCCGATGCATTCAGTACGTTTGTGTGTATTCAGGAAACGCAATAGTTATCGAAGGGGAAAAACATTCGACTAATAATGGAGATCCCAACTCTTCGACTGTTTCGGAAAGTCATCATCAAAAAGAACAGATTATCATTGAAAATCCCAATGATCCTTTATCAACTGTTACACATCATGTCGAAGATATTCACGTTAAAGTTGAAAATGAAGCGTCAACATCTGTGGCAAGCGTTGAAGACAAAGCCCAAGAAGTTAAAAGTAAGAATTTATCTTAGTTATAACAAATTAGATTAGATAGCTTGGTCTACTTTATCTCTTTAGACAAGACTAATGATGCAATTGATACAGCGAAAGATACAGTACGAGAAGCGGCTAACGCAACAAGCGAAAAAGCTGTTGAATTAAAAAATGACGCGGTTGCTGCTGCACAAACAGTTGAAGATAAATCTGCTGAAGTAGCAAATAATGTTCAAGGTACTTCTTCATTTATCAAGAGATATCGAAATCAAACTTGACCTTGCTCATCTTTCAGAAAAAGCAACCGAACTCAAAGACGATGCTTCGGCTGCTGCTCATACAGCTGCAGACAAAGCTGCTGAAGTTGCACACGATGTTCAAGGTGAAGTGATTCATCTCCTTCTTAATGATTATATTTATAAACATAACTTACAGATAAAGCAGCTGTTGTTGCTCAAGACGCAAAAGAAACAGCCAAAGAAGTCGCACAGGATGTTCAAGGTGAGCATACTAACCGATAGAAAGTTTGTCTTCTACTCTAATTACTACAGATAAAGCTACTGAATTGAAACAAGATGCGATTGCGACGGCTCATGCAGCTGAAGACAAGGTTGCAGAAGCAGCTCATGCTGTACAAGGTAATTACTCGATCTTGTCCATGGAATTCTTTATTGGACATTGAGATTTTACAGACAAAGCTACGGAATTAAAACACGATGCTGCTGCCGCCGCCCATGTTGCTGAAGACAAAGCTGCTGAAGCCGCAAACGTGGTCCAAGGTAAACGTCTATTTGTATGAGTTACTCCTTTCTACAAAAATCTTTTAGATAAAGCTGTCGAATTGAAAGATAATGCCGTTGATGCTGCTCATATAGCAGAAGATAAAGCTGCAGAAGCTGCCCACACTGTTCAAGGTAAACATTGAGCTATATGAACTTCTCTTTATCATATTAACATTGTAGATAAAGCCGTAGAGTTAAAGGACAATACGCTTGCTGCTGCTCATGTCGTAGAAGAAAAAGCTGCAGAAGCAGCTAACAATGCTCAAGGTAACATTTGCTTGTTGTATTCATCAGCAATTTCGAATATTTTTTTCTTTCAAGAAAAAGCCGTAGAATTGAAAGACAGTGTAGTTGCTGCCGCCCACGTTGCACAGGAAAAAGCAAGTGAAATTATTACTAGTACAAAAGATGCACTTATTTCTGGTGAAAAAGTCGTGGAAGAAAAACTAGTTGCTGCTAAAGATACAGTGTTAGGTAAGTGTAACGATCCACTCCGACTTATGTGACATTGCATGACATTTAGAAAAATCGAGTGGACTAGTCGAAAGTGTTACAAATACAGCTCATGATGTCAGTGTAAAAGCACAAGCATTAGAAAAATCTGCAGAAGAAAAGTTGCATGCAGCTGGTCAAATCGGTAAGCAATCATCAAATTTGCTCAGTCTCACTTTCGTTTCATTCTTTCAATTGTGAAAATTTAGGTGGACAAAAATTAGAAGATACAAAACAATGGCTCAGTGAAAAAGGATCTGAAGCAAAAGCCAAAGGTGTTGAAATTCTTGGTGCTACACAACAGGTGTTAGCAACAGGCGCTGCCATCGTCACCGAAAAAGCTAAACATGGTGTCGAACTCGCATCCGAAGCTGCTTCAACCGTTAAAACAGCTACTGAAAACTTAGCTGCTGATGCTTCTGCTAAAGTTGCCGAAACTGCTCACAATGCCCAAGGTACATAAATCTACACTGTAAAATGTCTCGGTCACATTTTCAACTGAATTTTAGCTAAAGCCAGTGAATTATTATCTACAGCTGGTACTAAAGCGGCTGCTGCAGCCGATGTTATTGCAACAAAAACAGTCGAAGCAAAGGACACCACCGTTTCAGCTGCACAAACTGCTGCAGTAACAGTGCAGGGTAAAACCTTCAGTCATGCCTTCGCAAACGAATTGCATCTTAAACACCTTGTTTCCTAGAAAAAACAAGCAACCTCGTGGATTCTACCAAACAAGTTTTAACATCATCATCGGCTCCTACTCCAACTGTCGTACCTGGTAGTACAAGTCATGTTTCTCAAGAAGCATATATTACTGAAACATCTGGTCAAACAGTGCACGGACCAGAACCAGTTCTTACTGAACAAGCCGCGTCGAGTACAACGAAAGCTAGTAAAGGTGGTCCGATCAACGCAATACGTAATTTCTTCAGTCGAATATTCAGTCCATCATCTCGACAAGAACGTCGCAAAGCAAATACAACTTCTGCTGCTCAAGCAACAGAAACAACGACCACCAGTGTGACGACAACAACGACAACAGTTGCAACAAGCAATCCTCGAGTACAATCCTAAAGCATTTATTCTCTATTCTAATCCTTCTAGCTTATTTGCCTGATAAATAAACAGTACTCAATTACAAAATAAAAAACACACACATACACAATAAACATTCATTTCTCTCGTTCTATCCATGTATACTTCTATATTTCATCATTTATCTGTATGCTATTGTTTCGTTATTCTTATTCACCTTTCTTTCTTTCGTTCGCTCTTTTCTTTTCTTATTTCGTGTTGATACAAAACAAACAGAAGTCTTATAACAAAAGATAAACTATGTTTAGTAGAATAATTCACAGAACAAATGTTATTTCTCTCTTTGAGTTCTCGAGAAAGATCAAACTGTTGTAAGAATCTTGTTGATATTCGTGTGCATAGACGTAGCCGTTTTGCTTCAATTACTCGTTCGCTTCTTTGTATTTCAAAATATTCTTATCTGTTGGTTTCATTTTCTCAAAATATTATTTTTAATGGATCGAAAAGCACGTCTAAATTCAGTTCGAAAACTTCCAATCAAGCACAATTAGTATGTTATGCTTTATTCACGATCAGTATGAAGAATACAAATTATAATATGGGTACACACCAAAAACGTCTGGAGTAATGGAGATGGGAAAGTAATTTTCTTCGGTTATGATTAATAGATTATGAAGTAGATGAAAAATGATCAGACCAGCGAGCGATTGTTTGTTTTGGGCGAATGATTAAATGACGGGCAGTGAAAACCATTATTCATCGAGTCGATTCCGAAGAATCTATATCGACAATCTTCTTTACTTGTCATGTAAAGATTGGAGACAACATCGGATTGTTCCTTCAGGTTTTTGGATCTATGTTTGTCTATGCTAAAAACCATTCTACCCTATTCTCTCGTTCAACATAAATAAAATAAGTCATTTTCTCTGTTTATTTAATAAATTATTTCGATTTACAAGATAAGCTTGATTTGTTGCTCATGTGTCATAGATTTTCTCATCATCAACGCTTTCTTATTAGTTTCACATCACCGTTATCATCGACTGCTCATCAAAAGATGAGTTCAAACATCATCTTATGTCCATTTTTCCATCTAAACGACGACGAGAGGAGTGTTAACTGAAGAGTAGTTCGTCTTGAGGGTACATATCACTATTATTAATGCGCCAATGCATTCATTAAAAGTATCTAACGGAAGAACATCTCTCATCTAATCATTTTAATCTGCATTTCTGTAGATTTCTATTTCATTGTAAGTAATTGATTGGAGTATTAATATTAAAGATCGATAGGGTAATAATTCTCAATCGATCGAAGAAATTCATATCTCGCAAGTATTGTTCTCTTTTCTCCCTTTGCACTCAATATGGTGCGTGTTGAAAGTTTATCAAAAACAAATCAAATCAACGTTCACTCATTCTCCAATTATTTTATCACTATATACATATCGATCACACTACATAATCACTAATTACTCGAAACATTCCAACAGTGATATATATATATATGAGAAAAGAAAAGAAAGAAAACGAAGAAGTCACGTATGAACAATGAGTGATTGAAAAAAAATACACATACATCGATTTCAATCAAGTTACTCGATGATCGATTACATTTTGTTTATTGATCAGCTGTGAAGAAGAAAAAATTCAATACAAAATGTTCAAATACTCGTCGATCCATGTCGTTCGGTTTTTCAACTAGTATTATATTGATAATGATCACATACGTTTGATTCTGTCGTATTGATTGATGATCAAACTGTCGTCATCATGTTTACACGACGACTAGATATTATTTTAATCGAGTTAGTTGCTTATCATACACTCTTTGCATGTGCGTGTTCATGGAGGCGTAGTTTTATTTGTCATTGATCGTATATATATCTAAGCACATATGTATGCGATTGAGTACGTTACCCTGTCATTTTCGTCGGCACGAGAGCTCAAAAGAAAAGATCTCGAACTGATCAAATCGATCAAATTAGTCGACTCATTTTCATGCTTCTTTTCACATCTGTGCTAACCAACAGCTAACCTTTCCAATATTGACTTGCTTAATATCCAGATGATTATTTCGTCTGCAGTTATTTTCCTAATCGGTTTTCCAGAACGAGAATTTGCCTCATTTCTTTGATGTGTGCTAGTCAGTATGTTTCTATCTAACTACCCTCGCTCGTCATTACTTCTACTTTACTATCATATAAGTATCTTTTTACATGATTGGCTCGACAAAACAATCGATACATCTCGTATTACATGCAGACAGGGAGAAAGAGAGAGAAATATGCGATTAAAATTGACCAATCATATGCTAAATAAAGCAAGACGAGAGAGAGAAGAAGAAAAAACTAACGAAAGAAAGTAATTTGCCCATATAGTCACTTAGTTATTTGACTCTAACTAGGAGAACTCGATACTTGTCAAAAGAAAATATATTATGGGTGGCAATGATCATCAATTATACCTTTCATCACCCGACTCAACCTATTCTCGATCATCATCTTCACCTTCATCAGTTATATCGACTAAAAAACAATCACCGAAACTCAAATCCTTCCTCATATCGGACATCTTAAAACCGAATTTCGGCCATCAAAATGATAAATGTAACATTCCTCTCTCACCAGCAACAACTAACGATTCGACATCATCTTCGAATACTAATCCACAACAAGGACTCTTACCAGCCTGGGTGTTTTGCACTCGGTATTCCGATCGACCATCAGCAGGTATGTGGAAATAGAAGAAAAGAGCACCTTGACACACAACAGTCATTTTCGTAGGACCACGTGCAAGAAAATCGAAATTTCACGATTCAGTCGATTCGAAACGACCACGAACAGCCTTTACAAATAATCAATTAATCCGTTTAAAAGATGAATTCGACCGTAGTAAATATCTCACTGGCGAACGTCGACAAGTTCTCGCTAATGAATTAGGTTTAAATGAAGCTCAAATCAAGATTTGGTATCAAAACAAACGTGCCAAAATCAAGAAAACGTCGGGTGTACGAAACACTTTAGCATTACAGTTAATGGCCCAAGGTTTATACAATCACACAACACCGAATAATAAAAACGTTTGAATCAAAGACTAGGAGAGGCAAGCAAAGATCATTATTCGTTGTCGTCGTCGTCTTCTTCTTCTTCTTTTTTATGTAAACTTCTAGTCAAACACTTTTTTTTCTTCTTTTTGTTGTACAGCGAACAAAAATATAACAAAAGTGATTTTCTTTGTAGCAACTGTTGATTAGAATCGATCATTCGAATTGATCTGCACAGGTAGAGTTGATTGTCAGTCGGAACGATTGATTGCAAATAAGATTGTTTTTCTGATTTGAACAGATCGTTTTCACTTCTGTTAATTCGATAAATATAGAGTACAGACAGAGGGAATGTTGATTGCACAGCGACTCAAGGGAAATTTTAAATTGTAGCTTTCTTCTTCTTCTTCTTCATCATCATTTTCCCTCTTCAATTCTATTCGAACCGAGCCGGCAATGAGTGACTCGATAGATCAATGTTTAATGCGCATGAATAGTTTAGTTGAACATCTAATGTTGACTGTGTTGTATCAAACTATTCCCGTTTAATATCTTGCCTTGAAAGGCTATCCGATTACGTATCTTGTGATTGATTGTAACTAGTAAATAAACTATTTCATGTGGCTGATGATTATCTTTAGGTAATCAATCAAGAGAGAAGGAAAAAGATGGTTGGCTGTTTGGAATATGAAATGAATATATTGAAAAACGAAAAACGAGAATGGAAAATTATTTACACAAATGATAAACTACGATGTCTGGTTTTAATGATGAGAAAGTTGTAGTTGCAAAACGAAAACAAAAGAAAATATTTCATTCAATCACTGAGAAAATGCAAAAGAGAAAAACATAATAAATAATGAGATGATACTATTGTGCACATCTTGAGATTTCGCGTTCGGTTGTCTGTTGTTCTCGATTACTAAATATGTGTGACTGATAATTTGAGAATACTGGGCGACGGTGGAGGTCGAGATTTCGTTGTCATTAACGATCGTTTGGAGTGTTGTTGTTGTTGGTGTTGATGATGAATACGAGTTATAGCTGTAGTTCGGAGTAAAGTAGATGGAGCGGGTGTTGTCGTCATTGAACGTGTTGGACTCGTCGAGGAAAGATTGTTGAAATCTTTGCTGTTATTTATAGATGAGATCGATAATGGACGGGATGTTCGTTGGACTTTGGCTAGATTATTTGCAATGCGTAGTTTAACAGCGGAAGAAGGATTCGATGCGATACTCGTTCCACTAACCGCTCGTGTTGCTGGTGGAATCGAGTCGATCATTCCTGAACTTGCCGTAGTAGAACGGTTCATCGTCGTTTGATCGGCGTTGATTATACGTTCGATGTTTATTGGTGGTAAACGATTGTTAGGGGGTTCGGTGTGTATTGTCGACGTCGTTGCGGAACGATAGCGGTAGTTAGATGAACTCTGCCGAGTCGGATTTTGAGATGTTGTATTTATCATCGACTGATTAGCTGAAGGACATGGAACGGCTGTGCCAATCAAAGATATTTGTTGCTGATTTCGTTTATCTAGTGCAAGAGATGTTGCTGTACGTTCTCCTACAAAGAGTGTCGATGATGTTCTCGGCTTTCTTGGTGAAGTAGACATCGGCTGATTCGAACTGAAATTCGTTGTGTGTAAACGTGTGACAAGTAATAAACCTTTCATATCAGGATCGGGTGTTGAACGGTATGGGGTCGACGAGATTTGTATTTGAGTATTGGTTACGGAAGGGTAAGAGAATCGGTTTTGCGATAGTGAATGTGGAGGTAATGAATTCGGCCGTAGTTTTCGGCGAAGTTTAATGGAATTCTTTTCGTAAAGTAATTTTCCATATCGTTGTAAAAGTGGTTGCTGTTCGGAGAGGAATCGTTGGAGTAATTTATTTGCCAGAGTATTTACAATATTATCTTTCATACATTTGATCATTAGTTGTGGATTGCGAGCGTATTTGTAATGTTGCTGAATATCATCACGCGTGGACGAATCAGATGACTCTTCGTGATTTTCATCTTCATCATCGTCACTATCGAATGAATCAACGCCAGTTTTTCTACTATGTTCATCGGAGATCGTTTTCGTTACATCACTATTATCCAAATCGGAATTGTTCGACAATTCCGATCCTTCGATGGAATTTACGGAAGAACGACCAGAAGTATTATCATGTATAGGTACCTAGAATTTTTCGTTTAAACTACGATTATTCAATCACTGGATAACAAATAGAAACTCCTGCTAGTTCATGGTCAAATTTCAGTTAATATTTACATGTCAAATGTTGACTATCTGTGTAACGTCATGTCTATTGACAATGCCTGATATTATAATCGGCAGAAATCTAGTCTAGAGCTCGCTCATACTTTTGTACACGAAATCGTCATTGCTCAATGTCGAATATCATCAGGTTTACTTACATTTAATTCGTCGAAATTCGAACTGGAAACTTTCGAACTACTGAGGAATAGATCGAATGTTGATGATGTTGCTGTATTAGAATTAATTGCGTCGTATTGTTTATGTGACGGTGTTAGCCGACTGGCTAGTTGTTTTTCAATCTGCTGTACGCGACCACGAACTCGAAAATGCGGTCGACTCGACCATTCTTCACAAATTCTCTTGATCGATGAACGCTTGGCTTTCTCTTCGTTGTATAGAACAGCATCGATTTCTTCAAATTCTCTCCTTGAACGGCCATTCGTTTCCCGAGCGTCATCTTCATTATATCCTGATAAAAGACTTGAGCCACTCACCGAATGAGAACACATACTAATAAATGGTTGCTATTATTCTTTTCTTTTCACTTGTGCAAAAAATCGAACAGAACGAAATGACGAAACTAAGAAACGAAAGAAAAAATTCCGTTATGGCATCCAACGTAGAAGAAAAAAAGAAAGAAAATGATCATACGAAAATCCAGGAAGATCCGTTCACATTGTTTGTTAAATGAACGAAATGTGCGAAGTAATTCTTCTATCTTTGCCTTTCTATTATTTGTCTAAACAACAAATACATGATGAAGTGAATAAGAGCTTTGAAAAAATAACAAAAACAAATAACTACTTCACACACGCACGCGCTCAAGTAACTTCATGACGTTGAGAAAAAGAAAAGACAGCATTGATAAAAAAATCGTATGTCCTTACGGTCTGTGTTTACTAAATTTGGACACTCGAATCGATTAGTAGAAAGAAAGAACTCGAGTTTTTCTTTTCTTTTTCAATTACGTCTTCCGATTGCTGCTATATATTATACATGACAAATGTTATTTATTTAATCTAGTTCGGCCATTGCTAGAAAGCTTCTGAGAGAGACTGCTAAGAATTGAACAGATCGAGAAGAAAAATTCCGAATGAACTACGCCAGTTCGAATTGAAATTCAGACAAAAATCACAGAAAATTGTTCTGTTATATGCAAACTGTTTTTTTTTCGCGATAGATAGATGTCGCATGCGTATAACAATTGAAGTTCTAAGGAGCTAAAGCACGTTGCATATGTTGATCGAGTAGAGAGTTATCTCGAAACCGAAATAGAGTTTGTGCATGATCGAGGCATGATTCGATGTAAATAATCGACGGTAGTAGAGCAAGGAAGTCAAGTCGATTGATCTTCAACAGCTTGACATTGGGTATTACGTACTGTACTTCACTGGCAATGCGTTCGACCTTTTCATTATTCGTTTGTTTCAAGATCATTTCAACAAGATTGTTGTAAGTAACATATCCTCGATTGGACAGACATTGTTCATTAAATTCTTCGAGTAAATCAACTAGAACATCATGATAAAAATTGAAATCCACATCGTCGAGATATGTTTGCCATAATATTGGACTACAGTAGAACGTGTACGTATTAATAAAGAATGAATATTCATGAAGAATGACTTACTCTTGCTTAGCAATAATTTCAACAATAATAGCTATGGCGTAGAACTCCTGCAGACCAAAGTACGTCGTATCACTGACAATTTCGTATAGCTAAAGAGAAAATAGTTAAAAATGTGACTTGAGGATTCATTTAATCGACTTACCACGCGAAAGAATGACATTTGTGCATGCGGAAGATTAGCTGGTAAACATTTTTCGACTTGAGTATAGAACAAATGTCTGAATACATTCAATGAAAATGAAGAAAATCGTTTTTCTCTTAAAATTGATTTACCCATCTCGATCGGTATCCAATTTATTAAACATGTGATTTAGTCGATTGCGTGTTACATCATTGAGTAACGCACCAACATCCATACCCTAGATGAAATCTATTTTATTGATTATTCATGCGAAGCGAACCGGAAAACCTGTAATGGACGAGAAGTTCTCTGATCTTCATTACCACCATAGGTAGTCGACCGACTTAATGCACTTCCCATTCGCGGTGTTTTACATTTTAACGTTGTTCTTTGAGAGAGATTCTCCTTCAACACGTGATCATTAATCAATGTTAAATGCGATGTTGATGTCATGGGTGGAAGATAATGACGACGTGGATACTGTTTTATCATTAATGCTGTCGTTATATTCGACTGTCTAAAAACATTGGATCAATCTATGGAAAGAATTTAAGCGGACAATCTTACGATAGATCATGACGTTGAATTGGTCTTGTTTTCGAGAACTTCCTGTTGATAACTGTGGGTAGTTTAGTGGGTAGAACGTCTCGTTTGATCGGAAGAATATTTGGATGTTGTCTAGGCTTTCGCAACGGTAGATTTCTTTGCGCTGGTCGTCCGATCATTTCTCGTTTTGACAAGTGTAGCATTTCAATGTAAACGTTTGATGCTATGGACTGATTCAACGAAACAAACGAAATCAATGAGACAAGCAAGGCGAAGAGAAAAGAGAATCGTTGAGACATTTCATTTTCAAACAAAAATAAACACATGCTTGATTGTTGATCATGTAGAGATCTTTTCAGGTAACCCCATGCGAAGAATAAGTAAACTTCTCTATTCTTCCGCTTGAAAAAAACACAATGATCAGACAGTAGAACAGCTGACGATCGTTAGTTCTTTTTTGAATAAACAACGATGTTTTTATTTCTTACTTGATCATTTTAAAAAAAGCCTAACAAATACAAAACAAAATTATCCTATTTTCTATAGTTTCTGTATGCTCTCTGCACTAGCGTTATTTCCAGCTTGTTCATTGTCAGTAGCGATTAGTTTTCCCGTGGTATGCGACGGTGTTCTAGCTAATTGCTGGCGTTGTTTATATTTACGTATTTGGTTTCGTATGATCAAAGCAATCCAAAACGGTTTCGTTGACAAAAATGCGACAATCATTGGCACAACCATCGCCTGAGTTGCATATGGTTGAGGAAATGAGTACAACATCACCATGAATGCAATGCCTGTGTTTTGAATACCAGCTTCAATTCCTATTGTCTTGATCTGTGCCCAATTCAATCGACTCATCCATGCAAATATACCACCGAAGATGAAACCTAAGAATGGTAACAATGGTGCTGTTAAGATTGTATAGAGATCAATCATGCGAAATAGATGCCAGTAGACAAAGCAGCCGAATGCGAGAAAGAATATCATGATGCATATCATCAATGGTTTAACATAGTTTTGAACAATTGGGCGGGTTCGAGGAGCAAAATGACTGATAGCAATGCCGATACTGTAAGGAATAACGACCATGGCCAGGGTGCGCGTGAGAACAAGATACGGAACGTTTATTGAAAGTTCATTCGTGTATAAACGACCAAGTGTGTAGAAATAGAGAGGCATCATAATAAATGATGTCGCAGTCGAAACAAAGGATAACACAGCTGACAAATTCACATCACCATCGAAGATAACTGTCCATTGATTAGACGCACCACTGCCTGAAAGAAAACGAGTTTTGTCGTAGGAGTTCTACTGAAGACAACCTACCTGGACAACAACCGATAACAAACAGTGCAAGACTATGCAACGGTGTATAGTGAAAAAGTTTCGCAATTGCCATGGCTAAAAATGGCATCAAACCATACTGAGCAACGAAACCGACAAGAAGAGGCACCGGTTTTTTAAGAATATTTAATATAGTATTTGTATCGAGTAAGATTCCCATTAATATCGATATTCCTGTAACCATGAATGGAATGGTGATAAAAAAGATCGTATCAATACGACGTTTTGGTGTTGACACAAGAAGATTCAAAACTTGACTATGTGACGCGATTGAATCATCATCGTAGAACACGTCGACATGAAACGTTAAGTTAGTTACACCGATCATTTCACCTTTCATTAACCATTCTGAAATAATTTGAGAATTCTCGGTGGAATTCTGTTTAACCTGAAGTAACGTCGGTGACGGATAAGCATTAAAAATATGACTAAGACCATTCTTAGTGGGAACTAAAAATACACATGTACATTGAACGGTTCGTTTACACAATGCATTTTGTTAAACACTTACATATATATAAATCTTCAATCAAAACAGTATGAAAATCAGTGTTATTTGTCGGTTTTCTTTGCGTCGAGATGATTTTCTCCATCTTTATAATGTTTGGATCGGTAGATTTCAATTCGAATTTGAAACCAATCACCGTACCAGCTGCTCGACGATCGGAACGATGCAGGTCATTAGCATGTACTCGTATTGTTACGTAACGAGTTTGAAACAAAGGCATTTCGTAAGATTTGTTACGAAAAGGTGAGAGTTGTTCATGATTTTTATATTTATTTGTCTCAATAAACAGATCCAAAGTGTGAGCATATTTTACGACAGTTAAAAAGAACAGCACACTTTTCAATACCTCTTTTGACAACATTCTTATTGACTGAGTACGCACTGCGTTCTTGCATATCATTATTTACGCACTTTTTCTGCGTAGGCTTGTTTTATTACAGAACGGAACAAAAAAATAGACGAGATGAAGACAGTCTAAGGACGAAGAATAGATGACGCCTGAAGATTATGTCGATGTTCAAGCAGACAGAGAGAATAAATGCCGTCACGTTTGTTTTCGATGTCTCCAGATGAATATTTGACCGATTTCATTGCCAGCTATCAATATTTGACCATTGTAACTGAATGCCAGATTGCGAATTAAATGTTTCGATTCGCGAAGAGTAAACACAGTTGGTCTGAAGGACGAAAATGATTTCGCATTTCAACGAATTCTCAACATTCCACTGATACTTACTGAACAGGCAAGATTGTCGTATCCCAAACAAAAATCGAGCCGTCCCGTCGACCAATCGCCATTAACTATATATAATAAGTTGAACGGATAACTGTTTTACTGTATGAACATACCTTTCGAGTGACAGATAGACCGAGTCGAACATCAAAAATGATATCACTACCTTCCGAACGATGCCATCGAAACAATATATTCGATTCTTTTTTCTTTGCGTCAAACTTCCAAATACAGTACACATGATCAGCCGACTGAACGGAGATTACACAGTGAATCTAATATGCTATCAAGAATAGTACTAACCTTGCTAACAATAATATTCTCACTGAGCCATTTCACTGAATCGACATAATGTTGATGAATTGTAGCAGAGTGAAAGACGGAAAAATGCACACGATGTGGTATTGACAATCTATATCACAGCATGGAATTACGTTGGAGTGTTCACTTTCTAGAAAGAAGTTTTCCAGTACCTGAATTCTTTAAACAGAGGTCCTCTCCTAGCAATTAGTAGATTTTCGTGTATCTCCGGCTCTTGTGTTGACCATACACATACAATGTTGTCCTGTCCACCAGAAACAATGAAGGTTCCTTCATAATTCAAATCCTATATGGAGACAGAAATCGATGCAATTTGATACAATTCATGAAATATCTATTTACCACCGCGAGAACACCTTGCTTATGGTGATCAGGTCCAACATAATGCGCTAAACATAGGGCAGCTTCGGCATCCCATAGAGACACAGTATAATCTATAATAGAACTAAATTTTCTTCGATCTAAACCAAAGGTTTCCACTGACTAGAACATGCCGAAGCCATCAAAAAGGGTTGTCTTTTCGCAAAAGATATTTGATTGACACTACCCAGATGGCGAAGCTAAATACTAAAATGCGACATGTTTGTTCACTGTGTTCATTAACAAACCGGTTTCAAATGGGATTGATGCCCCACATCAAGAATTCTAACAACACCTCGTAGCCCTCCTGCTGCTATAACCGGTCGATTATTGAATATTGTCCACTTGCAATCATAAAAGTATTCTTTTTCCTAACAATAAAACAAATTCAGTGCACACTTGAATTTCCTTCCTTAACAACTTACGTCAGAGTCAACATAACTTTGAATCAAATGAACCGTTGATTTCTCGTTTACGCGCTTGTACTTATAGACACAAATCTAGTCAAAATGACGATCGGAGATCTTCAAGCAAATTCTAAACAACGCTTACTTGGTTTATTGCGCAGGTCGCAAATAGCACTGCTTGATCATTTTCATCCGGTAGTGCTTGCTCGCATATACTAATTCCATAGATTGGCTGTTTATGACTTTCCTTTAATCAAAAAGAAAATTCACGATTAGCGAAATACACGTGTACTTATGTATAATGTTTACCGTGATTATCCGAGAACATTCAAAGCTGATTTCTTCATGTTCCTCTTCATCACTGCTCATTTTTAGAACACTAAATGCTGCTTCCCTGGAGAAAATGTAATTATATATGAATGAAGCATCGTCAATGTTTGAATCGATATTCAACAGAGAAAAATATATCATTGACCGTCGATACACCTTCATTCATTGTCGAAACAGACGGATAAAAAAGGCAGAAGAGAAGACAATTTATCGACTTTTATGAACACTGTCATAATCGAAAAATTGTCATGTTCAATTTGTCACAAGAACTCATTCTGCGCACATTTTCAGGATTATTCTCGTTTGAAATTTCTCTTCAATTAGTATTCATTGGAATGTGGTTTGGAAAGTAGACATTTTATCTGCTGAAAGAAATACATTAATAGAATATAGGGGTGAAATATTAATAGATTCAATTGAAAGTCTCTTTCTTTGACTATTATGTTCGAATGGATCTGATGAAATTTTTATCAATGGAACAAGACTTCGCTATCATGTGGGAGACTTTTTTATTGTGCTTGATGAATGACTCTTACATGTCGAGGATTGCCTAGATTGACACTAATAAGATTAAAGTAATCCGCTTAGAAGACATTGCTTTTTAACATCAGTAATGCCTGTTACTTTATTTTTAAAATATTTGAAACAAAAGAAGGATCTTTTTTTAATGAATTTCGGGTAAGGGTATATGAATATTATGTTCAGCAGCAGTGAAAACATAATCGGTAATTTTGTTCAGCATGGTATCTTCCATTTGTTGATTAACATCGATATTGAGTGCTAGAGTTTTCTTACCTAATGGACTTGAATAGAAGTCCACTAATTGAAGAATTTCATCGGGTGCGTAGTATTTTTCATACATGTGGGTCATGTCGGTGATGTAAGCATCAAATGAGAATAATTCATCGTATAAACGACGGAGTTGTGTGCCGTGATTTGGTGGGTAGATCTTCAAATAAGTTAAAAATCTGAGATATTCATTTTCAGTACCTATCATTCGTAAAAGATATTTGATGTAACCGTCGAGATCGTTAAGCGAGGGAGATAAAGAAGATGATTGATGTAATGGTTTCGCTTGTGTCCATGCCAAAGTGAGCACTAAGACAAGATAGAACACGGTAACACGAATGAAATTCATGGCGATGCTAAAATTTGAAAAGATACGTTTGTAGATCGAAAATGTCGCGTTCGTTAACTAGGAGAAGAAGATGACGTTCTCGTCTAATCTCCTTAAGACTTCTGAACACTAAATAACAAATATTAGAAATGACATGTATGGAGTAGAATAGAAGAGATTCTTCTCTTCTTGTTTTTTTCTCTCTTCTTCTCCTTCTTTTTTGATTCACATATAAAATGGAATATCATAGCGTATCATTTATTAGTCATTCCTAGATTGCTGATATGATATATGCGAAGAAGAAATGTATAAATAGAATTTTGAATATTTTATCATTGAAATTACCAATGCATTTCTATTGAATAGAAACTTGTCGAGGGATTCTACTAATTTCACTAACATGAACGAATAGTTCCATAATTTATAAGTGAGAGTGCACAAATTTCAATATTGATGTTACATGTCAAAAAATGAAAAAGAAACAAGCAACGACCTGTATGTAGTGTATCCCAAATATACGAAGGATTGTCAGTGTTTTCATTTAAGTAAGGACAAAGTATTAATAATTTATTTGCGTAAAGCTCATCTGCCTTATTCTGTTTTGGAAAAAGGTATTTTCATTAGGGAATGTCAGTTGTACTGGATGCTTTTCGACGAAAATAGTCGAATTAGGATGTTAGCAAACTTTACATGGTAATTCCGTCAGATGTGATTTGGAAGAAGATAAGCACTGTTCATTATTTGAAGTGACATCGTGCGTTTTAGTCTTTGTTTTTCCTTCAGTGAGTGTTTTCTCCGGGTGGACTCGTAATTGAATTTGCACGTATAAATATGCTGCTGGTTTATTCGATAATTTACGAAAATACAAAACTATTTCAGTGCATAAATATTTACGATTCATTGATCATTACCGATACACAAGGGAATATCGAGAACTGATGAAAGTAGCCTAAGTACAAGACTTTCATTCGATTGTAAAGTCAGTTGATTCAGTTCTATTCGATTTCCTTCTTTACCAATCGGAGAAGCATCGGGTATGTTAGTGGATTTGGCTACAACTTCTCCCAAGAGTTCTTTATTTGGATATTTTAATAGTTTGACGAAATCAGTCGTGATTGGCTCGTGACCGTTCATAGTTTGATTGATAACGATTAAATAGATATCTGAATGTAGCCATCGTATGAAAGCATAGAGTTCCTTCGTTGCGAGAACTTTCTTCTGATGCCCGCCGTAGAAAGGAGATTGTTGACGAAGTTTGACTAATTGCCGAAAAAGCTTCAGATGAGATCGTTCGGCTTTTTCTTCCTGTTCAACGTTCAATTCCGGCCATGTATCAGCTAAAGGAAGATAAGGTGTAGCCGTCGTCGAAGTAAAGCCAGCATGAGGAGAGTGACTTGTCCATTGCATTGGTGTGCGTTGACAATCTCGTGTTCTCTCCTCGACATACTTTTCACCATAATTAAAAGCTGTTATATCGACGATCTCTTCGGGATGTTCGAGTGTGAACGGACGATTACGCATAGCTAAAACTGAAGTTATTTCATAAAATAACTCGTGTTTGAAACATACCAATTTCATCTCCATAGTAGAGCAGAGCTGTGCCGGATTGTAAAAGTAGTAGCATGTAAAATCCATCGATAAGTTCTGTCGATGGTAATCGCGAAGTTACTCGTCCAGAGTCATGACTGCCCAAGCACCAATTCGACCACGCGTGTTCAGGTACTTTTGTTTGCCACTTTGTTAATTGTTCATCTAATTCTAATCCATGTTGCTCTTTGCCATTTTTATCCAGATAATATGTGATTAAAAAATTGATTGACACATCCGACCCACGCTCTTCGCGATTAGCACCGTAGTAATCCATCACTTTCTGAACATCACGATGGTAAGCCTGAAATCAACAGAAATAGTTTTCTCTTTTGATAGCTGAGTTTTGAGTTTACCTCAGTAACAAAAAGAAGATAATCTCGGCAGTTATCATATGCGTAATTATCCAGAAACCTTCTCCATTGCCGCACTAGTGCATAGCTTTCGGGTCGATCGGCTGTTTCTGTATGCTCATATGCATCGTAGAAGATGTTTGGATCTATATCCTTGGCATTTTTCGAAAGAGATTCATCGCGGAAGTCATCATTCTCGATGAGATGTCGCACAGCATCTGCACGGAACCCATCGACGCCAAGATCTAACCAGAAACGAAGGATTCTCTTAAGTTCTTCGAGAACTTTATCATTGCGAAGATTCAAATCAGGTTGACAATCGAGAAACTGATGTAAATAGTACATTTTTCGTTCCGGCGAATATGTCCACATACGTTGACCAGATGGACCGAGCCAATTATTGGGCAGATCTTTTCCATTGTTCTTTCCCTCATGCCAAACATAATAATCGACGTAATTTGGATCATTGCGAAGAGCGGCTTGAAACCAAGTATGTTCGTTCGAAGTATGATTTGGAACGAAATCAAGAATGAGACGCATATTCCGAGAATGAACATCAGCAACTAGTTGACGAAAATCATCCAATGTACCGAAACGAGGATCAATATCACAAAAATTTGAAATATCATAACCATAATCTTTCCATGGCGATGGATAAATTGGCGTTAACCAAATTGTTTTTATTCTTATTGATTGTATGTAATCCAAACGTTGTCTCAAACCTTGAATATCTCCAAAACCATCGTTATTGGAATCTTGATACGACGCGGTGATAACTTCGTAGATAACATCCCGCATCCACCAATCTTGAGACTCGTCGTAATCTTCGTAGAGTTCACATAGTTCAAGAACGAATGCTTGTCCGCGATTGGATAGAACATTTGTTAAATTCAAACTTTTCTTTGCTTGTTTCGAAGACGAGGCGACGATTTTGCCTTTACCGAAAGTACCGACTAGCCCAAAGAAATTATATCGCCGTAGATCAGCGTCGGATTCCGATCGTTTATCGATGAAGATCAGGTAAGTCTTCTGATTGTTGAACCGGAAGAAGCTGAATAAATCATTGGTGACTATTGCTGGTTTGTATTCACCGATGGAGAACTGTTCAAGAGAATCTTCACGTGGAAGTTTTATCAGGTCATCGAGTGAAATCACACGTTTGACATCATCAGAATGAAGCGATTCGAGTGGAGCAAGAAGAAAGAATGATTCGCGAGGAACAACTGATGACGACAATGACATTATAACTGTGTTGAGAAATAGTAAGAGAATATTTTGATGGTTCCTATCCGAATAAACAATCACCAAGCAAGATATGTAATCGTTGATGCTAGCGAAGAACGTTGAGATCTAGGCGTCGCTGATATCAGGTGCACTTTTTCCTCGAAAATGAGTTGCTGCAAAACAGTTACATCTCTATCGTTACGGAAATTTACAGCGCAACGATTGATGTTTAAGTGTAAATTCTACCAAATGTCCATTGCTTACAAATTTCTTTCTAACAGTGATTGTGATTAGAGTAGATTGTGTAGAGAAAATATATAGCAATTAAGAGACTTTGTTAAAGATCTATATTTTGCATTACTGTTTGAATGATGACTATGTACGAATTCATACAACAACCTTTCTTCTTTTTTCGTCCTTGATCATCTCTACGGTATAAAGTCTAGCGACCTCTTTAATGTTACGAATTCATTCGCAAATTTTCTCTCTCCTATTTACTCAAACACTCGAAAATTTTTTCGTTCGCTCCATAAAAAAATGCGTGTCTCATCAATTGGTAAAGGTCTTCGTCAAATTCCTACCCCTCGTTCGCGTTTATGTGAACACATATCTGCCGAAAATGATAATAATGATAAATTACCTTCGTGCCGGCAACGAATGTATGTCACCTGTCCACACTGTCAACTCTCTCTGTGTTTGCACCATATCAATGAACATTAGTTAATCATTCGCAACAGTTTTGATTCGTTAGTCAATCGTTTGAATGAGTGTCGGTATGAATTGACTACAAGACTTTCAATTCCGCCAAATGACCAAACAGCTGTTGATAATTGGCTCAACGAATTCCAAAATGTTATCATTCCGTATGTTCAACGAACTTGTTGTCAAAATGATGTCAAACAAGACGATGTGGATCGAGTCGAAAATTTCCTAGAGAAAATGTTCACTGTTATCCAACATATTCAATTGTGTCCGGATGACAACGAAGTTGATCGAAAGCGTTCGAAAATATCTGAAGTAAGTCAATGGATTTCGTTGGGAAAACGATCGATTTCTTATTGCATAGGGTGCGGATGATTCGACTGATCAACTACCGACTTCGAAACGTACACGAATAGATGTACAACCATAATTCGACCATTTCTCGTTTTATACTCATCGATGTTTTTTTTTCTTCTAGTCTGACAAATCACTTTTTATTCTCGAATATATTTCTTATCATTGTTCTTCCATGCGATAGATTTTATATATCATGCCAGAAACTGTACAGCTGTGTTATTTTCTAGATTGAACAGTATGAAGCGAGGATTCATCATTTGTATCGTATGGGAAGTGTTGTCCATCACGGCTTTTGTATTGAATTTAACAGCGAACAGTAGTGACCGATGGTGGGTCAATGCAAAGGATGGCGGAGAGAAGACCTTCGTTCGCGCAGGCCTTTGGCAAGTATGTTTCAACATGTATCGACATCGATTTGATTATTATGGAAAGATCTACCATGGTTGTTGGTGGTAACTATCTTGACTTGTCTTAAAAGTTCAATGATGTAATAGTCTATTTCCCTAGGTTATTCTCTCCTGAGATACGCTTATTACGACCATGGATATCGAACAATTGGCTGCGCTGGGTTCAAACATTATCAACATTATCGTTGATAACTTCATTTTTTGCAGTGATTGCTGCTTTAATTGTTGCACGCAATCGAGAAACCTTTAAGTCGACAAAAACTGTCTTGACCGCAGCAGCTTTGCATGGCTTAGCTGGAATGTTAATGTTTGCAACAGTGATTCTCTTTGGTGTCAAAGGTAAACGACGTGATTGGATGATGAATTGGCAATTCAATTGGTTTGGATGGAGCTTCTATCTTGCTATTATTGCATGCATATTCCATTTAGCAACAGCATTTTTTGCTGGATATCAAGGAATGAATAAGTACGGTTGAATTGTCGTATGTTTTCTTGTATTTACTTGGTAAATCTTTCAGATATCTACACGATACATTTGATTACGAAAAAGTGAATCAAGAAATTGATAAACGTGCAACATTAAGAGATTCTGCATTACGTAACCGTACGCCACCAGTTGAACGTATTGGTGAAGCCGAACGCCATGAATTCTTGTAATTACGATCAATTCCATTTGATTCTCGCATTGCTATTTTGTATAGATCTGTCTTCTCATATTCTTTTCTTTTTGTTTTTTTATACTCCTAAACAAATATTTTAACTTCTTTTGCTTTTGCTCTGATAAATAATCTAATTTTACTCAATATGATTATCTTTTTAGATATGTGGTTAGAATTTAGTATTGCTATTACTGTTTTAATTCTACTAGTCTTAGCTTACGTTCTCCGTCCAATCTACCGGCCATCTTGTCTGTCTGATCTCCGTGATGTGCACGTGGTAATCACCGGTGGTTCAAGTGGAATCGGAAAAGAATTAGCTAAACAGTTACTGAATAAGCATCAAGCACGTGTGACAATTTTAGCTCGCAATCAAAAGCGTCTTGACGAATGTCGACAAGACTTAGCTCCAGATAACAATGAACGACTATTATGTTTATCTGTTGATATCAGTGGAGCTTATTCAGCAGTACAGAAAGCAATTGAACAAGCTTGTCAGTATCATGGAAATCGACCTGTGAGCATTTTGATTAATAATGCCGGTGTGTTCTTTGCAAGAGCATTCGATGAAACTACACCGGAAGAATTCGAACAGATGAGTAAGTCAAGTTTTGTACAAAAAAGAGAATTATTTTGATTTTCTATGTAGTTCGTATCAATTATTTGGGTGCTGTGTATTGTACGAAAGCATGCTTACCATACATGCGTCAACTGGGCTCGGGTCGTATCGTTCTTGTTTCGTCTCAAGCTGGTCAGCTCGGCGTTTTTGGTTATACATCTTATTGTGCAACAAAATTTGCTCTGAAAGGTTTTGCTGAATCATTACAAATGGAATTAGCTCGTGATAACATCTACGTCACTGTTGCTTATCCTCCCGATACCGATACGCCGGGATTAGCTCAAGAGAATATATCGAAACCAATTGAAACGCAACTGATTAACGAAACATCAGGAATGCTTTCTGCCGAAGAAGTCGCGCAAAAGATTATCACATCAACTCAAAAAGGTTCGTTTTCATGTTGGTTTGGTATCAACGGATTTCTGCTAGAAAGTTTGACAAGTGGAGCTCAACCTATAACAAGTACATTAGAATTAATCGCTCAAACGTTGACGATTGGCTTAGCACGCATGATTATCGTCGGAATATTGAACACATTCTACGGAATAACCAAGAATAAGAATTTGAAAAAGACTAAATAGAGAAATGTGTTGTTGTTCTTTTTTAAAAAGCATTTAGCAATGATCTTAAAAACTTGCCAGTGATATTTTGTATCTATCGGGCCGCTTCAAACTCCTTTTTGCCTTATATGCCAATCTGCAATCGTTGAACTAAGTCTAGATATTGCATTGATTGGATGAACTTTTCCAAAATACAATGGACATTTGACTTTTAAAAGATAAGCTCATTGCGTTATTTGAAATGGTATTTAAAAGTTGAGACAAAAGTGGACTGTAGCACCCTCTGTTGAAGTTATCGCTAATTCGCGCTTGTTTTTATGGTAGTTATTTGTCGGTGTAGTCTGTATATTCCGCGTAATGTAATGTCTATGTATTCCATCCGAAACTCTAATGAGAATAGCTGAAACGTTAATCAATTTTTTTTTGTAGATTGTCTAATCAGACAGTGTGAACAGATGAATGAGGGCTTTTCTCGGCGACTCGAATGCTAGAGTGGTAAAAACTGCATGCGAGCTATATCCTGAATTATGACATCATGTCATATTACGAAAGATTTTCATTCCCATATATAAAAAAGTTTCATCAGAACACTTTCTATATGAACAGACAGTAGCAAAAGCATTTTGTTTATTTTTCAAGATTGTCGATAATGTCATCGACTGATAGTGAAGTTCAACGCGATGAACTCGATGCTCTTACCAGCATTCTCGACGAGGCCGCGTTCGAAATTGATAAGCAAGCAGAAATAACACAGGGTACACTGATCATCGAAGTAACATTACCCGATCAATTTCATATTCAATACCATCAAAGTATAACCAAGCTGCATAGATTGTTTTTGTCGCATTTAGTATTTTTAATCATATGAAATAGATCAACATCGCCGTACTGAGTTTTTGCCACCTATTTTCCTTCGATTCACTCTTCCCACGGATTATCCATCCGTTTCCGCACCTTCATTTCAACTGGAATGCATCTGGATGACAGATGAACAGGTATACTCATTATTCAGAAAGACTCGACTTTCGTTTGTTCTGTTCTTTAGTTACAAATCCTATCGGACAATTTGAAAACACTCTGGTCAGATAATTGCAACGAACCAATCTTGTTTCTCTGGCATACATCCTTGACTGCTCAAACGCTCGAATGGCTCAATATAAATGCAACACTCGATTTAACTCAATCATTTCCTTCCACAATAAGTAAATTGTCCAAACCGCAACTGACCTCCGCTCAAGTTGCAGCCACTATTAATAACTATGAGCGTGAAAAAAAGTTAATTTTACTTTCTCGTACAATTGTTACCTGTCCGGTTTGTATGGGTGAAGTGTACGGCACGGATTGTTTTTCGTGTTATGCTTGTTCGAGTGTCGCCTGTAAAGCATGTATCAAATGTTTTTTGGAAACAATTATTACCGACGGAGAAGTTAAGTCAATCACATGTCCGATCAATCCAAGCTGTAAAGTTGAATTAACACCTGCTCAGATCGCATCGGTTGTCGATAAAGAAACATTTCATCGATACGATCGCCTTTTATTTCAATTATCGATCGATTCGATGGATGATATTATCTACTGTCCGCGCTGTCAAAATCCTGTGATTGTTACTCAAGGAACAGATGATCACCTAAGAAATACTTTAGGAGAATGTGCGACATGTTCATTTGTGTTCTGTACTGTATGTGGGAAAACATTTCATGGAGTTAATCCATGTCAGTACACAGAAAGTGTGTATTAATCGTTTTTCTTTTTCGAACATATGTCGATTGTTTCCTATGTGTTAAGACCAATTGAAAGATATATACAAAGATTATCAAAATGCTTCCGCCGCAGAACGACGAGCAATTGAGCAACGTTATGGCAAAAGTTTCAGCCGCCTTATGGATGATATGGCATCAGTGGAAACGATTCAGACTACTGCTCGACGTTGTCCGCAATGTTCAATTTTCGTTGACGTATGTAGAGAAGATGAAAATATGATTCTTAGCTCACCCATCATTTACCTTTAGAAATTGGAAGGTTGCAATAAAATGACATGTCTCAAATGTCGTTGTTATTTTTGTTGGAATTGTCTGCGAGAATTGTCCAAGACGAATCCCTACGGACATTTTCACGATCCGGCGAGTAAATGCTTCAATAAATTATTTGAAGGTGCCGATGCCGTAAACTGGTGACAAGAAGCAAACCGATTTTACCATTGTCCCGCTCGAAGTTCTTTCTTTATCTCTATTTGTGAACATCGCAAAACATTGACTATTCTAGCTGAACGAGAAATTTGTTTTTCTTTATATTATTTTTGTAATAATATGAAAATAATCGATGGTGATAGGACACTCAAGTCTTGAACGGCAGTTTACACTACGAAAGATTTCGAAATTTATTATAGATAAAATAGAAACACTGCATGTGTCAAAGAAAATGACAAGTGAAACAATGTTCGAGAGTTCTTTATTTCTTTCCTTTTGGTTTTTTCATGCGCTTGGTCTTCAGGCCAATCAAATCTTCACCAATCATCTTAATACGTTCACGTGATTGACATTCCGGATTGTCTTCGCCAGCATTGTCATCGTCTAAAAGATTGTAGAACATTTAAACAGAGAGAATCTCGAAAACTTCATTCGTACCGCCATATATGTTTCCTTTGGCTGCTGAAGGTGGATTTATACGTGTGTTATAGGCAGGTAGTTTACCGTCGCCAGCATATTGAAGCTAAAGATAAAGATAAAGAAATTGAAGAAAGTTGTTCGTAGTGATGGAATATTTACATCTAATTGTCGCATTTCTTTCAATGTGCCATCTAAGTCTTTCGTTTCGAGCTCTTCGATCAGCTTAACCAGTTTCTCTTCTGTTGTACCAAGTAAATCCAAGACATAATCATTTGATTGAGGCGAGATGACTGTTGTTGGTACCTGACTCTTCGTCTAGAGATGAAAGTGAATGTCAATTCGGATTATTCAACTGTTAGAAAGAACATACGCCTTTCAAATGATGTAATTTATCTGCTAAATGTTCAATACCCGATTTGACTTCGACCATTTTCTTCATTGTCTTCTCCATTTTGATCGCATTATCATCACGACGTTTTTCGCTTTCATCAAGTTTTTCTTGAGCTTGTTCGAGAATACGTTGACCACTACGAAAAATTCAACTGGTGGATTATTTCGGTGTAAAATCACTATCGTTACCTGGACGTTTTCGCTTCACCACTGTATTTCATTTCTTCGAATTCTTTATTGAGACGAGCTTTTTCATCACGCAATTTCGCTACATTCTGTTCGGCATCCTGTTTCATTCTCTCTAAATGTTCTGTTGTACTATCTTGAGTGGAGAATCGGTCCACCACTTCCTAGAAACGTTCCTCTTCTTTTATAAGGATCTCAATACTTTTCCAACTCACCTGCATAGTACTGGCACCCGTCGCTTCTTTGATGCGAATGAAAGCGTTTTCGTACATGTCAACTTTTGACTGATCCTGTTCGGAGAGTTTATCTTTGGAATCTTCTTGCGGGCTACTTGGACGTTGTAAGGCACGACGATCAACACGTTCAGCATGTAATTTCTTTTCTTCGGCTTCAGCTTTCAACTCATTCAAACGAAGTTCACGTTCTTTGCGCTCACGATAGACTTTATCTTCGCTTTTCTTCAATTCATTCTTGGCGTTTTTCTGTGCTAGTTCAGCTTCGAGAGAGTTACGTTGAGCTTCTTGCAGTTCTTGCTGTGTACGACGAATCTGCATTGAGATAGCATCGAGACGATTAGCATATGTTAAACTTTCTTGAATCAAATGAGCTTTGATCTGATTGTATGTTCGTTGAATGGTCACTGCTTCTGTACATTTTAATTCAGCTTTATCCAGACGATTTTCGAGCTGACGAAGACGCTAAATCGAAAGAAAGACGATGAATTCTTTGCAATGGAAATTTTGAAGACATACAGCTGCCGTCTCGGATTCACCAGCATCGGTTAGAACGGCTTCCTCGGCGTCTTGGACCATTTGTTGATAACGTGTCTGAAGTTCGGCAAGCTGTTTTCTCTTGGACTCATTGGTATGTCGATGTGAGTTGTAACGATTCTTCAAATCACCTAGTTGCTGATTGGTTAATTCAATTGCTGCCTAAATAGTTTCGAATTTCATGTATAACGAAACAGAAAGTATGGTCAATCTTACTTGTCCGGATTTATTTTTCAATGCGGCACGTTCTTCTTTTCGACCGCTGAATGCTTCATTTAATACTTTTTCATCGCCCTGTTATCAAACAAGTACGAACTTTGGATCAGAACAAGTTCTTCAGCAAACTTACCTCGAGTAATTCTTTTAGCTTTTGTCGTTTTTCTTTGTTCTCCTTTTGTAATTGTGCGATCTTTCGTTTGTTTTTATCTGTCTGTAAATCGACTTGTTCGGTATACGCTTCTTGACTACCAGCTAAATGGACACTACGCTTGACAAATCGATCCTTCGACAAGAAACGTACCTAAGAGATCGCGTTTTTTTCGTAACTCTTCGATTTGCTCAGCTGTTGATAGTTTATACTGATATTGTTCATTAGTTCGCGCACCTGACGGCATGGTGAAAAAACGAACTGTTTCTTTACTTGGTCTCTACAGAAGTTAAAGCAAAGAACTGTTTCTCTAAGGTATGTGTGTATAGTTATTTTTTGTTTTACCACCATGGTCAACCGCCGTTACTTAGCAACGCATATTCTTCATCTTTTGAATCTGATCAAAAATTATAATAATCGAACCAAATATACGCATTCGTTTTCAAAGCATTACATCACTTGTAGGATGAGTTTAGTTTTGAAATAAACGAAAGCGACCTCTGACGATGGATCAAATTTTCATCAATGATTCATGCATGTGGGAGAAATCACTATATGTTCTTGCATTCTTGCGCAATGTTGTTGTGAAATAACAGCACATGATTGAGCAAATGTGTGTCATACATTGCATTTTAAGGATAAAAAGCGCTATCATACGCGTTAACTGTAGATATTCTAAAGAGTCGATAGTTGAGAGCATCGATTCACCTTATCTCTGTAGCATAGAGTGTGTAATGCCTCAGTTTGATTTTGCCGACAAAGTCTATACAGATAGTAAAACTCTCCGTTCTTGCACAACAAGTAAAACATTAAGACGTCTACGTGCATTTGAACATCACAATTACAAAAGAACATTCGAAGTACAGAAAATGTAGGTGATCTATATCTAATCTTGCCTTTGACTTTTCCTATGAATAATTTTTTTGTTTTTAGCGGTCATAATATCACAGATGCACACGAGCTGAATGATGGTGGCCTACCTAGTACCCGGGCGAATCTAACATTCTCATTGAACAAGAAAAAACGTTGGCTATTGCCAGACATTCTTGAACAACGTATTCTACAATGTAAATCTGATGAAAAAGCTTATGATCCGACTATTGACGAACGCTTAAAGATAGTTATGTACGAAAATGAAAATGTCGACCATGATTCAACTTGTATCCGCTATGCAAATAGTCAAGCTGAACCACAGATTCTCTATAAAAAGGGACGTAGATTCAATTCAAAAACATTGACGAAATGGATGGATTTTCAAACGCGTGAACGGTGGGGTCGACGGCGCCGGCGGGCCAGAGATTCTGATCAAGTAAATCACCCGAATTTTGGCTTTACGCAACGACCGGGCTTTTTTCCCAGTGAAGTTACATACCACTTTTTATATCCGAGACGGTCGGCACCATCATCAACATTTCGAACAAGAAAATCCGCGTTGTTATATAAAGAAGTACCAGATGATGTACATGATGTGGGTGGAAGAAGTCGTAGGGAGGAAATTCGTAGACAGCGTGTGCGACGAAAACTCGACTGTCGCGATATAGAACTGTACGAGCTCGATTCTTATCTGGACGAAGAGGAGATTGACTATGAAGAAGTCATTACTATGACATCAAATGACTTGGATGAAAACGAAAAATGGTCAATAGTTTTCGACAATCAATACGCTGAGGTTAATGAATTTCCGTTAGAATCTTTCATTTCCGCTTCGCGTAAATCTCCTCGTCTTCCTCATTCACGTGAGGCTTTTGTCAAAACAATCAATGATACAAAAGCGCATAAATACTACGAACCTACTGCAACACCTTCACCTGTCAAAGAAAACACTTCGGTTACCAACGAAACGTCATTATGTTCTATTCCATGTTCAGATGAATCAGATTTTCTCAATCAAATGAAACAATCAGCCATGAATCTCTCACAGGCAAATCTTTCACCAGCCGTATTTCTTCAACGAACATCTTCAGCAACATTTTGCGCTGTCTATACTTACTGTCGCGAAATATCAAAAGTCAATGTTACAATCAAGTACCCTTCGGTCTGTCCGAAAATTGTTTTCGATGCAAAATCTGTCACCTTAACACAATTAGTTCAGATTATATCAGACAAATTCGATGAATCTGTGAAGGAACCCGAATTGTCATCAATCTTACAGAAATCTCGAATTTCTGTCAATGATCTTCGAGGTTCATTACCAGTACCACCGAATGTTATGCGAAAGATGCTTTTAGTACAACCTAATGCATTGAATAAGCAAACAGTGTTACAGAATGAGCACATCAGCGCAAAACAAAACGATTCTACTGGGCAATTCTTTGATACAACTCATCATGAATACGAAATGTTGGAATGTTCGATCTGTTATGATGTTTTGACTACCAACGATGCTTATCGTCTTCTTCCTTGTATGTAATTTCTTGAAAAGTTTCTCGAATTCTCACTTGTATTTCATTTCGAAATAGGTAATCATACGCTTTGCCAGATATGTTTAAGCACATATATTCGAACAACTGTTGCTTCAGCTACGTATTCCTCGTCAAGTATATCACCTATTACTTGTTTTCAACCAAACTGTCCCACTCAATTGAATTCTGCACTTCTTCAAGTTTATCTCTCGTTCGAAATCTATCAACTGTACACTGATGCATTGGTTGATCGTCAGTTATTTTCATTGGGCAAATATCGAAAATGTCCATCGCGCTCGTGTTCAAATCTACTTATTGTTGATGAAAATAATAACCAGTCATCGATGTGTTCGTGCGGACAACGTGTGTGTGTGAAATGCTTAGAAGAATATCACTTTCCGGCTACTTGTCGTCAATATAAAACCTATGTAGAATGTTTACGTAAAAGCGGTGATGATATTTTAAGTTTGTCAAAAGTGGGAGACAATCCCGATTGTTACATTGCTGAAGGAAAGAACTGTCCCAATTGTGGAGAATTCGTTGAGAAAAATGGAGGTATGTATTTTTGATCTGAATCGAATCGGAATGGTTGTTATTTCCATCTTCAGGTTGTCCTCATATGACTTGTAAATGTGGTAATGAATATTGCTGGAATTGCTTGAAACCTTGGCATTCACACAATTATGCTACTTGTTTTGTTGTTGGTGAATCAGTTCATGAGCTTCGTTCATCCACACGCAATCGTTTGCATAACAAAGCGGTTAATCATCGTCGTCGTCGTAATCAATACGCATTTGATCAACTCACATCGGCAATCTGTCATTCGAAGCCTTGCTCACCTTATCATGACATTCTTCTCGCGACTTATATTGATTTGAACACATTAGCTGAATACATCTATGTTGTACTACAACGACGACGTTTGAATGTTTTCATTCGAGCAGTTTTAGGTCAGACAGCTAAACGTTTAGCATTAGATGCATCTCAAATCAAAATACAAGTTGAATGTGGAAAGATCAAAATCGAGTACATCAACCAGATGCGAGAACGGCTCCAAGGAACACTGGCTAGTTTAGCTCATATGAGAAAAACCAAAGTTTTATTTTAAAAATCTATAAGCAGTGGTCAAATTTTGTACATTTTCTTAGAAATACTTTTATGTGATAGAGCTCAGTCTGTACGGTGAAGCAATACCTAATAAAAATTCACAGGGAAGGTGATCATTTCTTGAAAATAGTATTGAACTGATTGATATAAGGCGAAACTGCCCTTATTAGTAAATGAAAGATGTAATCAGTCGATAAAACGTGATAGATAGCCATCGCAAGTGTGATTTCACACTTTGCGAACCATGAATAATATTTTTTGATCGTGTAACACCGTGCATACAGCAAATATTTTTCAAAAGCGAAGAAGTCAAAGTTATCAGGTGACATTGAAATGACGCCCTTAATAATACTCATTCAAGAAAAAAAGAGACATTCGTGTGCGAGTTGAACTTCGTACGCAAATGTAGCGTGATGAGGTATCAATTTTAATATGAAAAAATTCTCATTACTTGATTCATTTGTTTTCGATGGGTTCATCAGTTATGGGTATTTTTGGAAATGAACAAATTATGTCACATTTGCTAACTTGAAATATGTCGATAACATCTAATTGATAATACTCTAAAGTTTTGTTTATTTTAATACTCGTTGAAATAAAAATCAAATCGAAGGAGTGTTTCGACACATAAAAATGAGAGCAATTTTCTGGTATTTCTTCATGAAAAAAATTCGGTCTATTATGTGTCAGCCACATGTGCTTGATTAATATATGCAACGGCCATTGGCGGTGCTGCCATTGGACTCTTCATAGATAGTTGAAACTCTCGAGAAGTCACAATTAAGTTTTCCCAAATCAAACCAAAAGCGAGTAGTGCACAGATTAAACATGTAATAAATAATGCTCTGATCGTCACTGTTACACAGTCGCTTAATGGATGTGCATTGCATTCCTCGGTCATGACAGCAAGTGATATAGAATAAAGAATTATTACTCGTATGAGACTTAGGAACTCATAGAAACTAAGAAGGAAAACAGCGATCATTACATAAACTTGATGACGATAAAGGAGTAGGACGAGAAAGCCAAACGCGAAGACATGGATTCCGAATAGGTCATAATATTGTCGACCTGTGTTAGAAGAACTATAAAGACAAGAAAAATTCAATTTAGTAGGTTACAAAATAACATTTCAAATTCATTGTGTTACACGTTGCCAGTTTTTAATAAATAAGCTTCACATCCAATCGCAACTAATCCGATCACCATCAAGGCAAGTCCTAAAAAGTTCAGTTTTGTCGATGCTCTTGTAGAGATATTATCAAACAGAAATGTCCATCGTGGTTGATTTGCATTTTCGTTTGGCGCTGCCGTTAAGATTGCAGCAGTTGGTACGATGGGAATCATGTTTTAACTTTTTTTAGAAACAACGTCTCGGATCTTGCTACTGTAGTGTTTACTTATATTCAAAACCCGATAAGAACTCTTCGAGATAACATGTCTTATTTTTATCAATGTTAAGATTTCATTTTACGATAAAACGGTGTATAAGGTTGAAAAATAGATGCCTCTGTTTGTTATTGAGAACATCATGAATTTGCAAAGCGCACAGACATTGGTGACGCTACAACAGACAATAACAACAACTGACTATGAATACAAGAACAGTTCTCATTGAGTTACATATCAATAGGACTAGCGTTATTGATGCATTCATTTCACTAGTACCCGTATCGTAAACAATCAAGTCATAAGAATATTCTAGTTAATGAAGTCGTTTTCATGAAAACAAGTATTGCTGTTAGAGAAAGCTAGTCATCAAGGTGGACATTTTTCATGCTCCTTTTTTCAAAGGTAATCGAAGTTATTTCGTCATAGCTATTCGAAATAACATCTCCTTGATACTGACATGGGTACTCCTATCGTAATAAGACTGATCTATGTTCTTAAACAAAGTCTACATCAAGCCTTAGACATGACTCATAACACCTGACTTGTTTGTTCAGGCAGAGTAGTTTTCGGCGATACGATTGGAATGGATTTTAATTAATGATTCGCCCACGACTATAACAAGAACAGCCTTGTCAGGAGGTATGCTCATTGCCTTGTCGTAATAACAGGAGAACGAAGAAAATTATGAGTAATATCGAATACGCATCTTTTTTCTTTCGTTGACTATTTTCTTCCGCTAGTCACGTCTGACTTCTCCTACGAAGTAATGCATGAAGTTACATATACCCATGAAAAGAAGCAATCGCGCATTGCTATTCAGTAATTGATACGATTCATACAACGATGCTCGCGTCAGGACTCGCAGTACGAAGAAGTCCACCTGTTACTACAGATCAATTCCATCATAGAGAATCGATATGGAGAATCATAGTTGATATCATTTGTCTTCTCATATGTAAAGTGAATCATTTACTTTTGACACACAATTGAAGTTTGCTCCGTTTTGTGTTTAGTGATCGCTGCAGCTGCCGTGTCCAATGCTATTGCAAAACCATTCACGCGTGGATTTTTCTGTTCGGACACTTCAATTCGATACCCACAACGAACTAATACTATCCCGACATATGCCGCTATTATTCTATCAATTGGTCTCCCCCTTCTTGTGGTAAGATGAGATTCATATGAAACAAGAACGACATCAGTTTTTTGTACCATCTGCAATTTCAGATGTGGTTCACAGAAATTTTCAAAAGATTTTATTTTTCTTATTATCCGAAACAACCGTTTCTAACTCGTTTGGAATACTGTGGCACTCTCTTCACTTATGTTTCACCATTCCTTCGCAATTTGTACGTTCTAACTGGTAAATATACTTTTATCTTGATATGCCAAGGCTTTCTTTAAACGATCAAACTGTCTTTCTAGTTATATTTGCTTATGGTTACGTAGCCACATGGCTCTTAACGGAAATAGCGAAGAATTTCGTTGGAGAACTGAGACCACATTTCTTAGCTGTTTGTCAACCTTCGTATAATTGTTCGGCCGTCACGTCGTTGTACCAATATGATGCTTATCTACAAGAAGGGGTTGATTATACATGTCAAAATACAGATGCAGCTGCCGTACGAGAAGCACGGTAAGAGTAGAGACATTTATTTCGATGATATCACTTCCTCGACATAGAGGATTAGCAATCCTCGATTATTTACTCAGAGTCTCTGTCTGTGTTTATAAAAGAATGAAAAGTATCCGAGAATGATTAATGTGTACCTTAAACTCGACGTACTTACCTTCTATTTTCATTTTTTAGTCGTTCGTTCTTCAGTGGACATGCATCATCAATATTTTGTAAGTTCAAAATACGCCCTCGCTGTTTTCGAAAACACTATTTACACTTCTTTCAAACTAGATGGATTCGCTTGGCTGATTATGTACCTTCATGTTGCGTGGTCATGGCGTCATCTTGGCTTACTGGGCCACTTACTACAAGTCGGATTAGCAGTGCTCGCATTCTATATAGGTAATTAAACGAAGGCCTTGTTTTGTGTATTTCGAAGTATTTTCTTCGTTTTATAGGATATACACGTATAAGTGATTTTCAACATCATTGGCACGATGTCCTCACTGGTGCGATTGTTGGTTCATTGATTGCATTTTTTACCTTTAAATTTATTCTTGACTGGCATCAGTATAGTCCGCGATTTTTGCCCTATACAGCTGGAACTCAATCGCAAATACCGCCACCGTATCAACCAAGATTTGGCAATCTTCGTCCACGACTTCCATTCAGTTCCATGCGTGTACGAAACTATCCCTGACGATAAAAATACTTAGAGATCTGTCTATAACACTACTCGATATTGCTCTATTGACAATAAAGATTTAAAGCTTTTCTAGATCAATTTTTGAAACTAGCAAAAAAAAATACATTTCTCTTAGAATGAGTAATGCTCACCCACATTATTACGCATCCTCCTGTCAACAACGTCAAGCTGATGAGTCAGCTATAGCAACCAGATGGATAAGAACGCCTCCTAAGCTACTACGAAGGTATTTTTTCTTCCTCTGTCTTTCTTAAACAAAAACCTAACGGCGTCATTGGTTAAGAAATGATAGTTTATACTCATTCATTTCTTCGCATATAAAAATAACAGATAAATATGTCTTTCGACAGAAATCAAGTTTCGCCTGTTGCATACAAAACGATGGATATGGGAGGAGAAAGTATTCGGAGGTATTATGATAGAAAAACAAATTAGAACGATTATTAGGCAAACATCTGTGACCATCGTCATGTTTTTTCCTTTGTATTCTAGTTCTCCATCAATAGCACAACCAGTTTCGTTACTAAGACTGATTTTCGATGGATTATCACTTCTTCTTAGTAGGTTAATTGTGATTTTCGGCCAAGTGTTCCATCTTTGTTTTCTATCTGCAGTGCTTTCAACCTGGTTGATATTTAAATATATTGTACGACCTGTTCGACGACCATTTTTATGTTCGGATTTGAACTTGTATCATCCAAAGCCGCCTCATAATGTTTTTCCAACTTGGCTTCTTTTTGTTTGTGCAGTCATCGTTCCTGTCGTTTTCGTGCGTGAAATACTTCATCATCTTTTAATCATTCGATTCGTTTGTATTTAGATTCTTCTTTCCGAGAGCGTTCGCTGGTTTTACCTTACTCGTAGAAAATCAGTGCGCGCTGTTTATCGACTTCGATTTCGTTCGAATATCTACAACGTTTCACAATTGATCGGAAATCTCTACATCGTTATCGGTACGTCGAATAATGAACATCTTTGCATCGATATCTTCTCATCGATTCACATTTAGGCATCTTTGCTTTTGCTAATGCAATCAATTCTTTCCTAACCAACGTTGGCAAAGTGTCATACGGTCGTCAGCGCCCGCACTTTATCCCATCGTGTTTCAACAAAACTACTTATAAAGATTTCTGTGCAGATCCAACACTATGGATTGTGAATTACACTTGTATCGGTGAATCAAGTGCAATATTTGTTGAAAAAGATGGCGCATTTGATATTCGGTAAGAGTCAAATCTCGAATATTTACACGATAAGGACCCTTTTCGAGAACATATAACTGCAGATATTATCTGCACATGGTACGTCCTTTGTTCTAATGGCAGTAGAATAACGGAATAATGACGTCGTTGCCTCGTTTTTTTCGATCGAACAAAAGTTGAGGGTATCAATCGATTCCAATGTACTTTTAGACAGTCATTTCCATCTGGTCATTCCTCAACAGCTTTTTGTGGATTGATCTTTTTGGCTGTAAGTTGTCTTGGGATGAATAAAGCGAATATAATCTCGTTTTTGTTGACTTAGTTATACGTTCATAGAGCATGGAAAAATCGTAATTTGGGCTTCATTCGATATTTTGTGGAAACATGTTGTTTCGCCTTGGCAGCATATATCGGTAATTGAAATCTACTTTTAAAGGCGCAGTTTGAAATGGTTTTTTGGAATATTTCAGGCATTACACGTATCACCGACAATCGTCATCATCCAACTGACGTTCTTGCAGGTGCTATTCTTGGTACTGGTATCGCCATCATCGCTGTAAGCATTACATTGTGTTCGTTGTTGAAAATTTGATTTGTTTTCTACACTCTCTAGTTTCGTTACATGCTACATTGTTTGAAACAAACAGCTCCGATTGATTTAGAAAACGAATCATTCAGAGAACAAACTGATATCGAAAGTCAATATTAATTCTTGATTGTGCATTGTCTTGCTCTATCACTTATACTTGATCTCGCATGTTATGGTGGCTAATTTGTATCCCTTCCATATTGTTATAGTTTTTATGGTGTTTGTACTTATGAACAAAGGTTATTTGGAATATAAATAAATATGATCAAAGAAATCGTGTCTTGTCTGTTGTTTCATATCATTGTGTCCATTACACATCGATGAATCGAATATTAATGTTTAGACTGAGGAAATAAAATTAATATTTATTACATACGAAATATACAATAAGGTGTCAAAAGATGAAGGTTGACAGGTTTGCTTTCTTTGTATCCATATGAAAACAAGCACGACTAAGAATAATATTTGAGAAAATATACACGCTGAAAGGTTTGTTTGATTTTCGTAATTGTTGAAGAATTCTCTCTTTCTCTTCTCCGAACGATTTCTATTCAAGCATAAAACAACGTCGAATGCATGTCTGTAAGTATCATTAGATTACAGTCCAGCTGAAAAATCTCATCAATCAATTATTATCTAAACAGTATTTAGCATCAGTTGTATTTCTCAGACATTGATCAACAAGAATTGCTCGTTCATGTTTTCCTGCGATTCGATGTCTTCACGACTGGATTGCTAACAAATTGACTTGAATGCGACAATTTTCTTCTTGCATGTTCGTACATACTGAGCAATTGCATTTTGAACTATATAGTTTGCTGCGTAGGAAAGAAATACATATGTCACGATTAGGGAGAGTACAACGATTAAGAATAACAATTCAACTGCATCTACTGCCATTTCTAATTAGCTTTTCTTTTCAGACAAGAATGAACTTATTGTGAGAGTGTGAATAGAAAAGAAGCCGGGAGTGATTTAACGTTTTTTTTTCTCCTACTCTGTCTCTCTTCAGAGTTTTGACAACAAAAAAAAACAAGCGTGTTTTTTATCGGAATTGTATATGTAAGTGATAGGTTAGCCGAGAAGAGAAAAGCTTTTTAACGAATCAAAGAAAAAGTCTCTCAACTTCAATCTGATTGATCGTATCGTTGAATGTATAATTGAATCAGTCAGTTGAACGAAGACAATCTTCTATCTGATCAGCTCTCTCGATAACTATCCCCGGCAATTCTTCTTCGTTTTTCTTTGCCATTCGCTGTCATTCTTTCTTATGTAAGATCCTGTTTTTCTTCAGCACACATAGACAAAAGAAAAACAGGCCAACTTTCGGATTCTTTCTCACAATGACCTTCATCATCATTGGATAATACTGAGTACGTGCTCTGCAAATTCTATCGTAGTCTGTTACGTTTTTTTTCTTTGTTTCACAATGACTTGCTAAACACGAGAAGAGTTTCCTTCTTTTTTTTTCTTCTCTCTTTTTAGTTCTGTATTTGGCATGATCAACAGAAACATACATCCTCTCGTTCGTACTCCCTTCTTTTAGGCATTGTAAGTGTCAGCCAAGTGGCTCAGTTTTTTCTTCTTTTTTTCTGCTCTCACTCGTTCTTTTCGGCTTTTTCTTCTTCTTCTCTTCTTTTCAAATAAACCACAAAATTTGTAGTCTCTAAGAAGAAAAAACCACGTACTCTTCACGTTCTTTCCGCTCTACGTACGTCTACGCATTGTCGTTCTCTTATATTTTTCCTCTTTCTCTCTCTCTCTCTCTGTCTTCTTTTACTACTACGCTTGCTCTTCTTCTTATCATCATCCGTGAATGATGATGACTATTGCACACATTTTCGTGCGTGCTTGTTGTACGCATGTATGTGTCTGTTCGTTTATTGGCATCTTCAATATTCACCCGAGCACATCTGCACAAGGCAAATTATACCTCTAAGGTACGAATTATACCTGTTTGTAAATACTTTCTTTTGCGCTATGAGAAACCTTATTTTTCAAGTATGTGAATCAAGTTCTCATTTACTTTCTTCGTCTTGTCAAATGACTTGAAATGGATCAAACAGTTGAGAGTAATACATAGGTTTACAATCATCATTGACTGTCATGTATCACCTATCGTTTTCAAAAAATGATTACGCACGCTGTCAACTTTTCTTTTTATCAACGGTGGGTGTTGACCGTGACATGTGATGACACACATACATGTATATATATACCTCTGTACACACATAGTATATCTATTTTAAAGTAAGATTATGTTAATGGGTGTGTACGTGTGCGAAATACGAGGATAAACACACTTGTGATGGCGGGAAGGACATGTATTTTATTGTGATACGATCGTTCTTTAGTGTAAACGTTTGATTATAATGTTTTTTTCTCTTCGCATCAAGATACGAAACAAATCCGTTCATCTGAATTATTAGTAAGAAAGAGTTTTGACATAGACTGATCAAAGGCGAATGATCGATCGATGCATTCAGTCAGTATTTTTTTGAAGTATTGATTCAACTATTTCTCAAGGACGAATAATAGCAATTAGAGTCGAATACATATGGTTTCTATTGTGATATGCATTTTCGACGTGCGGGTATCATCTTGTTTTATTTTCACTCGACACGGATACACAGAAGTCAATCCAATTGACTGCTTTTCTCCCCAGAACAATATGTGAAGATCAAATATCAACAAGATATGTTCGGGTGGATTCACAGATAACGATGTGTCTACAAAAACGGATCATAACAACCGTTGAAAGCAACTTTTATCCTACTTTAATCAAATCCACCTTGAAATAAGCTAAACCATACAATAAGAACGATTTTCTTCCCAATTCGTAATCACCGGCAGACAGACATGTATGATGGATAGAGATTGAAATATATCACGCACTGCCTTCACTTTTATCTGTCTAATGTAAATAAATTATGTTAAAGTTTATCAAGTTTTCTCTTTGAGTTCGCTTGACATACGCAGCCGAAGAAATTCATCATTCGAGTAACAAAGATATTCCGATCGGTGTATGCATATTCCAACTGTGATTGATTTCATTTCTCGTAAACGATCATGTGAAATTATACGCGTACACACCTAGAGGATTCCTGACGGCTAGATAGCAAGACATTTGCCCTTTCTTTTTAATGTTGTACTACCTACATATTTGACACCATGTGAGACTATTCACGCACCTTTTGTGCTTCTTTTTTTTTCATGTCATTCGAGAGAACAACAACTGAAAGTTGATTCAGAAATCAAATCGCATTTACCTTTTTTTCTCTCGAAACAATTAACGAGTAAAACTTTCTCTTTCTTTAATGTGTTGTCTTTGCTCCAAGGCTATTTGATGTCATATTTACATAAGATAAATATCTAATGAGAAACTATTCATATTTTCTAGTTGAATGAATGGAAGACATGTCACCAATGAATTCACCGGATTATCTTCATTATTCATCCGATTCTAATGATAATAATCTGGCTAATTCATCCCTATCAATACCTCTACTCGCTTTAAACGATACATGGATCCTACCAATATTCGTTCTCTGTTTATTTGGAATTCTGTGTACAATTATCGTCTCGTTGATATTCATCTATCTTTCATATCGTCGTTTGAATGGTCATTTTTTATTAACGAATCTATTTATATGCTTTGGTGTATGCTTTATTTATACAGTTCTTATAATATTTCTTCTTCGTGCTAATGAATTATTTTGTGGTCTAAGAGAATTTCTATCCCAATTAGCTTATGCTCTGCTATATTCAGCGTTACTATGTCGATACATCATGCAATGGTTAGGCGCAAGGATTCTGTCGAAACGAACGAAACAGTTAACATCGCTGTTGATCTATTTCTTGTTGATTTTTACACAAGTACCGATCGGTATTCTTTGGTGGTACTTCACAATTCCACGGATGTGTCAACAACGAAGAATGAATGTTTTGTCATCATCAGCGACGATTCCGGAGTTGAATTTCTACTTTCAACAACCATTTACGTCATCGTCATCAATCAAACCATGTTCAAATCGTTGTCTTGTTGATTATCGTTTCTACGCCACATTTACTTACACAATTATACAATTATTTCTCTGTACAATTATCTCCACATGTTTATTTCTTTGTCGACATTGTCATCGAGATAGACCGCAAAATGATACACCGTCTATCAATGGAAACAATCCTGTACTGACATTTTCGAACATGTTAGCTTTTGTTCTCATTGATCTGATTTGGTTAACATGGACGGCGGTCTACTATTTTACGCATCCATTCTTTGTATTTCCAGCGATCATTATTGGCATGTTTCTAATCGCATCGATATGCTTGTTACTAATTCTCCTTCCACAAGTATATTATTATTCGAAATTGAAATTTAATGATGTAGAGAAATTGAAAAGCAAAGTTACTGTGCCATCGACGACTTTATATAGTAATAAATTAGCGTCAACGCATGATATGAATGATCAAGAAGGTTTATTGGAAGATAGTACGAAAGAATCGAAGAAGAAAAATCATAAGCTATCGAATGCGAGCGATGGATCGGATGAATTAGGAGCAAGTGGAACGTTTCTACCAATAACGCGCACGCCCAAAGGACAATTTAAAGTGACAACAACTGATACAAGTACACCGATAGAAAAACTTGATAAATTAATCTATGGTGAACATCAGCAGACATCTACATCGCCGAACAATGCAAATAAGTCGGCTCTTAATGAAAGGAAAGTCAATGCATCAGCCACCGATACAGCAGAACAACGATTACAACCACCTGTTACCGTTCCATTACAACGTCAAGTATGTGTGAAAACTTTTTACTCTTGTAATTTTATATTCACGAACAATTTCTTTCTCTATGTAGTTAACATCAAGTAGTATTGCGTCAGATTTTGTTACACCCGTTGTAACTATTACTCCACAACAGCAACTAGCTTATCAGCCTCATGGATCAGATTCCTATCGGACTCATAATCCGAATCTTCAAACGTCATCATCAATGTACTACTCAGGTTATCCACCGCCACGTCGTGATGAAACAATTGTACCGATTCTGTGTGCATCAGATCGCCCGCGAACATCGACACCTGTTCAAATGCGTTTTGTTGTGAACTCTGCACCGTCATCTGTTCCAACAACACGACGTATATACTCTGGTACTGATATTCGATACATTCGTCATCCATATCACCATACATATCCTTCCCCACCGCCACCGCCTACCACACCACTGTACTATTCTCCTCAGCCGCAACAATATCTTTTCATTGATCCCTATCGAACAATGCCGTCACGAATTGGTAGCAATCCATGGCATTCAGTTCTATTACAACCACGCAGTGCTTCACATCGTCAAACGCCTTCAACACCATCATCATCCTACCGCCGATTTCACATGGATAATCGGTCATTGTCCCAACGTCTATGGGATATAGATAGTGGTGATGATGAGAACGATGGCGAGGAAGACATTATAAAAATAGCTGGCCGTGAAACGCCACCAAAAGAACAAGTAACTGATATGCATCACGATCATTTCGAAACTGAAGATAAAATCTTACTTCATATTGACGACGATGGCGACGATGATGAAGATGAACATGATGAATCGTATAGAAAACAGTACGCACAAGTTTAACCGATGCGTTGATTGGTTTTCTCCTTGTGATACTTTTTTTGTATTCTAAACGTGAGTATCTAGAAGAAAAATAGCTCAATGTTTCTACTTGTCATATTTCTTTGTATCATTCTTGCTGTTGTTGTTTTTTTAATATCATGAACAGTGCAATGTCTCTTTTTTCCTTTTATCTCCTGTTTTGTATTCAAAATTAGCTTTTTCTATGTATCAGTGTCCGTTTTGTCGGTTATTTTAACAAATTAGAAAATGAAAATATCGAAAAAATAGATCAATGAAATCATCGTTCAGATATTTCCTTCTTTTAAATCTGATTGCCGACGGCGGATAAGAGGATGCAGACGTTCGTGAAAGCTTGCTGTGCTCTTAACAATTCAATGACATTTACCGAGTATTGTGACATATCAACTACCGATCGATGAAGTACCATAATCGATTTGAAACCATCTCATTTGTCTATAGTAAATGCATGACATCTGTGTTCGAAATCGGATTAGTCTTCGTTCCTCTTCTTTGAACTGATGAAACGATGTTCAGTTCAGTTCTTTTAATATTTGATAAATGATAATGGCTGTATCATGGACGATGATGCTTCGAAAACATCACGGAATTGTGATCGAATCCGAGATTTGTAAATCAATCTTCAAAGCAATTCATCAGCCGAGTCAGCAGACGATTTGTGTGTAAATATTCCAACGTGACGATGTTTTCCTTTCTCGAATCGAACTCTTCGTTTAGAAAATCCCTTCCACTACTCAGTTCGTTCTCATTGAATGAAGCCTATCTTCTTCGCACGATACTCGTTGATGATGACAGTCACACTATCCACCCAAATATTTTATCCTTGTTATCGATTAAGTATCTACCATCAACTTCGATTTATCACATTTTTGATTATGCATCCAATCGAGATTTAGCGACACATGGCTTACTATATGGTGGAACGGAGAGACAACTTACCAACGAACAAATTCAGACATATCTCTGTCAACTTCTTTCAGCATTAATCTACTGTCACGATCGGCTGGTTTATCATTGTGCGATTGAATTGAAGCATTTGTTGATCACGCGTACGGGACAGTTGAAATTAGCGAATTTCGAATATGCAAAACATGCCGCATGGTCAACGATGAGAATCGGCGTCAGCGATGTATGTATTGAACATTCTTCGATAGAAATGACATGTCCTTGAGATGTTAGATTTCATGCTTCGCGCAATCACCACCGGAATTATTACTGGGTGATCGAAAATCGAGCCATTCATTGGATATTTGGTCGGTTGGTTGTGTTTTTGCACAACTATGTTCGTCCACTCAAATTGAACCACTATTTCATGGCAATCATCAGATTGAATTGCTTTTCTGCATATTTTCTATGATGGGTAACGAGCGAAGTTTGTTCTAATTGGAAATTGTTCATTCTATCGTCAATCCAGGTACACCAACGAGTGATATATGGCCGTCATTTCCAACATATGCTTATTATAATAGTGAATTTCCCCGTTGGCCGAGAAGAAATGATCATTTGTATGAATTAACAAAATTAATCGGAGTGCAAGGTTTAGATTTTCTCAAATGCTTACTCACTTACGATCCTAAAAAGCGCTTCACAGCGAGAAAAGCTTTGCAACATGAATATTTTAATCGGTAGAGTTTTTGTAGATAACAGATGTTTTGTATTGTAACATATCGTGTTTTATACTTTTGTGGTCAGAAAGCGATTCTCTGATTTCTATCGGGGATAGATTTATCGAAAATAATTAGTGATTAACAGTAATTACAAACATGAAATCATTCGGTAGGTGAGGGAATCCAATCAAAGAAATGGAATTCTGTACTTTGCTTCACGCAGGTAACGATCGTAACGCATAAAATATTCATTAGGAAAGAAACGCAGTTCGACAAGTCACAATGCTGAACAATGGCTCATATTCTATTGATGAATAGCTTGTTTTTTGAATATAAAAAATTTACATACTTTTCCGCACATAACAATAACTAGCTATGACCAAAAGAAAAACTCGACTGGCGATAGAAAACAATGCTGTTCGATTGCATAATGGCGTATTACAACAATAAATACATTCTAGTTTCTGTTCACTATCGTCTGTATAAACACAATCGGAGATGGGAGTATATATCATCGATTGAGTTTTGTCTTTCCATGAACACGATCCTTTTCGTACACAATCACGACGTAGATATGTATCGACTGATCGATAACTGATCACTAATTTTCGACATTCATATTCGCCGGTGTAATTCTCATTCTCATGACTATCACAGTTCCGGATGTATGACGATGCCATTAAGGAATTGGGATCGAAGAACCGACATGAATCTGTATGATCAGCTGAAAATCGGAGATGAAATAAAAGCGAGAAAAGACGAACTCCTACTGTATCCAACCAATGGCTCCACACATGTATAACACGATTGATTACTTAACGAATGCGTTAATTTGAACTTCAATAGCAATAAAAGGAGAAGTTTTTCCATCAAAATACTCTCGGCCGTTTTCCCATAATTCATATCGTTAATATGGCAAAGTCAAATTTCTCGAGAAGTATTTCCCCTTCTCTTTTCCTCTCCCTTTCTCTTCTGTATGCATTCTTTTAGTTCTATTTTCCGAAATTGTCATTATTGCTTTTTTTCCTCAACTATAATTTTTTCCTTGTCATTCCTCTTTCGCACGCACTCCTGAACAATCACCATTGTTGCAATATCGTACACATCAGCATGCATTTTCTTTTTCATTAACAAGAATATAAAGCTTTTCTCTTGATAGTAAAAGATGCTTTGTGCGAGACATGCCACTCTTTTCTTACGTGTTTATTTATGACTTTCGGGTGAAAAATGATGATGAGAAAAACAATAGATTACATTTGAAATGATTAGTTAAATGTTTCTGTTCGACTTCGATGAAACTAATCGAACACGCCCAATAGTTTAGATCTGTACGATTGATTGCTCAATGATCAATCAAAGACTATCAAGTAGCGAACATCAATGTGTAATAGACTGACATCTATTTGCTCTGCTATCCAATGGCTGTTATCCAATAGCCAACAAGAAGTTATGAAGGATTCTTCTTTACATCTTTCTTTGTAATTGCATTTTATTCAACGATCATCGCAAAATCTATCATGCCGCCTGTTGAATTACCAGGAAGTACTGGCGAAGGAGCCAGTACTCAGCCAACAACGATGACTCCAACTCCACCAACATTTGCACCTCCATCGGTCAAAGCCAAGATCGGTATTATTTATCCGCCACCTGAAGTTCGAAGTAATTTTTGCACTTAATGATTATGATATAATTGCATGTAATTTCTCTTCGATAGATATCGTCGATAAAACCGCCCTGTTCGTTGCCAAAAATGGACCCAGTTTCGAAAGTAAAGTCAAAGAAGCCGAAGCGAATAATCCGAAATTCAATTTTTTGAATCCGAACGATCCCTATCATGCCTACTATTTGCATAAAGTAAGAGAATCCACAGAAGGCAAAGGTATGGCACCAGGTGCTGCTGAACAACAATCATCAATTGCACCAACGCCAACGATACAAGCAGCTGTTACTAAAGTAAGTGATTTGTTTGCCGAAGAATCGTCCAAGTTCTATGAAATCATTTTAGATGCCAACAAAAGTTCAAAGTGATATCTCGAAATTTCTCGAACCCATCATTATCAAAGATCCACCCAGTGAATATGAATTTATGATCGAACCACCGTCGATATCCGCTATTGAACTGTATGTTTTGTTTTTATGTTGGTTAATATTGAGCTCTTTTGTTTTGTAGTGATATCGTTCGATTAACTGCTCAATTTGTTGCCCGTAATGGTCGTCAATTTTTAACATCATTAATGTCAAAAGAGGCTCGCAATCCTCAATTTGATTTTCTTAAACCAGCGCATGGCTTATTTAACTATTTTACGAAATTGGTTGAACAGTATACAAAGATTCTTATTCCACCACGAGATTTTGCTGCGAAGTTAATGAATGATATCGAAAATCAACAAAAGATTATGGACGAAGTCAACTATCGCGTTGAATGGGTGAAACATCAAATGCGCGAGAAAGCCAAAGAGGAAGAAGCTGTAGAGAAAGAACGAGGTAATGAAAAAAAACACGATTGTTCTGAACTGAAAACAAAATCTCAATTGTTCTTTTCTAGCTGCATACTCTCAAATTGACTGGCATGATTTCGTTGTCGTTGAAACAGTTGATTACCAACCACAGGAACAAGGCAATTTTCCGGTAAGTTAAGATCCGTTTTTTTATTTACATTAGTAAATAAACCTGTATGATAAACTCTAGCCTCCAACAACTCCAGACATGGTCGGTGCTCGAATGCTTCTTCAGGAACGTTTCGATCGCAATGTAAGTTTTATTCATGTTCACAAATCCTCCTCGATTTGTTCACTATCTTTTTCAGAATTTTCAACATATTACATCGACTACTATGATGAATATGTCAGATTTAGCTGCAGAAATGGATATGGAATCGCCACCACACTCACCTCCAACGGCGATGATGTCTACTGTCAATATGCAGGAAATGGATATGGAACAAGACGATGATGATATGGGCGCTCCTCAACCACCACAACCTCCGCAACAATCTCGCCTAGCACCAGCTCCACCCGCAATGATCTCTCGTATTCCAGCTGGCCAGCCTCCTCTACCACCACCATTGCCATCTGGCTTACCATCAACTGCCTTACCGCCAGCTCTCCCTACAGATAAATTTCCTGCACCTTTGAAACCACAAGATGTTATTATCAAAGCTTACAATCCGAAAGGTAACATCGATGGTTTCGCGGACACTTCACAGTCATGACGAATGATTTTCTTTGCTTTTCAGAAAAAATGCTTACGGTCCACCAGGGTGAACAATATGTCATATCGCCAATCACAAACGAGAAGATTCCAGCTAGTAGCATATCTTCTCATACCAAATACGGTAAGCAATGATTTCTAGCAGAATTTATTATTCAAATAACCTTCGCTGTTCGTTCTTCATAGCTCTACTTGATCCGCAATGGATTCAACGGCGTGAGAAAGAAATGGCAGAGCAGCATGAGAAAGAACAAGTTTATGAAGCAGGTATGTGTAATTTTCCTTCAGTAGTTCCACCTAATCAAAGCATAATTCGTTTTAGGTTCAGTTGTTGAAGCTGAATTGAAAAAGTTTGCCGAGCGTCGAACAGATATTTTTGGTACTGGTATACAGGAAACAACCATTGGCCGAAAGGTTAGACATCCTTGTTACTTTCTCATCTATCAAACTCAAATCGTTCATCTTGTTTCTAATCGTAGATTGGTGAAGAAGATCGACGTGCTGACGATAAAGTTCAATGGGACGGTCATACAGCAACAGGTAGAACTTCTTCTCAGTTTAGTCCATCATCGACTTTCCTTTCTTTAGCTGAGAAAACATCGAAGAAAGCTATGGCTAATATTACTATGGAAGATCAAATCAGTGCTATCCATCGCAGTCAAGGTTTGCTCGATGACGAAGCTTCAGCTGCTAATCGTATTGGTCCAGCTATACCCAAACCAACCATGTCGTCAACATCGACATACTCTTCAACAGCTAAAACTATTCAAAAACCACCACAATTGTCACCACTCGTAGCCAAACCCATGATTCCCATTGGTGCAGCATCTCAACGAACAATTGTCGCTGCACCAATTATTTCACGTCCCGGCATTCCATCAGTTCCAATTATTCCTCAAGGAACACATGCTATGATTGCTATGCCATCTGTAGTAGCTGTAGCATCACAACCACCCATGCATCCCCCACCAGTCATCGAAGAGCCAGCTGCAAAGAGAACAAAGACAGAAGATCAACTTATGCCAGAAGAAGAATTTTATAAACGATTCGGAAAAGTAAACATCATTTTCTTCTCATTACGCATGCAACCAAATCTATTTCACGAACTTCTTTAGGGCCAAGTTACCATTACTATACAGTTACCGATCGTTCCAGAAAAACCGGAATGGAATCTCAACGGTCAAGCTATACCTTTGACTTTACCTATAACAGATCCTGTAAGTGATTTCGCTTTTCGATCTATGCAATTACCTTTCTTTGTTTGCATCGTAGATCTCTGTCATCAAAGCGAAATTATCGGATTTACTCGGTGGAATGCCTGCAGGAAAGCAGAAACTTGTTTACAATGAAATATTCGTCAAAGATTCGAATTCTCTCGGTTTTTACAATATGGTCAAAGGTTCAGTTGTTTATTTACAATTGAAAGAACGTGGTGGACGAAAGAAATAAACTTGTGCATTCAGTTGTTGTTTGTGTGTATGTGTGTGCGTGCGTCTACCTTGTCAATGATTATTCAGAAAAAAACGTGTTTAAATAAGAATAAAACTCTTTTTTTTTGTCTTGTTCTAGATGTCTGACAAAATAAAGATTAAATTTCAGCAAACCATACATGCTCTTGATGTCTTAGCTTATAATCAAAGATTATTGAGAGATAATCTCAGTGAAGATGGTTCGTCGGCCATTTGTCGTTTCGAAACATACAGCTAAATGTCGAATATTTAGATCTTTTGGTGTGGGTGAAACGCTATGTAGATCAAAGGAAACTTGTCAAGCAACTTGAAAATCAATTGAAATGTGTTGTATCGAAAACGAAATCACAGAGGTGAAAAGGATCAATTCATATTGACAATATCATTCGCTCTTGTTTTCATTGATAATAGTCAGCAAATTCATGATCAACGGAAACGACGTTTAGACTCGTCACATCGTGCGATGCGATTGGTAAGTACTGTTCGAAGATTTGATATCCTCGTTCGAAAGCTAAAACAAGGAAACGTATTCTAGCATAAAACTCTCGGAGAAATCTATGATCTGGTCAATTATCGTGGACAGCATACATCACCTATTGATCAATTGCATTATATAAAAAAATTATGTGAAGATAAGCTAAGGTTTGTGTCTTCAATGAACCGAACACAACTATATTTCGTCTTTCTAGAGAAGATAAATCATTCATATCTGATGAAGACGATGATGACGACGATGAAATCGATAGTCATAATTGTACAATTGATGACGATGATCAAAACGGAAGTCTAATCGTGCATCCACGTGTGGTTCTTTCTCAGACATCAACAAAAAACAATCTATTGCATCACACCAATGAGAGAATTTCTCAAGAGACAATTGTTCCAATAAAGCGTTCTCGTCAAGATGAGAAACAAGAATTCGTAACTAAAACTATTATTGATTGTTATAACACAACTCGACCATTTACGATCACAACGGATATTAAAGTTATTGATAACTCATCAACAATGAATAGTACGAAAACAGAATCAACGTCATCGATTGAACAGACTTTACCATTGAACATCACCACACCATCGAAATTGCCTACGATAGTATCGCATCGATTTGTTTCGAAGAAAATTTTCAAACCTGAAAGTTGTTTTGTGGTAAAAATCATTCTTAAAAATCAATTCAAATCATTCGCTTCTTCATCCCTAGTGTCTCAAACGTATTAATTTCGGTTCTTTATCATATCGTTGCTCATATTGTTCACAATCAAGTCATGCTGATTGCAAAACTCATGCAGATACAAATTGTAAGAGTGCGCCTAATAAAGTCACGCTACCTCCATACTCACCCAAAACACCTCTCATTCCAACGTTGAAAAGCGCTCATCATCAACGAATGGTTAGTTCAGAACCACGAAAGACCATACTTTCTTCATCTCATACATCCACCATTCAACGACGTTTACCCTTCGAACGCATAATGTTATTGAAATAATAGTAATCGATCTTATTCTTTGGTTTATTCGATAATAAGTCCCAAGCACGCACAGTATTTCTTTTGTTTGTTTTTTTTTGTCTCAATGCGCGTGCGTCGTGTTGAAGGATACAAATAAGTAACTTTTTGTCTTGCTAGTGTGTGATAGGATTAATTTATATAAATTGTTATATGCATATTGAATATGAATACACATTTGTAAGTAAAATGGTTCGTTTATTGTTTTTCTTACAAGAATGACAGTACGGTAATAATCTGGAGAATAACTATCAAACAAAAAAAAGTGAGCTACTGTTCTACAAATGAAGAAAGAAAAAGAAGAAAAGATCGTTTTTGTATGATGTATCTTTTTGTGTTCTCTTGTTTAACACTGGGCGGATTCGAACAAAGCGAAAGAAGAAAAAGAGATTGCACAAAAGTTTCAAATATAACAAATAACAGAAATGGAATGAACTCGATGGAATGTATGGTTATCGAAAGAAAATATAGCTTATCAACATTGAACATTTTCGATCGGACGAGAAAAATATATATAGAGGGGAAGGATAGATATGAAAATAAGATTTTGACTACAAATGAGTTGTCGACTGTAGCGATGATGTCGTTGTATCGAGTGATATATACATAGATTCATATAATTTATCATTTTCAAGATTTTCAGCAAATAAATCAGCATAATCGGCATGTTCTGGGTCCGGTTGACCACATGGATAACGAAGAACATCGCTGGAATTGGAACGGATCGGTGAATGCTAGAAAGAGATATTTCAGATTTAGAGAATTGTGTGGTTTTTTTTTCAAATAACTTACAGTGTATTTATCGATCAGTTGACTAAGATTTTCAAATAGTTCTTTTTTCGCCCCACCTAAAAATCGGTAAGTATGTTTTCCTGGAGTTACTTCGATCAATAAATGACGACAATGATCGGACGCATGGTACGAGAGAACATAACCAAACATTTTTTCACTAACACGAATCAAATAAGTGCCAATTGGTTTCGAAAAGAGAAGCTGTTCCGTATGAGATCGTGGAATAATGCCTGAAATATAGAGCGACATTAGAAGTTTCGCTTACAAATAGATCATACCATGAAACCATGGATAGATTTCTCCATTTGTTGAACGAAATGCACCGTAAGGTATTTCATTAGTGCAAAACCATTGCCGGATATCTGCACGGGTTATTGCTGTTAGCGGCTTACTAGAAAACAAACAAAAAATGGCAACTATGATTCGAGTTCGATTAATTCTGCATTACGATCGTGATTTTTCCGTCGGAAACGTTGTTCCTTGTAATTCGTGTTTCATTTCGGCGGGTTTCACGTCGTTTGAAGGAAGTATAGGAAATGCTGGAGTATCACTATCATCATGTTCAATTTCGATCTTTTTCTCGATTGGCACTGACCGATTGGCAGATGTTAAAACGATAGGCTGAAGTGTAAACGTAATATGATCATTTGCATCGAAACAGACGTTGGACTGTGATGATTGTCGGTGAATATAATCTCGTGCACGTTGTGCAGCTTCACGTCGATCTTGGTCGGCCTTTTTAGCACGCTGTTCGATTTCATGATAGAATAGTTCATCCACAAAATCCGATTGAGTGATATGGAGTGGAGATGGTTGAGAACGTTGTTTTTGCAGAAATTCGCTTTCTTTACTCTAGACAACGAAACCTTTGATGAAGAGAGACGGAAAAATCTCGACAACATACGATTGCCAATCGTTGAGTATCTAGTTCAAGTCGTTCGAAGAGGCGACGTGCTTCTTGGATATTATTGGAAATTTCTTCGATTTGCTTGCGTCTAAGAATAAACAACAGATAGTGTTCTATAATTTCTCAACCTAATTATCGATCGAATCTCTGCCATCACATCCAACTAGCAAGCTTAGTCAACCTTTGGCGGAAAGAAGGCTATTTCATTTCGTAAAAATCATACACTTACACACGATCGTATCTTGGTTTTTCTACAGATTATCTAAAATATGTTCAATCAATCGTTTCATTCCTCAAGTTCGTCTACGGAGCCATGACTCATTTCCTTTTCCAAGCACTTCGAACGACTACACTTACTCATCACGATGTACGGTAAAGTAAACATCACTTTTATTCGAGCTGTTGTTATTGTTGTTATTATTATTATTATCATTTCTAAAAGAATTCAATTAGCAAATGTAGATAAGCAACTGGCACATCATACCTCAATGGTTGGTACGAATTTTGACCGTCACTATCGAGATTTTCATTGTTAATCCTGAATCAAGACTTTGTTTCTTCGAGATAAAACTAAACATGCATTTACCTGCCATCATCTTCGGTGGATTCGCCCATCACCCAGCAGCACTCATTTCCGTCAGCGCCTAATCGGAATGTGACTTGTTTTTTCTTTTTCGTTGCCTTGTCATTGATTATCCTTGCTTCGTTTTCTTCTCGTTCATGGTATCGTCGTACTTGTTCTTCGCGCATCTTACAAAAGAGCAACTGTTTTTGATCGTCTGGCAGTTCATCCAGGATATCTCGCGGTATGTAGAGATCATGTAAGATCTGTGCGAGCATCTCATGCTAGAAAATTCAATGAAATGTAAAAGAAAATATTTTGTTTGTCATGAACATCAAGGTTCTTTTCGCCTACATAAATCAAACTAGATACGAAATGATCACACGGAGAACAGTAAAGAAAACCGATTGGTTACTTTCTCAGCCATTATAATTGTATGAATGAACTCAACTCATTTCGAAAAAAATATCATTGGCGTGATATATTTAGAACAGAACAGTGTAGGGAAGTCATTTGGTTTAGGTTAAAATCTCTTTATTTCATGCTGACAGTGAAATAATGATGCAACCTGCAAAAGATTGTTCTGGCGCGAACGTGAACGTTTGTTTCTTTTAGTCTACTGATTTGTGACATTTTATAGATCATCTGCGTCGCTCTTGTTGTCGTGTTTTTTAGAAATAAATAACTGATGAGTGAAGAGTCAACAGCGGCTGTTGTTCCTGATATATCGAATGAACATAAGCATACACATCCGAGTGACACGAGTGGCTCGGCTGATTCGACAGAGCAGCCGCCATTGAAGAAAAGTGCCTCAAACGTCCCAATAACACTTCATATTCGGTATAAAACTCAAACATTTCCCGTGAAATGCGATTTGTACGATACGTTGAAAGATCTTAAAGATAAACTAGATAAATTAACTGATGTTGATCCTCAAGCACAAAAGTTAGTCAACAAATCAATAACGAGCGTGAAGCGAGATGATGCAACGACGACGTTAAAAGATTTGCATTTAACTGATGGGCAAACATTGTTATTAGTAGGTGCAACTAGAGCAGAAATTTCATCAGCATCGGGATTGAAAAGTAGCTCAAGTGCAAGTAACGATTCAGATGATTATGCATCAGCGTCCAATAAAAAAGAACCTTTATGTAAACAAACGAGACATGAAAAAGTACTTAAAGCCGGTATGTCAATATCACAAAAGACGTTTTCGACCGCAAAAGGTATTATTCGTTATATCTTCAGGGAAACCGGACAACGCTCACTTTGGCATTCGCTCCCAAAATGATTCTCTACCAGCTTCAATCGATGGATTGTACATGTCAATGTTGAATCAATCTGCCAAGAAAGCGCGATTGACATTTAAACTTGAACAGGATGAATTATGGATCAATACAGGTAAGTGAAAAAGCGTTCATTTTTTAAAACTTTTATTACAGATTCCGTTTTGATTTTTTCAAGCTGAAACGACGAAAAAGATACCGATGACACACATACGAAATGTCATCGATGAACCGATTGAGGGACACGAAGAGTATTCAATCATTGGATTTCAGACCGGTACAACGTAAGTGTTCGACTATGAATAGCTAAATCATCATTGATGCTTTTCTTTTTTCAGAGATAACTCGATAATATGGATCTATTGGTGTCCATCACAATATGTGAGATCTATCCGCCGACAAATTCTCTCTGATTGAGGCCCAATTAACTGAACATTTTCTCTTTCAAACGTTGTTCGATTTTTGTTTTTCTTTATTTTATTATATGTGGACTCTGACGTCTTTAAACAAGGTGGTGATCTAATAAATATATAGATATTATATATTTATTTCGCCAAAAACCATTTTATAAACGTTCTTCTTTCAGAAATATCATGTTCAAAACATATCAAAGACCTGATTCACGATGGATAGTGTTAAATGATTCACAAATCAACTCCATAGCCGGTGCTACGTCTGGTATATTTGCCAGTATTCTTGTGAGTCCGCTTGATGTGATTAAAACACGCATTCAAGTAAAACGTCTACCAAAAGGTGTACCTAACCCATCTCTGCTAGCTGCCATGTACCGGTTAGCTCAAAAAGAAGGCTTCCGAGCATTTTACAAAGGACTAGGTGTCACTATGTTGGTAAGGGAGACCTGTTCATTCAGTTGCTATATAGAAGATTACGTCGATGAAGTTTTAGGGTTACGCGCCGAGTTGGGCTGTTTATTTTAGTATCTACCAATGGTCGAAAAAGCAATACTCAAGTTATATTTCAACAGAAAAGAATGAACATGACATAACAGTTAATTTACTCGCATCGATAACAGCGGGTGTAGTGGCGAATACCGCCGGTGCACCAATATGGACTATTCGAACACGTATGATGACACAATCGAATTACGATGATTATCGCAATGCATTCCATGCAGCACGAAAAATTTACAGAACAGAAGGAATCCATGCTCTGTATCGAGGACTTCTACCATCAATGTTAGGTTTGGTAAGAGATAGATGTAATTTATGTGATATCATTATTTGTAACTCTCCTCCAGGTTCATGTTGGCATTCAATTTCCACTGTATGAGTATATCAAGAAGATGTGTGCAACGCATTTATCATCACATGAACATTTATCCACCGGACATTTGATTTTAGCATCAAGTGTATCGAAAGTAGTTGCTGCTAGCATTGCGTATCCACACGAGATCATTCGTAGTCGTCTTCAAGATGCTAGCTATGTCTCCAGTTCAGAAAAGCAATCTTCGGCTTCAACGACAGGCGAACATCGTGAATATAAAAATGTTCGCGATGCTATACGAACGATCGCTCGAGATGAGGGTATACGAGGTTTTTATCGTGGCCTTTCAGCGACTCTGATAAGGGCAGTACCAGCAGCAGTATTGACATTGTCATCCTACGAGAAAATGCGCGAATATCTGACTGATAATTTCGGAGAGCAATCCATAACAAGATGAAATAGCCTATTTTTCGACTTATTTAGATGATTAATATTATTTTGTGTCTTTCTACTTATCGTGATAGAGCTCTAAATAATAGTTTTGTTACATCAAACAATATAAATAAACATATAGGTAACATGTAAAACTCAGTAACCGAAAACTTCGTCCTAGAACTCCTCTTCATACTGATGAATCCGTGAGTACCGATGAAAACTAGCATATTCAAGCCTTTCGATGAGACAGAATAAAATTTTTATTATTACTTTATAGAGAAAAAGAACTAATAGACGACTAGGACAAGAAAATTCGATTACATATAAATGTATACACATATAATCAATTGTTGTACGTCAAGCAAAAAAGTTCCTACAATTGATAAGGTGGTAATTGACCATTATTATTCGTAACTAAAGCTGTTAATGTTACGGTTGGATCTAATGTTGGTTCAACATTACTTATTCGTTTTGGTTCGTCTTCTTCAACATTGAGTGCCGATTTGCAATTGGCATTTTCATCGCTGTTTTCGGGAATATTCATATCAGGTCCAGTAATATGAGGCATGACATGATTATAAAGTTTAGAAGGTGGTAAAACTTGATTATCTATTTGAATCGGGGTTCGAGATATACAATCTATCGAAATGAGAATAGTTTTTTTTTGAAGAAATTTCAAAGAAATCTTACCGCTGGGAGATCGAGGATCGAAGAGAAGTCGATGGTTGGTTTTCGGCGGTGTATTCACTGCATTGCAAAAGTTTTGACGATTTTTTCCTAGAGAATGATTTGCACCCATGTTCAAATAAAGGAAACAAAGATTCGTCTCGCGCGATAGTCCTATATATACACATGAATGTCGCCACAATCGCCTTCTATTGAAGTCTTTGATGACGACTTTTTTCTGATTCGCTCCTATACTTCTTCAATAATCGAACAGAAGAAAAATCCGTTGTTATTTATTGTTTATTTTTCTCTTATTGTCTTGGATTCTCGTCTTTCTGTACATGACTGATTATGCAATAATTTGCCATTGATTTAAATAAATTATGCTCGAGTTGTTCAATTAGTCGAATCTTTACATTTCAGATATGACATCGAGGACACGGTGTTTTTTCGATATTCAAATAGCTGGCAATGATGGTCTCGTTGATTTAAACGAAGTTTTATCTTAAAGTTTTTTATCTCTTGTTTTTCTCTAGTTGGTCGCATTGTATTTGAACTTTACAATGACGTATGCCCGCGCACATGTGAAAACTTTCGATGTCTATGCACAGGTATGAGAAACAATTGATGATGTCGAACCGATCGAAATCGTGGAGCATTTTTAGGAGAAAAAGGTAGCGGATTGACCTTATACAAGAAATTGTATTATAAAGGATGTCAATTCCATCGTGTCGTGAAAGATTTTATGATCCAAGCAGGAGATTTTACTGAAGGTAATCATCTGACTTTTGCTTGGACAACCACTGCGCGTCTTGGCAAAATAAATTTTATATGAGTGTACGAGTTTTTTGTGTCTATCGGCTCTTTAAATTCCAGGCGACGGTACGGGTGGAGAATCTATCTATGGTGGTACATTTGCTGGTAAGAACATTCATTTGATTGTTAGAACAAACAAATAATCTGTACCGGACTTGATTTAGACGAAAATTTTCAAATAAAACATGATCGACCTTATCTTCTCTCCATGGCCAATCGCGGTCCAGATACGAATGGATCTCAATTTTTCATGTAAGTTAGAAATCTCCCCATTTAATCCAATAAAAAAGGAATCTTTTTTCTGTTTATTTAGTACAACAGCTAATGCATCCTATCTTGATGGGTACGTTACTAAACGATTTGTACGATCGATATGTGAAAAAAAAAACTATTCTCGAACGGAGTTGAATGTACTCTGTTCTGAAATGAAACTTCGATTGATGAAAGATTATCAATATTTGCACTCTTTTCTATCTAGTAAACACGTGGTTTTTGGTCAAGTTGTTTCTGGTCAATCTGTCGTTGATGCTATTGAAAACGTACCAGTCAATTCCAGTAATAGTCGTCCGTTGAAAGATGTGGTTATTTCTCACTGCGGTCAGCTTGTCCTCGTTTCAAGTAAATCGAGTCGATTTGTTTAGTTCTACTCTGTAGAGGACATTGTACAATGTGCAAATTTTCATTTAGAAAATCGGAAAGAGAAGAAACGCAAAATTTCTACAGGTGGTGAGAGCGAAAATGGACAGGGGAGCGAGAGTGATTCATCGTCATCAGATGATCATAAAAAGAAAAAAAAATCGAAACATAAAAAGAAAGAAAAGCATCGACGAAAGAAAGAAGCAAAACGTCTAGCGAAGCTTGCTACTGAAGCCCAAAATCAACCTGAAGAATCGGTTAATGATGAAGCCAATGAAAAGACAAATGAACTGTCTGGTCGAGATATTATGGGTTTAAAGACTACTATCGATCCCGATGAAATACCTGAAATACCAGCACACAAATTTCTTCTTCGACCGACCTCAAATGATAATAACGAAACTCGGTGAGACAGAATCTCAATTATCGGCATATATAGTAATTATCTACTTCTAGTACAAATAATTATCGCCCGTCACAAAAAACAGATTCAAGCGGACGACCCGTGAAAGGTCGTGGTTTTATGGTATGCTCGTTTTTTCTTTGTACAAAAGGTTTTTCATCAATTCTCTTTCTTTTGTTTATGTAATATAGAGATACACTGGAAAGAGCCGCTCGAGATCACGTACACCCCCACACTGGCGTCATGCAGTTCAAGATCGTAAACGTCTGGCTGATACGAATGAATTTCGCAAACAAGATTCGAATAGTAATGCAGACGACAGTCACAAACGGAAGCGTTCCGATAACGAAGATAGAAACAATCGTGACCATGATCGTGACCGCGATCGTGATCGAAGAGATGATCGATATTCTCGTCGACACGAACGACGAAGAGATGATAATCGTCCAACAGAATCCACGTCACGTCACAAACGTCAACATAGATCTCGAAGTTCAGATCGTCAACGGTCAGATCATACCAAACAGAAAGAAAATGATGCACCCAGTCCTGTTCAACGTAGCCCTTCACCAGTCAGAAAAAATGACGATCATCATCAAAAGAAAGAGTCACGCGGACAGCATCGTCGACATTCCCCATCGCCAACAAAATATGATCAACATTCACGTCAACAATCATCATCTCATAATGATCACCGACATCGCTCAAAAACACCGCCACAAGTTTCAACTACTCGAGCTCATTCACATTCGCGTTCGCCGGATTCTGACAACAAAGAATCTCGATCACGTCAACCACCACCTGCTCGTGATGATAATCATCGTCGTCGTTCAAAAACGCCACCATCCTCACCTAAAGCTGACCAACAACCAATGAAAGACGACTCTCGCTCACGAACTCGTCGCTCAGAGACCCCACCACCATCGTCGTCGCGTGTTCGTTCAGTTTCACCAGTAGTCGAGCAACATGAAACTGATGTTTCACGAGCACCTCCGCAGGACAATGCAACATCTGCTTCAGCAGCCTCGACAACTAAACGACGAAAACGTTGGGAGAATGAAAGTGATTTCAATGAACGACAATCGCTAGTACAAGCTGCACAGCATACTAGTCTTGAAGATGAATTGCGCATGATTGCACAATCCAGCGCTTTGGATCTTCAATCCAACGATAATCTCGCGAACGTTGCGCAACCGCCTATCACCACCACCGTGCCTAGCAAATCAAAATGGGATGATGAAGAAGAACCGTATGCTATTCATTCGATCTTTTGTTGTAAAAACAGTATCTCATTTCTTTTCCCATTCAATCATATAGATCGTCCAAAGTCGGAGATCAGTCATCGTCCACTCTTCCAAAAAAACCTGACATATCATCAACGACTAATAAGCAAACGGACAAACCATTATCGGCGTCATCAAGTCGTGATCGAGACAGACGTGAACCTCATTCATCGCAAAACAACCGGGATCGAGACAGACGTGAGCCTCATTCATCGCAAAACAACCGAGATCGAGACAGACGTGAGCCTCACTCGTCGCAAAACAACCGGGACCGGGACAGACGTGAGCCTCATTCACCGCAAAACAACCGTGATCGAGAGCGAGATCGAGACGCGTACAATCGACAACCTAGTGGGAACCGACGAAATTGCTCTCCCCCACCATCATCATCATCATCTCGCGATCGCAACAAAGGTGAGTCTATCACTTAAATAGATTTCTGAAAAAATGCGTCTATAGCTGACTCCATTATTCAATCGCTATTTCTGAGTAATAAGCAGTAAAAGTAAAGATATTCATATCTAATTTAAGCATTTGGTGTAACAATCGATGAATACAAATTTATTCACGGTTATATTTTTGCGTATGAGAATAAAATTAAATGGCTTATCTCGGGTATCTCGTAATAAGGCTATTTTAGATCCTTTTCTATCGAACATATGTATGTGTATGTATTCCGTTAAATGAATAAACTTCCGTGTTGATAAAGAAAGAGACTATTCAAACAATTGATTGTTTCCACAGCTAGCAAAAAAAGAATTGACATACAAGCTGTGTTCTATTCTTTTTTCCTATCTCTTTGATAAGGTTGTGTTGACCCGATATGATAGAAAATCTTCTTTCATTTGGCTATTATAGGTCATGATCGTGATTATCATCATCGTACCGACGAGCGCGAACGAAGTAAATTTAACTAAAAGCAAATTACCATACAGATTTTTATAAAATGCATCGTATTGTTATTTAGATGATCGTCATCGTCCTCGCGGTCGTTCATCGCATTCACGTACGCCTCCACAACAGAAAACAAAACGGCAATCATCGAGTTCCAGTTCATCATCATCATCATCATCATCTTCGTCATCATCGTCGTCGTCATCGCGGAGTTCATCTGGCTCGTATGTTTTTATTTGAAATTGTGTTTCTATTTGCAATAATCATCCGTCGTTTTCGTTGTTTTTAGACCTCGTAAAAACGATCGAAAGTCACCTGTGGATCAAAGAAAAGCTAAAACTGTACCTATTAATTCTGTGTAATAATCTTGTTATGTCTTTAATCTAACATTTCTTTTTGTTCATGTCGAAGAACAATAAAAACAAATGTTATCATTGTTGTTTTTCTCTACATTCTTTTTGTCTCTTTCAGATATTGACAAACCGTCAAATACAAATAACTAAACGAGAGTTTTCTTTCTCCATGGTTGATACAACATCGCCCCATGCAAACGACACCAGTGGTGAGAATAATAATGACTCCTCAATGGCATTTATGCGTCCGCGAATCTTACTGACCGGTCTTCGTCGATCTGGGAAAACTTCGATTCAACGGGTTATATTTACAAAAATGCAGCCATCACAAACCCAATTTCTTGAATCGACACCACAGTTAGTAACCAATCATTTTTCTTGCGGTTCGTTCATCAATTTTCAAGTACAAGAATTACCCGGTCAATTGCATGTATTTCCATCATCACAATCGTCAAGTGTAACTGGTGAAACCAATGAGCAGTCGTCATCGTATGATGACGATGCTACACATATGCTTGGCAGCGGCTATGATATAGAACGACTGTTAAAACGATGTCATGCTGTTGTGTATATCATTGATGCTCAAGATGATTATAGTGAATCAATTGCGCGTTTGAATATGATTATACAATTAGGTTGTACTGTAAATCCAAAAATTCGATACGAAGTTTTTATACATAAAGTCGATCAGTTATCTGAAGAAGCAAAAGCAGATACACAACGAGATATTCATAATCAGGTATGAGAGGAAGCTCGATGAGAAGAAGAAGATGATGATGATGATGACGAAATTTGTTTAGGTAAGAGATCGTTTTACTGATACCGGTAATGAACTAGATCACTGGCCATCGACGCCATTCTCATCCAATGCAAATCCTCGTGGAGTGTTAATTAATTTTCATTTAACATCCATTTATGATCATTCGATATTCGAAGCATTCTCGAAAGTAATTCAAAAATTGCTTCCACAATTCGGCCATCTGGAATATTTACTCAACTATCTTCTTTCGGCATCAAATATCGAGCAAGCATTTCTGTTCGATATTCAAACGAAAATCAGTATCGCAACTGATTCAACTCCAACGGATATGCAAGTAAGTTCGATGGTTATTTTCCTTCAGTAAAAAGACATTCTTCTGTTGAAAGATGTATGAGCTATGTTGTGATATGATCGATTTATTAATTAACATGAGTGAAATCTACGGACAACCCAGTGGAAACGACGGTGACGAAATTGAAAACGATGTTGATTATGATCCGACAAACGAACATGAGATGAATGGTACTCATTCAGCGGCAGAAGATCCGTATCAAAACGGTAAGACCGATTGTTTCGAATCTTCTGTTCCCTATCGCTTGAATTCCTTCAGGTCCAAGAGCAATCGAGCAGCAGTGCTATTCAGAGACAACCGACGAACCTGCGTTTAACGTATTTGATTCCATGTCATCGAGTGTTATCAAGCTAACCGGTGGTCGTGCACTCTATCTCAAAGAAATCAATCACCATCTTGCACTGATATGTGTCTTACGCGAGGAAGCATTGGCAAAACAGGCGATTATTGATTATAATGTTAAACAATTGAAAGATTCGATTTTAAAACTGTTTCGTTTAAATCAGGAAATCACAGAATCTTCAATGACATCATAGGTTTCATTTATTCCTGTTTTTCCTTCTACTTCATTTCTATCTTTCTCCCCCTAAATCCACCAATCTCTATCAGGAATGCGTGTTTTCTCTTGTCTTGCTAAAAGCCCTTCTTTTCCGCATGTGTGAGCATTGTTCTTGTACATAATTACCTATTCCTTTGCATGAAAGAACAGTAGTGCTCTCTTGTTGTCTGTATTTTGATGGATGAAGCATTATAGTTTATGTTTTCCCTTTTTCCATCAACTCTCTTTTTCTGTGCATTTGGCACAAACAGTGAAATTGTTTGTTTAACTATTTTTTCGTTGTTCTTCTTCTGCTTGATATCTTTTTATCGACGAATATGTTCGCACAACCAAATCGTGTTCGCATCCAACTAACTATACATATGTATTTTGTTCGTTTTGTTCACTTGTGCACAGAACATTTCGTTAATAAAAGACAAAAACATCAACGAAATCGTCATTCGTAACGGCATACCTGTTCGACTTCGCGAATAATTCTGTTTAGGAACTGATTTATTTTCCTTTGAGTTCTGTTTAAAGACAACATATTGATCGAAGGCCATTCTGCTCATTAATCTTCTGTTTGCAAAGACTTTTTAAGTCTGTTATTTCAATAGAAGCATTTTCAAAGACTTTCTGCATAATCACGTCGATGAAAGTAATCAAAGAGAAAAGAAGTATGTATTTATCATTAAACATCGACTTGTTCTCTGTTTTGTTTATAGCAACGTAAATGTTGCTCCTTAGTTTTGCTATTTTTTTTTTGTTTAAATAAAATTTTATTATCGTTAAGAAAAAAATGTTTCTCATTCCGTGAATTGACGTTGTGTTTGTCTAATGCAGGGAGAGGGAAAGAGAATGAGGGCAGTTTCTAAGGGGAAATCGATGGTTTTTTTTTCGTTAGTTTGTTTGGTCGTTAAGAGAAACTTGACAATGCACTTTATTGAAGCTAGAAAAGACAACAAAAAGTGATTCATCACCAGCTATTACTAAACTACTGTTACCATTCGATTCTATTCTCTCTCTCTTTCTCTTGTTTCTTTTTCTTTCGTCGCCTTCGTTACACATTCGCTCCGCTATATAAAATTTCAGCCCAAGTCGTATATTCTGTCAGTCAGTCGCAACAAAGAGACGCGCAGGAGCAAANTCGGTACTCGCGGGGCATAGCCTAAAGAAACAAATGCATGAGACGTTTTACAAGAGAAAGTACTTACGATTGAGTTCAGGTATCCATTTACTCAAAATATTCGAATAACTATCGGGATCGACAACGGAAAAACACAGAATAAATACATTTGTATTCGGATAAGCCATGATACGAAGTTGATCATATTCTTCCTAGAAAGAATTCGTTGAATATGAAGAAAACAACCGAGTAATTCTCCTTCTTCTGTATTACTTGTCCAGCACTATCGAATAGATTAAGAATATACTTTCGATTGTTCAATGATACTGTTGCTAGAAGAGAACGTAGACATAAAAACAAAATTATTTTCATCTGCTGTTGACTCACCTGCATAATTCTCAAAAATCGTCGGAACATAAGGATCTTGTGGGTATTCTCCATCTTTATAAACTATACATAGTGTGGTCTACAAATAGAAGCTTAGTTAAATCTAGAAGTCGACGAATGTTTTCTCCTACTTTGCCAGTATAGCCATCGCCTGGAAAGATGAGACCGAAAATATGCGAGAATTTGTTTTCATCATTAATGTAACTTACCGACGACAACGATTTTGATTTCTTCGATTGTCGAAGATGCCATTGTCGGTCTATAGTTGTTCGGATCTAATTTTGGCATGTTCTGTAATAAAGAAAGAAGAGAATGAAGGCGTATGAGTTCAAACATCTGACAATATTCTCATGCTTCTTTTTACTAGAGAACAAACTAATCGATCATTCATATAAAAAAAAAAGAAACAAATCGAAGCACAATCGTTCAATATTTGATAATAATTCTTCTTTTCTTTTTTTCTCATATACCTTTGCCTGTAAATGTACTGTTAATAAACATTGATAACAGCTCGATTGCTGCTTTATGATTAGGTTCGAGTAAATGTGAGAAGGTATGGACAACGAGCGAACAACAAAAAGCGAGTCGAACGTACGAACAGTTTTTTTCCTCTTTCTCTCTTCTCACTTTACAGATGACCTAAAGAGGAGAAGAAAGAGATGCGATGAGACGAATGAAACAAAATGATTCATTCAAATAAATGCGATCGAATCTTTTATTTATGAATGTACATATATTCGAGCATATGCATTGATTCAAGAATCTGTGCTCACTCAACGAATCGGAATGAGAAGAGCTCGTTTTCGAATCCAACACATTTCTCTCCGCAAAAAATAATAATCTAATCAAGAATTAATTGAACGATTTCATAGCTATGCAAGATCTGTATGAACATTTACTCTGCTTACCTCGAAGTATGCAAATGATGACAATGAATAGTATGTTCAAGGTGAAAATTTTTGTTGATGTTGGCGATATATATACACACGCTTACATACTCAACGAAATACAAAAAAAAGAGACGAAAGGGATAGAAAAATGAGAAGAACCCTTTTTCTTCTTCTTTGTCGTCGTATTCAAAGAGATGTGCTCTTTCTTTAGGCTTCTGTTCTCTTTTCCTCTCGTTCTTCTTTGCACTTTTTCTTTTTTTTCAAAGAGGTGTGATTTAATAATTTTCATCTAGAATTTCTTTCATCAAAACAAGCAATCGATTAAATAGAGTAATCAATAGCCATCGTCCGTCGAACTATCAAGTATAGACAACGAATCGGAGCAGAATCCCTGTGAACTTTATTTTCATTTACAATTTAGAAACAAAAAAAGCTACACACACACGCACGCAGAGGAAAGTCGTGAGAATCTTAATTGGTAATGTTATGGCCAATTGCATTGACAACTTCAATGAAAAATGGAATGAAACTGCAAATAGCAAATATGGGCCAGAATGAAACACTACACCAACGAGTAAAAACCATGAATGCGAGTGCAATGGCGCCAGCTGAATGAAATAAGGTTGCTAGAGAAGAGAAAAGATCAAAGAATGATCTTTTTGATTGATTGAAAAGAGAAACGAACGTACTCGCAAATGTCACTTTGTTTCGAAGTAAACTCGTTCCAAGTAAAAATATAATCAATTCGAAAACAAGCAATGCAATCGATAACGATAGTGCAACGATAAATCTAAATTGTTCGACATCAAAAGGAAGACAATTCGAAGCAAATAACTTACTGATTACGAATTGCTGATCGATCGTTCGAACTACAATAATCAACATATTGATCCTAGAGTGACAACGAATAGATTTCAGTTTCCAATCGTTCTTTCGTTCAACATATACATACGAATTCCTTGAAGATCATAATCAGAATAGAAAGATGTGCCGACATAGCGGTAAAACGCGCAAAGATTCCATTCGCTGTGAGCATCTGGAAAAACAAATACGATCTGCTAAAATTTGTTTCATAAACATGACTAAAACTGACATAAAAAAAAGCTCAAGAAAGAACCCTTGTTTATTTGCAGTATAAGAACAGGAAAAAACCATCAGCGAAATAAAAGCGAATAAAACAAAAACAAGTAACAGACATGGCATGAACAGAACGAACAGACGTTCGCTAGCAAGATGAAAACGAAATACTAGAAGATTTCGATCCTCTTAGTCTTCAAAATGATTATTGGTTACTTGTATCGAAAGCGAATATGTTTATTAAGAACCAATGATAACCAGCGGAAAATAGAGTAGTAGAGATTTCGATATGAATCAGATTGTTTTCTGAGAGAGGGAGAGAGAGAGAGAGAGATGTAGTCATTAAAAAAAGATTATGGTAGATTTTGATATTGATGAGTATATCCATTCTGCGGCTGCTGTTGTTGTTGTTGTTGTTGTCGCTGTTGTTGTTGCTGTTTGAGAAAACCTAGATCTACGAAAAGTATGTCACCATTTGCAGCTATGATCATATTTTGTTTCGTCATTGCCATCGTTGCTGCTTCACTATCTAATTGGAATAATTCAGTGACAACATTAGTATCATCTTGGCCGATTTCGAGAACACGTGACCAATGCTTTTGCCATTGTCCATTAAAGTATTTGCCTGACGTCATCGTGTCTAGGATATAGCATTTATCGTTGTTAATGGCTTGAACTGAACATGGCCAACGTAGCCGTTGAGTTGCTAATAGATCAGCATCGATGATTTTGATGATATTACCAGAATTTGCGTCGCAAATATGCAACGAAAATGTATAAGCGATACCTAAACGAATTCAATCAATAGTAGAGCGTCTCGTATCTTTTAGAAATCATTTACCTTGATTATAGTAAGGTTTACATGAATGTTCAACGATCATATATAACTTTTGTCCGTAAACAGAAATCAATTTCGGTCGTGCTAAATAAAGAATGCCAGATTCTATTGAAATTATATACAAATATCGTCACTTACCTTCATCGTATTGTTCGGAATGGTTAAAGATTCTCCATTGTGTAATATATTCTAATTTATCATCAAACTTAATCACACATGAATTTCGATAATCGCACACATAAACATCGCCACGTGTATTATCTGTATCGATGCCCAATGGTAAAAATGTTCCCGTTTCACCTGTTGAATCCGTTTCTAAAAATAAACGAATAATACAAAAGCAATCAAGCCCTTTTCTTTTTCGTACCTTTAACACTGTCTAGTGTTTGTCCGGTATTGATATCAATCATGCTAACTGTTTCATCGTGTGAGATATAAGCAATGTTTTGTAATTGATGTTTTTTCGACACAGCAATACCTCGAATGCTAGGTGCTAATGGAATGGTCTTCAATGTATTACCATACTCATCGAGTATATACAACTTGTTGCATATGCCTAATAGAATTTTCTTGTTGTTTTCTGTGATTGTAATTGCTTCGGGTTCCAATGTTGATAAATGATCGATTTTTAAATATTTGAATGGAGTAATATTTGTCGAAGTCTGTTCCTGATGAAATGGTGATAATGATCGTATCGGTGCGGGCGGCGAATGGAAACGTTGATGAGATTCCTTTTGATTATAAGTTATTTGTCCGATGGTATCTGCGTCTAATGCTCGATGTCCTTCGGAAAATGTTAAAGCACTGCGTGGTTCTTTCTCCTGTTCAACTGCTTGACGAATACTACGAATATCCGCTTCAATTTGTTCAAGATTAGCCCATAGTTGCTGTTTGTTAGTAGGAGTATTATTATGTAACTTTAGACGTTCTAATTCTGTTCGAACAGTATTGCTGTCTGCAGCTAAATTAGCGTAGATACGTTGCTTTCGATGATAGTGTTCAGTTATGTCTTCATCGAGACGCGTGGCGATGTTTTTGACTTCGTTATGAATCGACGATTCTTTTCGATGAATTTGTTTTTGTATATCCTCGTAGTCATGTTGTAAATGTGTGATTTGCTCTTCAATTTCACGTTCTAATCGTTTCTGATCCGATAGTAAAAAGTCAACGCGTGACGAAACAGCAGTTGTCAACGATGATGCGGGTGCTGCTGGAGTTGGAGCAAGATAGTGGGAATCACGTTCAACGGATGTGGATACTGCACGATTTGTTGGCGTCGATGGGCCATTACCAACCTGTGAATGAGCACGAGAAGAATAGGTTGTATGAACCGGTGGCGGTACATTAGTTTCAGGATTAAAACGTTCGGTTAATAAAGGATTAGTCTACAATTTTTCAAAAACGTGATCAAATTAAAGAATTTCAAAAACAAATCTTTACCTCAGTGGGTGTCATGTGTCGTCTTGTGTCCGCGTAACTCGATGCACGAGTTGATATTGATGAGATCGATTGCCGTTTTATTGTACTATCTCCATCCAAATCGATCACGTCAATGTTCTGCGGTGGCGGTGGAAATCGGTCGGATGATTTTCTCGATGATGAGTTCGCTGAATAAGTACGGTGTGACATTTTGTCATCCTGTTGCGGTGGAATGGATTTTTGTTGCTGATTGTTCGTTAAGGATGGAACAGGTGAATGTTTGGATGCGGATTCCGAATCACTACTGTCAATGCTATCAATCAGACTAGCCGCAGGACTGCGTTGCCGTGGTTTAACACTAGCGTAGACTAATTCGTCTACAGTTGTTTGATGGCGATCCTCATTTGGAATGATTTGAGAAACATTTGATGGACGACCATTTGATTGAGCGTCAAACATGGGTCCCTGGGGCAATACAGATGTTGTTTTTTCACCTGATTTTTTGTGGATAGATGCAATAATCTCTTGAAGATTATCAACGCCTGAATTTCGATAAGATGATGACGAGGACGATGCTGAGATCGGTCTCTCGGTGTCTTGAGGAGGCTGATGGTGGTTTTCTTTTGCCGTTTGCCACTGATCAGGAAAGGGAGGAGCTACTGGCGTTCTAATAAATCTAATTTAATTTAATCTTTTCAAGCAAAATCTAACTTACCCATGAACAAGATTATCCCATGTAATTTCTTCGTATGCTACTTCATACGCCTGAGATGGTCGTTTAATCACAGACGATGACGTTGGTGTCAATTGTCGTTGTGGTCGACTGGATGCTTGTTCGAAAATTCTTGTTAGTTCATCATTTCTACCTGTCGATACGACACTATCAGTTCGTTGTTTGTGTTGTTGTTGTTTAGGTGTTATTGTCGTTGCTTCAGTATAGATTTTTGCAAGATTAGAAACATTCGATTGCGCACCGTTCACACTTGATGAACGGGATGATCGAGCACCATTGATCGACCCATTTTCCGATGATTTGCCGTTGAATACATTCACAAGAGCAGATATCCCATGGGGATTCGATCCATTCGATGCGGTTTCGAAATTATTACTATCGGTTGCACTTGATTTACGTTTATCTTGCTTACTTGGCATTGGTGTCGATGGAGGAAGCGACGGTGGTTGATATATAACTGGTTTTTTAGGCGACGGAAGGACTGGAAGAGGACGAGTATTCATACGCCATTCTTGACTCAAGATAAGATTACGTGGTAAATCGTTCAAGTCCGTTTCATCAAAAGGTTCAACCTAAAAGAACGTTTTTCTTTCGTTATTGTCAATGTCGTTGTTGAAAGAACAGAAATAAGAGTACGTCAATTTAGGATTCTTTAATTTGAAAACTGATACCTTTCAATCGATGTTTGTTGCAAAAGAGAAATTCAAAGAAAATAAATAACTTTCATTTTCACTCACTCTCTCTCTCTCGCGCGCGCTGTTCGTTTACGCACTCATGTAGGTAGATGTGTTACTCAAAAAGAAAAAGAATCTGAAGGGACATACATAAGTATTTTTATCTTTGATTTATTTCTTTTGCGTATTTAATAAAAAAAAAAGCGGCGAGAAATCTTTTCTTCGTAGTGTTATTCTTTCCTTCGGAAAGAAGAAAAATAACACATCAATCTTTTCAGCCAACTTACTTGATTTTTGCATTTTGGACAAGTCACTTGTTGATTGCTGATCAAATTCTCACGGATGCAATTTAAACAATATGTATGAGTACATGGTAATACGCGAGGATCTTTGTATTCATGATTGCATAGCGGACATGCATGTACCGTTTCTTTTTGCACGGGTGGCGGCGCTGCACTGCGTACGGTAACGCCACGACTACCGCCGTTTTTTGTACTATTTAAACTACTTGAATTGCTTATGGAACGACTAACAAAAGATGTTGAAGTCTGTCCAACTCCGTTATTTAAACGTGTCGTTGGATAATTGCTTGCTACACGCGACATTATCTTTACTGCGTATTCTTATGTTGATTTAATGATAGTAAATCACATTCGTTTGACGTTTCGGACAAAAAATATATTTAAGAACCGATAGTTTTAGTAGTTATGGTTCTCCATCAAATAAATACACACATCTGAAATAGAAGGAAGAAGGAGAAGGAGAACAAGAAGAAGAAAAACGAAATGTATATCGATCGTCTTAAAAGACGATAAATGAAAAGAGAGAAAGAGAAAAAAAGTCGTTGCAGCGTTTCGTTTTTTTCTTTCGAACATAGCATATTGTCAGATCCTTTGATAAAGAGTATTATTCACTACTCAATAGGAGTATTCGTATCGTGTATGTATTACGACTATTCTCTCAAAGAATCATATCAATATTTGAGTTTTTGAACAAATCGTGAATTTGTAATCGAAGATTTCATGGTATGAGCAATGTGAAACGTTCTCGCCAAAAATAAAATTTGCCTAGGAGAAGCAGACGGAAGCAATGAATAACCGACGGTGAAGTGAAGAAGAAGAAGAAGAAAAAGAAAAGAGAATTTGCAACGATGTTTGTCGAATCACTTCAAGTGAGTGTATAAATAAGTATATGTATGCGAATGCGCATAAGATCTCTGTTGTTCATCACTTTCAGCTACTAGTAGCAATTCATCAAGCACTTGGCTACTGGCAATTTTTGATTTCTATAAATGACAAGAATGTCAAGAACGAGAAAAAGAACAAAAAATGAAAGTTTATCAAAACATGAAAACTATGTGAAGAGAAAACGTTCTTCTTTTTCAATGAAAGGCAAAAAATGTGAGAAACAATAAACAAGGGAGATTTATCTGCCCAGATCGAATAACTCAAGCACGCGTTCAATTAGATAATTGAATAGGAAAATGAAGGATTCAATAGGGCTACTCAAGGATTAGTCTCGGCTTGATAATCGAACAATATAAAGAGTCATTCTAATTGCTCTTCACTCTCATTTCTTTGCGTGACCGTACTGTTAGTTGTGAGATTAAATCGACAAGGAGGAGACTAATTTCTGCTCTTTGTCTTACTCTTCGTTTTTTCTTCTTGTTGTTTCTTGTCGTTATTATTCTCTTTACTCAATATGACCCTTCCTTTTGTTCTCTCTCATTTTTCGAACCAATACGCGAATATGTATAGACGTTTTTCTCGTTGTCCTATGACATATATACACGAGCCTAAAAGCAACAAAAGCTCCGTCATATTCTCTCAGGCAAACAAATATAAGGAGTACAGACAACATCACGTTGTTGAACATTGTTTTACTATTTAATAATCATTGAAACAAAACATATGTATGTAGTTCGACGTACCGGCGATCGGAAATATTCATATCTAAACATGAGTGTAGCATAATAGATTACCTAACTGTGTCAAGTATTGAGTCAATGTGTGAATGAGATTATGCGAAGGTAACTTCAACATCACATATGTCCATGAAGATTAGCTATTAATGATTCGTCGACAATAACGAACAGTACGAAATACTTTGACGAATTAAAGACAAATTCACTTTTGTTTTATACGATAGATAATCTTTGTACTCAACAAGATCATAAATCGGCGAAGAATGACCATAAATGAAATGATTTTATATGGAGCAAAACTTCAATCATGTTTACTGAGAATTGTTTTGTTATTCTCGATGTAACTCTAGCCTAATAACCAGACAGTCAAGTGTGAACTTTGATGTGTACATGTGATCAATGAAGTGGTAATACAAATAAATAGAACAGTGACGCAGACGCACGATTTTAACTAGTCTACTGATTAGGTTAATGTCCCTCGAGCGTTTTATTTCATTTGATTTTACAGACCTACTACGTTCTTTCGTTATCTATAGGCAAATAGTAAAAGTCGATGATTACCTTTTTTTTTTATACAACTTGTAAAAAAAGAAGTCGAAGATTTTTCATGATCTTTTATCTGAAATATTGAGAGTAAAAATTTTTTTTTCCAAATAAATCTGATATGAATGAACTAAATATAAGAAAAAACAAACATTTTTTTTATTATTATAAACGCTGTCGAACAGTTTTATATATCGCTGCTGTGCATTCGATCAGAAATGGTACGCAACTGCAGATAGCAAAAATAGGCCAGACGCGCAGAGCACATTGATATTGGAGAAGAAAAAAGACAAGACCGACTGCTGCTGATAGATGAAGAATGATCGCTATAAGAAATAATTTTAGAGAATGTTTGTCGCGAGTTGTTATTCTACGAACCGAGAAAGGAACGAGCATAGTTAATTGATGTGATACCAAGAATTAGAGGAATCAGTTCGAATACACAAAAGGCAATGGCTAATGAGTGAGCAACGAATAATCTAAATATCAAACAATGAAAAATGAATTGAATTCCCTGTTTTTTATATTTACTGATTTTTATATGAAGTCTGTGATGCATCGTTTTCACAACCAGTTACATTGCGTTCCTACAGGAAACACAATCAATAAATGTCACAAATGATATTGAACGTACCCAGCTCCAAAAACAGAGTGCAATAGCAAGCAAATGTAGTACATGAGATAGAAAACGAGCAGAAACCAATCGTAGATACATTGTCAATTCGAAGATAAGTGTTCAATATCCAATACGAATCAGTCTATCGCAGGACTCATCGAGATGTCATCGTTAGCAATTGTCACCTCGCGACAGCCTTCATTGCTTCAGTCAATCAAATACTTTCCAAATAAATTCTATATATCATAAAAATCATTAAATGAGAAGAATTCCGTTCTTTTCGAATTAATTCGATATTTAACGCCTCGTATACGATAACAAATTCATTGGTCAAAAAGAGCACCAATGAAAATCTTGCTTCTCTTTGTTGATCGTGCCAATATTATTCATTGAGGTTAGTTATCAATTATGACAGATCTGAAGCCTATTGTACCCAGCAGTGAGTATTGTAGTTTAGTCTTTTCTGTTTGGTATCATAGTTTCTTATTTATTCCCATAGTTGTTGTACAAGAAGAAGGCTCACGAAAAGTATTGGTGTATTTAAATATTCCTGAACTAAAAGTCAAACGATCATTTCCAAACCTACTCAAACAAGTTCCATCAAATGGAGTTCAAAGAACGCTTGAGTTTCGTGATCAGTAAGTCGTCGATAAATTTTGATATAGGAAAGTCGAAAGAATTACTTTTTTGATCTTTAGGTCATTCACATTCACATTGAATGTTCAAACAAAAAACAATCAAACAAAAATCTATTCATTGGCAGTCGCACGTCTACCAGGTGAAATTCATCCTCAACAATGCTCAATAAAAGTTCGTTTTCGTGTAAATCAAACTGATGCCGTTCAAACGAAATTTTCATCTCTTATAGTATCAACGTGGCGGCTGTTGGATTACAATGGTTAAAGTTGAACCGATGGGTTGGATGAATCGCATATGTGATGACATGAGTCCGGGTCTAGATATAGAAGAGAATGACGGTCAAACGCCAGCCGCATCAGCGCCTGAAGAACCTGTTCAACTACGAGATACCGATATGCCCCCACCATTCAATCTAGTACCAATTGCTCCATCACCTCCTTGTCGCGCACCATCGACTAAATCACCTGCACCACTGCCACCACCATCATCATCATCGGCGACATCTAACAATTAACTACAGCAATTTAGATACTCATGAAATTTCTGACAAAATCTATCAATATGAGATATGTGTACCAATTTGTGTTTTTTTTTGTACTTTGTTTATTTGCAATGCACGACTTTATGTATGACATTCTTGGTGTTTTTTTTATTCTAACGCACGTTGAAATCAAAATAAAATAAGAGAACATCTTGGGATACTTGTGTCATTCTTTCTTACACAAACGTAGTAGACTGGACGAAAGAGCATTCAATATGAATATATAAGATAGACCTCACCATTTGATTTCCACATACAGTGCTGACCAAAAATATAAGAAAAGTTTGTTTTTTATTCATGTACTTTTATGCTTTCAACAATAATTTGAGTCTCTAGAAATATGCATTGGAAAATACTCTATCAAATGGTGTAGACAGATTTTGGGGTGTGGACAGAGGAGGATTTCTGCTACAAAGCTAGTTACTTTTCAATTTTCCTTGGTAGCTCGAAAGAGGAGAAAGAGCAAGGATCTACGAAGAAAACATATTTTTACTTAAATTTTGGAAGAAAATCTGTATTTTTCACGTTTTTAAGTAAAAAAATTGTCCTTTGCTGTAGTACATATACATATAAAACTTGAAACCAGAATTCAACTATCGCCTCAATCATTCGACTGAGAACGCTTCGGGGAGTGACGAATACTCGAATAGTTGAAAAGATGGTTAAATTCAAGTTTCTAGTTTGACGCTACTGACTTCTATCAGATTTGATGACAGAATCTCCGAAACATTGATGACCTCATCATTACGAATGATCTATACGTCATCGCACTATGACAATTTATTTCTAGGAATATATACTCTATCGAAGAACGTTCATGGATAGATACAATATGGCGACAAGGTGAGGCAACAGTTGTGTTATTCAGATAGACTTTGTGTTAATATCGATGAAAAAAAAATTTATATGGTGGATTCATCAAACCATCGAATTCTTGATACAAAGTGACTACTGGAGGAAATGGATGCGGCAATGATTAAAATCATTTGAATTGTATAACTGATGCCATGCTTGATAAATCGCATAGGTATATTTGATCATTTGTGATTATAGAAATCAGCACCTATACCAGATATTGATTGTTGACAACTGACAACGAAGTATGATGAAGGTCTCTATGCTTCAGCTCATGAAAAACGTGAAGTTCGATGATGAAAGGATGCAGAAGCAAACGAAAAGATTGTTGCTGTTGTTGGAGGACAAAGCGATACCTTTTCAAGATTGCCCAATCCTCACGGGCTTGTTGTTGATCATATAGGAAATATTTATGTAAATGGTCCATCGAATCATGCGTTGGTGCAAAAATACTCGTCAAGGTTCGATTGTTGTCGGAGGAAACAGTTATGGCTAACAACCAAGTCAATTTCATAAGGATATTGGATCGGCGTGAAGCTAGCATGACGGAGCTAAAATATCGTTTGATCGTGCTGGCTTCACACTGATGAAACGGTGCCTCATCATAATAATTAGTAGTTTTTATGAACGGGACTTATTTAGTAAAAACAGTTTTTAGTTGAACCTTTGCTTCATCGTGTTAGCTCCACGCCGATGATGTTTTTCGATTACTCCTACTAGTCCGTTTTGTACAGAATTAAAAGCTCTACGATGTATGGCTTCAAACCTATTGAGAGTTCAAATACAACGAATAGGAAATCATGGAAACTTCATGTGTCTTCTTTCTACAAACATGATTTTAAATCTTCATGAAAAACGCTCCGAGTGTTCATTTAACTTCCACTATGAGATATCTGAGGCGTGTATTTGGAAACAAAATCAAGCTTGGATCCTTCCTGACTAGTTTCAAATTCATGAAGGTTGTATTTAAATGATGGAAGAAGAAGAAAAAATATGTTGTCGCTATGCTTTTTTAATATAGATCAGGTTTAGACATGCAGGAAGAATACTTTCAGACAAGGACGGTTCACATTTTTGTAAAAACAAACCAAACTGAACCGTACCCATACCTAAAGCTCACGTTGTTTTATATGCGAATACTGTCGGGAATTTCTCAATATAAAGAAAGTCTGAAAAATCGATTCCTCTATATGACGTTTATTATTTTTTAAAATTCAGTCGAGGGTAAAGCGAGTCACCCTCGACGAGCGTTACTTGTTTTTAAACATGAACCGTACATGGCAGAATTGCAAATCCATACAAAAAGATGAAGATAAGAAATCTTCACTGTATTTCTTTATGTTTGCATTTATACCAATTTCGTTGTTATATAAATTATTTTTCAATAGTTTGCGTGAACAGTTCAGCTTCTTTGAAAAATAATGGTATTTCACGATATTTTTCATTCTTTGTGTTGCCTGACGGAACAATTTTAAGTTTCACAACATCTGTAGAGACCTTTTCAGGTTTCGAGAATTGAAAACTATTTTACAGTTGCATCTGAAGACCATCCAAATGCTCCGCTGGTCATCTATTAATTGGAGCTTGTTTACTTCCTATCTGTGGTACAACATCTTTCGTAATTTCGTAACATACAAATCGATTTCGAATATCATTAATGAAATGAATAAATTTATCGTAAGTACCATTATAGTTTCGTACATACCACATAGAACTCGGTATAGTATGGTTCAATCACACGAAACGATCTGAACCCCTTTGGAACTCTGGTAACTTAGTAAACTACTAACACTTTGCTTCATAAAACTGTTCAAGATTAAATATAGGGTTAAAAAAATTAGTTTATTCTACAAGATCAACTCGCTTCGTGAAGAAGCTTGAACACTCCGAATTTAGAACAACTGCTAAACGGCTTGTTTTTTTTTTATATAGATACGAAATATGATCATTGTTGATCTTATTGATAAAATTTACAAGAAAAATAGAACACTGTGTTACACTCTTTCATTAGTCATAAAATAGACATAATCTGCAGTATTTTGTCATAGATGAGTTATATTAATAATTGCTGATATTCTTTTGATTCCTAGCAATGTAATTTCATTATCACTCGTTTTCGTTGTCAGATCTGTATACCGCCGCATGTACACGTACCTCTTGGAGAATATAAGCTTGTATACATCTCCTTTGTTCCTTAAAATAATCCGGATATTTCATTCTATAATCATAACAATCTGTATTGAACATTTGTAATTGTTCGATTGATGATGAATGCATAGAAAGCAGATTATTTTAATCATGAAAACATATTGAACAAATGGCATCGCTCACATATAATTCTTCTTTGTACATTTAATTATCTTTCCTTTTTGTTTTTCTTCAATTGTCATCGAATATCTTTTTGCAATGTGTCGATGAGAACTTCTTCGAATGACAGATGAGGAAAAAATAAAACAAGAATAGCATTTAACATATGGATATACGTATATGCAGTCTCCATTTTCCACTTGAGAAAACTAATCGATTTCTTAAGTGTTGACTCACAAATGAACAGTATGATCAGTGAGTAACAAAAAAGTCTTTTATGCATATATGATTCAATTGGAGACGAAATCAGAATGAAAAAAAAAAGATGTAAAATAAATATAATCGATTGAATTTTTTCCTTCGTCAAGTATTTACTTAATGGATTGAGCCAATTGAGAAAAATACTTATTCAAATGGATTTTCCTAGCAAACAATAATCTATATATCTCTAACCGTAAGAAAAACCGCGTCTATGTTTACAATCAACGATCCCTTTCTTTTGTAGTTGTCTTTTATCGACAATATCTTCAAGTGACTCTTCATTGGCATCACAATATCAATACACAGACATTGATAAGGTCACATTACCACCTGATCATTTACAACTACTGAAGAAACACCCTGAGGCTTGTTTCATATGCATCTAGATCCTTTTCTTCTTCTTTGTTCATTAATCGAAAATGTCTGTTGCCTATTTTACTGTTTGATGATGATGATGGCACTCAAATGAAAGATTTATACTTATCACTTTGTTCGCTTTTTTTCTTCATTCAATGATTGGCTGTATCAATGAACACGATTGGATTGGATGTTACCATCTTATTTTCTCTTCTTCTCTCTTTCTCTTTCTTTCTCAATCAATTAATCGTCTTTTCATTTGATGAAATCGAGTTCATTAAGAGTACAAACACAGTTTTTCTCCATGTCAGATCCGATACCGTCTGATGATATTGAAAGTATTCCTTCGAATCATCACTCTTTGTCCGATTTTTCAATCGATCTAAGTTCTCATTCACCTCAATCATCAATATGCGATGAAACTGATGAAAAACAATATTCATCAATGAAACAACACGATGCCAAACCGCCCTTTTCTTACATTGCATTGATTACAATGGCTATCTTGCAATCACCTTCGCATCGTTTAACATTGAGTGGTATCTGTGATTATATTATGCAGCATTTTCCTTATTATCGTGAGCGTTTTCCCGCCTGGCAAAACTCAATTCGCCATAATTTAAGTTTGAATGATTGTTTTCTCAAAATTCCGCGATCACCAGGTAGTCCAGGTATGCTACAAATAAGTTAAATGATCTCGCTTAATTATGTTTTCATCTTCAGGCAAAGGGAATTACTGGACATTAGATCCAGCAAGTGAACATATGTTTGATAACGGTTCATTTCTACGTCGTCGCAAACGTTTCAAACGTTTAAATCAGTACTTTTCACATGACTTACCGTCATCATTACCACTTATTCCTCCGATGCAATACTATCCATTACTACCAGCACTTACTCTTCCGTTACCAACGTCAACTATTTCCACAGCATCGAAAATGTCGTTCACCATAGATAATCTAATTGGAACTCGTCGATAGAGCAATTGATTCTCTTCTCAAGTAAATAAACCAATCCACATACGAATTCGTTTAAATAAACATCGAGGATAAATATCATTTCTTGTTATTCAAACAATTTCCATGTATGCGTTCGTTTTCTTTAAAAAGGAAATAATAATTCGTTTCTCGGACATCCGCCGATTGTTGATGTAAGCAAGAGTGATGATGATACGGACTGCTGTTCGAATGGAAAGCAATAACAGTTTGATTCATCGTTTGATATCCCATCGATGTCGATCTAATGTGAGAATGAACACAGCTGTGTACAATTGTTGCAGAAAATTACATTTTTCAAGATTCACGAATGTTAATATCGAGCAATTCTATCGTGTGTATGAGGTGACTTGTGATAAGAGGACGAGTACGATCATATTTTCTAAAGCTAAGCTTGATTGCAATGTCAAGAAAATCTTTATAGTAGTCTGAGAAATACCGTGCCGTTATTGTTTTTTTTTTCGTTTTATTCTTGTTAAATAGCGATAAACATATCTTCAATGATGCAACTTTGTCTGATATGATGATCGAACATTGAAGGGAAAGAAAACAAAATCGAAATAACCGGCGAATACACACAAATATGAATAGAATGTCTAGGTGAAAACATGTTACAAAAAATAATATACAGAAGAATAATTTTAGGTATCAGTCGGTTGTGACAATGCAAGAAGAATCATTTTCAATTCCGCTTTGCTGATCTTTTTATCGCGATTATGATCACAACCATTCAATAGAGTCCGTTTAAATTGCTGTAAATCTTCATGATCGTAATCCTAGAAAGAAGAAATTGTTGAGCATATCATTTGAAACTGATTTCAATTTACTTTTTTAATCAAATCCATGAGATCTTTAACAAAGCCGTCTAATTCATCCTCTTCGATTATTTCATTTCCATCCTAAATCATAGTCGGATAATAAGTATGCAAACGAAATCGTTCGTTTACTTTATCGTAGAGTTGAAATACACGATCTAGATCCTGAGGTGTTATCGTTGAACAGCCCTAGAACACAAATGATGCGATATTTAAGACAGATTATCATTCAGAAAACAATTACTTTAAAAATTGGACGTAAAAGAAAGTTCTCTTTTACTGGTAATAATCTAAAAATGCATGAGATTTTTTTCCGGAATGGAAACACATGATCTCATTTCATTCTTACTTGGTCATTTCACTGAATTGTAATTTTCCATCACCATTCGCATCGAACATGTGTAACTATGTAAGAGAAAAGGGTCAATTCTTGAAAGACAAGTAGCATAACATACGATTGTGTCGGTGTATTCGATTAATTTCTCTTCAGTGATGTTCGTTCCTTGTCGTTTCGTCAGTAAAGCTTTGATAAATTGTTTTAACTCATCCGCTTCGATGTAACCGGAACAATCCGTGTCGAATTGTTTCCAGACTTTCATAAATTCAACACTTGAGTCAAGTGGATAATCTTTACGAAAGAGCAGAAGAAAGTTCTGGTCAGTCGGAAGGATTTCTGCTAACTAAATCAACTAAAGTAGATTAATAAACAGAAAGATTTCAATTTACTTCTGCCATTTCAATTTTTCCATCATCATTTTCATCGTACGCTTCAAGAAAACTTTCTTTTAACTCTTTCAGCACACTATCAGGTATCAACTAAAATACCGGGATAAGTTTTTCGTCAGTTTTTTTCTAAGACGTTCCACGTACCTCGGGACCTGCATCATTGGAATTAACGGATGACGCAAGTTCACGAAGTAAATCATCTAATTCATGTCCTTCGATAAAGCCATTACCGTCAGTATCATAATGACTCCAGATTTCCATAAACTGTGCAGCAGTCAATGGTTTGATTTCTTTACTATGTTCATCTCGAAACTGTCGCAGGAAGTTTTCTTTCTTCTGTTGACGTTGTGTACCGTTCGTTGCCATCTGAAAATAGGAATACGAAAGAGAGGAAATTGACAGCGATATCTAAAGTGTGAATGGAACTAAGACGAAGTACACATCATGTCTGAGAATAAGAATCGTTTATCGCTTTTTTTTTCTTCCCTTCTCTCTCGTTTCCTCTTCTCATCAAATAGAATGTCATCATTTTTTTTCTCTCTTCATTGTGTATTTCATTTGATTCTTAATGTTCTCGCTAGTAATATGTCGACACTCTTTAACAGCAGCAACACACTTAGAAAAATGTGCATCCAGATTGAGTGGGCAAGCAAATGCCTCGATAGAAATTTGGCCAGCTGATGCATTCGTATTCTTATTAACATAAGAACAAATAATAGTATCAAACTTACATTAAAAACGGCCCGAGAGTCACCAAACTGTCAAAGAAAAACTTGTCGATCGATCTCTTTCGTCTTGCATTCTTTTTTTGTCCTTCTAGCCTTTTGATTTAGTAATCCTTGTCGTGTTTATTACAATGAAGATTGAAGAGGGAGAAGAATTAGAGAGCTTAGTCATTTCCTAATCGGATATTCAATTTCAGATGTTACAATCATCTTGTTTAGTTCAGTTTTCATATTTCGTTTCTGTTCAGTGATGCGAAACGTGTTCTAAGGAAATATTCGGTAATAAGGTTTTTCAATTGATATTCAATTATCAAATCTAATATGTTTTATTCGATGACTATTTACGCACTTTGAAACAATCAATGAGCAATGGAAATGATTGATGGAATTTTTCCGTTCGATGATTTATGGTTATGTTTCTTCTTTTATATTCTTTTGTATATGAAGTCAAACAACAGCACGTTTGCTTTTTACTACTTCCTTGAGTTGAATTGTTGGAAATAGGAAAATCTATACGTCGTAATTACTAGAAGTGATCGACATATAAGTTGATTGATGAAATTATGCAATAGGTAGAAAGTGAAACACAAGAGATCGTTTGTCCTGCGACAGATCAGGATGGTTTTTGAGGACATCGGAAAAAGAATGTGCACTTGAGGCAAAATCTAAGAAGCGATGAAGTGTCGATCATGCGATGTTATTTTATGCATCGGATAAACAAGCATATTTAAAAGTACGTTCATGTTAATCAAATTGTGTAAAGAGTTGATCCAAATAAGATCATCATGATTCGATCGGAACCGAAATTGATGTCTGCATTGTTCGAAGGAATCGAACACATGCTATTGATTGTGAAAGAAAACAATAAAGTCCCAAGACTCTATGAGATCGGGATTTGGTGTTTTCTTCCTTACGTTGATTCAAATTCTCTCGGGATTATTCCGAACGAGTGAATCATTCAATGCTTGTGTAATGTTGTTGAGTATCGGAGCAGTGATCATGCTTAAGAAATTTCCGATCAAATTGTGATGCTCAGTTGAATATCACTATGGGCACGTTTTGGGATAATTACGAATGAATTATTAGTTTGTTAGTGATGAGTGAAATTTTTGCATGAAAAAACTCAGAGATGAATATTACTAGTACTAATCGTTTTATTTTATATTTCCTAGAAGATGCATAACAGCCGACATAGAAACACAGAAAAACAAATAAAGAAAAATAGCTATAACAAAACTGTTCCAATGGCCTGAATAGCTTAATTAAAAGCCCATTCCTCCCATTCCACCGCCCACTAGAATACAAGTAACAAATCATTTTCGTACTTAGGCAATATCAAATACTACTTACTGCCGCCCATGCCAGCTCCAGCAGCAGCAGCAGCATCTTTTTCGGGTTTAGGTGCTTCGACAACAACAGCTTCTGCTGTCGTTAATAATGATGCAACACCACTAGCATCTTGTAAAGCTGATCGAACGACCTAGAATAGGAGTACAATATGTGACAAATGAGTTATTGATGAATGAATCGATGTACTTTAGTTGGATCAATAATACCAGTTTTTACCATATCGACAAATTCGTCTCGTTGTGCGTCATAACCGATTTCGAAGGGTGACATAAGTACTTTTTCGACAATAACACTGCCGTCTTTACCAGCATTTTTAGCAATAGTTGCACATGGCATACGAAGTGCTTTACGAACGATGTCAATACCTAGACGAATATAAATCAAAACAGATATCAGCTATTTGTATGATAGTTGCACTTACCAATTTTTTGATCTTCGTTGAGTGCTCCGGCATCTTTTTCCAATACTTTGAGGCAGCGCAAAAGTGCGACACCGCCGCCAGGTACAATACCTTCTTCAACGGCAGCACGTGTAGCGTTTAAAGCGTCAGTTATACGATCTTTCTTTTCATTCACTTCGACTTCACTACCACCGCCAACTTTCAAAACTGCAATACCATTGGATAATTTAGCTAAACGTTCTTGTAATTTTTCTTTTTCATATTCCGAATTTGTATCAGCAATTTCTTCTTTCAATGAGTTCACGCGTTGCTCAACAGCAGATGGATCGCCTTTACCGCGCATCAACAACGTATCGTCTTTAGTTATAATAACTTCGCCGATACGACCAAAATCTTGAGCTGTTATTTCGTCAAGTTTATGTAGATTAGCTTCATCGCCGAACACAGTTCCACCACAAGCAATGGCAATATCGCGTAAAGTATTCTTACGATTATCACCGAAGCCTGGTGCTTTAATTGCGCATACTTGAAGACCAACTTTCAATCTGTTGATAACAAGCGTAGTCAATGCTTCACCATCGATATCTTCAGCAATGATCAATAGTGGTTTTCGTTGACTATTTGCTAATTCTAATGCTGGAATGAGTTCTTGGACAGATGAGATCTTCTTTTCACTCAAGAGAAGAAAAGCATCTTGATATTCACATTTCGCACCTTTGGTTGTGTTGATGAAATAAGGCGAAATATAACCACGATCGAATTTCATGCCTTCGATAACTTCTAATTCGTCCATCAAAGTTTTACCATCCTACAGAGATCATCAAAGAGTATTTGCAACCAGACATAGGCCTCCATTCTAATCTTACCTTAACTGTGATCACACCATCTTTACCGACTTTCTTCATTGCATTGGAAATAATATCTCCAATGGATACATCGCCATTAGCGGAGATCGTTGCAACTTGAGCAATTTCTTCTGGTGTAGTGACTGTCTTTGACATACGTTTTAATTCGGCGACGACAGTTGATACAGCAAGCATAATGCCACGACGAACTTCGATTGGATTAGCACCACGAGAGATTTTGTCGAAACCTTCCTTCGCAATAGCACGAGCAAGAATAGTTGCAGATGTTGTACCATCACCTAGAGATCGAACGATCAGTTTTGAAGTTAGTTCAGGAAGACTTCTTACCAGCTTCTTCGTTGGTATTGTTAGCTACATCTTGAACAAGTTTAGCACCAATATTTTGAAATTTATCCTTCAATTCGATTCCTTTCGCAACAGTGACACCATCCTTGGTGATCTTGGGAGCACCCCAACTTTGCTCCAGAATGACATTTCGACCCTAAATATACAAAAAAAAAAACAGTTTTGAAACGTACATGGAAAGAAAATGAACCTTAGGACCCATAGTAACGGCCACAGCATCGGCGAGAATGTCAACACCTTGAAGCATCAATACTCGAGCATCCGTGCCGAATTTGATGTCTTTTGCCAATGAACGTCTGACGACATGTTGAATGAGCGGCGATGTTGTTCGCGAAATAGTTTTTGTAAAACGGTACATCTTCGCTAATGGTAATGTTCTAACAGTGATCAACGGAATAGAAGTGGAAGACGAGAAAGAGAAATAAACGAAACGAAATCCTGGACGTGTTTCTTCTCCTCCTTCGTTTTCGTTGTCGATTGACCTCCTTTCTATGAATGGACTAGAACCATCTTCCAATCAAAATAATTAGACTTCACTTACCGAAAATATTTGTAAGTCAATTCTAAATTATATTCTCGATTATTCTAGAAAATGGTAAGTACAATAATTTTCGTTGTCAACACGAACTATGTATTTCCTTCTTTCAGGCATCAGCATTCAAACAAATCTTTCCATTATTTGATCGGGTACTTGTCGAAAAATTTGCAGCGGCAGCAAAAACTAAAGGTGGCTTACACATTCCTGAAAAAGCTATAGGCAAAGTATTGAACGCAACTGTTGTTGCTGTTGGAAAGGGTGTCAAACAAAGGGTAAACTTCCAGATGTTTTGTTGTCTTCGAATTTTTCAAATTGGTTGTTTCTAGGATGGAGGTTATACTCCAGTCTGTGTACAAGCTGGTGACAAAGTTCTCTTGCCAGAATACGGTGGTACCAAAGTGGAAATCAACGATAAAGAATATTTCATTTTCAAAGAATCCGACATTCTTGCTAAATGGGAATAATAATCTTTTGGTCTTTTTTGTCTAGGAAAACATATTGTGACCAGTATTTTTTCTATTTCTTCCGCATCTTTCATAGTTATTAGGTGAAACGAAACGCATATAGTGCCTTTTGCCTATTCTGTTAATAAAATAACAGAAAATCGAACAATATAGTCGATGTCCTCATTTTTCAAATCAACTATCTTGTCTTTTTAATTTCTAAAGCAAAACAGCATTCATTAGGGCAAATAGCCGAGTGTATGTTCAAGTGTTAGTGTTTGTTGACGTTGTTCTCCACCATAGAGATACACACCTTGATCTGTATGACGTAGATATTGTCTATAGTCAATGGGCAATTCGCTCTCGCCATTTGGAAACGATGTTACTCGTTTGGGTTTGGATGGAAGTGGAGAAATATTTGATTTGATAACATGTTGTTGCTCGTCAGCTGATTTCAGTACATAAGGAACTCGATGATCATCAGCATAGCGGTTTGTTTCCATGTCTGCAGCATTGGAATCGTTCTGGCAAATGTTCAGAAAAGATTTTCTAGAAAATAAGAAAATACAATTGATCTTTTCGCAATTGAGATCGTTTCTTTACGTATGATTTTTTTGTATCTGCTGTACCAATGAATAAATATTTCGATCTTCATTCAAACAAGGTGTAGACTGATATTGCTTATTCTCTTTCAGTGGTGGAATGGATAAAACATCTAGTTTAAGAAAACCGTTGATCAGTTGTCCATTACCTGAACGAAAAAAGATGTTTTCATTGCTATCCGACGAACGCATGGTAATATTTTCTCGTAAGAATTTCGGTACATAGTTCCCGATATCACCATAACGATTCAATACGATATGTGGTCGTACCAAATGACCATCGATCATCGTTGCGACCTTGTCATTCGATGAATTCGTCGATACCGTTGGTATTGGATTTAACAAACGTTTTTTATGATGAAAATAACGTTTTTTGTTCATTGTCGAATCGTTTGTTGCAGATAATTGATCAAACGAAGCATGACGTTTAACAGATGTTTGACTTTTCGATTCTTCGACTGCAACAATATTCATTAATTCGTTGACAATTTCTTCAGATTCATCTGAGATTAATGATGATGCTTTGATGAAATAACGTGGTTTAATCGTTGGACATGGCGAAGACATCCGATGAATGTCATTCTTCATAGTTAATACTTTTGATGTGTTATGAAACGAAGAAGAATGCAATGCAGATGACGACAACGACGATGAACAAGGATTACGCGAAGTATTTGTTGTCGATCGATGAACATCAAGCAAATTAACATTTGTTAGTAAGTCATTATTCTAAATGAAACGAACAAACATATTGACTCCGGTGGTAATTCAATTGAGAAGACAAGCGTACTTCTTCATCTGCCTCGTCTTCATTCACTTGCTGCTGTAGTAATACTGGACTCATCGTTCGTTTTATGATTAATTTACGTATCATATCACATAATTGAAAGGCAATGGCTTCACGATGAACGATGAAGACATGACAATCGAGAAGGGAACATGAGCCAGTGACACCTGGTTTTCGAAGAATGAATAGTAAAAGTGACGGATGTGATATGGGCTGATTGGAAAGAAGTTTTGTTTGGGATTTGTTCATTGAAGAGTACAGAGAATGAAAGCGTTCTTGATGTTCACAGCCTGAAACAATGATCTATCAATGGGTAATTTGCTTCACCGTAGAAAGAACTTACCTAGTGGCAGGAAAGCGACCTGAAGATGTTGCTTCGGGTTGTGACTCCGCATGAGTGAAAATTTCAAGATTTGAATGTTGACAATAGATTCTAATTTCGCATAAGTAAATGAACGTTTACTTTTTTGAACATTCTCCGATTCGAATATCAAAATATCCGAATCCGATATAAGAATTCGCCGTTGTTCATGCGAATGTTCATGACTGTACGATAGATACATCTCACGTAATGGTTTTTGAAAGGACATTAAATTCGGCGGAGACTTCCCTAAGAAGATCGTACCCAAGTACGGCAATTCCAATGAATAAGGGTTCGATGCTAACATCTCGTTATTTGACGCGTTGAATGTTTGTGGTTGCAGTTTTCGATTGAACACAAATGACATTGGTAGTAGACGCATCGATACGAATGAGTATAGAGCGAAATCAATGAACGTGCGAACCTTGCATATATATGTGAAGGAGACGGATGTTGAATAAAGCAATGAGAGAAGGATAACCTGTATGTCGTGAGTTCACTTGAACAAAGGAATGAATCCGATTAAATGTAAACGTGACTTTCATATCAGACAATGGATTGTAAGAATGAATGTAATTAGATGAAACATGTGAATGTTTATTATTGACAAAAATTTATAAACGTGACACAAGAAAAATAAGAAGGAATTAATCTGTTTCATTCGATGTTAGTCATATGTTCAATCTTGATCTCTAAATGTCTACTGATAAACTTTAAATCAAATGACATCTCATTAGTTCAATTACGACAGTGGTGCAACTTGATTCGATTTAATTTTATTCTTTCGTAGACGATATTCTGTTGCACCATAACCACTCATACCTAATGTTAAGAATATCACTAGAAGAATCAAAGCGATTCGTATTCGAATGTATGGTGTGATGATATAAAATAAGACAAAGCCACTGGATTCCCAAAGGCGATAATTGGAGAAGGCTGCTTCGTCATTATCAACAAATATAACACCGTAGAATGCGTTAATTTGGGTTTGCCAAACAGCGTCGCCTAAACCCCAAAGACCAGCGAGAATGAACAGAACATAGATTTGATCTTCTGATGGTTTCCAAATGAACATCGTGATAATTAGGGAATAGTTAATCAAAGCAGCAATGAGAAAACATGGCCAACGACCAACGTACTTAACCAATTGACCAAAACTAAGACTTCCAATCGAATCACATATGCCATATGCAATTAAAATAAGCCCAACGTATTTTGCGTTAAGAGTACAAGAGACAAAACCCTAGAAGAAAATGTTTGGAAAAACCATTGACAAGATTTATTCGATTTACTTTTGTAAATTGTGCACCAAGGTAGGATTGTTCAAGACCAGACCATATTGTCAATGGAATGAGAAGTAGCTGATTTACGTTACGCATATGTTTGACAGTTGAAACAAGCAAGGTCACTGATCGACGAAGCATAACGGAGATTTTTTCTAAGAAAGCGGAAGAAATTAGAATTCTTTGTTGTCTTCCAAGTTGTATTACCCTTCGATGCTTTTCGACGTTGATCGAGAAAGATGATAACGGTAAGTATCGAAAATACACAGATACAAACATAGACAATACAAAGAACGTCAATCTAATCATGAGAAAACAAATGACAGTATTCATTTTAGTCCTCTCGTTTGTATATTCTTACTGTTCTACGATCAATTTGATTAGTAACTGCCACACCTTTATATTCTTGTTCACTGAAATCCGCTCCGCATTTATTATACTTTCCAGACAATTCTGCACGGGTTCCATTTGCTGCTACTTCTGTCGGTTTGAGTACTAAATACGATATTAGATTTCCCCATACTTGTCCTACGAAAATACAAACATCACTTCGATCAGAAAGCGTAATTCATCCATACGAACCCGATTGAAAAAACATGAAAAATATACCAAAGAATCGGTTGACAATCACATCTTTATGAACGCGTTTGCTTTCGGCGTACAGCGTTCCTGTATCTGTCAAATAACTACATTTTGATGTCCACAACGGTGCAGCACCTAAGCCTACCAATGCAGCAGCTAAAAACCGAAACAATCAACCGGATGCGCTCATTCAACACTTTTTCTTCTTCTTTACCTGGATACATTAGATATGCTTTCGGATAATAATTTGCCGCTACATATAAAAGGTACGGAATCTGGGATAGAACGAGTGTCCATTTGATACCGAGAATGGTGATTAAGGGATGTGGTAAAAATATCGACGAGAAGATTAAACAAGCGTAGATAATCGAGAGAGAATTCACACCAACATTGGCCTCTGTGTTTAATGAGCTTTGTAGATTTCCGATAGCCCCGAATGCTGTAAATTGAAGAAGAAAAGCCGTACAAAGCACGAAGAGATTTTTATACGTCCGAAAACGTAATTGTTTTTTCGCTGATGCCGCATTGACTGCATCGAGATCAACATCCGCGACTGTTCGATCAATTTGTGATTTTAACTCGATATCCGATATAACAGATGCCATGCTTCTCTCCTTCTTGCAAATCCAAGCAATTTAGACAGACTAGGAGTATATTTTATGACTAGAGATGATTACGAGCGTCTAAAGTGGACAAAGCGATAAATATCTTCACTTATTTTGTCGTTCGAATACATTTCTTCGGCTTTCATCATCTCCGTTATTGGTGTAACCTTTGCCGATTAGAAAAGAGAGAGCGAAAAAGATATTGTATCTTTTTGTGTTTTTCAACAACATAATAAAAGTAATCGGGTAATTCGAAACGAGATTTTCTTCATGAAATAAATCTCGACTATCTTTATCGTTTTTGATGCATTTTAAAATAATTCCTTTATTAAAAGACAAACGTATTCAACTAACAATCTAATAGTTTTACTACATCGTCTTTTACTTGCTGTTGTCGTTCTTCAGGTAATGCAATACTGTTCAAATCTTCGCGTAACGCCACTTCGTCCAAATCTTTGAAGACGTTCTCGTCTGCATACAAATAAATCAGTCTTTTTCGAACAACTAAATATATTACTTACATTGTAATGGCATAAATCCTGCGAGTTCAATACATGCGAAATTACAACGATCAAACATTTGCCCATCTAGATTTCTGTGAGAAAATCAATTCGACTTGTTTTCACGCTTTCTTACTAATTATAGATTGACGAAACCATATGAAGATTCGTAGAACATCTGTGGAAGGTGATGAGAACGAATCACCCTTAGCGATGACAACATTATGAGCGATGTTTTGTAAGCTGAGATAATTGGTGACTTTGTATACAGATCTAAACAATCGATAAGTTGTGGATGGATGATTAAAGTCGAGAGATTTACTCTGCAGTTCTTTGAAAGTCATCTACATTAGCACACTGAAATGCAAACGCTTGAGTATCAAATGCATCTAGCAGATAACAGTTCGATTTTGTATCAAAAACCGAACATTTCTACAAACAAAACCGATAGAAAACAAACGAAAATTATTACGATAAAAATACTATTGTTTGCAGGTAAAATCGATGAGGAATGTAAATACCATGTAAATGCAACTAAAAGCATTACAAGAATGTCATATGAATGGAGGGTAGACTAACTCACATGATTCACCGATGCGTAGCCACAGAGAGAATTGAAGCCAGCTAAAATGTATGGATGTGCACTCGATGCCACAAACTCGAGACCGAATATTATACAGTCGATGTTCAGCACCTGTGTATCATCTCGTTTTATCAAACAGAAATCATACGATTCGATTACTTGTGCTTGTTCCAGTCCTCGATGAGGTACAAGTAAGACGTGATATGGACGGATTGGTGAATTGTTGATGATCACTAAGTATTTATCATGATCTTGTTCATTATCTAAGGAAAAAAGAATCTTGAAAAGAAAAGATGATCTACAGAGCTATTCTCAAAAGATCATATTACTTCAGCATCTTTTATTTTGTTGAAATTGAATTTCAACGAATCGAATGGTGTGTTGACGTGTTCGAAAGGAAAAGGCGTTCGACGTTTTCCATATCGATCGGGATTTAACTGAGAAACAAATACAGCTAATCAACTTTTGACCGAATACATCATTTACCTCGATCATGTAATGGAGATTATCCTCATCGAGTATTCGTCGCTGAACGTCATCTGTGATTTGAAAGGTAAACAGACCCTCAGTCACAGCCCGATCCCATTCTGAACGTAGTAACACGTCAAACTATAAACAAGAAACTACAGTCTCAATCAGATTTCTCCATCATACTTCATTCAGTTGTTCATTGGTGTGACACGACAAATGAAGAGATTTCTGATTGAATTGAAAATGTTGCCACATTTCGAAGAAAACTGTGTTCTACTTTGACACACACAACTACTTTATGATCGTTTTTAATTGGTCTGTTTCAAACAAATCATGTCGATTTCTGTTATCGTTCGTATTACATCATTGGCGTAGACACAGCCTCGTATTTAACAGCACTCACTCAAGCTTTTGGCATATTTTGTGAAGAATAAATGACTACTATGACGGATTTGTCGGATAAACGTACCAACGACGTTAACGTAAATCGTAACTATCTCATTCCGGTTGATTATCTACGGATTTTTTGAAGTAAAACATGGGATCACGTATGTCCATAATCAAACGGAGGAAAGAGCAGCAAATGATGTAAGTTAGCAGGTTAATGAGGAAGTGATTTTTAATTATCGTTTTCTAGAAATTCAAATAATGCTTGGAACGCTTTGAAACAGTAGCACGTGAAACAAGAAAAATCTCTTGTGTTTTACGCTTTGGTACGACACGTGTGAATAAACGATCCTTATCAGTTTTATTCGATTTTCTTACTTCGCACCATCTGCTATAGGAAGATGTTGATAGTACAGCTAAGAAACGACGCTTGGGTGACGGTCCCTGTTCTTCCTCATTCAGCAGTAAGAGGTTAGTTTTGTAGAGAATCGCAATCTCCTATTTGACAATAGGAAGATGGACAGCAGAAGAAACGTCAAGCGAGTCGATCGGTTTTGATCTAACTAACCCTACTAATGGAGAAACCAAGAAAAATGTATCGATCTTTTTGGCATTGTGACACCCCCAGCTATAATTCGTCATGGCTGTATTCGATCCTTTCTGCAAAAGAACTATCGATTTTTCTATTCTAGAATACAAAAGAATGAAAATGAACGTCAAACATTCTCACTCTGTTCGATGCCAATCAAAGTCGAGCTAGATATTTCGGCACTATATTCCAAACAGCTAAAACCAACACATCAATGCAAAATAGCTCCAGTGATCTTTCAAATCATCGTCCTTTCTTCTTCTTATTTCAGGCAAAAGAAAAACATTTGAGCGTACTGAACGCGTTAAACCACAGGCAAATGCATAACTGTTGCATTAATTCGTTTACTCTTGTTTTATAAACATAAAAATAATAGACACACACAATTTTATGTGTGAAATACATGAAATCAAATCAACCATTTATATTTAGATAATGACGTCCGCTGTGCGACCTCGTCTTTTAATCGTTCATCAAATGCCAACACAATTCATTCGTGCGCTCGAACGTGTATTTGATTTGGACTATAAAGATACATCAACACGGTTTACTCATGAGCAGATCCTTTCGCGAATACGCGCCAATCCACCGGACGCCATGCTTTTCCCAGGACAAACGAAAATCGATAAAGAAATACTGGCAACCGCTGGCGATAAGTTGAAAATGCTAGCAACATTTTCAGTCGGTTTCGATCATATTGATTTAAAAGAATGTAAAAAACGCGGAATAGCCATCGGATACACACCCGGTAGATAGCAAACAAGTCATTGATTATCAGTTTCTAGTCACTGTTTTCCATCTTTTCAGGTGTCTTAACTGATGGTGTTGCTGATTTGGCAATAGCCTTATTATTGGCAACATCTCGACGAGTTGTCGAAGCAATGAAGGCCGTCCGAGTAAGTATGTCGATACTTGACTAGTTTTCGTTGATTTCAAAGTTTCGTTAGAATGGTCAATGGGGCCAATCTTCGGATATCATGTGGATGTGTGGCAAACCATTGGTGAATTCTACGGTTGGTATCGTCGGTCTAGGTCAAATCGGTTTAGCAATCGCACGACGTTTACAACCATTCTCTATTCAACGTATTCTTTATAGTGGCACACGTGAAAAACAGTTTGACTCGGAAAACGATAAAAGAATGTTTCAATTCGTGGAATTCAACGAGTTATTACGCCAGTCCGATTTTGTCATTATCGCGTGTGCATTGAATGATCAAACACGGCATATGTTCAATAAGCAAGCATTTGAGCAAATGAAAAATGATGCGATCGTGATCAATATTGCACGCGGAGGTATTATCAATCAAGAGGCATTGTACGACGCGTTAAAAACCGGTCAAATTCAGGCAGCAGGTAAAACGAAGAGTTTTAGTCACGTTCATTCAAACTCCATCTTCTTAGGATTGGATGTGACAACTCCTGAACCTTTACCTACTGATCATCCACTTCTATCGCTGGAAAATTGCACAATCTTTCCGCACATTGGTAGTGCAGATGTCAATGCACGCCATCAAATGGCACAACTGTGTGTTGATAATTTACTGAACTTCTTTAGTGGCAAACCGATGGTTCATGAATTGAAAACCGATAGTGCTTGAAGCCAGTGCACGAAAATCTTTTCTACATTTCTTTTGATTATAGGGTAGTATAATCCAGCCCATATTTACTGTTAGAAAAGAAAAATATATAATTTATTTTCCACATCGAACGAAGCAGTCGCAACTGAAAAGACAATTTCGAAAGTAGAAGTTTCTATTTAAGCCATGCATCATCATGTACAGTTGATTGACGACCGAGACCTTGTAATCGACTTTTTTCTTCGAAACGTTCAAGAATATCTTCCGTATCCAATCCTTGTCCATCGTCCAATTCAATATGACGCAATTTACTTACGCGATGATCACTCTTCTTTGCAATTCTCTATAAATAAATAAGTCAAAGAAACACATTGATCCACATATCTCTTCTCAACATACATTCAGTTCTTTGTCAGCCATCTCGAGCGAGTCGATGTTATCATAGAAAGCAGGAAGACTGTTTCCATAGCGTCTTCGCCCAGCTAAACTTTCTATACTTGAAGAATTAAACAATTCGTCGGATATGCCAGGCGGTTTGGGAACGGAAAGAAATTCTGCACTTGTGATTCGCTTTCCTCCAGCCACTCCTTGCATCATCACGGAATCGTCACGAACATAACTAGGATTTGCTTCGTCGCCTTCGGCTGTTTTCAAAATGTTCAGTAAAATGTCATGTGTCAATGGCGCATCTCGATAATGAATACGAGCAACATCGAGTAGATCATCTGAACTTTCTCGTCGTTGTACATAAAATGGTTGTGGTGGTGGTATATACGGTGGTGAAGAATAATCAACTATATGTGTACGAGTTGTTGTCGTTTCTTGTTGAATGGTATCTCTCAAGCGATTCTCTTTGTCTCTTAACTGTCGCTTCAATTGCATCAGACGTCGTAGAACATCGGAGTCGGAAATTTCGCGGGACACGGATGGAGATGCGGGTCGAACAACTCTAGCATCTGTTGAAAAGAAACAAAACACAGGTCATTTACTTTTATCTGGAAGTTTTTCAAGAATAGAAAAGACTTTACTTCGTCTTCGTCGTTCTTCTTCTTCCTCTTCAAGTCTTCGAATTCTTCGTCGTTCTTCTTCTTCTTCTTCGATCAATTTTCTTCTTCGTTCTTCTTCTTCTTCCCGTTTTCGTCGCTCTTCCTCCTCTTCCCTTAGTCGTCGTTGTTCTTCGATGTCTCTTCGCTTTAGCTCTTCTTCGAATTCCCGTCTTCGTCGCTCTTCCTCTTCTTCTTTTCGTCGGAGTCGTTCAAAATCTTCCTGTTTTCGTGTGCGCTCGATTTCCGTGCGTCTTCGTAGCCGTTCGGCCTCCTCTTCTTTTCGTAATCGTTCGATTTCGGCAAGTCGCTTCAAACGTTCTGCTTCATCTTCTTTTCGTTGCCTTGCTAATTCTTCTTGTCGTCGTAGTCGGTCAGCTTCATCTTCTTGGCGCTGTCGTTCCAATTCTTCCTCTCTTCGTTTTCGTTCGGCCTCTTCTTCTAATGCTAGCAGCCGTCGACGTTCTTCCTCTTCGGCTTGCTGCTTTCGTAATGCTTCCTCTGCTAATTGCCTCGCCAGTTGTTGTTCGTATTGCAACTGTCTGAGACGTTCGCGTTCTTCTTCGGCTTTACGTCGAGCTGCTTCGGCAGCATCCCGAAGACGTTTCTCTTCGATTTGCTGGAGCAAATCAAGTCGATATCTTTCCTGCTTTCGTATTTGTTCTTCAGTTTTGAATGTACCATATATACCATTGAAGATTGACCCACGAGCATAACTCGGCGATTGTGGACGATTCTAAAGAAGAGAGAATTTGTTTCAAATCCCAATGATATTCATTGAACTGAAGATTGAGAAAAATACGAGCAGTGATAGACAGACAGAATCGATTACCGGATCTCGTGGTGTTCGAGGGGATTGAAATTGTTGTGATTCTTGTACTCGTCTTGATTGACTACTAATCTGTTCAGTACTTCGGGATGTCTGTTGACCAAGTTGTAAACTATCTACTGGTCGTGGAGTCATTTGTGGAATTGGCATATTCATGTTAGATGTACCAGTGACAACAACGCGCCCGCCGGAAACATAGGGAACTGGTGGTCGATTGAGAATTTGAGCCAATTCGTAATCAACAGCAACTCGTTGATTTAATCGTTCAGCAAGTAATGCATTTAATGCATTCAAATCTTGAGTGTATCGTTCACGTGTTTCCTTCGTTGAATTATGAACAGTCAGTTTTCGAGCTTCTGTACAAAACAAACAAGAGTTTCGTTTCAATATAACTGAAGAGTAGTCAACAAAAATACATGATTACCTCCTTCTAATTGTCGAATACGTGCTTCTAATTCATAAATCTGTTCATATAATTCTAGAATATATGCTTCACGATCACGAATATATTGTTCACTGTGCTGTTGTAGTAAGCGTGCACGCGCTCGATTAGCTGCTAACTCAGATGTTGCTGTTGTTGATAGATCGTGCATACTATGCACATTATGTATGGACGAACCTGATGACAGATCACTCATACTTTGAGAATTTTGTATTGTTTGTGATGATGATATGTCGTTCATACTATGAGCATTGTGCATTGCTCGTTGGTCTTTTGATCCACTCATGGAATGTCCTTGCTGAAACTGTACACGGCGCGTGGTAGTTCCACGCGGTGTAGCCATTACACTCATTTGTGCCGTTTTATTTCGTGCCATATCTTGTAATGAATGTAAATAGTCATTGTATTCGCGTTTCAAATCATTATTAAGACGAGCACGCACTAGATCGTGTTCGCCGAAACGATCGAAAAAAGAGAAATAACTTTTCGTTTGCTCATCGGTTGCGAATGGTTGATCTTGCTGATGGCTCATCGACGGATTGTTAGGAAAGTATGTGGATTGTTGAAATTGAAGATAAGATGATGCGTCACCGAATTGACCGTCATTGTTGGGCGGCTCTGATGTTTGTGCAGGTGGTGGCGGCTGAGGAGCGGGAGGAGGAGGAGGAGGGGGAGGTTGTGCTTGAGCTTGTTGCTGTCGACTCGACTGTTTATTCATTCTCGATCTTTCTCGTTCAATGAAGTTATCAATGTCTTTGGAAGCAGTGATCATCACGCCTTTGTTGTTGTTTTTCTAAGTGTGCATGAGCGATGTCGAACTGATGATGTCGAGAATTGTTTCAGTTCTGGCGTCGATTACTGTTAAAAACGTACTCACCTTTTGTCTTTTTCAAAATCAATCATATTGCCTTGACTACGAAGAGAAAAGTAACTAGAAAAAGAAAATGTTGAAAGTAAATGGCAATTATCATGGTCTACAGGAAAGAGAGAAATAAACATCACAATATTGATTTTAGAACACATTTCTTCATTCAATTTACAATAATACAAAACAAACGAGTAAATTGAGCAATACTTGGATATCCCGCTCGTATTTTCAACAAATATCCTTCTGCTAAAAGATTCTTTCAGAGTGAAACTCAACTGGTGCTTTGATGATCGCGCGTGTTGAAGCGGGGTGAGATCTATTGAAGTCGGAAGGGTTTTATTTTTGGCAAATTTTTCTTTTAGTCGATAGATGTCGCTATCGCTTATCAATAATTGCCAATGATCACGACGCCGTCAGCTAATTTTTATTCTTTCTTTTCGAATATTTCCACTAATAAAATCTCAATGGAGGATATTTCATGTCATTCTAATCGTTTAAAAATACCCATTGGTCACATCTCCGCATTTACTTTGTTTATTTTACGAGATATATCTCTCCTTTCATTATTTCAATTTTTTATGCCAACAGTGAATTCGCTTTCGTAATAGTTATTTCATCAATATCAAGTAAGTGGTCGTTCAATCAAATCAAACCGTTGATTATTTCATTACGAATGTCTCATTTAACACCGATCGATTATCATTCATTTGAAGTTAAATTTCACGATGCGTTTCGCTTCGAATGTTTTGAATTGACCAGTGATGATGTAGTAAAAGGTTTGAGATAATCGACACAATCGTTGACCATTGAATACATCTTTTTTTGTTTACAAATATGCCGCTGTCATTCGAGATTATTGATCGTGCAGGCATACGTAATCAGATAGGAAAAGGTGTGAAATTAAACAGCGACTTCGTGCGAGAGGTACCATTCGAAAAGCTTACTCGATGGTGACTTTGAAAAGACGCGACAGACTCCTGTCAACGATTGTGTTGCTTTATCACTAACTGAAAACAAAAACCGATTTCGTCTGAGGTCAATCTCACACGACGACTTGTTTTCAACAGCATGTACCAAGAGTGACGTGTTTCTTTTTCTATGTGTATCACAGTGACCAAATGTTGATTTCAAGGTTGTCTTGTGTTTAGTTTGATAGTTTATTCGATAGATACTTATATATTTTCTCTCTATTTGCCAAGAAAAAGAACAAAATGATGATGTCGGAGAGCCAATAATATATGCATAGAAGAGAAAATATCTCAGATTTTTTTTTGTATATATACAGGCGAAGACACTGTCGACAAGATAGGATACACATATATGAAAAAAGAAGCGAGATACATGAGACGATACAACTGATAAACATCTTTATTTTCGGCAACATTTCACTTTCGAGTAAGTTGCTGATAAACATGTCACTGTTCAACAAAATATCACACCGTCGATGCATGTTAGATATCCAACTAGAGACAACATTCGTAGTGGGTTTAGTAGATTTTTTCTCTTCTGTATATATTTGTCTTATCTTTCGGCCTTTTCGTTCGTTCTTTCGCTGACTGAATCAGCAAGACATACCAGCATGTGTATCACGCACTACGTGCATGATCCGCTAGCAATGGCATTGATAGTCATAATAAGAATAATCATAAACATTGTTTAAACATAGCTAGCTTGTTGTCTTTTAGTGAATCGTGTCAAAATCGCTGGTGAATTCGACGAGAGAGTAGCGCATGTCAAATGTGAAAAGAACGATGAGTATCTCCGTCATGACAATGAGCGAATATCAACAACAATGGCATTAGGAATCAATTCAGCGAATAATAATACGTTTGGGAGTAATAATGAACTGTTAGATTGTGTCGTGTGTGGCGATCGCGCAACAGGTAGGTTGCTGATACAGAAAAGACCATGGATTTTGTGTTATTGATTTTTCAGGTAAACATTACGGAGCGATATCATGTGATGGTTGTAAAGGATTTTTTCGACGAAGCGTGAGAAAAAACTCGACATATGAGTGTCGACATCAAAACAACTGTACTATAGATAAAGACAAACGAAATCAATGTCGACACTGTCGATGGAAGTATGTATGAGAAAATCTTTCGTTAGTTTCGTTTTCTTCCAAGAGAAACCATTGACTTTTCATAGGAAATGTATTCGAATGGGGATGAAGAAAGATGGTAAGATATGAAGTTGTAGATAAGAATACTTCTATGAACGATTTCAGCTGTACAAAAAGAACGAGACCGTCTTGGACGACCACGATCACATAATTATACCCCACGGCCTGGTACAATAAAAAGCTTAGCACCTTTCGACGGTGACTGTGAAGACGATGATGATGATTTTAGTATTATGGCACTTCTACGAGCAGAACAAACAGCAAAAGAAGTACGAGCGAACAGGAGTTTGATGTTGAAACGCTTTTGAAAAAAAATCTTTAGTACATCGGACGTCAAATTCAACTAGATCGACATCCGTCGAATACCGAACGTGTTCAGGCAACTCTGGAGACAATTGCCATATCAATGAACTATCAACTTCGCAGTTTAATTGAGTGGGCAAAAGATCTCAAAGGTTTTACCGATTTGTCCGATAACGATAAAGTAAATTGATACAGAAACACGACGAAAATACATTGCTTGATTTAGATCGCTCTTTTGCGTGGTCATACAGGCGAAAATGTCCTCTTAGGTGTTGCATGTCGTTCACTAAACTGTGATGATTATTTACTTCTTGGCAATCATTACGTTATTCCTCGTTTAACATCCGATGCTGGCTTAACACGCGCTGCCGGAAGAATTCTCGATGAAATTGTCAAACCATTGAAAGACATACAATTAGATGAAAATGAATATGCTTGTTTGAAAGCAATCGTCTTCTTTGATAACGGTTCGTGTATTTTTTTTCGCAGCAAACACTCATCTAGTAAAACATCCTCTCGTTTTAGATAATAAATCGTTAGCAGATCCGATGCGTGTCAAAGAATTACGCAAACGTATTCAAGTTAATCTTGAAACATATATAAATCAACAAAAACCTCTCATGCGTGGACGATTTGGTGAATTGTTATTGTTACTTCCGCCTTTACAAAACATTGCGCGTCTCATGGTGGATCTCGTTGCTCGTTACAATCAAGATACGCAATTAGTCGATGATCTTATCAATGAAATGCTCCTAAGTAAGTGAAGAAGAGAACTCGAGCACGGAGGATTAGAAAGAACGAAGAGAGAAACCCACCAGATTCCACCGAATAGATAAACAGAAATTGTAGTTTGATAAGTTCAGATAGATATCGTGATGATTGTCAAGATTCGATGATAACGACAACGACGAATACGATTCCAATGACATCAACTACGACATTATCTCCGAGTAATTCAAGTAAGAAAGAAAAGATGGTACGCATGTATTAACATAAACGCAATTTTCGATGCACTGCACGTTTTTAACTATTGCTTCGTTTTGCTTCTGCATGTACATATGTGTATCCAAATACCGAATAGTCTCGTTACTGTTCTTTGCACAATAATGATGATAAAAACATTCAAATCGAAAATAGTTTATCTTCACATTCTCATTCTGTTTATTTACTTCCGTTATTTTTCTCTTTTCTAGTTTCAAAAGAAAACGATCTTGATTCCAATGGTTCATCACTCGACACCGACATGGAAGATAGTACATCACAATCACAAGATAGTCAACAATATCCCAACCTATCATTGGCAACACCTGTTCCAACTTCTATTCTACTTCAATCACAAGTCGAACATGATAATCTGCCTCTTTCTCAGCATCAAACTTATCTTCCCAATGATCTCTCCCATATGCATCTTTTACATACCAATTCGGTTACAGATCCAAATTTAAATCATCACAATACTACTTTAGTTTCCAATTCAATTAATTCCGATTTACATGATCATCATCATGAGCAAATTTTACAATATTTCTCTGCGACACCAAATCATCGAGCAAGAGCCGTCAAACGCTCAAAAGCGATAACAACTCCTGTATCATCAACAGCGTCTACCAATGATCCTAATGGTGATATGAACTTCTTATGTGATCTCGTTACTCCACCCGCCAATTCGAGACAGATCAGTCCGTCAACTCTTTTTCTCGGTCAAGACTGGCACGGGCGAGTAGGACTAACGAATCACACCTTCTCCCATTCCGATAACACATTCAAACAAATGCATGAACAGCGAAATATTCTCCAATAAGATTTCCACATCATCATGTACATCTTTATTTATGTGTACAAAACAGGCGAATTTTCTCATGTTTCTTTCCTTTGTTCTCATCTGTCTTTCTATGATTTCACATCATCTTCATCATTATTATTATTGAAAAAAGCAGTAAGACAGTTTTTTACGGTTATCTGTTTGTTGTGTTTTGTTTCTTTTCTCTTCCTCTTTTTTTATTGTCAACATTATTATTGCTATTATTATTATTATCATCATCCTTTTCTTTTCGTATTCTTCGAATTTTTAGGCAGATTTATTAGAGTGCGAGTGTTGTATTTTTTATTTACTTCTGTGCGCGTGTGTGTATAGACGATTTCATTGGATATCATGAGTATCTGGTTTATCAGTATATATAGACATGAAAAAAGAGCGAAGCTGAAATATATTTCTCGTTGAATGAAAGATTCAGTAAAAAAAAACTATGAAACACGAATATTGATTATGCTTTGTCTTCTATTCAGTTCGAGAGATACAGAACAAGAGGAAAAGAAAACAAGATTGTCCTTCATCAAGCTATGTATTCACCGTCGACGATGGTCAAGCATACCTTTTTCTTCTCGCTCTTTTTCTTTCCTTTTCTGTCATTAGAACGGTCGGTTGTTGACCCTTGCCTTCGCATCGGTTAGAATTCGTTGATTATCTTTTTCACAGAACATGGCTCGTTTCAAGGTCATCCAAGGTATGCTCGTATTGATTGACACATTCGAAATCGATGTCGCTTTCTCTAGAATTCTTTCTACTCCATCTGATTTTCGCTGCTTGTTATGGACAGTTTTTGACACCAGCTCAACTACGAGAGCAATATGATCTTGCCAATGCAGCACGCACACACTATCAATTGTCCGGTAGTCGACGAACGGATATGTTCAATCGTGTCAATCCGGATTATTTACTTCAAGGTTACTCATTCTTGGGTTCTACTTACGAGAATCAACTAAATCGTCTCATTATTTCATCTAGGCTTCTTTCCATTCTGGTCACTCGTGCTCATTGGCTTTGCGCTCGTCTTTTTAACATTAGCTGTCTTGGGATTGATTGGTTATTTACTTGGATTTCGTCGACCAACATTGGAAGAATTATACGCGGACGAATTCGATCAATTGACTCCAGACGATGAGTTCCTATTAGGCGGAGGAGAAATGTGCCGTTTGAATGAAACAAAACTGTCCATGCCAATTTCCTCCAATGGCTATTTTGACACTCAATCGAAAGATTTTCGTTACGAATCTTTACCGCCCATAGAACGAATACGTATTGGACAAAGTCACGAAGATATGGTGTAGATATATGCTTTATTAATTTTAACCGTAAAGTAACGAAATAAATAATCTTTGAAGATAGTTGAGACAGAGAGAAAAAAGAATCTATGTATTGTTCTCATTCTACCAGCAAGGCTTAAGATTTTTCTTTTTCTTCTTGAACAAATCCTGTTAATTGTGGATATCCCTTCGATGGTCGTGTTGGCGGTTCTAATTGTTTAATGACTTTACAAGGATTTCCAACAGCTACAACATTCGCTGGAATGTCTTTAACGACAACACTACCAGCGCCAATGACACTATTGTCACCGATTGTTACACCGGCGACAATTACGGCACTACCGCCAATCCATACATTATTTCCAATTCGAACGGGTTTACCGTATTCGAGTCCATCAAGTCGTAGTTGAGGATCAGTTGGATGTGTCGCACCGTAGATCTTCACATCTGGACCCATCAGAACGTAATCTCCAACATGAACAGAACATATGTCCAATACCACTAAGTTGTAATTTGCAAATGAATTTTCTCCCCAATGGATATTGGAACCATAATCACAGAAGAATGGAGTTTCAATCATTGAATTGCTGCCAAATTTACCAAACATCTTCTGTAATAGTCCAGTACGTTTTTCACTTTCACTTGGTCGAGTATTATTATATTCATAGATAAAATCTTTACAAAGTGATCGTTCGCGTAGTAATTCGGGCGTAAAGGCATTGTAAAAATCCCCGGCAAGCATCTTCTCTTTTTCACTTCGTGTATCGGACGCCATTGTAAAGCCGAATCAATCTGAAAAGTGCTTTGAAATAATAAATGTCGTCTTTTTATCCTCGGATCAGCAGAACATTTATTGTTGACACAAAAACATTACACGTGCGTGAATAGTGTCAACTGCAGATTGGAAGATGTAATCAATCCAATAGACATTTAAAAAAACAACACGTCACTATTTCATCACTCCATTCGAAACTTCATTTTTCTGCTGATAGAATCATCATTTAAGCTACAACTCCAGCAGCGTAACTGAAAGTGCATTCAGTACGATCGCAGAGACACTGATGACAGCTGATTGATAGGATGAAAACAGCTGGTTTTTTTCCTCTTTTCTCGCAATTCATGACAAAAACAAAGTAAAGAATGATGTTTAGATAGTTAATTTACTAGTGAAATCTCTCGTTCGTATGATTTCCATCCATCGAAGAAATCTTTGTCATTGGTTCATACTGGATGAATCATATTTACGTTCGTTTCTGTCTGCTTGTTACTAGAGAATAGTATCGATTATTCGTTTAGCCTTTTTTTATTGATTTAAATGGTGATAGACATGACAAGAATTTGTTCACAAAACGATGACGATGATGAATTAACGAATATCGTTAACGTTCATGATCCATTCTTTCTCTGGGGTTTGCTCGAACACTCCGATCGTACACTAATTCGGGCGTATGATACACTATCCGAACCAGATCGAAGCCGACTGTATTGGTCGTGCCATTACTACAAACGCAAAGCAGTGTGCGAGTATGTGTTAAACAACTGTAAATTAGTTCGAACAGCTGATGAAGCAATAAGAAAACTCTCTAAAATGACAGCAGCGGCGGGCAAAGACGAACCTGACCTAAAACAAATACCAGTACCATTTATGTTGCCAACATCACCGGATTTCATCGTTAAGGAGTTACGCGATGGATCATTCGTCTCATCGAAAGGTAAACCATTGAAATTTACCGTTGTCAGTGAAGACGGTCAAACAAAAACGTAAGAACACAGAGAAATATTTTTTTTTATTAACGAAAAACTATTCGAATGATGGTTTTAGATGCATTTATAAACATGGCGATGAATTATTACAAGATGCTTTGTGTGTCAGTGTAATGAAGGAGATGAATAGCATATTCGAAGAAGAAAGTATTGATGCCGAAGTTGTTCTTTATGAAGTAAAGATGAGCTAATTAATGAATGACCTACTTACGACGATAATTTTAGGTTCTTCCAGTTGATAAAACCGAAGGTTTAATTGAATGTGTGGAAAATGCTCATCCATTTCTCGAGTTCAAAGTCGCGGATGAAAATCGTAACTCGCAATCGACGGATACACTGAAAACCTTTATCGAACAGTCACCAGAAAGAAAAGAAAATCTGCATCGAACATTTCTTGGTTTTGTTGTCTCAGGAATCGTTTTAGAACTCGTCGATCGGCATGGTAAGAACGTTCGATGAGACTTTATTAGCGAATTTCGTTTGCATAGATGATAACATCATGATTACCGACGAAGGTAAGATCCTTCACATTGATTTCGGTTGTGCATTTGGTCAGAAGACGAAACTCGAACGATTATTCGGTCTCTTCATGGATATTCCAAGTTCTCCATTTAGCGAAGATGTTTTCATTGGTAAACTTACCATTAGCAACGGAACTGATGAGATACGCTCTCGTTCTTTTTAGCAATTATTGGTCAAGAGAATGACAACGAAGTGATTACAAAACTCTGGAATACGATGAAGGATCGTATGTGGTCGTGTTTCAACGCTATTCGTTTGCATAAAAACCGTTTCAAGCCGATCGGTGAAGATAAATACAAACACTTCTACGAACATCTCATGATCGACAAGAAGGATGACGATGCTCGACAAGCATTGGATACCGAATTAGAAAAGTGTTACAATAATCGATTTAACGCAGCTCGAGCGTTTTATTATAAAATTCAGCAAAATATTGTCAGTTAAAGTTTTTGTCATATATTTTTTACTCTCGCAATAACGCAATATGTTTTTCTTCCTTGACATGAACTCTTCCAATTCATCTGTAAAAGTCATTGTTGTTGGTTTTCATCGACTTGAAATAAATAGAATGCTTTCCTGAATTTATCCATAATTAATATTGTTTCTTTGTAATTTTCCGAGAATTTCTTTTCAATTTATACATGACAAAGTATGCCGATTGTTTCTCAATCACTATAGCGACGATGCACAAATCTCTTTTCTTCATCCTATTACACAAAAATTACATTTATTTATTTATTTGTTTATTAACAAACAGAAACCATTGAATTGATTGAGAATGCATCAATATGCACAATAATCACACGTTTGTACGTAAAGGATGCAATAGTCTTAGTTCACTTCTCAATATTGTGCTTTTGCCATGAAAGTGTTTGTGTCGAAACAAAACTTGTACAGATTAATTCTCATCTAACAGCCGTTATTTTGTTAATCATGATTCAAGTGCAACTAAAACAAAACGAAACTCGCGTCTTGTTACTTCATATTGATGTAATTATCGAAAATAAGTACATTCTTGACGTTTTTATAGCAGAGCAATGTTCGAGAGAGAGGTTTTTTTCGGTTGTATTACTGGTACATAGGAGGAAACGAATCTTTCTTGATTTGCGGATCAGAATTGATGTATGAATTTGAAGTGTATGCACCTGGAATTTATTTAATTAAAGTAAAATTTATTCGAAGGATTCGCCTATTCAAGGTTTTCACTCGGCAAACGAATCGCATCAGTCCGAGCTTGTTATCAGAAGAAAATAAGTCTGTTGTATTCTATTACTTTTACATCGTTAGAGTTTGAATGATCAGTAACGAAGAAGAGAAGAAAAAAAACTCTCTTTGTTTATTTTCTTAAAAGCTTTTCGTTTTCAAACAACTTGATTTCTTGCGAAATTCATCCAAGGCTAGAATCTCTACGAACGTATAGTATGAGTTCTATATCAAGTTTTTCTCCAAAATCTAGCTCAACTATTTGAGTTTGTTGACACATGCTCTGACGTATTTAAGGTCAACGTAACGAAGACTAGTCTTTACACAGTCTTTTTTTGCTGTTTGTTTTCAAATATCATGCTTCACAGTGATCAGTAAATGAGGTCTGAGGTGATTAGAAGGAAAGGCTTATTTACTGAATACGAATATTGATCTATTTATGCTTCGTATGAGAATACAATAGGGTACATGAACCTGAAAGCGAAAAGTTGATTTAAGAATCGATCGAAATTCAGTTGAAGTTTTGCTTTCTTTTCAAGTAAAACAATCACGGATTCGTCGTGTTGTTATTGCAGTAAAACGTCCTTTACTTCTTTCCTCTAATGTTGTAGATGGTGTCGACGACGGCACACAGTTGACAACAAACATATTATGAATGTCTTTTTCTCTTAACTATTTCAAAATGAAACAATGCCATTGATTCTCATGTCAGAAAGAAAGAAAAGCCTGAAGACAACGTTGAAGTTGGCAAGACTTTCTTCTTCTTCTTCTTCTTCTTCTTCTTTTTCTTCGTCAAGTTTTTTTTTCTCACTCTTAATTGTTTTCCCGTGTGTCTGTGTATCTTTGAGTTACAAGAACTCTTTCATTACTTTTCTTTTATTATTCCTTCTTCTCGCTGCTTTTTACTGTTTGAGAAGAACAGATCGTAGCAAAGAAGAATAAGAAGAAATAAGTATAGTAAGTATTAAAGTGATACGATAGAAGTAGTTAGATGAGAAAAAAACATCAGTTAGCAGATACATTTAGAGTGTAGAACGTTCAAAAGTGCGTCGTCTCCAGTTTTTCTTTTTACATGAATGAGACGGCTGATGAGCTTGCAATGATAAAGAATTATTTCCGAGAATTTCTCTAATTGCATGTTCTACTTTTAGAAGAAAAACATTTGTATGTAGATGATCTTGAATACACGATATTCACCGTATAACAGATAATGACCACTGGAACCAAAGATAATGGAGGCGGCGGACCGCCCATGCTCTTGTTACCATCAGGCGAACAACAAGTTATTGTGAGTATTTCTCATTCGAATCTTTCGATCTGATGTTGTTTTTTTTCTTGTTGTCAAGGTCGCCTGCCGTATTCGACCGATGACCGATGAAGAAAAAATAGAAGGAGCTATGCCCATTGCCCACAAAGTTGCTGATGATAATGTAAGATCTCGTTAGGAATTTCTCTGGAATGAAGTCATATTCGTATACTTAGGTGGTTGTTCTACTTGATCCCGAAGAAGACCATGATAATGCTCTTCGTGCTAACCGATCCCGTGAACGTAAATATGTCTTTGACGTTGTTTCTGATAAAGACGCTGATCAACAAGAAGTTTATGCCTCGTCATCCAAATTGCTTCTGAGTAGCGTCTTAGAAGGTTACAATGCCACCGTTTTTGCATACGGCGCAACCGGTAAGTAGCAGGAAAAGAAGGGTAGAATATTTAATTGAAAAACAATCTATCGGATTGGATTTAATCTTAGGTGCTGGAAAAACTTACACAATGTTAGGCACAGAAAATAATCCAGGTGTCATGTACCGTACCCTGCACGATCTTTTCGTTGAAATAAAAAAATTCGAAGGTAAACGAGAATACCAAGTAACAATGTCCTATTTGGAAATCTACAATGAACTGATACGTGATCTATTGGCTCCCTCATCCTCCTTTCTTGAATTACGTGAAGACGCGAAAGGCACTATTCAAGTTGCTGGTTTAAGTGAAATCGCTGCGAAAACGCCCGAAGAAGTTATGGACATGTTACACAAAGGAAATCGCGCGCGCACTCAAGAACCAACGAAAGCGAATAAAACATCGTCTCGATCTCACGCAGTTTTACAAGTTAATATCAAACAACGTGATATCAATCGATCTCACACAGATCAAGTTCGATTTGGTAAGACGACGACATGTACGACTGGCCTTTTTTAAACTTCTTCTTTTCAGCAAAACTCTATATGATTGATCTGGCTGGCTCAGAACGAGCAGCGCAAACTCAAAATACCGGCAAACGAATGATGGAAGGTACTGAAACAGAATGAATCGTGCTCAACTACTTGATCCACATCGTTTTGTTATTCTAGGTGCTCATATCAATCGATCATTACTTGCGTTGGGAAATTGTATCAACGCATTGAGCGAAAAAGGCAATACGAAATATGTGAACTATCGTGATAGTAAATTAACTCGAATATTGAAAGATTCGTTGGGTGGAAACTCACGAACATTAATGATTGCACATGTTTCTCCAGCATCGATACACTTCGAAGAATCACGAAATACGTTAAACTACGCTGATCGAGCAAAATATATCAAAACTAAAGTTCGTATTCGATTTCTCTGATTTATAACAAACGAAATACTGTTTCTTTAGGTCCGTCGAAATGTTGTCGATGTTTCCTATCACATCGCTCAGTACAAACAAATCATCCAAGATCTCCGAAATCAAGTTCAATTGTTACGCGAACAAAGAGATGATTTGGAAATGCGTTTATCAACCAACAACGAGGCACGTTTTAGTCGACTGGGAAGTAAGTAATTGAACTATCACAACAAAACATCTACTTAGAAGAACACCTGTAAAAGCTGAAGTAGCACTCGAAAGAGTTGATATTGACATTCAAAAAAAAGACGCGTATGTCGATAACAGGAAGCCTGTTTCCGTTGTTCTTTCCAAGTTCTGCAATCATAATCAATCGTGTTCGAGTTGAACTAATGTACTGGAATAAAATCTAAGAAATTATTTGTTTTGTTTAGATAATAGTACTGCTGAACGTCTTCGTGTGGAAGAAGGCTTGAAATTAAAGGAAAATATTGTTCAATCATACCGTAAACAAATCGATGCACGACGTGCCTTACTCGAAATCGATACAGGACTCATGGACGTCGTTCATGAGTGTCAACGAAACCAATCGATTGTTGACCAGTAAATTTCTTTCGTGATTTTGGAGAGTTTGTTTTCATTGAATTGTCGTTAGGAAAGAAACAAGCAACGAAAGTAGTCCGAGAAATTATAAAAATTCCACAGAAGATATTCTCGCTGAAATCAATACCTCCGACAATGCAAAACAACGTGCTCGAGCTGAACTGCGCGTGCTTGAACAGGAGCGTTCGAAACTGGAAAAACAACGTAAAGCACAGTTACAAGAATTCGAAACGGCCAAAAATGAATCCCGTCGATTATTGGATGTATGTCGATTTGCAAGAAAAAGCGATGATTTCGATCGATAGAAGGCACTTTTGATCTTTTAGAAAGTAACAAAGAAAATGGCCACGAACGAGCAACGCGAATTGCTCAGATTACTAACTGAAAATTTCGAATTTGAAATGAAAACAATCGAACTACAAGCTGAATTGTTCATTCGAGATTATACAATTAAAAGCAAAGACTTGCAATTGTTACGAATGTCTCAACATCGAAGTCTTTGTGACACGATCATATTCCAACAAAGAAAACTTATTCAAGGTAATTCATCAATTTCTATTAAGAAACCGTCTTTTAATGACAAAAGTTTCTTGAATATTTAATTTCATCATTGTCTATGCCTGACTGTGCACATCATTTTTATAACTTTTTCAGACAACGTAATTCTGGTACCGTCGGACCTTGAAGAGCTCTATCGATTGTACTCGCGAGATATTGACGAAGGTCAACTGATACACGACCTTAAAAGTAAATACTGCAAACTGTTTTTCACCAATTTCACTTATCAAATTCATTTAGGCTATTCTCCTCGATTAGTAGCAGGAAATTCCACAGGTGGCAAACCTTCTACTTCTGCATCGTTTCCATTCCTTTCCCAAATTGCTGAAGAAGATTTAACCAGTGCATCCACATCCGTGACCAGCTTTCATTTACCGAACAACGGCTCTCGACGTTATCCAACCACAAGCACATTACCATCGCATCGTGCTCTGTCCGATCAAGATCTTTTCAGTCGTCTTCACGATGACTCCATGGCAACCACAGATGTTGGTAATGATTTTATGTCGACAATAAGTAAACCTGTATCGTATTCGCACTTCAATTTTGATCAAACAACAAAACAATTGATGAAAGGAAATTCCTTAGCGAGTTTGAGTTCAGACATCGGCGATGTCTCGCTGACGAATGTTGATGGAGCTCGCCGTAAAGGTCATACGGGAGGTTCGCCAGCAAACGATTGGCCATCGGAATCATCACCCGCATTTCGAAATCATAGTACACGAGACAAAATGGATCTTCGAAAACAAACGCAAGACATAGCCGCACGTGCTGCTCAACGGCGCGCAAATCTTCATCATAAAGAGCTCATGGAAGATATGGGTAAGTTCAGAAGCTAGAGTTGACCTGAAGGCTTTGTTTTTCGTGAAATTCAGGTCCAGCCTTTTCTTCTGACCCTATTATGACAAAGGAAAATAGTTCAAGTGTCCTGGGTCTTGACTTAACCGGTGCTAAACCGAAGAAGACTGTAACAATAAATGACCCAGCTATGGTATTGAATTGTTTCTTTTCCCTTAACTAGCTTTTATTCTCGATTTCATTAGGATCGCACTCGAGGAAATGATCTGCGTCGAACTAATTCTGAATCTCCCGATCTCAATGCTCATTACGGATCTGCGAGCGGTAAAATCCATATGCGAACACAGAAAGAAGATTATTTTGAATCTTTTCAGATTTAGACCCATTCTATTCAACATCGTATAGTCGTGGTTCACGAAGTACAAGTAAAAAGCGATCGACTTGTAAGTCTGCTTTGTTCGGTTGATATGGCAAAGCAATATGTTCTTCTTTTCTTTAGCTCACGGCTCGTCAACCAACAACCGTTCGAGCGGACCCACTTCAAACGTATTCGTTCCTCGAGATTACTATTAAATATCATAGACATGGTGCATTTAGTTTTCCTTTAAAACAGAATTTACTTTGTGCTATATCAATATATATTTTTTTTCATATAAAAAAAGAAATTCTTCTTTTTCAAACTATTTTCTACTTTTTTCCTTTCTGTCGCGTGTGAGTGAAACATAAAAACACCATGAATGGACATGCTCGATGTTTGCTTTCGGTTTTTTTCTCTTGTTATGATTGAATTATTTTCACGGTATATAAATAAATAGTGCTATTAAAATGATCGTTACGCGCCTTGAATACACCGTTCTCGTCCAGTTGTCGGAGTTGACTCATGAAGGAAATAACTAAATTGAGTGACTGACTTTTGTATATATGCTTAATTACTGAGCTACGTACGAATAGATGTCGCTGGTGGTAATTGCGTTCCGAAAAAAACAAAATCATTTGAAATTCAATGTCAATTTGTATGTTCGCAATACATGTAATCGAAATCATTGGCAGACGCTTTTACTCCGTATTTATGTGTCTGTTTGTATTCTGATTGATTCTAGGGAACTATCCTATGGAAATATCTTGTTTGTTTATTTGTTTCGAGAGTCAATCATTGAGTTCTACTTGTTCTGTTCTGTGTTTCCTATAAATCCTCTCTTCGGCTTAATCATATGACCTGCTTGATGATTTGATTATGTGGGAGATTCACTCATTCTCTCGATGTTGATTTACAATGAGAAACTATCCACTTTTCCTTGAGAAAAATATCACTCGGTCTTTTACGCGTAGCAATTCGATTAGAGTAACGCTTTCGATTGGTTTAGTCAGGGAGAAAATAAGTCAATTAATGTTGATTTTGTTTTTGTAGATCAATGACGACCAATGCCGATGACGGAAATCTTTCTGGTCGAACAGCCGGATTGATCTCGGAATTTGAACGTACACGTGATTCCGACTCGACCGAAATCGGCCAACAATTTGCTGTAAGGATCGACGCTTTCGCGGTTTTCATCTTTGTTTTTCTTCTGTAGCAATTACAAAAAACAATGATAGAGAGTAAAGATATGTTACTGTGTAACGAAGGTGCAAAAGCGTGTAATCGATTGAAAAATCGCTACAAGGATGTTCTACCATGTGAGTTGAATCAGCATAGAGATTTGTTTTGTAGAAAAGATTTTTCTAGACGATAAATGTCGAGTTGTTCTGAAATCAGAAAATGAATCGGATTATATCAATGCATCGTTCATTGAGGTAAGGAAATTTTCTTTGACCTAGTTTTTTCAATTAGTACGAGATTTAGGATTTGCACGGACATCGTCGATATATTGCAGCACAGGGACCTATCGAAGAATCGATAACGGACTTTTTCAGGATGATTAGTGATTTTCATATCGTGTCAATTATTTGCACAGCTAATGATGTCGAAGCTGGACGAGTAGGAATCTAAAAGTCTGAAAACAAGATCATTTTTCTATTGTACTTTTTTGCAGTTTAAATTTCGCCGTTATTGGCCGGACGAAACTGAAGACTCACTCGAATTCGGAACTTTCAAAATAACTAAAGTAAAATGATTTTGTCGATAAATTCAATCTCACACATCAATACTCATCTAGGATCAATCGAGTGATAAAGCGTTCAGTAATAATGATTACGAAATACGTCCATTGATTATCACTCGCGATGACAATCAACAACATGTCTTACTTTATCATTTTCTACATTGGCCTGATCATGACATCCCCAATGATGAAGCACCAATACTTGATCTACTCTTACGATTGTATCAAGATCGAGATTCATCCGTCGATTCACCTATCCTTGTACATTGCAGGTACATTACGAACTAGTCTTCATATTTCATTTTCTTTGTCGTTCGATGTCTTTCAGCGCTGGCTGCGGTCGAACCGGTAGTATTATTGCCATTGATCTATGTCGTCTCTACTTGAACGATGAGGTTAGACAAGAGTGTCGATGAGATTCATTCGCTAAGAAATTCGTTTTTCTAGCATTTGGTTTCGAGTAAAGATTATCAACCTTATCCTGTATTTAAAATCGCTTCTTATATTCGTCAATTTCGCATTGCATTGATTCAAACTCTCGTAAGTTGAATGTAGTTCGAACTATGATCTGTCTAAACGGCTTTGTTTTTCGTAGAAACAATATTTTTTTGTTCACAAGATGTTTTTATATTTGATGAAAGCAAATGGTTCTATATCGTTCCATTCAAGCGAGAACAACGACGAAAATCAAACATGTAATTTCTAGTCATCGGACGATCTATGAAGGCTTTTCGTGTTGTTTTGAGTCGAATTTTCTCTTTTTTTTTGACAGTAACAATATCATAAGATAAACTTAGCATTTGACAAATAACCACGTAAACTTTAGACAAATCATGTATTCATGGATTCGAAAGGTTACTACATGAGGTATCGAAGCGATTTCTTGACGAGATCAAATGACATGCGAGCACACTGATCTCGTGCAGACATTTTCAGGTAGTGTGTTGTCGATCATCGATATTTACGATAAAGCCATGTTTTTCTCTGCGAAAAAATCGATCGGCACGATCGAGTGATATCTAAAAAACTGACTTCTTTTTAGTTTCATCATCACCTCCGCCCACGAAATCGTCCTCATCACGTCGTCCGTCTGCGCCACTTCAAATAACTCTACGTAATCCGCCCATCGGTCGCCGTTTACTAAATGGAAGCAATATTAGTAATACCCCATCGCCGACGTTTTCTTCCTCGGAATTCTTCCCACCATCAGCAAAGTCGTCTTCAACGAATGATGCGTCACTAACTGCAGATTTACCGCCGCCACCGATCCCGCCACATTGTTCAGCTATGCGGACAGCTGATAATCAACAAGAAAATGAAACAAACGAACCAGCAAGAAAATCAAATAGTTCTCGTTCAGATTCTGCAAGTATCGATTCAGTAGTTTCTTCTACAACAAATCAAAAGTCTGAACTTTCAAGCGAACAGGAGTCGAACTCAGATTAACATCGATTTACATCTATTGTCGTTTTATTGTTCGTTTGTTTCTTTGGTTTTCTCTGTCTACGGTGCTTCGTTTTCTATTTCTAATTATGCATATCAATGTGAAATCAATCTCAACTAATTCGAATCAGTAGTCGTTTTTTTGTTTTCTAAATCAATTTATCATGTCACCGTTCTTTGCTTGTTAACTTCTTTTTCTCTTTGTTTACGCTATCCGGTGAGCGTATGTGTACACGTGTGTGTTCTATTTTTCTTGTCATTTTCGAAGCAAGTCAAACAGTATGAACGAAATACATACGTTATCTGTGTATATGTTTTTCTTCTTTCTGATTCTCCCTCTAGATTACTATACAATGGGAAATTGTACAAGTTGCACAGAACGACGTCGATCAAGTTTACCGTCATATCCAATCGCGTCACGATCGTTACATCCGAATCCATTGTCGAGTCGCCTACGCAATTTTCGTTTAGTTCAACCGTACAACTTAAATGCATTGATTGATGAAACATTGGCGATTATACGAACAGTTGTTGATACTGACCAAGATCTTCCGCACGCCATGCTAGTCATATCACGTATTGCCAATCGAGAAGATCGATGGCTGAATGTCATGCTTGCCTTAGTCGAACGTATACCAATCAACGATCCCCTGGGTGCAACAGTTATCGCATTACTACTTGATGAATGTCCATTGCCATCGAAAGAGTTATTACAACAACTGATATCTCTGATTTGTTCAGATAATCATTCGAGAGTAAAGCTTCTCCAGACAGCTCTCGATAAGTATGTTAAAGAAAATCAGCAGATCGTACAGAAGCAAACAAAGGATGTAAATATCGAGGAAATTGTACCAATGATAAATAGTAGCGCAAATGAACAACAAGAAAAGTAAGCGCACTCGAATGATTCTATTCGTAAATAACATGTTTATTCCATAGATTGAACAAGAAATCGTCATTACCAAAACTTTCAGTAAAAGCAAGCAGCCCACCCGATGCACAATCGTCGAAGAAAATTGAAAATGAATTCCATCGCGACCGGAATACATTGATCTTACTTGGTTGTCTTGCTGAAAAGCTCGGTTTGTTTGATCTTCTGCTACTCACTCTCTATGAATGTTTTCCTTTCTAGTCGGTCCGACGAGTGTAGCAATGTTAAATACAAATGCACTAGAATTTGTGATCGATCGAGTTTACTTAGGCTTACATAATTATGAACAATTGAGTTCTCCGAGCTTTGATGCAGATAATCAGTTATCCAGTTATTCGTCAGTATTTAAAATCATTTTATTTGCGTTGGTTACTGTAGAAAAGTTTTCTCAGTCGTCGGAATCTAAGCATATTCTGCTACAATCGTTAACGGTGAAAGATAAACAAAAGTCAATGAATGTTCTAGAATATTACGAAACATGGACAACGTCAGCGAATTGTTTAAAACGACAAATCGGTAAAAGAATATATTCGGTCGAGTGATTCTATCTGCTTCTTCTTTCATGTAGGTTTTTATGCTCAATGGTTACTTGATAATGTTTTCATTCTCGATTATCGACGATCTTCCTATGAAACTCTCGATCATCAGGCAATCAATGTTATATTAAATGATAAAGACGTTAGTGAATATTTAAAAATTGGTCCCGATGGACTCGAAGCTCGCAGTGACACAGTTTCCTTCGAAAGCGTTCGATCGACATTCAGCGTGAGATCCGATGTCTGGTATTACGAGGTCTTGATCGTCACTGATGGCGTCATGCAAATCGGTTGGGCGACTAAACAATCAAAATTTATGAATAATGAAGGTTACGGTATTGGTGATGACCAATATTCCATCGCCTATGATGGATGTCGAAATCTGATATGGTTCGGTGCGAAGTCCATCGCACATAACAATCCGCCATGGAAACCTGGTGACATCCTTGGTAAGCGAAAGGAAACGAGAGAACCTTTGAATTTATATGTTATTGCAGGTTGTTTGATTGATTTCGATCGACGTGAGGTGATCTTTTCTCTGAACGGACGTGCGCTTGATCCATTTCGTAAAGTGTTCTCGTCCAGTTCCACTCCGATTATAGATGGCTTTTTCGCTGCTGCAAGTTTTATGTCTTATCAACATTGTCGTTTTAATTTTGGTTCTAGTCCATTTCGTCACCCGCCGACACACGTGCGTTCATTCAAATCATTCAATGATTACGGTCATTTATCTGATAATGAAAAACTCATTCTTCCTAGATACAAAAAACTGGAATTACTACGCGCGATAGAAATTAGCGAACAAGATTGTATTCTCTGTGTCGATGCTTGTGCTAATATCAGACTTATACCCTGTCAACATACTGGTATTTGTGAAAAATGTTCGTTTAAACTAGATACATGTCCAATATGTCGAATGAATATCGAGGAACGTTCGGTTATACATTGACAAGTCGATCTTTTCGAAAAGTTTTACATGTTTCATACGCGATCTGTGTTCTGTTTTGATCTAGTCTTTTTATGTAGATACGTTTGTGTGGCTGATTTCTTGAGTTTGTCGAAGTATGAAATCGAATCCAAAGCTGAAAAGATTATTTTTCTGTCAAAAGAAACGACCTAATTTATTTTCTTCTCTTGCAAATAAATATGATTGTTAATATTATCGAAGCGAAAGAAAAAACTGTCATAATATAAGGTGCACCCATAGCAAAAAGGAAGCATGAAAAATAGATTTTTTTAAGTCATATATCGTTTGATAGAGCTCTTCAACCTGATCACGAATATCACCTTTTTATCTATTTTTGATCAAGTTTTCGGCGAAAAATCGTCGAAATACAAATAGCTTGAGAAATGGTGTATTTTTGACCATTGTCAAGAAAATCACGGCTTTCATCGTTCTACATTGATTTTTACTTTTTGGAACTGTTTTATTCGCATTCAGCATGTGAAAATGAGTATATCCATGTATGTTTCACAATATTTCTTCGTTCTTGGCTTTCTCAGCAAAATACAACAAACTCGTATATAGATACCTCGATACACCCTCCTCCAAAACACATCAACTATTTTAGGTTTAGAGTTTTTCATGATATTCATGCATCATTCAAACCACCATTCGATGGGCAAAAAAGTTATGTATCGCTTTTGAAAAATATTTTTGTGACGCTGAGAAAAGCCACTTTTACTGGGTCGGACATCATAGCGAAATATTAGCATTTTTTTCTTTTTTTTAAATTTGTTCTGAAGTTCAATTTTTATTATCGCATACAGGTAAAAAAGAACGTAGAATTCAATGAATACAGTCACAGACTCTCATAACATTCTGAACACAGGATATCTAGTATTGAATTGTGAAAATTCTTGAAAAATGTGCATTTCTTGGCCATGCGACTTTTCTTTCAGTTTTACTAACTCACATGTTTATCTTCTCCGGCACGTAGAGCCGAATGCACTTCAGAGAAGTAAGGTAACGCATTTTTTTTTGTTTTTTTAATGTCTGAAACTTTTTTCCTTTTTTTTTATTTTTAGAGTTTTTAAAATTTGTTTGTGTTTATAGAAGTTTTTTGCGTGGTTTTCGTATCCGGTAAGATTATTTCAGTTTAAAAACAAGAGTTGAATTAAAAGTAAATTTCATTACTGAAGTTTGCTGTTCGTTATTTTTCGATGAGAGAGAATACTAGATTTACATGATTGACTGAAGAAGAGACTGAGAATCTCGCCATATGATTTGCCTTGATTATAAGCATCCAGGGAACGCCAGAAACGTCGAAAGAGTTTCATATGTATCTGACGCTGTTCAAAATTATCACGAGACTCGGGAAGAAGACGTAGCATGGTGGGAAAACTTTGATCAGACGTTTTTCTTATGTACTGTTTCATATGGCACCATAGACCCTCAATCGCATTCAATTCACAATGAAATTTAGGAACAAATATTACTTTAACTTGATATTTTCTAGCTAAATTTTCGAGCCGAGATACATTTTGAAAAGCAGGATGTGTCGAAAATAATCCTCGAATTTCAGGAAGCTTCATTCTCGATCCAATCGATATATGGAGGTCTTTGGCCAATTCAACCAGTCCCTTTGATTTGCCACGATGTTCACCCTTGGTAAAATAACATGATACCGATACAGTTTTACCCTGAATATCCTGATATTCAATGAAATCAACTGGACACTTTGTATCTATACCTTTACTAAAATCATTGATACTGTACTCTCGAGCAGAATGCGTTCTCGCATTGTCTACCACTACCTCAATTTCGTGATCTTTGAAACTCTCCTTAAAAGACAGTAGCATAAACAATCGTTCGAATTGAGCCAAGATGGTGTCGTTGTCAAAATAGCCCTCTTGTCCAACGTTGATCCCAGCAGTAGCTGAGTTTCCCACATAATTCAGATCGTCTGACGAAAGGAGTGAAGGATATTTCTTGCATGCACGCTTGAACTCCGCATCTGAGAGAGAAAAGAAGGGCCCAGAGGGGTGCTGCACCAGGAAATCGGACAGCATATGAGACCTGCCTTGACCTTTCGAGAAAAAGGGCGTTTGTCCATCGACCATCCATCTCTTGGCTGATATTTCACCGCACTTGAACGTCGACTCATCATGGACTAAAATTTAAAAAGATGCAAAATTAAGGTTTTGCATTATCTTTTTTAAATAAGGCACTTACAAAGGAGCACACAAGGCTTCTGGCTTGGTATTTGCCATACAGGTTGATCACCATCTGTTACTGTATAATATCGATCTTTCCTTTGCAGAAAATGCGCAACGAATTCTTGACGATGTGCTATAACGTCCAGTCTTTCGTGACCTTCGAAGTAGGGCCTTTGAGAATTTGGCTGAAACTTGGCTCCCCAGCGCCGAAGGTCAAGTCGGCAGGCTTCGACAGAACGAATCAAGACGTCACTAGATTTCGCTATCTGTGTTAGCTCGTAGAACTTTGTATCAATGAAATTAGCCAAATCAAGAACAGTGAAGTCGGCTGACTTACGAGAACACGATTCGATTGCGAAAGCTTTCGCTTCTGTTTCAAGTTCTGGAAACACATCATAGAAGGATTCGCTATGCCTACCTCCTCGACCATCATCGTAAAATGATTCAGTTTCATCTAATAAGAAAGCTTTTGCCCAATGATGAGCAGCTTTAGCTCGATAAGCACCAATATTACTCAGAACCGCATCACTGTCTCGCCACGAGAGACCTACTTGACGCAGAATCATGTACAGAAGAACAGATAATTTTCGAGAACCACAGGAGCTCTTACATAGTTCGAATAAATCACCAATTTCCGCAAGCTCCCATTCTATTTTGAAATCTTCTTTTTCCCCATTGTGCAGTTTCCTGAAATCCCAACTGTCTTCGTCTTCATCCATTGATTCAGGATCATCGTTAAGATTCATGTCTTCCCATCGTGCGGATATCGCCTTCTCACTATGCAGCTTTCGTTTTGACTTTTGTGGCATCGTAGAAAAATTCGAGAGTGAATATATTAACCTTCTGAATACCGGTCAATTTTTTTCGTTCTGTTAGAAACGAGAGAAGGATCTCTTATCACTCTCTCTAGCGAATTTAGCTGGTAAACAATGTGACAGAACGCAAGAGAATATCGTGTGCCTCTTTGTTGTCTTCAGCGTGAATACAGGCGTATTCAAGAGTTTCATGATAATAAGAAAGAAAGTATTTGTTGTAATGCAGTACTTGCAATGCGGTAGAAAAGTTGACTTATAATTGGTCTATTCCAATTTTTCTATGTAGTCTCTATATAGCTTATTTCAATTCAGTGTCAATACCATTGAATTCTACGTTCTTTTTTACCTGTATGCGATAATAAAAATTGAACTTCAGAACAAATTTAAAAAAAAGAAAAAAATGCTAATATTTCGCTATGATGTCCGACCCAGTAAAAGTGGCTTTTCTCAGCGTCACAAAAATATTTTTCAAAAGCGATACATAACTTTTTTGCCCATCGAATGGTGGTTTGAATGATGCATGAATATCATGAAAAACTCTAAACCTAAAATAGTTGATGTGTTTTGGAGGAGGGTGTATCGAGGTATCTATATACGAGTTTGTTGTATTTTGCTGAGAAAGCCAAGAACGAAGAAATATTGTGAAACATACATGGATATACTCATTTTCACATGCTGAATGCGAATAAAACAGTTCCAAAAAGTAAAAATCAATGTAGAACGATGAAAGCCGTGATTTTCTTGACAATGGTCAAAAATACACCATTTCTCAAGCTATTTGTATTTCGACGATTTTTCGCCGAAAACTTGATCAAAAATAGATAAAAAGGTGATATTCGTGATCAGGTTGAAGAGCTCTATCAAACGATATATGACTTAAAAAAATCTATTTTTCATGCTTCCTTTTTGCTATGGGTGCACCTTACTTTATTTCCTTCAACGAAAATCATGCTCAATCTAATTGCTCTATGTTTACTTATTTCTGGTAGTGTTTGCCGTATTCTTGTTATTAGTGTGACAATCTACATACTCTACGTCGTTAAACATCGCTCAACAAATGTTGGCTTAGCAATGACTATCGTACAAAATATGCTCTGGTGAAGATCCTCAGACGCAAGTCAACACTCAGGAACAAAAGAAAACAATTGAAAATAAAAGTTAAAATAATATAATAGCTTATCTGTCTATGTGCACTTATCAGCAAAATTCGCGGGTTTTTCGTGACTTTAAACGAAGTTATCTATGCGATAAGAAATCAAACTAATAGTGCGAGCGGGATTGGCTGGTGGTCAATATGTTCCATTTGGAATGTGAAAAAAATAAGTTTCTTTTTTCGTACAAAATTAGTACATTTATTTGAGATAAATAACTTCAAAGAAAATGAAGGGGAAAACATGATTTGTATACACGCATACTGTCTAATTAACCTGACTAGACATTGAAAAAGCCCGCATAGAATATAAAAACATATGCATATACTCATTTGTTAAGCCACAAGTGGCGTTCGTTCGTCATATTCCACATCATTGAGGTGACTTTTATATGGCAATAATTTTGCACGATCAGATGTAACTATTTCATGGCGATTTCCACCAATATTCGCTTTCCACAAACTGACAGTCATTACAACAGTCAATACAGCTACACCGGCTGGTATAAACGAGAGAATCTGTCTGTAATACAATGCACATTGAACTGTTGTATTTGCCGTACATGGATTGAATTGTTGAATAGCAGCAATGGTAACACCATTAGCAAGTTTATCTGCGAATGACATGATTCCGTACACGAATGCACCACATTCAGTATTCAATCCGATCAGATCCGACGTTAAGGAAAATGAACAAATATTCGTTGTTGATGTTCCTATCCCAAGTAAAATACAACCGAGAATCAGTGTCGCTTCAATTGGTATAGTCGGTTTCATTTGAAAAATACACCAGAATAAAACTGTACTAGCAAGAACAAAAAGTAAGCCAAGAATCATGGTGATTTTCCGACCAAGACGTTTGTTTATCGCACGCATTGGAAACGAGGCAAGTAAACCGCTGACATATGAACATAGAGGAGCAATAGCGACGTACATCCGATCCAACGTCGAAATTGTGTCAATGATATATAAGGGTAGAAAGACCTAAATAGAGTTTTGATGATACACAATGTCGTTAGTTTCCTGAAGAAAATGAGATTATACTTGTGTGACGTTGAGAATGACACGTATAAACATCCAAATGAGTGCACATTGATAGAATTCTTTTTCGCGTAGAAAACATTTCCATGTCATTCGCTTCAATCGTCCACTTGAAGTTAAAGATAATTGCAATCGATGTTCAGTGTCTTCCGCGGGTAATTCCGATTCTTTCAATCCAACATGAAATATAATCATACACAGTAGACCAATTCCGACAACAATCAGTGTCAATGATCGAAAGATATGTGCATCCGCTGGTGTTATATCTGTTTTATCATTACCCGAATGAACACCAAGTAGAACACTAGCCATTGCATACACAAATATATTCGAAATAACTGTCCAAGCATAACGATACGAATTCAGGGCAACACGTTCGCCATCTTTATGTGTTAATTCGTTAATCATTGCTCTAGTAATTAAACGAAAACGAGTCGTGTTTATTCCGAACTGAGTAAACATCAATGACTTACAGATGCGTGATTTGCGAGCATGACCAACCGAATTGAAAAATTATAATGAACATCGTGTAGTAAATAAACTGTGCCCATAAGTCACTGTACCGACAGCCAACACATATGTTGAAACAGAATGGAAATGAGCCGAGAACGCAAATTACACCAATGAGATGCCATGTTTTCCTTCGACCATAATGAAATAATCCTGTACGAGTTCGATCGGATTCAAAGCCAACAAATGTTGTTGCCAAAGCATCCGCAATTTGACCGATTAACAACAAATAACCAGCAGATGCATTGGAAAAATTTACGACACGATGGTAGAAAACAAGTAAATACGAAAACCACATCGATGCACTAAGATCGTTGAGAACATGACCAACACTATACGCTAATTTCGTCTTTTTCGATACAATATCCGCTTGCGATACAATCGGATCCATTGAAAGTAATGTGAAAACTCAATAACCTACAAGTAAAACAACATATGTTGGCTAATGACAGTACACATACTCATAAATAGTCAATTAGAAAATCTGTTTTGTCATTATTATCCTAGTTTTATTTCGAAAATTTATCTTATGTGTAAGGCATTGAAGTCAAACACAAAACTCGAGAAGTTAAATGAAAGGAAGATAGAATAGATAAAATGTGATATACATTGTTTGAAATCAAGATATTTTTTGATAAGATGTTTACTTGATTACAGCCATTCTGACGCCATACAAATATCGAACAAAACGAACTCGCATGGTCATTGTCTCGAAATGAAGCGTTCCGAAATGTTGATGTCAATCGATTGAACATCAATACACTTTCTCATACATAAAAATAAATAATTGTACATCGTAGATAGACACTGAGTCATACAGATAAAACAGCGTTCTTTGTTTTTTTTTCTGACGTAACAAAATCTCTACGATGTGCTTATCAACATACTTCGAATGGTGATGAAAGATTAATGATCAGTCGGACAGCATTCTTGTTGCAGTAGAACAAATTCACTTCATACATCTCATTAGATTTGTTTATTTCTAATAAAACTGTTAGTATGGTGTAGTAATTCTGTTGAAATTAGGTGAGAACACTAAGACAATATAGAAACAAAAATAAAAATCATCAACATAACATATGTATTTTTTCTCTCTCTCTTTATTGCAATCATGTAAATCTTTGTTTTGAAACGGAAAACCAAACGACCGGGAAGTATTCTTTTCCAGATAAAATTTATGTACAGATAGTGTTATGCACAAAGATACTGTTTCCATGTCAGCAGTTCAATGATATAGATTGAATGAAAGAAATTCTAATCGACAAAGGTCCAAACTTCTACGCTGGCGATGATGAAATCTTCTTTCGACGATAGTTGAACATTGTCGAATGTTTTACTTCGGCATGTACGACCGTGATACAAGTCAGCGTCAAGCCATAGACCATATGTTCCTCTGTAAAAGTCGACTCGTGTGAAGAGTTCTTAGACAGAAAGAACATAACTTACTCTCCACTACCGATACCAAGTGATTTCACATCACCCTTGACAAAAAATTGATTATTGCCGGTCCAGTGGAACACCTAAAATAGCAAATGGATATGACATGCAACATTTTGCTCAGCAAACTCCTGTTCTTCGCTGAAGAATTATTGTATTCGTCCAGACTGGATAGAGAAATCTAATAATCTCAAATGTCTACATAGATCTTGTTGCATAGTCTCCTGGTAGGAAAACACGCGATGCTTTCCATGAGAGGATCTAAGCTTTCAAAAGTATTAGTCTTAAGAAGCAATCTTTAACTTAATCTATCGAACAAAAAGAAGAACATGAATTTCTTCTCGAATTGAGCCGCTAGTCATTCATGTTTTCTTATTGAAACAGTCAAGTGTAGAGAGCTGGAATAATAGTTGATAAAAATAGACGATTATATTAATAAGAACTTCCGGAAATAGTTAGTCGTTTTGTTTTCAAATTACGACTTACTTGAAATTTCGGATGAAATGTGAACAGAAACGATTCGCCAGTTCCATAAAAGCCGTCACTGATCATTAATTGTTGCGAAATATACGCACCGAAAGTCTATTCACCATCAAAGGAAAAGAAGAATCAATCAAAGCTATAGACAGGCAAAGCGTTTCATTACATTCTGCTCGATATCTTTAACAATAAGTAATGCGGGTGAATCTTGATCGACTTCCATTGATCGACGATAGAGTTGATTTAAACTAAATCCATGAGCTTCAGTACTGAATATCAATTGCCAATTGAGACCGTGCACACGCGCAGGCAGTTCAAGTAAAATCTATAAATAATTCTTTCAAAGATTGTCTTTTTCGAATAGCAACATGTCCTACTTGTTTCGACTGTTCTTCATCGATTAACGTCGACGGTTGGAGAAATTTAGGTGGCGGAATGCCCGGATCAGATGTGTATGCATTATTCGCATGTGTTGCATTAATGCGTCGATAAATTTCATCAACACTGATGATCTAAATAGACAATGTCATATTCAAGTTGATGTTCTTGTTCTTTTTAATAGGGTTCTTAGACATCGTTTATACTGCATAGCCTTTTAGTTAGAAGAAAAGACGAGAACTCCTACCGCGGTCGAAGTATGTTGTCTATCTGGTTTAAAATGATCAATCACAGATGATGATGTTAGTAAGCTTTTCGCACGTTTTTTCAAACTTGATAATTGCTGTTGATGATAAGGAATTTGTTGGAAAAAGTCGTTTTTCGAGTCGGACAAGCGCCGTGCGAGTGTATGAAATGTCGAACGACGGAGATTTAGCGGTGATGATGGCGGAGTGGAGATACTTGATGAACACGTAGTATTCGACAAGGTTTTCGATAGTGTTCCAATCATAATCGTAATGTCTTATTCGATTGTTTTAATAACGTAGTTAAACATTTATTAATAACGATAAGAAGAAAATACGAAAAGAAAAGATGCTTATATAAGCGTGTGTTTCTCTCGTTTTGAGGAAATTTCCACCAATCCTCGCACAAAGAGAACTACTTAGTTCTTCTTCATTCTTCCGTCACGACTTCGTTGACAGAGTATCCTATCACAAGCGTATAATTGTATCTACTGGAAAAGAAGACGATCGTCTCAAATATGTGTGACATAGATGTGAAGAGAGAAGAAATGTAATTATCAGTTTAAAATAAAAAAAAAGAGTTTGGTGCTGAAACCAGAGAAAATAATATTTGACTTGTTATTCTTTCTCACATCTGAGCAGAGAATGTATTAGCCTTGACGATATATGAAATATGACAAATTGATTATTCCCTTGATGGCAATGACAGTACGATGAAAACTTTGGTTGATCTTAAGATAATCTCTTCTATTATATAAAATGAAAGTTCTTCGCAGACATCTGACAACGCCAATCTTCGACTTTGCTTTTCCTTTCTCTCTCTCTCTCTCATCTTCGCTATTGCTACTACTCGATTAAATATTGATGAGTTACTGCCTAAAATACTGAATGTTTTCTCTTCATTACCTCCCATTCCTTGAGCAATGTGTTTTGTCGTTTGAGATAATGTTGCTTCTTCGTTTCATTTGCACCTTGATCAGGCGGGCTGCTCTGTGTTCCACTTTTTGAACTATTGTTATTTTGAGGAGACGAATAATCATCACTTAATTCCGGATCGTCATTGGCCAAGAGTACAAACCCTTTGTTTGATGAGATTTCGCCATGTTTCGATTGGTTTGAAAATCTGCCTTGATCTACTGAAATATTACTATTATCCGGATAATCATCATTGTAATGTGGATCTAATGTACGTTCAGGACTCCAACGCAGAAAAAATGCATATAAATGATCAATTCTAAAAAAAGAATAGAAATTGATTAATTATGCACTTCGAATATCTGCTAGATTAATACTTCGCTTTTATTTCCGATTAATCGTCTTAGAAGTATAAGCTGTCTTCTACGATTGGAAGAGAGAGTCCCGTCTGAAACGCGAGCGTTTCCAGCAGCGAACAAAATTATTTAGCTTGATATTCAAAGAACTTACTCAGTAGGAAGTCTGTAGACAAAATAGCGAAACAAATGTACCAACTACCAGACATCAACAGTTCGGTACATCTTCTTTCTACTCTCACGCATGCCCCTGGATTTTCTACGAACGTAAGGAGTCGAATATGGTAATTATAGTCAAGTATGATGAAACGAGCGGATCAGTTTTATTTAGAAAGAATATTCTATGTAATTTGCTGTTCCTTCTATAGCTGAACATTTGCGAGCAGTTACGCATAATAATAGTTCAAATGACATTGCTTACTTTTCCTTCGGAACAGAAAACCAATATTCATGTTCCAGCTCTTTCTTTCCGTAAACATCATCCATATGTGTATTATGTCGTCTGTCGCGATTGGAAGTTGGACTATTGGCAAATGTACTCGTTTTTATGCACAAATAATATGGGATTTCGATTGGGTGTGGTGTAACGTAGATATCGTGTTGTTTTTGTAATAATTCTTAACAAACGAAAAGAATTTTCAAGACGGGCATCATCTTGTTTTCCTTACTATCGATTTCACCGAAGCGTTTGCTAAACTCTTCAACAGGTATACAGTTTTCTAATTGATAACCATCTAAAACGACAAGACAATGAAAATCGATCAAACCCACTGGAAAGAACTCCGTACGTGATGGCACATCGTTTTCATTAATTAGAATTCCGCTGGAATGTTTGTGTCCGTCGAGTGAATAGCAAAAATCATCATTCTCAAGAAGCTGCTGTGCGGGCGATGCGTGTCGGTGTGCACTGGAGGAGGCGTTGAATAGCATGCGACTGGTATCAACTGGTTCCGTATTGTATTCTTTATCGATTTTATCTAATAATGATGTCATTAGTTCGTGTACTTGTTCTTCGTCGCTATTCACTGAGTGTTTGAGAAGGTTTTTAATGCTTGATGAATGACACATTTTACGCTTTTCTTCATCACTATACAAATTGTGAATAGAACGAGTCATATGCGAGCGAATCTCATCTACCGTAATGCAGCTTCGTGTTCATATACAACCATGTCTTCATAGAGAGCAATACCAGCAAGTAAATCCATTCTAAAACGACCAAAAACATTCGATAGATGGTGGAAAAGGATTGACTGATTGAACGAACCGAATAATTAAGCCATATCTATCAATCCCATTCTCTTTCACTAATGGATCGAGAACATCGGGGTCAAACATAACTGCATTAGGTGTGACAAGTAAAGTGCCAGCGACATTTTTCTATAAAAAATTCATATCGTTCTTATTATACATGACTAAAACGAGTGCATGGAAAGCGATCGTCTTGTCCTATCAACAGTACTCAATGGTATCTGAGAATTTTTAACACAGAACAAAAGATTAATCCTCGTTCAAGTACACTTGCATTAAGAATATATCAGTATGTGATAATGAACGGCTCTTTATACCGGAATGTGAATGGGATTTAACTCCGGCAGCCTTGATTTTCTGTCTAGATTGACTACATGATGTTTCTCACATAAATCCCTGAGGAATAACACGAAGAGTTCCAATAAATAACATTATTTTCGAAGATTCAATTGATAGATGACGCTCGAAAAATCTGCCCGTCGATCATCGACGAAATCTTCGCATGTCTAAGTCCTATACTCTTCGAATGTTCACATGCCAAAATCAATTTTCATTAATCACATTAATTATTAAAATAGATCCAAACGGGACGTGTTTGTCTTTCTACTTACGCGATCTTCGGTCATCAGTCGAACGTTGACCTTAATAAATCGTTGTAAACATTCTTCATCAAGCTGTTGGTTTTCTTCAGTAGAAAGCGTCTTCTGGATTTCGTTCACTTGCCGACTGTTATCCTGTACATGAGTTTTCAACCGATCTTCGATTGTTCGTGGTGATGTTGATGCATCACTTTCGGTGCTCGCTTCACTTTTCAATCGTTGTGCACGGCCAGGCTTGGCTGATGTTTGCCGTGCCATAGACCAAACCATTGCACCGACATCCTGCTGAGTTCCTGACGTTGACGATTCATTAGATAAACGACGATCGGTTAGGAGAATAAATGCATCACCTTCCTTTGGTTTCGTTATCGAAGATGGTGAAATTAGTGGAAGACTCGGTATTGAAGATTTCTCTTCCACTCCCGTTTGTGAAGATGAAACATCCGGAACAAAGAGTACCTGAAAATAATGAGAAAATATTTCGGTTCGTTTCATTGCCGAAAGAGTGTCATTCTATATTTATATTCATGCTACCAGATCTTATTCACAACAATTATTTTTGATATATGACCTGATATTCAAAGAACAAATGGCTACAAGTGGAATTTCTCATTAATCTTAAACATCAAGAGAGTATAATTGCTTTCAATGTCTACTGCGAACATTTCTCCGTGAAATGAATTCATCAATTTAGTATACTAATGACTTGATTTTATCGGAAAACGATGTGTGGAAAGCAAATGTATCATATTTTCAGGCACTATGGAGTTGGACTCAAGGCTAGAACAGAAACATACTTGTCCGGGAAAGACGATTCGCGTGTTTAATTTATTGAGCTGAAGTAATTCGGACGGTGTTAAATTAAAATGAAGAGCGATCTTTTCCAATGTATCAGTATTGCCAACCTACAACAATCCATACAATGAACAACTTTCAAATGAATTCATCGGTGCGTACTGTGTAAGATATGGTTCCTTTTGGTTGACAGATCGTTCGACCGCGTTTCGATTCACGATCTAGGTGGGAAAAAAAGTGATGATTGTGAGCGAAGTTTGAGGAAATTTACTTGAGTTTGTTCGAAATGAATCTAAAACCGCTTGAGCATTTGTTGTTTCATGAACTGTATCATCGGATTTGGTTGACATCAGAGGTATATTCGATGAGATGCTAATTATTGACGATTGCTTCGAAGCGGGTTCCGTTGTTTGACTTTACAGAAAGAAAGAGGTAAATAGAAAATATTGACAATATTTTGAGGTTTATCAAACCGAGTTCGATCCATTTCTGTTCTGTCTCACTGGATCTAATACATGATAATTGATCGGCGTCGAAATCTTCGTGTAATAAACACAGAATGCAAAAAAAAAGAGTCCAATAAATAAATGTAGCAACAACAATCGAAGAGATCTAGAAAAGCAAGAAATAAAAACACAATTCTTTCTTTCTCTTTTCTTCTTCGCGAGTCGTTCAATGTTTGACAAGTCAAAAGCGGTATTGCAGCTTTGTCGTATTTCCAAAAACGATGAAAAAGTTGAATATTAAAGTTTTCTATGAACACCAGAGAAAAAAACACATCGATCGATAAATATTTTCTTTCCTTCGCTTCCGTCTAGGTTTTTTTCAGAACGAACTAATTCAATTGATTATTTTATATATTAGTGGTGCGATCGACAGCAGTGAGACAGACAGAGAGAAAAAGAAAAAACTACTCGTGGCACAGAAAGTACGACGAACGTTGATGAAAGAAATAATTGTGCGCATGCATACATCCGGAATTAGTTCTCTATTGGACAATTCAAATAGCCAATAGGAAAAGAGTAGAACTTCAAAAAATTATTGAAATATTTTAGAAAATTTCTCACGAAAATAAATCTAAAATAAAATAGAATTTTTGTTTAAAATTAACAAGAAGAAGAAGAGCATGTATTGGTTATTTACTAGCGTCTGATGATCATGAAATGAGATAAGAGCACACAAGTATTTGTAAAAAGGATTCTACTGAAGCTATGCTAACTCGATTCATTTCATCTATTGCTCAACATCAACGTTCGTTGATATCTACTTCGCTTCGTCTTATAAACACAAGTGCACCAAGCTTGAGCGATGGTGACCATACACGATCAGAAGCTGAAGAAAAGGCAGCGGCTGATTTAAAATCTCGAAAAGAAAAACGTTGGCTAGATACAGTCGCTTCTGACAGTGGTAAATGGTGAATGTTACTTGCTGTGATTCTTCATACATATCATGCGATTGTTGTAGAGGCGATAGTCAAAGGCGAGAAGCAACATGCGAAGAAACAAGGTGATGAGAAGAAAGATATGAATAAACTTCAAAATGACACGATCGACGCCATTCAAGACAAAGAAGCGAAAGGTCATTTACCAAAACACGATGTGGGCCGACGTGATACACGAAGTGAACGAATAGGAAGTGGTGGTTCCACTGGTAGTAGTAGTAGTAGTAAACAAGGAAAGAAACGCTAAGAACTGTAAATTTTCAATTACAAATGTATTTCTTTTCCTTTTCATCCATCCGCTAGTCTATTTGCCGAGCATTCATTGATCTTCTTCTCTTTTGATTATATTATTTTATTCGCGCAACTTCTTTTTTTTATTTTCTATTGTAAAATTCACTATTGTTTGATCATTGTGTGTTTGTACCGATTTTTCTTTGAATGAACGTTCAATAAAAGTATTCTAGCAAACTTCGGACGCACAATTTCATGGATGACTTATGCTTTAGAATTGTGAATGTTAGAAGGCAGAACAATTGTTATTCTATAACTCCATCTATTCGTTTATAAAAGAAGAAGAAAAGAAGTATACATATGTTCTATCTATTAGGAAGCAAAAGTGGACAAAAGGGAGAACCGTTCGAAAGATCTTGTTCACCAATTGGGCTCTTTCATTCCACCAACTAGTTGACTTCGATTACGGAAATAGTCTTGTCGAAGATTTTCGTGTTTTTGAACGAAGATTGAATAAGCAATGAATGGAAATATATACCAACGTTTAATGCAGACTTCTTTCAACCAAAAACGAGTTACTTCGAGTGCCATTTGCGATTATCGTCGTGGTTTTGTCAACGTCGTTTGTAACTTGTTTCTATAAGATCAGGACTTAGAAAAAAAAGAGATCGCCGTGTTGATTTGTCGTTGTTGCTGATGATGAGTCATTCATCAATTTGAATATTCACATTTGATTGGCTAATTAGTTTTCGATGAGAAAAGAGTTTCGAGAATGGAAACAGAACGAGTTTTCTCAATAGATTTTCTTCGTAATTTTTCGTGAAATTATCTGATTGGTCTCTTCATCGTCCACAGAATACCCAACTCCATCTGATTATAATATATCTGTCAAGTATATACTGTATTAAAACGCTGTTTTTCTCCTCTTCAGCAATATCATGGGCCTTTGCAAGTGTCCTCAACGCAAAGTGTCAACTTTATTTTGTTTTAAACATCATGTCAATGTTTGTGAATCATGTCTTGTTAGTGAACACAATCAATGTATTGTGCGTTCATATGTATCTTGGCTTCAAGATAACGACTATAATCCTAACTGTACTCTTTGCCAACGCTCATTAACCGAAACTAGTGAAGAAACCATTCGTCTTATTTGTTACGACCTTTTCCATTGGCCGTGTTTAAACGAATATTTCCGTTCATTTCCAAATCACACCGCTCCAGATGGATATACGTGTCCAACATGCCATACATGTGTCTTTCCGTCTTCGAATCTTGTCTCGCCAGTTGCGGATCAAGTCCGAAGAAAACTAGCGACTGTCAATTGGGCAAATCGACTGCCGGTTTTAGCCTCACATGAGTCAAATTTCAATCAAGATAAACAACTGTTATTAACTGAAACAGAAAACAATGGTTATGTTATTGTGAATCCAACGACTAGTTCTAATAGTAATGTCGAGCATCTAACTGGATTATCACACCATCCACATCGATCTATTGATATGGCACAAGGAGTAGCAGTATTATCAACAAGAGTATGTCATATTTTACAGTTCAGTTAGTTCGTCATCTAATTTTACATTCGAATTCGATTAGCAAACTCTTGGAATCCAAGACGATGATTATAGAAGCAGCATTCCATGAGTTTTCGACGAAAGCTTGCACGAATCGTCTTATTTTTCGGCTGTAAATACTTGAAATATGCTCAAAGTTCAGTGGAAAAATTCTATGACCGTATCCGGCTACTGTTTATGACAGGATCCGTTGTAGAGAGTACTGCTTCCAGGAAACGCCTGGAACCGATCAGATTCTTCAATCTGAGGATTGATTAGCGATAAAAAAAAAAGTAATGTCTAAAAGCGAAGTGCCGTTGAGAATACTGTTGTTGCACAGAACTTGCTATAGTCATAATAATGAAGTTAGTTTTCTTTCATTTCAGCCATCGCAAATGGATCTTGACGATGACGATAAATACAAACGTCGTAGTGTGTTTACGTGGTTTGCCCGGTGGATGCGTTCTCACCAGTCAGCATCACGTCGAGATTCTTTCACTAGTAATCGCTCTCAATTATCTCGAACTCGTTTCGCAATCTATACGATATTCGCCGTCCTATTTGTATTCATGACAATTCTAATCGTTCTGTATCATTTTACACGTGGTAACGACGATGAACGCTTAGATATTATTAGGGATCCACAATTCAATCCATTGAATAATCCCTTTATTCGTGTTGGCAATCGTTTCGTAAAGAATCCTTCAAAAGATTCCAATCAAGCTCAATCACAATAACAAAACGAACCATCGTCAATCTGCCTTTGTTTCTTATCTGATTTCCATGTCTTCGATCATAATGGTTCCTTATTCTCCTTCTTTGTCTTATGTACTGTAAGGATCCTAGGGGTCGCCAGTTATTGCAAATAGAAAAATAACTATCGCTAATATTTCTTTTTTGCTTTTTTACTTTCTTTTCGAGCATATATATCATTTCATTTCGTACTTTTCTTTTTATATGTCGATAGATCTTGTTTTAACAGGTGTACTGTACGAAAAACAACAACAAACCACAATTGGTCTATTTCAGCGGAAAAATTCAGATATTTATTTATTTATTTCTAGACTCTAATAATGATGATGAATATTATCCGTCGTTTTCTTTCAACTTCTTCGGAGAACAGTTCTTATACCATTTCATCCCGTTTGCTTAATCGCAATCCTCGTACGCTCGAATGGCAAAACCTACAATGGCGTGCAACTGGTTGGCCATTACAATATCCTCCAAAAGACTATCTACATCGTGCACGACTACTCTCATCAGGCCGACATTTAATCGCACAAATCGATCATTATCACACAGGAAATGTTTGTGTAGAAGCGTCAACGCGTGAATGGGCCATTCGGAAACACTTAGCAACATGTAAAGATCGTTCTGCGGCTTATAATCTTGCTTTGATTCTAGCACAACGTGCAGAGGAATGTGGAATCACGAAGATCTATTTCGGTCATCCGCATGATCAGAGATATGAGAAATCTTCACGATTACAGTACTTTTACCGTGGTTTAGTGGATTCGACTATTGAATTTGAAGAACGTGAAGCTAGCCAAACACAAATGACCAAAGATTCCATTCAAGGTATTAACTACGATGAACACGAACGTGATGTGAGATACGCACCACCGAATATCCATTTTCCACCAGATACATATCAAGAAAAACTACATTACTTTCAACTAGGATTAAGCAAACCGAATGAACATGTAGAGAATAACGATCAAAATAAACAAGACAAAGTTGTGTCGTAAGACATCCTTCATTTGTTCTGTTTTATTTCTTGAATCAGGATGTAAACTATATGGATAGATTTATGTTGAAATGAAAGTTAACTTTCATTTGTTTTCTAGATGCTAAATCGTCTTTTTCCTCGTTCTTTTCCGTTATCACTATCATCACTTCATCAATCGATTCGTTTTCTATCTTTATCATCAGTTAATTACAAACGCACACATACAGATATACGTGAAGGTGCTGTACGAGAAATCAATTTACATCCCGAGAATACTCAAGCACCATTAAGTATCGACGTCAGTAAATATTATGGTGGACCAGGACAAGTTCGTGAAACTGACTTCGAAACATTATTCGGCGAAGCAAACAATTCTGAAGTACCTCAAGTTAAATATGAAGACTTGCCCATTGTTCATATCAAATGTACACGGAATAATACGCTAGTCGATGTTAGTGATTGTACAGGTCAACAGATTTTCCGTACGTCGTGTGGCGTGGTCGGCTTTCACAATGCAAAGAAAGGCACAACAACAGCAGCGCAAGCTGTGGGGATACACATGGGAAACAATCTATCGCGGCGAAATATGAAATATGTGCGAGTAGTGGTGAAAGGTACTGGGCCAGGACGTTTGATGGCAATTAAAGGTTTGCAACTAGCTGGAGTTAATATTGTAACAATAACTGATAATACGAGTATTCCGACAATACATGTCGGACTACAGCGACCGAAAAAAATGAGACGTGTATAAATTCTAGTTTTTGTTTTGTTGTTCTTTTTTTGCATTTTAGATGTCTAACCCACATATAACTAGTACGGCTCGATCAAATCAACCGCGCCGGAAATGGTTTATCAATTTACAATTGGACAGACAAGAACGTGCAATCAATGCTGCTGCTGCTGCTTCAACAGTATTAGCAGCAACTACAGATGGTTCGGTAGCAACCACAGCTAATAATGAACTTAATCTGATACCTGTGGGCTTCTCTAACACCAGAGTACAAGATAAAGTGACTCCAGAAGACGACGATCGCCTATTAGCAAGACGTTCATGGGATATCGCATTGCAACCAATCAAACAATTACCAATGATGATGATATTTTCCTGGATGGCTGGTAATTCATTTTCATTGATGTCCATTATGATTGTTGGGACACTGTTTATGAAACCAATTCAAGTGAGTCGATTTTCTTTTTGTTATTTAGCATGGTATGCATGTTTTGCCGTTGTTATTTAGTCGGTATTTTCTCTTGGCTCGGCATTTGCATCATTAGAACAAGAAGGTGTTGGCGGAAACATTTGGCTTCTGAAAATAGTCTACCTATTAGGCAGTTTAGCACATTTAGGATTGGCTCTATACAAGTGTCAATCGATGGGTTTATTACCGACGTATAATTCGGATTGGATTGCCTTTGCTGATCAACAAACGCAGATGGAAATGACTGTTGGAGGCTTTGCTTACCATTAAATTTCACTGTTTACTTGTTTATGCGTTCCATTCTTTTTGTCTTTTATGTACTATGCAAAAAAAATAAAAATTTCGTAGGCATTCTTATTTCTACGCATTGCAGTACTGCTACAAATAGCTTTTTCGAAATATGGTTTCGCTTTCCAAGAATTTGATACATGAGAGTGAGAACGAGAGCACTCGAGATGCAATTGAACGCTGTAGACGACTATGAGAAATACGAATTTTGTATATTTTAAGATAAACGAAGATTCTCGTTGCAATTGTGAAAACATGGCTAAATATCGAAACCAGCTACCACAACTTTCCGATAGATTCTTCATTATTAGCGGTGGTTTAGAGACATATTTGGTCTATCAAAAGAAAATGAATCTTCCTTACTCTGCCACATTCCCTGTTCTGAAATCCGAAGCGGGATGCGAAGTAATCAAAGATTACCTGTCTCAGTTTGCTATGATAGCAAAAAAGTACGGTGCTGGTCTAATTTTCCAAGCGGTGACATGGCGTGCTAGTCCTGATTACCTGAAAAAACTAGGCTACGAAATCGAAGACCTTCCTAGTATCGTTCAACAGGCTGTTGATCTGCTTGTTGATATTCGCAATGAGTACGAAACAGAAACAACACCAATTGTTATCAATGCCAGCATGGGACCACGTGGAGATGGCTACAATCCGACGACAATCATGTCTCCTGATGAAGCACAAACGTATCATTCGACACAGATCAACGCGTTCAGTCAATCCAAGGCAGATTTCATTACTGCATTTACATTGAATTATCCCGAAGAAGCAATCGGAATCGTTCGTGCTGCTAAAGCCGTCAACATGCCCATTGCTATCTCATTCACAGTCAGTTCCGATGGTCGCTTACCAACAGGACAGTCATTGAAAGACGCAATTGAAATGGTGGACAGTGTTACGGTCAAAGCTCCTATTTATTATATGATTAACTGTGCACATCCAAATACCTTTGAAAAACTCTTAGATCCAAAAGAAGCTTGGGTGCAGCGAATTCATGGTTTCAAAAGTAATGCGTCGAAGAAAACGCACGAACAACTAGATGAAAGTAAAGAATTGGATGATGGCAATCCGCAAGAGTTCGGCCAATGCAATCTTGCACTACTAAAGAAATTGAAACATGTGAACATACTTGGTGGATGTTGCGGAACAGATATCCGCCATATTGAAGAAACATGCAAAGCCTGTTGCAACGCGTGCACTTGAAATTAACTTACCTTCTGTGTCGGCATTGATAGAGTTGTAATTCTGATTTTATCTGATTTAATAAAAACTTTTCAATCAGCACCAGTGATATTCCCTTTTCTGAAAGAAAGGGCTATACAGCGTTTAAATGCTGTGTTAAAAAGCTTAAAGTTTGTCTGTCTGTCAGTCTGTCCTATCCAATCAGAAATCAGCATTTCTAAAATCAATGAAATTGATCGATCGTTGTTAGAAAATGATTACCGGTAGGGTAATCGGGGTCGAGGATCTCGAATCCGAGGTTAGTTTCTCGAAATTCCAATCAGCTAATTAGCTAATTAAGTAATGAAAATTTTCTTCGTTGTCGAGTAAGGGTCGACCGAAGGGTAATCGAGGTCGAGGATCTCGAATCTGAGATTAGTTTTTTTTTATCGTGGAATAAGTGAACAAGTCAGTTCTTAGCTATAGCACGACTGATAGGNTTTTTATTGCTAATTTCATCCTCGCAGGATATTAGATATTTTTCGTTATTCTTCTCTAGTACTGCACTTAACTGGACCCCCGTTCTACTTTCTACTTCTATTTTATTTTCTACTTAAGTAGTAGAAAATTTTCAGTTTGAAATTTTTCAAAATGGATTTGACTTTCGAAGTGTTCGTCAGGTTAAACGTCGTACGAAAATGAAAATATATCTTCGACTCTAGTCGATATTTAACTTAGTTAAATTCATTAATTAATATATATAGTTCCACAGCCACTTCTGCCAATTGGCAGATTTTTTACGTGACCCTGCGAATTTTTCGAACTGGCAGAACGGGTTTATACCGTTACCGACCGGTCTCTTCCAGTTCGAAAAAGTTTGACTGCTTTCAAGTCAGATGTGGTTGAGTCTTAAAATTAACTCACTTACAAAGTTAAATCAAGAAAGACATGTTAGTCCGTGTCAAGATGAAGACTTATACTGTGCTATACATCATTATATCTAATAATAAATCCTACAATACTCTTACTACTTTTCGAGATTTACTTAGTGCCATTTATTCGAAAACGACTAGTCGTATGTCGGCTTTCCTCCGGTCGGCCACTCACGGCCAGCCATAAGCTTATGTTCGTACAATTTCCAAAGAAGACTAAAAGGAAGAGGTACCGTTTTATGAATCACTAAAGACTGGGCACGTGCGTCCGACATAACTTGTCGCATCTTTTCAATGCTCTCATCTATCTGGTGCATATAAATAGTCAGTTGTAACTTTGCAATCATGTACCTCTTTTATATCCACATATCCTTGCTGGCATTCTATCTGAAGGACTAACACAGTGATAGTCGAGACACTCGACAACGATCCGAGAATTTTCCTTAAAAAAAACTACCCTGAGATTCGTATTTCCCGACCTCAATTAACCGTTAGTCAAATTTTACTGAGAAATGTGAAAATGAGTCACTAATTAGCTGACTGTTAATGAGTAATTAAGTAAAATCAACACCGGATTCGAGACCTACGACCTCGACTACCCTCACCCTCAATCCTGATAAAAGATTTTAGTTTTTTTTTAAAATTGACCAATCGAGTGGTGTGAACGAACAGACAAACATTAACTCATTCTGCGTCTATACCCTTCTTTCAGTAGAGGGAATACTCATAATTTTTTGTCTTTGTCTTTTAAGTCGATGCAACTCTTGTCGGTCTCCTCATTTTATGATATTCGAACGTTGTTTGTGAGGAAAACAATGCACAATGTCAGGGATTTAGTATTTTAAAAAAAGAAACATCAATCTTCCACTTAGGTTTTTATACAAGTGCGATGAATAGAGCAAAAGATTTTTTATTGGATCATTGTATTTTTTTGGGTCACACTGAATTCATCACTTCGGAAATGTCTATCCCATTCGTTTTATATATCTAAAATGATAGGAATTGCGGTTGTCTCATCTGCTATTTCGTCTTCTTCTGAAACATTTGCTAACACTTTGTACTTCAACGCTAAAGTATCTTGATTGTCTTTTTCATATAGTTTAGCTAATTCAAGATGACTGCTTTGTGTTCGCTGCTTCTTGTGACGTAATGTTATCTCACTATCTCCTTCCTTTGGTTCATTATATTGTAATCGAATATTGTGCTTTAACTCTTGATAAATGATTGCTGACTTAAAGTCCTTTTTCTTCTAATAGATTTTAATAATCTCACTAAGACACAAATTGATGGAAGTCTGATCGCGTACATCTTGTTGTTGATAAATATCGAGTGCCATTTTATAACTATTTAACATTCCGTCATAGTCCTTCATTTTTTCGTAGTTCACTGCCATTAACATATGACTTTCAGAAACTATCAACCTATCATATAATTCGTTTTGATTAATTTTTTCAATAAATTTTCTTCTATAATCATTTGCCTTTGAGCCATATTCTCTCATCATTTGAATATCTTGTGAATATAACTCCATTTGGCGAGTATAGATATAAGCCAAATAGTTTAAAATTTCAGTTCGCTCATGCTCTGATCGAGAATTCTCATCTGCCTTCAAATAAGATGTTTGGGCGTTATCGAAAGTCTCCGTAATAGTGCTATACGCATTTTCTAAAGATTGATGACAAACACCGAGCTGGTGATAAACGTGACCGATATCAATAGAACAATTTAAATCAATATCATTGTTAAAAGACAACCAAATTTTTAATGCACAGTCATATTTCGCTGACGCTCTGTGATAATCCTTTTTTTCGTATTGCTGATATTGACCTTGACGAAAATTCATTACAGCTGCGATCCATTTTTCCGACGGGTACAACTTCATTAATTCATCGAAAAACACAATCAAATCTGTCTCTGGTATATGATACATTTGAAATGCCAATGTGCTTATGCAGTTTTTAAGGTTTCGCCTGTCGCAATAATCTTTCGATATTCGCAAATCTATTGGTTCGAAATCATTCAATAAGACCAAGTTAACTAAGTAATAGTTTTCTTTTTCATCAAATTTGACATTTTCCACCCGAAATCGATTTCCAACCATAAACAAAACTTCGCGTTCATCTTGAAAGTGACTCTGCTTATGGATGTCAGCATACGGAGCCGTTCTTGTTCTTAAATCTACTTTAATTTCAAATAACACGTTCTGCACAAAAGAATTTTGTGTTAATTCTAAATTTCGAAACATCAACGACACATTCTTCTCGAATGACGAAGAAAATATCTGCATATTCTGAATATATATATTGCTAAGTAATCCATCAATAACACTTTTAGGCATCATTTGACCGCGATACAATGAAGGCAAATGTGTTTGATTGGAAAACTCCTGAATTAATTCCTTGTGTGCTGCATTAAGTTCTTGATAAAGATCTTTAATAAAAAAAAGCCAAATTTAAATAGATGATAAATATTACGTTGACGGAGTTGTTCATTTAATATTTGATATATAAAAGTTTCTTTTGTATAATAATATATAGCGCCTTTGATCTTATATTCACGTTCAAATGTATCAACTTCGTTCGATTTTGTATATAGTCTTAAGAAACGTACGAGCTTCTGAAGTTGATCTTCTGGATATGATATTTTGCACAGGATGTCAATAAATTCTGGAAACCATGGTTTGATAAAAGAATCTACACTTTTCTCGATTTTTTCTATATCTAAGTTATAGTGTTCAGCATTGACTAAATAATAAATCGTATCGTTCTTGAGACTTTTAAATAAATCATCAAAATTTGTATAAATGCATTGTTTCACCTATATGTCATACATCAGATTTTTATAAATTTATTCTAAGTTTTGATTCGAGACGACTATTCTTTCGAAACTAGAACTCACTTTTCCATATTCTCTCGTCTGTTCGCGATATTTGATGCAAGAAGCAGATCCATAATTTTGACGTATAATATAAATTAGTCGAATATTTTCTTGAATAGGAATTCGTGAAATAAAATCATCGATTTGTTGCTCAGACACGATTATGAATATATCCATAGATTTTGTTTGTTCAAGGTGCTCTATACACTTGTTAGCAATATCAAAGAATTGTATTGAATCAGTTATTGATTGTAAAGGATCAACATCAACCGGCATTCTGATATCATTTTCATTAATACCAAAACAAACTATTTGATATTGTTTACCGCCGATACTTTTGTAGTCAATAGATTCAGAGATGCTCGAGCGTCTTTGTGAGCCATCTATAATGCGGATACGAAAGTCCATTTTGTTTTGAAATAATAGAAAAATCTATAATATTTGAGTTGAATATATCATAGTTGTTACAAAATGTTGTGAACTTCTTTTCTTTTTTTTCTTTTTGTTATTATATACATTTTTTTATTCTGTGTTACTATGGAAGTATGTCGCATTTTGAAGAACAAACACTTCCTTCCGGCTATGCATCGGAAAAACAATTTATTTACTTTCTTTTATTTCTCAAGGACTAATGCAAATAAAAGAAAATTCTAAACTAAATCATAGATCACGTCAAGAATCATTGTGAATGTACTTTTTATTTCGACTTTTTTGTGCATTCTAACAAATTCCATATGGGCGAACATCTTTGTCGGTAGGATTGACCCAATAATCACTCCCACCAATTTTATTGCCTGATAATTTTATCAATGTATTAGGATTCACACGATTTTGTTATACGAGAATTTAACAGTCTATCGCTCAGCTACGGTACTTCTAAATCTGGTGTTGAATATACACCATATGCACATAGAAATTGTTTTTCATTTGTTAATACTAAATTATCCATTGCAATTGTTCTATTTTGATGAAAACTAGTTCCTTGATATAATACAGGCCATTTGTCATGTTTGTTGCGATCGCCTAACGAGAATGTATTTTCAAATTTATTAGTTACATTAATCGCGAAACGTTTGCATCCACATGCTCGAACATATTTCATTGAACCTCTTGTGAATAATTACCTTGTTTTTATCTTTAACATTGGCAAAATCATAATCATATTGTGGATCTATGATCAGTGTGCCACAGGCACGAAGAAGTCAGCACGAACAAATGATGTATTAGCTAAAACATTTCTTACTAAATACGTCCCGCCCCTGAAAGTTATACCATCCGACTCAGAATTTAATTCTCAGTGGAATGGTGTAGTTTTCATGGGCGGGACATATTTAGAAAAAAAAGTTTTTAGCTAACACATCGTTTGTTCGCGCTAGCTTCACACCGATGCTATATATCTAAAAAATACGGTATTTTATAAACATATTAAGCAATAAAAGATTCTGACTCTTTATGTGAGCTCATAAAGAGCAACAGTCTGATATTCTCAGAAGTGTTTAAAAGACTTATAACTTCTGCATGTATTTCAATCTTGAGGATAAGGGTGTAGCTATGCGTATACAAATTAGCCTACAACATTTATTAGATAACATTTTACTGTCTTCCAATAAAGGTTCGAAATCTTCTAGTTGCAGCATAGAATTCGTTTTTATACAATTTGGAAGGTAGAACAAATACGATGAATGTAATGCATGGCGGAATAAATGATATGAAATATCCAACTAGATAAAAAGCTGAATTTCGAACCGATTTCATACAACCGGATATGAATGAAATGATTAGACGCGGCGTAGCAAGTATAACTAAGATTATAGAGCTAAGAATTAGATGATTATGCCGATGAAATTGTTCTTTTAAATGTTGTTTATAAGTTTGTTGTCGTTGAGCTGTAGCACGACTTCGAGCAGCCACAAATATTATAATAAGAGCAGTAACAAGATTTATAATAAAGGGAACGAAAAAATGAAATATATTTATTGTTGAATTATATATTTGAAGTGCAGGTGAATATTGAATTAAACACCATGTTCGAGCTTCTTCTCGATCCTCAATAAGTTGTCGATTTATTGGATCATGTAAAAGGCTACTCGTGGAGAATAACAAAATACTAATAATAGTCCATTTGACTGCTCGTCTACTTTTACTCTTATCATATTTGGTACTCATTACTAGCGCAAGTGTTCTATCAATAGCTATGCTTGCATTCAACCAATCTATAATAATTGGTATTAATCGAAGTAGAAAATCAATTGAAATGCATGAAATACGTAGAATAATGATGTTTGTAATAATTGACATTTGTGAAAGAATTAGCATCAAGAGCTTAATTGAAAATATAAATGTTGAAAATAATGAAACGATTGATGTAGCTAAAAGATAAAGTCTACAACCTGATTCATCTTTAATTTTTCTTCGAAATGTTAATATGGATAAAATACTATTGACAAGACCAATAACTAAAATAATAATAGTTAAAACAATGGTAATTTTTACAATATTTGGTTGATGATTTATCGATAAGTGTGGTCGAATTTGATACCCAAGAATAGCATCGAGAGAAAGACCAAATCCTTTTGTAGTAAATTGACATTTACTTCCATAAAAACAATCTGCACAAACACAGAACGTCGAAAGTGGACAATTTGGACGATCTGAAAAACATTGGGCATCATTTTGACAATCTCCAAATCTTTTACAGGTATATTTTATATTGAAATCAAATGGAAAACAATTTGCATATCCTTCTTCATTGCATAAACACATGAATGCTTCTTCATCATAAAAACATTTAAATTGCTGTTTGTCTCTACAGAGTAAATGATAATATTTAACACGACGTAATAATGAATATTTTGCAACTGTTTCATTATTAAATAACTGTAGAACATGTGAACATCGTTGTTCCATCTTCATCTGAACTATACTAACTGATGGGGGAGTATTGTTTGCATTGACATATGTCAAAAAATATTCTTTGGAAATTTGAACAATAATAATATGAAAAGATATTGATATTTGAACTATGGCTTTATTTTGATCAAATGGAATTTTGACATTAATTGTTGTACGTATTGGATCATGTTCTATTTGCACAGTAATAAAATGAACAAGCAAAGAACGAGGAATTTCCATATCAATAAATGATATCTGAACTTTTGTTTGAATTGTTTCACATGTTGGACCTGAAAATCCAATTGGACATAGACATATAAAACTATTTCTTGATACTCGTTCATTTTCTGATATGCATTGTCCACCATTCTTGCAAGTTCGATTTTGACAAATCGATTGAAGACGACAATGTGAACCATATTTTTCCACTGGACAAAGACATATTGATTGGTTATTATTTTTGCCGAGACATTTCGCATCTTCTGAACAATCACATTTATGTGAAATTGTACAATTTATACCTGACCAACCAGAATTACAGACACAAAAATATTCATTCGGACTATTGACATATGCGTAACATCGACCATAACCACAGAAAACAGAACAGGTTTCCAATGAATTAATTGGATGAGATGGAATATTTAAATGTGCAGCTATTCGATTTACAGGAAGAAAAAGAAATTGAACTGGTAAAATCCAACTTGCATAATAAATTAAACTCGTTTTGTTATACGCGTCGATTTTTACCTTATACTTTTTTGTTATATTTTTTGGTCGCGATTGATAGAGTAAATAAGTGAAAAATTTCTTGTCACATTCATATGTTGATAAGTATATTAATTGTTCATATGCATGAATGATATTATCTTGATCAATAAGACTAATAATAATGCCAAATACTCCATAACAAACTGGCGCGCATTTTCGAGTAAATTGAAGTGTCAAACTAACGCGTTGACTTTGATATTGACATCGATCTCCAAAATAACTCGGAGGACAAAGACAATGAATTTTCAACGAAATTCCAATATAAATCAAAATACCGCGATGACATGTTTCAGTTCGTTTAATTGTAAACTTTTTATTTGATACCATATTTTCTTGATCTACAGTCAATTGAATCGAATCGTTTTTCGTTACCATCGATGATGAAAGATTTGTTCTAAGACGATTAAGCATAAAATATTTATATGCAGGAAACTTCAGTCTCGCATCTTCGTTTAGACGACCCAAGACACGTGTCATATCCGATGAACATTCTAATTTTTCTTCCATAAGACATTCTTCTACCTCGCTTAAACAAAGTTCAACGAACGAAATACAAAGAGTGTCATTCCAACATTTATATCTTATCCGAAGACGCTCCGGGTTTTGCAGTCGACAATATTCTCTCTCATCAGTAGATCCAAGACAATCTACAATTCCATTTCCGGCTCGATGATACGGTAAACATATGAGCTTCTTTGTTATAGGAGAAATANTGACATTAATTGTTGTACGTATTGGATCATGTTCTATTTGCACAGTAATAAAATGAACAAGCAAAGAACGAGGAATTTCCATATCAATAAATGATATATGAACTTTTGTTTGAATTGTTTCACATGTTGGACCTGAAAATCCAATTGGACATAGACATATAAAACTATTTCTTGATACTCGTTCATTTTCTGATATGCATTGTCCACCATTCTTGCAAGTTTGATTTTGACAAATCGATTGAAGACGACAATGTGAACCATATTTTTCCACTGGACAAAGACACATAAATTGATTATTACTTTTTCCGAGACATTTCGCATCTGCTGAACAATTACATTTATCTGAAATTGTACAATTGATGCCTGACCAACCAGAATTACAGAAACAAAAATATTCATTCGGACTATTGACATATGCGTAACATCGACCATAACCACAGAAAGCAGAACAGATTTCCAATGAATTAATTGGATGAGCTGGAATAATAAAATGTGCAGCTATTCGATTTACAGGAAGAAAAAGAAATTGAACTGGTAAAATCCAGCTTGCATGATAAGTTAAATTGATTTTGTTATACGCATCGATTTTTACCTTATATTTTTTTGTTATATTTTTTGATCGTGATTGATATAGTAAATAAGTGAAATATTTCTTGTCACATTCATATGTTGATGCGTATGTTAACTGTTCATATGCGTGAATGACATTATCTTGATCAATAAGGCTAATAACAATGCCAAATACTCCATAACAAACTGGCGCGCATTTTCGACTAAATTGAAGTGTCAAACTAACGCGTTGACTTTGATATTGACATCGATCTCCATAATAACTCGGAGGACAAAGACAATGAATTTTCAATGAAATTCCAATATAAATCAAAATACCACGATGACATGTTTCAGTTCGTTTAATTGTAAACTTTTCGTTTGATACCATCGTTTCCTGATCTACAACCAATTGAATCGAATCGTTTTTCGTTACCACCGATGATGAAAGATTTGTTCTAAGACGATTAAGCATAAAATACTTATATACAGGAAATTTAAGTTTCCTATCTTCATTTAGACGTTCGAAAACATATGTCATATCTGATGAACAGTCTATTTTCCCTTCCATGAAACATATACGTTCCAAACAAACATGAATATTGTAGACACATAAAGTATCATTCCAACATTTAAATCTCACTTCAGAACGCTCTGGGTTTTGCAATCGACAATATTCTCTCTCATCAGTAGATCCAAGACAATCTACAATTCCATTTCCGGCTCGATAATACGGTAAACATATGAGCTTCTTTGTTATAGGAGAAATACATTCATGAGTATCGAGAGGGCATGTGGATGGGAAACAATTAAGTTCATCAATACCATTTGGACAATTCCAAGCTCCATCACATCGAGTATATAAATTATTGCATGGCCAATCATCACAATGTGNAAGAATAAATTTGTGTAAATATGAGACGAAATTTCAAACTACTAGATAAATGTTTTATTGATCTAAAAAACCAATATAGTATTAACTGTGAAAGATTCAAAAGTTATTCTTATCAGATGGTTTTTATTGAATCACTGGGATTATATTCTGTAACAGAAAAAAGAATGGAAAACAAGTTGGAGTGTTACATATGAAACCGATACCGCATACTACACGCTTAGATTAGTTTCTATTGAACCGTTTTTAGTCGCTCACGTTGAATAAATACCGCTATACTAGACAGAAAATATGAAGATTACAAACTCAAAGAATCACATCAGACAGTTTTCTAAATACATGCTTATGTTCAAAAATTATTGACGTTCCTACTGAATTTTGCATCCGGACGTATGAATATATTGCTACCTCATTCGTTTCCTTGCAATGTGGTGGATATCTGAAGAGAAGGATTTCTTAAACGTTTGAGTGTAGATAGTTGGAGGCACTGACTTGCAATCTCACTCCTATGCTCGCCCAAAGAACTGAATAAACGAGCTGACTATTCTTTTTACAGGTACTTGTATTTTATCGTTTGTGACACTCTATGAGTTGGCATGTTTTTAAATTTCCGCTCTCTGATAAAAGTTAACGTTCGCTATTAGTGCTTATCACTAAAAAACGGAAACGATGAAACATAGCTAGTATAACTGCCTCCATATGGTCTTACAGTTATCTTTGAAAATTAATAAAAATACAGCGTTAGTTGTTTCTCATTCCCTTTTCTGAAAGAAAGGGTTATACAGAGTTTAAATGCTGTGTTAAAAAGCTTAAAGTTTATCTGTGTGTCTGTCCTATCCAATCAGAAATCAGCATTTCTGAAATCAATGAAATTGATCGATAGTTATTAAAAAATGATTCCCGGAAGGGTAATCGAGGTCGGGGAACTTGAATCTGAGGTTAGTTTTAACTAATTATTAACTATCTGTCAACTAAACATAGATTATTAATATACAGAGTATAAGGGTTGATCGAAGGGTAATCGAGGTCGATGATCTCGAATCCGAGGTTAGTGTTGATTAATTAATTATTAGTTTTTCATTAACTAGCCACGACTTATTAACATCCATTGTCAGCGTAGACCGAAGGATTTCTGACGTCGGGAAATTCGAATTTGAGGGTGAATTTCGTGTTATTCGCTGAGACTGGGCTTGTTCCTTCCTCTTTACAAAGGAGCTATTTTTCTTTATCTGTTCTAAAATCTTTTGTAGAAGATGGTGAGCTGAACGCTATTCACGGACGTCATGTGTAGAAAGATAGTAGCTCAAGAACTTACACGAAAAGATCTAATGCATTGTACATAATGATGTTTCTAATTCAAGAAATCCAAAAAAGTGATACGAGCTTATAGTATCATCTTTGCTTTGTAGGCTACATACATCATGCCTTTTCATGAAAATTTAGTAGAAGTAGTTCGCAAAGCGATATACCCGTCGGTGGAATTCCATCTTAGTAACTACAGACGCGTGGACTGTAGAAACAGTATTCTGAACACATGCGGCGCTATGAAAAATATTCGTTTCGAAGCAAATCATATAATAAGACTTTCTTATCTAGTTTCTTTTGTTAGTCGAATGAATAGAAGATCATGACTGCCGAAGCGACAATAAAAGAAAACCTAATCGTTCAGTTTGGAAGTTGATCAAAGGGGAAAGGAATAACAGAGACAGCATGGCAACGGCTAGCCGTGAGTGACCGACCGGAGGAAGGTCGACGAACGACTACGCGTTTAAATGCTAGATTAATCCTAAAGTGTACGCTTAGAATAACCTTGCCAGGCTTCCGATAATTTTGAAAGGGATTTGACGAATGGATATTCCTCAATGAAAATATTCAACAAGGTATCATTTTGTTGACAGGAAAGAAAAAATCGGATTATCGCTGGAAGACACAGGCGAATGTTCAAACTTTTCAAGTAGTCTACTGTATATCATCCGTCTATGAGTGACTTAGTAAAGCTTTTATGAAAATTCCCATGCGCGTGATGTGAAAATAGAAAAACAGATGACAAAGGTCAATGGTTGGCCGTGAGTGGCCGTCTGACTAGTCGTTGAGCGATGAATTTTTCAGTCAATATAGTTAGTGCTGGAGAATTAATTATCCACTGAGAAATGGCTAATCGGTCTAATTGCTAAAAAGACTTTTGCATCCTATTCATTCTAGTGTGTGACATAGTGCCATGATTCAGTTAAGCACTAGTAGCAATCGCAGTGCGTTTTTTCTCTTTCGAAGTCTCTGAATGTGTTCAGTATCCGGAAAAGTCTTTCAGAAAAGGGTCAGCGAATCCAAAGGATGAGCGTTACTTGTGATTAATAAGATTGCAAAAATATACATGTAACTCCTTTTCTTAAAAACGAAGTTTCTCAGAAAGAAAGCTAACAATTGCTTGTACTGTACAAATAACCGAGATCAGATGAAGTTTGACAGTAGCAGTTGACTCGTCGGTTCTTTTTTGAATTAGACGATTTGCATTTTTCTTCATGCCGTCGCGATGATCTTTTCGATCCTAACGAGCACGACACGTGATGACGACTCTGTCGTTTCGAAATGGAATACAATCGCTTTTCTAAACACAATTGAAATTACAGTCCTATCATAGCTAATGTCGATGTAAGTTACGATAGGATCGTGGATTCCAGATAATAATCGGTGCTCGGTTGTAATTTGTTGGTCTTTGACTGAATTCAGAAATGTAGGATTCGAGTGTGCTTGTTGTGGGTGGTATTGGTATGTGATGTACTTGATTATAATTACACTCGCCATCTCCTCTAGCTGTTGCTCGCTTCGACTGGCGACCCATTCTCGTCGATTTCTTAATAATTTCCGATATTTTCAGGAGAGCATTAATAATGGCTCTTTCGGTTCGATATCGATCCTCTGAATTCATTTATCTCATTGATAAATGCGAAAAAAAGCAATAGAGAAACCAAAGAAAATCAGTGTTCTGCTACGCGCCAGACAAAGAAAATATTAGCTATTTTATTTGATCAAAACCTATTATGTATAATAATTAACAAACGGATCATAAGTCATCGCGTTTTCCCATGTTTCTTGCGGATACACATACAGCGAGCCTACATATTGCGACGGTGATTGCTGATAGAGACCATATGACGAGCATTCATTCTGATAATTAAATGTTTGACATGCCATTGTCGAATGAGCTTGAGTCGACATTTGTTGTTGTTGTTTCCTGACCCGTCGCTAGAAAACCAAATATGAGAAATGTAAGGATGCAATGAAACCGGTGAGATCACTTACACGATGGTTTTGAAACCAGTTACAAATTTGAATAAGGTTGCAATTTAGTAGTTTGGCTAAACGCTCTTTTTCGTTCAGATCTGGATGTGATTGCCGCGCGAAACTTGCTTCGAGGATACTTCGCTGTTCACGTGTGTACACACGACGAACCTGACACGTTGACATCTTCATCAAATGAAACATTATCTCACAATTGACAGCAATGTATATGGCGGATAAACAAGAAATAAGCTCAACGGATTAAGCAATTAATCGGTAGAAAGAAGTCATTTATCAAAGACGAAAAACGACACTGTCATCAATCAATCAAACAAGAGAAAAAAATGATTGTTTAATATTCAATAACGCCGATTATATCTTTGATTTGAGTCTAGCATTTCAATAATCGTTAACTGTTGTAGACAGCAACAGGATGCGAAGTCAAAATTTCACTCTTTGCATGTACGGACGTTGTCCGTTCTTCCCAGTCCTTTACTGATTCGAACGAGGAGTTGCTCGTTGTTTCTTTGTTTATTAATAAAACAAATTAGACAACAATGCGTTCACTTACACATATCGTTTCACAGTTTCAATAAACAAATAGCATGGAAAATATATCGGAAAAATCGCCTGTACAAACGTTTGTGAAAAAATTCAGAGCAAGAAGTATTTTACAAACATAGCAGTTGTCTTAAATAAGATCTGCTGATGTTGAACTGGTTTGAACAGGTTTGGTTTGATGATAGTAATCAGGCAAGAGTTTAAGACGATTGAGAATTTGTTCAAGTGTTGTTGATGGTAGTGATTCATTGGAGAACCAAAGCGAATTCTCCAAGGCTTGGCCTGCTAATGGCTTGAGATAGAAAACGTCCGCTGTACCACGAATCTGTTCAGGACTAGAAGATAAGCTTTTATTGAAGTAATAGATTACTACAGAAGAAAGATGATATACCATTTGGAAATGTAAAAATCGTATTGTTGTATGGGACAATGAATTTGATCGTCGATTTGTTCGATGATTTCGTAAACAGTCGGAGAATCTGCCAACGATTTCAAATCTATTTTGTCGAGCAGAAAAACAAGAGATTAGAATTCATTATTTGTAGATAAACTGATGGCATACCGGGGTTATAAGCATAAAATCTCAGATAATTGATCTGTTGCCCTTGTGGTGCACTCGTTGCAACACGTCCCCATTGAGAATATTTTCCAAAATTTGCAAAAGATATCGCCATATGTGATTCCACCGTTTTCAAATTGAAGTATTTTGTGTTTATATAGATAAGCGTTGTTAGTAAAGACCATGGTGTTAAGTTACCCAATTGACGTGCATCGTACAAGATATCTTCATTAATCAACGACACATAATTATTCGCTAAAATCGAATCATTTCGTTGGTAGTAGGCTCAATGAGTTAGATCAAACTTACTGATTGGAGAAAGACGTGGTGAATAATTTGAGAGAATTTTATTCAATGTTGAATTGAATTCAACATAGCAAGGATTGAATAAATCTATTGAATGGTTGTTCATGTTTAAGTACTCTTGTATGCCTAAGCAGAGGTAGAAGATACTTTCTGGTAGGTATTCATTGCCTGTTGGGCGGCGAGTTTCAGTAATGAATATGCTCAGAATATGTTGTAATTCATCGGCATTTGTGTATGAAAGTAAGTCTGATTTAATTAAATTTTCGGATGTGGGAATCAAACTTGATGAAGATAGGGCAGATCTGTTGCGTTGTGCACACCATTGTTGAAAAGCTTCAACGCCGTATGTCCATTTGAGACGACACTCAGCATCAGGTAACATTCGAAGAAGCTACAAAAGTTGATTTTATGAATCGAGGAAAGCTCATTTCAAGGGCTGATACCTTTTGAACTTCTGACTCATTTGATGTTACCGGATCGAGGTAATGCGCCTCTAAATCTAGTTCAGGAAGGCTCGCCATTGTTTGAGATGTTCGCAAGCAGAAACCTAGTGAACGTATAGAGTTTTACTCATGGAACTAGTTTGAGAAACAAGCAGACCATCGCCGGTGGCGTCCATCATCGTCAGTGAGTCAGTCGTATGACTTAATGTTATTTGTTGCGGCTGATTTTCTGCCCGTACAAGACTTTCTGCATGCAGAACAAGCGCGGCCTCAAATGGGTCATCGGGTAACAGATCACGTTGGGCCTGAAATTGTATTTCATGTTATTCAATAGGAAAGAGTTCATTCGTTTCTAATTAATCTACTTGAAGATATTCGCGGATATTTTTATAAGCTCGTCTAGGCACTGGTATCATAACTGGTACAAAGACTGGTACGGGGATCGGTACTGCTCTTGGTTTAAACAATCGATAACTTGGCGTTGGCGATGGAAGATAAATCGGCACAGGCAATGTTACTAGCGGCACGTCGGGAATCATATGTTCCATTTCTAGATAAAACAATTAACTAATAAATCATTTTGATCTACAGGAAATTTCCGACCTGTTTGTGTGGCAATAGTGAATCGTGTCGGCTTCGCCTCTACTTCTCGTTCCGATACTAATGGTTTGCACATTGTCATTTTGTTTTTCATTGTCGATGGATTTGTGATTTGTTGCGGCATGATCAATGGCACGTGCGACTTAACATGGTACAGTTCATCATCTGCCCAGCGCGGTTGTTTCTTATTTTGAGCGGCTGTTGCACGTAGTTCAGCAACTGTTCGTGGTTTTCGCCCGGGACCAGCTAGTGTCATTGACGAATTAGTCGACGACGACTGCGATTGTTGTGATGGACGAGGATAATCCATTAGACGATACGGTATATCATCTTCGTCGTCATCAACTTTGTGCAGAGGCATTGATGATGGCGTTGGTGTTAGCGGATTTTCTTGTTCATCACGATCTAAGAGTGGAAATGTAACGAAGTCAGCATCTTGTTTTGGTTTTGGAATACGTGTGGAACGGCGCGTTGGACCTTGATTGTCATTACTATTGATTGAATATGAGGGTGGAGATAAGTCAAGGTCGGAATCGAGTTCATCGCCAGAGGAGTGGCGTCGAAAACGGTTCCTGAATTTGAATAGAACATTTCGAGAAAATTTCTACTTAGAAAACACCTACTCGTACCAAGAAAGTGGTCGCCGTTGAGCTGATTGATGATGATGTCCGGCTGCTGGCGAAATCGTTACCTGTGATTGTCTGTTTGCCATCAATCCAATACGGTTATGATACTGCCCTTGTCCGATCGTGGTGTGGTTCGATGAGGGTGATCGTCCGAAGAACATTCGATCATCAGTGATTGATGCTTGCTGCGAAGATTTGCGAATTGCTGTTCCATTGTTCGACGATACTGTTGATTTAACAGCAGTACCTGGTCGGCCACTACTACCAACATAGGTATTCGCATTACGAGCTTGGCGTGAATCTGATGGAATCACATAAGTTTGTCGGGGATGGTTTGGCTGCATCTCAATCGGTACAATATCATTTGGAGGATGCTGAATCAATGTTGTTAGCTCTTGAAGAAGAATCGCCGCTGATGAGGACGATTGGGGTGCAGGTATAGCGACAGGCAGAACTGTTGATGTTTCAGTAGGAGCAGGAACGGTCAAAAGTTCAATCGTTTGTCCAATACCAGGTAAATCTGCACAGAAACAGATAAATCTTGATAGATTTCGTCATTACTCACATGCTTTTCCTGTTTTATTAAGTTCTTCCAGGAACGCATGCATTTCTGGTTCGGTCATGGAACTTAGAACTGCTTGGAGTGCGCCATCATCAACAACACTTATCTGTTGTTCGCCTGCTCTCGTCGCCGTCGTCGTCGTCGTATCCAACATCATTGGTTCATTTAATGAAGTCACCGGTTCTGTACTACTTACTACTGAGACTAAAAGAAATCAATTTCCCTACAGTCTGATTAATAGACAGGTTACTTTTGGCTTCTCCATCGTTTGTCGTCGTCGTGGCCATCATGTTTTCTGTGACGCTTTCGGCCATATCTTCAAGAAAAGAATGTAGATGTATATAAAAAAAAAGAAAAAAATTTTCTTAGCAAATTATTTTCATAAAGATGAAAGAAAACATAACATAACATAACATAACACAACAACAACAACAACAAATTATCTGTCTTTGCCAGAGATATTCGAATACAGAAATTAATCACTAGTAGAATGAGACAGCATGCAACACAGTTCGCTTTGTTTTCTCTTCAAATTCTGACAGTATATCATCAATTCCATTATCTAAATCATTCGTTGCTTCTAACTAAAAATACAAGGTTAGTTTGAACTTTTGCAGTTTTGATTTACTTTTTGTGCTAGGTCACAAAGTATGAATGCACCAAGTGTTGCATCTTCTGGATTGTCGATGACATCAATATTGATTATATGCACGATTTCATTCGTACGTTTCTCTCGATTTTCTAAGTCTAGAACACCGAATAAAATCAGTTCGTCGGATGTGTCTCGTTGTATTTACCTTCGAGCACTTGATCGAATATACGTTCTTCCACAGTAAATATCACATCAAAACGTTCGCGACTGTCTTGAAAACGTTCCGGCTTCTCTTTGATGCGTCGATTTCGGTCCAACATATGCAGAACACCATTTTGAGTATAGCTTTGAACAAAAAAAACTTGAATTGGACTCCGAAAACAACAGCTATCTTACATACAAATTCGTGTCTTTATTATATAAATCTTTGTACATGAAATCATATGGTGTATCAAATGTATACACATTGGGTTTTTCCAGAGATGTTCCAGGTAATTTGACTTGTTGACCTGCACCATACGATTTGACAAGAAGACCACGTTTACTAAATGAGAAATATTTTCTGCGCAAGACGAAATGTCACATAGTCTTACCTCATGAAGTTATGAGCTTCCATACTACGATTTTGATTTGATGAACAAACAACAGCGAAACGAAATGGCATTATTGCGATCTGAAAATTATAAACTAATTCTAGAATGTTTAAAACATAGAACACTATAATAGCTGGAATAGGCCAGATGAATCTTGGTGAAACAATAGTATGTAGATAAGGTGTTTTTATCAACTCTTTTTAAAACCGATCACACCACAAGCCATTCGGCCACCGGCGTTACCCGTTTTCTTGGAATCTGCTGCATTACCACGACCTAAATCATCTTCTTTTTCATGAACAACAACTGAGCGTCCGATAATCGACCGTGAACCAGTTAATTTAATGAGCGAATCTTTAAAATTGAATTTAGCAACATTGCCCGAACCACCAACGATGTTTCCTGGAAATACCAAGTTCAGCTCAACTTTCACAACTTCTGCATCTATTACCGAGATCACCCACATGTCGTAGTTGATCTTGTGGACCTGCATGTTCATTATTATCTGGATTATAATGCGCACCTACATACAAACATGCAATTCCAAGCTCAAAAAGCGATGATAATTACCCGCTGAAGTACATCCATTCGTTGTATCGCCGAATTCATGTATATGAAATCCACGTTTTTGCTTATCTGGTATGTTTTTGATTTCACCGCTGACAGTCACTGTTCCATCATTCGCTTCAACAAAATCAACATGACCGTAGACTTGTTCATTACTCGGATCAGTGAGTACAGCCACCGCATGGACACCTGACGATCCCAAGACAGGCGCATTCTTGACCGTATCGGTCATTTTTTGTGCAACACCACCCATTTTTAAGATCTCTACAATCGCGTACTCTTTTTTTCTTTATTTTCTTTTTCAATCTAAAAACACAATGAGAAAAAAGAACACAAACCGATATCCCAATGTTTTTAGAAAAAAACCAAAACAAAACAAAACAACTGCAACAGAGGAAAAATGAAATATCTTTGCAATTTCTTCATCAAGTACCAAAACGCTTTCGTTTCAATGCGGGTGGCAAACACTGTTCAACAACCGAAGGTAACAATTCCACAACAAACAATTGGCTTGATGATAAAAGTGTTACGTGTAAAAGATATTTAAACTGTTTGCAAACATGAATAGGCGAATTTGTTTGATTAGTATTACTGAAGATCTTCGTGTACGTTCCCGGCATTTTCTTTCCGCGTTCGATGATGCTCAAATACGTTGAATCAATCACGAACAACTTTTCTTTTGTATCGTAGAACAGGTTGATGATCGGACTTCGTTCGGAGAACCATTGTAATGGCATTCGTTTCAGATACTTTCGTGTCCAATCGGAATATTCGTTCTGTTGGATATCATATTCGATCAAAGTTCGATCTGCGTAGGCACAGGCGAGACGATCGGCAAGAAATGACATTGCTGTACACTGATATGTTTCTTGTGGTAATTGAGTAAGAAGTTGGTAAGTTGAATTGAGGTAGATCGTTACATGTCCGTAGCGATCAGCTGTCGCGAGGTATTTCGGCGAGACTTCGAGACGAAGTGTTGATGGTATACATGAAATGATTCGATTGAGTTTGTAAGGTGACGACGAGAAACAATATAGTTGACTTCGAGAAGTTAATGCAAATAATGAAGCTGATTGAAAACGTAGTTGAAGAATGTTTTTAATCGAGGCAAATGATTGCTCGACATTTTGTTCATCTACATAGGTGTTTACCGGTGTAACACTCAATTGTGATTGTGGATCTAAACCTAAACGAAAAAAACAAGATAAAGGTGGGAGTGAATGATCGAATTGCACTACCTTGAACAACATAAACATGTAAACCAATGGTATCACCGATGGCGATTGTCACCTTTTCCTCATCTTTCGTTTTCTTCACTGCCATGGCAACAGTGTCGATTCGAGCTTGGTGTCTTGTTTTAATCTGAACGAGATTTTTCGGCGCACGTTCAAGAATGTCTTCTCCATTTTCATTCAACCCTCCATCTTTGCCTATCGACCATAATTCCACATAGTCTCGATATTGAAATAGGAAATAGTTTCCTTTCTGATGGATTTTATTTCGATGTTGAGTGAAATTGAAACACTTCCGCCAGAGAACCGGTGGTTTGGAATTATCACGAACAATATCATGAACAAGTAGACGAGCATCGAGTCCACCCGAGATTAGCATTAGTTTATTGCTTAAATTATGTTCTTTATTGCGTTGAGATGCAAAACGTGATGGAATTAATGCTAGCGATCGAACATCATGAGAATGCGAATGAATCGAAATTGTTTTTATCCATTGTTTTGTCGAGTCAGTCGTTGATACTCCTGTCGTCATCGTCGTTGTTGTTGTTGAATTAGTTGTTGATTTTCCTGAAACAAGTTCGATACGAACAATAACCGAATCAACACCGGAACAAAATAATGTTTGTTCATCAGATGATAATGTCATACAAAGAACATCAGCGCGATGGGTTTGAAATGATCTGAACAAAAAACAACAACAATACAGTCAAGGTTAACATCGATTTTATCACCTACCGAATTAATGTTCCATAAACAGCATCCCAGACACATGTTCGTCCGGAAGAATCTCCACTAAACACCGTATAATCATCAGTTACCGCTAAGCACCATATGATTGTATCCTTTTGTCCACGTCTATTCGATGTCGATGATAATTTTCCTACGTTAATCTGTTGTATAGCACGTTTTTGTCTTGTTGAACAAATATAAATCCGATTGATACTTCCAGCAACCAAAAAGTCATCATCGGTGGTATGCCATGCTAGAGAAACAATTCGTGCAGCTTGTTTACACACGGATGTAGCAAGAGAAAATTGACTGGCATCCTAAATCGATTTATTCGTTAGATTGAAAAGAATTTCAACGATGAAAGCTTTACTTCATCTAATTGGTAGATATTCACATGACCAGTTTCTGTTCCCACAGCAATGCGCCGTGTTGTTTCATGTTTGGCGATACTCCAAATAGCTCCACCAGCCGCATGACATGAGGTGAGTATATCATACGTGATTGGATCGTATGCAATCAATTGCCCGTCGAGACCAGCGGTGATTAAATACTTATCTAACCAAATAATTAACTCCGGTGAATGTGAAGCATTTCGAGGTTGAATGGTACGTTCAAGTGTGAACGAATCGTGGCTATTCCATAATTCGATCGAATGATCAGAACGAAGAACTGCTAGGAGATGATTCGGTGATGAACTATGTTGATGATGAGACAAAGATAGGATTGATGAAAGACGTGGTTTGTATAAATGAGTACGATGAACGAGAAAATCACACATGGTTTTATTTGAAATTTGAGGATTTTCAATTTCGACTGAATGAAGAATAAGTTTCGTTTGAATTCTGTACCTGCAATCTGATTCGTTGGTCGTATGCAAACCAATTGATAAGATGTGCAGTTTTTTACACAAAAAAAATTGTTTCCTATTTTTCCATCTCAAATAAACTCTTTTTCGAACAATACGACGCATTTTTCATGTTTTCATAGATGTCGTGAGACTCCTTCGAGGTTATCCAGTGAAACAATTGGTCGCATTCGTTTACCGTTCCCGTAGGAAAGGAGAAAATTTACTTGCATGTTTGTATCTTTCGTCTATAATAATAAATGGTTGTCATTTAGATCATGCGAAGGGAATTATTTTCTTGTGCATTCTTATCAACCAATCTGGCATGTTCTAACTTGATGAAATACTATAGAAATCAATATTAGCATTTGTTGTTGACGTGTGATGACGATAGTAGACCGCCCACTGCGACTACAACTCATCGCTTGCTCTCTCTCTCTCCATTCATTTATTTATAGTTTTGAGTAATATCGACATCTGGAGAGATGATGACAATACTGCCAGTGACATTCAGCGGTTCTAAGCGCGGATCATCAGTGGTATTTAAAGAAATGATGTAGTTACTCTTGTCACTCTAATTGAAATGACATCAATACTATGGAAAGAAATTTTCGTCATCACATATTAGATAACAATTACAGCATAGTCAAGAATCAAAAGATACGACAACCTACGCACTGATAACACACAAAAAACAAACACTTGACAAAGGTAGACTTCCAACGTACTTCTGTACGCGAACGTCTTCGAATGTGCTGGTACTCCAGTTCTAATTTATACAAGTGCTATTATTGGTAAAAAGTACTTTTAAACAAGTAGGAATCGAAGTAAACGAAATAATTAGACACGCCCATCCGTCTTATGAGTGTGAAACGAAAATAGTTTGGGAAATTAATTGGCTTTATTACATTCTTTATTGTATTTAATTTACATGCATACAGATACATATTGCTATCGGTCAATGTAAAGGAAGAAGGTAACAAAAGGACGGACGTTGTAAACACAAAAAACAAAATGAAGAAGAAGAAGAAAGCGAATAAAGTAAAATTTTGAGTTGTGAAGTCTTTTATATATTTGTTCGATTTTCGTTGTTGACTGTTTTCTTATCAGTTTGAAAGTTATTGTTATATTTGAAATAGATATTATCACAGAATTCGTTCAAGCACTAGCGTTCAATGGTTCTGCTGATGGAAATTGACGCTGAAGAATTGTCAATACCGAAGATACATCTTCAGTTAATTTTGTTTCCAATACTGTTAATCGTCTAGAAATATAGTCGCTCAGATGACTTCTCAAATAGCCTGGCAAAAGATTGATTTACTTCGTCAATTCTTGTAGTCGATATTCGATACTTGACTGATAGGGATCAAGTGTTGATGATTGATTTGTCTAAAAGGAAAGAAATCTTTCTTCAAAAACAAAAACACTCGCGTGCTAGTTTTTGTTCGACTAACCAATGGAATTAATTCATCATTTACGGCTGTAAATGACGATCGATGAAAGGCATTTGATGATGATTGATTACCTGAAACTAAATTTCCTATCAAAAACAACAAATGTTCCTAGCACATGACAACCAACCATGAAACATTGACGCACCACTGAAGGACTTCTCTCGGCGATCACGACGTCGTGTCACAATAGTGCCGAATTCCAAATTAGCAGGAGTTATATCCTGTCCGGCTAATTGGGGATTAAACTCGAGTATACCTTGAATAAAGAGAGGGAAAAATAAACTCGCTGTGTTTATCACAAATAAAAGTGTTTTCTCGTATTTGCCAGACCAGCTGTTAAGCAGGGTCGATTCGCATTTCAAACGACATCAATGTTGGTCTCAGATGCTCAAATGAAATTTTATCTTGTTGATCGAATTTCGTCTCATAAATAAATAATTACTCGCAAGTCAAACATACAATTAAATTAATGATCAATTAGCTATCGAAATAGATACGGAGAAACATTCAACAATCTAATAGCATTTACTATAATTGCTTGATAAAAATGTGATTATGACTTGTTGTTTTCTCACTGAAGTACATATCTTGTGTAATCACGAGATCTATTTAAGAACAAACAAACGACGTGCTTGGCGTTGTTTGAGTTTTTCAACATGAGATGACTTTTAAGAATAACACTATGATAAGAACTTGTTTATTTTCTTTTCTTGAAAGACAAGTCTGACGATGAATCGTTGTGTTAGCAAACTAGAGAAAAGGACAAGATTCTGTTGTGCAAATAAGATATGCAATCGTACCGTCTAAGAAAGGAGAATCAGTAAACAAGTTCTTGTTTTTTGCCTTTTCTTTTACGCCTATTACTCAGGTCATTCACGTCATACGCTCGATATCGGCTGACTAAAGCTATGAATGTCGATCTTTTTTTTCCTATTCGATGTGCAAAAATATCTCTCTATATAAGGAGCAGTGCATGGGTGTGTATGCATGTTTGTTCGTCTCTTCTTCATCTCTGAGACGAGATAACAGCATCCGTGCCTACTAGACAATGTTCATGAAAAGATATTTTTGGATACATGGCCGAGGAGAAGAAAGAGCATAGTGTTTCTATCCTTCCTAATATTTTCCAGATTTTCTCATTTCAACGTATTCTATTCGCAAACAATTCACAGACAGATACGATGTCAGACATTCAACAACAACCTGCAGCCGTTTCCGATGTTCAAGTTGAAGCGAAAGAGACTAATGTACAAGGTAATGCATTTGTTCTGTTCTATTACATTGGACAGATTTACAAATAATCATCGTAATTATTTTCAGTAGAGCAAAAAGTAGCAGAAGTCAAGAACGACGTGGAACAAAAAGGTATTTATCATTGATATTGACATCATTTCTGTGTATTTATATCGAATAGGTGCTGAAGTTCAAGCTGCAGCAAATGAAGTCGTCGATGCAGCTAAAGATAAAGCTGCCGAAGTGAAAGATGCAGCAGAAAAGGCAGCTGATGATGTTAAAGAAACTGGTATGCCTGTTATTATCTGTACTATTCAATTCATCATCTAGCTAATCGTTCTGAGACGTATACTCTATAGGACAGAAAAAGACTTATTTGTTACTAGCTCAAGGGATGGTTGGTTTTTCATTAAAAACATCTATGAAGAGGGATGTGTGTTTTAGTTGCTTATGAATAAGACGAAAAATTACTATAACATATGAGCTTGTGAGTGTTTCTCTTCAGGTGCTCAAGTTGTTAGTGAAGCTAAAGAAGCTGGCGCACAGGCAGCGAACGATACGGCACAGAAAGCTGGTGAAGTAAAAGATGCTGTACAAGAAAAGGCCGAACAAGTTAAGGAAGCTGGCGCACAAGCGGCCGATGACGCCGCACAGAAGGCAGATGAAGTAAAAACCACGATCGTTGAAACGGCTGTTCACGCTAAAGATGCAGCAGTGGAAAAAGCCCAAGACCTGGGACATGTTGTTAGTATTGGACTCAATTGCTCGTTGAATTTCTACGATTCTTTCTTAGGTTGCTGAGTCAGTACAAGCTGTTCCGACAGCTGTAGCTGGTGCTGCTAATTTAGTAGGTGAACAACTGGTAGCTGCTGGGCAATGGGTATAGCTTTTAGATGAAGAGGTATTATTCTTCAATTTTCGCGAATTGTTTTTTCGTAGGCTTCGGAAAAGGTAACTGAAGTCGGTTCAGCCGTTGTTCATTCGGCAGAAGAAGCTTTGCAAAGGTGATTTATCCTACAAAAAATTATTTCTTCTCAAATGCTTCTGTTTATTTAGTCTGGCCGGATTAGCTACTGTTGCCAAAGATAAAGGTAGAGTTCCGTATGTCATCAATAAAAAATATTTTGCTTTTATTTGATCTGCAGTGACTGAAGTAGTTAGTCAAGCCATAGATAGAGGTAACAACGAACGTCGTTCTCTAAATAACAAAAAAGTCAAACTTTGCTTCTTATTCTACAGGCGCTGAATTGGAGAAACAAGTGACAGGAAATGTCGAAGAAGCGAAGGACAAAGCTGAAGAAAAGATCGATGAAGCAAAAGCGAAAGGAGAAGGTAAATTTCGTCACACGGAAAAGAAGATCACACTCTAAGTTTTCCATGTACAGAAGTGAAGCAAGATGTTCAAGAAAAGGGTACGCAATGAATTTCAAAGTGGAGTGGTAAATATAGTCTATATTTAGCCGGTGAATTGCAAGAGAAAGCAGCCGAAAAAGTGGATGAAGCAAAAGATAAGGCTGGTGAATTAGCCGCTGCTGCTTCAGGCAAAGCCGAAGGTAAATAAATTGAATTATGGATATTAAAGTTAATGTTGATTTTCTATGAGCAGAAGTAAAACAAGATGTTCAAGAGAAAGGTAGATACTGAACTTCTTTGTTAAGTATTTTATCTCGTCGTGTGCTTAGCTGCTGAAGTCAAAGATGCAGCTTCGGAAAAAACTGATGAAGCGAAAGAAAAAGTTAGTGAAGTAGCAACTGCTGCTGCAGATAAAGTAGAAGGTAATGTATATGGACAATACGAGTTGAGTCTAATCCTAAATTTCCATAATTAGAAGTCAAACAAGATACCCAAGAAAAAGGTAAACACGAAATTGATTTTGTTTTTCAACTATACAATGATGTTGAACAATTAGCTGGAGAGGTGAAAGACGCTGTTTCGGGGAAAGTTGAAGAAGCGAAAGAAAAAGCTAGTGAATTAGTAGAAAATGCTTCAGCAAAAGTAGAAGGTAAGTGACATCCTTATACTTTCGAACATAGTTTATAACTCACAATGTTGGTGCATATAGAAGTGAAACAGGGTGCTGAGCAAAAAGGTACGATTATTTTTTCAAGTGTGGTGAAAGTACATTGACAATATTTAGCGAGTGAAGTGAAAGACGCAGTAGCAGAGAAAGTGGAAGAAGTCAAAGCTGCAGGTCAAGGTAATAATGACCTGGAAAATGAGAAGATCAGTCGTCTATATTTATAATTTATATTTTTAGAAGTAAAACAGGAAGTCGAACAAAAAGGTTTGACTTAGTATTTCAATTACACTCTGAATTCAAATCCTGTGTTGTCCTTTAGCTGGTGAGTTGAAAGACGCAGCGGTGGAAAAAGTTGATGAAGCGAAAGAAAAAGCAGGCGAACTTGCTGCTGATGTCAAAGCAGCAGGACAAGGTAGGGTTATTTCTAAAGTCAAAGAAAGCAATCACCCTTTGAAATTCACTGCTTAGAAGTGAAACAAGAAGCTGAACAAAAAGGTTTGCTTTTGTTTATTGTAATTCGTTCCCATTTAAGTTGTTTATTCTTAGCTGACGAACTGAAAGATAACGCTTCCAACAAAGTCGACGAAGCAAAAGATAAAGCTGCTGAATTGACTGCTGATGCTCAAGCGAAAGGCGAAGGTGAGTAGAATTTTAATATTTTCCAAGTGATTGCGTCTGTGTCTTTAGAAGTCAAACAAGTTGCTGAACAGAAAGGTGTGTTCAAACTTTCACGTAAGGTTAGCTCTTAAACTAAATTGAGCATTTCAGTTGACGAAGCGAAAGACAAAGCTGGTGAACTCGCTGCAGACGCCAAAGCAGTGGGGCAAGGTAATATCAGATTTGACTCATGATAAAAAGTATCAGTAATTATTTTTGATTTTGTTTGCAGAAGTCAAACAGGAAGCCCAACAAAAAGGTTTGCGTTCTTCTGTATTGAAATTATTTTTGACTCTATTTTATCATTTGTAGCTGATGAAGTAAGAGACAAAGTGTCTGAGAAAGTCGATGATGCAAAAGATAAAGTTGCCGAAGTTGCAGCTGATGCTAAGCAAGCGGGCGAAGGTAGGAAAACTGACTTAGAGTCTTTTCTCATTATAATTTCTTTGATACAGAAGTGAAAAATAATCTTGAACAACAAGGTAACTTTATACAACAAGAATTAATCTATCAATGACTCCTTCATTTTAGCCGAACAACCTCCAACGAACGTCCCGTCAACAAACACAGTTGAAACTGCAACACCATCAAACGATCAAGCTGCACCTGCTAACATAGCCGAAACGAAATAAACAAGCCAAAACACATCCTTTCTTTCGTTTCATATTGTTGTGTATACACTATCCTTTCTTGCTGTGCACGTGTGGGCATTTATTTATTTAACCTATAGTGTTGCTTTTAACTACTAATGAAACACTAGCGCGTACAATTTACGAAATAAATGCGATTGAAATTCCGAATATAAGCTTGATGATTCAGAGGAAAAGATGAAAGATAAATTACCTGTTCCGCTCGGATATTCGTCGAAGTAGGATTGGTGTGGTGCCATAATGGATATGTTGTCATCTTCGGTTCGATTACACGATGTACCTGTAAGAGAAATGATCGTGCATAGGACGAGAATCAAGAATCTTTACTTCCGCGAAATTGTTGTGCACTGGGAAAATATTTCGATCGACATTCATTCGATTTTGTCACCAGCTCTTCCTGTAAAATTCAAAACGATGATTGTGAAGACGAGGGAAGGCATTACATCACGTAGAGTCAGTGTAATTTTCAGATTTTGACAGAAACTTTGTGCAAATTCTGGATACATATCAATGACTTCAAGTAAATCTTCTCGTAGGATCTTATGTAAATCACAATAAGTCAACGCTCGAACATTATACGCTGATTTTCCCGGTTCACTATATAACAACGGGTTTTCACCAAGAATATCATCTTTACCTAAACATCAAGTACACAAATGTTGAGGAAAACATCATCAGGGTACATACTAAGAATAGCAACGACGTTATCATCTTTCAGGATTTCAATCGATCCACGGGAAATAAAATAGATCGATGTTAAAATATCTCCACGATGTGTTATGATATCACCGGGGGGTGCGTGTGTTGTTTTAAGTTTCATCGAAAACGTTCGTAAACAACCTTCACTCGCATCTTAAAAAAAAGAAGTCTGAACATAGAAAGCCGAACGGCGCATATCTCCAGGAAACCTTTAAATGCCGCGCAATTCTTTAACAATTGACTGTTTAAGTGTAAACATATATCAGCTTGCAAACATTCCGGAAAGCCCTTTAGAACCATATTCATATCGATACCACTAGAATAGTCAAATGAGAACGAGTCAGACGAGAATCAAATGCTTACTTCGTGTAATTCCAGGCATGATTGAAATAATCTTCGAGACGTTGCCGCAATGGATTTGGTATTTGATGAAAACGAATAAACTCTTTCACTCTAAATCAACATGGATGCTTATTTACACAGACAGCTCACTGATTTCTTCATACCGTAACATTTGAATTTGGTAACGTGCAGTACCCGAATATAATCTTTGAATAATAGCACTGACATTACCGAAAATACTGGCATACATCAAAGCTAAAAGACATGATAAATAGAAATTACATGACGATTAATGAGGCATTATTTTGTAAGATATATGATATGGACATGAAAGCAACATCAATCACATGCAGTCGGGTTTTTCTTTCAAAGCAATCGTATACACTCTGTGCTTCTCACATCCGATTAACATAACAAATATGGAAAAGACTTTTTCCATGTTTGTATTCGGACTAACCTAAAAAATAGACAAAATCGAATCGAATTTCGTTGTTGTCTTCTCATTCATTAGCATATCTTACATTCCCAAAGCCAACTGATGTTAATGACGAAAATGTAAAATACAGGGCTGTGATATATCTTGAACGAAGATTAGGTCCGCCAAAACATAAGTTTGGATCAGTTCGTAGTGAGATGGTGTCGTTTGGTGAATGTACTACCGAACAATTATATGATTGGCCTGATGTACGGGCTAATTCATCAAGCCAAGTAATACGTAGTCCTAAAAATATCAAGCGAAACAAACACAGTATGACGCGACAACAATGACGACAATAGCACTAGTTAGAGGACAGACAGACAGACAGACAGACACAAGACAAAAGAGGAACTCACAGCCTACGAGCATGATTATAATTGAAAAACCCTTTTCACTATTGGTGTTTGGACTAGAGAGAAGAGATTGCTGAGAAACAAACAATTACGTTCGAGATATGTGGATGCTAACCTCACATTACCAAAACCGACTGATGTTAGAGAAGAAAAAGTGAAATAAAGAGCAGTGATATATTTGGACGTTTTCGTTGGACCAGATGTTGCATCTGAATCGTTATAATACTGATGGGTATGATTAGCTAATTCGGCTAACCATCCAATCATTCTTTCAGTGCCTATAGTAAATAAAATCGGAATCACTCAATACTCGACATCGACAGTTCTTTCTTAATATCAATGCATTTCCAGAAGAAAACCTTTGCCGATCAATATTTACCATGATTATTTCGTTCGAGACGTCCAATAGCGTACCAAATGCAAGCAAGCCAGTGTGCGATGAGTGCAAATGTTGCCGTTAATAGAATTAGGACTCCAATACCATACTCCGAATAGCGATCGAGTTTTCTAGCAATACGCACTAATCGCAATAAACGTGCCGTTTTCAATAAACCCATTAATACTGTCGATTCGCCACCGCCTTTCGTTTGAATTAATGAAAATAGAATATCGAAAGGTATAGCCGCAGTGACATCGATAAGAAACCATCCTTTGAGATAATGTTTCGCTATTTTACTCGCACGTGTGACTAGTTCTTCATTACGTTTGACATACGTCGTACGCAGATTTACTAACAGATCAATAATAAACATAACGTCAACAATAAGCTCAATAACATTCAGAGCACGTGATGGTCGTGAGCGTTGTCGATTGGGTCCATCTTCGTGCATTAGAAATGCCGCAATGTAAGGAGTAACAATAGCTGTATAGATAACAAGCAATAAAATAAACCAGTCCCAAGTTGCTTTAAATGGAGAATAGTGAAGAATAATTGTGCGTGGAATACGACGACTATCAGGCAGACGAAAGTCAGGTACAATATCTTCACCTAACGATAGAATCTGGGCGATATGATGTGGAATATTCGGCAAAAATGAACGCTTTGTTTTGTTTGATTCTTTGGTTTCTTTCTTAATAACAGTTTCTAAATAAATTTAAATTGATGCTATACGAGAATGTTATTGATTTTCTTTCGGAATTTACCAGCGATGTTACTAATACTTTGAGACTTGTTTCTCATCAAATCCACATCGTTACTATTGGTATTCCATGGATTACTATCAGGTTTGAGTAAATTATTCGCACTGATCGATGACTGTTGACTGATTTTATAATCAAGTGGAAAAGGTTTGCTTGATGGAGGATGTACTTCATCCAAATGAATCGCTGTTGTCATTTTATGATTCAAAGCTATTCAGAAAGCAACAAAAAAACATATAAATTTTATGTACAACATAACATGGTGATTCGATTATCGGTGACATTTCAACAATTAGACATAAACCTAATCAATTATATGTCTACACTTCTTTGTACTTCGCTAGAGTTCCTCAAACTGAGGAATGAATTCATTCGTTACCTGTGTATCCTGGCGTTTCAATGGAGACAGTCGGAGTGTCACATTCATTTGCATCATCAGCTGAGAGATTGCTCTTCTGTACTGGCCGATTTCTTGACAGAGGATTTATCATATCTAACCACGAACGTTTGCGAATTCCACCTAGAATGAATCGTTTTTGAGAATTAACGAACTTGAATCGGACTCCGTACGTACTTGTCGGACTAATCGAGTATTCACGAATCTTAGCTAGAAGGTTAGATCATATGGAATATATTGACCTTTCCAGAAAGAGAGAAAATGAGTTGAAACGATACATACGCATTCGTCGAGGACGACTCCGATCGGTACTTTCAGTAAACTCCAAGATAAATAGAATGATATCGCAGGATTCATTTTTCACCGGTGCGATCAAAACCGAGCATCGAAACTTAGTACCTGGAAAAAACGATTTCTAAAACGATCTTTTCTCTCATTTTGAAAATCTTTTACCAGTATTTCGATATAAAACAATTTCTACTTCTTTCTCATCACTTCCTTGTAGAGCATGACGAATTTGTTTAATCGATTTGTCATTTGTTTCATTGCCATACAAGAACTCACATGTACAAGGCTTTTGAATAATATCTGAACGTGAGTAACCAGTTAGTTCGCAAAAAGCATCATTACAGTAGATTATCGGTTTATTAGCCAATTGAGCATTGGATATAAGAAACCGGCGATCTAATTAACACAAAAGTATGTTTATGCGCTACTAATGAGGAAAATGCTCGTACTTTGTGAGTCAAATTTACGTATAATTGTATCAATAAATGTATTTTGAGGAGCCGAAACATGGCCCCGTTTCATCGGCATTTTCAACGGAAGCTCATAAAAATATTGCCATCATCTTCAAGAAAGAACGAGCAAAACAAAATATATGCATGTCTTTTTCACTCGACAACGCAAGACAGAAACAGACAGTAGAAAAAAAGCTGCGAGTCTCTATGTATATATTTATATCTATCTATCTATCTATGCATGCAGGCGTTAAAGAGAGATAGCTAAAGAGAATCGGATGTGTTTGACGTCAGTGAAAGGATACAGAACATTGCGTCACGAGGAGAACACTGGAAGTAACAAGAGAATCAAGGCTGTTTATTGGGTATATATTTGCATATATATGTATAACGTGCCGATTTTTCTTCTTTCTTTTTCTCAACAGAAGAAGAAAGAGAGAAAACACAAAGAAAAAAGAAAAAGATTTACATACCCTAAGTATCTATTTTAATCAGATGTTGATACAATGCATATGATACGTCTCGACTAGGTTTATTATCATCATTTCGTTCTCTCGATTTCTGTCACTTCTATGAAAAGAAAGAAACACGTAAATGAAGCTAGTTAGTTTGACTCAAACAAATCTCTCGATCTCCAAAGATCAATAATGCGAGGCAGCGAGAGAGAAAAGACCCACATTTATGTAGGAAAATCGCAAATGTTTGAATGTTGTTGACTAACTTTCTCTAATGATTTGCTTTTCTAATAGAAATAATAATAGTATCGAGCATAGTCGAGAAAAACTCGTTGCAAAGGTATAAATACAAACAAATGAGCTATTTCATTTTTCCTTTTTTCCTTTTCTCTCTCTCTCTCTCTCATACACACACATTCATTCATTCATTCATTCTTCTAATAGCCTACGGAAATCTGAGAGAAGTTATGCATGGCTCATAGCATTCCTTCGCTAACTATGACTATTACTGTGTCATCTCTAGCATTATAATTGATGAAGAACTTTCCTTGTCGTTCTGATTAGTTTTACATATTGAAACACGTGATCCGAAAATCTAAAAAAAGCACCGGAGATGAAAAAGAAAAACGACTCGTTGTCTTGCAGAAGTAAAAGAAAATTCTCTTTTCTCACTAAGCCGTTACTTCATTTAATCACGTAATCAAACATATCTTTGGAAGCTGCTTTCTTTTGACTATGTTGTGACAATAGATCATGTATCGAGATCTATATACACAGAAAAATGTCTCGATTTTTCTTTCGCGCAATGACATTTTACATATGTAACGATCTGAGATGGCGAATCATGATTATTTTAATAGCACATGCTAGTTCGAAAGTCTGTTGACGTCAAAATGTCGACTGATCAATTAGTTTCTGTCACATAGATTATGATCGAGATAAAGCGATTTGATTTTGAGAATGATTGACGGACGCTCTGGGATAATTATGATCAGGTATCCAATAGACAGTGAAATAGGTCATTGTTCCACGATAGTTACGAAAGATTCGAATACAATAGACGACGATAATAAGACGATAAGAGATTATTGGCCTTGTCACTACGACAGTAGCAGAATCGGCGAAGAAATATCGGTTCCTACCGAGCACATTCTCTTTCTAAATGCAAACAACCAGTCGACGATCGAGAGGAAAAGAGGATCTAAGTCTTTTTTCTTTTCATCTGCTATTGTCTTCTTGTTTGTTTGTACACAAAGGGCGAAAATGGGCGAAAGATGAGCTAACACAAGCGAGCAAATAAAAAGATCACGGAGAAGAGAAAAAAAAGAAACAATTTCTTTACGGATAAGAAACAAGAGCGAAACACATGCAACAGATAGAATCAACCTTCGGGAATCAGATCTTCATAAATGACAGTAAACATTCGATTAAAACAAGCAACAGTAAATAACTTTCTTCTGCGTCTACAATATCCTAATCTAATCCGATGCGTTCTGCCTTTTGCTGTTAATCAGCACAAAATATTTTCCATGTCAAATTAATAAATATCGAGACAATTGTTTTCCATTCATAACACACATAATGTCGACGAGAAATCTGTATGACATGGATGAAACATTTCACAAACAATATCTACGCGTTCTCATACATCGAATGACATTAAAAATGATAATCGAATAAATCTACAGAATAAAGAGAAATCAACGTCTTGGTATGTTGACATATACCAGTAAATTAGGAGAAGCGAACGAACTTAGAAAACGTTTCGGTCAAAGAATATTCTCGAGGGCAATTGAAATTGGTTTTTCCCAGATTAGAAAATCGATTGATACAGCTATAGGTGCTAATTGTGTAGCTGTGCATAGATGAGTATTGCTTAAGGATCATATGTCATTACTACAATCTATGGAATGAATAATAGGTCAGGACGTCCGGAGTGGATAAGTATCGATAATGTTGTCCTATTTTCAACTACCTCACATATTAAACATGTTTCTGAAGGATGTACTAAACCAATCAAATGTTATGTTGAGAATTTTTTGAAAAGAAAAATGCATTTGTTCAAGACTCCGATAATACGGTATGAGGCTGTGCTCGTGTCCAAACATTCAAACCGATTTTATAGCCATTTTCCCCTGGTGGACGTCCAGCATGGTATGTTTTATGATCAGGAAGTCCTTTCTTATCAACATTCGACCAGAAGACCGTATTTCCCGGTATTGGACGAAAGCGAAGGCCCGAGCTGGCAGATTTCTCGTCGCAATATAAAATGTCACACAAATGTTTATGCAACGTTTCGTTAAATCGAACTTCAAGGAATTCGGTTTCCCCTTGAGAACAATTTGCTTGAAGATAAGTCACAAATGTTGTCAATCGTTGGCCGCCATTTTTCATCGGCTCCGGTTGCCAAAACCAATCGTAATGCGGTTGAAACTAGAAAGATGCAATCTACATTCCAGCTCTTCGCATTTAGCGCATGCTTAAGATTATCTCGCGTACCTGCTGTCCGGGAATGTATTTCACAACTTGAAAACGTTCAACACGTCGTATGTCGACGTTTCCTTGAAATTCTGCGAATCTGTGTTCGAGACACTTGACAACAGGCGTATGCTGGCGGCGAAGATTGGCTGAAGTCGATGTTCGATAGTCATCGTAAATACGAACTCCGTCTGCATTGAAGATCTTCGAAGGGTTAAACAATGGTTCACTAGGTAGAACACAAGGCAATGAAATTACTGAGGGATGATTGGCTTTGCACGTACGCTAATTGAACTAAATGCTGGATTTCATTACGAGTAAGGAAATTTTCTATATAAATTATCAACGGTTTGCGCTCTATAATTCGCGTCACGTATTGATGATGAGGACATTCATGTTCGTATTTAGATAAATCATAATTTACGCTGCTATTCTGATGTAAGATATCTTTTATTGTCTGCTGTCGAAGATACGTTTGTAATATAGTTAAACGTTCGATAATTACGTGAAGACTATATTCAACTAATGGAGACGTGGTTTTGTTTGGATAATAGATATTAAAAAGACAAAAAGAGACGATTACTGTCAGACATGCTATGAGATAAAATACAGTTGATGCAGATCGATCAAGAATATCGAACGAAAGTACCTGATAATGTTCGACTTACAGACATAATTGTCGCAGAGGATAGAGTAAAAAATGAGAACAAAGTCACACAAATGGATGGAGACTTCCATTTTCTTTTCTTTCGATTATTTTTAATATGCAAAGCGGTGCATTGTGTTGTTAAGTAAACAACGTGCAAAACGACTCAAAATGTTGTGTGTCTGAAAAGGAGAATTGTGTACTTTGTTTGTATAAGAGAAGAAATTGTTCGACAGCGTGAAAATCTCTCTGTTGTCAAATTCTCCACCTACGCATATAATTATGCCCATTCATCTCAACTGATAATTGACGAGATATGTATCCCGATTATATTTCAAATAAAATAACATGTTTATTAAAAATTGAAAATCTTTCGTTTCTAATGAGTGGTATTGTTAATTTTGAACAGATATCCTGATTACATGCAAGAATGTTGTCTCGAGGTTTTGTTACGATGTAGTATCGCGTCGAATCACCTCTGATTGACTCGACCGTCTCAATAGTTTCGCACAATTCAATGGTGAATTACAAATACGGAAGTGGCATTCACATACCTTCATTCATTTTATTTTTTTAGCAAAACTACTCTCGTTAATCTTCCATACGCTTTCATAAAAGAAAACAATATGAAAACACCATCTAGATATGTACTTCGTTATACATACAGATGAGAAAACATTCATAATTTGGGTCAAAACAGGCACTGTAATAGTACTTGTCAGATATTCTATCAGGTTATCGTCACTGATCAACATCGTACAGATGTAATTTAAAGACTTAAATTTCATAGATCAAGCGGCTTATTCATACTGTCTTGATATGATGCAAAGCATTGTTGAATTGTATGTAACTCGAGTAGTTCATAACAAGAGATTGATTATGAACAATAAGAACATTTCGATGATTACAATGAATTACTTTTGAGGCGTGTTGAGTATACGAAGGATTATGGTGACAAATTCTTCATATGCAATGATGCCTCGGCAATATCAAATATATACATTTCGAAATTTCGATACAAATTTACTTTAATAATACGGATCATCTGTTGAGAAATAATAACTATAATAAGACATAAAAACGTTATAAACAACTAGAGTAGTCACTGCTACGAAAGCAACGAATAATAAAAAATACTCTTGTGGCTTTAGTCTTATCGAACGTGGCCGTTCTCGTCCATCTCGGTGCCGCAATGGCGGATACTTGTCTTGATGGACGGGACCTTCCATATGTTTAGAAGATTTGCCTTTTTGCGATGTGATTCCATACGTTGCAAGTAACGAATTGAGCCGTAACCTAAAATGTGCGATCTTTTTCTTCTTCTTGTTCTCTCTCTCTTACTATGTATTCATATCACAAAGCATCGTTTTCAAACACAAGCAATGCACACATGACGCCTATCACATCACATTGAACTCACATGATGGTGAAGAGAAAACGAAAAGATCTAGAATAAAATAATGAATATTCCATATACATGCTTTTGTTTTTAATAAAAAGCTATCAGAAATGAAAAGTCTGCGATTTATTGTTAAATAGAAATAGAATGCACGCTTATGTAGGTTTGAAATTCATTAAGGGTAAAGTAAGATATTTGTACAATGAAGCGGGAGAGAATTACTGGTACGCGTACTAATGAGAAAGAAGAGTTTACAATTGAAGAGCAACGATCTCGATTAAGAAAATAGAAGAAAAAGTTTGTTTTTTTTTGTCTTTATACATATATGAATACATTAGATGAGCAGAAGAAATGAAATGTCAACATTTAATGACGATGTGAAAACCAGTTCAAGTCGTCGTTGCTCTCGGCGGTTAAGACTTCGATGACTTTAGTTAAGTCGTTTGAGTGTTCGGATAGTAAACGTTGGTTTTTTTGCCGATTGACAAAGCCCATTTCAATCAGAATTTGAATTGGATCATTGGTTATATTCGACGGTGCATCTTCTCCGACATGCTCAAAACAATCGTCATTAACTGGTGGATTAACTATTTCAGTTGTTGGTTCTATTTGTTGTTGGACAGGTATTAGATTTGTCTAAAGGAAATCGAATTACATACATATCGGGAAAGAACATAAAAGATCTAACTTCATCATTTGCTTGTAATGTGTTGAAAATGGCTTTTGCTGTTGAACCTGCATGTTTAGCAACACTGAAGATATTTGTTACAACTGTATCGACGAAGTCCAATGATTGGCTAGGGATAACCGAACGAATATCTTCATGTTTACAAAACTTGAATGTGCTTACCTGTTTCTTAATAATTGTTGTTGACCTTCTTCGCTGCTGCTATTTCGAATGGCAGGTTGCAGCGCAATCAATGGCATTTCTGTAAGCTTGTCTAGTACTGGTGGTGGCAATGCTGAATATGTAAATGTAAGTAAGCTATCATTATCACTGTTGTCGTCCTGGGGCGAGGTGTTGATCAACGATTCAGTTTGTGTATCGGTTGAATTCAAACGGCTAAAGTTGATGCTTGACTGGAATAGACATGAATTGTGATGAATCGATCCGTAAAGAAAAGGTACTTACACGAACAGAATTACTGTCTGCTGTTGATTGGTATGGTTTTGTTAGATCGAAACAAGATGGTAACGGAATATCGAGCAATTCGAATGCTTCTTTTGGTTCAATAGGTGGTGCTAGAAAAAGAAAATGTGCAAAATATCTCTTTCAAGTATGTTCCAATGATAGAAGTAAGCAAACACGAAGAAAACAAATCGAATGTTGATGTTGGACATGAAAAATGGCACCAAAAGAAACATTTTAGCAGAAATACAGGTGCGCTGCGTGTCCGTCTATTTAATCTTGGTAAACACTTACCAGGTACTGTTGCTGTAACTGCTGGTGTTATTGCTGTCGTCGAGCCGACTTGAATGGAACACCAGATGACTGGACCGAATGTTCGTTGACGATACGAAAGAATCCATTTGCTTTCATAAGCACCCGGTTCATTTGCGCACATATAATCAACTGTAATCACAGCACGATCATGTGGTGCAGTGACAGGAATCACTGGTGGGCGCACGATTTTAATACCATTAGCGAGATTGATCAATTCAATATCATCACTGCTCCATGGCATAGACCCATCATTGAGAAGAATCCAACCTTTGCGGAAAACTTGACCAGCTTCCATGGATGTTCCATCTACTAAATTTTCATCAGCAATAAAACAAGCAGAATATGGACTAAAATCAAATGAATGTGTATGTGGAAACGTCTACGCAGTGAATTCAATCATACCGAAGTAATTTAAGTTTCTCTTCAATTTTCAAAACTTCTCGTAAGTTTCCGTGACAAGTTGCTGCTTGAAGATCATCATAAAGGTTAGCGATCTTGGCTTTCATTGGTGCAAAGAAGCGAAGGATATCAGCTGGATCCGATCTGAAAGTGCAAGCATAGAAAGTGAAATAAACTTCGATTAAAATCAATTCAGCATACCGATCATAAGTCGTAGATGTTGTTTGAGTTACCCGTTTATTTTCCTTTTTCACATTATGACGTTGTTGTTCTCGACGGTGTTTGCGTTTCAATGAACGTTTATCCGATGATGACAAGTGATCCTGCAACACAAATCAAAGATGTAAATAATCATGGATATGTTCAATCCTCCTGGTATTCTTACATCAGTAGTACAATCTGTCACATGATTACTGGAGAATAAAGGTAGGAGTACTTGTTCTTCGGTTCGTTGTTTTTTAATACTCTAGAATACAATCGATTGAAGATTATCTTTGAACAAAGAATCAAGTTTTTAATTTACTTGTCGCTCCTCATCACATTTGTCCATGGCTAATGACTGAATAGTTTCAGCCAACTGTTCGTAACAATCTTTACTTTTCGGTTTTTTACTAACTGTCAATTTCTTCATTGGAACGATCAACTAAAGAAGTAGAACAAAGAATTCCTATGTCTAGTCTTTTCGGAAATTATTAGCAAAATACCGGGATAAGAGGTGGTGGTGCTGATGCTGCTTCGCCCGGTTTGTGTGTTGTAGGTATTTCCAGTATTTCATTAACTTCGTCGTTCATTTCGTAGCAGAAGCAAACTTCGATCAATGTTTCATTCAATTCACTTAACTAAATGCACAACAAAAAACACGTAGTGGGAAGAAAATGGCCATCTACTAAAGATTTACTTGTTCGCTGTTGTCGAGAGCCGTTTTTTTCGTTTGATGAAGATGTTGAATAGCTTGACGAATAGATGGAGTAAATAATAAGCGAAAACGCTCTGCATTAATGCATTGATGACATTTCGAAAACAGTTTAAGTAAACAATTGTATTCCTACAATAGAATAAAACAATAAGCAATGATGCAGAACGACAAACTAACCATTGTTGTTGTTTGCGTGACGCTTGCCGCTTTGATTCGTTCGAATTGTGCTCGAATGTGGTTCAGGCCATTTTGTATTATAAACTAAAAGGAAATCTTCTCTGGAAAACAGTTTTCTCCACCTTGCTGAACTTACGCGTTGAATAAGTGATCGAAGCCAATCGTAAGATTCCGTTTGATTCGGATTTGTTCGGAAGAATTCGTCGCCCTCTAGCACATAGACACGACCTTCTGGTAATTTGTCATTTTTGTGTTTTTGAGAAAATGTTGTATTAGTATCGAATGTCTAAAGAAAAACAGATCCTATCTCGGCTGAAATAGAAAAAGACTAATTGAACGTACGAGTGCCAGTACATTCAATAATGTAATTGGTACAGGCGCATAACGGATCCGTGTGGCAACCAAATCAACAAGTAATTCGATCATATCAAATATACCAACTTGGACATCACGTGGCCACGAAAAGACCGATTGTGTAGTTTGTAACTAAACAGAAAAACGTCTGACTTATGGCAATTTTAATAAAAGCATTGGCCTACTTTTCGAAAAGCTTCAGGAACGATCGTTTCAATAAACTGTTTACAATCTGCATTTGTATCGAGTGTTCCTTCTTGCGCTAATTTGATGGCTGCTGTCAAGCAAATACCGAGTGCTTCATCTAACTTAACTGGAATATACCATTTATCAACAAGAATATTTGCACGAAGGTTTTGAAGTTTATCTGATGGAAAAGCAGTTGATTTTTGCACACAAATTTCTGCGGGAGATTTTCGTAAATGGTATATTCCATCAAACACATGTACATTGTCGAGATAGACAGTTAATGTCAAGGATTTCAAGCCATGATCTCGAGCATACTGAAAAAGTCAAAGATATTAACGTTGAAAGAGATAATTTCAAACGCTATTTACTTTAGCATTCGTATCGAATTCGTCTTTGTTTTCAATGCGAATCTCCTCTTGTTCTTCATCGATCATACATATTTTAAACTTCTTGTCTGTATTTTGGCACAGAAGTTCTGCCTAGAAGTTTTCGAGAAACACCAATATGAAACAAACTTATTCGTCTAGGTCACTTACATATTTGACCAGCCCATTCCAGTCAGTCACTTCGACTGGTTCAGACTTTTTACTAGTAGTGTCAGCCATTTTCGGTGACGTACGTTACTTTATTTTGCGTCGAAGAAAAAACGTAAAAAAGTGAAATATCTAAAGATAACTGAATATATATACGTGGAAAGTGCACAAAGGTATACAAAACTATTACTAATATTCGAACAAAACACGCGCCTGTCAGGCATAGTCAGCGTTGTGCAAGACAAAGATAGACGCTTTCGAGAAGGAAGAAAGAAAAAAAGAAAAAATGGAGTGCATATGATGAAATTGCAACATGAAATAATAAAGGGAGAGAGAAAGAGAGGAAAAAAACCAGTGGATATATATACCGATGATTTCTATACTATGTTCTCGAATCATATGGTTGTGAAGTAAGAAAAGACACACAAAGGGAATCATTACCCATTTATGTGAGAGTATGATGTCGAGAATATTCATTCATGAAACGTGCGCATAAAAAACACAATTGGCTCTGTTTAATGAAATAAAAGAACGCGTAGGAAAACGCAAAACCCTTTACTGATTATTTGCAAGTCCTTAGATATTCTCAGAAGTACTTAGAATACAAGCGTAAGCTGTTGGGCCAACTGTAAACATCAGCCGTTGGCGAGACGGACAGAACGTGTTTGCTATACGCTGAAAATTTTCTATTTATTTTTTTTTGTGCACGACATGAATGTCTTACCCCAACCTGTGGACTAGAGCGTTTCATTAACTTCACACTAAAACAAATATTCGTCAAGTCTATCTTTGAGGCACTGACCCGGCTATAATGGTGTGAAAATACTTTCATATAAGGAAGCCAATCTCGATAATCTAAAAAGAAAAAAAAAACTTTCGAAAAGATACTGTTTTTCTTCGGTTGATGTTTTATTTTTCTTTATTCTTATTCTCCTCAAGAGATATGAATAATGGCGACATACAGCAAAACAAAACAAAAAAGGAAAATAACAATATGTTCGTTGCCGTTATCGCTTCTTTTCTTTAATTTCTTGGGTTTTAGAATTTTTGAAATTGTTTTTTCGAACCGGCTGCTTTTGTGACCTTGAGTACGTTGAATCGAACGGTTTTACTCAATGGACGACATTCACCAATAGTGACAACGTCACCAATTTGAACATCACTAAAAGCAGATATAGTCAATACTCGAATCCCGACATAGAACATTCCTTACCGGAAGCATGGACTTAAATGTACGGACATATTCTTGTGACGTTTTTCAAAACGATTGTATTTACGTACATAGTGTAGATAATCTCGGCGGATGACAATGGTACGTGTCATTTTAAGTTTCATCACTGTACCAGTAAGAATACGACCACGAATGCTAACGTTGCCAGTGAATGGGCACTTCTTATCGATGTATGTACCTTCAATAGCCTAAAGAACGAACGATAGATTTGTCGACGTAATCGTGGAAGTTATGTTTACTTCACGTGGTGTTTTGAAACCTAAACCAACATTACGTGTGTATCGTTCAGCACGACCGGTTTTGCTGGCTTTGGCGGCAGCTTGTTTCTTATTTAAGAAAATTGTTGGTTGTTTTTGGAAAGAGCGTTCCTAAAACAACATATGGAAATCCCCAAAACTCTTGACGGATTAAGCTCATGTCTCATACGTACGTGTTCCATTGTTGATTATGAATGATGGATAACAACAGTGAAATAGATCTAAAAGAAGGAATATATAGTAAAAAGAAAAGTGTGAAACTCTTCCATATAATAATTAGAGTCATCTAGCTTGGGAGATAATCGATTTCGATGTGGTTGTTTGACCTCACCAATACTCGCCATGCAAAATCCAATCGAGTCTCCGTTGGTTTTTCGAGAATACAAGCCAGAATCAAACTTATCTAACCATAGAAAATTCTCTGGAATTTTTTAATTTAGGAATGAGACGTTTTGATGAGAAAATACATTTATTTTCCAATCAACAGATGTCGCTGTCGAACAGCAGTCGCCAAGAGAGATTTGATATAAAGCTCGATACTTATCTGAACTTCACGCTATTTCTGTTAAAATTCTCTCTAAGAAAACATCGAACGAAACATAGTTTTCGCCAAATTCGGACTGCTTAGCAAACGTGGACTAATGAATGTTGATATATCTCATATGACTTTGCCCAACCAGATACTCTTAGATAAGATATCACTGAATAACAAATGATAAAAACCTTCTAGACTGTGAGAAAAAAACATCTCAGTGTAATTTCCAATAGGTTTCCAACGTGAGATTTATTCAATTAATATTGATATGAAAGAAAAAAGATTGTCACAAAAATCTTCATTCATTGACAGCACGTGCCTTTTGTGCATTAAGGTATAGCAGTTGTTGATCGTTCAATGCTCACACTTGCTTCTGGCGAGCTGAGCTGCGAAGTTGATGCTCTTCCACGAAAGCCTGCTGAACTAGCAGCACGCGACGGCTTACATGCGTTAGAGAAAGATGCGGATAACTTAACTCCTTGCTTTATATTTGCTATTTGTCGATGACGCCAATAAACGACAGCAACAATTAAACATACAATACCAAATACAGATATACTGACGCCAATAGCAATAGGGGTAGATAGTGGTAATGGCTCTGATGGCTCCGTTGCACGAAACGGTATACATCGTCCACTGTCACAGCGATAATCAGCTGTATTATAGAAAAAAAAGATCGTTTGCTTTTGGATTTCACTATGTATCAAACGACTCACCAGAACAGCATAGATGTTTATTGGTTCTATGATCGAAACATTTCGTTCCTATCAGTAGATGAACATATATTCGTTAGTTCTATTGAAGTATATAAAAGACCTCACCTACATGATTGCCAAGATATAAGCAATTTTCAGTACTTTGGCTTATATCGAACAATGCCGTGAAGAGTATAAATACAAAAGAATGTTTCATTGCAAAATTTTGAGATATGAATGACAATTTTACTGAGATACTTATATTTACATCGTAGAGGAATTTGATAAACATAGACATTATAGAAAAGTAAGAGAGTCCGAAACGGTAAGGTGAGTCAATTCCTTTGTCTTATTGATAACTTAACTAGGTAATATTCTGCATTTTAACATCACATTGTTGTTTATTATTAGTAATTATTGCACGGACCGCTTGGAGTCTTATTCAACGAATTAATTACGAAAGAATTTCTTCTGTTTACAACAATGCAGAATCGCATTCAGCCGATATACAGACGCGTATTTGCTCCAATCATTACAATTAGTTTCGTTCGCATCTGACATCGATGTATACAGAATCAAGCCTTCGCATTCGAGTCTATTATCGCATATTCACAGGATTGAAAAAGAACTGTATAGTTGCATTCGATCAACATCGTCAGAACTTTTTCTTTTTTCTGTGTTCTTTGATTTCCTCTGTTTTGATATTTAACGAGCACAGTACGCGAGAAAAAATATATCAGACTAAAAACCCATTTACTACGAAATGATTATTTAATACATAAATATCAGTGCATAAAAACGTAACACAGCAGCACAGAACACAACATTCTGAATGAGAAGTGTAGTTAAACTAATCAATATGCGCACTTGTTTTCTGTTATTATTGTTAACAACATTAGTAACAAGTTTCGATCGTCGATATCAACAACATTCGTCCATACTGCGACAACTTCAAGGTAAGTTCAATGCCTGTTTTATTTCAGGTAACACCAAGCATTCTTTTTTAGATCTATTGGAAGCTGACGATGAAGCAGAATTTCAAGTACGACATCGAAGTGGTGAGTGAATATGTTATCACTAGGACTTTTCGATTGTAATAGCGACAGAAAGTGTACGTGCTGAGAGTATAAAACTCATTGTTTTTTTTTCGGAAGTTCGAATTTGCATTTGCATGCATAGAAATTGATGCCTGAGTGTATAGCAATCGAATTACTGATAGGATATCTTTCGATTTAGATCGGCGAATGTCCGATGATGATGAAAAGGAACAGTATATGGAAATTCGTGCAAGTGTTGGATCAAATGATACAAATACAGGTGAACAGTTCATTTATGAAACCTCTCATTTCAATATTACATGAATATGTAGGAACAGAGATCACTCTCCAAAATCGTGCAGCTATGAATACACGTCTTCGTGTTCTCTATACAGACAAAGATGGTAGACCAGCCATTGCTGAAACTGGTCGATTGTGGGCTGGTCAAACAAAGTCCGTTCAACTTCCTGCTGGCGCAACAAACATCAACATTATTGTTGAGAAAGATATATTTTTCGAAACGTGGCGTCAAGCCTACAAAGGTACTTTAACCAACGGCAATCAATGTATACGTATTGTTGGTGTCACACTCTTTTCCAAAATTCATCCATGCAAATAAACGATTTACGAATAGAAGGCAGGCAAAACAAAGAAAGACAACACGCATTGAAAACAATACAGAGAAATCCATGTATGTTCCTTCTAGCTCGATTGGATTACAAATAAAATTATTCAAAGAGAAATATTTCATTACAAATATTGAAATCTATTTACAAACTAAAACCGAGAAAGAGAGAGAGAGAGAGGTGTGAGAGGAGGAAGTTCATTTCATGAATCGTTTTGAGATAAAGATGCATTACGAATGGCTGTACGCTAGAAAAGAAAAGTGTCAATAATATTTCGAAAAAATGGAAAGATTTGAAATTACCCATATATCTAAAATATCGGTCACAGTATGTTGAGTCGGTAGTTTAAATAAAAAGTACACAAAATTTCGAGAGATCGTTTCAAAGAAAGTATTTCCATCTAGACGAAAAGAAATACAAATCACCGAACTGAGAATTCGGCTATTTGGTTTACCTGAATTTTCTAATTTCGTCGGTGTTAAGCTCATTGCTGTGGATGTCAACGAAAGCACTTCCGGTGGTTCGTTGGGATACTGTACTGTTAATTTTAATTTCAATGGTGGAACAAGAGGCATGTCGATCTCAATGAAATGACAAGTCAGCTCGTAGTCATCGACCATTGTATCTTTATTTTTAAGCATCGAGGGTGTCGAAGAACTCCTGTCATGCAATGGCTTGAGTTCATATGAAAATGTATTCATTGATGAATGAGCAAATTCGCATTCGATGATATGATTCATTGAAATCGGCACATGAGAATTCGTCGACAAGGAGATTCGTTCCTCAACTTGTTTGCATTCCGTATCCAAACGAATAGTTCTAAAAGATTGAATCGATCAAGAGTTCGATGAATTTTTTGCTTACTTGTGAGGTACGCCATTCAAAACTTCACTTAGTGGCTCGAGAAATCGTTTCGCAATATTGTATTTCAGTGTCGAGTTTTTGCTAAGATAGTCAACAATCGTACGCTGGCATTGTTCGAAAACGCCGCTCGTGACCAAACGAGAATTTGGCGGTGCGCTCGCCGTACCATCGTTTATCTGAGGCATGACCATGGGTCCCAGCATTCGGTCGACATGCTCTTTGAGACGGCGTGCAGTCATTAAATGTTCCGGGGTGAGATTTCGTACGAAATTCGAAACCTGTTCGTGTAACTGACGATATTTGACTGCTTTTTCATGCTGACCTGGAAAGATAAGCAAAGAATGAAAGGGAAGGGTGTAATTTTAACTTCGAAAACTGCACCTTCTTGTTGACATCGTGCAATTATTCGAGTTAAAAATTGAATGCGTTCATTGAAATATTTATAGAGAAAGTGTATTTCATCGTCGATCATTACGGTTGGACTACCGGCGTAATCTATTTAGGCGTGCATTAAGAGTGAATCTTTCAGGGTACATATTGATTCTCTCTTACTGATCATATTTATCGGAGACATTTGGGGACGATAGATACTATTTTGTGGAGATTGGGACATCATGTAACGTGCTAGTGGACTTTGTCCCGGTTGTTGTGCAAGTGGCGTTGCTTGTTGTTGTATTATTCCCGGATGAGAATGTGGAGATGATACGCCGCTCGATGTCATTAGGGTATCTGCACCTCTGTTGACAAAAGAACAATTCATCAATACATTCCTGGAGAAGAAAGATTTTGTCATACGATGCCATCGGACTTTGCTGCTGCTGTTGTTGTTGTTGTTGCTGTGCAGTTTGAAGAGTTGACATTGATTGGTGACGAATATTGCGATTCATCTGGAAGAGATTGACTGATTTAAAGACGTTTTCTTAAGTTAGAAAGACATACATTTCGAAGTCTTGCTTGAACTACACTTTGTGCCGTACTTGGTGGTTGTTTAGGTGGATTAGGGCTAGACAGGAGATGCTGAAGAACTTGAAAAAACATCGTTTTGACAAACTCATAAATAGGATACGAAGGTGTTTACTTTCATCTTGACTGCCAGATGCTGCTGCTGATGATGATGATGATTGGGGTAATACTGATGAATTCGTTGGTTGCAGTTGTTGCTGAAGTTGAGAGGAACCTGGCGGCTCTTGCTGCTGCTGATTGAGATGATTTTGCTGACGTACCTGTTGAAGATGCTAAAAGACGAAAATTTAAATTGTCATATACACCGAAATCTACTCTTATGTTTCATCCTCGTGTACGTTTCTACTAACCTGAGCAAGTGTACGTTGTGGCGTCGGTGCTGGTTGAGGAGGAGCAGGTTGTGGGGGCGCCAATGAAGTTGATATTGGTTGTTGTTGCTGTGGCTGCTGATGCATAAACTGAGATGGTGCAAGTGACATTTGTTGAGGTTGTTGCAATTGCTGCTGCTGTGGCCGCATTTGTGGAATCTGAAGTCCAATTTGTTGTTGTTGTTGCTGCAACGACTGTGTTGTAACTTCTTGTTTGATAAGTAATGGTGCCTGCTGCTGCTGTTGCTGCATGACCAAATTCTGCATAGTTTGCCGTGCTTGAATATTTCCTAACGAGGATTGTGGTTCTTGTTTAATATTCATCATTGGTGTCGACTGAATCATCGATGTTGATGATTGCATTGTATACGAAGATTGATTTGTGGGGGGTAATTGCTGCTGCTGTTGTATCTGTTGAGGCATTGCAGATGTTTGTGATGGTTGGGGCTGCATATACATTTGTTGTTGACCTTGTGAATTCATCATCGTCTGCTGTTGTTGTTGTTGTTGTTGTTGTTGAGCCTGTTGATTTCTTCGCTGCACTAAAGCCTGGAGCACTCGACGGTAGAGTAACTAAAAGACATGACACTGTGCTAGATAGTCAACCAAACAAAATAAATCGTTTTACCAATTTGCCACCACTACGATTAAAAGCATCTTCGTCAAAATTTAAGGCCAACTCTCGATTTCCACCAAAGATATTTGTTCTAAACGAACGAGCACATCAAATGATATTCCATTTCTTTTCAATAAACTATTTACAATCGTGCGATGAAATTTTCGCGGTCTGAGTCGCTAATCCTTTGTTGATCATCTGGCGGTGCTGAGCCATCGGAATTCATCATCTTTATCTGAAAAGTACAATATGCAAATGTATTTTGATTTATTTCTATGAGTATCGACACACCGGTGTGAGGTGTAAGGAAAACCAAAGGAACGAATAAGAAGCAGCAGCAGCAGCACCACAAGTTAAGATAGAAAACAATGAGCGAAAAAGAAAACCGTAGGAATGATATGAATCGAACAACATAAATATCTATGACTGTGTGGAATTGCTTAAACGCTGCTTCCAAAACCATTTTTGATATTGATTCGTTGGTTCGCAAGGTGCCATGGATATGTCCTTGTCATTCGTTGACGATAGCTCAACGCAAAAACCAGACGCGTGCCGTAACATATCATTCTACAAGGACACAATCATTGTCTCTATACATCATTCATATAAATTTAATCTACCTCGTATGTCCACATTTGATTGCCCTGCATGGAATGACATGTAAACGATGTTATTTTACCAGGTTTGCGTAATTCGTTATGACCACCCGCGTAATCTAAACATTTGTCTTCTCGACGGATTTCAAATGTTTTTGACATAAGAAAGTATTGATTGCCCCCTTGACCGTGACATGGATAGCCAATAACGGCTTTATCAGTATCTTCAATTTCTTGAGAATCAATGCATATATTGGTTTTTGAACGACTACGAATCTATCAACAGCGACGACATCAAAATGTAGTTTACCGACTAGAAGGAGAAAATGGTGTTACCTCGCCAAAGAATAAACTTTCTCCAGGCACAAACTGTTCTGGATAAACATTATCTAAAAACCATTTGAATGATTTACATTGCAAGCGGTCACGGATCTTCAGTCGATCGGAGACGTCACCGTAGTCGCCCTAGAACGATGAATATACATATCCATCAAAGTTTATATCAAACTGCTTATCAATAAGTAATTAGGACGTAATGCAAACGAATAATTACGTGCGAAACACAAATCACTATGTCAATAGACATACATGAAATCAATCTAATGATTCATTAGTACAGGAGGACATTTATTTGCTCAGGTACATCACTGTCTTTGGGATTCGAGACATTTCTCTATAAAAATGTGTTGGCTACTTACTAAATTATTGGAAATTCTTTCGTAATAATATTTCTAGAAGAGAAGAATGTATCATCAGAAATATGTTGAATAGTTGTCCATATTCTTTACTTTATAATCATCAAGCCAGACTTCAGCGAGACGAACTGTATTCTTTTTCACAACATTGACATTACTAGGCCACTGATAAGGCGAACGTTTTCGAAAGATGTGTCCAACATGAGAACACGGTGCACATAAAAGTTCACCACCACATTGCCAAACCTAGATCGACGATTTCAATCCATCAGATTATCATCTTTTCGATCGGTTTACTTTGAAAGAGAGTTCAAGATTTTCGCCACCCCAGATGTCCATGCCAGGGTCATACATGCCCAGTTGATCGAACCAATCTCGATCAATAGCAAATAAGCCACCGGCCATAGTCGGGCTCCTAAACATGAGAAGACTTTTACCTTATAGATCTTGCTAATCATCGTATTGTTACCTAATTGGATCGGTTTTCTTCTTTCTTCGTTTCATTTCTCTTTCCGGAGTAACGTGCCAATTGAAAATCAGATTCCAATCGAAGCCGCCCACTTGAATATTTTGAATCGGCGTGCCGGTTATTTGGAATGTTGAATCGTCGATAATTTCGATTAATGGCACAACTGCTGCTTTGGGATTTCGCGCTATAGGATCCAGTAGAGGTTCAAGCCATCCTTTTAAAAAAGATAACAAACAAAAATCAAGCGAAAATGATTTGGATCGTCAGATTTACCTTCAGCACATTCACAGTGAGAATCCAGAAAGACCAAAACTTTTCCTTTAGCAGCAAGCGCACCTTTCAAACGAGCACGTATAAGCCCTTCACGTTTGCCTGTACGTAATAATCGAACATTTGGTAAAGGTTTAATGTCATCTTCGAGCATCTTCTTTAAATGTTCTATTTAACAAGAAGAAGAAAAAAACATCCGGTTAGTTATTTCACGTTAGGAGCCTCCTTGGACTTACCGATACAACAGACCTTTATCAGAAAAATCATCGACAAGTATCACTTCGTTCAATAGCTTCTGTGGTGAACGGTCCAATACTGACCAAACAGTTCGTAGCAATGCCGAACGTGCTTCGTTGTGAAAGATAATGATCACTGATGCATCAGGTAGATCGGGATGTAAATCGACTTTCTTACATCTAAACGAACGTTTCGAGTGAAAAAAACGAATCGAGTCGAATAGAAATAACAGAAATCTTACTCAGGATCTCGTATATCAGGTAAACTTCGTCGCAATGAAATCATATCACTAACGTATTGATTAAATGCATTGTTTTTCCATCCATCATCGAATTTCTTTCGTTCATCTTTCGATAGCTTGTCTTTATCAATACGGACAGCATTGCCCATCTCGCCTGGTCCACCAGTTTTCGGATCATTTGGATCATTTTTCATCACAGGTGCGACAACTTGAACTTGAGCGTTCATTTTCTTAGCTTGCTCTTCTGCTTTAATACGTTCTTCAACTGGATGATCACTATCAGGATGGCGTTTAAACGGCAAAGCACCAATGATACGATCCACAAACGATGGCGAAGCTGTTTGATCAACGATATTGATTTGTATATCATTTCTTGATTGAGATAACGAATCTGTGCGTAAAGTAAATAAGATTATAGCACCAAACCATAACGCCGGAATGAATAAGATATATTTCAAATATCCTCTTCGACGTACTACCATTTTGAAAGATAAGAACTAAGTATCTTTTTTCTTTTCAAGAAAAACTATGTAGCCGAAGCACCATCGCGTCGAATGAGATTAAGTTTTTTCGTTAAGGCTATTTTGTTCTGTTCTCCTTTCCGTGTAAGTTGACACATCCAAAGAATGTACTCTATGGATGCAGAGTGCATAAATGAATTGAATAGGCAAATGTATAACAATGCCGAACAATTATAGCGAAGTGCTTAACTTTCTTTCTAATTGATGAAAAAATGATTTTCTACTTGATAGAAATAACAGTGAATTATGCTATGACATTCTTCTCTTGTTAGTAGCAAGATGAAAATCTTCTGTTCAAGAATTCGACGTGCTTGACGGCGAGAGATAATGAAAATCGAAATTTATTTCACAACATATTATATTTAAAATGGATTAACACTGATTTACTTGATAATTGAAATGATACATAAACACTGATAGTGACTCTCGTTATAGAAAAAGTGACACAGAACTTAGTCATGAATATATACAACTATTCACACGTTTTCTTTTGTATTTTCTTGCGAAATTCATCGTTTTCATATCTGACATCGAATTTCGTTTGGTTCATTTCATTCACTTGGAGTAGGGTCATTCTTCGTCACACTGACAGACAATTGATTTTCATTCATCAGCTTAGTATAGTGCCGTTTGCAGTACGACAACTTCTTTGCGCGTTTCATACACTGATCATAGATACACAACGGACGCCAATGTCCAATGCCATCGTACTGTTCTCGGAAACCACGTTTATTCAAACGAATTTCATTCCGAACATGATAGGCTGGCTGAGATTGAATCGGTAATGATGATGTCGATGTGTACAAGTACGACGGTGGTGGCATTGGTATCTGAGACACAGCTTGTAAGTGGTGGTAATGAGTCGAATGAAACAGAAGATTTGATGATAAAATACTGTCCGAAGGCGTCGACGTTGAAAGAGATGATGCTGAGGATTGTTGAGAAACGGGTGTAGAAGTTGTTGTTAATAGAGTTTTTTGTTTCTGTTCAGTGTAGTGCTGGAAAAGACAAAGATAATTTAGTTACATTCTTGTTTGGTGAGATGAATGCTTACTCGTTTACACCAATTGAGTACTTTTGCTCGTTTCATACATCCTTCGACCACGCATAACTTTCGCCAATACTTTTTGCCATCGAATCGTTCGTAATAACCTTTCTTATTCCATCGAATTTCATCACGTTGATGAAAAGACATTTGTGAGATAGATCTACAAATGAAATACTATTATTCTTTGAAATTACTACTTTTCGAAGACAATATTGTAACAATGTATCATCAACAGATTAAAAAAAAACAAAATGTGAAAAACATGAGATCATGATTGCAGAGTACAAATGTTCGGAGAAAGAATGAAAGACATTGAGAATATCAGGATTACACCTGTGGTCTATCGAATGAATCGACGCGAAGTTGAAGTTCTTCTTCATATTCCGTTGGTTCATCTTCAACATAATGTCCAGAATCGATCTGAGTACTAACACGACGAGGTGGTTTAGAAAATGAACCATGCCGACGTTTGTATTCGGCTGTTTGCTCAGCTAAGCGATTGGCGATAGAATATCTTGGAATGCTCAGATGAGAAACTAGAAAAGTATTCCGAAAATCTTTGGCTTTTGGCTCTCATGACCGCTTACTGTAACCAAGACCTTGTAAGAATAATCGGATAGTCTCAGCCATTTTTGCCGGTTGCTCTTCAAGTATTGCACCACCACAATCAGAAAATTCAACGTACGAACTCGTCGCCGGATCACAGCGATCATGTGTATCGATAACATCCTCCTTGTGTGGAGAGGAAAATCCGGTTATATTGACCACAGAACATCTAAAAATAATCTGAATAGAAGAATAAGTTACTTCGAAGTCAAGTTGACATACTTCAAAGTTAATGCTGCATTCCCGTGTTTATTGCCATCAGGCGATCGTTTTAATGGAATTGCTATCCGCCTACAGAATTTCAATAAGAAGCAGGACATTCTTCTGCAAGTTTTTTACTTTAAGAACGCATTTAACAGTTTAATGGCATTCTTCACATTAATATTGTTTTCCAAATGATCGCGAAGTGCAGCAACTAAATCAGGTTGCGATGATTGACTTTCCTGAATTGTATGATGATACACCACATATATTATCAAATTAATTCTACTTACTGAACCCAAATGATACCAAATAAGATAATTGAGTAATGACGATGTCCATCGTTGCTCTGGAATGTCTTTCGTTGGCCACTGAAATACAAAAATAAGATTCCATGTAAATAAATATTCGACATATCGAACACACTTTAAGCGAAAAGCCTTCCAGCCATCCAACGCCGCGCGTGATACAATTCACCAAAATAAGGCCGTAAAATTTGTTTGGATATTTTAGCGCCGTACGAACCAAGACGTTTGCGCCGAGACCAACACCGAGCCCAATAGCTGATTTGATACTAAAAATAGACAATCGATCAAGTTGTAATTCGAATAAAAGACATATCCCACTCACTTTAAATAGTCGAAGACATCGTTAACTGTCTCAGCTAGTTGATCCAAGTCCGGATAGATTGATCTTTAGAAGGAGCGCAACAATGCGTGTGCATATACAAAAGAAAATGAAATCATACGCAGTTGGCAGTGCATTCGCTTGATCTTCTTGTCCTGGTGCGTTAATATGGTAGATAGTAAAATGTTCAGTGACCGGCATCATTTCCGGTATGGAGAAGAAATGATGAAATTGTGTTGCTGCTACAAATATATAAACAAAACTTGCTTCAGTCATCAATGAGTCTAGATAGGAAAAACATACAATTGTATGCGATATCATGATAAGTGACAAGAACCGAGCGATTTGGTAAACCTTGTTGTGTAACGATAACATATCCATATTTTGTTGAGATTTGAATGGTCTAGATTGAGAAAAAAAAATCATTACAGGGCATTGCCTATTCGATTTCGAATGAACCTTAGGAGTCGTTAATTCATTATCATCGATATCCTCTCTAAGTAAGCGATCTTTGGTTTCCGTGGATGCGAGATCTATATTCATCATCTAAAAAGCAAGTGAAATCGTATTGATGTTTATAATTAGATATAAAACACGGGACAAAAAAAAAGAATGTTGGGCGTAGAGAGCATCATCAAATGAGAAGTTAAAGAAAAGAAGAGAAAGGTGAAAAGGTGAATGTGAGAAAAATGCATGTACGCACATCGAGATGATCATCATGAGTAGAACGTAAAAAATGGACAACTAACAGGATGTATGCTCATGAAAGAGTCATAGTCGGTGTCTTGCGCCATCTATCGTCAAGGAAGAAACTGGACGGAGAATGCTAATGTGAGAAAATCCGGTTATAGTTCAGTTGTCGAGTATATGGATGATGTAGATTTTTGTTCATCGGGCAGATTGAAATGAACTTTTGGCTTGGGCAATGCTCGTTGTTGCGCTGTTTGCAGTTCTGCCAGGTCATCTTGTTCTAAGGAATAGAATGCCTTGTGTTTGTATAACCAAAACCAAATGGCAATGCCGAGAAGAAAGAGAACGGTTGTGGACAATAAGAATATCGGTAGGAAATATCTTTGAAACTCTTCAAATTGTTTGCTCATTATTTTACGATTGTTGATCAATGCCGAACTGATCTCGTGTGCTAGAAGATTATCGAGAATGGGCGAATATGTGACATCAAAGTTCAGATCTGAATCAATTTTAACATCCGGCGGACAGCAGTAACGATAAGAATCTGTGCCACAACAAATATATTGAATGGAATTTTCGATCGGACAAATAAAACCTTCGAAGAAGAAAAAAGATGTATCGTTATCAATCGACGTGTTTGGAAACAAACCATCATTCCATGTTCCATTTGTGTGAAAAAAGCCATTACATACGGTATCTGATGAATGATTAACTGTTGTTGTGGTAGTGGTTCGCATTGTTCATGGAATGAAGCATTGTCAATATGAATCAACTACGAGAAACAGCCGGTAAGAGAACGTTAACCTTGAACGGAAACAATCCCGATGTACTGGAAATCTCATCTGTTGAGCTGATAATTCTCTCGGATGTCGAATGATAACAATTCCTCTTTGTCTGTATGTTGTATCGATAAAAGTCTTTTGTGTCCTTCGTGAGAAAGGCAAAGAAGCGCTTGTCACAAACAATTATTCATGATAGAAGAAAAGAGAGACTTCGATTAGTTACATTTATTAATCATGTCGCAGATGATTATCTTACAAAATAGAAAACATCATGCGCAAGTCTATGTTTTCTAAATAGCATACCCAATGTTCGATGAAAAGAAAAAGTTTTCTTCTCATTCAAATGAAATAAAGCAAGAGAATTGAAGTGACTGTATTCTTAAAAACTTGTTTGAGCGAAAGTATTGTCGTCATCGTCTTCGATGGTTTTAATTGGATCTACAAATGTTGGATTATCGTGCGTAACAGATCCGACATGATTCGATGCATGCACAATACTAGCGCGATTCTTTCCTGGTTCAAAAAGTGGAATGATTGTGCTTGAGTTATTTCGAGTGTCATCAACAAAAATAAGCTCTCTACGATCTAACGCATCTAGTTCTTTACGCGAAAGATGTTGTACAATAGCACAGCCAATAGAATCGCCGAATACGTTGATTGCTGTTCGAAATCGATCCCTGAAATGAAATCGATCTGGGAGAAACTCGATGAATGATGATATCAACTTACAGTAACCAATCCACAGCATAGATTGTTCGCACTTCGTCCGACGGCAGACCAAGTGCATTGAGAACGATAACCATCGTGACTAATCCAGCTTGAGGAATACTTGCTGCGCCGATCGATGCTAATGTGGACGTTAGACTAGTAGAAAAATGAATAAATACTAAGGTGAAAACTTTGTATATTTTAATCTACCTAGTAACAATAATTTTCACTGCATTCAATGGTATACCATTCAGTTGTGCAATGTATATAGCTGCTACAGCTTCGTACAATGCCGTTCCGTCCATATTCACTGTTGCTCCGACGGGTAAAACAAACCGTGAAACGCGTGGATCAATATGATTTTTCTCTTCGACACATCGATATGTAACTGGCAAAGTTGCTGACGAACTAGCCGTACCAAATGCTGTAACTAACGCCTGACTCATTCCACGTATGTATCGAAATACATTCATACGTGTTACGATAAAGAGAAGTAAAGGTAACACGATAAACCCATGAATAAACAGGCCAGCTAAAACTGTCACCATATACAATCCCAATGATCCGACAAAGTCTTGTAACGTATCCATTTCTAGCATTTTGGCGACAATGAGAAAAAAGATACCGATTGGACTGTATAACATCGCAATTCGTACAAGTTGCATAACAACTTCAAGCATCGCTTCGAAGAATTGCTTGAGAATCAATGCTTTTTCTTTCAATCGACTGATGATAATACCGAATAGAATGCAAAAAAGGAGCAAACCAAGCACATTGATACCATCTCGTCTCACGACCATTGGATCATAAATTGTTTTATTATAAACTAAACTCATACACAGTGCTGTTTGTTTCTATCGATATGGAATAGGATACCTGTGTTATTCGGACCGATGACTGTAGTTCTATTCACTTTGAGATCTGTGCCAACCTAAGGGAAAATCGATGAACTGAATTAAACGTTGTTTTTACTTCGAGAAAACTCACCGATCGAAATGCAGCTTCCATAATATTATCCGGAAATAGATTTCTATTCGATCAAGTAGAATAAATTATTCAAAATCATTTGCGGTTGACATTTACCTGAATAGGTCAAGAACAGTATCAACTGTTCGACCTTCGGCTGATTTTGCCGCTGCTTTCTTATCAACTGAACCGCCTCGTTTACCAGGTTGAATTGTCAACACAAGAACGATACCAACAACAGCTGCGATAATTGTCGTACCAAAATAATAGATCAACGCTCGCACACCCATTTTACCCGATGATTGTGCGTCTAGTTGAGCTAATGACGAAATAATACTGGAAACGATCAATGGCAGAATTAGCATTTTGAGAATATTTATGAAAATTCTGCCCGGAAAGTCAATATAAGTGATATCTTCTTTTGTAATACGACATCCATTGACACGTTCATCTACAACGAGAGAGACAATAGCAGAAGAAAACGTGATGAAGATGCGTACCTCCCGAACATTTCAGAGGTCGAAGTGCAATACCGACACCAATACCAATAATGACAGCAGCTATGGTAGCAATCAGTAATGCCTGTTCTTTGAGATTTTCTTTTGAACAACATTGCTGGCAAAGGCCATGTTTTGGTACTGATAATGTATGAGCCGAGTGCGATTTTCGGCTGTGTGTGGATCCAGAACGGGAACGATTCTGATCGGCGATAACTAAAGGTGTGACCCTTGATATCGATGTTTTTCTTACACCATGCATGGACTAGTTTGACGAAATACTAGAAGCCTTTTATAGAATTTACCTCTGAATATATTAATGAATACAGACGGTTGATAAAAACATAGATAACGAGCGAGAAGTTCTATATTACGACGTTCTTCGCGACTAGGAGAACGCGAGATAATATATATTGTTGAATATGTACGTCGTTAGCAATTGAAAATGAAATTCTGCACGAGATTTTGCCCAAAATAATTCATGAATTATTAATTTTATCCCTTTCGATGTTAAATTAGGTAAATAGTAGCAAGATTTTATCGGTTCGGATTCTTTTTTCTTTCGAAATGAAAATGTTGACATGATATTTATGCGTACAGGTTTCTCTACGGATTTGAAAGAGCATCAATTCGCATTAATGATGAAAACAAGAAGAAATACATTATTGATAAAGTGCATGTTTCGTTTTTTCTCCTCTCTTATTCAATTAAGGGCATTTTGATGATTGGAGATAAGAAGAACATTAATGAATTCAATCGAACGATTGTTTTATTATATATAGAACATGATGAATGCGTGTAGATTAGTTTTTCAGTTTTGTTATGTCGGGTTTAAGTCGAGGATTTTGTCCGCCAACATTTTCATCCCAACCTTTTCGACAATTCTGTACAATCCATTGATGTTCATCATCATCTAGAAGAAGAAGAAGAAGAAGGTGGTCGATACAAAATAAGATTGAATGATTGTGTTTACCAGCATTTCGAACGAACTCTCCGTGGTAATCTGTGACGACACGTGATACAGGATTGTAAATTCCATCTCCGACATCATAGCAATCTTCGGGAATTTGTTCGCGTGGCTCACGATCTTTTAACTGAGATCGACCAGCTGGTTTCAAGCCATGCAGAGTTTCAGTATAAAACCGTCGATCATAACCATCACAATATTTCCAATCCTCAGCATCATATGTCAAACCATCTGGAAATGTGTATTGACCCTAAAGATAAAAAATGAACAAATTTCGAAACTAATTCATTGTTACACATCGTCTTCATACATCTTTTGCAATTCCTTTCTCCCAGATCGCTTCATATTTAGCACCGTTTGCATAATGAAGTATTCCATGGCCGTGAAATTCTCCATCTTTGAATTCACCTACATAAGTTGTGCCGGATGGAAATGTGAACGTAGCATTACCTTCCAATCTAAAAGTAAAGTCACTATGGCATAACTATTCTCGCGAAGAAAATTCTGATGTTAATTACCGTTCGTTATGAACTTGTCCACTGTAGTTGCTGTGTGTCCAGTAAGTCTTGTTGATCTTTCCGGTCGATGTAGCCATACTTTCAAATGAAATAATCACAACTGTTGAGATCGCCATTTGACAAGTTCTTCGACTTAACAACCGACGCATAGATGTCGTATGAGACGGGCACAAACTTTTACTTCTTCATGAATCATCAGCACGCACTCACCTTCGAGCTTTGATTTTTACTATTTTCGAAATGTCTGAGGCACCGTTGCCATCTAGAAGACATCAACGATCTAACTCATATGACCGTGCAGTATCCGGCATGCAATCAGGAAGCACAATGCAGAATTCAGCAACTGCATCAGCTCGAACAGAACAAGATAATATTTATTTAATCAAATGGATTGATTTCAATCATGAGCGACTGCCTATTCTTTTGCAAAATGTTAATGGCCCGTGTCCGTTACTTGCTATTGTTAATATTCTTCTGCTCAGAAAACGAGTAATGATCATAAATCAATCATAGTCGAGGTAGTATCTTCGATGATTTAGATTCTTCTCCATCCAACTGCGACCACAATCGGAACAGAACGAGTTGTAGCATTGCTTGCGGGATACCTACTCCAAATCGATTCTACCGTAAAGGAAAATATTAACCGTATTGTATACACATTGCCCTTTCTTTATGATAAAGAAACTACCAAATAGAGAACAAGCGAATTACGAACAAAATATTGAAGACACACTTGCTGTACTTCCTCAATTTCTAACAGGATTGGATATTAATTTGAAATTCAACGGGTATATTCGTGCAAGAAAGCTTAGATTTTCCATGTAGATGCATTTCACTTGCTATTTTTCAGTGTCGATCAATTTGAATACACTCGAGAATGTATTATATTCGACTTACTTGGCATTCAACTCTACCACGGATGGATTATTGACCCACAGAATAAGCAGTTGCAAGCGTTGAGATTTTCAAGTTATAATCAACTAGTAGAGAAAATGCTTCGACAAAAGCATTCGGATAACGAAAATCTTTCTCGTGAAAGTAAAGAAGTTACTTCAAATGCACAACGATTGAATGTCATATCATTATTCAGGTTTGTTAATCGAACAATTTCTAGAAGAGGATCGTTCACAGCTGACATGCTACGGTATTCTGAAATTGAATGAAACCATGCAAGACAATCAATTAGCTGTCTTATTTCGCAATAATCACTTCAATGTAATATGGAAAAATCAAGTAGAAAACTTCTTCTGTCTGTCGAAAGACAAATCAAATTTTCGCTTTACTCTAGCAGCGACTACTTCTTCTTGTATCTGATCAAGGCTATCTAAATCATCCATCCATTGTTTTCGAAACGTTGACTGATACTGACAATAACAGTGCATTCACTGATGGGTACGGACGAGCTTGGCAAAGGTCGACACCAACTAATACCAGTCGCGAGTGAGCTTTTCTTTGCTTACAATGAATGTGTACTGATCTTTTCATTTAGTCGAGAGCTAGCCATCGCTATTCATAACGATGAGCGTCAACGATATTATCAAGAACAGCAAAGACAAGGATATTATCGTGAGTCAAATGTGAGGAAATCAAAGAAAAAACATCGTCAGCGTTCGTTGAATGGCAACGATTATGGAGGTGATTGTATTTTATTATAACTTGTTCATTGATAACTATTTTACGAATTGAAATACAATAAATATTGCAAGTTTCCAGTGTTCTCTCTTGTCTATTATTTACAAAGATGTTCGAACTCATTAGGAAACATGTAGTAAGATGACGATGCGGTTGAATCACGACTATTTCCAATTGGATAAAGATTCAATGGCGTATTTAAAATCAATGATGTTTCTGTACATCGTGATTTGGCTTCACTTGGTGTCGTGCTAATTGTTGATATTCGATTAGACATAGATCGACTGTGTTCTAAAAGAAGCGGAGAAGCAGCTGGTAAAGGCATTTGAACAATCGACATTCGTCGTTGTTGACGTTGTTTACTGCGACGAATCGATGATAGACATTGACAAACCATAACGAAAATAAGTAAGGTCATGGTAAGAAAGATACCGACAGTACATATTTGCAGGAAAAACCATTTTTCAGGGAGTATATCATTGCCTCGTTGAAGAAAGTAATCATTTGACGACTCGTAGGGAATAACAGACGGTAAGGTTGACGATAATGTTGCTGGTGATGTTGGTATACAACAGTGTCGATCGGTTTCTGAGCCACAACAAACACGAGATGACGAACAATCGAAACCTAAAGAAATATTTACAGATTCTTCAATCATCATCAAGGTCTAATAACATCCACTTAACGATTTGTATAATTACACATCAAAACAGATTATTTCCTAGTAAACAACACCATTTTCATACGTTGCTCGTCCTTCTGTCTGTCAGCAGGTCTCGCCATTGAGAATCGATCTTAACTATAGTCGACACATAAATAGCAACTGACAAGTTTTGAGTTGTCTCTCGCACTTCGCTAAGACTTCCGAAAACATCCATCGAAGAGTGTTATCGTTTCGACTAGCTCTAGCATAAAATCGATCTTACCATTGTTCCATACACCATATCGATCAAGAAAGCCAGGACACGATGTAGTCATGATAAATGAATGAATGAATAAACGCTAGTTGCAGACCGTGTTCGTTATTCGCGTGAAAATGTTCTGTCTGTCATCAGACAAGAATAACAAGAAGACGAAGACATAGCAGTAATAAAAAAAGTAGCTCGTCTTTCTTATATCTATCAAATCAGATAAGTGAAAGAGGAAGAAAAGCATCGTTTTCTCTCCCGAGAGAAGAAAAGAGATTAATCATGAATAGTACAGACGATGATATCGTTCAGTCTCGCATCTCAACTGAATAGAAGTCGATTCCATCTGGCAGCAGAGATAATTGATGAGCTGGGACATATACATATACATTGATCGGAAGAAAGTGAAACGTATACGAACGTTTGCAGCACTGTTTATGGGATGAGCAAATGGAAAACGACAGACATGTCAGTTCACATTTTTCAATTAGATGTCGATGAAAGACAGGCTAGAGCTGATTGACAAAGGACGACTTATGCTGAGGATAATTAAGCTCATAAAACTGAATAGTTCGTACTAGATGTCCTTTTCCGCCTGAAGAATTTGTCGTCGGAATGAACTTTCATTCATTACTTGCTTTCTCTTCTTGTTATCACTCAACCCATTTCCTGTGTTTACATAACTTATCATTTTCACACATTAGAGATACAATGGCGAGTAAAAAAAATGATATATCCGTCTCGTCTACTTATGTAACTTCTCATTGTTTATTTATTGTACAATATCTATGAATCGTTTTATGTTTCCATATTCTAATCATCGTGTTATGAAACGACATGTTTTCTTCTTCTCATCACACTTCGACAACAATGAATTAAAGATATTTTCTAATGAAATTCAGTTTATCCGCTATTGATGAATAGACACCAGGTTTGATTGTTTCGGTATTAGCACCATGTGATGTGATGCCAAATAGATACCAGCGATGATCTGTTCCGTTGAGAATCATCAATGGACCGCCACTGTCGCCCTCTATAAAATAAAAAGAATTTAAAAAGAATAACTTTCTTTTCTTCATCACTCATATTTGTTCATGTTGGAGAAAACCATTTTAACTCGTATTTCGGAACAAACGTATGCGTTAATCAAACTGGACAAGAATGTCTAACGAAGTTGGTCAATGGTATTACAACTCTAATCTGGATCCATTTGTCAAAGGACAAGACGCTCAATGAACGCCTTAAAGCGAAAAAGATAAGAAGTTACTCGAACAGTGCTTTAAATCAAATGCTGTCAATGCTGAACTAGAAAACTACGTCGTTCATTTTGAGTTCCTGACTCAAATTCACAAATACAATCATAATAAACAACGTCAAAGCACCTACCACGTGAATCGACATTGTCATTTGTATTAGTTGCACATATTTCATCGTATTCATCGAATGAACTGAAGACTTGTTTACAATATTCATTTGATTTTATATAAACTAGACCTTGTTTTAAATGAAATGAACCAAAGGAATTCATGTCACCCGTGGGATACTTTCCACCCCATCCGGCGATGAAAGCAGTTGTTTCAGGTTTCAAACGCTCATTCTCCTCCTTAGGTAAACATATCGAATTGATCATTTTCGAACGTTCCAATGTTTTCTTCAATTTTATAATTGCTATATCATAATCGCAACATAAGGAGAATTTTGGGTGGATGAATACTTCGGAAACAGCGTAATAATTAAACAGATTCAGACGGCCGAGAAGGGTGGAAGCACCAGCAATGACACTCATGTACTTCGGTTCATCAATAATACAATGTGCCGCTAGAAATGAAAAAAAAACGAGGTTCTTTATTCGAATTGAAGGAGTTATAAATACCGGTTACGATTGTGTTCGGCCCGATAATTGCTCCACCGCATGATTTCATCGATTTGACATTGAGAACATTCACCATCCATGGAAAAGAATGATCTGCTGCTGATATGCCACCTGTTACGCGTGGTGTGTCCATTTTCTCGGGTAAGATCTGTGGAACATCGGATAATCCACAATCCAACGAACGTTCAGATTCATGCGGATCGATAACACGTTTGATTTTGTGCCAAGCCCATTCAAAAAAGTGGTTTTCAACTGACTGTATACATAACATCAACCATAGAACACATATAACACTAATAAGAAATTTCATCTTAACAATCGTCTAGTAGGCAATGTTGCAAATGAACCCTATCGTGACTCACACCACACACACGATTAATTCGTTCTCACTTCGAGGTTATTTAAATGTGACTTGTCTTTTCTCCTTTTTTTGTGCGTTCGTCGTTCTCTTTGCCCTTCTTACGCGAATATATCGTATCCTAGTAGCATTGTTCGATACGTGAGTGAACAAAGAACAAATAGTCAAGGCAAATGATATGTGCACGAATATCCGTTCTTCTACTTCTATTGCATAGATGTGTCTAAAATTCGAACAATCACAATGCATTATTTGAGAACGTGAAAAAAGTACGCCTTGGATGAATATTAATATGTCATTAGAACGGTATTTGCTTCGTTTTTTGGTAGATAGAGCTCAGATATAGGGTATAGAATGTTCTTGATCGTAGTATTGTTAATTAGATGTGTTGATATGACCGTCTGATCACCACAGACGATGGATCAATGATCGAAGGCATTTGCTTAATGAGACCTTAACACAATGTGTATGATTATGTTCAAGGGAATGATATATGTGCAGTTCATTACTGAAGGATGTCTTGCGTTTATCTACTTTTACATAATCATATCTCATTGAGACGAAAATGAAGGGAAACAGTCAATATTCGACTCAATAGATTTCGTGGAAACGAGTTCGTCTCGGATAAATCTTGAACGATAATTCACTTTTGTTCATATCGTATCCCGGAACCATAAAAGATAAATTGTATGAAAACTGGTCAGACGCATATTTTGATATTACCATTGAAAAAGTCAATAAATACTCACAAATGAAGCCTTACAAATTTCTGTTTACATTCAAATAAAACACAAATCCAGTCAGATACTATCTAACATGTTCTCCTATTATGTACGCCATTCGCGATCTTCACCTGGTCACATGAGAAAAATCCTCTCTTGACAAGTGCCATCAATTTATGCACGCATAAATTCTTCTTACAAACCTATCAAGTGTCGATTCTTCAATTCTTACTCCCATTTTGTCATACGTCGAACATATTATACAATGTTAGAACAGAAGGAACAATGCTAATGTTCTTCTCGTTTCTCCTTATTACCGTTTTCAATGTGCTCAAGGGACGAAATTTGATTAAGTAAATTCATGAAATTCTTCTGACAACAGCTGTTTTGAGTGTAGAGACATCGATTGAATTAAATTCAATTTCTCTCACTCATTTCAATACCTTTGCAATTACTCAATGGAAAAGAAAAGAAAGAAACGCTATTGACTTCCTATGACTTCATCTTCGGCGGTGAAGATCGATTGAAACAAAACAATCATCGCACATATTTACATTTCATTCTATCAACTGTATATATTTATACGAGAATAGGAGGATAAAAGACAAACGAAAAGAAGACAGCAAAAGAAAATGAGAGAACTTAAACAGATTTATTCGGACTTGTAATTGTCGATGATGACGAGTCTGATACGGATTTGGTCGTATCGAGTAAAGATCTTCGTTGAAATGCAAACAGTGCATCGGCAGCGGTCGTCGCTGTCAGATAGGGCGAATACCAAAGCGGAGCATGCGTATTAGCCATACTATTACTTGCTTGTTGTTGGAATAGGCGATGTACCGCCGCGAAACTACCTTGTTGTTCAAGAAATTCTAAGCTAACCGAAGCTTGTCGTTTCCATTTCGTTCTAAAACATAGTGTGAAAAGAAAATCTTGAACATCTCTTGTCTTTACCTTCGGTTTTGATACCATGTTTTCACTTGTGTATCGGATAAATTTAAACGTGCAGCAAGTTCCATTCGATCTTGCACACTGAGATACTTTTGTCTTTCGAAACTTTTCTCCAAACAATTCAATTGTTGATCAGTGAATGCCGTACGAGCTTTTCGTGGTTTTTTGTTGGTTTTCAACGAATTTAGATGAATTCCATGTCCACTATCGGATGTGCCACTTTCTCCATCCACATCTGAATCTAAATTCGTCTGATTGGTGAAAAATCGCCATTGGTCAAGTAAACATCTCCTACCGGTATCCTCACTGTCATGTAACGTTGTGTCATCTTCATCAATGATGGATGTTAATGGAAGTTTATGAACAGGCGAAGATGATCGACTATGGTCTGCGAGTATATCAGTAATAAAAAAGGAAGAACAACAACGTCGCTTTGCTTTGAATGTTGTCGACATTGTTGTTGATTGAAGTATATTTGGCGGTAAGAATAAGAAACTGGTCGATGAAGCCATTCGACTTTCTGTAATCGGGCGTGACATGAAATATAATTGGAAAAATTTTAATGTATATCCTATGTTCTGCTTCTCCGTTTCTCTCTGTCTCTTTCCTTCTGTTTCTCTATAATCTCTCTATTGATTGGTTCGGAAAGAGAAAAACGAAGTGTATGACTCGCTACCTTGTCTTCATGTTCTTTTCTCGTTTGTCGATCATCTCTCCTGAGACTCTGTTTCGATCGCAAATTGTTTTCTTTAACATCGATCAAATATTCTCTTTTTCTCGTTTTTCCTTTGTAAAATGTGTTCGATTTGCTTTTCTTATTCATGTTCACGCACACGCTTCAAGATTGATGTTCGAATGACTCGATTTAATAGAGAAATCTACATTGCGGACATAAACTAATTAGGCTCATCTCAACTGAGACAAAGAGGCGAACAAGTTCATGACGATTGATATACTTTCTTCTTTGTTTTTTTTGTCTGTTTCGAAATCGATCTGTAAATTATTGTTAAATTTGATTAAACTTCAACTTGCTTGCCGAAGATGTAACCGCCTGTCCATCTGCTTGTTCATACTGAACTTCAAACACGGAGATAAAAAACCCTAGGGGCAAATATGAGATGATGCTTGAATGAGAAAGAAATCGAAAGACAGCAAAATTTATGATAATAACTGCACGCGACCCGATCATTTGTAATGAATATGTGAAGCTAATCTGTTTGCAACTCATACAATTTTGTTCTTTTCATTGTCGAAATCCGTCTATCATTTCAAGAATATGATCAATTTTGAGATGACACGCTATCTATCTATTCTATCTATTCAGGTAAAAGAAAATTGATTCGGAACGAGTCTCAGGAGAGATGATCGACGAACGAGAAAAGAACATGAAGACAAGGTAGCGAGTCATATACTTCGTTTTTCTNATCAAAGCATGAGCTGGTGAGTGTATGTCTATCTCATGATCATCATCCATTAAACATTTGTATAAGCACGAGCAGATCGATCGATAATTATTGATATTAAAATAAGCACCTTCAAAGTGTCAATCCGATCCGTATTGTGAACATGCATACATTGTGTAAAGAACATGATGAGGTCGATAATGATGAGAAAATGATTCTCTTTCAAACCGAACGAATGATACAACATTGATTTTTCTGATTTGCATCTCATAAACATATATAATCAAGTGAACGAGAACGAGTATTGATTGACTGACTGATCAATCAATTTGTGTACACATCGATCTGTATATCTAGTTTTGTCACACAAGCGTTGGATGTCGAGAAGAGGAAATGAATTGTTATTTTCAAAAGATATCTCTTTCCTTTTGTGTCTTTTTTAATACGAATGTTAATCTACCAATCGTTTTTTCTCTCACTCTCTCTCTCTCTTTCTCAGTTTTACACCAATCAAGTACATTTGTATATACGTGTTTGATGAAGGAGAGAATGTACGTAAAATGTCAATTATCTACTGTTTCTCTTTAGTATGTTGACGCAAATGAAAGAAATCCTACTTGTCACGAGAAAGAAAGAGAAAAGAAGGGAGAAGAGAATAACAAAAGAAAATGCTAGATTGCGAATTTATATCGATCTGATTGACCGACTCGGGACATTTATAGCAGAAAGTGAGAAGGCATTCATGACGCAACAAAAACGAACGTTTTTTGTCGATGATATTCTGCACAAAGTGACGCCAAGTGAAGAAACTCCTCCCTCTCCTCCTTCTTCTGCAAATGAGAAGAGCCAATTGAAACGTCAACTATCACTCGATCATCAGAATGAAGAAACATCGACAAAGAAATGCCGAGCTCGTGAAGATTATTCACCGGTGGTGGATGTTACAGGTGACAATGATTCATATACGAGTGAAAACAGTCAAAATATTGATAATCATAGTGGTAAGTGCGAACAAAAGCATCGTGTTTTGATGATGGGTTCGATTTAGATGAAGAATTGTGCGCATCAAGCTCGTCGTTACCATCTATTGTATTGAGACAGAATAAAAAACAACGAAAACCTCGTACAGCATTCACTGATCAACAATTAAATTCATTGGAGAAAAATTTCGAACGACAGAAATATTTAAGTGTGCAAGAACGATTAGAGTTGGCTAATCGTTTGCATTTATCTGACACTCAGGTTAAAACGTGGTATCAAAATCGAAGGTAAAGATAGAAGATTTCCAAGATTTCCTTTTATTCGTATGGCATTTTAGAACGAAATGGAAACGACAAGCTTGTCTTGGCTTGGAGTTGTTTACTGGCAACATGCTTCAGCAGTGGATGCAGCGACAGCCACAACTGCTTGCTGCTGCTTCGTCTTCTAGTGTATATCGATCATCATCCTCATCCACATCCTCAGACCAGCCGATCATAATCGGATCGTTCGGTTCGGCTTTGTTAAACGAAGCGAAAGCAGTCATGGCAACAAAATCTCTTGCCCATCGATTCCAATCAGTTCCCTTTACTTTACAGCGACATGAATGATGACTACACGTATACTGAATTATGAGAATATGACTGGAAAAGTTCGTTTTCTATTTTTACTTCACTTTATACCAGACGGATTTGAACTGAGGTCTTCTTTTTTTTTGTTTTGCTCTAACTATGTTTTCATGTAATGATTTATATAAAAGGAATTTTTATTTAGTTCTACTAACATACATGCGTAATGAATTAAGTAACCTGAATTAAGAATCATTTTGAAAGAAAAACACTTTGAATGACAGTCGATGCTTTCAATTCAAGCATCCTCAAGGCGAATAAGTAGACGATATGGAACAACTGACGAACGTCGATTAGAAAAGTGTTCAATAATTTTGTTTGGAATGATATCGCAAATGGGTTTATGACCCCAACCTACTGTTTCTCCTTGAACATCGAATGTTCCCGGTTTTTGTTTACACTGCATCACAAGTTGAGCTTTATACTGTTTATTTGTCTTCGGAGAAGTGAAAGTTTTCACCTGGCTGTAAACTTCAAGACTTGCATATCGAATCGATGGCGACGTGTAGATATGTACTTTTCCTGGAATGTGTCCCGGACGAATAGCTAATTCAGTCCCATCCAGTAGGCTGTCGCCTGGTAATAAAAACGCGCGATGTGTTATTATTGATTGCGCGGCAAGTGGAGTGGTTCCATGGTAAACAACAATCCATGAGCTCCATAGATCATCACCCCGGAACGGATCAACACCAAGTCCGAAACCGGCCCAACCGCGTGGAACAACATAATTGGAATCTGCAACTTGTAATATATTTGGTAAATCACTGGAGTAACATTTATGACAATAGCAACGATTATGTTTCCTGTCAAAGAACCCGCTGGACCATCTGAGTGCCTTGACATATTCAAGACATTCAGCAAAATATGAGCAATTCATAAGTTTTTCGGATCGACCTGGTCTGCTGCTGCCGCGTCGACTGGATGATGCCCTAGCTTGGCCAATATTCATGTCGGTGAGACTTCGCTGAATTTTATCTACCGAACTTGCGGCAGATGTTTTGTCTTTCTCCAAACTGGATTTTGTCCTAACTACGGACTTACTAGTGCTAACGGCAGTGCACATGTCAATTTTGCAATAGCAGCATACATTGGAAAGCGAAGTATTTTTAGGATTTTTCCAAAAATTTGCTTTCTCGCAATGTGGGCATCGCATATGTGCGTAGGTTCCTTTGCATGACCAACAAGGAACGATAGTACCTGGAGTATAGTTGCAATCTTTCCATATTTGTTCTTTATTGCAATGAGGACATGTAACATACTGATGCGTTTTGTGACATGAATGACATTCAAGTCTTTGACCTTGGATGGATCCTTCAGTTGGATAGACGTTTGGCGCTTGACAATGTATACAAGAGATATGCTGAAAGGGCCGAGTGCACGAATAACAATTGTATGTGAGTCCTGCTGTATAGTTTGCCGCCGACCACACGTTTACATTTTGACAGTGCGGACAACAGATAAACTGGAACGTTTTGGCGCATGATCCACACGTAACTGTGCATCCTTCAACAGATACGGAAGGGTTCAGCCAGGTATTACTTTGAGAACAATGAGGACAAAATATTTGTTGCATGCGAACTGAACATGACCAGCAATTGTAGATCAAACCTTGTTTATATTGGTTGTTATTCCAAACATTATCTGTTTTGCAAGATAGACATGTAAGTGTTGTCGTCATAATCTAGTACAATCTACAAAATTATTTTAGGATAAACATACTCATTATACTCATCAATGTGCAAAACAGATGGCATCTTTAAAGTGTTACTAAAATGGCATATCAAAATACACAACTCGTATAACATCCGTACTGTTTGTTTGTAAACTGAAACGAAAAGATACACACTATTGCACTAGTTTTCTCAATCATATCTGTAGAGAAATGTTCTGCAACTTCTTAAACAACAAAACCTCATCAAAGAGTACGCACGTCAAAGAAATCACAAAAAAATTTTGTTGCTCTGAAAAAAACCAACACTTTTTCTTTTTCTTCCGACTTTGTAACAACGAAGAAAGAATGCTATAGAGCCGAGTGAAATGACGACTTATGAAACAACATAGTGAACCAGTTTGATAACGCTCTCCATGAAAAGTATCTAAAATTCATCCTGTCCGAATTAAACATATGCCCTGGCGATTTCACACCGCCTACACTCACAAGGGATGCATGAGATATTCTACAGTTCGCAGCATTTTCGTTTCCCATAATTGAAAACTGCTCCCTGAACATCAACATCGTCTAGCTACAACCAGCGACATCTTTTTTGTCGAATCGGTTTTCTTTTTTTAGAATTCGAATTTTCCTCGAAAATAATTCATATTTTGATTATTTCTCTTTGAGTCCAATGTTTATCTATGGTACACTGGAAATCATCAAGAAAATTTCTTTCTCACACCTGTGTCACAAAATGAATCAAAATAAACATTGCATCAGACTGTTTCGATTTATAGGAAATAAAGCCAACTGAAGTAACCTCACGAAACGATTTCATCATTTTTTGTTTCTTTTTGACAGATTTCACTATGATTTTGATCTAGCAACGTTGCGATCTTTCTCGCGCATTAGCTTCGGCTACCAAGCACGCTCCTCTCGTGTCCACCACAAAGTAAAAAACAACAGTCGAACTAATCATCATTTTTGAAATCTATCTCATCTTAGCTCTTCATTATGGAAATCAAAATGGCGTTCGCCGACTCTTCTTCTTCGACTTCTTCTATATCCAAATCTATAGAAAGGAAAAGCCTAACTCATGCTATTCGAACAACACTACTCTCCAGATCTCTTGACACCGTCCATCAACGATGGCGGGGTCCATAAATTAAGTTCCAGTTTAACATCACTTGATTTTTATCTACTCGATGATATTGATGCCTACTTATCACCTATACAATCTAAAACAAATAAAAATGATTTAATTAACGATACTATTGATGATCATAGTCAACATCATGAAGATCTGCTTACAGATTTTGATTTTTCTGCTTTTGAAGAAAAATCAGGTAGGACCATTGACATGATTTACACGAGATATTCATGAGTTTGTTTGATTTCACATAGATTTCATTAATTCCCTCGATATCGACGAATTAGATATTGAGAAATGGATCACTCAATCATCTTTTCCATCACCACCAATGGACTCGACCATTTCTTCAGATGATGATGTTTCAACAACCACTTTTTCTGAATATCCAATCAATATCGATATGGTTGTTCCACCATCTCCCCCGCTATCAACTGCAACATCATCACCAGCACCATCGACAAAGAAAAGCAAACTATCCGTGATCGACCGGAAATTGCGAAAGAAAGATCAAAATAAAACTGCCGCTGAAAAGTATCGTGTAAAGAAAAAATCGGAACGTCATTTTTTGCTTGATCGACATGCGGCATTGAAGAACACAAATCGAGAACTGAAATTGGAATTGGAAAACTTAACTTTTCGTGTCGAAAAATTCAAACAATTATTTGTTGATTTACTTCAAATCGATCCTTCAACAGGAAATTAAATCTGTTCGCTGTACTTCGGATGTTCACTATTATCATTAATATCGTTCTTTATATCGCCTAACCTTCATTTTCTCTTCTTTGTTGTCTGTACTGTTCATCTATTTACTCAATAAATATGGTAACGTGTGTACGTAAAGGCTGATATCGAAATTTGAAAGAAGGAAAGAGAAAAAAACAATCGAGAGAACATTGTTTGAGTATGAGACACGACATTCTTCAGAAAGAGTACAAAGTAAAACATCAATCTTGTCGAACAATAGCAACATTTCATCTCAAAACGTTAACAGTCCAACATGGATCGTCCGACGATTGTTTTTCTCGGCATTATCTTATCTATTCTACTCCTTCTATTGTTTTCAATGAAGACTTGTAAGTTACCCTCCAAATTGAACATTTCATTTAAACTCTCACTGTCTTAACCTTCGAGTTTTAATCTTCTTGTACATTCGTTGATTTCATTTTTGACGAACAGTAATTCAACTAGAAGTATGCAATAACATTGGACAAAAAAGAAAAATAACAATTTACCTCGAGTCGTTTGCACACTCGATTGCAAGCTTTTATACTTGTGTATATTCTCTCAAAGGATATTTATTCAATAGAAATATTTTAGATACTACCTGGTCAACAATTGACAACGATGAAGAAACGTTCGTATCTCTTTGTCAAGTTCATGTTCAATCGGATGAATCAAATCTATTCGATGATCAAACACTTCTCTCCTTATTAGCCATACTCAAAATGCATGATTTTCAAATTGGACAGCCAGTATGGGGACCAGCGAACACTCGCCTCTATCTCTGCGAACATCCTCTCAAAGCTGGTTTAAAACAATCAACAATCGACAACGAATTCAATAGTATTCTACAAAGTACTAGAGACTCGTCAAAACGGTACGCTTGGTCGTGTGCTTGATTGTGAGGCGATTTTTTATAATATATTCGAGCGTCTGTGTGCTTTGAAGTAAAAATAAAATTCGTAGTATATTTGCCTATTCTCAAGTGATACTTCATACGATGATTTGATCGTTTCAAATTGCGAGTAATCGATGGGTGGGTGGGTGGGACAGCTGGTGGCTTTCCTCTTGCTTTGCTTGCATCATTGTCTATTAAAAGACGTCATCGGATAAATTAGAGGCAAAAGACAATACACGTTTATGTCAGTAAATATTATTTTATAAGATTGTATTGTAGATCGACAAAAGAAAAACAAAGCAAGTCATAATCGGAAATCAAACAGATAAAACATACAATTTGAAAATCGTTGATAAAACTTCTTGTCGTCGGATTGAAATACAGCAGAAAAGAAGAACAAAAACAAAGGCGCATAAAAAATACATGCTCAAGTCTCTCTCTTTCTCGGCTAAAAACGTGTTTCTGCTGTAACACTTTCATCATCATATGTATATAAATCTTCCGTCGGCGTACCGCCATTTGTACATGTTGTGTAATAGGGTGATTGTTGTTGATTTCTTCGTGTCCGTGTAACGAATTCATTGAGTTTCGTACGTGCTTGCCATAACATCGAATTCTCCGACATATTATCGTCATCGTCAGATTCAACTTGTCGTTGATGCTCTTGTTTCCATTTGTCGACATTGTTCAGATGATCGGCTGTCTGATATTGTTGACGGTCTTGAGAGTAAGCACGTTTGTTATAATGAGAATTGCCGGATTGAATGTGAGTTATAATGTTACCACCAGGATGAAGAGAATTGTTACTTGTAGAAGATGAACGAAAACGACGAGAATAATGACGTTGTACAGGTAGATTTTGAGCGAGATTCGAATCGTAAGAGGAAGTTGTCAATGCCGCATAGCGACTCGTGGATTCCGGAGTATCTAAACGACAGATAAGAGTAGTCTTCGATATATAGTTGTGAATGTTTCGATTACCATTCAGTCCTCTTGTGTAAACTTTCTTCTTTTTCAAGCTTTCCAATACTTTATTCATCATTTCTTGTCGTTGCTCTAATTCATCAACTGGTTTTTGTTCTTTAGTCATCGTTGGTATTCGATCGGTTCTCTGATTATCATTCGTAGTTATTGATATTAGCTGAGCAGCTGAAGCTGCGTGTTGTCCGACCATTTTGGTTTCAAAGAATTTTTTTAATGATTTAACAGAATGTAAATGATTCATAATCACATTTTGTGCAGTATCTTCATTATCAATCGATGTCGTTTGTTTTTGTGTAGTAAATATGCTACTTGTTGTGGGAGAATTATCAGTGAAACTAGTTGCTGTGGACGGAGCGACGAACGTTTTCAGTAGTGGGGGAGCGGGAGGTATTGGCTGAGGTGCATTTGTGGAAACATCATATGTGTCGAAAGGATCTGATGATGTTTCAGGATTGGTTGCGGTGTCGAATGATGATGATGGTAATGGAGGTGAAAAACGTTGAGTAACGTGTTCTTCTATAAAATTCAATAGTAGTAATGGCAGTTTAAGCTAATGTCTTAATCAAAATATATTTACCTTGAAATGAAACGCGTTTTGACGCTTGTCTCCATTTTTGTTTGTTTGATTTGTTGAGTTCAATTGGTGCAGAATGATTTATAGGTAAGTTATCATCGTCATCATCCTGTTCACTTTTAGTCAATAGGATATCATCCATACTTATATGTCGATCTTTTTGTTCGTTTGGTAGATCATTTCGCGATCGATCATGACCATGTGCGATAGAAAAACTTCCAACAGTTTGTTCATCAACAAAACCTGAGTCATACGTTGAAATTGGTACAGATTGGGAACTACGATAGAACTGTTGATGATCAGTTGTTGTTTTAAACAGGAGAGCGGGATCAAGAGCTTGAAATTCTGTTTGACATATACCGATGATAACAGGATTATTCGTAGTTGGTTTGAACGTACTAATTGATGGTTGAGTAAGGAATGGTCCTGTGCGATTACTTGGTTGAAGATAATTTGGATAGGGATACTAGAAACAAAGTAATAATAGAGCTAAACGAAGAAACGCGGTGTGTGATGAGGTTTACTTCGACAATCGATTGAACTGAATAATGTGGATTATAAATAGAATCTCCACCATCAGTATTCGTGCCAGCATCATCATCTGGTCGTAACATAGTTGGTACGCTGACAATCATATGCTCTCCTGCAGTAATTCTATTTCCCAAACTTCGATCTGTTTCTTGATCAATGATCGACGGTTCTCGCGGCATATTGTCGGACATTGCTGTATAATTTGAATCTTCTACACTCGTAGCAATTCGTTTATAGTAGTCATCGCTTAGTTGTTGATCTGAATGAATTAAAGCTTGAATAGTTTTTGTTGTCTAAAAATTCAAAGTAATAGAAAATAAATTTTCAACAAAGGATCACGTGGACTACTTGTTGTTGATTTTGTGGTGATAGATCATATTTTCGTTCAGATTTCATCAACGGTTGCTTTTGATGGCATTTATTGGAATTATTCAACGTGGTAGCTGAACTTCGAATAACTACGTCGGATAAACTCAAATCTGAGGAATCGTAATCGTCGGCTTCAGGGACTGGTGAGAGAGTGGCAGCTAAAATGATTGACGGGGAAATTTGTTTTTCATAGTTTGTTCATTGAGATGCTTACTGTCCATAAGCAATGGGAACTTGAATGCTTGTTGCGGTGTTGGATGAGTTTTCGGCGTCATCGGTGGTTGATGTGGATTTTGAGGATTCTTTTTATCCCAATGGCGAATCAATCGAAAACGGGAACGGAAACTATGAGCATAGAAATTAAATTAGAAATTATTCGTCACACTACTCGTCTTATTAATCAAAACTACCTTTTCGAAAGTGAAGTCTTTGTACAACTTTTAAATAGATTACTACCGAACCATTGACGTCCTTCAATTTTTGCCCATGCGCCATTATTATCGATCATGTACCCACCTTGATCTTTCTCGTCCCATATAACAATTTCACCTACAATCATAGTCAATGAAATTCATCTGTTCATGTCTCAGAACGACTTCTATACGTACCAACAGCTGGTAAAATATCATTGTTATTATTATTACCTGGTGGCATCAGACTATTGGTCGAGTCACCAAATATCGGTCCATGTAAATGACCATTACCTCCGAGACGTCGATCGTCTAATAAGGACGGAATTGATGCACTGAGTAAATGTTGTCCGTGTGCTCGATGACGATGTCTAAAAAGCAATCCATGATTTTTGACTCAGAAATCCTCGGTTTTTTTCGATCTACCTTCGAACAGCAAAGAGAATTAAATTAATAATTGCGAGAAGAATAACAAATAGGATTGATACAGCCACAATAGTCATATCTGTTTTACTTAACCATCCGTATTCCATTGCATTCTTCTTATTTCTCTGTTCAATAACACGTCGGATCATATTATGCGCATTAAAAGATGTCATTTGTCCTAAATTACAGCAAATAAACAATTAATAATAGTTTGCTCATTTTCTCCTGAAAACTATCTATTTTATTTTAGTATACCAAAGACATTCGTGGTGCAATTGCATACGGGACAAAATTTACGTCGACGTAGATATCTCATTCTCAATTATATGACATGATCGTGTACATTATTCAAAGGACATCAACGAGTTAAATCAGTAAACAAATATGGATAGACAAGAGTGATACGCCTTAGTCGAAATGTAAACATGAATGATTGACTCTTTCGGTCGAAAGTGGTTTGATTGAGTTATCAAAGAGAAGACAAAGTTTTGATGAAAATTTTCATACCGTCTGCTTGGACACTGACAGCATTACGTTCACTGACAACTGGATATTGCTGTTGATGATAACGTTTGGCGGGAGGTGTGTTAACAGTGATCACTTTCCAATTCGACTTTGTTGTCATTGAAATCATCGGTTTTTCAGTTGATGTATATATTATCGGGTTGGTCTTCACTAAAGTCTCAAGGTCGGATGTTTGTTTAAGTATATCCAAATCATCATAGCTATCATCAAAAATATCAGCTTTCTTAGTTGACGACTTGAACCAAAAAATAGCTGATTTTTGCGTAGTACTTGTCGGTATTGTTTTGTTTATTAATCGTATTGTATTTTGTACTGTGGTACTACTAAGAATTGTCGTTGTTGCGGTAGCAGTTGAACTTGTCGTAGTTGTTCGTTGTGTTGTGCTCGTTGTTTGCGCCGACGTCGTCGTCGTCGTCGTGTACTGTGCCTTTGAATCGACCTTGATAAATGGCTTTCGTGGTTTTGTTGTATACCATTGCCATTGCCACCAATCATAAGGGCCAGCAGGTGAATACCAAGGGGTAGGTGTTGGTAAAGTTGTTTTTATTGGAGAGAATATTGCTGATGTAGTAGTTATTGTTATCGGTGTAATAGTAATAGTCGAATTGACTGTTCCTGCCATTTTTAGTGTTCTTGTCGAAGAATGAGAATTACTAAAACTGTAATATATCCATGGCTTGTTTGTAAATAATAATCGTCGATGAGGTGTTGCAGTTCGAGTTGTAACAAGAGTTGATGTCGTAGTCGTTGATTTTCTAGTGGTAGTCGTCGTTGTCCTCGTCGTGGTTGTAGTAGCAATAGTTGCTAAAAAGATAGTATACATGTGTCATTTATGAAAATTCCTCATAAAAGATAATTAATTCATGAATTTACTTGTTGTTGTTGTTGTTCGTTTTGTCGTTCTCAAAGTGCTGGTTGTTGTTGACGATTGAGTATGGTGCCATGTAAAATTCCATTTAACAATGGGTAATCGATGAGTAGTTGTTCGTATTATATATGTTACTGGCTTGAATGATGTTTTCAAACGATTTTTCACAAGCCAACCATCAGGGCCATAAGCTACATTATATGTCACCAAGGCACCATGTGGATACGTAAAAGCACTTGCTATTGTTGATGTATTTGCTTCTATAAAATGTTAAAAGAAAAAAAATCATATACACGCGTGACTGTTTATTCATCGTTCATTTTTTTTTGTTGTCTCAGTATGCTAACACTTAATCTTAAAATCTTTCGCACGCCACACCTCAATTCTATTCATTTGCAAAATTGACAAGTATGTGAGGACAAATGGCTATGTATGTGTACCGAGAAGATTATCACGACGCCACGAAAGGTAAGGTCATTGTATAATGCAACTCGAGGTGACGATGTATGCGTGTTTACCTTCATCATAGATTAGAATGTATGATAGACTTACTGAAATTTGTATCAATGGAAGATGAATGAGGCGTCGCTGTTGTCATACGTATATGCGTCATATGATCATTGAGCGACATTGTTGGATTGGGCGGATTGTTGAAGGCTAAACGACTCCAGCCATGATCGGATGATGTAGATATTGAAGGTGGTGGAAGTGATACCGATGATAAGGTTGGTACACCAATCTTATCACGTGCTCCACAGTGTAGATGAACTTCGGCAGCAGGATGACTTGCTTCAATAAACAAACATCCGATCATCATTTATCAAAGAAAATCGAAGACTAGCAAACCTTCGTAGATAATCCAAAATCCTCCACGTACAGTCGGTGTTCGACTATAGAAATTGATATACAACGAATTGGAATCACTTAGATAGTTATGTCCTTGTTGTAAATAAGTACATTGTGTACTTCTTTGTTCGTTACTGCTTTGTAAATAAAGACCCGCACCAGCACAATGTTCTATAGGAAAGAAAGTTCCCTTTCATCTTATGACATAACAAAGAACAAAATACAAACGATCATAAGGTATTAGCTGAAAGACAATAATAGAAAGTAATAGACGATGTTGTAACTGTGTCGATAATTTACACCAACAATCATCGCTTGATGTGTATGGATTTGGAAAGTTTGGTGTTTGTAATGTTCCCCAAGGTGATGTTATTGCTTGTGACGAGCATACATCATGGATAAATGCATCTATATAGATAGAAATACAATCATCGGAAAACTAAACAAGTTTCGCTTGTTTTTCTTCACTATTGTCTTGCATAATTTCTTCTTTATCTATTCAAACTTTTGCTCCTCCTCAATTGTCAAGAGATTAATTGTACAACGTTCGATGATTATTGCTAGGTGACATAGTAGAAAGATGTTGTAATCTAATCTCACTTGTGTTTAATTGCTCTCTCTTGTCTGATCTCTCCTCTTCTTTTTGTTTTCTTTTTCTATATTCAAAGTTTTCGTATTTTGACGAACGTGTTTAAAGATCTATTTCTTGGTTAATCCCGTGAATCTTTACTCTTTCGAATTTACCTGATATACATTCAAAAAATGCCATCGTATAATCAACTAATTCATTATGGCAATTATCTTTCGGACTGTTTAAACGTATACGTTGCATGTGTACGGTACAATTCTCTCTTCCCGAACAAGCCGATGTGAAACTTGTATGAACTTTACAATCGACACCAGTTGATTCTTTTGAAATTTGTTTTTCTTTTAAACATTGTATTGGTAAACGTGAAGCGTTTTTAACTGATGCGTCAAATGCATCTAACATACGAATTTTTTCATTTAATCCACAACGGATTTGCATGACACCCGGTCCATTCGAATTATGACAATAGACAGCTGTAAATGCATCTAAATTAAAATCAAACTGTATAGAAAGAAAATCCAATCGACCAAGTCTTTTCTCGTACTCGTCAACGGTACAACTGGTGGTGCTTGTGTAGACGATTGTTGAATGAAAAGCACGAGTAGAAAAAGTGATATTCGTCGCATGATTATTGAGAAAATCAATACTGCCGATAAATAAATGCTGGATTGAAATCAATTCTCTTCATTTGATTTTCGTCGTTGTCTTTGTCAATCGAATGAATAATAATAATACATGTGGCATATACCTTCTGCAAAGCTAGACAAATGAAAAAGTCGATGTTTAACTGTCTCTATTGAATATTGTTTCTAGGTCGTTGTCTTGCTTCTCAAAGAAGGTACAACAAATTGAATGAGGTCAAAACTAATGAATTGACTTTAGTCTTTAGGTAAATGTGTGTTTAATACTTGTATCTTCTCTGTTAAAACATTAAGGAAAAAAAAAGAGCGAAGAAATTTTCCTACCAAATGAGTAATGACGCGACGATGGCTGTACCTATGTCAACTTGGCGGCATGTTTAACAAGGTAGTGCAATGATAAAAATGTACAAAACCGATGACGACGACGAAGAAGAAGAAGAAGAAGAAGAAGAGGAACATGTCATCACTCAACTACTATCAATGTATGTATTAATCCTATATCGAATAGGAGGAAGAGACGTAGAGCGATAGTCGTTTGCTCATATTCTTTCTCGTTCCTATTAATGTATGATTTTCGATCATTGATGTTTTTCTCTCTTGCTGTTGGCTCGTGAGTAAACAATAGTGTGAGGTGTATAGTGGACATATTTCTCTAAGAAGGAGACTAACGAGCGGAAGACGAGCTTGATGTGATTAGTATGCTTTTTACTTCCTGGCCAATCATACTAATGATTATTGTCAGTTGCCATTCAACGCGTACTTACTGGGTTTATTGAAATTAAATAAATGACTGAAAAATTTCGAAGCGAGTGATTCCATTTTGAGTCTTGTCTGTACTTATTTTCGTCTAGACATTTGATGGATTCAAGGCGATAAAAGAATGAAATGTGAATAAAATGATGATACTGTATATGATCAGAAATCACGTACGCATCGAACTATTAACAGAATTATGAACGTGTATATCAATAGAAACAAAGTTGAACGTTGCAAGAAATCTGTT